CCATCTCCCTGAGGTTACCGCTGACGGCTTTGAAGGCGAATTCGGAGCTTGACGGGCCGCAGAACTCGGGAACGCTTTGTAAAGTATCTGGCATAATTTGGACTTTCAGGGTTTCGCTGTAGATATGAGTTGATTGGTTGGTATCCGTCTTGGAATTACCTTCGGCAGCCGTGTTACCAGAACTGATAGTATGAACAGGTGCGGTAAGAGTATCCCGAGGGCTCGCCCTATTATGAGATATTAATGGGATCTTCTGCTAGAACCGTGGCGACGTACAGGGCTGACTTGGGCTGACTTCGCGGCATTTCATACTCGCATATCTTACGTAGCGAAGAGCATCCCCCGCAAGGCTGTTCACCTTTCAGCTACACTTAGCATTGTCTTTATGTTTAGTGCTTGCAAGACTTACCGTCACACTTGGTCTTGCGTCGTCTACAGTAGGTGCTAGAGCTGCAGTCAGCTCTATGTAGGTGCGTTATGTAAGGTGGACGGTGATAACCACCAAGCCTGATTGACATATTGCGCTCGTTTAGACCGAACTTTAGTTCTAGCCACTGCCTTGTGAGTCTCGCCCATAATTATAGGCTTTGTATAGTTTCAGGGACATGTAAAAATGGGCGGAGTGGTTTAAGAATATTCGGGGGTAACGATGAGATTATATAAATAGTCGAATCCTAAGAAGAAGGATGCGGGGTATTGTGGGGGCTTTTTGTATTTCTTACTAACTCTAGGCTGTAAAAATATTATATATAACCCTGGCTTAGGAATTATTATATAATCTTTTATAAATTCTACTTGATTTCCCTGGTGGGTTTAGAACCTGCCATGCACATATTCTGCTTGAGAAAGATGTTTTGTTGCACTGGCGATCCGTTTCACTAGACCGGCACAGCCGGCTGACATGATGAGTGGATCCTGTGTCGGGAGCTACGGGCTCTGGACTGGTGTTGCAGCCCCTAACTTCCCTGATTCTAACTACTTCGCACTGGCCCCGCCGGAATGTGACTCCAAGGAGGGTATATCCCTGAGATCAAGTTTCAATTCAATGCCACAAACCATCCTCTTGATGAACATGCCGCGTTGATATCACGGACGGAGGGTGCAACGCGAATATCTCTATTAGAAGCTTCTCAGGACTAGATGATTATCTTAGAAGGAATGGACACTTCCTCACCATAACACGGGCACTTTTAATCTCATCACATGGCCTCATTAGTGACGGGATCACTTGGCTGGATACGGTGTAGGAAGAGTCACATCGATGCGTAATGGAGTAGAGACAGGTCACCTGCTCCTTATGGAATATCTTAACCCACCATGCATGCTCTAAGCTGTTGGACTTGGTTCCAGGATGAAGGCAATATGCAGCTCTTCGGCGAACAAAGTGTGATTGAGGCGGCGAATCAATTATATAGACAGCTAACTCATGTTTTCAACACACTCTCTTTTAGGGCAAAGGTGCACGCACGATGAGCCCCCTGTCTCGTTTTCTGTTCCCATATCCAATCATTCCTTCAGCTTGAAGTATCGTGCGAAGAACATAGAGTTTGCAGCAAGAATCACTGGCACAACGCTGACCATCTCTCCCAAGCCAGCATACCGAGGCGGAATACGGAACTCAACCCAAGCACCACTAGCCATTGTGATCGCCAGAATATTGTAGACAGCAGACCAAACGAAGTTGAAGTACATGCGTTGGAACGAGACTTTGCTGATATCAAGAAGAAAAGGGATACCTTCAAGACCGTTCAGAAGCACGACATCTGCAGCACCCTGGGTAACGTCGCTGCTTGTCAAACCACCTCCCATCTGAGCACCAACATTGGCTTGGGCCACAGCGATGGCATCATTTGTGCCGTCACCGCAAAAGAGGACTCGCTTGCCCTGTTCCATCAAAGAAGCGACGTAGTCTCTCTTCTCAGGTGGAGTACGCTCACCAACGACGTTCTCAGCTGGAATACCAACAGATGCCGCGACAGCTTGAACAGCTCTGATATGATCTCCAGAAACAAGATGAACGTTGATGTTGCGAGACTTGAGCTCGGAGATAACTCGAACTGCTTCAGGGCGGATCTGAGCTGAAAGCCCAAAGACGATAAGAGGAACAGAATCGCGAGTCACGACAAGTGTAGTTGAACCACCATGCTGAAGGCGCGACACATCGTCCAATTTATCAGCTCCAGTCCATCGAGCATTTCCGGCTCTGAGAGTTGAGTCCAGGTAATCTGCCTCAACTCCAGCGCCAGGAACGACTTGGACATTGACCACCTCGGGCATGGACTTGATGGACTGTCCTTCGAGATGCTTCTCAATGGCGGCCGAGACGGGATGTTTACCGCCAGAGACAAGAGCCTTAGCCAAAGCAAGGTTGTCTGCCGTGTCCCCATTCAGATTAACCTGCTCAGTCACAGCAAGCTCAGCCTCAGTGATCGTCCCAGTCTTGTCGAACACAACATCGGTAGTCTTGCGTGCTCCCTCGGTGGTATCAGCAGACTTGATTATGACACCACCTCGAGCTGCGATACCACCTGCGACGACGAGAACCATGGGGACTGCAAGGCCAAGAGCGCAGGGACATGCGACTGCGAGAGTAGCTACTGCGTATGTGATAGCGTTGCCAACACTCTTCCCGGCGTCGTAGTTGAGTACCTCCATACCGCAGGCGATCCAGATGACAAGGACAAGAATGGCTACAGTAGCCATGGCGGGAACAAACCAGCCAGCAACCTTGTTAGCGAGATCTTGGATCTCTGGCTTCGACTTGGCAGCCTCTTCCACAAGCTGGGCAATGTCTGTGACGGTGTTCTTCCCAGGAAGACGCGTCAGCTGAACAGTGACGGTACCATCCCCGTTAACAGTACCAGCAATCAAGTCACCGCCCTTCTGCTTAACAATAGGAAGTGTCTCCCCCGTAAGCATAGACTCGTCCACCTCAGTCTTCCCAGAGAGGACGATACCATCAGTAGGTACCCTCGAGTGAGGCAGAACCTTGAACACATCTCCGTACTGAAGAAGGCGAGCGTCAATCTCACGATCACCTTCCTTCTCGACAAGCACAGCGATGTTGTTCTGCTTGGATCGGAGAGACACAGCTGAAACAGCTTGAACACGGGCGAAAGCAGCGATGAGGCGACCGACGAGGATGAGTGTGATGAGCATGGTGCTAGTCTCGAAGAATTGGCCCTCGTCAAGAGGTTTGCCCGCCATTTCGAAGCTGAATGCAACCACAGAGTAGACGTAGGCTGCGGTGATGCTGATGACGACAAGCATGTCCATCTCAACAGTTCGGCTGTACCAAACAGCAGAAATAGCAGGGCGATAGAACTCGGGGATAGCGATGCATTGAACAAGTGTACCGAGGATCAGCGAGATAATTCCCTCGGTCTTCTTGTTGACTAGATTCTCACTCCATGAAACTACTGCGACGGGGATGGTGAGGGCAGCGGCAAGGAGGGTCTTTGTGAGTTGGTCCCAGAGGCGACGGCGACTGTTTTCGAGTTGAGGGTCTCCGCGAGGTTCAGCCAGACCACTGCACTTGTCTTTGACATGTTCCAACAGGTCTCGAGCTCCGATGGTAGTCGGCTCATATGACAGACGAACCGTCTTCTTGTCAAGCGACTGCACATCCGTCACGCCTAGAGGTGGATTGTCGACAAGTTCCTTACTCTGTGCAGCCGTAGCCAAGACATCGAGGTAGTAATTCCCGCCGATGATCTTGCTAAGCATGAAGCCACTTGCCCCAGATACAAAGCTGAGGACCTCTTCAGCATTGGTGGTGCATGCATCAACGTCGAACTCTCCTTTGCCCATGACAAAGTTGACTTGGGCGTTGGAAACACCAGTCATACTGCCAAAGATCCGCAGTAACTTGTCTGCACAAGAGGTACAGTCCATACCACTGACAAGAAACCCGACTGTCTCGAGGTTTGCAGCGTTCTCGACGTCGACCTGCTTACTTCCTGTTCCAGAGGGCTTGAAAGCTGGAATAACAGGTGCAGCCTTCTTCTTTCCATGTTTGCTTCGATGCTTTTGTTTGTTTGGGGTCGTTCGGGTGCTCATACAGCATGTTTCGAGGGATGTCATTCCCTGTTCGATAGCGCTCCGGCAGATGCAGCGGATTTGTTCGAGGTAGCTGCTGTACTGGTTGAAAGCAGCTTCGAGATGGGTACCACAGGCTGTGTCTGCTTTGTGAAGGCCATGGTCATGTTTGTGGGGCTGATCCTGTGAGCCTGTACCTGTTAGGTCTCTAGTTATGCTGCGCCATAGGGTCAAGTTACCTTCATGGCCTGGATCGTCGTCACAGGCCCTCTTGCACTCGAGGGCAGCAATGGCATAGATGCATTTCTCTGCGTTAAACCCGAATGTTAGAGAGGGTATGAAGTTGTTTCGGTTAGGATGAGAAGGCCTTACCACTACAGTGTTCCTCGCTGCCGCAGCAAGTCGAGGCCTGGGAGGTGATGCTACTAGCATCGGAGTGATCGTCGCAGCATCCTCCATGTTCGTGGTCATGATCGTCGCCGTCAGCATGCGCATGGTCGTTGTCATGCTCACGGGAGCTGTTGTGCTCGACAGTAGCAGATCCATCTGTATGATCGGTATGTACATGGCCATGTTCATCCAAGCTGGCACTAACACGCTCAGCCTTGGATCCGCAACAAGATGCACCCATGGTTTCGTAAACGGTATGTTTCTGGTAAGGGAGTAGTAGAATACAATGCGAGGTGTGACTATAGAAAAACCAAAACTGAAGAGAATTTCATTTTATCTAAATACTCGAAACATCGTGAGTTGCAACTCACTCATGATGAACCTGTTTGTTAGTGTTCCGCGGATGGCTCCACCACCGCTAAAAGTCTCCGCGCTCCGTTTCCGCGCCGCGTTCTCCTCGCTAAACCGTTTTAGACTGTGAAACAGGAGGCGCGGGGACTTTCCAATCAGTCATTTTGTGCGACATGCTGAGGATAATCTCGTGATTACATTTACGTCATTGAGCTATTGGCAGAAGAGGGAGAGTTATTGAGGAGTAGACAAGCATTGGGTATATTGCTAAAAGCTTGCCAAGTATTCATAAGTCATAATCGTGAATATGTAACCATCACGCTGAGATGATCCTTTGCGCCTCTGCTATCGCAGCCTTAACCTGATCAACCGTCCTGAAGCATGCACAAGCAGTCGTCATGTCAACTTCCTTCGGACACACCTCCGTTGGATGTTTCGTCGTCGGCAGTGACTCTGTATTCGAACAGCTCGTCCCCGTCTCGCAATTCTCATGACCCTCGGTATGAAGCTGACTCTGTCTCGTCGCCAATCCTTCACCCAATTTCACAAGACAATCCAACTCCCCTTTGAGACTTGCCTGTAGAAAAGCAATGTAGCTCGGTCCCTCGAGTGAAAGCTCAACCATGTCCCGGGCATCTGGCTGCTGACCGACGACAAGGCGAATCGGTGTACCGGACACTGAGGACTCAGCGGTTCGTTGCTTCTGTATGTAGAAAAAGTCGCCGTATGAGGAGCCGATGCTGGATAGGAGAGAGCCCAGGAGATAAACGTTTCGTGATGTGCGTGGGCTCTTGATGGATTGGAAGCAGACTGTGCACTCAAGGATCGTCCTTGCTGATGCGAGAGACTGCTTCAAGACTTTGAGAGTTTGGAAAGTCTCGAGTGAGCTCTCAATATCTGAGAAATGCTGATTGACCAACTCGATGCAAGAGCATTTCTGAGAAGAGAGTCCGGGGGTCGCTATGTTCTCAGTGTTTTGAGACGTCGGCGTCATGTCCATTGGCTTTTCCGCGGTTCGGGTTCCTGGGTACATGCCGGTCTGGTCCTGCTGCATAGAAGCCCCATTGAACAAATCTGATGGCAGCGGTTCCTGTCTTTGGGCATTATCCTGATCCGTCGAAAAGTCCATATCAAAAGACGGCAACGGCGTGCCCAGATCATCAAGGAACTGATCCATAATCCCAGCAAAATTCCCCGTATCCATGACCTCTGGCGACATCGACGCCGCACCCGTACTCGCCACGCCATTCGCTCTATACCCCAGCGGCTGGCCCCTCCTCGGCCGCCCTATAGTCCTCATAGGGGAGTATTCGCAAGTCAAAGCAAAGTGAGAACATCGTTCGCATAAAGGAGTGTGGCGAGAACATCGAACTTTTCGCTTGCCTAACACGGGTCACGTCATCAGCTGATGATTAAAAAGAGGGGGAAAGAGAAAGAGGGGACTGACGGCAGGGGTCGCAGGCGCGGTGCTGGCTCTTATCACTTATACTTTGAGGGTTCATGCCTACTAGGAGCAGATCATATAGTAGCGTGTCGTGGATTGCGTTGCTGGTTGGTTTTTTCGCGACAGGTGCGGCCATCAAGGTTCTCTGCCGAGGTCTTTTGCCAAGGAGAAAAGCTGGGAATTGAACCGGCGCCGCGGGGCGGGGCGGAGACTTTTGAAAGAGGTGATTGGTGGTTGGTCCCACTTATTTGAACTGTTTCGCAACCTCCTTACCCTGTATATCAGGCTTTTCATGTTTAACATTAAATTCCAACTAACTATAGAGGTGCGATGTATTAAAGCTCGCAATATGATATACCTTAAACAGTCAAACTGACTTAACCAACTAAAAGGTTGTTCCCAGGCTGGACCTGAGGCAATATCCCAGCCTTGACGAGATCGTTAATAAGATCCAGCAACATACCATCGCACCCCTCAGCTGCCATAATCCTGATAGAGACCGGCAGATACTCCACATGTCTAGTAATACTGCTATCATACTTGACTTGCCCTATTGGAATTGAAAAGTCCGGATTCCCAGCCATTGGCGAGATGAAGCCTATATTCAGGCCGAGCAGAACACCAACCAACCCGCCAGAACCCATAGCGCTACCGTAATCACTTCTGTATTCTGGTGTAGCATTCTTAAAAGTATAGAGCATAAGGCTTTCTGAACACGCTTCAGCGTTTTTGGGGAGCATGACCTCATCCCACCAACTCTTAAAGATGGTCTTGTTCGCGACTGCTTCATCGAGTAGCGACGGAAGAGTGTCAGACCAGCTCCAACTTCCGTGGGTGGAGGGATTGACGAAAGGTACGCGTCCATCGTACGCGGCTGCATAGTCCTTGAAGAATGGATCGCGAACAAGGAGGGTTTGCTGTTTGGCTGAAATAACTGCCCATGTCGAACTGACAAGCTCCTGCAAGTCGCTTGGCGTACCTGCTGGGTGACTGCGAGACCACTCTTCCGTGTGGTTAAAGGTTGAGAGGTCGGCTGAGAGAAACTTGACTAGCCTGCCAACGAATTGAACGATGACGCGGTCCGAGTCTGAAATATCGGGGTCCTTTGCTGAGGGGAGGTCGTATGTAAGAACTCGTTTCGGATACCGTGTATAATTCGCTGTGAGATTTGAGTACATGACCCTGCAAGCAGTTGACCAAATCTCTATATCACGAGCCAGAAACCCAGCGGTATCAAACTCAGGCCCTAGTGGTATAACACGCGATAAGTCCACTAGACCATGCGTCGGCCGATTTCCGAAAATTCCGTTATCCTCGGCCGGTATCCGGATGGACCCTCCCGTATCGGAACCCAGAGCCAGATCCAACCAATGGTAGGAAGCGATACCCGCCCCCGCTCCAGAGGAGGAGGATCCAACTTCTTGATACCCGTCGCCTCGGGGGTTGAACGGGGCTTGGTAGTCGATGGCATCTCTGACATTTTCAGGCGCCGCGTATTGAGTCGTCTTCATCTTGCCGACCAAGACAGCTCCGGCGTCCAGCAGATGCTGTAGTGCGGGTGCAGTGCCATTGGCTTCGGGGTAGGTGTCATAGTAGGCGCGGCTTCCAGCTCCAGTCTTGAGGCCGTGAACGTCATAGATATCTTTTACGCCGATGCGCACACCAGCAAGCGGGTAGTCGTCAGTTGGAGTGTAGTAAATTCTTGAGGGTACACCAATCGATATGGACGATGAGCCAGGGAGTGCAGCGGGGAGGGGGGCGAAAGATCCGCTTGAGAGGGGTATGACACCTTGGGTGAAGGCGCCTTGAGTGTCGAGATAAAGGCGGTACGGGGTATGTAGAGAACCTGTCGAGGGGTTCAAGATGTAAGGACCGTTGGGGACGTTGAAGGAGTAATCGATTTCTTTCCACAACGATGATGCGTTGCCTTGATACTGATAGTTCAATAGACCTGGAACATCATCGGAATCTTTTTTCACGTAGATTGCTGCAAGCTGTGTGAGCACACCTTTCCAGTTATTAAAGAGAAATAATAACGCACCTTGCAAGAAACCTTTGTTGAAAACATCATCCTCGGCAAGCCAAGCTTTAACAGTGTCGTTGAGACTAGACTCATCGAATCGATTGTCTGTTGCCTCAAAGATTGTCGCCGGGACAAATTCGACAAGTCCTTGGTGGTGAAGACTGGAAGATAATGGGAGGAATCCTACAGGCTCAGGGTGTACAAAGTACAAGACCCCATTGACAGACACGGTTGCGCCATGATTGACAAGGTTGGAATATGCAACCCCATAAAAGGCAGCGAGGATGAGAAATGATGCCGTATGCATAACTTGATATGTGTTGCGTGTAGTTGATCTTTGTGGCTAGAAGCTTCTCATCACCACACAGAACTTGAAACTTTTGAATGGAGAGGTTGAGGTGAGCCCTCGGCTAGTTTTAAGACAGTTAATTGGCGGTTCAAGTTCCACTTGCATGCATTTCACAAGTTGTTTACCATGAATAATCTTAGATAGCAGTATGACTAATTAACGCAGTTCCACTCTTCTCCTAGTTGTAGGGTAATCCCTTAATTACATGGGCATTTTGTTCTTTCTATATATGCTATTCAACTAAGGTCTTACTTAGTCAGAACTTATAAGTCACCATTCACGCTTTTTTATTTAAGCCAAACTCTACTGCTTATAATAGGTTTTATGTGGTGATTATAAGCTCTTAACCTCCACTTATCAGAATGATAACTTTTAAGACGGTATTTACACTCAAGGCTGTTTATAGACTGCAGTAGATACATGGTAAAGCATTTAAGATAGCTTTCTTTCTTCATACGGCCCATAAGATCACACCATCTATTTAAGTCTGTATATACCTATGACCTAATGTAATTCATTCACTTAAGCTATAGTGCCATATTGAGCCACGCTTTGAGTGGTAATATCAATGTACACTCATCGAAGCTTTCCTCGAGTGAGTGTAATAGAGTCTGATATTACTATTTACAGCGAGCTATCTAGTAGGGATGTACGGAAGAAGATGACCTAGCCCCCGCATCTCATAACCCCTTTTGGCTCAGAGAAGAGTCAAAGGCACTGCTCAGTTAACAAGATACCGTCAACGTCGTTCCTAAGTTACCACGGACATGCACCGTCACCCTCAGGAAGGAACTGGCGGCAGCAGTTGTACCAGCTGTTCCCATTAATCTTGCCGCGCAGACACTGGTCGAGACACAGTCAGTAATACTCGATGCCATATCTGTTTTAGTACTTACGTATTTTCCAGAGAAACGGACCTTCCTGGAGGTAGTGAGGAATGAAGTCTTCCCCCCGAATCGGGTGCAGCAGGTATCAGTAGTATCGTAGTCAAGGGCGCCATCAGTGTTGATCTGGCAGCCACAAGCTCCGTGAGGATCCGCGGCGGCGAGGCTGGCTGGAGTTAGAGGGTGAAGGAGAACGAGATTGTGTATATACATACGAGATGATGGTGGCGAGAACGCCAATGACTGAGACGGCACGCATGTTGGTGGTGAGGTTTGGTTGGAATGTAGTTGGATGGTAGAGAGTAATTGCTAGGAGCATGAATTGGATGTAGATATCCAGCTGAGAGGAATCGAATCTTATATAGCCATCTTCGTCCACGAGGCTTCACGAGCTTCACAAGTTCAATATGCCGAGGAAAGGAGCCGTCACCTTGATCGAACTCTGGCAAGTGCCGTGCCTCCTATGAGTTTCGTAACAATACAGAGTTCAAGGTCATGTCGGCCTCACCGCCGGTGTATCAGCATCTACGCTTTACAAGTATCAAGAACCGCAATAAACATACTCGCGATGATATATTAAAGTTTAATCAGGAGTGATTCGAGATTTGGAACTTCTAGAACAGTGATCGCCATTGTCTCTAACTCTAGACCTCGCCCCATTACTGTCGTCAGCCTACAAGGCAAATACGAGCCCCTATCAAGCGCTGTTCTCCCTACAAGTTCATGGTCATAGACCTCTTCTTCAAGACATTGATTGGGAGGTACATGTAGCTACTTGTTCTATAGAGGCAAGGGATAGCATTCGAGACGTCACTTATAGTGTCCATTCGGCTGCCACATGAAAATATCAACTCTCTCGGTTCAAGTGCCGAGGACCCAGCTGATGGGAGACTTACATTGGATACTATTGGATTGCTGTGGGTAATGTTGATTGCCTCGTATCGGCCCGCTAGATTATTCGCCTGGTGATTCGTGAAGAAACGAGATACGTAAATTGCTTTGACAGCATATCGTGGAGATCCTCGCGCACTGTTAGTCCAACCATGAAAGTCTCTTTACGACGGAGTGATGAGACACGAAATGCCAGAATCATATCCCGCGTGATGATCTTTTCACTAAGACCATCGCACAGAACTTAGTGGTGAATTAGACAAAAGACTTATCATGATGGCTTTATATCCTGGTAGGATGCGTGTTGTAGACTATGTTGATAGTAAATCATATGTTGCTGTTTTACTGAAAAGGACCTACTAATAGAGCATTATTAGAGGCAACATGGCAAGCCATCACTCGTATTGAGGTCTCGGACCCTGTGCGCTCCATTGCACACCTCTAGACAAAAACTATATTCTGTATCCTGTCGGCAACACGGCACCAATTATCAACAAAGGCACAGCCAGACCCGTGATCTCAGAAGCAGAGTCCCAGACTCGGCAGTTCAAACTTCATTCTATAGAGTTCAAGAGAAGGTGGAGAAAGGTAGCTGTTGCTTGGACTTGAAACTCGAATCATACGGCAAAGAGAGAGAGATAGGGAGAAGGCTACAAACTTCGCAACTGGAGTCTGTAGTCATTGCATAAATAGACGGTTATTCTCCTTTTGATTACCTACAATCGCTATCTACATCCTTTGATCGTAGCCTTGTCTCCTGCACCAACCTTGTTCAGCCTCATTCAACCTCGTTTAAAGCTCCAGCACCAAAAATGAAGTTCAACCTCGTCTTGATCTCTCTCGCCGCTCTTGCATCGTATGTCATCAACGCACACAAGTATGACAAGCTCCTACTAATTAACAACCAGGCAGGCGTTGGCTGACCCTCACGGTCTCTGCGCATGCCAGAAGCGCACCAACGGTCCTACCAACGACGACGCCACTCAGGCTTGTTGCAGCCGCGTCAACGCCCAGCTCAGTGAGAACAAACACACCTGGCTCAAAATGATATGATCTAACGCGACAAGCTTCTGATCGCCTTCCTGCCCAGGGCGGAATTAAATATGCCGGTTACTATGTGAGACTCTCATGACTTGTTGGTGAGAGACGATGCTAACGTTGTGGTTTTGCAGTGCCAGGGCAACGATATCAGTGGCAATGCGTTCTACAGGTGCTGCCGCAACAACGATGGCGGGGACTCGACCTGCCCTGAGTAAGCGGCTGGATAGAGCTACGGGACTGCTTCGTAGGATGGCTAGGTCATAGGCACAAAGACAATTTCTAGTTACCTAGCATGACTGCAAAGGTTCAACTTGCTACCCCTTAGATAGAACACTATACTTTGCTACAACTGTAAATGGCAAGACTAGCTGCACTTTGCTTGGTATGCGCATAAATAAACATGGTTGTTTAAACTGACCTACTCTCTTATTTACAGGGCACTAGATGTAGTCAATAGCTGAGATTCTGAATGTGACGGTAGTAGAACCTAATCTCGTGCAAATTTCTTGAAATATATTCCTTGACTTGCGTACATACGGTTACATCCAAGCATACGTGCTGAAGCGAATGGACCCTTTGAACTTAAATTTACCTATCTCGTTTACCGCCATCTATGAAATTTCACGTTAAAGTCAAAACTCAGCTGATCTTCTATATGCTGGGATTCAGCACATACCTATCACACCGTGCGTATTCTGGAATAGCTGCTGAATCCTGCAGCCTCAAATACAACTGCCGGCCTCGATAGAGCTAACACTGCCGTTCTCGCTGACCTTGAAGCTGCAGAACATGTGAAATATGTTAATATATAAAGAGAGCAAAATTCCCATGTAACTGTTTCCTCCACCATCACTCCATCACTGTCTTTCAACACTCCAGCATACCCTCATCATCATATCTTACCAACCTTGCACCTCTCCCGCCATCATGAAAGTCGCAACCATCACCTCGCTCCTCCTCGGAGCCCTTCCCGTCTTCGCAAGCCTAGCTGCGGTCGGTGACTCCACGTAAGTTTGCACCAAACAAAGTATCCCCATAAGACCGCAAGCTAAAAGACATAGCAGAAACACCGTCAAGGATCTCTCCCTCACTGTCGTCGAACAGAACAGCACCTATGTCTGCTGGACCTACGACTATCAGCCCGGCGTTGATCTGGCATCTGCTGCCGACGTCGCAATCCTGGTCCGCAGAGCTAATATCCGCTGGCCTGGTGTGAGCGAGCGTGTTTCTGTTGCGCTCGAGGACGCAAAGGTCACCATCATCAGACTTGCCGCCAACGAGATCAAGGTCATCATCGATAACCTGACTCAGCATGTCATCAATGTCTTGTTTGGTTGGGAGTTGGGTGATGTGGATGACCAGGCTCCTGCTGGCGCTACGTCTTCTACCACGCAGCGCATTCATCAGGGTACTTCTCAGAGTATTAGTGTCAACGCCTATCTTGCCGATTAAGAAGAGGCAGTTTCTTATTCGGGGCCCAGGGTTTATTGTACTTTGACCATACCGTGGCGGATTAGAGCCATTGGTCAAAGCTCTGACTTGTGATGCCTGCAAGGTCAAGTACCTTCGCTGAGTAGCCCCTTCATTCAGACCTTCTCCCTCTACCCCTCCCTTGCCTCTTCGATTCTTTGACTCCTTTCTGTTAGTATGCTTCATAGACAATAACCATACTATATCTATTATCTTTTCTACAAAAAGTAGCATGTAAACTTGAATGGCTGTTGTAGGGAAGTGCCGAAATGCTGTATATGTGCTCTTGCCTGACTACCTACTCTGGCTTACAATTGACAATTCTCTTCCGGTCTAGAACATCCCAGGTCTTTGTCTCCGGCTCTAATGCAAATACAATATGCTGTATCGCGACCCAAAAGAAAAGTCCATGCAATCCCAGGAAGTGACGCTAACCCAGCCCCAGTCAGAAGAATTTACCACCTTCTGATAGCCATTGCCCCTGGAATTGAATAGAGCTACGGGTGTAGAATACCGAGTCTTATCCATCATTTTGACCAAGACAGCTCTGTGTACTACGCAGAGGGTCATTAACTTCATACTCAGTTAGACAATACAAGAGCGAATAAGAAAACATTCCAAGTATACGAATAATAACAGCAGCATTCTTAAGGAACTCCGGCGAATCGGGCCTTCGAGAGAAATAAAAGTTAAGCTATCTAATCGGGCGCCGGCGCCTAGATAAGATATTTCGTGGGGCAGATCTGAATCCTTCATAATCACTAACCCCAAAGGCGTAACGCGGCGGGGTCGGTAGCTGATGAGCCGCTGAATAAGCAGTCAGCATTACGAAGTGAAGTCGAGTACTTAAACATGGGATCTGAACAGAGCGAATTGTTTTATTAAAATTCGTATAATTAATCTTACTCTCGTTCTTGTTACCATTATTCATCAACATGTCATCAGAACGTCGCTGGGATCAACGCCGCTTTCGGCTGGAGGAGTCGACATCCCTCAACGATGGCAAGCGCACCATTTTCATCGAAACCATGACTCCCGGCACCACTGTGCCGCCTCACTTTCATACACGTTTCTCAGAGACGTTTGATCTTATAGAAGGTTCTATCTCTGTCTACAAGAGCACTGATCCTGACCTGGAAGCCTTGGAGGCTTCTGCCCAGCCCCTAGAAGTCGGAAAGCCTCAGACTGTCACGCCAAACCTCTTTCACAAGTACCTCGTCAATGGTGACGGAGGCGCTGTCTTGCGAGTCATCCTTGAGCCGGGCGATGTGGATTTCGAGAGACTGTTGAAGATCATGAACGGACTGGATGCAGATGGCAAGCTGGCGAAGATGGGAGACAGCTTGGTGCTAATGGCAGTTGTCATGGAGCTCAGCGACGCTCACCTTATTGGTCCCGCGAAGGGTATGTTGGATGGCGTGAGAAGAGATCAGAAGGATGAGGTTGAGAAGCTCAAGGCTGAACTGTTGAAGGCATATGATACTGAAGAAGCGTTGCAGGGCCTTCTTCAAGGGCGGTAGTAGCAACATATAGATGTGTAAATTGAGCTATATCACACAACGACCGCTTTAATAGCCTCCAACATATCCTCCTCCTCAACTATCGTGGATGACTGTGATGACGGATCTGACGATTATTAACTCCTCTCAGAGTCAAATTACGCCATGGCTGACATTTTGCTTCACCCAAGAGAAGTTATAATAGCATCCCTCGGTTACAGAGGTATAGCGATTATACTATTGAAATAGTAGTCCAGTCAGCTTTAGTAAAATGAGGCAGTAATGAACATTGGACAGACTCCTCCTTTTCTTTCCAGGCAAAGTTTACCACTGAAGAGGCATGATGCAGTGCGTAGTCTTTCAAGTTCGAATCAAAAACCTGCTCCATTTCCGTAGTATCTTCAATACTTTCACATTCTCCCTCTCCAAAACCTTGATTGACAATAGTGTTGCTGATCATGGGTCCAAGCTGAGACGAACAACCGTAGTCCTCCTGCCACATCCCAACCCTAATGAACTCACGTTGTCCATCGTGGAAACTTTTCTCAAGAACAATTCCAAGGCCTTCAGTGTCGTCGGGACTAAGTTTTTGGGGTTCAGCTGCATTCTCCTTGCGCAGGTACAGTGGGGCGAGGAAGTAATGCGATGATGTCTTTATCGGCTTGCTGAACTTAATCTTTATTGCTCCGTACTCCCTTCTGTCGTTCTGACATGAAACAAGGTGTAAAGACTCGATACCGGTTGATTGTAACTCAATTTCGTGACTGAGCTTGAAATAGGAGGGTAGATCCTCTTCATCTACGAAGCCACCAAACTCCACTGGTATAAGTAGACACCTTATGTGCAGTATGGCACGCTCGATGGAAATAGAAGGGTCGGTGTCGACTGGTAGAAGTGTTTTTCTACTCAAAAGAGCAAGCGGTCTGAAGATAGTGGATTTGAAGGAGTTCGGATCCGTCCTTGAGATTCTTGGTCCTTCTGTACTGAGATACACTGATCCCGAGAAGCTCAGCCAAGACCATGAAGGTAACACCATAGGAGGTGAATCTGTCTGGGACGGCTTTGGTCTGTGCGGTCGATCTTTTGCTTGATCAGGCTCCCATAAAAGACCAGTCATCCAGCTCTCCAGCCATATACCGATGAAATAAGTATCACCACTCAGGGTTGAGATGACTTTTGCAAGCCCTGATATGGCAACGACCCTGTCCTGTTCGTATGTCAAGTCTTGTTGGCTGTACTGCTCAGCTATTAGACTCCAGGGGAGGCCTTCCTCATTCTCTGTCAGTGGCCTAAGTGGCAGGCGATTGCCAAAGCTTGAGAAACTTTCTGGACAGGCTTCTCTCGACATGCAGCTTCCGATGGAATCGCCCTGGCACTCCCAATATAGCTGATCACTACCAATGCAGAGGATGCGCCGTGAAAGATGCCTCTCTTGTAAGACCCAGGCTCGCTTGTTAATGGGGGACTTGTCCACATCAATGCGATAGTCATTGGTCTTGTTCTGTACAACAAAAGCAAAATCCTCCACTCTATTGTCGGTACTTTTGCAGGTGTTATCGTGATATGATTGCGGTGGAGGTCGAGCTATCCCCCGGGGTCGGCGCTTGCGAAAAGCAGTGGTTTCTCCGAATTCCCAGCATATCATGATAGTGAGAAACGCATACCGATATACATCCATCATCAAAGGTGCTTCGTGGCTGAAATCAGCGCCGTTGTCATCTTGGATGATACAAAGAGAATCGATCCAGAGATAGCGTACAGGTAGATTGCGACAGATCTCAACGATATCCCTATAGCTTTGGGGCAATAGGGCATCTGATTGGGGATTGAAGTACTCTGCATAGTCCTTCGTCAGAAGTGTTGGTGTATCCGTAGTCCAGCGATGAGAAAGCGCAACGTATGGAACCTTTTTCTGCTGAGTCTCAAAGAGACACCACGTTGTTGAGTCGCTGCCGCCAAGGTCTAATAGTCGAGTTGGCATTTTTGCTTCCGAGGGCGATGTGGCACGGTCGAGACATGATGAGTGCTCCGAGTCACAGATGCTGATCCAACGGTTCGCAGCTTGAGCAGCTGATTGAGGGGTGTGCTCAATGGGTATTGGGTTTACATCTTCGACCTCTACTTTGGGACTTTATAAGCTTGAACGGATGGCTTGTGAAGCTTAGATCTTCAACTTACCTTTATAGAACTCTTTGTTTGTCTTCCAGATATTGAGGAGCAATGATGGCACCCTTAATCCTTGGCCCTCTATCGTGATAATGATAAGATATGAGGAATCTATAGGTTTATAGGTCGCCCTTGTGATATCCGCTCGGAAGTCTTCAATATTTCCATCAGCTTGTGAGACGATGGGTGAGGATCGGATGTTCCGCCAGATTGTCCAGCACACGGGACAATCGGCCTCCAGAGACGCCTTAAAAGTCTTCCATGATGAGTGCAGAAGAAGGTGACCTTTCGGGAGCCGCGGGTTAATGAAGACAATGGACTTGGACGGGGAACCTTCATTAGTATCTCCAGTGCCACCTGACGAGGGGAAGTCGGGTAAGGCTTTTTGGCAGGGTGTGCAGAGACTCATTGCAACGAAAACATGGTACTCAAACTTTATTTTTGACTTTAAAGGCCTCTTTATGGCTGATAATAGTGTAACGAAATGGCATGATCTGATACATGCATCGCTGTCTTGATTGGTAGAATGAGGTACTGTTTTTTAGGCGCGCGCTTATCAGAAAAAATTGTATTATTGGTCCGGTTTGACCTCAAGATTGGTGTTCTTGGTAAAAGGTGCATAGATATTTTATCACTATTAGATTAATTTGTTAAGTTGCTCAAGACATGTTTGCTTATTATTTAGTTCTGTGGTAGTTGTAATATTGCTCTTATATGCGAAAGACTTTCCATTCTCACTTAAGCAAGAACCCCTCACGTCTCACCTTCTGAGCTTTATCGATAAGGCAAGAGAGTGGGCAAGCCTCTGGCCAATCAAGCCTTTCCAGTCTGAATGCACTGAATGCGAGCATGTGGCACGAACTGCACGGGAATAACGTGTCAAGCTGCGATATGTCCGAATCGGCCGAGTGCGTTACAGAGGATTGCCTACCCTGTATGGTGACACTGAGGACTTAATTGGCTGAATATTATGTGATTCTACGTGGCAGATCAATTGTTACTAAGGGCTGCTGTCGGTTGCCAATTATTCCAGCAATGAAAATGGTATGCAAATGATCTGAAACTGTCAACAATCGAGATCGACACTGACAATGCGTTTTCGCGAGCAGCACTTCGTAAACCCACAAAAACCACGCGACAGGAAGAGCAAGCATTATTGTCTGGGTCTGATCTGCGCTCCCCATTGGGCCCATTCTTTAAGCATAAATAAGTTTTATTCTCTGATCAGAATACCAATACGAATATTCATAAACCATCTTGTAGACTCTTTCACTATCGCCTTGGTATAACAGCCAAGCAACCTGACAGCCACGATCTCTCTCTATCACGAACTTCGGATCATGAAATTTCATCCCATCTCCTCTCCATGCAAAGTCATCCACATGCCTGAGCCTCGGATGCATCAATCCAACACCAGCCCTGTCATTTCAAGCCATCCTCCCATGCCGGCACGATTCCGCATCACCGACTCTCCCCCGGACAACACGATAAAAACAGCATAGCGCTCTCCCAAGCATGTCAGCTGAAACCCCGCACCAGCCCAAGACACAAATCCGGCAAACAACCCGACCTAAACCCATGCTAACGATACGCGGGTTGCCCTTCTCCGCATTAGCTTGGCATTCCTGTCATACCGTTAACACCTAGCTTAAGAACGCCGTCTTGCGCTCCAATCATGAAGAAGCGCTTCTATGGGCGATGTCACGCGCTGTTAATGGGCTGCTCCCTTAGCGTGTCTTCGGCATTGTTTCGTGTTTTTTCGCGAGGCAGGCGAGGTTGCAGTCTTGCGTGCCCCCATTCCCCATGGGGACTTTTTACGCTAAATGCATTGAGTTCTGGGGATATGACTCTGGAAACGTCAGCCATTGGAGCGCGAGAAGGGCAATGCTACTCTGAAGCTCCAAGCTTCTGGGTCGTTGATGAAAAGTTTTAAAAGCTCTTCAAATCCACCCTCCTGTCGATCACTTCATTCTCCATCATTGTCTGCATACTCAGTCATCATGAAGCCCAAGGTTTACCAGTTCCTCGTCGGAGTGTTTGCGTCCTTTGGATCGCTGCTCTTTGGCTATGATTTGGGTGTTATCGCCCAGGTCATTGCGTCGCCATCTTATCACCGGGAGTTCAACACTAGCGACACAGCTGCCGATACGTAAGTCGCCAATCTCCTCATTGAGACCGTTTAGGTACTGACTTTTGCAGCGGTGCTGTAGTTGCGCTCTTCACCGCCGGTGCCTTCTTCGGTGCCATGTTCGCTGGACCTACTACCGAATACACCGGCCGACGATGGACTATCACCATTGGTTCTATAATCTTCACTCTTGGAGGTGCTCTCCAGACTGGAGCCCCCAAGATCTCATACCTTATGGCTGGCCGCTTCCTGGCCGGTCTTGGTGTCGGTTTCTTGACCATGATCATTCCTCTATACCAAGCCGAGATCGCACATCCTTCCATCCGAGGCAGAGTCACAGCTCTCCAACAATTCATGTTGGGAATCGGAGCCCTCGTCGCTTCGTGGACCGGCTGGGGCACATTCACCAACTACTCCGACAACCGACAGTGGCGAATCCCCCTCGGCATCCAGATCATCCCGGCCATCATCCTCGGCGCCCTCATCTTCGTGTTCCCAGAGTCTCCCCGCTGGCTCATGGACCAGGGTAAGCAGGATGAGGCACTCAAGACCCTTGCCCGCCTCCACTCCAACGGCAACGTCGATGACGCCTGGGTCCGCGCGGAGATCGAGCAGATTCAGGAAAGCATTGCCGATGAGCATGCCAATGGCGCCAAGTCGTATCTTGAGCTCTTCAGGGATGTTTCTTGCTTCCGTCGTCTTTTGATTGCGTGCGGTCTTCAGGCTTCGATTCAGATGACCGGTGTTTCCGCCATCCAGTACTACTCTGTTACTATTTATGGACAGGCTGGTATCAACGCTGCTGATACCCTCAAGTATCAGGCCATCAACTCTATTATTGCCTTGATTGCTCAGGCTCTCTGTATCGTCTATATCGATCGATTCGGTCGTCGATGGACCCTTATCTGGGGTAACCTGTTCAACATGCTTACCTTCATCATCGCCACCATCATGCTGGTTGTCTATCCTCCCGGTTCCGGTAGCGCTGCTCAGGGTTGGGGTTTCATTATTGTTACCTGGGCGTACAACTTCTCGTTCTCAGCCACTTGCGGACCTCTTTCTTGGATCATCCCCGCCGAGATCTTCGACACCCGTACTCGAGCCAAGGGTGTTTCTCTTGCTACCATGACCTCATTCGCCTTCAACACCATGATCGGTCAAGTCACTGGTATTGCGATGGGTGCTGTTGGCTGGAAGTATTACCTTCTCTTCGTCATTTGCAACTTCACCAACGCTCTTTGCGTCTGGGCTTTCATTCCTGAGACCAAGCAGCTTCCTCTGGAGGAGATGAACTATCTCTTCACCAATGCTCCTTGGTTCATTCCTTTCGTCGACAAGAGCGAGTATACTGCAAACCTGCAGGCAGATCTTGCTCGCAGGGCTGAGGCTATTGATGAGAAGCTTGCTGCTCAGCATGAGACTGGAGAGCACGTTGACAAGATCTAATGTTCAGTGTCGGACGGATTGAAAAGTTAGACTCAGCTCTTGGCTTTCACACAGCTAAGATTGGCAGTAGATGTATCCATCATACAATATAATCTATTATTAATGCTTTATGCTTATCGTGATGCTATGGTAAACTGTCGCGGCTTAAATGCCGTTTCACCTCCTCCGCTTTATCAGCCCCAATAAATTTCCAAGCACCACCCGTCTTTGTAAAATCAAGTATACTTAATTTCTCAGGAACCTTTGACACCAAGGACTCAAGCGTCTCGTCACCATTGGGTATTTGAGTAAAGAACAGGCGGTTCCATTTCTTACCCGTCCTCTCCTCTTCAACTCGTCGCCTTCTTTGCGACTCTTCCAATGTGCTCTTGTGAGCATATACCTTTTCGATGTTGTGTTGCTTGATAGCTTGCGTAACTTTAAACCAAGCCCGACGTGACTCCCATGGCGTTTGCTCCTCTACGGGCGCGACCTTGAGAGGTGAGATTGGGATCTTGTCGACGTGGAATTCCTCGAGGGTCGTCTTTGAAGAGTCTTCAACTTTTATCTCGCCAGTCCATTGGCCTGTAATGCGATATAGCGGATGATTCTTGTCATTCGGAGCAAATACTTCAGCGACGACCTGATTCTTCTGACCATACCCAAGTCTTCCTTTGCCGTGAAATCCGATTTTCGTCAAGTAGCCGTTCGAGCTGGCAATGTAAGCTGGACCCTCCATCTCTGGATATGGGTTCCCGGTCGTCACGCCCTTGACCAATATTGTTGGCATCGTCATGAGACTTTGCTCATCATGCTTATGGTCTTGGATAATTGCACATCCTGTTGGACGTACGGTGACGCCATTGACCAGGCTGAAGGATGTTTCCTGACCCGCGAAGCCAATCGATGACATACCACGCTCTTTGTTATATACAGAGCATGCTGTGACAGGCGGATGGTGCGATACTTGCTCAATGACCAGTTCCGATTTCGAACCAGACTTGTCGGAAAATGAGCCGAGGAACAGTTCACCAAGGAACGGGTTCAATGGCTTCTTGGCCGCATCCGGGGAATCCGCATTGACGAGCTGCTTGAGACTGCAGATGTAATTCTTTGCCAGTAAGAGGGCCCTCACTCCAGCATCAGGTTCATCTGCAGGTTGAAGAAAGAGATCATGATGACAAGCCCAAGCAGCGGGAATCTCAATGGCTGATCTGGGAGCGAGGATGAAAGGAGGGGCAGTGACGTTTGACAGGTCCCCTTTGACAGCGGCGAAATAAGTGAGCACGTCTTTTAGACGGAAAAGATTTCCGGAATCGGTACCGACGTCAGCCATTGATCTTGGAGAGAATGGTGGTGTTTCTGGTGGTGATGCCAAGGATTTATCTGGTTCGTTAGATTGATGCATTCTCTATAACAAAAACAGCTTGAACAATGGGTTATTAAGATGAATTGAAAGAAGTCTCATGGAAATAACGGGATCTGAGATTAGGTACGAGATCCTGATGGTCAGGGTCTTGACGTCATTGACATTGGCGTACGTATCGAGAAACGGTTAACGGCACAGCCCACTATCGCACTCGCTAAGAAAGAAGCGAGTTAGCCAATCACATGCTAGAGAATTGGGTTTGGCCCGCTATATGCGCTGGAGGAGGCATTATTTCATATGCCAGTCTTCTACCCTACGTAGTGACACTTTCTCAAACATGTGTAATTCGTCACACAGCCTCATTTACGCGCAAACAGAGGCAATTTTGGTTCCTCGCCAATACGATACCCTGGCCTAACTATACACTGCCCAGCCAGAGCCAAAATACCTGCAGGCACTGTCACTGCCTCGTCACTCTTGACGTAGTCCACGCGTCTCAGATCACAGGTTGACTTCTGAGATATTAGATTGTTGCTAGAAACATGTCATACCTGCGCTTCGCTGCAAGCCTAGCGACTAGTGATGGTCGAGGCTATTTAGCCTCAAATATGCTTGGCAGGCTCAAGAATGTGTCGACGAGAGAGATGTCTGGATTACCCCATGCGTATGCGACGGAACCGATGTGTGTTGTTGCTGTCACCGCGAATACAGACATGTAAGCGGGTCAGAGAGTGCTGAGATCGCGGGCTCCATATCGGTCCTTTCTATTCTCGCCCTGCTATTGGCACTTCCACTTTCTCAGTCCAGCCGCGATCGCTGTGAGGAGCATGTTAAAGAGAGGGGATGAAACCTACCACAGAAGAGACCAATCTTGTCAACCTTGGACATGAGGAGTTGGCGCCAGCGACAGAATAATCGGGATAAAAGCAGCCCACAGTGATAGTAGGCACGACTGACTGAGCTACTGTCAGATGCACAGCACGACTGGGAGGACTGTCTAATACAGACAGAGTGATGGAGACATGTCACACGAGCAAGGTCCAGGATTTGCATAGCTGCAGCACATAACTGAGGCATGGCCAACGGTATTTATATGGTTTCCAAGCTGATGAACTTCAAATGCGTAGATCAGAAGTGTTGAGATGGGCTGAGGGAGGAAATCGGATATGCGAACGTGCGACGAAAGATCTTCATTGTATGCGGGCACTTCAACCACAGTTACTAGCAAGTTGTGGAGATTCGAAGATCTGCTACAAGCACTGAGTTCCTCCATTGGAACGAAGTGTCTGGGTAGTAGCAAGCAGTGGAGGTGCTATGGCGCAGATGAATCCGCTTCGGCCACAGGTAGAAAGACTGAAGTTGATGGGGTGAGCAGGTAACTCATTATGAAAAGGGATCTTGTTGTACCAAAATAACTTAGGAAGCGGCCCAGAGCCTTTAGAGTGCCCTGACCACTAGATAACAAGCCAAATGGCGTGACCTTGGCTAACCCCGAGACATATACACATTCCGTTTACCAAGTTGTAGTCTTGTCACCTCGAGAAATAACTCTTCCTATTAACTATACAGTTATAGATAGAAGTGCTTTGATTATTGAAATAATCAGCATTAAGAAATGCACTCAAAACGCGATACCGACAGAACTAATAGATAACCACGCCTCAACCGTCTCAAATTCGACCTCGATTGAGACCGAAATCCCTCCCCCGCTGTGAAGAATCTTCCTAGAAGACATAGAAACGGTAAAAGTCTCAGTCTTTCCAAGATTCCCCTCCTCAAACACGTTTGCGCTGCCAAGGTACACCATCACAGTTTTGATAGTTGCAGATTGCGACGTAAAATCGACCATAAGATTGTCTAGACACTCGCCTGAAGTGCCACCAGGCATGGGGAAATGAATCCAACCGGACAGCTCAGTGGCAGATCTGGGTTTCATGGTTGTACTGCCTCGGGTGTAGGTTATGATAAAAGAGGAGGTGACAGCACTGTTGCCGCTGGCAGAAATTACAGTAGTCATCGTAACTTGCTGTTTTTGTATTAGCTGTCTAGTGTATGTTAGCAGTTGTGAATGCTCTGGTTGTCTTACTCCAATACACTAGGGTTTCTTATTAAAAGAAATAAACTAGAGATGTAAAGTAAAGCTGATATATTTATCTCATGGCTTTCTGAGACTTTATGTAATATTTCTAGCTTATATTAATATACTTAAGGTAAAATCCCTCTTTCAATCTTAATTACCGCAGCAAACTCCGCAGCAGTTATACGTGGCCTCTTCTTAAAGGCTGCAGCGCAACAAGCCATGCATCTAAGTTCAGCTTGCACTTATTATCACTCCTCGCTTATGCACAAAAGCAGACGAGTAAGAAATGTGGCTGATTATATAGCACAATAGATAGCTGAAACTCTTGATTTGGCCTAGCGTTATCACCGAGGTTAAACAGGTGGAAGGCCTTGAGACTGCTGCTCTTCCCGGAGGTAGACCAAAGTCATTTGCTCGTTTGCTGTTGTCTTGTTTAATTGAAGGCCTAACCAGACATTCAAGTTTCAGAAATCGCCCTCAACCTCGGTTAATTCCTGAGAGGGAGATTTGCTTCTTCTCTTGGCGTTTGGGGTTCAAAGAAAAGTAGTGGAGCAATCATGCGTTTTAATATAAACCAAACATGACCTATCGTAGGGGCGTGAACATACGCGCAGTTTTACTTGATCTGGAAATATTCGCGAATAGTTGTCATAGTCGCGGACGAGAAACCGAGCAGGGTCCGCCAGTCGCAACTATCTTACGCAGTGATCAATGATAGTCTTGCCATTAATAATTCGCCGCAACATATTGAGCCGAGGATCTCGGCACTGGCTATGCTTTGATGCTTCCGTTTCTGCCTCTTTTCTTCTTTCGTCGGAGTTGAGGTTAATAACTAGTGTAGATGAAACGAAGATGGGCAAAGGCGAGTGCCCTGGAGGCAAGAAGCGTGAAGACACGGCTGTATAAGACACGGTTTGGTGCCCTGCTTCATCAATGAAAAGTCACTGGTTCAACAGGTTCGACATTACTCTTGTTCCCTTCCTGCCTATTACAGCACGGCTTTATCATTCGCTATGAAGTTCTCTGCATCGATTGCCATCGCCAGTGCGGTCGCGCACACGCTTTCCCATCCCCAGTTCCTATCCACCCGCGAGTTTGTTCCTCAGGAGTGGATTGCCCCAGCTTCTGATGCCTGTGAGTTCCCATGATGGAAATCAGTCCCAGCATCTCTGCAATCTCAATTCCTTGTACTGATTTGATGAAGCTCGCGGTCCGTGTCCCGGACTCAACACTTTGGCCAACCATGGGTACATTCCCCGCGACGGCAAGAACATCACCCTTGATATCCTCAAGGACGGAATGCTTACAGGTTACAATATTGAGCACCTCGATGCTGTTATTCTTTTCACACAGGCTATCAAGACTAGTCACAAGTACCCCAACACCCGTAGCTTCGATTTGGCTGACCTCGGTCGCCACAACATCCTCGAGCATGACATTTCTTTGAGGTATGTCATGCAATCATGCTATTTCAATCAGTACTAACCCTCGCTGCTCAGCCGCTCTGACGCTTTCTTTGCTGATCCGAATCCGTTCAACGAGACCGTCTGGGCCGAGTCACTTACCTACTTCCCCGACGATCTGATGACAGTCGAGCAAGTCGCCAAGGCGAGAATGGGCCGCTTAGCAACATCCAAGAAGACCAACCCTGAGCACTCTCTGTCTAAGCTAGCTGATGGTTTCAGCTGGGGCGAGATGGCATCCTTCTTTGAGATCATGGCTGATGGCACCACCGGCACGGTGGAGAAGAAGTTTATTGAGTACTGGTTGAGTAAGTTTCCTTGTATTTCTTACTACGCTGAGGCTAACGAGGTATCTCTGCTGCAGAGAACGAGCGCATGCCGACGGAAATTGGATGGCAGCGACGAACTACGACCATGCGAGGCAGTGAGCGTATCGAGTTTACTAGAAAGCTCATGCAGGCTGCTGGTGTTGCCCGTCGTGACATCAAGAGTGATGCCTACGGTCGTAGACTGGTTCTGTAGAATGGCTGGTGTTGGCACGTGGTCGCAGGACGTTCGCATTAGTTGAACGAGGGCTGGTTTACCCCTAACTCAATTGGTATACGATTAGTGAGAGTGGCTACGTAGCACACGAATTACTCAGTGGGCGTGGCTTTCTGTATATACTATGTTTACTTTCTCTTATTTTCCTTCTACTAGTATAGATAGCGATTCATAAACCGCGCTTTATACCCGCTTTCGAGATTTAACTATTGCAGTTGTGTTATCCCACTTCACGTTCCCTGTCATTACAGGACAGGGATCATTGTCGCGAATGGTGTAGCTCGGTATAGAATACGGTCACGAATCAACACACCGCACTGTGTCAAGAGGTTACAGCGCGTAAAAAATCGATAGTCTAGATGCAGGTGAGCGTTTTGGGCATAGCAGCCGTGAAACTTGCACTGTAGCATGTCCACAGTAAAGGTGGAGCAACTGTCAACATTCGGCAACAGGGTCCTCAAAATCTCAATATTGCACAAGTTCAGTTTGAGGACTATGGACAGATTGACTTGAATTCATCCTACTGTGTGCTAATCACTATCTTCAATTTGCCTGAATGACTCTGAACCATGGCTGCTACCATTCTCCACGTTATCTACGCTGGTCGTGGCGATGCCATGATTCTCGAATACAATGACTGGCAAACCGGCAATCCAAGTTTTATCCTCGTTGATGGCGGCCCCAAGAATTACGTCGCCTATCAGAATCGAGAAGCTCCCTATCATCGATATCTTTCGTCTGCCTGCCGGAAGATCATGGGTCAGAACAGCACTTTCGCTGGTATGATCTTTTCACATCCCGACGAGGATCATTATGGCGGCTATCTGCACGCTTTAAAACGCGACCCGGTTCCCACCCAGAGCGTGTTTATCCCAAACGTCGAGTCTGATCAGGACAATTCCAATAAGCCAATAGCAGACATGTGCACCAGAGCCGGGTTACGAAGAGGAGTTTTGCATCACCAGGATGCGCTATACCTGATCCCCCCAGTTAAAGCCATATACCCCCCAAGACAATGTATTGTTTGGTACCGCGGAAATACAGGTCGTCCCGAGGGTCATGACCTTTATTACAATGAGAACCTCTCAACTAATAAACGCAGCATTCTTATGTACACCGTAACACCCAATTCGAACGGAGAGATAGGAATATTCTTCACAGGAGACAATCATGCCGACATCATTTCTGCACAAATGGAGGCTGGGCTACCATCTAGAACCCCAAGATTTGCAGTCTACAAGATACAACACCACGGATCGCTTAAGGATAACATGAAACAATTCTCCGAACCGAAATACTCGGACGACGTCAAGGCTTTATGCTTCCTCTACTTCCTTCTCAAGGTTAAGCACAGAACTGCATATCTACCCCACAAGAAAGACGTAATAGGCGCGATCGAACACGCCGCCGATCACTTGTGGAAGAAGATTTTGCCAAAGGAAATTACGAATTCCTATTTTACTCTGCTTGAAACTACCGTCAAACAGATCAAGACAAAAACATTGGAAAACTTGATTCCGCCGGCAGAGAACGAGGATAAGCTCTTGATTGACCTAACTCTCGGTGCCGATGAGGACTTACGAAAGGCCAAGGGTTTTGTGGACAAGCTTAACCAACAGCTTGACAACCTTAGGAGTATTCACCGGGACATCTGGATCGCCTTTCGGAAACAGCATACCACTGACGAATTCCTGACATATATGCATGTTCGCTGCGTTAAAAAGTTCTATTCAACCTTCGCGGCAGATGTATATGTCGTCAGCGCCAATCGAACTAACGGGCACCCTCGATCTGAAGTACTTGTTGGACTTGCTCTCGCAGTTAAGGAGCAGAAACGCAAGGCCCGATTATACGTTACCAGCGGTAAGAGCATCGATATTGGCCAGATAACCAAGATCTTACACCTTGTTGACGGGGGCTCGGTCACTGAACTGTTCTGTGGACAATTCCTAAAGATCTCCTATCTGAGCCGCGGTTCATACATGTCCCTGGAAGGGGACTATCAGGATGTGCCGATGACCAAGCGTGATATTGGAAACATGACTGAGGAGATCGAGTTCTCTAATAACTCCCAGAAGATTTACAGAGACAGGCTGAATGTCTTGCTCGAGCGGACGGACCCTGGTCGTGTCTTGAGCACCAAGAAATATCAACTAAGGTATTTTATGAACAAGTCATGGCGGTATCTGTATCTCAAGCTTGTGAACGGGGAAATGAAATGGAGCATCGAGAGAAACCAACGGTTCATATGGATCGACACGCAGGGTCTCAACATTAACAGAAACCAAGAATTCCAGATAAGATGCCGAGATCAGAGGTTTGGTATCGGTTCTAGGACATTTCAATGTTCATGGGCAAGAACTACCGTCGCGGGGGATGTGTACTACATTGCAGATCCTATGTCGGGCGAGAAATTGCATCATGTCCCTGGCGGAGGTATTGACTTTACCACCAATATTCACAACGAGACTCTGGCTGCAGCCCGTCTCGAACTTGCTCCAACACAGTTCTTACCTGAGACGAATTCTCTTCAAACGGCACTCTCTGGGGATCTGGAAGACGATACAAACCTTATTGAAGCCCTTCCACCGCCCCGATTTAACGTTGCAATGGAAGCAGCGGCCTCTAGCACTCACCATTCACTGCGCGAGGCATTGGGGATTCTCAACGACCCGATCAAAGACAAACCGAAACCCAATATGATAGAGATCCTGAGCTGCTTATACCGAGACCATGATACGTTGACTACCGCCCTTCGGAGACTCCCCGAGGCGCTATTAAAGATTGGGCTAGCCACTTTCGAAGTCGATTTCGATGAGTCTACCGCTACCATCGACTCACATCCCCTTGAAGGGAAGGTCATTGGGAGTGCTGTCTTGCATCGAGCAAAGGACGAAGCAGGAAAAGGTAATGCTGTTGATGTCGAAATGGCTGCATTCGAGTTTCAGCTCAGGGACATTGTTGTCAAGGTTGACAAGTGTTGTTCCCCACAGGTGAATCTCACTGTCGAATCCGAAGCGACTTTGAAGGAAAAAGGTATTGACTTCAAGATGGCCTGGAAGGCGTCAGAGGAGGAGACCGTGATCTCTTTCAGTTCCAGCGTGATCGCCATCAAGGATCTCGTCATCGCTCTCGTCGGCACAAAATTCGACCCTGAGGAAATTCTACAGGGAGATATTCCCCTCATGGGCAACTCCTCGGACGGCACCTCTGCACCGTCCATCAAAGGCCTGGAGGCGGGATCAATGTCCGAGATAGGGTTCTGTCTCAGACAGCCGATTGATCTGGTCGACACGTACAACTTGGCCGATATCTGGGTGCGCACCAAGTCGTCAGATTGGCAGAACTTCTTGCCGGCGCCCAATAACTTTAAGGACATTGAGGGTGGAGTCTTGATCCGTATACTTGACCCCTTACACCTGAAAACATCGAGGATCACTACCAGTATCCAATTATCTATGCCGCTCTTAAGCAATTCCAAGAGGAGTATCACGGCACAGTTTGACGCTATACCTTTAGCCAGAGCTGGTGACTACGATTATCGATTCCAGATTACCTCTGCTGATCACGGAGTCACGGTTACTGATATCGTTGACGCTATCGGTCTCACCAATGTTTCAGAGCAGATCGAGGCAATACCTGTGTTGGACCGTGCTTTCAAGGCAGTAGAAGTCAAAGAGGCCGGGTTTTCAATAGTCAAGGTGCAGAGCAAATGGGGATTTCTCGAGTGGGACTTTGACCTCTGTATTCCCTTCTTTGATCTCATTCCTGGATCTCTGTCGTTGGTAGACGCTGTGATAAGGGTCGAGTGGCATGGAGATGGGGATATGCAGGCGAAGGGTGAAGCTACCTTCCGAAGCGAAAGACTTGAGAAAGAGGCACAAGTCTCACTTAGGCTTCCAACGGCAAGGGAACTTGGGTACATCATCTTCTCATCTCCTGATGCCATCAGCCTAGATGATGTTTTTGATATCTTCGGGCTCGGAACTCTGCCAAACATACCGTTTCTTAGTGGAAACAACGCAATGGAGTTGGCGTACTGCGATGCAAAGTTTGAACAGGTTGAAAAAGGAAAGATTTCCATCCGTTCATCGACCATCAAGTTTCAGAGGGAAGAGCTGGAAGTTAAAGACTTCAAGCTTCAAGATTTAGAGTTCTCATTATCGTGGCAAAGTGGACAAAAAAGGGATGGAGAGGGCAAGGCCGAGTCGATCATATCCTTTCAAGTATCAGCTTTGCTCCCGATAAAGAACATCAAATCTATGATGTTGGTGAAGTACGATGGCGAGAAAAAGGTGTTGACGGCTTCTATCACACCCGTCCAAGGCTTTCCCATGAAGGTTTCAGACTTGTTGAGCCTTCTGATTCCTGGAGTCGATAGTGTGCTCCACGCGAGGCTCGGCGAACTGGAGATCAAGATCGTGGAGATGTCTCTAGATGTCACCACGGGCTCCCCGTCTTCGTTCAAACTAGAGATGAGGGACGATGCAGCTCTTCGACTCCCGTCAGCTACAGACGCCAAGTCCTTTACTGTGGGCTCAGTGAGAGTAGAGTATGCCAAAGATACGAGCAAGCTAGATGTGTTTGCTGCGCTGGTGATTGAAGGCATCAAAACAAACATTAGCCTTGTGACCTCTACAAACTCACCATCCGCGGAGGGTTCAGTCGAATTCGGTATAAGTTTAGAGAAGGGCGAGAAGGAGCTTGGGCTATTGGCTCTCCTTGCCGCAGTGGGAATTAACAACGTCGAGATACCACGGCCAGAAGGATGTCCAGAGTTTACCATTGGTACGGCGAGTATCAAGGGCAAATTTGTTGATAAGGACCAGTCTGGTCTTAAGTTTGCACAGCTAAACGTGCACATCGAGGTAGCGAGAGTCTCAATGTCTGATTGGGATATGTCTATGGACTGCATCCACCTTGACGTTGCCTACAACAAGTCTCTTGCTGATAAAGCGTTCTCAGCATTGGTCTCGGGCAAGCTTACAATTGCAGATTCTGCAGAGATGACGATCAATTATGTTGGCTCAAAGGATGTTTTGGAGCTCCAAGCCAGCCTGAGTTTCGTCAAGGAGGAAAAGGCCAAGGTAAAGTCGATCTTGGAGTGGCTTACTATCGAGTCCATCGAAGATTCTCTACCTTCCTTCATTGCGGAGGCAGCGATTGATGTAAGGGCGTCAAACCTTGGAATGTCACTTAGCCGCCACAAGGGAGAGGGAAGTTCTACCATTACAGTGTCCTTGAGCTTCACCGTGGAATCTGTAACGGTTCAACTTGCAAGAACAAGAACTCGGCCGGATGGCGTAAAGAAGGAGGACAAACTGCCATGGAAGACAGTCCTCAGACTTGCAGTCAACACACTTCCACGACCACCGCCGTTACCTCTGATCGGCCAGATGGAACAGCCTTTCTCTACTCAGATCTACTGGACCAACAGTGACATCACGATCCCCGAGGTTGAAAAGTTGAACAGCCTCGCTACTTTCAGTCAGCAGAAGCTCCTCCTCTCTAGTCGAGCAGCAGACAATTCTGCTTTCGGTCAGGGCTTATCATTTTTGCTGCTGAACAATGACAGTATCATTCTTGCCTCCAAGCCTAAGAAAGCCAGGAAGACAGAGGGTCCTTCTGGCAAGGCGATGCTGGTTCTGGAGGAAGAAAGCCCGGAGTCTACAGAGACAACAAAGTTCGACAAGAGGGTGAATGGTGTTAGTATCACAAACGTTGGGCTTGACTACGATGCTAAGGGGCAGAAGATCAAAGTCAAGTTCACAGCTCGTATGACCATTGGCCCGATGGATGGCGAATTGATCAACTTCAGCATGATCATCAAGCTACCACGAGGCGAAAGTATAGACTTGAGTGATTGGAAGAATCTGGACATCGGAATGGGTCTCGACGGACTGTCCCTCGCAATGACAGGCTCCAACCTCGATGTCGCTGGCACTTTGCACCGCATCAAGGTCGAAGGGGAGGACATCTCCATTGCAGGCTTTGAAGGTGGAGTCAGTGTCAAGCTCAAGAAGTACCAATTCGTCGGTTTTGGCTCTTACAAGACCATTAAAACCAACCAGGAGGAGTTTGTGTCTCTCATGGCCTACGCAATGCTACAGGGCCCGATGCTCAAAACAGGTCTTGTTGAACTGACCAGCATCAGCGGCGGCTTTGGATTCGGTTCGAAGCTCGAGATACCATCTATTACTGAGATTCACAAATTCCCGCTGCTTATAGATCCTGAAGCTGATCCGATGGTCATGTTTGGCAGACTTCGAGGGACAGGTGGCAAGAAGTACATGACTGAGACGAATGGCGCAAACTGGGTCGCTGCTGGCGTTACGGGCACGGCTTGTGAAATCATCGACGTTAAAGCTGTCCTGACTATCCCACTGGATCCTAGCGCCGGTGAGTTGGCTGTCGTTGGTACAGCGTCTGCACAGTTCCCCCGAGATGCAAAACCTGGCAAGGCAATTGCAGCAATCAAGATCAATTTTCAAGGCAGTATCGACATGTCTCGCGGCTCTATGCTTTTCGAAGGAAGGATTGCTGATGGGTCATTCATCCTATTTGATGACTGCGTTCTCACAGGAGGATTTGCTGTTGGAGCGTGGTTCGGCACGAGCCCACAGGCTGGAGATTGGTGTATCAGCATTGGCGGCTGGCATCCAGCATATCAACCGCCATCCCATTATCCCAGTGCACCTCCGCGCATGAGACTTCAGTGGAGCTATGGAGATAACAAGGAGCTATCGCTAGACGGTCAAGCTTACGCTGCAGTGACTCCAGATGCGCTCATGGCTGGACTGGCTGTTAGTGCTAGCTACAAGAGCGGCCGGTGCGGTGCACACTTTGACTTCCGGGTTGACCTGATTCTTTGGTTACACCCAATACACTATGACGCCCGTTTCTTTATATCAGCGGGTTTATCGTATGAGGCGAACGCTCTGATCATGACTGTGCCCCTGAAGATTACTCTGAGCGCTGAATTACACATCAGCGGACCGCCGTTTGGCGGTGAAGTTTTCTTCGACTGGACAGTTGTCTCATTCAGTGTGAAGTTTGGTGAGCGGCAGATAAAGTTGGAGAAGTTAGGTTTCCACGAGTTCCTTGATGTTGTTCACAGGAAGTCGGAGAAAGATCATGTGCTGTCGCTGGAGTCTGGAGCTATAGCACCTAGCAAAGTTCCAATTACTGCACAGACTCCAGACTCGGCGTGGGTCGTACGTGGGGGCTCATTTGCGTTCAGTGTCACATCGCGCGTGCCTACGAAGAAGATCAAGTTCTTGAGTGCCTTGGGCCCAGAGAGAGAGGTTAGTGGCCGTATTCTTGCCCGACCTATGCAGCTCCCAGATGGCTCCTCAGGGTTAAGAGCCGACATGGAAGTGTCTATCTTCAAGATGAACGAGCATGGTGATGAAGAGGTCAAAGACTTTACTTTTGAAGCTATCAATGAGCAACTTCCTGCCTCGCTTTGGGGCCCATTTGACGATGATGCCAACGGCATGCTTGGCGGTGCCTCCCGTGAGAGCACTGTATCACACGTCACGGGTCTACGGATCCAGGCTCCCGCGTCCAAATTGTCAGAGCATAACCCTCCGATCGTCTATTTCAGTACATTGACTGAGTCCAATGCTGTCACAAAGTATCTGGAGACGGATGATGAGAGGGATGTTAGTTTGGATGCAAAACCTAGAGCGAATCAGATGGGACAGGACAACGGGAAGGTGGACTTGGACCTTGCCACCGAAGCACTTCTGGGTAGCAGCAAGGATGGCTTGATTATTGATATCAAGGCTAGAAACGAGCGTAGAGCGGCCATCTTGGGGCAATGGGCAGGACTAAGAAAGCTCAAGGGGTCGGATGGTATCAAGAGCGACGTTCCGTTGAGGTTCGCCAAAGGGATCGACCATTTCTCGCATGTTGTTCCTAGAGTCACTCTAAATTAGGACACGCAGGACAGTATTGAAGAATCGAACTGTCTTGTGTTCACTTAGATATATCACCCCAGTAGCCAGCACCAATCACCCCGTCATCGATCTTCATTGCAATAACAGGCTTTCCGTACAAAACGCCAACTCCAAGAGGGCTTCCCTGTCTCACACCACGATTTGTAGAGAGCTGAACAGCGTATTCCCCATCGCCCCCCATCATCAACTGCCCATGTTCATTCTGCCATAAGACCATGGTTTTCTCCCCAGGACCGATCTTCACGGCCTCAATACCAGAATTCAGCCGAACCTTGGTTGCTTTCTCTCCAAAGGCTTCCTTTTCGTCGTGCTCGTCGTATGGTTGGTTATGCTCCACTGTAATGACTGCAGTGTCGACAAATATCTGCTCATCCTCGGTGACGTAGTAGACGCTAAAGTAACCCTCATCATCATGGAGTATGGCTGAGATGCGTGAATCAAGCCATGCTACATCTGTTTCCCCTTCAACTTCCCATATATCGACCCATTGACTTGCCCAATTCTGTCTTTTTCCACCTATCGTCCCTCGGGGTGTTACCCAAACAATTACATCTGTCCAGTAGAGTGTATCTTGGTCAGATCGTATGTAATCTGCAACTGCTGATAAGTTGCTGTAATCGTAAGCACTTCCGACGTCGGCGATTGTAATAACTGAGTCAGGGCCCTCCCAGCTCCTCGTCGTTTGCATGTATTTTATGCATCCATCAGGTCCAACACAGTACAAATTGATCTTTCCGGCCTTGTCAGTGTTTCTTGGCCCAATCGTTGCTGCTAATCCGCCTCGCGGCTCAGCTGTTCCGTCGCCAAAGACTGTCCTTTTTTCCCAAACTGCAGGTTCCCTATCAATAGTTACGTAGGTAGAAGCATTGCAGATAGCGCCGCTTGCAGTCATCCAGAAAAGATCCAGTTTCTGCAGATCAGCAGAGACAGACGCAATGGCGCCTGGGTAAGGCTTCATCCTTGGATCTTCCAGCTCAATAGTCTGTCGTTTCCACTCGTGCTTCGGGAGGTTATGATACACTCGCTCAATAGTGCATTGCTCCGAGATCCAGAACATGTCAAGCACGCCCTCGTTGCGAGATATAACAGAGATTGAACTGTTTGGCGCCATGCTCACAGTGGCGCTATTATCGATTTCCTCGATTTTCCATGGACTGAGAGTATCCCACTTCTGGCACCAGGTGCTTGTGTCAACCCTCTCCATTGTAGGTGGACTCAAAGTCTTTCCTGCATTGCGTATCATCCAGAAGCTTTTGGTGGCATGGACGTCTATGATCCACTCGTATGGCATCCAGAAATATTCCACATCCTTCATCGCGCTTTTGACAAGAACTCGTCTCTTCCGGTGATCAAGACCAACAATAAGCCCGACTTGTACATCGTAATTTTTGTCCACTCTTGGTCCGACAGAACGTCGCTCCGCTGGTATCTTTTCGATCGTCGGGTAGCCTTCATCTCCAGACTGAGCAGGTCCAACAGTTTTGAAGGTCTCCCAAAAGAGATGGAAAGCAAAGATGACCGGATACTCTTCCGCTAGACAGAGTCGTATACGAGTCAGAGTCGAAGTTCCCAGAGCTCTCAGCTCGAACTCATCCATGCCATCCATGGCTTCGGGTTGGTATGAGTCAAGGCGATATGGCTCGAACACAGGACCCGTTGCCGCATCTTTATACGAGTCTATGCCTGGCCGTTCATTGACTCCCCAGACTGCAGATTCGGCGTGGGAAAAGTCTTGCACCACCCAAGGAAACAACTCCTCCTTCGAGACACCGTAGAGAGTAACAGCTCGTAAGGCTTGGCGTATCTTGAGAGAGACATTGTGGACCTCGTCTGGCCATTTAGTTGAACTCTTATATACATCCATCAATGGAAGTGCTCTGGCATTGTAGTAGACGAAACGACGTGATGGTTGCGGCGTGAGGCCCTTTGTGAATAGTGACGCGTATTGGACGGCTGTGCAGACGGCATCAAGAACTGAGATTTCTGTGGGTGGTCCATATCTTTTGAAGCCAGCTGCATATTCCTTTGCAAGGTTAACGTCGGTGAGATTTATTTTATCTTTGGGTGGTTCGACATAGATGTACGGCTTGTCTTCGAGATCATAGCCATCATCCTTATACCATCCTTTAGACATAGCCGCTGTGTCTCTTCTTGGGCTTGTTACAGGCAATCAGATTGGTAAGAGGTCCTCACCACCTTTGTCAGTTCAAACTGAGCCTGAGTCGAGGAATGCTCATGATCACGATGGCAAAATGCCAAGAACATGTCTCATGCAGCAAATCAATAGTCTCAGAGTCTCGACCGTCTGGCCCCTCACAGTGTGATTTATTATCTCGGCTCTTGCAGCGTGTACCCCCAAACTAGGCCTATCTCGTGCTCCACTCTGGCAAGCAATACCTATTCTAGCTGTGTGCATTTTTCTCGGGTGAGACGGAAATTTAGGTCTACAAAACTGCCCCGCGACTAAGTCGGTATCAGCTTTTTCTCATGGGCACGCCAAGATGAGGAACCAAAGCTATCAGTTTCATTTATACGAGCTCTTATTATGCCATTCTCGAAGCATCACCCCTGTATCTACAAGCCCTCAACATGACATGTCTGCCTCACAAGCTTGGGTGCCGATGCATTGCCCCATGTCTCTCCTTCCACTCCATACTCCTCCTCAATGGTGATTGCCACATCCTCACTCAGACTATCAGATAGAGCAACACCGCTCAGAAGAAAGCCAAAGTCGACCGTCTTCACTAAGCCCTTAGCTCTGGGTCTCACCTGAACAACGAAAGCAGGGGTTTCTCCAGCGACGTATGCGCACCCAGATACCCAGCGAGCTGACCCGGAACCAAACAGAGTGACAGCCGGGAAGGCTTTGGAACTTGGATTCATGAGCGAGACCAAAGGGAATGTCACGTTTATACCACGTAGTTTGTCGGCATCAATAGTACCAGGCTTATCCGTGCTGAGGGCGATCGTAAGATCGATGCTGCGAGTCTCATCTGGCATCACCTGCTCTCTTAGAACTCGACAAGATGATGTCACAGAGCTCTTTTGAGCAGACTCAGATACCTCAACCACGGTAGCTTTCGCATGGTAAGGAACCATAACAGATATTTTCCTTTGTTCCGTTGCCGCCACGCTTGCAAAGGCGGTATCTTGATTCTTAGCTCGAAAGCCCAGCGGGATTGAACCTGAACTCGATGAAAGGCTCTGCCTGCTTTTCAGTTCAAAATTATCTGCACTTCCATGTCTTGTCTTTGTGCTCAGCTGGAAAGCTTCAAGTTGTTTTGCCCGGCCGATGTCTGCTTGATCCTCTGTTGGCCTGATCGTCAGCTCCTGCAATTTGTCCCCAAGCGCAAAGGACAAGAGCGCAGATGAGCCTGTCCCGAGATACTTAACCCCGAGCATCACTCCTTGCTTCATGTACTCTTTTATTACACCAGAAGGAATCAAACACCTCGTCTCGAAGTTGAAGACTCGCGGTTCACCATCAGGGGAGGCCGTGATCGAGTTCATTTTCGCTTGATGGCGCTGTCTGTCGTCTTTCATTGCCGCAACAGGGTCTATCCTGATATGATTCTTTTCCAGAACAGTTCCTACAGCAAAGAGTTGTTGGTGAGGGGGTTGGCTGATAGTCAGACCCTCTGGGAGGTCGCTGGGTCGGCAGTTGAGTACAAGTAGTAAGGCTTTGTCGTGGAGTTTGGTATTTACAAGCAACTGTGGTGATGCAGCAGCGCTACTACCAGTTCGGATACGGGGATCACCAAAGACAGATAGCAGACTTCCGCAAACAACAGCTCCCCATCGAGGGATACGAGGGTGCTTGTATCGGACCTCCACCTGTGAGAGATAAGAATTGATTGCCCGCTTGATCTCGTTCCTGGTACAGTCTTCATCCACAGTGCTGTGGCTTCCAATGCTCAAGGCACCATCTATGAGAGTATCAACCCAAAGAGGATCAACGTAGAACGTGAGGATGGCTTCGGTATCTAGAATATCAGGTTCTGGAAACAAGTAGTTGTAGGGAACTGCACGAAGAGTGAGCAGCTGGTTGTAGATGAAGTCCAAGACCTTGGCGATGTATAAACCCTCCTGTGTTGGCTCTACCAGTTCTCTCGCGTACCAATCCTTGTCTTCTACCAAGATATCAACTTCATCTTGAAGGAACTTCCGAACAGCTTCGATACCAGAGTCGGGGTCAGAATCAGGCAAATTTGTCTCAGGTTTTGAGCTGTCGACTTTATCTCGGGCTCTCTTCCATCGAGAACCACTTTCCGACACTGTGGTCTCTCTAGGCTCTCCTGCGTCTTTCGCAATCTGCTGCAGCTTTTGATACCAGCTGGGCAAAGTCTTTTCGGGTATACCACCAGTACTTCCATCCATGAGTGAGGACGAGGGACTTGTTCTATTCAAAGATGTGATACGGGCCCGTAAGGCTGATAGAGCCATGGTGAAGGAAGAGTTCTCGATCGCGAGGGAACGACCCAGACTCCACGCGGTAGAGTATGTAATGTCGATGATTCCGGTTGACCGATCAATGATCTGAAGTCCGGACCCATGCCCTGAGGCCTCGGCATTGTCTAGCTCGTCACCTCTGGGTTGTTGTGGGATGAAAGGACCACGGAATAGAGAAGCAGTCTGTTCTCCAGTTTGTAATCGGTGTTTGACTAAAGTGTATCCTGCTTCCAAGCGTCGCTTGAGCCACTCATCTGCTACCGGCTTCTCAAGAACTCTGCTCAAAGGACGCACATTAGTAGACAGGTCTCTGGTTGCCTTCTCCACCCCGGCGCCGTCATCAGGTATCCATGAGAATGTCCATGAGTAGAGGGAGACCAACGCAGTCAAATCTGATGACCCCTGCTTGGGAAAGTTGAGGTCCGATACACCCATAAGAGACACTAGATGCGCGTAGGCCGTGACAGTCTTAGTAGACTTGAACTCCAAAGGCCCAGATCGATGGCCTAGGGCGATACTGAAGGTACTCGTGGTTGGATCCTGCGCTTTTGTTGAGCGTGATCTTCGTATATGCGATAGATAAGAGTATCGTGCAATTGCGGGCTCCGGCTCATTCTCTCCATCATCCATCTGGGCAGAAAAGTATGCCCGGAATGCCTCAGAGTTGACAAAAATAGTGTCAAATACTTCATCCTCGTTATTCTCGTGTTCACTGTCGGACAATGGAATCTGAATTGAGGATGACTCCAGGTCTTTGAGCTGCTTCTTACTCAAGCGGACAGATAAAGTCGGGGAGACCTCTGGCTGTGAGCTCATCGAGGGTAAAGTCTTTAGCTCGTCATCCGTGAACACCAAAAGTGCGACCCATGGTATGAGGGAGTTATTGAGATGTTTCTTAGCGATACCGTTGCTTTGATGGGGGCTCAACTCCCACGGTAAATGAGGATCGCTAAGAGTAACCTGAGGGAGTGTTTTAGACGGAACAGATTCTCCTTCTGCAGGATAAACGGAGTGAATTGATCCTGCAGGTAGACGATACCGACTTGGGCCTTCAACTGTGAACTTCTTCTTTGTCTCCAGTTTGCGACTCTCGTTTCCCAACGGAGAATACACTGTTTGGTTGATGTCTACCCTGTAATCGCCAGGCAAGAGGGACGGTTTGCAGGACGACAGGAACTGGACCTCGCCGGGTTTCAAGTCCCTGAATTCTTCCATAATGAAGGTCACCCAAGGGAAGATGCACTTTATTCCCAGTGGCAGTCCGTGAACTCCTGTTCAGCCAGAAATAAAACGGCTTCCGTATATTGCTGGGGTTGTCTGAGAGTCACCAAAACGTCCCCTCTGCTCACGTACCTTGACCACTAAAACTTGCAGTAGCAAAACCCTGCCTCAGCTCCCCACCAAAATCGATAGCGTGTAGACTATTGACGCAGCCAACATCCACCATTATTGACACTGTGCTTCCAGCCTCGTCTGCTGCACTTCGTGGTCGGATTGCCCACCCGTGACGTTCTGTAGAAGAGCATGGGAGGGCGTTTGGAAGTGTCAAATGTGAGCCACCGGTACGGCCCGTAAGAGGCTTTTCACATTATTTGGCGATTCAAGTCACGGACTCAGAGTTCATTCCAGGTGACCATGTCTCGGCCGATAAAATGCATTGGCATGAAAGTCGATGCCTACATTCTCAATACTTCAGTTGTAGGCCGGGACTTCTTCTTGGCACCAGTCACACAACCCTCTTACGAGAAGCTTCTTCCGGGACAGCTCAATCTTAGACCTGATGTTACGGACCACATTGATCTGAGAAATGCTTCACAGTGGCAGGTGAATCAGCGTATCGCGAATCTTGAAACTGGCGAACTTGATAAGCGTAAGATTGGGATTTATGTTCACTGGTGTTTGCCAAAGCCCTTTAGAGTCGGGAAAGCGGATGCAGATAGATCAGGAGACTCGGTCGAGGCTGGATCAATTGAGGTAAGTGTCGCCAGATAGTTGATGGTTTGGACATGCTGATAATAGTAGTATGAACCCGTTCCCGATCGGTGGCTCATTTTTCGCCATGTCGAGGAATCCCAACCGGCAGCCCCAGCATTAGAAATATTCCTCGTTGAGAGCAATAGGATTCGAAACGTCAGCTCTGCGATAAATGCTGAAGCGCATCTCGAATCCAGCTCATCAGCATTCATTGACCCGAGTCTTCCAGTGCAGCGCCAACTCGAAACAGTTCTGGGACGGATCTCGCGTCTGTCACAAGATTGGGCAGGCATCGAGAATAATAGTGAACACTATCACAGTCCACTTACTGTGCTGGGATCAGGAAACCCTCTGTTCGCAGATTACATGCCTCATAACTCAGCTGTGTTCAGCTTTCATGATAACCTGACATGGGAAGGCGTTGAACCAGGCATGGTAGAGAACGCGAAGGTCAATTACACGGTCTATGGACTTTTTGCCAAAGATGCCATGGATCTTGCATCAAGCTCTGCAAACCAGACGTCTACATCGGCCTCTGTGTGCTGGGGCTCGTTGTACTCTGTCATCTACACCCGAGACTCTGCTCCCAGCAGGATGAGAGCGTCAGAAAAGGCCAAGGAGTTTGCCATCAAGCAACCTCTGGCTGTTGGTGACGATGTGATGGACGCATGTATCGCCATACTCAAAGGATCAACAGACCCCAAAGAGTCTTCTATGGCTGAGATCTTTGAGAGTTTGAAAAGCGACGCGGCGTTGCAACAGTCAAATTCTCAGCTCGACCGTGCTTCAACAGCTACTACAAACTTCAAAGGTACCCATGGTGGCTATCACTGGCGCGTAAAGAAAGAAGATAGGGTTCCTACTTTCGAAAACCCATCTTACTCAGAAGCACGGCAGACTTCTGTAACAACTACAGAGCAGAACAAGGTGTTACGACCGCTGAACACTATGCAAAGCTACCTCGATGCATTACACCGTCGGAAGCGATATACGAGGCATCTTGTTTTCTGCGAATGGTGGAAGAACCGAAGTCTATTCCGTGCGGAAGACACTATATCTGTGCGGCGCAGGTCTCAGTGTACGAGAACGGCCAAACGCTTATTGAGCGAGATGCAACATATCGCCGTACTTATATCTTCGGCCGAGAGTCATATCCTGTCGAATCTAGAGAGGTCAAAGCTTTATGGACCGTTTGAGAAGGAAGAGGCCGGGAAGTTCTTCTCTCACATGGACCCTGCGTTTGTCCTCAAGGATATGGGCTCTGGCTGGCCTGAGAACTGGGATGCTAATGCAACGGTAGTCGAGGCTGAAGCCTTCAACTCATGGTTGACTTCAAACGCTGATGCTCTGAGGAAGTGGATAGACAGAGGAAACTTGGACAAAGATGCTGCTCCGACAACGAAAGCTCGTATCCCTGATATGTGGGATAGCATTGCTACGCATAATGGTCTCCAGAGACTTCCGAATGAGCTTCGTGAGTCTATGAGAAATGTTCTGATGGCATTTACTCGCGAGATTGTGGCAGAGCGTCCTGGCGAGAATGTACTGATTAAGAACCCTTCTTGGAGGGAGCGTTGCTGGAATGGACAGCCGTGGTTACCGCTCTTCATAGACTGGGAAGTCGAATATGCTCATATTCCTAGCAACATATGGCAGCTTAGATACGACCATGATGGTTCAGTTCGATATGGTCTTGCTACGGACAAGAAGCTTTCCGATCTTGCGCTGAGCTCTCGTACCTTTTCTGGAAGAACGATCCTACAGCCAAATGGCGAGAAGCTCATCCAAGGCCTCTTGGACATGATGAGTCGGACAGTTCCACGGACTTCAGGAGAGGATGAGGTAAAAGCATGGGCTGAAAGGTTTCTCAAGGGCCAGAACCTTACTTTTGGACGACTGGATGGTTTCACTGATCATCTTCTGACTTTATGTCAAGGAGCCCATGCTGTTCCCACGAACCACGACCTACAAACGCAAGCAGAAGAGATTTTTACTGATGAAGAGTCTCTGCGAATCTTCCAGGGCAGTATCGGGGATGTATCATCTGGAGGTCTTGATGTGACTCCATACGGGACATTTCACGAGGGCTTGTCGTACGAGACCTTGACCAGCGCTGATGCAGTTGATGATAAGAACCGGTTCTTCCAACCCGTGACTCACGGTCAAGCACGACTTACTCAGTTCAAGATTGTCGATCGTTTTGGGCAGGTCATATGTGCTCATGATCCGCGGCCAGAACAGCACAAAGAGGCTCTGTATCCGCATATTGGGTCTGCCCTGCTTTGTGAACCGACCAGTGATGCTTCACCAAATACGGCATTTGCAGCACCCTCGAGTGAGAGTGAAGTAGACGGCTGCGAATGGTTTCAACTTAGTCCACGAATTAACCAAGACGCTCGCCTGCATGCTGCGTTCCTGTCTGATGGAGATAGTTCTGGACCCCAGCCAGTGGCTGAAGGTGACGCCGCGGTGTTTGCATGGCTGCTTATCAACTTTCACAACCAGTCTATACAAGTCTATGACAAGACTAGGACTTTCAAGGGCGAAGCCATTCTTCCCGCTGGCCCAGATGAATCGGTTCATTGGCATTCACTGATCGGGGGTGATATCTCTTCGGACATCCTCCCACATATGATGCGCGACGAACATGACTTCCGACTACAGGCTCGGCTTGATAAAGTCGATATCTCGGCACTGAAAAGTTCCAAGCAGCCCATGTCACTGGATGACCTGATAGCATCAATGTCACATGCATCTTTCATCATTGGCCTTTGGAAGACCATTGTAGCTGCTCAAGATCACATTCGAGCACCGCCAGCCCAGCAATTTGCCCAATTTCCTTCGGCTCTTGTTGGTCGTCCCGTTGCTCTCGCCCATCTTGGACTAGGAATCGAGCTTGCAACACCACCTATGCAGAGCCAAGCCTACGCCGATTATGATGAAGATGAGACGAACGGTGTCACTGGTGTTGGCCTGTCTGAGACCGGAAATGAGGAACTCACGCGATATGAATTTGGGATTAAATTGGGCGACATGTTGGGCCACCAAGATGGTTTGATAGGGTACTTCACAGCTCCAGAAGCTGGAGAAGCTTGGAACATTGTCACCGACTATGCCATTGGCGATGTGTCCTTCCCAAACGTCAGGCATTCGGGTGATGCACCTCCTCTCACCGTGTCCCCCAGCTATCCACCCGTCCTGTCTTCGGGTGCTTCCGAGCCCTTCAACATCACCGATGAGGCAAATAATTACCAGAAGCGGAAAGCCGAGGCCTTACAGTCTTCTCTCGTCACTGTACTCCTGGATCCCTTCCTTCCAATCCACGTACGCTCAGGAATACTCCCTGCAGTCCAAGCCCAGCTAAACCGCGACGACGTGGAGGGAGACCTTCAAAATCTCGGGGTTTGGTTCCGCTCAGGCCCGGTCATTATTGGATCTCGTGGCTCAGACCCTGTCTCCTCACAAGACGGGAAAATGCGTATACAAGTTATCGACGATGGCAACGATGCGAAAGCCCCTCTTGTACCAGTGCATACTATGCCAACAACGACATCTGGTGCGACATGGAAGTGGGTGCAGCCTGTGATGGATGAAGCTGAGGGGGAGAGGGATGTTGATGCTTTTACTGGTGAAGTGAGATATGTGCATTTGGGTGTCACGAATCCATTGAAGGAAGGATTTGATGCGACATTGGGAGCGGATAGTGAGAAGGCAAGAGAGGACGACATAGAAGTAGCTGTTGCTTTGGATGGATATCTACTGCTAAGGCCGAACAAGAAGAACGGCTAGTGCCAGACATGTGATCTTTATTTAGTATATTAAATCTTGCCTTCGATGCTTGGGTGCTGGACCCGTCTCTTCATTGAACCATCTTATCAGAAAGGGCTTATCTTATCTCTCCTGGATGAATTCCCCTGCTCCGGACCGGGATAAAGGGCGGAATTCGGAGTCTATTACCTTGGGGCTTGGAACTTTTCGTAATTTAAATAGCATGTGCTTCTTCTGTTGAGTAGCAATGGAGATAAGGTTCATAGACGGGGCATAAGGGCCCTGTGTGAATAAATGGTATGCTAGACCATGAACGTAGATGAGATACCTGGTTATGTGAAATTGTTATAAAGCCAGTTTGAGTACCAGTTACCGCCAACAACCATCTTGCGCTCCTCCTCCGTTGGCTCAGTCGCAATACCACAATCCAAAAGCTCCGTCTGGTACGCAGTAATATTGACGCGACCAAGTTGCTCAGCCCTACCACCCGTAAGAGAGTTCATAACAGTGAACGAAGTCTCAAACCCAGACTCAGCTTGAGCGCTATTAAGAACAACAACCGATCGACTGATATCTCCATAGCTGAGCGACCAGCAAGTGCCGCATAATGGGGAGTCTGGTCGATCAACACCTTCAAAGCCCGCTATCTGATACGTGACTTCGCCGAGTTTTGCCCAATCTTGACCTTCGACGATGCGCCCTCCTTTCCAGCATGCTAACTCAGTGAGTGAGACAGTATCGTCATCGTAGAATCCACTGTATGTAACTGAATAATGAGCAAAAAATATCAGACGTATGCTTAGATCCCTTACCAGTGACTGCAGCACTTAAAGAGACACAGGAAATGACGATGGCCAGTGTAGAGATATACATCTTGATGTTAAGTGGAAAACATTACATGGAAAACTCCAAAAAGACCTTGAAAAGGAATGAAGCCATGAGAGGAACAAGGAGGTTAAGAGAGCAGTGCAGAAATTCCCCTCCTTGTTTTATTGCCGGTACGGGATGTTGGCTGTTGGTTGTTGGTTACATGACTGCATTCGCTTACAGGCCGTACCAGGTCGGACCCATGAGGTATAAACGGCAAGCCTATCAAGCGCATTCGGTTATTGAAACGAGCTTGCTACGGGCTCCGCATCAACAATTGGAGCGATCTAGATCATCGTGAACACTTGATCGCTTTGGCCACGCCTAAAAACCTCGTATAGGCATGCATTAAAAATGACCATTGCCTGGCCTTCAATTCTATAACCAAGAACCAGAGCAACCAACCGCATAATACCAACACAGTAACTTCCATTTTAAAATATTGATCTACCCTACCCAATTCTGGATATTTCAACTGGCTCCCCTTGGATGACTTTAGACAGGTTCATTTGAAATACAATTGGGGCTGGGCAAGTAGCAACCCCATTCAACTCTCCCTCTACATCCGAGCCTTGCAGATCTTCCAGGCCATACCCTTTGAAGATGTCAAATCTTACTTCCAGATCGCTGGCATTCACGGTCTTCCTGCTATTCCCTGGGACAATGACCCAGTCCCGATGGAGGCAAGCAAATCTTACAACAGCAACTACGCATCATCGGACATCACTCCTGATTTCTATTGTCCGCATAACTCTATCCTTTTCCCCACTTGGCATCGCGTGTATGTGCTGTTGTTTGAGCAGCGACTCTGGGAGATCATGAACTCGGAGATCGTGCCTCAAGTCACTGGCTCTCAACAGGCTGTGTGGCAGGAAGCGGCTAATAGCTGGCGGTTGCCATACTGGGATTGGGCTGCGGATCCCAGTGTGCCATCAGTTGTTCGTGGGGATAATGTCTCCATCGTTGAATTCGATGGCAAGACCGTTATTTCTACTTCCAATCCGCTGTACCAGTTCAGCACGGGTGCTATCTCAACCTTCCAGAAGACGCGCTCAGTTCCTCTGTTCAATGATCGGTCTAGTCTCGGACAATGGACTATCTTTAACGACCCCCCGGTACGTCGTCTGCTCTAGATAACGCTCATGGGCCATTGCTAACTTCAAGCCTTTCAGATGGCTTATACCTCTGGGACCAGCAGATGGGGTCTTAGTAACAGTCTAAACAACCAAGATGTCTTGACACCTCAGCAGACCGCTGGTATTCAAAACAATCACTTGGTTGACCTGGCACTACAAGACCCCAATTGGGCCGTGATCAAAGTGGGCCCTAACCAAGACATTCCTACTGGCTTCAACGGTTCGATTCTGGATCAAGTCAGCCCGCTCTTCGTTCCAACCAACTTCGATAACTATGCCGAGTTCGCCACTACTGCACATGGCGGCAATGAGCCAAATGGATGGCTGTCCCTTGAGATGATCCACAACTATATCCACGTGATGGTTGGAGGTTTAGGATGGAACCTGGACCCCACTCAGGAAACCGGTAGCGGGCCAGCAAATTATTCCTATGGCCATATGTCTGATCTTGGCACTGCTGCCTATGACCCCATCTTCTGGCTGCATCACTGCAACGTTGATCGTCAGTTTGCTATCTATCAGTATAACAATGGAAAAGGACAGTGGTTCACTGGGGCTACAGCGGATACCGATCCCACCGCCCAGGATAGCCTCTATCCATTCCATACCGATACCAAGTTTACAAACTGGAACTCTGATGGCGTCCAAGATTGGACGTCGCTTGGATATACGTATCCCGATCTCGCGCCTGAAACAGGCCCCTCTGGCACTGCTCCTCTTGAGCTTGTTCAGAAGCGCCTCACTGAGAAATACGGAGTCCTACGAAGAGTTCTCCACAAGGTTGGTTCCACACAGAAGATTGAAGGTCTCGACAATGACTATGTGATCAATGTCATCTACAATCGATTTGACTTGAACGGAATTAGTTACAGTATCCACTTCTTCATCGGTAAGGAAAGTGATATTCCCAAATCTCCTGCGGATTACAAGCTGAGCGTTGATTACATCGGCGGTATCCACACGTTTTCCTCTAACTATTGGACTCGCGGCAACAAGAATGGCGTCAACTGCGAGAACTGCCAGAAGCAGCAAAAGATCCATCAGCTGTCGAAGGGTCAGGTCCCAGTTACTCTTGCGCTCCTGCAGCGAGCGCTGAACAAGGATGAGAGATGGGCTGCTATTAGCCATCTTGGAAAAGACCATGTTGTTGAGTACATGACTAAACATCTCCATTGGAGAGCTGTCGCTGTGAGTATTCTTCTTTTCCCTAGGCCAAGCTGAGCTAACAAAACTGTGCTCCAGGTGCCAAATCAACTGCTTAATACAGATGATCTGCCCAATCTCAAGGTTTTCTTCAAGGCTGGAAAGGCGGAGCATCCAGAGGATCCAGCTAAGCCATCCAAGTACTTTGGCTATGAGCATCAATGGAAAGTCACCAAGGATAAGTTTGGAGGAGCGAAGCCGGAGTAGATATATATAAGGTTGTCTGAATGGGACGTGATGTATAGCAGCCTAGACTTCTGTTACAGGTCTATCAAGTCCAACATGTCTACACTTTAAAGGTACCTATAAGATTGGAATTAGATGGTACTAGGCATGTAAAAGCAGGATCTAAAATATAATTTAGTATATCCTACAGTGTAACTTCTGCTACTGCTATTCCAGAAAGGCTGTGGTGAATAGGAATGCTACTACTGCGAAGGTTTCCTTGATGCTGAGTAATGCTGGGATAGCTATGGCAACGGCGAGGTCGATTGCTGAAGGTTTGGGGAAGACGGAACGCTTCTATTCTGGTATAGAGCCTTGCCCTTGAGCAAAGTAGACAATTCACTCTCCGCACCACGCATACAAATGAACTTCAAGGGCCACTATAGCATTTGAATGGATGTGACTTCTAGTCGATGAAATGGACACCGACCCCCCTTATAAACAACGTGTGCCCTTCTCTTAGTAACAGGCTTCAGTATCGCAATGCCACTATTCCAACCTAGGGACCTCTCCAGCTGAGAACGGAGCAGACGGAAGATCCCCATCCAGAAAGCTTCCAACAAGCCCTGCATAATAGCCTGCGTACTGAAACAAGTGTCCGTGGCCACTGCTCGGGAACATGACAAAGTTGGCTCTGGAGAGTTGTCTCGCAAGAACGAAAGAATTCTGCGTCGGGACAATAAGATCGTTATCGCCGCAAGTAACAAGCGCATCCTTCTGAATGGTTTGCAAAAGAGCATACGGAAGAGGATCTGCATCCCAGGAAAGGTACGCCTGAGTCAGATTGAGAAGAGGCCTTCCGGTAGTAAACAGCGCGATCTCGGGTTCTCCATTCTTCCCAGCGACGCCAGCTCTTGATGAAGTACTCCTATTGAACCACGAGGCGCCTTCATCTCCTGTAGTGAGAGGAAAGAAAGCGTCGATGGTGGCTGGGCCAGGAGCGGGGCTGAAGATAGTAGACTGGACCTCATTCATGGGGCGGACCAAGCCAGGTCCAAGACTAGGGCCCGTACCAGCGAGTGCCAATTTGCGAATGATATCAGGAGAATCAAGGACAAGTTGTTGCGCGATATATCCTCCCATCGAGAAGCCCAAGACGTCAACTTCCTTGACACTAAGCTTTAGGAGCAGAACGTTGAGAAAGGCGAGGAGATTGATTGCAAAGCCCTTGATACTTGTCGCAACGGGTCCTCTGCTATGACCGAGGCCAGCGTAGTCGTAGGTGATCAGCTGACGACCTGTTGCAGTCAGATTATTGACCAAGTCAGGATCCCAGGTATCGATGGTAGATCGGACGTGGTTGAGCATGAGGAGCGGAGGCTGAGAACTGTTCGACTTGCCGATGAGACGATAGGCGAAGTCGATCCCATCAGCAGTAAGGAACAAAGTCTTTGCAGTTTCTTGAGTGGACATGATGCAGATATTCCTCTAGTGGGAAAGGTGAAGGAATTTGTTCTATCAGATAGCAGACATATTGTTCGGGTTAAATACAATTCATGGGCCTCCTCTGTCCCACCCGCTAGACTCTTCCCTTAGCTACTTCTTTAAACTAGTTTGGTAGTATTTCGTTTCCGGGTAGGTGCATGTGCGCTGGAGCCGTGAGCTGGAAGTAAGATGCGGGTAAGACGCCGCTTGCCGATATGCAGCAATATGTGGCCAGAAACGGGATTCTCACTAAGCGTATCAGTAATCATGTCGATTTTAGAGCAGTGTTCGGTGTATTTACCTAACAAGTAGTAGAAATGTTATCTTGGTCTGCTCTTCATTTCACATAGATGAATATATTAAAATATGAAATTTTATTTATGCCTCTGTAAGGCTTGGAAAGAGCTGTTTTTAATAACCCTGGTAAACTTATCTTTGGTCTACCTGAGTTTTGCCATTACGCCCAGGCTTATCGCCAAGCAATGGAGTATGGGAGTGGGGACTGTTGAGCTTTGTATAAGTAGACTGTCAACTTCGCATATATAAGCCAATAGAGGATTTACGCCGAGAAATATCAGGCCAAGAAAGAATAGTATTGACCGTACACTCTAAACTAGATTCGAAATATGACTATAGCTGCTTTCGAGGTCCAACTATCTCTCAGCCTCAACAACCTTTGTCAAGAACCCAGTCTTGATATCATATGCTAAGCCCATGATCTGGGTGCCCGGAATGATGAATGGACAATCTCGAAGGAACGCAACATCATGGTTAAGACTCTTTTCGATTCTACCCTCATTTAGTGTTGCTTATCTAAAGAGCATGATTAAAACTTACGACCCTTCATCTATCTCTCCATAGCGAGATTTGCCAATGGCTTTCTCTTCCTCAGGTGCAATCTTAAGCATTGCCGTTCTAATGTCTGCATCGCTATAATGCGACATACCACAGTCTATTCCATAGAAGATCAGTAATGAGCACAGTGCTCTCAGTGAAACAGGCACATGTTCCTACCGTTGTGGTGAACTACCAGAATTGTTTTGGCGGCTCCGATTGTTTGCAAGGCAGAGATAGTTCTGACGGCATCTATAGCCCGCCCTCCTGCATTTCTAATCATGGTAACACGGCCACCAAGGCTTGCGTCAAGACCGAATATCTTGTAGGGGTTCAAGCGGGGGTCGGAACAGCTGATAATAATGAAACCTGGGCGGACAGGTTTGAGCGCTACTTTTAAGTCGGGTAGTGGTTGATGGCCTCTGGCCAGCTCGCTACAGATTGGTCATTAAATTGGGTGCCGTGTGCGGGCTGGAAAGGTTTCACAAACTTGTTCCTGCGTAAGAGCTCTTCGAGGGCATCGTGTTGGTTCATTTTGGTCGCCGGAATGCTCGAGGGTAGTGCTCAATGTAAAAGGTAAACTCTTGAGTATTAATCGGCAAGTAGTATTCGGAGCAGTAGAATTAAAAGAGGGCGACTGCTAGTTATATATAAGGTAATAAGATAGTGTTGAAATATCTGGGCTAATCATCACTTGGAGTGAATCTTTCTCTCATATAGCATCTAAATACTGTAACATCACCGTCTGTGTAACTTAGTAATCGTTATTATTATCCCGAGATGGCCGAGCATACAAAATGGTGCTGAATTTAATAAGTAATCCAATGCTGACAATGCATTTACGGTCAGCGCTAGTTCTACCCGTTGGCCAGTCATGACATCACTATACACGCGCCAGTCAGTCCTGGAATGCCGCAATATCCGCAAATCCGAAATATCATTAGTCTCCAGTACCGCAAAATCACCGCTTTACCGCAAGTCCTACTAATGATGCTTCTTCGTATTACTATTCAGCCCTATTTCTTCGCATATAGTCCCTTGATATTGTTAGCCGAGAGCATTTCCCGGATTGGCTAGCTGCTACGCCATTGCATTCCATGACGGGTAGTAAAAGGGAAATCGTGGGCGTTTACTAAATTTAACAGCAAAAGACGGCTCACATATTCTCCTTCCTTAAGAGAAGACAGATAGCTTATTCAGCGGGTAAAGTGGCTATTAAGCCGAGACTCAGTGAGCTTTATGGAAGTGTAAACATTTACTACCTTTTACTGCCCTTTACAACAAAGCATCATTATCATCTCCACTGCACTGCGAAATGACTGTATCCACAATTTTGGTGATTGGCGGCACTGGCGCCCAAGGCATGCCTGTTGTTCGAGGATTTGTTTTTGATGGCCGTTACGCTGTCAAGGTTCTGGCACGAGACACACAATCTCCTCGCGCTCAAATACTTGCGTCCATAAGTCCAAAAGTCGAAATACTCGAGGGAGCCTTCACATCCGAAGTCGACCTCATCAATGGTCTACAAGACTCTCAAGGATCATTTCTCAACATCGATGGCTTCACCATTGGCGAAAAGGCAAAAATGATGGTAAAAGCAGGATAGCGTAATGGCTGCAGGCCCAACATCGTCACAACAAAGCACAGGCCTTCTACAACATGACTATGGCGACCTTTACGATGGGGACATATATCGAGATGGCTATTAGTGGTGGAAATCCCATGGCGCCGCAAGTCGTGATACAAAAAGGCGAAGAGGTTGTGATCTGGCGGGTACCACTGACGCAACCAGGTGCTGTGGTACATGTCTCACTTGAGGGCTGCGCATACTCTTGGCACTGGCTGTTTGACCATCCTCAGCGTGACGGTATAGATCTGGAAGTGGCGAGTGAATGCCTGCGGTACGCAGATCTGGCAGCAACCCTCCAGAATGTCACAGGATCTCCAGATTCTTCGACGTAACTCTAGAGCAATACTGGATAGATGGACCTATGAGTAAGAGAGCGTCACCCGCCGCTGGGATAGAAGCAGATGTGGGTGAGTCTGATACTTTGACTGTGAAGGAGGACTTCACTGGCTTTTGGAACATGTGGCGGGATTCTGGTGGAAATGCTGGTGTGATCAAACGAGACTATGAGCTACTGGATAAGATCCATCCGAACAGAATTAGGAGTGTTGAGCGGTTCTTTCGTTTGGCGAATGAGAGGTAGAAAGCGCAGAGATCAAGCCTGCTTGAGCACGTTAAAACAGCAAAGTCGCCTTTACAGCCACGGCGGGATCAAAGATAGATTGAAATAATATGGTAGATTCTCATGGCTGAAGCTTATCGTGACTGCCTGATCTTGATTGCTTCACTGTGAGTTCTGAAGTAGGGTGTCGTCGAGAAGCTTTATACTTTTTCACCTGGAAATTAGAACAGCCTAAGCGGCAACTCACATTTGGCATAAACCTTCGCCAGATTGAGGGGTTTCATGCCAAGATTCAACCCCATAAGCTTGACGATAGTAAACCTTGTTCGATTTAAGCTCGACTTGAGTAACTCAGATATTTGACATTCCAGGTATAAATATCCCAACCCTTTCCTCACCAGTAGCTCCGGATTCCTCTTCCAATATTCAGCAGACCCCACCCAACATCATGGAGTCCAACAGCCCTTTCGAGAAGCTTCCAGCAGAGCTCATAACCATTATCCTGAGTATCACCAACTCCCCTGCGGATATCCAATCCATAATTCGCGCCGACCCCTACATTTGGCGTGTTTTCCTTCAACACAAGCATTCTATCCTCCGGCCTTTTATACAAGATCTTGTTTCTCAGTATACACGTCCATATCTTACGCATTTAGCCATGGCATGTCGCCTACGCGCCATCGAGCGCAAATTCTATGCACAGAGCCGGGATCAAGTTGAAAAGGTGGTTAAGCCAATCTTAACATCATCACAAGAACCATTTTCAGTAACGCAGTTCAATCTAGGTCCCATGTCTGAAGTCTATCACCTGCATCGCGAGACGGACGTTTCTGTAGTTCATTACTCAAAAGAGGCTTGGGAAATGACACAGGATATGGCAGCTAGAGAGGCAGAGAAAGATCTTCCCAAGCTTCCCTTGTCTTTACCACTTTCGGAAACAGAAGCTCAAAAGATGCAAGAGGCACATCTACTGTTCGAAGCATTCCGACATAGTATCTGTTTCAGAACCTCCTTTTTGCAACACTATGATAGTGGGGAACCTGCAAGCCCATTCCATATTCCCTGGAAATTCTACTACCAAGATAAGCTCCTGCGTATCAGGGCGTTTCAGGCAGTCTTCGTATTCTTATTCAAAGAACATGAGAAGCTCTTGAATCAGGTCCATGACCGCATTACAGGTCCAGCCTGTCTCTCCCGGATTGAGAACAGCGATACGGATTGGCGAATACAAAGACAACCATTTCTACAGAGAGGCCAACGTGATAGCCTCCAATTCATAGCCTATCTTTGCTCACAAGGATACCATCAGCTACTGAGTATCCAAGATATGAACAATATTTCACAAGAACACATTCTGTTCTTGTACAGGCGATACCAGGCGCTTAAGGGAGACCGCCGCAATTGTCCGATGATGGTGGGTGCAGATCTGGAATATTCACTCAAGACACTTTGTTGTGATACTGGCAGAGGGCATGGGTTTTGGACAAGTGGGGCATACATGTGGGATATGGAGAGGTTGTCGCAGCTTGGAGAAGAATTGGTGTGGCTTGTAACTGATCTCAGAGATGAATTCTATTGACCTCTATCGCAATCTAACTTGACACCTATGCTTACGCCCAAGAGAAGTGTTCAGAATGCAAGTAAACTCCCGCAGAATCAGCACCACCGAGAATATCCAAGTTTAGAGATGCGACGGAGTTTCGAACATCATTCTGCATAGTATCCGGACCACAAACGTATACTCCAAGGGAGTCGGTCGATGGCATGCCGTTTAACACTCGTTTTAGAATTCCTGGCAAGTCGGGTCGACCATGCATTTCGTCAAATGATACCAGACTTTCTGTCGCTCTTTCACTTCCCGACTCTTTGTTGCCAGGCACGAAGCTACTGTTTGATGGGAGGCTTGATTCTGTTATGGCTCCACCGGTGCTATGGAGCTCCACTTGCAAGCCCGAGATCATTTTGTCTGAGTACTTGAGCAACGTTTCGCTCACAACTTGTCGATACCAGCTGCAGCTCTCAACATCTCGACTTGCTAGTATCACACGGAGTGATGAAAACGGAGATCCCTCTCTTTGGCCTTCTTTGCAGCCTTCTTCGCCCTGACCTGTTTTAGTTGCGATATACTGCTCGATGAAAGGCAAGGTCCATCCAGCTCCTGACCCTCCCGCAATGACAACGAGATTGTTGCTGTTCACGTAAGCCTGTGTATTGATGCCCCCGTATGGTCCATCAACCAGCACTGAGACCTGAGCTCCTGGGTTCTGCAAGGCGTACTCATATAGCTTTGCAGTAAAGCCTTGGTGTCTCTTGAGATAAAAGACAAGGAATGACTGGCCATCTGGGGATGTTGCTGGTAAGGAGCAAATGGTAAATGGGTGCGCTGACAAGGCTTGTGTAAGTCCAAAACCAGTGAAGCGCAGGAAGCAGTGCTGTCCTATTTCCCATGTAAAGTTTGCAGGAATAGTAACACGCACGAAACCGTTGTCTTCTACTTTGACATGGGCCTTTGTTCGAACACCATACTCAAAGCAGGTTCGGAGCCAGGGGTAGACGTAGCAAGGAACATATACTGTAGCTGTACCTATGAAATAGTGCCTGCAATCGAGAGTCAGTGTCAGTGACAGACAAGAACGGACATGAAAGGTTTACCAAGATGTTAGGGTATAGTCGCAGTGCCAAAAGAAAGTAAGCATGAATATGACAACAGCAAAGAAGTGCGTTGCCTTGAAGAATTCATATCCCAGCAACTTTCTAGTTCCCATATAAGCCAGCAGTCAAAGGTCAGGTATTTAGGTATACTTACCGAATGGCACTATGAGACGCAAAGGTAAGCCAGGCTTGAAAGACCAAGGCGACGATGCCAGTCCAATAGAACAAAAGACTCATCTTGAAATGCATCTGCATATCATGAAATCTGATATGATAGACAATAAACGGGAATGTGTGCAAGAGAGCCAGTATGAAAAAGGCGTAAGCGATCCATCGATGGAATACTTGGAGTCTCTCGTGTGAGACGCCTGTCAGTAAGGTAATCCAGTTTGTCTTGGTTGCCGTAGCACTGTCACTCGTCAGCAGGGAATGAGGAGGGTAGGGTACGTGAGGCAGGACTAACAAAACAAATGGCATGCATCCCAAGGCTAACCATCCTGATCGTGTTCCTAACGGTGGTGAGCCACCAAAGTCTAGTGAAGGCCAATAGTACGGCTGAGGGATCAAGTCCATGCCTATTGCACATTAACTCGTCGCTCTCCTTTATGACTGTTTGATCTACTTACAAAAAAAGAATATTGCTCCAACTAGTCCCAGTAACAACACTCCAACGGAAGCTGAGTTGAATCCAAGCGATGCAACATGGAATCCACGATATGAAAGATATCTAATGATGGCGATTAACATGCGCCAGGGTCTAGGTCCACGGAATCTCGGAAAGGCAAGACCGATAATGTAGTATGATATCAAGTGGCCAATTGTGAAGAGTCCGATGCCACTCATGAAGAAGGCTACTGTTGGCAGAGCGTAGACGTGGTCCGCGATGTACCTGCTTGACGTTAGATAACATGTCCTAATGAGGTGTCTAGTCAATTTGAAGGTCTTGAGCTTACCAAAAATGCCATCTTTTCATATACCAGGAACATTGTGCTTCGGTGAAGCCATCACAGGTGAATGCACGACTCCCAGTCAACTGAACTGGGGGCGTGAGCCAAGCTGCGGAGTCCATGTACAATCGATTGATCGTAAGGTGTCGCCAGTGAGTTGATGAAAGAATAAATCCCCAAAACGATATCTGTAAAGGGTTGTTGTGAGGGATGGCTATGTGTTGAAGTCTTGACAGAAGAGATAGTTGATACGGGGGACCGTCCACGAGCCTCAGGTGTATTGATTCCAAGACGGCGAAAGCGATATGGAGAATGTTATGAGAACGAAACAAGTGACAGGTGGCCAAGACATGATCTATTGCTCGCCTGGGTGATACAAATCGATGGAGATATGTATTACTCTTGACCAAGTAACTATTCTATCATTAACAAGGGTTTCGTGCCGAGTTCCGTAAGCATTAATTCTAATTGGTTGGTCTCTCACTAAAACATCAAATATTTCCACCCCATCATCGCATAAAACGGCACTTGAGTAAGTTTGAGCAGGCTTGAGCAAGTTTATCTGCGGCGATAAGATTATTCCCGACCCCACTATACTGCTACCACGATGATATAAGCTTAGATGAAGTAGTGCTGTTTGCACCTCTGACTACAAGCAGGTTACTATCTCGTTACAAAATTGAACATGGACATGACTACTTCGACGGGCAGTTCTATGCCCATGTCAACTTCCAGCGCCGGCGCTATGGATATGGAGCAAATGAACATGGTCTTCTTCACTTCTACCAAGACACTCCTCTGGACAAAGTCCTTCGCACCCGAAACGACGGGACAATATGCAGGTGTTTGCATTTTCCTCATTGCTTTTGCCACTATCTTGCGCATGCTGCTTGCTATACGCGTCAACTTTTACGTCATCAGAGATGGCGTCAGGCGGAGGCGCACCAAAGGCCTGCTGGCAGAGTACCGAATTAGTGAGCTTGGCCCTCGGCCGTGGAGAGCGAATGAGGCTATGATGCTGGGAGCGATAGATGTCGGTATTGCGGGCGTGAGCTATTTGCTGTAAGTGGTTCTACATACCGTCAGATTACTAAGAGACTGACTAGTGTGTAGGATGCTCGCAGTTATGACCATGAATGTTGGCTATTTCCTTTCGATCTTGGCTGGGGTATTTATCGGAAGTGTTTGCTGTAGCCGCTTTTTGGTTAACTCTGGCCTGCATTAGCCAGAACTTTATGAAAAAGGAATTACAAGAGCAATAGAATCTTATTAAGAAATTCCTAAACTGATATATAGATGCTATAGAAGCCCACGCCTACCTTATTAATGTCACACTTGAGATAAACATGGTCACCCGGAATTGCACCTATGCCTCCCGTTACCGAAGTCATCACGCCGTGTTTCACAGCCTTATTTTATGTCCAAGATGTTTCTACCTTAAACCCTTGTTCGCTATAAGGTGCCCCGTGTCTTTGTGCCATATATCTTACCCGTTATAATCCTCGCGTTCTGTCGAGAAAAGCACCTCAGCGTTCTTCCAGAATGGCAAGGGACCTCATGAATCATGATTTCTGTGTCCTCAACCTCCCGGTAGATGAGACATTACAGATCAAATGGGTGATGGCGTCATAGCGGCATCTATCGAGGTCGTCGCTTATTATCCTGAACCGAGAACCCCCGGGATGTGTTGAGACCAGACCGGCCGCAATCGAGCGCATCAAGAGAGCAGAGCCAAAGCTCAAGGAATACAAGGAAGTGCTAGAGGCCGCCGAAAGAAAACTGAGGAACAATGACAGTGGAGCTACGACTATCGCTGATCTACTGTTGTCGGATGCTGCGAGTGTCTTCCAGGGCCTGGTGAGATATCAAGGCCGCCAACTCTTTGTCAACAATCAGTGGGTGGAAGCTTACTTGAAGCTAATCCGTGGGCATTTCGAGCCCAATGCCTCTACATCCCCATAAAGGACCTGTTGCAAGTTTCTCACTGTGCTAGGGCGGTTGGGTTGGTTCGGTCAAGTTAAAACTCATGTTCAAGACAGCATATTATGGTCTAGGTAACGCACACGCGAAAGTGCCAGTTATACCTCAAGGCTTTAGCCCCCAGCGTAGAAACAGCATAGCTCTAACAGCGCTCGATGATTGGGTCCGCATCCTACCATCATAAAATACAACATTAGGCTCACGATTGCATCTTGGGCAGGTGAATTCGGGGTAAGACTAACCAGCTTGCTGCCAAGATACGACCAAGGCACCTTATGCTCCCAAACCCCGCGCATCCAGGCATTCTGATTGGGGCAGTTCTGAAACTGTCCTACCGCATCGGTAGTATAGACGCATGTTGGAGTGTATGACTAAAGAAGTAGTTGGTCAGTTAGCAGCCCCATCCCGAAGCATAAAAGCAGCAGGCAAGGCCTCTTACAGTACAGTTCATCGTGAACGCAGTCCCGTCAAAGAACGGTTGATTTCCGGCACAAGCATCAGACCCAAGGAACAAGGCCTCGGGCGTGAGCCAGCCCTTCTGAAGCGTTGTATACAACATCTCGGTGAAACGCCAACCACAATCGTCAACCTTGCCAAATGAGTAAACGTTCCCATCGTGGACCCAATACTGGTCGCAAGTGTTATTCGAGTCAAGGCCAGTGCAGTTAACAAGCTTATCACCCGCGCTCGAAGCCATCTGAACCGGGTCAGTGCTGTACTGCTTCGTCAAGAAGATGCCGTTGGCTTGCAACGCGCTGCTGTAGATATAGTTGACCAGATTCTTGTAGATACCATCCATCTGAGCCGTTAAGGAAGTCAGGCCACGCTGTGTAAAGCCTCCCTCTTTCGTGAGCGCAAGGAACTGGGTGACGTTGGCCTGAGCCGTCTTGATAGCCGTACCAAGCGTTCCCTGATAATCCTTTACCTGACTAGACAGTGAAGCCGACAGATCCGCGATCTGCATTGACTCTTGGAGGTAGTTGTTGGAATTCTTGTTGCCGAGCCAGGTGATGATACCACCGCCTTGAGCTGCAAGGCCTTGAATTCCAGCAAGAATCATTTTCGACTGCCAGTTTCCTAAAAGCTCCTTGGTAGCTCCAAACTCGCCGATGGTGGCTCCAAGGATAACAGCAATGAGATTCTTGCTGACCTTTGCCTCCTTGGGTGGGTTCACGGTGTAGACAATATCACCGATCTGGCCAGCTGCCAGGGAGACAGAGTTACTCAGCGCTTGGCTATACTGAGTGAAGAACTGGTGAATGGCGTAAATGTTCCAAAGAGCATAGAACTGCTGCTGAGAGTCGAAGTCACCATTGGTGTCAATAGGTGGACATGTATCAACGGTGATTTCATCACAGGTGAGACCGGGATACCTGTTGTTCTTGAGGAAACACTGAGCAAAGCCGAGAGATCCGCAAGAAGCTTCGTTGGTGGCCCACCAGTCTATCAGATACTTTTCAACTTCGAGCTCGATCCAGCATTCTGGAACGAGGGCAGTTGGAGCTTTGGGTGCGCACTTGGGAAGGGACTTGAGTATTACGGTGGTGTTCTTCTGAGCTAGAGCCTGGAAGACAAGTGTACTTCCCATAAAAAGGGTCGTGAGAAAATTGAAGCGAGCCATGATAAATGATACAGTAATATTGGGATTTTGTTTTTAGGAGTGCAAATGAATGATTGAATTGGTCTGGCGATTACTTTTCCTATGGCTGAACCAGCTACCTTTTATGAAATACAAGAGGGCCGCTGAGTTATAATGATGTAAGTGATATAGGCGTTATCACGGATGCCTGGTGTTGTAATCATCCTACTTTGTCATTTTGAGTTTGTTCTAATAACAGATCATGGTCAGGTATAGATAGATGAAGGGTTGTTTAATGTTATTATGAAAGCTGGTGCACGAAATTCACCAGCACGTGGGCTTGTACGGTTGTGTTATTTGTGGACTCTTGAAGTCTATTCAATGTGAAACACATACGGCTGAATCGATCACCGAGGCATACCAGATAAAGCGAGTAATAAGCTTAGTATGCAACAAACCTAAAGTCTACATCATTTGAATACGCCTGATTCTCTCACCGATCGAAAATTAGATACTCCGATAATTCCGGTACCTTGTCACGCCGCCAGTTCTTGAGTTGATTTGAGAACCGGCAGGATTTACATAATATATAAATTGCATACTCTGATCAATTGGCATACATAATTGGCTCTCATATCAACTCATTCTACATATCTTACACCTGCCAGCTTTACTAAACCATAACTCAAAGACTTCAGCATCCGCATCATGCGCATTATCAACCCTTCTCTCTGCCTCCTCTCTGCCGCCATGCTTGGCTCTGTCGGAGCCGACCGCGACTGCTGCTACGTCTGGCAAGGCGACGAGGGTATCGTACAGCAACTCCACGTCTCCTGGACCGCAAGCTCTCAAACCGCCACCTGCAAGATAGCAGGTTGGGGAACAGACACCAAATGTTCGGTCGAGACCTCTGTCGTCGGCAATGCGTGGCTCAAAGCAAATGCGACAGTCTCCTTCAAGGAGCCCAATGTGTTTCACTTTTCGTTTGGAATGAACAATAACGACTGCGACTTTCTGGACGATGATAAAGTTGCTCGCTTTTGGGACTCTTATCTCTTTGCGAGCTTTACGTATTTGACTCAGAAGGATGTTTGCCCGGATGGTGGAGTTTTTTAGGTGTGTGGTTATTTACAGCAACCAAGTTGTACACGGCTAACACCTTTCTAGACTTCATGGCTCCTTCTTGTCAGGTGCACTGCTCACCTGGTCAAGGACTAATCTTTAATAGCCAAGAGCCATTGTTATGAAGATTATTTGGCTATATATAAGCCCGAGAGATCTCGCTGTTGAATAGACATTCTACCTTAGAGCATCGCCGAATTAGATGCTGTTTCATTACCAATCCACAGCTCTTGTGCATTGTCCCGAAAGAGCTTGTTCCTCAGCTCTGTTCTGTCGCCTGTCAAGTCAAGTAGATGTGAGGTCCAAGGCTTAATATCCAACCCCTCAAATCTGGTATGCGGCCAGTCTGAGGCATACACGAGTCGAGACGGCGCTGCTTTGGAGAATTCAAGTATAATAGGATCAAGGTCAGTGTATAATGGCCCCGGAGCTTGGGAAAGGCGATAGACGGCGGACACTTTTACCCAAGTGTTACCTCCCTTTAGGAGTCGCAACATCGAGTCGAATCCAGACAAAGTGTGCGGGTCGAGAGCAGTCCCAGATCCGTTAGGCTTTGGGATATCTGGGTGGCCGAGATGGTCGATAACGACTTTGACTCCCAAAGTAGGAATCACGGGCTCAATGGTTGGTATATCCTTCATGGCGATATAAATCTGCAAAACCCAGGAAAAAGGCCGGATTGCATCTGCATACCGCTGCATCATATCTCTGAGCTCTTTGGCTGGCGGTGCATCACCCGTCGACTGAAAGTTCAACCGCACACCACGAACGCCCAGATCGTTCCATTCCTGAAGCTGTGCAGCTGATGTGTTGGCCACGTCAAACACAATAACACCGAGGGCTCTGTTCGGCCCGAATGCCTTGAGAGTATCAATGAGCAAGGTATTGTCATTTCCGTAGACGGATGGCTGAATCAGGACCATGTGTGAGCAGCCGAGTCGAGTTTCTTCGATAGTGGCATCCCAGGCTGTGTATGTACCGAACTCGTATGAGCCCGGAATAGGCGGGAAACGAACTGGGTCCAGTACGTGGAGGTGAGAGTCCCAAGAGCCATTTGGCATTCGGCTGTCTGGCTTGGAGCTGCATACATTTGAAGACGAGGTGGCTCGAGCCAAGACTTGGGAGATAAACAAACAATTTGCGACAAATAAATGGATCAGCATTTTTCCAGGATTGTACGTGGTGAATGTAGCTCAGAGTATATTGAGGTGATGGAGCGGTGACCTCGAGATTCTGAGAACGGCAATGCACGAGGTATTAAATATGCATCAGTCAGCGTAGCAATGACCCGTGTAGATCCATTGTTCCAAGCCCGAGCCGTGGCCCACTGCCGTTAAATAGAATTGATCTTGGCGGCAGTTATATTTCGCGAAAAAACAGTGGGGGATCTCCACGGTAGTTGATGGCGGGGTCTAGATTTGTCTCCCGGCCACTGCAGGGGCAACGATGCCCATCTGTCAGAATTTCGAGAATACGCCTATAAAATCATGGCACTTTATCATCATCACATTCTGAGCAGTGTCGACATCCCTGCACCTAGAGCGAGCTGCGGCTGCGGCTAATGAGAAGCCCAAATCTGACGTCAGGTGGTATGGCAACCTTACGATGGAGCTGGCAATCGTGCAAGTGCATTATTGGTAAGGTCAGTAAACAGCGAAGTTTCGGAAAATAGTCTCTCTTATATCGTGACTTGTGTAATGATGTGCATTACTAGCTGATAGACCAGGTAGTTTACTTGTTCGAGATATGTTCGGCCTAGGTTATCGTAGCTGACCGTTTCCTACCCGCGACCCTCCGATTGTGGGGTTACGGGGTCAAGCAGGTGATTGGCCGGATAAGAACAGCTTATCTACTGGTTGAGGACTAACTGTAGCTTCTTTCTCTTCATGCAACGCTAGTACCTCTGTCAGATCAGACTCGGGTACCGCAAGAGAGATGTCTTTGGAATCTTCCAAATCTGTCATAAGATTTCTTGATTACATCTTGGTTCCAGGTGGCGAGCTGACCTGACTAATCTCAATCTGAGGCTGAGCCCAAGAAGATGCATTAATAATTCGCTGGATACAAAAGATCTTTTCTTAGAGACGACTACCCCACATGACTAGTCCAGAAACTGTACGGCACTCTCCGTTAGTGTTCAGCCCTAAATTGCTGACCTCGACCCCATGTGCCGATATAAGAATCCTGCTCGGTAATCACTGACCCTCTGAGACTGCCGTACATCCTCCCTCCTCATGGCGACCAATCAGTCTCCTCCCCTCGTTCCTGCAGGGCCCTTGCTTGTCCCCGTCCAACTGATCCCAAGACGAAACGCGCGATCCAAGCAGCGCTTTCATCGCCTCAGCAAGCCCAAAGTCCGCAGTGGTTGCTTGACCTGCAAGACACGTCGCGTCAAGTGTGACGAGGGTAAACCAGCGTGTGCGCGGTGTATCCGGGGAGATTTTGTATGCGATGGCTATGAGACGAAGCCTACAAAGCATGAGACCGTCCTGGTGCCACCAGCGCAGGTTGTGCCGCTAAGGGTCTTGCCGCTTGCTCCGTCAACGTTGCCTGGGCTCGATGGGCATAGTGTACCGTATCTCGATGCCTTCCGGTATCACGTGGCCCCAGAGCTTTCTGGCAGTTTTTACATGGATTTCTGCGAGGGGACGATTCTTACTGGTGTGCACCAGGATGACTCCATTCGTCAGCTGGTGCTAGCACTTGGCGCCTTAACCCTTGCCATCGCTGATGACGCGCGGGATACAAAACAGTCTATCGTCCAATCGAAACCTTCGCCTCTTAAGGTTTGGGGCCCAAGCAGTGTCAAGAACAGAAATCACGCTGCTTCGCTCAAGCATTACCTCAAGGGTGTCCAAGGTCTCCGTGAGCGATTAAAGCTCGACCCGGCGCGCGTCTCTGTACGGACCATGACGGTCATGACGATTCTGATGGCCTTGTTTGAGATCTTGCAGGGGAATCATCGGTCGGTGGACAGTATACTGAAAAGTGTGACTGCTCTTCTAAACGAACATCTTGCGCATCAAAGGAGCACAGAAGGCAGCAAGGATGAGATCACGTCGGTTCAACATACATTCCTCTGCTTTTCTATGATGTGTCAATACTCACGGCAAATCATATCGGCCATACCGATCTACATGCAGATAAAGACAGTGTCTGCCACAGAACCGCCAGTATTTGGAGTAGACTTACCAAAGTCGCTTCTTGGTCGGTGGAGGTTGTTCAACAGTGCTATGATGGCGTATGTAGGGCAGGCCCATGATGTAGTGGCACTGAAAGACACGGAATTCATCAAGTCATTCCATCAACGTGGCCGAATTCTGTACAAACAAGCTTTGTCGTGGGGTGAAGTGATCCGGGCCTATCTTAAGAGTAACCTTGACGAGGGCCATCTCCACCGCCTGAAGCTACTGGAGATACACTGCGTCATAGCAGAGATTCACCTAGATTGTATTCTTGAACCATGCGACTTGTCATACGATCGGTACGAGAAGACATTCAAAGCTCTGCTTGACGATTGCACGGCGTGGTTGAAGCAGCAGGTACGCGATGGCGTTCCTCGTCATATCACTTTGGGAGAGGGTATACTGCTTCCTCTGTCAGGTATTGTCCGCCTATGTCGAGTTCACGATGTCCGCATGGAGGCGCTCTATCTCATGCAAAGTGTCACCTGGCAGGAAGGTGCTTGGGATCCTCAATTTCTCGCTCTAGGAGAGCTTGGTACCGTGGTGATGGAGGAGCGGGGGAGGGAAGAGAGTGGGTTTATACCGGCGTCTTCGAGGTGGCTTTGGGTGAGTAACGTGGATGGGGAAAGCGAAGGTGGCGATCCTCATGGCCTCTATGTTTCCAGGTTCTTGGATGAGAATGGACAGCCTGTTATACGTTTGATACCATACGACAGCGCATGGTGGGACGAGGTATGTGCTATTTCAGGTTGTGCGAAGGACCATGCTATGAGATCAAGAGAAGTGTTTCAAGGTGTCGAGGCTAGATAGATGCACCTAGTGGATTATACAAAATAATAATGTTCGGGTAAGTCTGGGAAGTATCTGGGATGCAGATTATGATGGCTGCATGTGTCAATAATAAGAGACTGTATTTCTCAAAACCTTCAGCAGGTATTGTCAACTTTCAGGGCCACCGTGTATCGAGCTTTTGCTAGCTGCTGGTAATTATGGAATGACCGACTTGAGCGACATGCGGTCAGAGGATGAGGAGTCTGTTATCAGATCAAAGGCAACAAAGTTGTGGCGGAGTGGTGTCGCCCTTTTGAGAACCGTTTAGATCGTGAACAGTCCGTCTAGATGCAAATGGCTGTACTGCCCGTATCAAAGAACATGTCATATTCTGCTCTAATATCTAAAGAACAAAGCCGCCGTGTTCTTAGCTAATGCAGAGTTCCACGTGACAGGTAGCTACAAATATAATTATTTAAAGATCTTCTGCATTAAAGCGTTTTGCTTCTTTATCTTTTTACAATCACCGCAGCATATCTACACCCGTTCATCCATCCCTCTTCTATACTTCTCTTTACTAGTCTATTGAACGACTTACAAAATGTCAACTCCTCACTATCTCAATCCCATCGCCATGCATGAACGTTTTATGCCATATGAGCTTGGACGTCAGTTCCAGCGCTTCCACGACGACCATCCCGATTTGCTTACCATGCTCACAGAAGAGGACTGGCGTTGGATTGTCGAAGTATGCACAAAGACAAGACCTCAACCCGGCGAGGAACGATACCCTGATGAGTGGACTGGTAGCACTGAGCCAATTAGCAGTGCATTGCCTCGTTGGCGTAGGTTTATGAGAGCTAAACATCCTTATAAGGGTTATATGATCGAACGATCCACGATTGGTAGACGCGCAAGATATAAGGATAAGAGCTATCGGATTCCCGGGAGGAACATGGACGATGATTCTAAGCCTGAAGGACAGGATGTGGATCACGAGGAAACCACCGAGATGAATCAGAACGCCGGGAATGACGACACATATGAAGTTGACTCTTAAGGGGAGGGAGTGGATCAGTAGGAAAGTTCCAAAAGAGATTATCAAGCTGAGCGGCACATCGACTACAACTCCAGCTCTGAGCAAGAGGGCATTGACTACGGCTATTCCGCGAGCGAATGGTGGAGATTGCCGCCAGGAACTGCCAGCATAATGATGCAGCTATCGAAACTGGCATCCCAGGGTTCAGATTATAAGAAGGACCATGGTCGTTCGAGAGGGGCGATTTATTATTCTGAGATTGTTAAGATAGATAGAGAATAGAATATTGGAATTCTGTGTTCACGGCCACATATCAGGCATATCTGTTGTGAAAAACTTATTGACCTCGGGCTAATGGTACAAAGAATAACCCTTCCTATGTGAACTATCTTGGTCCAACGCATATGTAATTCAATGCATCAGGTTCCCCATCCCCCTTCAAACCTGCTCAAACCGAGTACCATACAAAGTCTCGTCCTCAAAGATCAAAGTAACAAATATTGGTACGGTATTTATTCCCCGAGTGCGTCAGGAAAGATCGTCCACACGTCAAAGTCTGCGACTTTCCATTAAGAACACTCCCTTTGACCGTAAGACTCTGACCACTACCAGACTGAATCTGAAAGGCAAGCGTGTTGCCGAATCTCAGCGTCTGAGGACATCCAAACCGCTGACAGAAGTTTCTCAGCTCTGCATTGGGGCACTCATCTCCTCCACTCATGCCGGTGGGACTCTTGGTAGAGCCGTCGGCTCCTGTGGCGAGTGCCCAAGGACCGCAGCCGATACCGGGGATGTTGCCGCCGATGGGGGGTACGATGGTTGAGAAGTAGCCGATTTCGAGGTTGATTTTTGCTGCATCTGCAGCGGTGGCTGCGAGGGCGATGATGGCCGTGAGACTGGGGAAGTGCATGATGGAGGTTCTGTAGATTATGAGCTTTGAATCTTGCTAGGCGAGTAGAATGACAGACAATGGGACTCTTTGCAAGAATGACTGAAAGTGCTAGGTGGATAGAGCTGGTGTTGAGCGTAAGAAACCCAACGTCTCATGGGCTTGCAACGGCCTTTTTATAGCCGTCTGGGTCTCTGCAGTGTCTATATCTGCTCTTGCTGTCGATTCAACGGACGGAATGGACCGAGCTGAGGCGGCCGACTGGGCATCATGCCAAGCTTCAAAAACACATAATGAGACAGGTCCCCGAAGTGTAGAGCATCGCATATTCTGCATAAGGTCCACTCTGGAGATGACACGACCCATTATGGAGAACTTCTCAATTGGCTACTTCCGCACCTTTAGACTTCTAATCGCACCTTCAACTGGGTGGTTCTGAGATTGCTATCATGCTGGAGGTTGAAAGAGCTCCACGGTGGCAGTCTAGAGAGACTAAAGCATCTGGCTGACAACCAAGATATCAATAAAGACTTTTTAATAATATTAATATGATCCAGATAGATGAGAAGGTCAATTTCACGATTTACACCGCTGACTCACCTGCACTGTCAGCATTTGACATGGTTATGTAATGATGCCAAGCCTCGGCTCGGCTCGATGCATCTCAAGAATCCAATAATAAAGGAAATACTAGAAGAAAAAGAGGGACTCGGAACAATTTCAGCATGTCTCTTCAACGGGAACTTCAGCCTATGGTTTATTATCCCGGTGATAGATGTTCTGGACCAATCTCATATCACAGCAGGTCCACTCCAAAGCTCCGCCTAACCGCCTATTCACTGACTCTTCTACATACCTCCGCCTTTTCAGCATCTTGTGTCCAAGCCGCAACAAATCTTCAGCTACTTTACAATCACTCAATCAGGTAGATCTAGTGCCAACGCAGCAGCGATGCCAGTTGCGCAACCTCGTTCAGACGTCTTGGTAAGCGCGTCATTTGCGTTTTCGGGACTCCTCGTGATCTTTTGTGCCATATCCCTCAAAGCTTCGGGCTTCATATGGTTATACATGCCACTATCTATATTCCTGGCTGCATGGCAAAGGAGCGAAGTCTCTTATATACATAGCGCTTGTTGGGCGCCACCGAGAAGAGGACTTGCACCCCTTTCGATTCAGCATATCGCCTCAGGGCTAATACTGTTCAAGTGAGGATCGTCAAAAGTTTGCTTGGTGTACTTGATACCAAGACTCGAAACGTTGACGACTCTTGGGAGCACGAGGTCAGTAGCAGAGGGATGAGCATGCTTGCGAGGAGAAAGTGAGAGAGATGGTTGATAGCAAAGTACCTCTTAAATTCATCCGGCATGAGGATAAGTATTACACCTGTGTTGTTGAATAGCGCCTCGATCGTCTCTGTCGGCGAAGATGGCTGCAGCAGACTCACGATCGCTAGCTATGGATCCTAGATCTGTTTCAACGAACTTGATATTCATCGAAGCATTGACGTTATAGTTTTTCCAATTTTCACATAGCGCCATAATTATTTATTGAGAATTCCTTACCCGACAAGACAACGACCTGAAGAGAGGCTCAGCGTAGCCGTTGGTACACTAAACAGCGCTAAGTTCCTTAGTGGCCGGATCTAACGCCAGAGCCGCAATACTAAGGCTCTGAGATTTGTGGGTTCATTCGGACTTGGATCATAATCCATTATCTAATATAAAACGTCAGCTAATATTGCTACAGGCTACTCGAAAAGAGCATAGCTACCAAGCTTAATGTAAGAACGAGCCTAAGCCTTACTAACGTTAGAGTCAAGCTAACTCCGGATCGCATGGGAAAAGGCGCAGTACAATGACGTCACACAGTTCATTCGATTAATCCAGCCTTTCTTATCAAGATTCGACATTAACACCTGTTATCGTTTATTATGTCATTTAGACTTACTGTGCTGCCAGTTCGGCGACTCGGCGTCTTGGAAAGACCTCGGCATCTCGCCACCCTTTGTAATCATCGGCTTAGTGTAGCATCGAATACTCAAGAAGTAATCAAGTCGCTCTGTATTTAAGACCGCAGAATCTCAGGTTCGGGTCAGTTAATATCAGCAACAGTATCTCCATTCGAACTCTCATCATTCAAGATCACCGCGCAATCGCAAAACACCTACTTCAACCATCTTGCATATCCTCTAATGGCGGCCTCAACACCTATTCCCATCCTCACTATTTCCCTTGCTCGTTATCTCCACGGGTACGGCGCAGCCGAAAGTCTGGCAGAACAATGGTCCGAGACCAAAGTCCCTACTTCGACATCATCCCGCTTCGCCAACATCGGGTTTGACCTTGACGCCCAGGGCGCCAACCTCGGCGAGCTTGAGTCGCAGCTGAAAGAGAGGGAGTGGAGTGGAATCATCGTCGGATGGTGCTCTCGTGGTAACATTGAGTTCACTGAGCTATTCGAATCGGTCGTTACGATCTGTGTCGACTACATCGTTGAAAGGAAGAAGGGGGATGTTTCGCAGAAGGAACCGAAGCTGATCTTTTGTCGTGGGCCGGATGATTTCGTCAACGCGACGGTGCGCAATTTTCCCAATTGAGATTAAGAGATAAGAGTAGTCCTTGGTTTTAATAAACTGGTTAATTCGCATTGCCAGAAGGCCCATTATTTGGAAGGGTGGCGACTAGTAAATGGAGAATTGAGTTTGCAATCCATCACCTGTATAATCCTTAATTGCAGAGCTCCAATCACAATCCCCTCACTACAGCAGGCTTGAGCCTGTTTGTCTTCCGTAGTATAGTGGTCAGTATGCAAGCTTGTCACGCTTGAGACCCGGGTTCAATTCCCGGCGGGAGAGATCCAGCCACCTGCGGTACGCAGGTTTCCTTTTTCCATTTTTTGTCAATTAGAACCATTCTCATGAATTACAACGCTTATGATTTGTTTTTATCCTTTTGCAAAGGACCCCAGGTTTGATAATGTCCGAAAACAGGAAGTAAGCGGTAGATGTATGGCTCGCCATTGCCGATACTCCACCCGCAAAACCACAGCAGCCGCTCCGTCTCATCAGTCTTCAAACCTCCCTTATGACCATCAAATGAATAGTTCCAAGTAGAAGGCTCAATCCCATCTCTGGCCACTGAAATAGTCCCTCTAGCTTGTCCATCTTGACTTGTCGTCGATAACTTCATGGTGGTGAGAACATCGCTTCCTCCATTGGCCCAGAGTCCGGTGATCATCTCCTGTCTTCAACTCCAATGTCTTTTGCTGGTAGCCACTCTTTGCACCGCGTATATCGGCTCTCTGATCGCCGTACCAGAGTTCAATGCCATCGAGCCTATCGCCCGCGTGAAGAATGACTTTGTAATAGGACCGTGCTTTCTGAACAAATCTTCATGGTCAAAGTAGCAGACATCATAGCCTATCGACAAGTTGGCACCATCGCCCATCCAGCCTGGGAAATCCATCATCAGCCGTCGCACTGTGGTGTCAGTGATCTGGCCTTCGTCCACATGCGCAGAGTTTTCGGATCTTAAATCTGCATGGGGAGTTGGAAAGTACAAAGGCCAGGAGAAGGAGAGACTGAGGAGTGCTTCGACTTGTGCCTTGTAGCCGGTGTCAACCCAAGTCTGGAACTGCGTTCGCCGCCACTGGAACTTGTATTTCCCAAGTGGCGACATGTCGTCCCACTTGAAGAGCTCATCAACCTTTCGAAGGGGATTCTTGAGGCTGACCGCGTTGGCGTTGAAATACCCAGCATCATTCTCGTGCCATTCTTCTTTAATTTGATCCTTGTGATATTTGAGACACTCGGCGACAATCTGGTTGCGGGCGGTCAGGTATTTCTTGGCCGCATCTTCAAGGTCCTTCTTATGTTTTGCAGCTTGGTGATCCTCGTGTCCGTAGATCTGGCTATAAAACAGATGCTGTTCTCGTAGCACGGTCAACTGTAGCGTCCCGACAGAGACAAAGTATGCAAGGTTATCCCAGGGTGTTTTGTCATCAAAGTAGAACGGCTGATCATGTGATAGGGCCGTTACAAGTGACGTGAAATATTGTCCCTTCTCAACGCTGCCTGGTTCCTGATCAAGGTAATCTCTCATGACTTTGTGCAGTCCCTCAGTCATCTTACGCATATAAATTGTGTTATTTTTGTTTATTAAGTCGGTCGCGACGACTTTGACCTTTGTCTTCAATATCCTCCCAGACAAGGCCTTTATTTTCTGGGTCAGGCCATAACGCTGAAAGAAGACCGGAGAGTAAACCTCCCACGACAGGAACAAACCTGATACCTGCTCCAGTCGTGACTTTTAGTGCTTTGTTGACATTTTTGGCGTTAAAGGTGTCGTTGAAGATATTGTTGTACTGTAGCGAATTTCCCCCGATTGATTGGTCGGGAAAGGTAGCGGCATGAATGCCAGTCAACCTGGTGAACAAATCGCCGACGACGGCGGGGACTGCATCAACGATGTCTTCGGGCTTGCTCATGGTGAATATGGAGCCAGCGGTCTGAGGGGACTGGTGCTCCGATGGAAAACTATAGGAAGAGCTAATAGAGGGATTTAAATAAACGAGAGACCCCGTTTTCGCAGATATCACCTACAGTTAGAAGTAAGATAAGTCAGATTGCGGGGTATAGTGTTCACTAATTATTTTAATTCAATTTTCTTGTCTCAGTTGAAGGTCTACATCTAAAAGTTATGCCGCCAGTCAATATCTTGCCTATGCGGAGTAGCCAGAGTCTAGATCTTGTCATTCGCCGCTAAGATCTACCTAGCTCGTAACTTTAGATTAAGCTTGTACAATCTATCGATTCTCCCCCGGCCTAAAAGGGCTTTTTTAGGCACGTGTCGTCTGTGAATGGCTAGCTGAAAGTTGTCTTAAGTCTGGTATTACTAAACGCTTTCCAACCGGGGCATGCCGACCTCGAGCTCTGAGTTTTAGTGGCATTAGGCTTCTGCGTGTTAGTTAAGATGGTTTTTAGTTCAGCAAGATATTTGAGCCTGCTTTTTTCGTTTTTTTGGGCATTTCTCTTACGATTGTATGTCTACGTTGCCAGATGACCCTCCAAACACATATTCACAGAGCAGCGGCTAGGTTATGATCACCGATTCTATTCTTTGTTTCTAACTGTGAACCTGCCAGTATACCTGCGCGACTCAGACTCGTATACTAGGACAATATTATTACACAACCAAGTTTCTTCCTCTTATCATCATTGCTAGATCTAAGCAGCCACTCCTGCAAGGGCGTTGGGCTCGCCAAGAGCGCCCTGAGGAAATCGAGAGTTGAAGCCAATAACAGACTGAACGCTGTGGAAGGTGGATGTCTTGATGGAGAGCTTCTGGTCGGAAACGAGCCATCGGACACCCTCGCTGCAGGGGGGAGTTGTGAGAGATCCCTCGTATCTATATCGATTGTTAGCATGGTTCAGGTGAAAGCAGCAGCTGGTAAGACTTACGTTTGGAAAGATCCTGCAGCAAGAGTGCTGACCAACTCAGCCATGCTAAGACCCTTGGTCTTGGTAAGAGTTCCAGGCTCAGAGATCTCACCAACCGAACCGAAAACAGTTTCGAGAAGGTTCGAGGCAGTAGTAGCAGCGGTAGTGGGCGCGTTGACATGGAAGAAAGAACCGCCAACACCAGGAAGTTGTCGCTTATCCTTGCCCTTGGTCTCACTCTTGCGAACGACCTTGGTAAAACCATCGCGCTTACGAGCAGCAGGGGTAGCAGCAGGAGGAGCAGGAGCAGTAGCGTTACCAGCAGGGCTTCCACCAGCACCATCCTCAACATCGATAAAGACGCCAACGACAGCAATCTTGGCGTCGGCGCTCTCCCAGACCATGTGCATCTCCATAGCCATACTCTTTCCAGCATCCAGATGTTCGCTTGGCAAGTGGAAATGGAACTGCTGGAGAGTAAAGCTGTTGTTTTGGAAAGACATGGTGCCCTTTCCAGCGACGACTTCGACGGTTGTACCGAGGTTCTCGAATTCGGCGCCTTCGAGCATATCGGGAATCTCAAGGTTCAGCTGGCTGGCGGGGACCATGGCGTTGGCGCCTGCGACCATGTCGATGGGAGATTGGTTCACGCCGGTAGAACAGAGAGCGTTGGCCTGGGGGTCGAGAGCGACCCAGTTGGTAGGGCCCTGTAATTGTCAGCATCTCCAATAACTGTAGGCTTCTGGGTACTTACAATCTTGCCAGTGTAACCGAAAGTGTTAACCTCAACCTTGCCGCCCTCAGCTCGCGGCTGCAACAGTGTACCATAAGCACAACTCGCAATCGCCTTTGAGGCAAAAGCACTCAAGAGAAGAGCCCGTAAAGAAATGGAACCAGCCATGATGATTATCCTTGACAAAAAACAAAAAGTAAAGCTCGGCTGTAAGTACTCAAAAGACTGAAACAAATAATATTATCCACTTGACAAAAAGAGGCCAGCCTCAAAGAAGAGAAAGAATAAACAGTTTAGAAAACAAAGAACAGAATAATCGAACGATGATGAGTAAAAATCAGCAGGTTGAGTGACAGGACATTGTTTTAATAGAAGATCTGGGTTAGCTATAGTAAACAGGTTTTAATTGAGTAGAGGTCGAAAATAGAATCGGGGCGGTAGTGTTGTTTCGTGAGGTATGCTTAAGGTAACCTTAAACCTTGACGTGTGGAGGTGGGGAATAGCGTGATTCACGCCGCAGGTCTTGTCGCGACGAGGAGGGTGAGACTCTCCCGGTCTCGGATGCCAAGGACTCAACGGCTTCGTTTGAAGCCTTGGGAAACGCCAAGACGGAATCATAGGAGCTCCTTTTATATTGCTATCAAGACTTGCCATACTCTGGTGATAATAAGTATAAATGAGGCCGTCAAAGAGATCAAGACATGCATTTGTCTCCTCATCAATTGACTCTAGTCATCCCATCTCTTGGCTCCAAGTCAAGATGAATCCAACAAGATGAAACATCCCTTCTCTTATCATCGCGATAAGAACTAAACTCCCAGCGCTTATAAAAAAAAAAAGACTCGCGTCTAGACTCTCCCCTCCAACCATAAAAGTAGCAGGTCCCGTTGCAAGGGGCGCAACCTCAAACCGCCTCGCTTACCGAACTTTTAGTGCCATTACAGCTTACCATCCAGGGCACGATGACACACTAAACCAGGGGCCCAGGGGAAACATTAGGGTTATGGTTATAGTTAAAGATAAGAATCACGGCAATTAGTACAAGTTCAGTTAGGTGTCAACGCTGTTTGTTGTAGGGTTGGTGTAATTATAGCTCCTGTCGAAACGGAAGTGATGCTCCGATATAAACGCTATCCTGTTTTGATTGCCAAAACACTGTTTGGCACGGGAAGTTGGGGGTTTCTGAACGAGGTCTGGACCTTTTAGTGCACTGTCACTGTATGGGTTTGCAAGTCTGTTTTGTATTGTCGTCCGAAGGTTGGAAATACTCAAATGCATGTGTCAATGGTATCTCGAGCTTATCGAATAGGTGACATTATGCCAGGCAGGGGATCTTGCGATCGTCAGGAACGCATAGCCCAATAGTTCATGGAGGTCGAAAACCGTGTGAGATAGAGGGTGGCTTAGCGGTCGGCAATCTTTGTTGCCTGCATCCGCCGTCATTCGCGTCTCCGGCTATGTATGTTCCGACCTTGACCACGTCATCCACAATGAGCTCTTGAGTGCGTTCAATTGAGCCTCATTGGTCTTGCAATATCTCGTCTTGGCAACTAGTAATTGGCCATCTTGTAATATCGGCAGGTAACATCTCTTATTCTTGTAAATCTTATAATAAAGAATACTAGTAGGAGACCATGGTGGGGGTTCATTGGTGAAAGAGAATCGTAAGCTTGTACCCTACACCATTACACCAATTTTCGGCTCAGGACCCACCAGAAGGCTGGCTGGACTCTGCTAAGTCTAATTAAGAGTCAGTCGACGCACTCATATTGCTAATCAACCATAAAAGAGATTCAAATTGCAGTCCATTGCATTGCACTGAACAACTCTGCCACCGCGCCCTGCACGCCTTTGCCACGCGATAGTTTGTTCTCATGTTATAGAATGTCTCACTAGACAGGCATTGAAGGTATTTTGGTAAATACTGAAACCCAAATACTGTCGCTGTCGCACTATTCAATCTATCGCGGCGCGTGGCAGTGATGATAAACTCAATTTTGATCAGCTGAGACATCAAAAACCTTGTCGGTGTGGCTCAGTTGGTTAGAGCGTTGGTCTCATAGCACGAAGCTTGATTTGATCCCAGATCAGAGTAATCCAAAGGTCGAGAGTTCGAGCCTCTCCACCGACAAACCTTTCTTTTGCCCTTGCTAGGTAGGACTGGATTTCTTTTTTACAAAATGCTTAAATGATGTTCATCTTAGGCTCTCAGTTTGTCGGACACTTGTCCCTTTTCCTGCTTTGTTATCGGGTTTGGTATGTTAACAGGACAGCCAATTTTCTCACGCGTCACGCTCCAATCTCAACGCGTGTATCTATAAACGATGAACCTGCCTGGCCCAAAATGTCGATGCAGGGCCTTGTCCATGTGTGAAATGAGGAGATAATGGGTGGTGAAGAACAGAACGTTGGAACAAGCCGGGACTTGGAAATGGCAGGGATACACCCAAGAGGCAGTGACACTAGCACTCATCCGCCAGAATTGCGTGGTGCGCTGTTAAAGCACTGGCAGATAAAGGTCACTTTGCGGAATTGCGGGGTGCACCTTGTATACTCCTAATTCCGCGTTCACGACGCCACACAATACTAAACTCAATCGTAAAAGCCACGTTTTAAAGGCACTCAGCATCTTTGCCGCTTTTTCCAAGTCGTTAACGTTCATCCTGACTTTTATTTATTTACTCGCTACGATGCCGTCATTTCAAAACCTCCCACCAGAAGTCACCATCGCAATTCTCAAATATCTCAATCCATTCGACCTATTGTCCGTCCTCCAGACTTTCAACAAAGCACTATACAGCGCGGCAGAAGTAGCATTCAGGCCTTATAAAGAATGGACTCGCAATGCGCAGCAAATGGTAGCCTTGTTTCCCCCGCGAAGCATCCATAGCACCCGTCGCCTCTGCCCTTCATATCCATCTCACATCCCGCCCTTGGATCATGATAATGTGTCAATGAGCGAAGAAATTCCAAGGAGGGATTACGAGTCCCTATCACTGGAGCTTGGAGATGGACCCTATATTCGATGCTCCCCGCCCGATCTGATAACCTGGATGAAGCTCGATGACTCATTCGAGTGGCTCGAACCTTTGGATGAGGATATGGCGGACGAGATGCTGCCACATAACGGAATTGAAGGCGATCGGCCTGTAGCGCCAAAGGCGGATGTCGATGCTCTGGTCAAGCAAGTCAGCGATTTGGGCCTTGTCCTTCCCACAGGATTTGAGGCATTTATGCGAAGCGACAGGCTTCATCAACGGATCCCGAGCGCTTCGGCCTGGTACTTCCGGCTGTCGAAGCTGATCAAATGCCCGGCCGCCATTGATGACGATCAGGGAGGTTACTTGATCCGCTTTCATTTCGACCAGCAGTCTTGCGCCTTTGCGTATTTGTATCTGAGCAAGTCCGGATGTCATTGTGTTTTGGTGTCCACGGTTGACGTGCCCATGTGCCTCAATGAGGATGACGAAATCAACGGAGAGCAATTGGATGGAGACAATGAGGGAGAAGATATCGATGAAGAAAGCATCGACACCAGCGAGCTTACAAAGGAATATTTCTCCCTGGCTGGACTTTCATTCGAGGAGTATCTCGTAACGGTCTACTTTGAGGGACTACTCAGTTTCCAGGCTGAGTCTTTTGAGGGGCTCGAAGATTTTGTCAAGCATGTCTACCGTTCTCCTAGAGAGGTTGAACATCTACGCGAAACAAGTAAGTCAGATAAGGAGTCTCGTGGAAATAACATGCTTACCAGTGCCTAGATGAAGCTATCAAGGTGTTCCTAGATGCGCAGAAGTGGAAGGGAGTAGAGCATTACAGGCAACTTATTAGTGATTAAGCCTTCTTTTCCCGCTCTCTCCTCTCTTATCGCTCGTCGATACTCACGCAGGGATATTGCGGATGTATTTTAATCATCACGAGCGGCTAGTGGAATTTGATACTTAGAAAAGACCGGCCCCTAACTTGTTTCCCATGGATACCAGACACAAGAGTGGTACGATTGCGTTGAGGTGGGTCTTATGGACAAGCTGTTGGATACTAATGTTGCCTAGATGGGATCGATATCAGACTTGGCTAGTGGATATGCCATTGGATATTTTACATCGTTATTTCTAGGAGAGTGAGACTATAAAGCAGACAAGTATGTACTCCAGATCATACCGCTCGTCAAACAGAGTCGGAACGTGACTCCCCAGTGTTTTCCAATCAACATTATCCAGGCCACGCAATGCAAACACGTAATCCCAATACACGGGATACCATCCTGCCCACTCCCAGTCCAGAATAGCGACTATACGACCATCGCGTATCATGATGTTCCTCGACGAGATATCACCATGAGTGAAGACAATGGGATAGTCTGCGCCAAGCTGCTTCGTCATCTGGGCCCAGTGTAATGACTGCTCCTCTATCCGTTTCGGAGGCCGAACAAGCCATTCCTGAAATGATTCAAGACTTGTGAATGGGCCACCGGGTCGAGTCATCATGCTAGGAATCACAGCGCCTTGTCCATCGAAGCGACCGATATAAAACCCCTTGAGGGCACGCAGTTGTCCCAGGTAGTCTTTCAGCTGGTCCATGATCGCAGTTCGCTCATGTGGTTCGAGAGATGGCCATGCCTCTTTTAACGTCTGACCCTCGATATACTCCAGCTCGATGCGATCCCAGTCGCTGCTGATGACCTCAGGAACAGGAATTGTCGTGTTTTCCTTAATGAACTGCAACACCAATGCTTCATTTGGTTTATCGTTGACGCCCATACCATCTGGGTGAATCGCGTACTTGGTCACGGTGTTGCCATGTCGGACGATGTAGCGCTCGGTGGACTTGTATATATCACTTCGCCTTCTGGGTATGGGGCTGCTGTTCTTGGAGGCGGTGGAGAGTCGCCGTACATGGCGATTCGCTTCTCCCGCCTCATCATTTCCTGCAGTCGTTTTGACATTGTTTTTAAAGCTTGGGCAGGTAGAAGGAAATTAATGCGATCAAAGACGGCGATTGTCAAAGAGACAGAGCGAGGGGTGGAGTTTGATAGACTGATTACAACCAACAAGCGAAAATCGGGTAATTTCCTGCTAAGTGAAATTAAACTGTTTATGTGCAAACAGCAACAAGTTCATTTCTGTACTCAGCGGAAAGGTCAAATCAGTTCATGGTGTCAAAATGCAACTTGATGCAATTATGAATAATAAATTTTCTTTTTGCAAAAAGGACAAAAGAATGTTGACAAGACTGGGATTCGAACCCAGGCCCCTTTCGAGACTGCGAATCGTCACTGGTTTGAATCAAACCTGAACACAGCGCCTTAGACCGCTCGGCCATCTTGCCTTGTGATTGGATAGTGAGCTCCCCGTAAGCTAGATACATACTGCTGCTTTGACTTAGCTGGCTGTAGCGAGGTATTTGTTCAGATAAAGTACTTCGTGTCTAGAAAGGCTTGATTTGTTTTACTTGCCTTGAATTCGGGCAATTATATTAAGCCTGAGCATTGAGCACTAATCTTGAGCTGTCCTGTTCATATGGTATTCACAAGGTTCTGCCCGATGTCGGCGCACAGCTTAACACTTATAATGACAAGCATTGTTCACTGAGGCTCTCCTGCGGAATTCCCCGAATTCAGCCCGTGAGATCATGGCCATAATGAATAGACACCTGAGTTCACTACTAGCATTATAGCAAGCCCTTCGCAGCTCTATACTTTCGTTGTCGAGCTGCTGTGATGATTCATGTCATTGTGAAATGTCTGGTGAAGTTACCCTATAGAAACAGGGGATCATGGTCGTGACATAAACGTGGTGTTTTCGCGTCTGTGCACCAACGCGGTCCGCACGCGATCACGTATCCCAACCTCCTCATTCACAATATCCATATACAAGACATTCACCATTCACATTAGTCACGTTTACTTCTATCGCTGGCGACATTTAGCTGCTTCTTCGAGATGCAGTTTTACGCATCTGTTGCAGTTAACTTGAGCTTCGGGTATCTTGCCGAGAGTGCCAATAATTTCGCTCCTTCTGAACACATTTAATGATGAGCACGCGTCAAAATACGGTATGAGAATCAGATAAAATATGTACAGGTACATAATACATAATGAAACAGTCCTGCGCAACGCTGTTATACGCGTGCATAATCCAGCCATATTAGCTCAAGTCATGGGTACATTGACCCGAGATGAGAAGAATAATTAAGAAATAATGCAAGGAAATCGCGCGCTTGATGATTATCATCGTACACTCCATGATTGATCATACTCTCATAGAAGCAAGTGCTTCTGATTATATACCATTTAAAGCACCGAACTAAACACCTGGGGGAGTGAAGCCAGGAAGCTTGGGCCAGTTACCAAGCTCGCCGGGATCACCGCCAATTCGGACCCAAATGGCGTGCGAGGGAGTAGGTCCATCGAGCACAAACATCTGGTACCAAGAAGGAGGGCTGATGAAGGCATCAGGAGGAGCTGTCACGGTGCATGTCTTGCCACTGCAAGAGACATCAGGGAACAGAGTGCGCTGACCCATGCTGACACCGTGAGTAGCACCAACAGAGGCCATGAGAGAGACACGCATGTTGGCAGCACCCTCCTCCAGATCGGAGGTGAGAGTGAAAGTGTAGCTCTCACCATAGACCCAATCACGGTCTGTGAGGGTGAAGTTGGGCTGAGCAGCACCAGAAAGCAGATAATCGGGCCAGAAGTACTCGATACGCTTCTCCTGAGGATGCTTGCCCTGATCCTGAGGGTCAGAACCAGAGACGAGAATCTTTCCGTCACTGAGGAGTACAGCTTCGGAATGGTACATGCGGGCGATGGTGGTGTTGGCAAGGACGGTCATGCGCTGACCGAGAGGCTCCTCGGGGTTGTACATGACCGCGTTGAGGTTCGAATTGTCAGCGAGACCGAAACCACCACGACCGACTTGTGCGCCGCCAAGGATGAGGTAGCGACCGTCAGGGAGGGCGACCATGTTGGGCATGACACGCTTGGAGGGCTGTGAAAGTTAGTATGAATGGCAGAGACGGGGGATAGAGGATGCTTACCATGCGCTCGATGACCCAGTCAGCATCAGGGGTATCAGGAGCCATAAGGACACAGTTGTCAAGAGCCTCATTGCCGGGCTCATGAGTAGTACCACCGCAGATGAGAACCTCAACAGGGTCGGTATAAGGAGCCTTCTGAGGCAGAACCATCATAGTACCCTGAAGAGGATAGTTACGACCAGTCAAGGGGTTATCAACCTGACCAGGCATATCAGGCAGCTTCTTGATAGACTGAAAGTCAACCTGTGAAAGGATACGAGACTCATTGAACTGAGTAAAGAAGATACCACCAGAAGGCAAGATGGCCATATGAGGGTACGAGTTGGTTCGACCAATGTTCTCAGCACGCTCAAGGTAGTCAAGGTAAGTCGACTTGGTTACACCAGCAGGATGGGGCAGAACCTCAGCGGAGGGAACGATGGGAGCATCAGAACCAGACTCTCCACCCATAGCAAGAATGGAACCGTTGGAAAGAACAATGGCAGTGGGGTACCAGCGGGGATCAAAGAGACGCAGCTGCGTGTAGTCTTCTTCCCAGACATTGGTGCCATTGTCAACTCCCTGAGGCGAGTCAGGAGTGAAGAAGCGAATACCGTAGACCGACTCAGCGGACCATCCACCGATGTTGATGATACGGCCAGCCTTATCAGGAAGAGTGAAGGAAGCAGAGCAGAAGACATCAGTCTTGAGGGCAAGTTCACGGTAGGTGTTGGTAGAGTAGTCAAACTCGAACGAGCCCTCAGTATCATCATCAGACGTACCGTGCTTCTCCACAAAGACAACCTTGTCGTTGATGCCGACAGAGCTGATGAGCGGGATGATGGGGGAAGTGGAGAAGTGATCATACCTCCCCGCAGCAAGTCCAGAAGCGTAGTGGAACGTGTTGAGCGACGTGCCGGTCCACTCGTAATAGCTGATGTGATTGCCCGCGCCGCACGTGTAGTTGCGATTGCCGGGACAGGCCATGCTGCAGAAGCTGTCGTCCTTCCAGATATCGCCTTTAGCCTCAACTGCCTTCAGGTCGCCACAGACGCACTGGCGACCGTACTCAACACCACCAGCGGAGTAGCCGAACTTCTGGCAGCGCTTGAGACAGGTTGGGACGGTCATGTTGCTGGTGGCGTAGCTGCCGGAGTCTTCGTACAGCCACTCGAGCACATACGGGTTGTTGTTGTCAAAGACACAGCCCTTATACTCCCAATCGCCAGGGAGGTCATCTTCTTGAGCGACGGGAATGGGGTACACTTCAAAGTCACCGCTGGAGTAGAGCGATAGACGATTGCCAGCACCGCACATCTGGCTGTCATCGCCCTTGCAGGCCATGTTGCAGTCCGATTCCTTGGTCTTGGACGCAGCATTGTTGAGGGCGTTACCGCAGTAACACTCCTCAGCGTACTCCAGACCAGCGATCTTGAAGCCGTTCTCAATGCAGGTGGCGATGCATTTCTGAGGTGTCTGGGAGGATGAAGTGCCGAATGGGGAAAGAGCACGGCCGGGAGGGTCAATGTAACAACCGGCATAGGACCAGTCGTCAGGAAGATCAGTGGCGACGGGGCCGGTAGTAGCGGTCGCAGAGCCAGTGGCAGAAGCAGTCTCGGATGGCTCACCAGAGGGCACAGCAGTACCTCCGGCAGAAGACTTGCCAAAGACAGTGAGTCTGTCACCAGCTCCACAAGGCTGATCGGCATCACCAGTGCAGGCCATGCTACAATCGGCCTCGGGAGCCTTGGTGGTAGGTCTCTTGCTACCACAGACTGAGACAGTCAATCACCATTCAACAAACATTTACACACAAGAACCATTACTTACAGCACTCCTGGGCATACTCCATGCCAGCGAACGCGTAGCCCAGGCCAACACAATGGGCCACGCACGTCTCAGCGGTCAGACCCTCAGTGTCATAGTGCACAGGCCCATCGAGCGCACGCTTCGAGACGCTGTCAACATAGCATCCCAGGTACGTCCAGCCGTCTCTGGGGGTTTCAGGCGGTGTCAGATCCCTGCGGACGATGACACTCGCGGAGGAGGACAAGTGAAGGAACGCTGCACCGAGTGCAGCAAAACGCAAGAGTGACATGGCGGATAAACAAGAAAGCAAGGCAATGAAGTGGCGTATAACGAGAGACTGTGTAAACAAAGAACGAATGTGATCTGGGTTTCCAAGGATTATTTCCCATGCAGAAACATTTGAAGTGAGATTGCGGCGCCTTGACGTTATATCAGTTCGGACGGCCGCTGGGCGATAACGGAATATTCTCAGGTATATCACCTGCCCACATCCCTTTACTTTCCGCTTCAAATCTTACCCCTAAGAGATCTCGTGTTCATTAGCTTACTGTCAGACCATTTTTTGCTTTCCAAGAGCAATAAGATGCTGACTGCTAAGACAGAAACACATGCAAAAAGTGAACAGCGGTGGATGCATGCCAGAAGCTGAAAAGGCATATGCACGCCTACGGGCGCGTCGACGCAGGAGAGCATGCCTTGTGATTAGAATATTGGATACATCAGGCCAGTCTGCACCCACGGGGTCTAGATTGCCGAGCCAGACTTGGCAGAAGCCGAGCTAGACTTGGCAAAAAGGTCCACGGAGGTCAATAAATGGAGGCTGCCTTGCTGCCAACGCATGCTCCATCCACGGAGTCTGACTCTTTGATCGACAGGGTCAGGGCCAACGATCGAAGCGGCTGACAGTGGACTAATCTCCTCGATCTGGTGTGGCTTGCGGTAAAATGCGCTGGGCCCCTGTTGAACCTTTTATCTTGGCGACCCTCCGAGACGCTTGAAGTGGATGTGCCGATGCAACGTTGGCCACTAACCGAGGACTAATAATGTAACCCCCATTGACTCTTGGGCCTCTTGGCTACAGCATTCCAAGAGTGTAAACACGAGAACTCAATCAAAAGTTCTGCTGCAATGACAAGGGGGTAGAGATGCTGCATTTTATTAGCTGCAGCGTTATCAGACTTTTCCAGCGCGTAGCTATTTCGCTTGGCGGATGTGAATGGGGATTTTTTATGTAATATTTTTGTAGTGGTTGCTTCTGGTTTTAGTGATTGTTAGCGCCTGCGACAGTGCACCACAAAGCCGACGCTAAACCGGAGATTTTCGCCTTGTGAATCAATATTGCTTCGCTCTATGAACTATATGCCCTTTCACATATACACTTCAGTGGCTTGATTACCCGAGCGTCATTACCGCGTGGCTTTCGATAGTAATCTTTTCGTTTATCGCATATTATGCCATTGGGCTATTCACCCGCTCCCTAATGCACGCAGTCAGCATTCAGGGGTCCAGTAAGACGGCCGATGCAACGCTCTGCACGAGCGTATCTGGAACTCCATCCGATGCTGACCCCGAGATCGAGAGAGACACGTTTGAGATAAATAAGAAGTGATAGATAACGGATTTTTCGCGATTTCATATCTAACTGTAAGAATTTAGACCCAAACGATCCCCCGTTCGATGTAAGATTATAGGTCGAACCCAAAGCAAGATATCCAAGAAAAGATAGCACTATAGACATTATTCCGTAGATTATAACCAACACGCGTCTGCGACGCAACCACTCAGCATGCTCCCTCCTGCCACATCCTGACCGATTTAACAATCATACCGCGATCCTTGACGGGTCCCCAGGTCGGAAGCCAGGTATCATTCGCCTTCCAAAAGTCACGCATAGGGGTCTCGCTGCTATCAGCCCAGGGCTTATCACCGATTGCATCTCTGTAGCAAAGTGGGTTAGCCGAGACAGTTTCCCCGCACGTAAACGAGAGATCGTGAGCGAGATCAAAAAGTGGGCTTTGGTGTTGGGGTTGTAGGGGAAATGGAGAGACTTACGGGAACCAGCCGTTGGTACCGCCGACTGCGACGTTGAGGATGAGATAGAAGGACTCGTCGAAAGGAGTGTTTTTACGACCGGTGCTGCTCCATGGGTCAACGGGGATGGAGCCGTTGATGGACTCGCCGGCGAATTCACCGTAAGACCAGAGATTCTTGTTCTTGGTGAAGTCAAAGAATTGCACTTGCTGTGAAGAGTCAGTATCATCAATTCACAGGGTTTTGTGAGGTAACTTACTCTCAATCGACCATCGAGCCAAGTAAAGAGATACTTCTCACTCCACTCAAGACCGTAAACGTGAAAGTCCTCAGAGTAAATGACCCTCTTGCCTCCCCATTCACCATACGCTCTCCTCCAGCGATCATTCTCCGTAGCCGTACCCCAGTGCAGCGCCGACGACACAAGATTATTCCCCATGGGATACTTCCTCGCGTCATTGCCTCTACTCTCCGCAATGTCAATCTCACCTGACTTGGGCCACTCGCCGTAGACATCATCCTGCGGCATCATCCAGATGGCAGGCCACATCCAATCGCCCTTTGGCATACGCGCCGTGACTTCGACGCGACCATACTTGATTGTCTTTTTGCCCTTTGTGTTGAGACGTGCGGAGCGCACGGGGTTGATGATTTGGCCTAGAGTGGCGTTGCTGCGTGCTGCGCAGGGCCAGCGGTCGTTGGACTTCTTGATGTCTTTGGCGGTGCATTTCCCCCAGGTTTTGCTGTTGGTGGTCATGTTGACGGTGAAGCCGTTGAGGAGCTGGTCGCGCGTTATGTCTGTGCTTTCGAGCGTCATTGTAGGGACGATGTGAAGGCCTTGAGCGTCGACGTATGAGTTTGCCTCATCGTCTGTTGTCCAGTCAAAGGCGCCGTTTCTAAAAGTGTTAGTAGGCAATTGAGCAAAGGGCGACAGAACATACCCGAAGCCGTTCATTTGAACTTCATGATTCCAGTTGTTGAGGTTCTGGAAGGTGTCGTCCATGACGAGACAGTACTGTCATTGTTAGTGGTGACCACCTCACTAAATGAATCGTCTCAGTGAATTGGGTACTCACTTCATGATTGGGGACGCCGGTGGTCTCTTTCCAGCAGAGATAACCACCAATTCCTAGAAAGCATGTTAATAATTGAAGGCTTGTTACGATGAACGAGCCTACCGAGACCGATGAAAATGCATGTGTAAAAAATGGTGCTGTCCCAATTCCACTGCTTCTTCTTGTCCTCTAACCAAGGCTTCTCAAACTCGCCCTGAAGACGACTGCTCTTGAAGCGCCGACGCGGCCCAGTGACTAAAAACCGTCAATAACAGCACATTAAGCAACTGTCGAATGAACTCACTATCATAAGAAGATGTATTTCTCTGCGTCAACCGTCGCGATGCAACAGATTCCGCAATAGGCGTCGCAGCAACTGGTGTCGCAAACGGATTCTCAGTAGACTCAGCTCCAGGCGTCGCAAACGGATTAACCCGCTGAGACGAAGAGTCCTCAGCGGTCGTAGCAGTCCTCGAGCCTTCCATTACAGCGTGGGAAAAGTGGAGTACGCCAATGTTTAGAAAGGGAAAAAGGACCAGGGAAGTACGGGAGGTGATTAATTGTTCAAAACAGGTTCAGTTAAATGAGCCTCATGAAACTTTTATTTTCTCTTTGTCATTGTTCAGACTCTGATAGAGCTGAGAGAGTCTGTTTACTACAATACGAGTACCAAGACGAATCGATGCAGGGATTGTTACACCTGGGTCTGGAACAAAAGAGTAAGCTCATTTCTTCTGGGGTGATTATGCATCTCGTCCTGATACCAGCCGCGCTGAAATGCACGTACAACGTGGCAATCATGAGCAATGAAAAAAATTCTGTTGAGACATAACGGCATCTCCAAAGGTTCTCACGCCTTTGAGACTAAATCGCCGGCACGTTGATATCTCTCCGAGAGGCTTGTGCGCTAGGAGATAACATTGTGTCATGTCAGCGGCGCCAAAACGCCACATTTCGCGACTAACAATCATGATTCGTAGACTTCTTAATAAGGCTCTGCGGGCCGCAAGCCTCAACGGTCAGACTAAGAGAACCTTCCGCAAGGGTCTAAGTGGTCCGTTTGCGAAGGCAGGTTTTTTGCATGCGATGCTACCCCGTCGACCATGCCGCTAGACATCAAAGGGGAAGCTAGATCGTCTGCCCCTAGAACACATCCAAGGGAGTATTGTCAGGACCCTGGTAGCAAAAACGTTAAAACCCTGGCACCCTGGTCCCGGCCAAGATATTGTTACAGGGGACGGGACGTTATCAAGATTTTTCCAAACTCGAATTAACCACCTTCTTTGCCTCCCCCTTCGCTAACGGGTCACGGCCCGCGGATAACGCTATTCCCTAAACATAAACACCCTCTATGCTATCTCGCCCTGAAACGTGCCTTTGCTTATACGTTACAATCTACAAAAGTTGATCACTCTTCTCATTGGACCCTCGTCTTGGCGATATCTCAATGCCTAACCTTATTTTCTAATATTAGACTTATTTTTCTCTTGTCCTGGGTGGCGCCGGAGAAAAAATCACAGTCTAGTTTAATTAGACGCCGCACTGATACATGACGCTTCTGCGACCTTGCTCGTAAAAGCATCTGGATATTATCCACTCTTTCGTTCCCCCGTCCACCAAATGGCCTCTGATATCGAGGCCACGCCTTGTCATTGTCACAGACGCAATGGACCCGTCGTCAGCTTCACTCTGTAACATAGAGTTTTCTTCTTATCACGGTGGCGGGTACTCTATCCTCTCCTCGGTCATGACGACTTGGCATCAGCTCGCTAGACGTGATTCAAACGGAGTCTTCTCGGACCCGGAGCAGTGACTGTAATCAGGGGGGGCTGGGCTTAGATTCTGCAGCAACGGACAAGGTGCATGTACGGTTTGTGTTACGTGCTGGCAGAAAATGCATGGTCTCAACAAACGTGCAACGAAAGATACGAGGACGATGGGCCAGCTGAAAAAAACCAATATTGTGTTTGCAGTTGCGTCTTGACCGGGTCAGATATTGTCTGACGCTTACAGGAGATTCGAGACTCGAGACTTACAGCGAAGGTTTCATCTAGATCGCCGGATAAGCCGTGTGTAGGAAGTATTCATAACTTAGTTTTCCCACGGCTATTCTCTCTGCTCTGCCTCTCTCACCTTGGGCAACATCCCTCTTCTTCTACCACTCCCCCCACCCTCTTCCCCTGTAGAAGCAGAGAAGATCTTCACCTTCGCTTTTCCCTTCACTCTCGTTTTCTTGTTCCGTGAGACTCAACGTCTCCCACGTGAACCATGACTTCCGAAAAGTCGCAAATGGCTTCGGAAAAGTCTGCCTCTCGCTTCATAGAGTCTGGTGTTCTCCAACCGCCGAGTCCTACCACTGACGCTGCTACGCTCAAGAGACTTGAGGCTGGCGATCATGGCACGACCAAGACGTCGGAGTATCCTACGAGGAAGAGTCCCCCGTCGAGATCCGCTCACAGCTCATATTCGGGTACGCCTGCTGCAATGCAGATTCCCGACGCCGCGGCTGCGGATCTGCCTGTTGTAAGTTTCTACTGTCCATTTGAGTGGATTTGTTTCATATCGTCAACGTCGATTTTCCTCCCTTGCATACCGAGCCTGCCTGTCCCGATTCATTCCTGTCGTGGCACGGTAGATATTGCGCTACCTGTCTGCAATGCATCACCGTCGTCACAAATACTAATACAAATAGGTCGCGAGGTATATTGCCCGTCGCGCAACGCTCCTAGGATGGTTCGATGAACCTGCTGCTACTGCCATCACAAGCGGCTGGTCGTCAACATGCATTGCCCTCAAGAAGCCAGATGGCACATACATCTACAACCCAGATGACCCCAGCCCAGATTTGGTCGCTGCTGTCAACCGCCTCAATGAGAGTGCTATTGTGTCGATGGCCTCTGAGGTCACCAACTCAGTGCTTGACAGCATCAAGCCTGGGCAAGCGAGTCTGGTGAATGAAGACACTGGCGCTCGCATCCCCATCATTCCCAGTCTTGCAGATGTTCATGAGACACTTGTGCATTTGACAAGTTCATGCATCGTTGTCCAAGAACGATGTGTGCTTATTTGGGCTCACGAGGCGAGGACTGTTCTCACAGTAGCTCACAATGTTGAGAAGCAGATGCTGGGTTTCGTAAGTCTACCATTCCCCTCAAAGATTTGTTATCTAATATTTGTTGCAGATCGTTGGCCCCAATATGCCTCGTGGTCTTCTCGCCCAAACAGAAGAGCAATCCGTCAATGGCATGCCAACACCCGTTCGCGGTGCCATTGATGAGAGAAATGAGGTCTACCAAGCCGCCATCAAGGTGGAGGAGGGCGGTGAAGGAGATGAAGACGTTGAAGGCCAGGAGCTCAAGCGTCCGACTCTTCTTGTTCACTCGTTCCGAATTGGCATTGTTATCATGCTGGTGATTCTCACGCAGAGCGTGGGTGTTTCAAGAGTGAGTTATAACAATGAGCTGAGTGGTGAGTGATTACTGACGTTGAGCAGCTGATCCGACAATGGTCCTGGGATGGTGATTACAAGCGCTTCATTCTCTGCGTTGTCATTCCGCCTCTGTGCGTTCTGTCATTGGTAAGTACTTTTCGCCACGTCGTTGCGACAACTTACTGACTGGATCCAAGTTCTTCTTCATCGTTGTCGTCAGTAGCGTCTTCCAACTACTTCTACCAGCTGGAATCTGTCTGAGGAACTCAAAATTCCATTCTGGTGAGTACTTCGCTCTGACAAAGAAAACAAAACTGACACGAGGACAGCCATCAAGCCCAACCCCAAGCGCTACCGAGACTACCAACTTCCTCACATCACCGTTCAAATGCCTGTCTACAAGGAAGGTCTCCGAGGGTAAGCTCAATCTCATCTCAAGTTGTCATCTCATTCTGACTGACTTCTCAGTGTCATCGTCCCAACAATGGTCTCAGTAATGGCCGCAATCCAACACTACGAGAACCAAGGCGGCACCGCCTCAGTCTACATCAATGACGACGGCATGCAATGCATCCAACCCGAGCTCGCCGCTGCCCGCAAGCAATACTACCGCGAAAACGGCATCGGCTACTGCGCCCGTCTGCCCAACAAGAAATCCCCCAAGTCCAAGTCCTTCTTTTCCTGGTTCAAGCGCTCACCCCCCGTCGACCCTGAAGTCGACAACCAAGACGAATCAGAAGTCAGTCCTCAAGGCCGCGCAAACGAACTTGGTTTTGTGCGCAAGGGCAAGTTCAAAAAGGCTAGTAACATGAACTACTGTCTTGCTTTCTCGAATAGAGTCGAGGATGAGATGTTGAGACTTACGGAGCTTGAGTGTGAGAGTAGGGGTTGTGCGTATGAGGATTTGAGTGCGGAGGATGATGATCGGTTGTATGAGCAGGCGTTGCAGAATATGGTTGATGCTGATGAGGGCAAGACTTGGGCCGAGGGGAATATCCGCATGGGTGAGATCATCCTCCTCATCGACTGCGACACCCGTGTCCCTATCGATTGTCTCCTCTACGGCGCTCTCGAGATGTATGAGTCTCCCGAAGTCGCTATTCTCCAGCACGGCTCAGGCGTCATGCAAGTTGCGCATAACATCTTTGAGAACGGCATCACATACTTCACCGACATTGTGTACACAGCCATCAAATATGGTGTTGGCACTGGCGATGTAGCGCCGTTCGTGGGTCACAATGCGTTTTTGAGATGGAAGGCTATCCAGAGTGTTGCGTTTGTCGATCCCTCTGATAAGGTCACGAAGTGGTGGTCTGACTCGCATGTCTCTGAGGACTTTGATATCAGTTTGAGAGTGCAGATGGCTGGTATGGTATGTCGGTTGGCGACGTATCATAATGGTGGCTTTCAGGAGGGTGTGTCGTTGACGGTTTATGATGAGTTGAACAGATGGGAGAAGTACGCTTATGGATGCAACGAGCTTGTCTTCCATCCTTTGTAAGTCTGACAACTCTCATTGGTTCCGGATCTTTACTAACTCTTTGGCAGTTACAAGTGGCCCTATAAGGGTCCCGTTACTCGACTCTTCCTCCGTTTCCTGTGGAGTAACATGCCAGTTACCAGCAAGGTCTCCATTCTGGCCTACATCTTCACCTGTAAGTACCCATATTCACTCCAGTTCAGTGCCGGACTAACAGTCACAGACTACGCCATCGCTGCTGGTATGCTTCTCACTCTGGTCAACTACATCCTCGTCGGTCTCTTCTTCCAAGATCTCGACCAATTCTACACTCCATCTTGGGGTATCTGGGTCTCCCTCCTCGTCGTCTTCAACGGCGTCGCCTCCATCGCCACCAGCATGACCCGTCACCGTCTTAAGGAAAAGTCCTTCTGGGTTGCCATCCTCGAAGCTTGCAAGTGGCTTCCCTTCCTTCTTCTCTTCTTTGGTGGTATTAGTATCAACTGTGCCAAGGCCCTTCTATGTCACGCCTTTTCCGTCAACATTGAGTGGGCATCGACATCAAAGGAGCTGGGTCCTACTGGTATCTATATCGGGTTGAACAAGATGATGCACAGATTTAAGTGGACTTTCCTTATCTGCATTGTTATTGCAGCTGGTATGATGTACATGGCCTTTGGTGCACCTTGGGGTTGGACTATTGCTCCTGGCAAGTTCTCTGCTGGTACATATGCTATTGTGCCTTTGGCTGTGCAGGTTTCCTGCGCGTTTGCTCTGCCGCTATTCCTCGGCTTGACTTAATTGAGTATATATGAATGGTAGGATGGATGGGTTACGGTAACGACTTTAGATATACGAACTAGTTAGCTTAATAGATTATGTCGTCAAGCATGTCGACTAGGTAATGCAGACTCTGTGCCATTGCTCAATTACTCAAGTGAGAAATGCCCATGCCTGAAACACTCCTCAGTCTTCTGGAGACGGCTTGTTTTCAAATCCTTGAGTCACAATAGTGTCGTTGCGATACATCAATAAGAAGCGTAATTGGTTTAGTGGTAAAATTCTCCGTTGCCATTCGAGTAACGTCGGGGAGCCCAGGGTTCGATTCCCTGATTACGCATTGAAAATGAAGTCTGAGATGATTTCAATCTTTTTCCGTTGTTTCTTTTTGCTCTGTTGTTAATTTATAGTGTTGCTGGCGATGGTTATCCTAGCATCGTTGTGGCTAGTTTCTTCCATTTTAGCATTCCTTACCCACTACCCCTTCCTTTCGAATAAATGATAGCCTAAGAAGCATGGGATATAACCTAATTTATATTACTTATTCTTTAATATAAAGCAAATCAATAATGTTAATTAATATATTAGTTTAGCACTGGAGGTTTAGGAGGAATAGATAAGTCTAATTATCTGGCTTATTTCCCCCATGTTCCGATAAGAAGTTTTTCATTACATGCCAACCAACTTGAGATGCAAGTCATGCAACCAAGCATATAAAAATCCATTTCCATTCTCAGAGATCATTTCTTGTCTCTCTAAGCGTATCAATATTACAAAACACAGCTTATGCTCTTTGTTTCCTGCGAGCCTGGTTCTTGCCAACACCATCATACATGCCAAAGTCAACTAAACTGACTTCCCGCAGGCGCCACAGTTATCCTAGATCCTTAAGAACAGGTTTTAAATGCCTGTCACAGCTTATGGGGCCACATCATAGGAGCCATTATGCACAACGGCGTGTTTTCATCATTCCTTCTTCGCCAATGATGGAATCTACAAACAGAGGTGGGCACACCTTATGCGAGTCTCTGACCACATTAATGATGTAGTAACCTTCAATTACAGCTAGCAGGCAATCGGAGCAATGACGACCCCGTAAACTTGCAGCCAAGCCTTTGGTGTGGTCAAGAGACGTGTCGAGGCCCCCTAGGTGACGAGACATGCAGCCAACAGCATCCAGCACTCGCTTGCCTTTTCCTAATATCGAATAGCTTCATGCCTGGCTTACCTTACACCTTCCCTTATGGGGTACATGTTTCTGCTGTTGGGTTGCTATGCGTTGTAGTGGCTTCCACCAAGTGTCATACCACCATCACATCCAAGCAGATTGTGGACTACCTATTTTGGGCACCAAATCGTCAGAGCTTTCCCTGGGAATTTACCAAGGCAAGTTTCCTTATCGTTACGTTCGCGCTGCCTTTTGCGACCCATTCCTGCCCATTTGCGCTCTGTTCAGCGTTTTCTCACAGCATCTCCACGTCTTGTCCCGAAACAGCACTATGTCACAGATACCATCAAACTATCAGTGCAACTGCAAATCCTGTTCTACCAGCAAATATCACACTCGCTCAGTAGCTAAGTCTTGCACAAACCAAATATCGGCTAAGGAGCAGCACGCTGGAGTGCAAGCTTCATCGCAGCTGGGGTCACGGCAATCATCACACCCAGCCAGTGGCGGAAAGGGGCATCTGGTATCAAGGCTCATGCAGTCTATCATTCGTTATTGGACCTTTATGATGCTGGACCAGCAGGTACGCATAAGCCAAAGCCAGCCGGACGACATACCCTCCAGTCCTGCCACTACTCTCAGTAATGACAACACGAGCGATGGAGGGTCTACCACCAGTCTTTCCAAACGTGATAGATCCTCGGATATTGAAGAAGAGTCAGTGGATGGTTCAGTGAATGGAGGAGCGTCAATGAGCCAAACAGATCCCGCCTCGAATGAAGATGCAGATCTAACAAAGTTCACCTTAAAGAGTCTTTTGTTAGGTGAGGAACTCAAGAGGCTCCAAGTCTGGAAAACATCCTTTTCCAACGACGAGCTGGATAGACTACCTACTATCGACCACGAAGTCGCACAGAGTGTACTGAAATGCTTGACGAGTGTAGCCAACATACTGATTGAAGGGTCAAGTCAGTCATCACCTACTTCCAATCCTTGACCGCAGTATTCGCTGATACACCAACAGAGGAATGGCGAATCAGATCGGAGCCAGATGATCTTAAGGCTGAAGGGGTATTTCTAGAGAGTCTACTGGAAGAGATTGAGACAAAGGCATCGGAATCCAATGTCGAAAACGAGGCAATGACGGATTGTAGTGGTATTTCAGAGTCAGATGAATCTTACCTAACCATTGGGAATCCAAGCTTGATCAAAGATCTCAAATATGAGATCGACAGACTTCAAATGCTTTCTCACTCTTTGCGCCTTGGATTAAGGACCGGAGTCATATTTACGAATAGCTGAACACTCGATACCTTACATATATAAACCGTTATCAAATAAAACATTCCTTCGAAGAAAAGACACTGGGTTTCCAGGATATATATATACCATGTTCAAGGAGCTCTAGTCAGTAATCTCCTGGCATTCCATGTCATTCATTTCAGCACGCTTAACCATTTCCCTGAGAGGACTAATGACCGACTGGTAAAAGTTTCGCTGGAACATTTCATAGTCGCTTTGTTCATCGTCGCTGCTTTCGCCATAAGCCATGCAGTAGCGAACTGCCTCCTGGTATTGAACACTTGTCTCGGTTCCCAGGCGACTCAATTCCTTATCCAGCTGTTGCTGTATAATCTGCCCTTTGAGCTCCTTCCAAAGCCCAAGCTCCAGAAGAACATGTCCGAGATGGTACATGAACCTTTTTGGCCTTGTAGATCCGTGATCAAACATGGCGGCCCGCAGAAATGGCATCTTTTCAGATTCGATGGGATAGAATTTGATGTCCTGCGTACCCCATCCATCACCAAGCCATTCTCGCCAGCCATATCGGAGAGTCGCTTCGGCAAGCTTTAAAGCCAGTCTGAAACGGTTGTTTCGAAGCGATCGACTACGGTGGAACAGAGTGAGATAGCGCCGATATTTCTTTCTCTTCTTCGACTGCAGCCTTCTCTGATCCCCCTCCCGTATAATTTTGGAGAGAGTGAGAGGTTTGCAACCTGTCTTTGGTCGCTTATTCTCATCCAGGTAGAATATCTGGTGGCCGCTATCCCGATCAACAGCGATACACATGGCTAGACGATCGCTGCCTTGTGCAAGACTTCCAGGGCATACCTGAACCCGACAAAATTCGGCAACGTTTTGTGGTTGTATGCGCTGATTTGACGACAATGCAGTGCTAGATGAGTATCCAGAGTCACGGCGCCAACGTTGACGAAGCCCATTCATTACTGTAACCAAAGGCGAAGACGGCTCTGAGTAGACAGCATCACCCTCGTCCCCCGGGAGGACCAATCTGGAGTGAGCCTCAAACCAGATGTAGTCTCCCTTGTTAAAGTTGGACTCTATAGCAACGTGATGGCCGGTGATGGCAACGTCATTTGGATTGATACAAAGCGGCTCCTGTTCTTGAACTGGCACAAGTCCAACAAGAGCTGTATGTCCGTGTGCTTGCTCTTGGCCGTTCACTGGGCAAGCTTCGCACAAGTGACGATAGAGAGTTTTCGTGGCTGAACTTGAAATGTAAAGCCTGGTATAGCTCGTTGTTGATTGAGATGCTGGTTGACAGTTTGAAAGCCGGTAGACCAAGCTTTCAATAGCGGAAACATCAAATCCAATCTTTTCGATGAGCTTATCGAGGTCCTTGAAGATCCTTGAATTTCGAATTTTACGTTCACTTGATCGACCCTATCGCCCGTTAATTAGCGTTCTGATATGACAGTGGATTTGATTCTTACCCGACTTCGAGTGGGAACTCGCGAGAATGAACTGAGAGCATCCTGTAGTTTGTCACGTATACTGACAAGTCTATGTTTCAGATCCTCTATGCTTTTTTCACCTGTTGGCCCTTCGCTTTGCTGAGTCTTTTTCGTAGTTGTAAACCATTGTTCTACAAGCGCCATGTGAACCTTAATTCTCACTTTCTGATCACTGGCCTTGTCATAGAGCTGCTTCACACAAGTCGCCTTCATGTGAGGAGTTCGGTCTAGCAGTATTTCGTATTTCTCCATTAGACTGCCGTTGATCTCACTGATGTAATGGAAATCGGCCTCTGAAATACCCGGTGGCAGTTCTTGTATGACCTCTAATTCAAAATCTTCATCCTGATCCTCGTCAAGAGCCGGAATCTGTCCAAAATAGAAATCTTCCTTGATGGTAGATGACGTTGAGGCTACTGCTTGAAGGGGACTAAGATTCAAGGTTTTTATGACAGCTTTTCGAATCTCTAGTCGGTCTCCGATGGCTCCGTTGACTTGCAACGAATTGTGATTTGCTTCGTTTCCAGAAGCATGGTGAGAAATCGTTTCAGAGTCCATTTCGAGCTATCTAATAAAGCTGGCGTCGAATAGAACATGGAAAGGGTGTGGGGGAAAAGAAACCAGCAATACATATGACAGTTTCATCAGATGATCAGTTGCACAAGTAGGCCGAAAGATAAGTCTGGGACCCCAACAGCCCCGAAACTTGAGGCTCGGTCTAGTGGAGGGAATCAAATGCAGAAAGGCGAAGCCCCCACTGATATTTTCAATGGTATGCATAATAGTTCGCAAAACAATATTATCATGCATGTCATCAAATAGTAGTCAGCCTGGTTGGTTGCCCAACGTGACGGGACTGCATTGCATTGCATTTACACGTAGCTTTGGAAACCAGCCCATGAGCTTTGCTTACACCACGATAAATTAACCCCTCTTCTGCCAAAAGCATCGCAGCCTACCGCTGAATGGGTGTACATCTTTCCAATCAAGTAGCTTCAAATTGAACAGCTGATCAAAAGGTGTATTTACTCGTGTGCGGCTGAGGAAGAAGAGCCAACGTGGCCGTAATCAATACCAGTCAGCATGCATGCCTTGAGGGAGGGCGGAAATTCCCTCTGCAGTCTTTTTAGCCGCATCAGTGTACTGAGTTTGTAATTTGAAGTGGCTGTAGGCCCGGACCCGTTGTTCTAAATTCTTTGGCTTTCAGTCTGCCTAGCCACTTAGCAGTAAATCCACTTTGCCAATACTTCCATCATGGTGACTTTCATTTCCAAATACACTTTGTCTGTTATTGTGACTAACGCAATTATACTTACAGATTGACCCTATCGGAGCAGTAGCAGCCGCTACAGCCTCAATTGATCAATCCCTCAAGCTTATCCGACGAGTCTCTACGGCCATCGAGATCCATAAGAATGGCAGGAAAGACCTAGAGTTTATTTTCGAGGACCTCTCCAGTATTGCCCAAGTTATAGAACTTGTCCAAACCATCGAAGCAATCAGAACCAAAGGAGTTCTCAAAGCCTTAGCAAATATGCTAAAACATGCTGAAAAGCTAGATGATCATGTCCAACAGGTCAAAAAGAAGTTCAACACCGGCTCTTCATTTCGTCGCGCCACTCACCACTTCATGACTGGCCCTGAAGATTTGGAGCATACCAACAGAGTGGTCAAAGAGCTAGCATCTCTAAAGACCACGCTCATCCTTCATATTCAAGTTGCTCATGTTGGCCTTGTTGTTCAAAATGATCAGGACAAGCGGGCAAACCCGGGTTGCACTCACATGTTGGACAGTTCGGTTCTTCATGAGGTCAATCAAGTTGTTGAGCAGAGACTCGGCAAGGGACAGGGGCTGAAGATAGCTGAAGTCCTTCGAGGCAAGAGCGCAGACGGTATGCATTGTGGCTATTCTGTCATGGCAGATAGCTAACCTAGCTTCATAGATGATGGAATGATTCGCCTTTCGCAAGAGGAGTATGAATGCCTCGTATTTCATAGCTTGGACGATAGTCAATCCAACCAAGAACTCGGTACGTCATGGCCTGATGGGACATCGTTTGGGAAACTGATACTACGCAAGGTACAATTCGCGTTGCCAATAACCAAACCTTTGATCAAGCGTTGCAAATCAACGGATTTATAAGCGACGACTGGATGGAGTTTGCTCAGAACCTGACTATCGAGGATAATGAAGCTCGCAACCAGTCTATCCAGGTAAATGTACCTACTAGGACGGAGCGTTTCGCCGAGCTTTTGGCTGTCAGAAACAAAACTCTCGAGATGATGCCGAGTTCGGCTTGGGCACCAGCCCCACTGATGCCAAAGCAGAATATTAGAAGCCTGGAATGAATTCGTATTTCCTCTTACCACTAGTTGAGTATAAGGGGATATGTTTCATGATTCGCGGTGGTGGCTGAGGAATAAGGGTTCAAAGCGGCAGTCCGTGACAGATTACGCGTTACTTAAGTGTCATTTTCTAATACCGAGCCAGACTTTCCAGAAAGCCCCAGTCCAACGTAGCAATGCTGTACTGATTATTTGGTGGCGGGTCAGAGTGCCACATTTGCCATCTTGTACATTAAAAAGCTCAGCCAATTCGTGAAATTCTGCAAAGGATTCACAAAACCAACAAATTCGCTTCTAGGCGAATATTTAGCTCTCATAACAGTTGGGTCAATCCGTGTTCATAATTGTGTGTTTTGTAGAAGGAGAGCTGTTACTGTGGCGAATTAGACGATCAACAATTACTTTCAGTCGTATCTCAGCGAGATTTGACGTTGTCTGGAATTCTGGGTTCCGTTCTAGACAAGAGAGATTTAGACATGTCATTGGCGTTATTAGCCAAAACTGAAACCAAATACACGACAGATGTAGATAAAGAAGTGGGTCGAGGGGCAAATCCAAAGAGCTTCATACACTTGAAAATAGCATTTAGGATACACCAACGTCCATGTTGTTAGGAATGACACTTTAAATACAATGGCGCACCTTTCTGATCAACAAGTTTGAGTGGGCCAGCGTCAGTCTCAACGACTAGGCGTCGCCACATCACCAGGACGTGCTAAGGATCCAGCATGAAACTCATGAGCAGGGGCGTCCATTTGATGAGGCATAGCGCTCTCTGGAGCATGGTTTCCTCAGTTATGCACATGATTTCATCGGTTGTAATCGACCTTGTGACTATTCACTATATCTTCCTCAGGACGAGAACCTTGACCAGGGGGAAGGTCTCTGAATATCAGGGACGAGGGGTATGGCCTCGCCCGCTTCAAGGACAAGATAGCTGGGAGAAATGTCGTAGCGGAGCACTGAGCATTTTGACAGCATAAAATATTATTACTGGCATGTTTCGGCAGCCTCGTACACCTCGCTAAAGTAAATGTGTAAAAGTCTAGCTTTCGCCACAAGGCTCACTAGCAAATAATCCTTCAGAGTGACAATAAAAACGAGGATATCGCAATAGACAGGCAAATAAATATAGTAATTCTTTATTAAGAATGGTGTATTTTAGCATCGTTAGTTTATTCTTATAATAAGCAAAGCTATTCTGAAAACCTACAATTTGCAAGACATTGCTTTTCGCTGGGGTTCCAAGAAGTTAAGTCAAGGCTGGTTATATTATCAAACAGTTCGCCCAGCTCATATGTGACGTAACTATTCGTTTACTCTTCTGCATTTAACTCTTGAATTATTCATGGCAGTCCAATCCTTGGAAGTTAAAGTAGAGTAAGCCCTGTGATTCCAGTTAGATCAGAAAATGAGGAAATTGGGGGCCAATCTGTTTTTACTGGCCCGACAAACAGCCACCACCATTTGATATCAGCATGCAGGATGACGTAAAACCACAAATATGCAATATATAAGCTTGCAATATAAATAACCAATACTGTCTGGATTTGACTGTCTTTCCTTGATAACTTTACGGCATTATAATAAAAAGTCTTATTGCCGAACTTGTTTAATTGTCAGCCATTCCATAGTCAGCGACTCTCTCGATAATAAACTCAGGTAAGTATTATAGTTCTTTCTATGTCTTCTGCCAAGGATTGTAAGATCTCGCTGACTTGCTTAGAGCACGTGTATCGCGCAAGTTTTAACTATGTCTAACTTTCGACCGCACCCCTTGCCCTTCACCAGTAAAGACCCCAGGATGAACGACGCGACGGGAGAAGGGGAGGCTGCGATTAGTGATCCGTGTCTTTTCCCCTGCTATATCGCCTCAGAACCAGCGTATGCTCTTGCAAGAAAGATCAAAGAGAAGAAGCATAAGAGAGATGAAGCTAAAGCGGCTGAGAAGAAGCTGGATGACGAGGAAAGCACTAAGGCGAAGGAATAGCTTATAGCAAGAACAATATGTCTTAATATAACTCGTTTAATCTGTATATTAATATAGTTTTGTTTTAAAAAGAGAGGGAAGACCAGTAAAATAACCAGCGAATAATCTTGAGCCCATGGCAAATTTCTGGCACAGGCTAAACAAGGAATTACTTGAACATCTAAGCCATGACGTGTGAGACCTCTCTGCATTGGGCCTGGACCGATCTGCACCCCCACTTTCCGACACGACTTTTGGATAGGAGGCAAATTATCAAGACTGCATCAGGCACATAATGGTTATAAAGCGTGGTAGATAATATTGCAATGTTCAAGTTTAATGGTATATCATGTAATAATAGTTATTATAAATATTACTAAGACTAAAGTTAGAAGGCGGCAACTAGAGTCGGCCAGGAAGGTGTTAAGATGACCAACTCGTGGTTTACAATAATGGTAGCCATTCTCATCTGGCTTTTATGGCAATCATGAACATGGCTAACTTGTTATTCCTTGGCAAGTAGATGGTCTAATTCTGCCATAACTACTCGGTGAGATGCAGCTATATAACGTCAGTAGCTTTAGAGAGTAGAGTATCCTCTAAGAAGTTTTAAGGAATACAAAAGTGCAGGCCAAGAGAGCTAAGCTAAATTTCTTAAATAGACCTAGAATAAGTAGCCCAAGAATATTTAATCCTCTATAGGATAAGTATAGAAAGTTATAATTACCTACCAGAAATTTGCCATTAATCCAGCTGTTTTAAATACCTTCACATCGACTCAACCATTCGTATTCAGCCTCGGCCCAAGATAAGTACATGACTCATGAGTCAATTATCCCCTATTAGTCCGCATTATACGAGTAAGGGCCCCAGCTGGGCACACCCTTCTTGGTCTTCGGAGACCCAATAGGCTTCAGTGTCATTTTGTCACCTTGGCAAGTATACGTAGCCTTGCCGTTGGAGAAATAACCTCCGCCGGGTGCAAGATCAAATTTGGTATCGACGCCCAGTGACGGCACCTTTGCCTCGGCAGTCCCCGTCCCCTTGGTAAAGGAAAGGCACAGCGTCCCGGAACCGTCGCCGCCTGAAGCCGTGGAGACGACGCCAGTCGCTTTCCCGTTGACGACAACGCTGACCGGCGTGTCCCTGTCCAGCAGCTTCTGAACATACGCGACGGTAAAGCCGTCATACGTAAACGTGGCCTGTTTGCCGTGGAATTCGAGCTTGGCGGTTCCACTGACCCGTACATCCTTTACGGTAACTTGTGGGATGGCTGTTAGAATGTCCTCCATGAATTTCTGAGTCGTTGGGATATCAAGACTCCAAGAACTTTTTAAGCACGGGTCCATCGGAATCTTCGAGCCCTTGCAAGAGCCTTTGGCTGTTGGCGGTGGACGAGGACGTCGGGTTGGGCGAGGGCGCTTAACGGTGGTTGTTGAGCACTCTTTCTTACGGGCACCTTTTTTAGGGCGCCTCTTGCAGCATTCCTCGTCTTCGTATTGCTGGACGAAGCTGATCTCAACCTTGTCTGTGTCTTTGTCCTCGGTCGAGGTGAAAAGTATAAAAACCGCTACTGGGTCCGAGGCACAAGGAATAGTAATGACACCTTCTGATCCACCGCCTGATGCATCGCCAGGGAATGCATTCCAAGTGTTTGGATCTGCAAGCCTCCATGCCAGTCGCTGGTTCCCTGTGGTGGACGCATAGAGCTTTATATTCTGGCCTGGATCGAAGGACGTTGAAAACTCCCTTATGGTAAACGGGAAGGTTTCCAAGACGGCAGTTCCCTCGGTGGCATCCTCATCGACAGACCATATGACACCAATCTCGTCAGGAGTGTTGATTCTCGGGACATATCCACCACCTGAATCTACGATCGAACCAATGGTGAAGGATTTGGCAAATTCGAAAAAGTCGTCTGCCATTGTGGCATAAGCGGTCAGACGGGCCCTCTCTTCGCTTTCGCTGCTTGTAAGAACAGTTGACGTGACAAACTGATGGATGTAAGTCAGGTCGTGCGAGGGCTCGAGAGACTGAAACCATATGTTGGCGTTGTACTCATTCCTCCAGATGGGGACCCCTGGGTCGTAATATGCGGCAGCCCTCCACTCAGCATTTACCCGAGGGAACACGAGGTTGCTGAAATAGTCGGCCGACGACTCCACCACCCACCGTGACGGGCTGTTAGGAGGGGTCTGTCCTCCATTGAACTCTTGCTGGACGCAGTGGTAGATCTCATGGGCAACGCCCTGCATGGCCTTTGGATCCATCTGGAGAGCCTGTTCCGCGCCCCAAAACTCAAAGCTTCGGATCTGGCAGGGGCCGTTTGGTATGGGAAATGACGCATCGAGCGAAGCAGAGCTCGGAGCAGCCCCAAGGATGATGACGAGGTCCGGAACCGTTGCGAAATTTCCATAGTAGGCGACACTCTCGGTGATGGCTTCGTGCAGCAGGGAATCGACGAGCTGGGCACTGGTGCTCCAGTCCTCGGTGTAGATGACGCTGACTTTCGTGTTTCCGATGGTCTTGGGGTAGCCCTCTAGCATTTGGCATTGGCCGACGACGGTGAAGCGGTCTCCGGGTATGACACCTGGCCAGAACTTGGCACAGCTGAAAGCGCCCTCCTGGGCCAACGCAAACTGGATAGTCGCGCCGAGCAGAAGAAGTGCATTCAACATTATAGATAAATCTAAAGGTAATATGATGTGGATAGTGTGTCTGCAAGTTTCTACGGAGCAGCGATGGCAAGACATTTCATATGATTTTATTATACAGCAGGAGACCTACAGCCCCGATTTTCAACGGAGACACCACCTCACAGGCTATTGGCACAGTTCCTGGTTACCGCACTATCTAGGACAAAAGATCCTTTTAGCAGCACTCTGTATGTGGGTCAAAAGTCTGCTAAAGAACGGGATCTTTCCCGTGTGTAGCATGAAAATTGGGGACATCCGCTAAGTTGTGCTGAAGGAAAAGTCGTCAAGCCTCTGATGTCACGATTAGAGGATGCTATGGCTTGCTGTGACCTTCTGGACAGTGGCTTGGAATAAACCAATGTCCATTAAAACACGGAGCTAATCCACAACTGTGAGAGTGATTGTGAATTATGAGCTGAGTTTCACCTCTTAACAATTACGGAGCGTAAACACCGTTCCGTGACGGAGATGGAAGTGGCAGGAAAATAAACATATTTTACTGCTATTTACAAAATACTTGATGAAACTATGTATCTTACTAATAAAATTCAAGATCTGTTTAACATTAACTACAAAGGTGGCAAGCAAGCTGCTTTCTCTCTAATTCTCTAGGAGTTAAGCGACAGCAATACCATTCCGGGGAATAGGAGGGCTTTGGGATACATGACTGAGCTGGCAAAATGCATCGTGGGGAATATTATACTGGATGTCCTCGCAATTCAACTTCTTAGAAGCAATGGTTTTTCTGCTGCTCATATTGGAGCTCAAGGAAGGAAGTCGTGGTATTGCCACGCATTCACAGTCAATTCAAACTATCGGAATGTTTTTACTAGCAAGCCGGATAACTAGAACATATACCCTAAAAGTGATATTAATACATACTGGCTAAGTAGTATGCCTTCGCGTTATTAATAATATATTTGCATATATATAACTCCTAATGCAAATTATATATTTACTTAGTTTATGAATTATTACCTTCTTTATGCTTAAGGGTAAGTCACCGAAAAGATAAGATAACAGTGCTTAAGATGAGACCAATTTTAGTAAGTATAGTGTGTTCATTCCGAATCAGGCGGAGAAGAGTGACGAAACATGCACAGCTTGACAAAATCCGCACCTGGTGACTTACCAGGGCCGGACATATCTGAGCTCGCACTCGCTCTCGTCAGCGCTAGCAAAAAGTCCGTTAGACACTGCTAAAGTCCGATCTCAGGAGGCAAAAACTCCGTTTTGATTGGAACGTTTTCTGTTGAGCGTGACTTAGCGACTTGGAATTATAACAATCTGACATCTTCCCCAGATTCAATCTCAATCTCATTTCATTCATCTGTTTATCTTTCAGTTGATACTTGGGAATCGAACATGGAGTCTTTCAAAGCCATTGTTGTTGGCGCTGGGCCAGTCGGGATGGTCCTGGCTCACGCGCTTCAAGTCTCTGGCATCGACTACGTGCTTGTTGAACAGCGCTCTCAAATCCCTCCTGATCCTGCTTATGGCTTATTTTTATGGCCTCATATTATGCGAATCTTTCACCAACTGGGAATTCTTGAAGCTGTTGAAGCTGTCGCGCAGCCTATGGTTGAAGCGGTTCATAGATCAATTGACGGCAGTGTTATTCATCGCTCCAGAGGGTTTGAAGAGCTCGGCGCACTGTGAGTATAAGTTTAAGCGCTGCTGGATATTCTGCTGACAACTGAAAGGTTCGGATATCCTATGGCTATTTTTAACAGAGGTGATTTTGCCTCGGCGTTGATGAGCAAGCTTGCAAACAAGGACCAACGCGTCAAGACAAACAAGCGCCTCACCAACGTCATACACCACGACAACGGTGTAACAGTCGAATTCGCAGACGGTACCACAGAAGAGGGATCAGTTGTCATTGGCTGCGACGGTGTCTGGAGTAGTGTCCGCGATCAAATGAAAGCGAAAGCACCAAAAGGCCTCTTCGACGAGAATCCCAACCCATTTCAAGCACCCCACGCCGGCGTCTTCGCCAAGGCTCTATGCCCCAAGGAACTCGAGAGTGGTAGGAACATTAATGTTTACCAAGATGGGTCTCACGTTCAGGTCTTTACTGGTCTGAGAGAGGCTCAGATTATTGTGTATCATCGCATTCCTACTGCGAGAACAAAAACGTTCTTTGGCCAGAATGATGCTGAAGAGGCGGCGAAGCCTTGGATGGATGTCCCGGTCGGAGAGGGAATTACGTTTGGTGATTTATGGAGGAACAAGATTGCTGGAGGTAGTGCGAACTTTGATGAGGGTGTTTTGCCGTGGTGGCATTGGGGACGTATGGTTCTTGTCGGTGATGCTGCTCACAAGGTAAGTCGTATACCACGTTGACTGATCTCAAGCTAACATTGAATAGATGAACCCTATCAGAGGTGCAGGAGCATGCTGCGGCATCGAAGACGCCATCGCTTTAGTGAACGGCCTCAGCCGGCTGCTTCACTCAGATGCCAACCCATCAGACCGCAAGCTCCGCCAGACTTTCCTTGCATATCAGTACGAGCGAGAGGCTGCCGCGAAGTTATGGAACGATATTTCTGGGCTGAACCTAGAACTATGCATCGGTGCCAATCAGCCCGCACTGAAAGCGCAGGGCGTTGCTGATTACAGAACTATTCCTCTGGTTGCGGATGGACCTATCTTGCAAAATGTTCCGTTTGACGAGAAGAGAGGGTTTGTTCCGTGGACTAGGAAGACTCGCAAGTCTAATGATAAGACTAAAGCGCGCCTGTAGTTTGGAGATGGTGGTCTATTATAATTGGCGGTCATGGGGCATCGTATAGTACATCAAGGATTAGCGCGCTCGGGAAGGGTAGGCAAGATAAATTTAATCACTTCCATATTCGCAATGCAATCATATGAGATCACGGTGGCTTAGACTGGGTTACGTGTTGAATCTGGACATCAAGTTAAGCTAGCCGCGACGCGATAGAAATACCAGCAAAATCTACTTTGCTCGGTACCTATAATTAGATGATGGCCCGTATGAAACAATATATGACCATTCGTGGCTTGAAAGGTCTCACTCGATAGGATGATGTTAGTTCCGTGGGTAGTACAAACCAATAGTCTGTCTTGGCACTGAGGCTAAGTGGTGAGGCCGATGAATTTGGACCAAAGCAAGTTGAAAATAAGTCAAGCCACACGAAGCTGAAAAGCAGGATAGCGAATGATCGACAAAGCCTGTTGAGGAAAGAGAAAAGAGGCAGGTATGTTAAAGAAGTAGGTCTCCTATGTTCAGCCTTGATCCAACTTGTTTGTTTTCAATCACCCAGAAGTGCTCCGCCATGACTACATTCGCTGTTCAAACCCTCATCATAAGCGCCCTTTTCTTAGGTGTCGCCCAAGCAGAATCCAACAGCACTTCTGGTAATACCACCATGGTTGGATGGGTATCCCCCACACCCCGACGAAGTACCTGGGGTATTATCTGGAGCTGTCTCTCGATTTTCATCGTCTGCTCCTGGAAATGCGTCCATCTCAACATCCCAACCCACGAGGAGATCCAGGGTGAATGGCATACGATGCAGCTCTGCAGAGGCTTTCCTGATGTTTCCTTCTGGCCTAAAGCGCCCTTACGCCGAAAATGGAGACGCAAGATTCTCTGGATGACATTTATTGCTCTTGCGCCTGAGTTTGGGGTTGCGCTGGCAGCGGGGCAGTACATTGAAGCTCGCCAAGATTTAAAGAAGTTTAGGCAATCTCTGTCTAGTGAAGCGTTAGTTATCATTGAGAATGATGGGAGAAGACGACCATCTAACAGCAGTCAGTGCACAGAAATATACCATGGCTCATGCTTTTTATGTTCAGATGGGAGGTATTGTTAACTACGGACCCTCACCCCAGTCTTCCACCATCGAAGAAGATTCTGCCAGAAATCTGAAGTTAAGCAATGGAGTCTCTGATGTTGCCCATCCAGACTCTCATGCCGCCTTTGCACCAAACCAGAGATCCAGTTCCACTGCGCACGGAGATCCCGCACCTAAAATGGCTCGTTCTCTATGTAGGTTCTCCTTATTTACATTTCTTTCTTTAAGGCTTGTCCTTCATCACAAATGTCGTGCATTTATATTAAAACAACCGTACCCAACCTAATGATCTGACCTGTCTACAGCGGAAGTTCAGCCTGATATGTTCAGGATCCCCGAGTCCGATGTAAAGGATCTGAGCAAGGCTGATGTCATCACCAAGGCGTTCGCTATTATCCAGTGCACATGGCTCGTCGTGCAGAGTGTTTCTCGAGTCGCACACGGATATGCCATATCTCTACTGGAGTTGGCGACTTTGGCATTCATCTTTTGCGCATTTATTATGCACATGTTTTGGTGGAATAAGCCATTCGACGTCGAATCAAGACGTGTTGTCACGTCAATAGGGCCCAATTTTAAAGGGCCTCCAAATTTAAGCACTCTGTCAATGGATGATTTGACGGCGTCCAATAATGCACTTGTCTGGGAAAGAGTGGAAGATATATCAGGCCATACTTTTTGGCGTCTCATAGCCGAAATGGTGGACACCACTGATCCCGACTTTGCATCTCGACCTTACATAGATCATCTCCCTTCCGCCTCCCTATACATCGCATCGATTACATTTTCTGCTATTCACCTAGCCGCCTGGAATTGGGAATTCCCTTCAGCAGTAGTTAGATCTCTTTGGAGGTGGCTCAACTTTGGAACGCTGGTGGTTTCCTTCATACCCTTAGTATGCATAGTCCTGCTCACATTGGATTTCCAACGAGAGTCTCTCGAGCTAACTTTTGGAATCACGGCTGTGGTGATCTTGGGGATGGGATTATTTACTTATGTTATATCAAGATTGGTGGTCCTGGTTCTGACGTTTTATTGTCTGTCGTCGATGCCAGAGAATGCATATGCCACTTTGGACTGGCTGGCGTGGGTCCCGCATTTCTCATAGGAGCTTGCTAAGTTGACAGTGAGAGGCTCGATACAGGCAATGATTGCGCGGTGGAACTCGGTAGTTGTAGATAGACATAGAAATGGTCATACGACGGCGCAGTTCAAGTGATAAGTGACTATCGCTTCTGAAATAAAAACAAAACAACCTTCCTTCGTCCCCACCAAGTCCTGCCAAGCGGAGACAATTAACATGACGATGTTCGGTCTGACGTTATCACCGCGGCAGATCAACAAAGCTACCACCATAAAACGTGCCAAGATCGTCAACGGACTCAAATTGCGATGCTGCCATAAACCCCATTTAAAAGTGCGTATCACATCCAATATGATACCATCTGCAGTGGCACGTGGGGACGTTGGAGCAAGGGTGTTGCCTGACGGTGACTCCGTAGCCGGTTTCATATTTCCACCAACGAGTCATGTTCAGTCCGGCGATTACAAAGATTCGGTATCGCCATGAGTGTAATGACCTTCCAGAAAAAGAATGCCAATGAACTTTATTCATCTTTAATTGCTGTTTATGCCTGGGCTAATCCTCGGGCCGACAATAGAGTTGCAAGGGTGAAACTCCAACCCGCAATCGATCATCCGTCTAAAATCCATATCTGGAGATGTTACAGGGGTACGCACAAAATACGAAGCACCTATTTCGAAACTCTACAGGGGACCATAGTTTCAAAAGATGGTTGAACGTCATGCATATTCCCTTTTAGAATCCGATAAGACCAGTTCCCCAGTTGTTAAAGTTCAGCTCCCTCAACCTGAAGCCCTGCCAAGCCGGTTACTTCCTATGAGATGACAAGACGAACCTATTGCTTCTATTGGAGCGAGTTTTGTGTTCCGGTTACGTTTTGGTAATTCATTAGAGTTCAACTGCCGACTATAGTATATCTGGAGTATGATATCGGCCCCCACGATTTGTTGGCCTGTGGTTATATAGTCTTGCGATGTAAGCCGATTGAGTTTCATCTGAACCATCGACCATCTTGTAACATTCATTTTCGCTGCTGGTCACGCACAGTCTTTTCTTACTTTTTAAGAAGTCATTCTTTTCTTTAGAGCAATTATGTCTCTCTTTGCAACGGCGTTGCTGTCACTTTCTTTTTCCACGGTCGTTTCTGCGATTCCGTTGGTTGAGCGTCAGGATAATGGGACCGCTCCCGAACCCGCTCCGGCTGACCCTGGAGTTGACTGCTCTCCTTCGTCATCTACTGGTCTGAAGCCAGAATGCTGGAAGGCCTGTGAGTTGATGGCGGCGCTGTGGGGTAATAATGAAGCTAATGAGGGTAGTGGATATGGAGAAGTACATCAACGACTGGGTCACTGAAAATGGAACCAAGGCCAACTGTGAAGAACTTGGTTTCGCTCAGTGCTATCTTCAGTTCAACGTAAGCTCGCCCAGCACTATAATGACAAGGATAAGCTGACGGATTAGGGCTTCACTGGTCTTACCTGCAACTTGATCACCAGCGACACCTGCCCTCCCTTCAACACCAAGGATGTTTCAAAGTATGACTCCAACCAACAATTCTACGTACGTTAGCCGTTTCCCTCACTCTTACCAAACTCACACACCATAGGCCCTCTGGAACATCTACACCGTCTACCAATTCTTCAACCAATACTCCCGCGCCCTCAGCAACGGCGCCTCCCTCGCCGGCCAAACCATCGACGCCATCGTCGCTAAGGTTGCTCCTCCCGTCGAGGCCAACACCGCCACCAGCGGCCTTATGAACATTCTCGGTTCCACCCTCGGCATCGTCTCCATCTTCACTGGTCTCGTTCCTGGAGATGCAGGTGTCGCTGTTGGTTTTATCCGTGCTGGTCTCGGTGCTGCTTTTGATCTATCCGGCAAGCTCGGCGAGACTTTGACAAAGACTCAAACTGCGAACGACCGATTCATTCAGCTCGGTGATATCGGCTCTGGACTTGCTAAGCTTGTTGAGGCTTACCAGAACAACCTCCTTGAGACTGTTAAGCTTGTGCAGGGCGACCATGCTATCTTCATCGCTGCTTGCCAGGACGGCGGATTCTCTCAGCGTGTTACTACCTCTCTTACCATCCAGGCCAATACTCTCTACCGCCAGCTTCAACTCTTCATTCTTTCCAGCGCCCTCAAGGCCAACGGCATCGTCTCGGCCAAGAGCACTGGTCTCAACGCTCAGACTCGCGCTACAGACACTGGTGGCGCCATCTCCTGCGATGCTCTTGACCCGGCCGGTAACTGCAACCAATGGTGGATCGATGGAGCCGACACTTATGCTCTCCACAACCCCAATGACTGGCGAAATAACCAGATTGAGCTCACCAAGGCCATCGTCGATGAGGGCTGGGCTACTCTTGCTGATGTCTTCAAGGTTGAGGACTGTGCTGGCAAGGAGCCCACTTTCAATGGCAAGGAACTTGGCGTCACCTGTCTTGTAAGTCAACATACCCGATGTATTAGAAACAAAGATCACTGACAAAACACAGGCAACCCACAACTGGTGCGAGTGGAACTACCAAGACTCTCCTTCGCTGTCGCGATCTGAGCCTCAGTGGAAGAACTGCGACAACGACGACAAGTGGGGAACTCTCTGCGGAAGCTTCCAGAGCGGACTCGAGAGTAAGTCTTTGTTATATCTGACCTTCTGCATGAAAACGAGACTAATGAACCTTTGCACAGTTCCCGAATCTTACCTTGGTCCTCTCCTCAACAGCGACCAGACCTGGTGCAAGCGATAAACTGCACACACTGTGAATCAGCATTCTGGTGGAGTAGTCATGTCATGTATTCTGATAAATGCCCAAGTCTGCTCTCGAGGAGGGCTTTGCGCTTATGGTCTTTCGGTGATCATCAACCACTGAGGGATGTTTTGTAGTATAACATAGAAGTCGATGAAATAGAGGTGGAGTTTAGTTGCAGTTAGTAGTTCTACATTTTCAATATGCAATTTGGTCAAACACGAACATGAAGCTTAAGTATGTCAACCTTTCAATGTCGTAAGATATCAAAACCCGTCCTAGGTTTACGAGTCAGTGGAGCCCACTTCACAAGGTAATAAAAGGTACATGCCACACGCTTAGGTATTGACCTGAGAGCAGCTTGTTTAATTGATAGTTAAAGCTTAGAATATCTGAGTGAGCTACATAAGAGCAACTAAATACTCACAAGCTTCCAAGTAGTTAAAACTCAGTATGAGAAAGGTCAATAGTGAAAGTGACATATACATGTTCAGTTATCTAAAATAATAATATACACGGCATGGAAAAGGGCGACAAAGTGTCAGCCCTAGGTTTCAAATCAGCCGATTAAAGAAGATGATACACACTTGCTACCAGAGCAATATCAAGCCGACATGTGCATCTAGCACTTGCCAGCCTTGGTAGGCTCACACTCGCCGTTGGACTTGTCGCAACCGTTGTAGCCCTGGCACTGGGTCTTGGGGTAGCAGTTGTTGGAGTAGGTGGCCTATCGAATTTGATCAGTATGGTAAGTTTCATGATTACACCGGGATCACTAACCTTGTCGCCGAGGTTGGTGTTGATGCCGATAAGCTCGCCACCGTTGACAGCAGTGACGCCCTCCATGTGAACGGATCGCTTGCACTTGGAGTTGCCCTTGCAGTTACCGCAAGAGCGGTAGACTTTGCCGTAGTCGTTGGCATCTATACAAGTCAGCATGAGATCAAAGAGCAGAGGCACCTGACTTACAGAAGTTGACAATGTTAACGTGGCCGCATCCATTGTGCTGAATAACCTTATCAGCAGCCTTGTAAGCACCGCCACCAATGATGTTGGCAGTTCCACTACCCTTAATAGAGATAGCGTCCTCGCAAACATCCTCAAACCAGACAAACTCAAGGTTGCAAGAACCAAGACAGTGCACACCCTCCTTCTGGTTCGCACCAATAACAACGTTGCGCAGAGTAGCACCATCCTCGAGAACGAACACAGCGTCCTTCTCGCCACCTTCGCTCTGGCCAGAGCACTTGACGCCGCGGTCGTAGCGAACCCACTTGGCGTCGAAGACTTGGCCCTTCTTGAGGTACTGGGGAGCGCTGAGGGACTTGGTACCCGTGGCTTTGGGGACGCCGCCTGTGTAGCCAAGGCAGGCCATGGCGGCGGGGAGGGTTGTGAGAAGGGTGAGAAGGCTGGAGGCGTGCATTTTGGCGGTGTTGAAGACTGGAGAGTGCTGAGTTGAAGAGAAGCCGGTCAACGGTTGATGAATGGCAAAGATGGAAGCGAATGTCAATGCAGAGAGTCGAAGCTGGGATGGTTAGAAACGAATCACTGAAGGGGAACTTGCTACCCTTCTTATACACGCTCTGGCCTTTGTCATTCGCGATCAATTTGCCCGAGTACGCTTCATCCATGCCATCCCAACACCACGGTTCTCAGTAAGTCATCCACCAGTTCTAGTTCGCCTATTCTCATCCCTCCTCTCCATCAATCAGAACAGACAGCATCATCCGCTTTACACAAATAAAATAGGGTGTTCAGCTCCTTGTTTCAGGACGAGCTATTTCCTCCACTTAGGTGACGGACAGCCCAGCGCTGATAGGCTAGTCAAAGCTGAGATCCCGGTCGATGTTTAGGGATGCGCGTACCAGACTTAAGCTTATTTCGGGTTCGGATGAATTAACCGCTTTCAAGATATTATGCCCGGATGAAAGAGGCAGTGTTGGTGAGATGACTGCTAAAATCCGTAATTATGTGGAGTGCATGCATTAAGTTGTTTCGAATCATCTGATAAGCTTATTGGAGCGGAACCACTTTAAGGAATTACGGCGGCTACGATTGGTGGTGAAATTGTTGTTCTTCTGCCACCGCTGATAGTGCGACTTCCGATACGAGGCGGAAGACTGGCTCCGGTAATGTTTTCAGAGAGCCAAAGGAAGATCGTGCTCGGCGGGCTCTTCGCCGAATGATGAACGCGAGATGGGAATACGAAGTCATGGAAAAAGTCACCTGGAGAGCACCTTACCAAAGCCCAGGACCAAGCCATGGTAGAGCGGCCCATGAAATTTCTGCGTTCACAAGTCTACCGAGAAAATGGCAATAATTTGTGGCCGAGAAGCCGCACTCAGGAGCGGACCATACCGAGAATTTCACTTGAAAATGTCATCGATACGTGTTGAACCGGGGAATAACTCACACTAAGGAGACCCAAGAATGCCTCGATCGCGTTACCAAGCGCCCGGGACGCTCCTCTATAGCGTTAAGACGACGCCCGAAGACGCCTCCCATTTCGGTCGCCCCTTACAATGCAGAGATCCGACGCAGAAATTCACCGCTTACCCGGTTTGCCGCATTCCTGACAATGAGGCTTACAGGTCCCCATCTCATTCGCGGATGGATATCATCTGGGCAGGTCTGGACAGCTACTTCAGCGAATTAGCGCCATGTTTACGCCACAACATTCCAGTGCCTGACTCCTGCACCGAGCCTTTGATCAGCGTGACCTAAAGAAGTCAGCTGTCTGTGAGAAGATAATGGAATGGGATCCCATAGACCAAGATTTCGCAAAAGCATCATCTGTCATTCACATCTGCCTTCTGGTTTCCGTGAGTCAAAACAGTGGTACAATGGCACTCTTACGTATGAATACGACTCCTGTTCACCAGGTTCATCCATATATTCGGATCATACTACTAGTCACTCTTCTAAACTGCGGCTTAACAATTCTCTTTTTCTCTCACCTCATCTTCTTTCCAACCCTTGCTAGACAGCATATTCCTCTCGACACGATCAGATCATCAGTCAAGCATGTTTTGCGACCGTTGGCCAGAAGACCGGATGTATCAAAGTCATGTGTTGAAGGACACCGAGAAGTCCTTGCCTCTGGATATACCGTGGAGCTAAAATGCAACATGTACCGGCAAGGAGTGACATACGATGAAGTATCCTCATTCAGTGAATGCGCAGCTGTTTGCGAGTCACTAGATATTGATGTATGCTCGTACCATCCGCCGTCAAAACGCTGTGTCGTGTCCAGCCTTCATGGAAGAGATGTTTCCCGAGAAGGCGCCTACTACATGACAAAAGTCGAAACCAGCGACAGACAAGACAGCGATTCCTTGGAATTTGAAGATCCCTTTGAGGTGGAGCCAGCACAAGAGAAAGACGACTGCCTTCACCGCCTAGCTCGCCTCGAAGCCGAACTGGAACATTCTCGCTCGGAAACGATTATACCCACGCCTTTGTGCGGCGTACAAGGCATCGCTATCCACGGTCGCATCGACATGATAAATGTCTCAGGCGTCGACGCATGCAAAGCTATCTGTCTCGCCAACCCATCATGTCAAGCTTACTCTGCGTCCGACGACCCGGGAGATTGGTGTTATATCTTTGACAGACCGCACGGGGGCGCAACGACGAATTATTATCGCCACTTGCACACATATGATCGCGACTGTTAGAAAGATTTTCATTAGGCGAGATAGATCGAGAGCGTTTCAATTGACAGTGTCGGAATGCGTTAGCCGAAACCGCAGCCGACATCCGCGGAATCGGAAATATGGCATCGTGGTGGAGCACGGCTGTCAAAGCTTGGGCAGCGACTAGTGAAAACCCCGCAGTATAATAGCTGAAGAACACTCAATTGACCAATTCCTTCTGGAAACATTCTATCTAAAAGCAAAACTTCGTGTAAAGTACAGTCACAACAATATGTCGGCCTCTGATTCAGTTGTCTATCACTACCTAGCAATCGGCAAGCTTGGTCGTGGCGAAGTCGTCAAGTAAGTATGCTAACGATATGAATTCTGTCGCAACGTCGTCATGAATCGTACGCTGACTCCTGTGATCAGGCTGTTTATGATTGATGCAGGCATCAAGTTTGAAGAGCGCTTGTACGCCCGAGATGCTACTTGGCCTGAGACCAAGGAGAAGTTGAAGAAGCAGGGCCTTACTCGCACCGGACAACTTCCTTCAGTAGAGTACAAGGGCAAAGTCCTTACTGGGGTCGGTCGCCATCTACAGATCGGGCTATCATGACTGAAACTGACCTGAACTGGGTAGCACGTCCCGATCCTCCGATATCTCTCGCGTGAACTTGGCGCATACGATGGCACAACCAACGACGACAAGTACTTGGTCGATCTCGTATCAGATATCTACGTTGACTGGAGAGTAAGTCTACGTCTAGTGACTATGTCTTTCATATGATGAAGCTGACTGGGTAATTAGGTTCAATGGGTAGCCAACCTCAAGGGCCTCAACCCTGAGTACAAGGAAAAGGACGCTCCTCCATACTATGAGCTCCTCGGTCAATACTACGCTGAGCGTGAAGGACCATATCTTCTTGGAGACACTGTCAGCTATGCCGACTTTGCGGTCTATGTCTCTCTTGACAACGATATTCGAACAAAGACACTTCCGGTATGTTTTATAGCTATAAAAGAGTGATGTCCGATCTAATACGAGATACACAGGAAACCCTCCCCGAGTCCATCGTCAAGTTCCGAAACGCATTCGAGGCCCGACCCAACATTGCCGAGTATATCAAGCAGGGCTAAGTCATAGAAAATCTATAGACAGAAAAGCAAATACCGTCGCCTTTCACCCTTTCCTGCAACTTGAACTCGTGAAGCTCCCTAGAGACCTTGAGAGCCCAAGTAGGCAAGCATGACCTCATAACCCGCCGTAGCATTAGTCGAAAGAGTGAGACCATGGCCTGTACCGGGCTGCAAGTGTACACCGATATGAGACGCTGCGGGATTGAGACTCTTGAGTGTCTCCATATCATATGTGTTGTTGCAATCGCCATCGCAGAAAGGGTAGTCGTTCTCGCCGATGAAGTACTAGTAGATTTATCAACCCAGGATCCATAACGCATTGGATGAAGATGACTTACCTGGAGGGGACCCTTGAACTCAGCAGCAGGCTTTCCAATAAGAGCAGAGGACAGTTCTCCAACTGTACCTGTCTGCTTGATCTTCTCAGCATACTCAAGCGCCTCGACCTCAAAGGATCCTTTCTTGAGAAAGATTTGCTGGATGCTGCTCAGACTAGCTTGGACGGCATATCCAGCAGGACGGTCGCTAAAACGCCTGGGATCGTGCTGTCGCGCAAACTCAAAGCCGAACGCATTAGCACCAACTTTGCCACTCTGGTTGTTGGGAAGAAAGCCAGTCAGGATAGCGCCATCGCTGAGATTGCCATGGAGAGAGAGGAGACCACTTGTGGTGGCGGAACCAAAAGAGTGTCCTACGTGAACGACCTTCTTGGGCTTGTAACTGTTAAAGGACTTCTCAGGGTGTTTGCCCAGAACTTTGGATGATGCCAGAAGCTTTCCGTCCCGTACAAGAACAGTGAGTTCTTTCAGGATTGCGACCTGTAACCCAAGCTGGACCTCGTTGTACCCGTCGGCTTTAGTGGACTTGCCGGTTCCAAGACGATCATAAGTAAGGATGGAGTAACCTTTCGAAAGAGCAGCATCGACATAGGAGTATTCCTCAGGCTTGAGCTCAGGATCCCAGTATCTATAACAAACCATTAGCACTCGATATACTTTACCTGTCCTAAACGTACCTCTTATCAAAGCCGAGTCCATGAGTCGCAATCTGCAAAATATCTGACTTTTTTCCATCGGCGGGAATGCAGAGTTGAGCGCTGATGGAATAAGTTCCGGAAACAGGGAGGACTTCAACGCTCCTGTTGGCGTGCGACCAGGTAGAAGTGTCCCAGACAAAGTCTACGAGATCGATGTTGCTTTCGACTTTGACAGAGTTGTAACGGGTATTATTGGCTGAAGCCGTCACGGGAATTTGGAGCTGCACACAGTTCTTGGTATGTCCTGTAGGCGTTGCCAGTGCAGGTAGAAGAGCTGAAAGCCCAACTAGGAGTCTAGTGACGTTATGCATCGTTGTGGATGTGTGAGTATCTTGGTGAGAAGTCTGAAGTACGCTGTTAAGTGACGAGGTTCTCACAGATTGCGAATGGGTTGTCATTTTATAGGTGTTCAGTATCATCATAAGCCGCAAGATATGTTATCTCCATATTTAGCAAAGATTACTGGAATTTGGAATAGTTATTGAGCCGTACTCCTAATCTGGCGTATTCCAGCGTATAGTGGGCGTAAGCCAGACGTATCTTCACCCTGAAGCTTACATATGCAGCTCCACCCCACTGGACTCGCTGTAACACTGCATGACAGAACCGGAAGATCCGGGGAATGCGACGAGCTCTCTGCCCCCCCAAGCTTGGAAGGAGAGGACGGAAACACATGAGATATAACATCTGGAAGTAAAATATGATGAACTAAATAGGATAGGTTGAATAACGCGATGCCCTCTACAACTCTGCTCTTGCCTCAAGCTTTCTTCTCCACCCTCTTCATCTCAATGTCAAACGCCTTGGATTTAATACTAACAGCCTTCCCATCCTTTCCATACTTGAACTCGAAGTGATCCATAGAAAGACCATTGTAAATGAAGCGATCGAGCATGTGCCAAGTAATGCACGTCACATCCTTGACCTTAGTCAGACCTTCAATCATCTCAGCCTCAGTATCACTGAGTGTTGGGAAAACGGCTCTCCATGCGGCGCGAGACTTATTCTCAATACCAGTTGGGTATAGTCGAACACTCTTGATACCTGAATCGGCTGTATCGTTGTATCGTCCAGGCTGGAAGCGGTTCAAGTTTGGGAGAACGTCAAAGTCGCGAGCAGTCCAGTTACTCAAGACCAGACCAGGTCCTTTATCCAAAAGGAGGGTAAGCGCAGACCCCGTCTTCTTGTCAACATATTGTCCAGCGAAACGAGCTTTGGCTTCATCCCGAGCTGCCATGTCCATAGCTGGAATCAGCGCCTCAACGATGTTGAGAGTTGCGAGCTGTGCCCAAACACTCGAGACTTCTGGACCCGCACCAAGGACAGACACGACAAGACCAGTGTCAGGAATCATGGCCATACCGGATTGATAGCCGCTCAGGGTGCCGCCCTTGGTGTACAAATCCATGATGCGACTGTCGGAAGTCAGGTTATCGACGCGATAGATCTCCCAAGGCGATCCAACGGATGCACTCCATGTTGATGTAAAAGTGTTTGGCTTGAGCCAGTGGCGGGTGTTGGGTGGGGAGAGGGCTTTGTTTTTGAGGATGTTGCTCATGAAAGAGAGCATATCGGCGGTGCTAGAGCCCATAGCGCCGGCACTTAATTGTGTTAGCGAGGATCGTGCTTCTGGAGAGGATATACTTACGGAGCCAAGATTCCGATATCAGCGTCCCAGTCAGCGCTTCCAGCAGGAATGAACATGTTTTCCGAGTTCTCCGGGACAATGCCAGAGTATGTTTGCTTGAGGCCCAGGGGTTTCAATACCAAATCCTTCATGGCGGCGTCGAACGTCTTCTTCGATGCTGCCTCGACGACAAGGCCGACCAGACTGATTCCTGCATTGGAGTAGATTGGTGACTGGCTAGGTTGGTATACGGGAGGACGATAGTTCTTGAAGATGTTGAGGAAGTCTATAATTATTAGCCAAGAAGCGACACGATACAATGGGTAACTTGCCTTTTCGGGTGCAGACTGGAGCGCCTGGAGAGCCTTTGCAGGATGGGACTTTGTTACTCTTGGACAGCTTGGGTAGGCCAAGTGCCTCCCAGTCAAACGGGAAAGCAGAGATATCAGTCGTCACTATTATCATCAGCATCGACAGTCATGTAGTTATTGGAGTATACTTACTATCGCCACCAAGACCCGAGAGATGCGCCGCAGCATCACCGACAGTGATGTCAGTCCAACGAGTAAAGTCAAGCTCATCACGGGAATGAGAGCCATCGCGGTGAGCAAGCTCAGGAATCCAGCGAGTCACAGGATCATTCATGCTCAACACCCCATCCTCTGCCAGTCGCAGAGCCGCCAGAACTGTGAACACTTTGGAAATGCTTCCAAGACGATAGACAGTACTAGCATTGATCTTCTTGGCGCCCATCTTGGGGTTCATCGTAGAAGGAGTGTAATGAAAGTCGAGTAAAGGCTCATCCTCATAAATGGACTTGACTCCAACGGAAACACCAGAGAGATTGAACCCTCCGGTCTGTCCTTTTAGAACAGTGGTAATGGTATCAACGGCATATTGGACGGCAGGATGTTGACTAGCCTGTCTCGGCGAAGGAAGAACAGGACCATAAGGTGGACAATATCGTGGCGTAGCGTCAACGACTTGCTGAAGACCCGCGAAAAAAGTAAAGAGAGTAGGTAAAGACTGAGAGAACAACATTGCGAAGTATTGTTCTACGAGAAGAAGAATCTGCCACAGTGATTCAAACATCATTTTAAGAGATGCTGCAGGCTCTATTTATTTATCTCCATGATTTTCAGCAGTTGAATCTGTCAGGAATTCCGTTCAGTTGGTATTACTGAGCACAGCCCCTGAAAAGACCGAGCTGGCCCACTTTCGAAGGATCTAGCGTGCCTTTTTGTGCAGGGATGTAATCCAGATTGACAACCAATGGCACAGCCCCCAAGACCGAGATTAGCTTACGGTTTCATGCTGGCCTGTAATTCATCATGTTTCTCAAACAGGTCTATTCTGGCAGAGGCACGTTCTTGTACCATGTATCCCAAAATCTCTCATCCGCCCAAAAGTCCTTCCTTGGGCCTCTAGTCTCATCACTCAGCATGCCTTCTAAATCTCGACATTTGCATAATTGGACTTTCGCGAAGCGAGCTGGACTTCCGGCGCCTTTATCGAGAGTGATGCTTTCGTATCGCCGATCCAAGTAATCTTGTACTAGACATAGATGAACTCTCTGATGCTCAGGAACGTCCGTAGAGGGCATACTTGGCTGCGGCTCGTCGAAGTTAGAGGAGAGCTTGTTCAATGTGTTCTCTTCAGCTGCAATGACAACGTCCAAGATCTGAGCCTCGATAGCGCCGCACCATGGACCTTCCCGGCCGCTCTTTCGGAGAAGGTTGAGAGCTTGTTTGCGCCAGAAGGAGTTTCTGTACTTCAGAGTCGCGAAGAAGAGAGGCTGAATGATGCCCATCTCTGGTGTAAACAACGGAAAGGAATTTGATGACTTGTCGCCAGATCGGATGTCGAAAACTGCTTTGGCTGATGCGATAATCTCTTGGAATTCGAGAGCGTAGTTGTCATATGCTGTTTCGAAAGGTTGAAGAGCATTGGAGACGTATATCAATGCGGTGTAACACTGCATCCGAAGCACAAGTAGTTGTTCGTTCTGGGGATCAGAGATCCTTTGCTGTGGATTGAGTTGGTTGGATGATAACCAATATTGCAGGTTCCCGCGACATCTCCCCTGCTCAATTAACAGGTTGGAGGGTATTTGACCAGGGTGCGCGTATTTGTAAGAAAATGCTGACGAGATGAAACGATAGCTGGCGTGTAGTATGGAGTACAATGCTCGATCTGGAAACATTAAGGTTGAGCTTGGTTCGTTCGACTCTCCAGTCAATGGGATGTCAAGACTGGTAGCGTATGTCACCGAATGGAGATTGAGCTTCTCAAATAAAGTTGGCAACCCATCGCCATCAATCGGAGACTTCGGGCTACTGTTCTCGCGTGCGGCCATCACTGCCAAAGCGCCTTGGAGGTGCATGTATCCCCTGTCACTGCGCTGCTGCAGAGTCTCAGTGAAAGCCATAAGCAGGCATGCGACCACACAGGGCAAAGCACCGTTCCGAAGGTCTGAAACTTCATTTTGGACTAGCCTCAGCGCCTGATGATAATGTCGTGTCGTTGCCAGTCCCTCCCGAGATCTAAGCATATGCTCGTCGTACGAAGCGCCGAATGCAGCAGCAGCAGCTTGCACCGCTGGGATTGAGTGAATCATCTGAGGAACAGCATAACTCCAGAATGAAATTTCAGATTGACTCTTGGCACGACGTGGTCCTTGGCTGAGGACTGTGCAGGTAAGATAGACATAGCGATCTAGAGAAGAGGTCGGGCTGCGCGGGGGACTGCGGGTAGATAAAAGCGCTGCTTCTGCAGCTTTCAAAGAAGGACCTGGAGGTGCGCCAATTGGATAGCCAAGACATGAGACTTTGGAGAATAAGCAACGTCGACACGATGGCTTTGTCTCATCGCATTTAACTCTACGTTTCCTAGGTATGTCAATACGACACGCTGGCTTTCTCTCGGAAAAGGATTCATACTTGCAGGTCAGGCAGCCAAACTTTGACTGCTTGACATTGTTCCGCGTGCGCTTTATACTCGGACTTATTGTTGTGTTCTCCATGGTTGCATGGACTGGTCGAGTCACTAATGGTAATACGGCTGACAGGACAGGTATGAGGGGCTGAAAGCACGCAATTACAATGTTCCGGCGGCCAGGTGGCATGATTCGCTGTAATCCCTGTCCTTTACTTTCCATAAGAGACTTCACAATTCTCTCCCATTATCTATCCATTTCATGACCTCGTTGCTCTCAGAACTGAGTGGCAGTAAGTCGACATGGGGGGATATGTGGATGTCGCTAGGCCCTAATAGCGTAAACAAAATATCAATAGCCCTGACGATCGCCTTGATAGTCTTACATTAACCTGTTCACCCCTGCTGTTTCATCTTATCTTCTCGGTAGCCTCGCGACGCAGGACGTCATCTTTCCGTAGCGTGGTTATCAACGAAACATGTTATTTAAACGTGGCTGTTGGATTTATTAGGGTATATTCTTTTTATTAAAGTCTCATGGGACTTGGTGTTAATGTGCCCTTGAGGCGGTAAGCGAATCTGAATGGCTACGCCGTAAGGTACCGACTTATGCCTCTGCATCCAGAAGAAGAAAAATATATATGCATATGATGTGTTGGCGGTGATTTGAATCCCGAGTACATCCATCCTGTTCCTTACTAATAGTCGATGACCTGAATGTAGCCCAGCTTGTAGGCCGTAGCAGCACGGGCACACTTGCTGGTGAAGTCAACACCAGGCTTCACCAGCGTCAAGTGTCCAGCACACGTCCAAAGGTCCGCAACCCCCTCATCACCGTACTGGCACTGAAGCATCTGGAACCCATTTCCGTCAACGATCCCACAATCTAAAGGCAAAATGCCATTTTCCTCGGCAAGTGTAGTCTCGGCAACAATCACCAAGCTGAAGTCGCCGGATGTAGAGTACCCGGCGAGCTTTCCCACGTTGGCGCCGTTGCCGATCTTGACTTTGCCGGTGCGTTCGCCCAAGGTGAAGAATAGCGCGGAGGTGGTGTCGGTAGTGAAGTCGATGTATTCTACGTCGGGAAGTGATGTGTCGCCGAGTGCTGTGAAGCCTGTGCCGCCGAGGGGTGCGAGGGCGGGGTCATTGCTGCCGCCGGCGTACAAGTAGATGGTTTGGAGTGCTTCAGGTTCCTCGCTGGTGGCGGTAGCTGCGGCAGTGGTGGTTGTAGCCTCGGTGGTAGTGTCAGCAGAGGTGATAACCGGCGCGGCAGTGGTGGTATCGACAAGAGCTGTGGTGGTGGTTTCAACTGAAGAGACAGTGGGAGTCGTTTCGACAATGAAGGTGGTTCCAGTCTCGCTCTCGGACTCAGACTCAGTCGCGGTGGTAGCAGTCTGGGTCGCATCGATAGAAGCAGTGGAACTCGCGGCCTCGCCCTCGAAGGAACTGGTCGCAGTCTCACTGACAGATGTAATGACAGTAGACGAGGAAGCAATTGACGAAGGGCGGCAGGGTCCAGCGTTAGCCAAACTAGCCGCCAGCAGGACAACGGTCCCAGTAAGAAGGTTGCGCGAAATCATAATAACGAATGACGAGGTTAAACCTGAAATGAGTGACAGAAGGTGAGTGAAGACAGAAGAGGGAAAAAAAGAACCTTTCTCTTTCCAATCCTTTATGCGAAAAACACCCCTTTCGTTTGTTGACTTGGTTTAGCGCCGATCTTCTTAGTGCAGATCTAGTTGAGGCTATTGATTTTGGCGGCCATCTAAGCCAGTAAATTGCGGTGGGTGACTGATGGTGGTAAATACCCTAAATAAAGCAAAGACGCTATTGAAGATCTTGGGTAGCATTATAGATCTTTCAATGAGGCTGGCCAAGGGAAAATAACGGGCCGCGGAGGACGGCCTTGGTAGAAACACAACCCGTGGATCCAGCGCTTCGTATACAACCGAGGGATGCGTCGACCCCTTATTCCAGAATCACAATCGACTTCAAGCGAGACATGCTTGTCGAGATCATTCAAGTCGAAACCGCCACGATCGAATTGCGCACTGTCAAAGGACGTGAACACGTAAGAATCTTGATCATGATCGTCGCTATCAGTACTCATTTCAGAGTCCATTTCACTACTTCCATCGCTGTCACAGTCAGTATCAGTATCTTCCGCCTGGCCGACAAAGACGGCAACGCCTAAAGGACCAGAGCCGAGCAACTTTGCAGTGTGAAGTAGGTTTCCCATCATTATAGCCTCCTCTACCTTGCCGGCCATATTCAGCATCCATTCTTCTGCAGCTGACGATGACACTTCAAGGTCGAGTATCTCGTACAGCCTTTGTGACAGAAGTCGATATCTAACAGGCAATTGCTCCGCTAGCCACTCAAGTGGACTTTTTACCGGTTGGCGGTTTCTCTTCCTTTTGCGAGTCTGACTGTAATTGCGAAACTGAGCAGTGGAGATCTCGCCGTCAAACCGCCATAGGTAACCCCTAGTCCGTACACCCTCTTCAGTCAAATCAACCTTTGCAAAACGACAACCCTTATTAAAGGTAAGTTTTGCATTTTCCCAAGGGCAATCTAACCCGTAGTAGAAATGCTTGTGTAAGAATTCGGTGATAGTCATTTTCCTCGCCGCGCTGATGTCGACCTTGTCCCGAGGATGATTACGCAGGATTTCTCCATTCATCAGAACAAGTGTAAGCAAGGATAGACTAAGACTGTGCTTATTGCCCTGAAGCTGCGTGCTGTTCAAGCGTTTGGCATACTGGCAGCAGTTGGCGATAATGGCTAGTCTATCCCACTCCCTTTCCAGTTGGCGACTCCTTATATCTTCGATAATAGTCGGGGACATTGACACTGGAGCTGAACCATCGCTGCTAGCGAGCGAAATCTTATATCGCTTAGCTCTGGAGAGAATAGTGGTTAGATACGGTGGTGTCGGCTGGTAATTGGAATAGGCTAGGCAAAGTTTCGTTGCTTCTTCGTAAAAGTCCTTGGAACTGATCAGGAGTTCTCCGTCCAGAGATTTAAAGTGATGAGATGGCTTTTTGAGGTTGATTGTCAGGGAGTGGGTAATGAGTAGTGTCATATTATTGTTCGCACGATAGTTCTCTTGGTAAGTCCATCCTCTGGAGAACCAAGTATCGGAGGTGATATAGTGTAGAAGTTGAAATGCGTCTAGAACGCTCTTGCGATGTGCCGATGATGATGGCAAGTATTTATCTCCCCGCCTTGTCACAAAACTTCCAGAGAGAATGTATGTCAGTAGCTGGAGCTGCTTCGAGGTATTGATATTCCGTGATAGTAGCGCGGCTGGGTACTCGCTAAGGCTATAGACTCGGTCCATTGCCTGCATGCCTATCTCCTTTGATTCGCCTTCCTGTTGATGGATGCAGTGTTGATCGATCCACAGATAATCGGATTTAACATAATCCATGTACCGCTTTATCCGGCTAAAAACTATATTTCTCACGGATGACGGTTTCGGATGGCCAGACTGAATGTCTTCAACCAAGTACCCACCGTCAGAAATATCGACCTCTTCCGGGGACGGCTTCCATGTATACGAGAGGGCTACGTAATTCGCCTCCTTAAAAGCGTTGATTGGAACAAGACCTAAGGTCGGTTGTGTCGAGCTTCCGACATGATCCCGATTTTTGAAATATAGGCACTTGAGCTTCTTGAGAAATCCCAATGACTTCTGTTGCGGGACGTTAGCCGCTTGAATATGGACCAACTGCTTCACAATGCTGGGGTCTGCATATCGCTGTCTGATGTCGAGAAGCGGTTCATGCATGTCGTCGCCCACCTGGGAGCTTTCGTCCGTATCCAAAGGGTTGATCTGTGACATTGTCCGCTGGGTTTGTTTGTGGACTGAGGTCAACACGGTGTCTTAATGGGGATCGCTCTAGATAAACCTTCATAGTTGTACCCACTACAATTGGCATAGAATCACAGTTAAAAATGTAATTTCCATCACATTTGCAGAGGCTGTGCAATTAGGCAGCAGTGGGTGGCCTCAAAATTGGATACTGATGCGGATTGGTCAGAGATTGTGACTTCTGACAGTCTGCATAATGGCGTAGGCCACATCTCGTTACTGGTTGGTTGTACGCCAGGAACCTGTATACCATGCTGAGATGTATTATTACCATTGATATAAACTTGTCGTTATTATACTACGGGCGGTAAAAGGTTTCACAGAGGTGTCGAGTCGGATACTGTGATATACCCATTAATTAAATTTCCATCTCTTATCAAAGACTGTTTCTAGTGCTTTAAGATAACCCAGACCATCCAGCAGACATTTACATACAAAGCCATGCTTACATCGATCTTCAACATACCTTATGGCAACACGAAGGTTACACGCACAGCAAAACGCCAAGCTGTCGACACCGTGGCGAACAATATAATCCAAGTGGTGCTTCGCAACATCAATCATGATTTTGGTAATCGTCTCCAACGCGGCTTCAGAGCTCTTCACCAATCCCTCTCTGTCAGCGTCTACAGGCAACGAGCCCGCTATCGACAATATCTCCTCGTGTAGAATGTATAAGGACCTATCATGAAGTCAGAAGCAAGATTGTATGGAATAAAAATGTTCAGACCTTATTACTGTCGCGATAGTCCCACAACGAAGCCCAGGCTCATGCGGTGTCTGTGTCATGAACACAGACAGCCGTTTTTGCAAGTCTTTGTCCAATTGCTGTAGCTTCAAGATTCGCTCTTCTGAATCGCGTTGCTCAGACTGACTCGTCTCATTCAAGCAGTGGTCAAGCAAATAGATAGCTTGCGCCTGTCGGCCGAAACTGCTCAAACCGGAAGAGCCCTGAATAGTTGAAGAAGACATTGTGCAATACGTGGGAATGTATTCGCTGTTGGATTCTGTGTCAGAAGGTAAAGGTACGTCGGAACTTGGGCAGACTGCCATGCGATCTCGGCGTCCGGTATTACTGTACTCTAGCAAGATAAACCTGAAATGTGTAAGCGCGTTGCCTATCACCAATCAATCACCAGCTAAATTATGGGGAGATAGCATACCTTTCCAGGACGATAATGGACCACCACAAGTTCCACTCTGACGTCGCATGTAGCCTTGTCTCTTCTTGAACAGCACCCAGCTTATCATATGCAGCGTCAACACCAACAACCTGTGCCATTCTAATGCATGCAGCAATAGATATGTAAGCTGAGCCAATCTGGCCACTAGCATACTCATAAGCCGATAAGATAACACCAGTCTGGATTAGAGGTATGCTAGCATGCGTGATCGCCTGAACCTGAGCGTAAAGTGTTTTTACAGTCACATGTACTGCAGAATGATGGAGGAAAAGATCAGCCAAGTCCCCTCCGGACCTTAGAGTGACAAGGCATATCGAGAGCAAAAGAACAGAAACGTCAGCCCCGGGAAGTCCTCGCTCGCTTAATTCAACATGCTCATGCAGGCGCCGTGGGGCCATGATGGGTAACCACCTCTGAAAGTTGTCAAGGAAGCGTTTCCCAGCTTGAAGGGGAGATTGGCCGACTACTTCGTAAAAGTAGTGCAGATGATAAGCCATCGTTCTGTCCAAAGTGGTAGTGGAAATGGACATGGGGAATAATGTAAGAGACCATGGTTTGAACACCTCTGCTGCATTGTCGCTAATTGGAGGTGTATCGCTCTCGTCTTCGTAAACGCAGTCGAAGCCACGTTTGAAGCAGTAGGAACAGGTAGGTAATTCTTTACCGCATGCTTTCTTCTTGGCCTTGCATATCCGGCAAACCCGGGGTGCTCGTTGTGGTGAAGTCATGATCGACATGGGGTTTAAAGGCTCAGCGACGTGAGAATAGTGTCTTCGGCCGCCGCTATCACTGCAATGGGGTTTGAAAATACGACATTTGAAAGAATTAGAAACTGGGTTGGCGAAGTAGAGGCTTGAGGTCCGACATGAGAGCTCATGCTAGTGGAGACCTGCGGCCGCCGCTTTGCCCATGTTCGGTTTAGTGCATGTGGACAAGACAATCATGCCGGAAATAAACTGGGGGACTCTGGGCAATAAGGCTCTTTCTCCGGCCTGCAGTGCCGAATACTTGCTCATCTCTTAATTGAGGGTTTCCACCATAGCCACGTAAAACAAATAATACCTAGGTCTTCTATCAAGGTACTCATCAATTATAAAATAAAGGAGTCGAGATTAATAAAGCTTAAATATCGCGACGATGTTGTCGGTGGAATGGAGACCAGTTCTTTATTGTATTAATCGACATCAATTGAGTCACCAATTCTACATTTACTCTGCCAAAGGTTTTGACGGACAGAGCTGCTTGATTTGCCTATCATGACGACCAACAAGAACCAGTCAGACTCTGAGCAGAGTCCAATAATGACTGAACCATCACCTGTCCAGATGTCCAAGCCAACCCGTCGATGGTGGCATTGGCATGAGCCTGGCGCTAGCAAAGAAGAGAAGTGGCTCATCTTCAAGCTAGACGCCGCCATTCTCACTTACACCTGTTTGGTATGGGAAACCCCCTTCTAGATCAATGAATTCTCGTTAACAGACTTTGTAAAAGACTTTCTTCGTCAAATATCTGGATCAAACGAATGTCACGAATGCTTATGTATCTGGAATGAAAGAGGACTTGGACCTTCGTGAGTTATGCACCACCGCAGTGTCACTGATATCTAGACGCTAATAGTTTCCTTTAGGTGGTAACCAGCTCAACTGGCTTACGACATACTTCAACATCGGCATTATCATCGGGGCACCTTTTTCAACAATAATGCTCACCTTTATCAAGCCTCGTTGGTGGCTTCCTGCTTGCACGATGGCTTGGTCGCTTCTAGTTCTAGGAATGCATAAGGCTGAGACTGCTGAGACGCTTTATATCTTACGGTAGGTCGCGACGAGGCTACAAGCCTCATATGAGGAAGAAGGCTAACTAAAGGATCTAGATTCTTCACGGGTCTTTGCGAATCCGGTGCTATGCCTGGGTCATTCTACCTGGTATGATTCTCTACGAGATACGGAAGGAACATGCTTACTTGAGACTTGGCAGATCGGAAGTTGGTATCGCAAGTCGGAGATTAGCAGGCGGACTACTCTATTCTGGTTCTCCTCCGTTAGCGGGCAGATGCTCTCTGGATATATCCAAGCTGGACTGTATGATAGCCTCGCTACATCTGACGAGTACAATCTAACAAACCTCTCAGGTATCGAAACATGAATGGTCGCCTAGGTCTAGCTGCTTGGCGGTGGTTATTTATCCTAGACTTCTTGATCAGCGTTCCAGTTGTCATTCTTGGTCTTATCATCTGCCCTGGTAAGACACAAATGTTCATCATACTATTTGCGCTTGACCTAACACAACACTGAACAGATGAACCAAAGGCAAAGAAAGTCTGGTGGATGTATGAAGAGGAGAGGCAACGATGTATCGAGCGAATGGCCGATGAGGGCCGAGACGCTGAAGGTTCCCATTGGGATCGTGCATTGATCAAACAGGTTCTGAGATCTTGGCAACTTTATGCATTTTGTCTTGCTTGGGGGTCAGCGGACCCCTTTTAATCACGTTTATGGATACTGCTAACTGAGTTTAGGGTCATGGAACTTACTTGCGGCGTGAATCTTCAACGATGGATGACACTATGGACCAAGTCCCTCCGCATTGATGGAAAACCCAAGTACAGCACTGAGAAAGTCAACGCGATTCCTACGGTGGTAGGATGTACAGTAAGTCACATCAGCCATATTTGCTGTTCACTCGTTAACAAAACATCTTCTAGGGCCTTGTTTGGATGCTTCTGAGTGCATTCATTGCAGATAGCTATCAGAATCGGGTTCTACCAATCTGCATTCTGGGCTGCGTACAGCTGTTCAGCTACATCGTGCTTCTAGTATGGCCAAGCAGCGAGACTTTCATTATGGCAGCTTATTATCTCGCCAGTGCATACAGCGCGCTATCACCGCTGATATCTGCTTGGCTGAACTCCAGTTGCGGCGGGAAAAAACAGCTTAGGGCCCTAACTACAGGACTGATGGTCTCAATTGGATAGTGAGTTTCAACCACCTCTCAGCCCTCGAGTCAATGATCAGATCGGACAGCGGTAACTGACAGCCACATCCGATTAGTGCCGCGGAGACTGTTGCTCAGCAAGAGATGTTTCCTATTTCGCAGGCCCCCAAGTTTAAGCAGACTCATGGATACGCCTTTGGGATTGCATGGATAGCTGTCATGATTGTCTGGTGCTCTGTATGTCTCCCACTATTGGAGCGACACTTTTCAGCTCGCCAAATGAAGTCTCGAGGATAATTTCAACGCAATGCGGGTTATTTCAAGGCTGGGTCTTCTGGCCAGCAGGTCACTACTCAGGGCATGGAAACAGATTTGTGCCGCGCCGGATACTTGGCCACTTCTAGATACCTATGAAGGGCCTCTCCATGACTGGGAGTCTCTGCAAATCAGTTCCCTTAATGGCCTACTACCGAGAATATCCCCTTACTCCTAAGTATGGTATACTGCCAGAAGTGTGTCTTTGAGAGCGTTGTTTTGAGTCGATAGACTTGGCAGCTAATTCTTTGCATCGCGCGCCTTACCTCGTATCAGCATCCAAAGTCTGCTGTATTCTCTGGCTGGGCAACCACTTATCCGCTGGAGTAAACCACCAAGTCAACAAGGCCAGGATCGTAGTGCCCGCCATTATGATGGGTGCGTAGTTTAGCGACTCAGCCGTGACTGGGAAGACATACGGCGAGTACAAGACGGCAACCACCCAGCCATTCCAAAAGACTGCAATGACTTGAAAAGGTTTGCTGAGGCGCCCTAAACTCCATGCTGGCTTCGGGAAGTTCTTTGGTGTTAGAAAGAGTCGGGCAAGGGAGATGAGACCGTATGCAGCTGCTGAGGGTACGCCGGCGGCGGATACAAGGGAGGTGAATGCTACCGCCGATGGGAGGATGGTGCAGGTTATGACTGAAGCGACGCCCCAGACGACGTAGACAGCGTTGCGAGGCTGTCCTGCTTCTACTTTGGAGACCCAGCTAGACCAAGGCAGAACTCCATCTCTTGCCACGGCAAATACCAATCGAGAAGCTGCAGTAACTGCGATTGCGGTGTTCTAATCCAACCGTAAGTTTTGCCGTTGTAGTGTGATTTGGAACTAGAGCGACTTACGAACCAAAGTGCCAGTATGCACACAATGTTCATTACTATGTGTCCACCCTCCCCGAGGATGGCAGCATATACTGACACAAAAGGCTGAGGACCGCCATAAGAGAAGAGCGTATTCGCATCTGGCTGTAACGGTGTTATCAAGCAGCCCATAAACTTTCGATGAGATAAGACTTACCACACAGAACAAGAAGAGAATAACCACTGCAAAACCGCCGATCCCACTAACAACAGTACTCCAGAAAATGCCCCTGGCCGCTGCAACAGAAGCGTTCTTAGTCTCTTCAGCTACATGACCTGAAGCATCAAAACCTATCAAGACGCCAGCAGTAGCAAGGTATGAAAGACACCAATTCCAACCAGGCGGGGCCCCAGTGCCGTTATACGTCGTCATGAAAGCATCGTGTGTTGAACGAAAGCCAAGAGTGTTGCTTGTGGCGATAGGGAGCCAGATTAGGTTGAGGAGAAAGTCGAGAACGACAATGCTGCTAGACAGCGCGAAGATCCACTTGAAGTACCGAGCTGTTGTATTTTAGATGAGTGTGATAGAAAGCAGTGCTGGGGGGACTTACGGGGAAGGAGGTTCCAGATGCAGGCTAACGCGAGCATTATCTCTGTCAGGATCCATTGCACGGCTCGAAACTTGACGCTTGATGAGTCGGAGGGAAAGTCTGTGTTGAATACGACGATTTCCTGATGATATCAGACCAGATGGAACCTGTAATGCTATGGAAGATTACTTACCGAGAGCATGTAGTTCACAGCAGCTTGCGTGTTGCCTTAATACCACAACATTAGAACCCATCAATATTGCAGGAAGACAGTACTAACTGGCGCAAAAGGTCGTCCAAGCAGTAGTAGACCACCAAGCAACAACGAACCCAAACAACCTCCCAAAGTGAGGACCGCCCGCTTCAGCAGCCCAGAGGTAAATGGACCCAGCTAAAGGCAGGGAAGAGCAGATCTCGGCAATGACTGCGGCGGTTATGAACGTGAAGACACATGTTACGATGTAACTCGTCCTTTCAAAGGGATTAGCTGAGTGAGGTAGGCTGCGAGTTAGGGCTTACCAGTAGGCTAGATTTCCACCTGCTGCGATGCCGGTTGAGAAAGTAACGCGCACGCCTCCGATGAAGTAAAGGGCAGCTGGGCCGTGTTAGAAGTTTTGTCGCGGTTCGTTGGGCGGGATGACTGACCGAATGTGGTGGCGAAATTGTGGAATTGATTGAAGCTACGTTGTAGGACCTGTTCATAATTAGTTGTTATTTATCTGATAGGTATTGATCCGCCGATTACTGGTTTATATCCTAGCTTTTCCTACAGAATTTGTGTCAGCGTCGATGTATGTCTGTTTGAGTTATTTCTGAACTACCAACCAGAAGGATATTGTCGGATGAAGTGTCGCTCGAATTGCCCCTTGCATCCCCGCCCGTGTTGACGGGACTATCTTCGGCATTCTCCCGTATCGTCGACATCGCCGGTGTTTTCTAATCGTCAAATTACAGGTGTTGATGTAACCCCGGCGAGAATTATGAAGGAATGCAAATGTAAAAACTGTTAGGATGCCTGAGGTATTTAGCTCGTATGTACGACAGCCGGCTCATTCGGCACAGTACCCTTGCTAGTAAAAGTCAACATGAACACATTCCTCTTAGCGAAAATCGCCCCACTGATAAGAGACGCAGTCCCATGGTATTAAATAGCTTCTACCACTGACAACAGGGTGATAGCGGTGGAGCCACGACATTATTTTCTTAAACCCGTTTCTTCGTATAAAATAGCCGATGCCAAGCACGTCATCCCACTTATAACCGTTTGATAGAATTCTAGACTCGGCAGAATGAGAGCATGTGCGGAGTAGCCAATGTCCTATGGGATGAATCCGCCTAACGGCTTAACTGCCATTTATTGGGCAGCTTAACATGCGTTGCTCTAAAACGCACCAATGAGGTATTTATAGAGACATCAACTAACTAAACTACTGCTGTCAATGCTACTTTAATCGGTAAGCTCGAATTATTCTGCAAATTATGGTGAACATTTATGTATTTGTAGATTTTATTCGCTTCGTTCATTAAGATCTGGTCTTAGCGTTGCTGGCTACTTTCCTCCTCGCTGCCGCCTGATTTCAGCACCGCTGACAAACTAACTACAAGCATTGAGAATACCACTGGTTCTGCTCCTTGCAAGTATACGGCGAAGCACAAACCGTCGGTCCAGTCCACGAAGCACCACCACACTGCCCATACCTAGGCACAGTAGGTCCACCAGTAACAGTCGGCTTGGACGTAGTCGAAAGAGTAGTACTTGGCTTCGACGTGGCTGTAGCAGTAGTAGTAGGCTTCGTCGGCGCAGCTCCTCCATTAGCGGCATTGACGGCGGCAGCATGCTCATACACCAACGGCTGGGCCTCATCATCCTCAAGATAAATAGTGTTCCCATCATCGTGATTCTTTCCGTATGAGAACTTGCTGGTGCCGAATTGCCAGTACATGTCGCTGACTTCAAGATCAAGAGAAGCTTTTTGCCATTTGCTCAGAGTAGCGATGCGGGTGGATTTGTCGGTCCAGCCGTATTCCTCGTGAAGAACGGGCTTTTTGGCCGTGGCACCAGCGGCAGCGTGGTCTTTGATCCATTGAACAACCCAGTCAGTCGTCTTGCTCCAGTACTGAGGGTACGAGTGGAATGTGTTGAAGTCGATGTTGGGGAGCTTGAGTTCAGCGTCAAAGTCAGTTCCGTCTGCGCCGTTGTAGGTCCAGTCGTCTGACTGGCGGTTGAAACCGCCTTCACTTCCTGTGGTGACGAGATGGTTGGGGTCGAGGGACTTGATGTAAGTGCTCATCTCGCTGACCCAGGAAGTGATGGTTGCAGGGGTACAGTCGGGTCCACGGGGAAGGTTTCGAGTTCCGTCGGCGCCGCACCGGGGCTCGTTGGCGATTTCCCATGCAAAGACGGCGGGTGAGTCCTTGTATCGGTTCACAACGGCGGAAATGTAGTTCTTGAAAGCCTTCTTGATAGCAGGGAGACGATAGAACTGTATGATCCGTTAGTAACTCTTATACAGCAAATCTTCGGAGAAACTCACATCATCATGGTAGCGACCGCCGAGATTGACAGTATAAACATCCATACCACCATAATCAGCCCAATTGTTAGTCAAAGCCAAAATCAGCTTCATGTTAGTAGCTTCAGCAGCTTCAATAACCACATCAAGCTTGCTCAGATCAATCTTGACGCTTCCGTCCTTCTCAAAGAACTGCATGACAGTATTCTCAGCACCAGTGCCGTACTGAGGCAAACCACCAGAGACATAAGTCCTGTTGTTGTCGTGGAAAGCCCACGTACGCATGACTTTGAGACCAGCGTCTTTTGCAAGTTGAAGGCCTAGCTTGACATCTGAGTAGTGATCCGTTCCCCACTGAAAAGGTCAGTTTAGGCTTGAATATTGTGTTCCAAGGGTACTTACGACGTTGAAGGGAAGGTAGTAGGCATTGCTACCAGCAAAGAAAAAGTCCTTTCCATCAAGTTGGAACTTTGTTCCATCGGTAGTGACAAATCCAGCGGGTACAGCCAGCGCCGGAACGCTAGCAAAAGCGGCCGCGACAATTGAAGCAAACTTCATCTTGAGATCTGAAGAATGACTGAACTTGATCAATTCTGCTGATCATGACAAACAGCGATTAACTACATATTTTATACCTCTTGCACTCGGCATACCAATTACACATGCCATTCCCCTCATCCCCATAGGGTGATAAATGCAGCATACCGGAGCTCAACACCCCGTGATATCCGCATTCGGAACGGGACAGGACGATCGTCCAGATATGGGCCGGAAAACCGCGATATTCGATCCGGTATGTTTTTGGAAATCGAATTAAGTTTCCTTTTCAATTCCTGAGAGGCTTTGTCACGCCACGATTGGCGGTGGCCATTTGTGGATAAACGAGTCTGTGCCGTTGAGTGACAAGCTCGGGACACTGATCTTGCATGATCAGAAGAGATTCACATATACCCCCAATATAGTCCACCAGTTGGAGCGATGCAACCATACTGCATGATGAACCTGCAACGAGCAAGAACAATGCAGTAACCCTATTCCAGAGGTTTATCTACCTCCGTGAATACCGAATGTTAAATAGTTTAGGTCAAAGAAGTTTAATACCACTCAAATATGATATCATCGTGACTTATTCTTCCAGCACTCAACCCCCAAGGCTGGTACTCAGAAACCGAGGAAATCCGTGCTTTACGCGTATTCGCGTGTAGTACCTTTTGAAGCAAGTGAACTAAATACCAACGACGGCACACAAGTGCAACGAGATTATCTAATCCGCACTTCTCCAACGGAACGTCACTGGTTCCAAGGGATTATAGAAGCCTTTCCCTTCATATCCTCCAAAGCCCATCCAGGGGTCATAGTAAGTAACATCGTCCTCATCCGTACTCTCCTCCGTATAAAAGTTCCGAAAAACGCCATCATCCGCCTGGCAATCCCAAGCATCGTTGTCCCTCGGGGGGATGGTATAGTGTCTACAGTGTCCGGCAGAAATTGAGCAAGAGAGTTCGCCGCTAGTTTTGAGGTCGCATTTAATAGGCGCGCCGTAGTATGTGTCTGACGCTGAGCAATCGATGAACCAGCCTGGGTTGGGGACTGTACCGGAACCCCAGCGGATGCAGACGAGTGGGAAGTTGGGGCGGTACGGGTCGGCGCGGCGGAGATAGCCCGTGCCTTCTTCGAGGATGAGGGCGACGGGTTCCCAGGCTGGGTTTGTGGAGAATTGGAGATTGTAATAATCTTCCTTCTGGCCCATTACTATGCCATCTACTGCACCACCCTCGGCGACGATATTGAAAGTTGTGACGGCGGGTTCTTCCGAGGTTGTTGTTGTAGGGGCAACCGTCGTGGTCTCGGTCGTGTCGAGTGATGTTATGAGGGTCATAGTGTCAGATTCAATTGCGGTCGATGTGGACGGAACATCAGCGGTAGAAGTCTCAATGGTCCCTGGTACAGTTGTGCTGGCTGTCTCCGAAGACGCGACTCCAGACGCAGTCGCCTGAGTTGAGGCTGTCAAGACCGCATCACTGGACTGAGAAGCTACAGAAGCTTATTAGATGACTGTGTTGACCCATGCGCTCGCGAAACTTACAAGACCCGGGTTTGCAAGGGCCCGCTATCACCGCTGGGAGCCCAAAGGCCAGTGAAAGAATTGGGTTGAAACGCATAACGAGAGACTTGCCAAAAAAAAAGTTTGGCTTGACAACGATGAGGAAAAAATGAAGAAGGAAAATAGGGCGTTGAAAAATGACCGGGTGGCGGCTGTCATAAGCATCAAAATAAAGGAGACCCTGGCAGTTGACCCACTTTAGAAATCGATAGTTCTGAAGCTATCGACACTGCCAAGATGTTCCAGAGCTGTTATTTGCTGGCGTAGCTCAGTAACAGACAGGGGCAGGCAAGCCACTAATTTAGACTGCGGCAATACCGGCTTCGGCTGATAAGATAAGCTTGAGAACATTCGATGATGGCATTGAGTTGAGAACGACTGCAAAGTATGCTTTGCAGTTGGCTTCACTCGTGGTGAGCTCCAAGACTGGTGAAAGATTTCCAGATTCTCAGGTCTTGACGGTGCTGAAATCCATGCCGCTGGCCACACAGAATAGTCTTCATGATGCGTATTACTAGCTGGAAATATCATCCAATCATCGGTGAGATGGCCGAGTTGGTTATGGCGCCAGGTTAAGGTTAACCTTAACACCAATTTCCTGGTGGAGCAATCCTCCTGGGTTCGAGTCCCAGTCTCATCAGATAATCTTTTTGCGTTTTTAACCTCTAGGTCCTAGGTGGCAAGAGGCCAGGATGAGTCTTGTGTCATGTCGTTCTTTTTTGCTTTTACGAACCACGCTAACTGAAGTATCATCACTCCGTTCAGCCACTGGCTCCAAGCCAGAAACAGTTCAGTTAACCACTTACACTATTATGACAATAGGTGCTCCGTCCCTCGGGTATAATGTACATGTAAACTATTCACACACTATGCAGATGTAGTTGTCCCAGTTGCCTTCTTCCCCGCCTTGACATTCTTCCATTCGAATCCGAAAGACGTAATGAGAGCAAAACATGCCATGCCCAAGCCAAGATACCAGATAGACCTCATCGAATCGTTATACGCGTTCAACACCAAATCAACCTTGTCGGAAGGTACAAGATTCCACAGATTTGTTGCGCCACTGTTCGCAAGTGTATTGATGTCAACCCCAGGAACATACCTGGCAATTTTGCTCTCGAGTTGTCCTTCGAGTAGTGTCTGCGACACGGTGACAAATACTGTTCCGCCAAGGAAGATCAAGAAGTTCAGGATGGAAAGGCCAATCGGGCTATCGCTTTCTGGGAGAACAGTTTGGATGGCGATGGCGGGCTGTTGTAGCGTCAAGCCCATGCCTGCTCCTGTGATAATCTGCCATGATCCGTCAGTATCGCCCAAAATTATGTGGACTAAACGTACCTGATAGCCGATCCATTTGGCCTTGCTCACATCTGCCGTCCAGGTACTGATCAACGCCGAGCCAACGATAAGCACAGCACATCCAGCGATAGCAAACGGCGTATAGTATCCAATCTTGCTGACCAAAACACCGCCAAGAATAACACAGAACACATTGCTAAGTAGTAACGGTATCAGAGCTATACCTGAGTCTTGCGGTGACTTACCCTTGACCACCTGGAACCAAACGGGAAGGTAAAACGAGTAGATAACCAGTACTGAACCAATAGCCAGGGCATTCAGGCAGGCAAAGAATGTGGTTCGTTGGAAGAGAATTCTTGGTGGTACTGTCGCCTTTTCTTTGCGCCAAGCTTGGTAGCCAGCGAAAATGAGGAACAAGATTCCAAAGACGACGAAAAGAGCGATGACTCGTCCGCTTGTCCACTGCTGGTTCTCTTTTCCAAACTCGAGTGCGAAGAGAAGGCTGACGACTGATCCAGCAACCATAAGAAATCCGAGTGGATCGAGATCGAGGAGTTTCTGACGCCATGACTTAGCTGGTTCGCTTGGTGGTGGTCTGTTCGGCGCCAAGATAAAAAGAAGAATGAGCGAAAGTCCACCGATAGGAACGTTGATCCAAAAGCACCACCGCCATGTAACAGATGTAAGATACCCCCCGAGAATCGGTCCCAAGATCGACGATATTCCAAACGCAGACCCAAGAGATCCGAGATACTTCGGTCTCTCCTCTAATGGAAACAGCAGCGTGATGTAGATAAACACACCAGAGCCAATACCTGCACCTCCAATACCAGTGATAGCTCTTCCAACGATCAAAGCATTGGAGTTAGGTGCAGCTGCACAAACAATCGATCCAATTTCGAATATGGCGGTTAAGATGAAGAGAACCCATTTGGTGGAGTAGTATTTGAAGACGAGACCGAAGGAGAGCTGGAAGACGCAGAGGGGGAGGAGGAAGGCTGATTCGTACCACGCGATGTCGCCGAAGCTGTCGAATTCGGCGGAGATTGTTGGGATGGCTGTGCCGATGATGGTGCGGTCCTTGGAGGTGTCAGTGTGTAAGGGAAATGGGTAGGAGGGTGGCTTACCAGTGCGACGAGGAAGAATACGAGGAAGAGAGCTAGCATTGTTGGTAGGACGACTTTCTTTGGAGGATATATCTTTTCGTTATCGGCATCGTCGGAAGATGTCTTTTCCACGTCGGCGCTTGGCCTGTTCGGTGGCATCTCATCTCTGGTTTCTTTTTCTTCCATCGTGACAAGTCTTGTTGAATTGCAAGACAGACAGATGCAACGGTATTTCGTGCTTTGTTTTAAGGTTATTGGTCAAAGGGAGCTTGCACTGTCTGCAACAGTGAAAAAGAAGCTTTCGTTAAGAAGACTACGCAATAGTGAAATGAATAAATAAATAATATCGCGAAAGATCAGCATGGTCTTAAATGAAGAAGAAATCACTGCCGGCATTCCAAGTCAATTACATATCTCCCTCCCTGCTGGATCATCAAGCATCGTGTCAATCAGCCAATCAAACATCAACCTCAGAGTTTCGGTCTCGGTACCGAGCCCGAGCTAACCCGTCTCACCAGCAAAAAACCTCGCGGGGTCGCCCGAGCTTTTAATTACACAACGTCATGGATCTCAACATCACCGATCACCAACCCTCAATAGCACCACGAAGATCACAGTAACAAAAAATCCAGAATGCGATCTCAGGCCTGCGAACCATGCGCAAAGCGCAAAGTCAAATGCGACAGAGCAGAACCGCCGTGTTCTAATTGTAAGCGTCGCAAGCATGATAATTGCACTTACCCTGAAGTCTCGCCTTTTGAGAGGATAAGGAAATTGGAGGAGGCGGTGAGAGCGCTGGGTGGTGATCCGTTGTCTGATACGCCTCAGAAATTGAGAGGGCAGAGCGTGAAGAATAGTCCTGCGGAGGGGACTAATGCTGAGACGCCGATTATTGTGCTGGAGGAGGGAAAGTCCGTTTATCACGAGTCGTAAGTCAATTAAAAAATATCTAGTATGTGCACAATGAGACAGCTTCTAACAATCTCAGAGAGGGATGGCATACCTGGATCGATGTTTCACGTCTTTACAAAGGCTCCAAGCCAAAGTTCAATGCCTCCGACCCTCGAGGTTCAGCCTTATCACCAGGCAAGCATCTTCCTCACGCGTTCCATGGCTCACCATGGCGAGATAACGCCATTCTCTCAGAGAAACTCGACTTCTGCCCCATAGCCACCGAAGAGGCCTTAAAGTTATGGGACTTTTTTATGGAGCGAGTAGAGCCAATTGTCAAGATCAGCTTCAGCTGGACGCTTACCTATTTAAGGGCCGCTCTGTCGGATGCTGAGAAGTGGAGAAGACTTGATAACGGAGACCATGTGCTCATATTGTCAACTTGTTTATTTGGAGCTACGAGTTTGACGAATCAAGAGTGCCTAGATCTATTCGGTCGCACGAAAGCGTCTCTTACGAATGAATGTCGCGTTCATTGTGACATGGCGTTCTCAAGGATAAGTCTACTCGCCATTGACAGCATCTCAACCTTGAAAGCTATGTGTCTGTACATCGTGAGTTACCTTCCCAGAACCCGCTTACCACGGACTAACATGCTGCCAGAAAGCCAACGTCGACGTCTTGACTTCCCGTAGCATGTGGACTTTGATGGGTCTCATCTCCCGAAGCGCAGAACAACTCGGCATGCACCGCGACGGCACAGTACTAGGTCTTTCACCGATTGAAACAGAGGACCGTCGTCGACTCTGGTGGCAGCTTCAACACCTCGATCTGATTCTTTCACTGAAAAATAATGTCACTCCCTTGTCCTTTGGCGCGGGCTGGGATGTCAGGCTTCCTTTGAACATTGAAGACGACGATCTTGATCCAAGTTCAAGAATGCCACCGAAAGACCGAATTGGTCTGACGAGTTTCTCGTATACGCTGTTTACGTACTGGATCATGGAGAAGCAGCGCGGTTTTCGACTGACACAGGCGAGCCAGGCCACAGCGGGTGATAAATCTCTTCTTGGCTGTTTGGCTGACTCTATGATTGACGACCTCGAGGCTGGCCTCAACGAAAACTTTCTGCAGTATTGTGATCCCATCAACCCGTTACATGCGATATTACAGATTACCGCGCGGGCTGTTGTCAACGTTTTACGGCTGAGGAAGCTGCATGAAGCTCGCATGCGATCTCAGCATAGCGATGATCAATGCCATGTTGAGCACTTCAATGCTTGTATGCAGGGTATGCGATATATCGTTGTCTCTCATTCAAATCTTCAGCTGAAGCCGTTTATATGGCTTGTAGAGAGCTCATTTCTCTGGTACGCTTGTGAGTAGCAGTTCTCTGTCGGACTGAGTTGTATCCTGCTAACAAATGGGTAGTTATTGGAATCTTGGTCGACATGTCGAACTTGGCAGATGTCAACCTTATCAAATCAGCTTGGACACTACTCTCGCAGCTTTACGCCGTAGCAGGTCATTTATCCGACCTTGAAGACGACAGAAGAAAATCTCATGCTGCAAGATCAGTGGTTGCAACGTGGTATGAGTGCCGGCAGAAACCAGGCCTGACTGCGATGCAGAAGCCAGGGTTTGTCACCAAGCTTGAGAAGGACTTGGCCGAGCTGGAAAGCAAGACAATTGCAGACGTAGAAAGCCAAGTCGGTGTTCCACAGGAGGTCTGGCAGACTCGACCTGTAGAGACTGAACTGCAGCCGTTTGGGTTCGAGTTCGCGGATATTGATTGGGCATTTTGGGATAGTATTAATTAGACCATCTCTTACTGCTTATTCGTAGCGGTTGCAGTATCAAGACCCTGACTTCAAGCTGTATCTGGAGCAAAAAGGAGAATTGAGTGACCTAGAAGAGTCTTCATATGCAAAAGAAAAGGGTCTGGCCGGGGATTGAACCCGGGACCTCTCGCAAGCTAAGCTATAGGGTTTTCCCTAAGCGAGAATCATACCACTAGACCACCAGACCGGTCTTAGATCACGTGATACATGAGTATCATTATACCCTTATATTCGTAATACTGCCAAAGACGAACCAACATTCTCAACTATGCATCGCACAATGCCTCAATACCCTTTGCAATCCGCCCCTCCAGTCGAACTACAATAAAACAAACTTCTCTAATCTTGAACGGCTACAGTTAGGTGTCATCTTTGGACATGGCCAAAGAGAACCAATGGACTAGTGTATCATTAAACAACTCACGCATACAGGTTCACAAACCGTCTATCAGAGCGTCTTCGTCATCGTGGATAGTTATAAAAAGGAACATCATAAATTCCTTTTGGCGTTTTCCTATTAGGTAACTACCAGTTATCGTTCTTATAAAGTGCTGTCCTCTAAGTAATAAAGTAAAGCATCAGGGTTAACCTGGCATACTACTTGATTTATGAAGGCGTCCTTGGTCTCGCAGTAGCTGCAGCTCACGCGGCCGCTGGATATCTCCTGGTATATCCAACCCCCCCGTGAACCGTGAACTGTCGCTTGTGCAACGTTGCCCTCGCTCTCCAACTAACACGGCGATGCTTTGAGGGTTTCGATCCGGACCGCGTGGCTTGTGCTGCCGCGGTTGGTGCAGCTCTCGCGGTTGGTGCAGCTCTCGTGGCAGCTGCAGTTCTCATGCCCGCTGCATAACCCGCGTTGAACATGATCGTTCCTCGTCTTGGTGTGATTCTATTGGTGAAATTCCCGTGACGAAGCCTGCGTATCGCTGTCCTCACACTAAGAGACCGATGCGTTGGGGTGTTAAATACGAAAACTTGTGGTGGCGCACTTGGTCCCGTGGCTGCTGCAGGTCTCGGAGCCCATGCTGGCCCCGGGTACCATGTTTGTCTTGAGTTTTGTACCTGTACAGTAGGCCGTGTGATATTTCCGAAACACATGATACAACTAAAACGTGGTTAGCGTTATTGGTTAAAAGGATGGTATCGGGTCTTGTACGGTAGAACTGGTTAACTGTATTGCAGGCTCGTACCAGTATAGCTTTGTTTCCTGGCACAGGTGTGCAACAGTGGGCGAGGGATGAGTTTACAGGGCTGCAGTTGCAGAGCCGATGGAAATATTGCCCATATGTGTCAAGGTGTCCTCTACCTTTGATCTGAAGCTTGTAAATAAACCTGTACGGAAAGCAGCCGCTGTCTGATGGGATACAGTGTATGGAGAATATTGGCGACGGCTTTGCCTCGTTGAGGGGAAGAATGCTGGCAAGGAGGGGACTATAGCATCTTATGTACCTTTAAGGCCGGCAAAGGAAGCATAATCTAGGTTTTCTTATCAGCATTTATTGTATACCAATTGGTTATGTATTGCAGTATAATGTCTAAGCAGTAAGCTTGTTGTGTTATTTGCAGGTGATACTTGTGGCAAAGAGCTTGCATTACCAGACGGAACTTAGTAACAAGGGACGAATCCAAGAGGGCGGGATTCACGTGCCGTTGTGTTAAAACCAGCCACGTCTCTTCTGTGATGACTATAGAGTTGTACCTCGAAAGTAAAACTCAACACAGCGACTATAACATGATGTCTATGACTAACAAACAGCTTCATTACAGAGAGGCCCACTATACGAATAACACCTCGGAACGTTTAAGGTTTAGTCTCGTAATCAAGCCACCTGCTTCTCTCATAACCCATGCATCAGGGTGCAGAAACCGGATATCCGGAATCTTCACCGTCTCGACTAGAAATAAATACCCGTATTCAATGAAGGATCGCATTGCGATGAAAGTGCCAGAAACCCTGCAGACTCTGGAGCAAAACGATCAGGGGACTTAGAACGGGGCCTGCTTTCCATTCGCGACACGCTTCCTTGAGAAGCTTGGGCTCTCAGAAGCTTCTTTCTTGCATTCTCCTCTCGTCGGTCGTCCTGGTCTTTCAGAAATTTCTTTCTCGCTTTCTCTTGCCGATGATGTTCTTTCTGAAGTTTCAGTCTTGCTTTCTCTTCTTTAACAGCATGACGTCTGTGGATTTTCTTTCCCCCTTTCGCTGCTCGCCTTTCCAGGGCTTTGTCAAGTTTTCTTCTTGCTGTCTCTTCATCAGCGGTCGTTAGACGTATGAGCAGACGCCTGATAGAACTGAACATGGCTGACGCTGTGGAGATGGCAGATAGTATCGGTTGTTTGTGCGGCAGATGATCTTTGGACGCTAGTCTTGTATCGCTCAACGGTCCAGATGGGGTGTGTAACTGTTGGATGTATTTAAGTTACAGTTGTGCGGCCAAGGAGGCATTGAGTATTGCCTAAATGTGCAGATGTCTCTTGCCTTTGATCATCGGCCCGCCGATTTCTTTTAGCCACTGATGACCTTGAATTTACAGCAGTAGCAGTAGCAGTAAGAGGGAATAAAATAGCTGTGAAGATGTTGGTGATGGCTATGCCTGTTGGGTGAGAGGGATGTTGTTCAGGAAGGAAAGAATCGAACAAGAGTGAGGCTTTATGTGCTTCTTTGCTTGAGCTTGCCACATTCCTTTCATCAGACTGTAGAGTTACATCTCGAAAGCATAACTTAACGCCCCTATGTGTTATCTGATGTCCTTACTCATTACAGATGGGCTTTTACTTGATGCCACCCCGACAGGTAAGAGGTCACATGTAAATTCAGTGATGAACCTTCATTGCGGGAAGGCCGAGTTTTTACTTTACTGATGATGACTCGGAGGCTTCAGCCTTCAAACTCGTGATCACGCCGTTAATTGAAGCTGGCTGATCATTAACATGCGCCTGATCCTATGGATTAATGCTTGTTGTAGTATATTGGTGAATCCCGAATGTGATGTAAGTGCCCACCGACACTACTAAGAGCCAGGAATCAGCGACCTCTGAATGTGCTAGCTGACACACAGGGTACTTCGACCTGGAAGGTCAATCGCCCAGCAAATCGACGGTCTGCGCACCAAACTCTCCTAACAATGTCTTTGAGGAATATGTCTCCACGGTTCACCAACCCTCTAGCTCATCAGAAGAGCTCAAGATCAGAGTGGACTGCGCCATTGCTGGTCAAACTACCAGATTCTACGTGGACGACGTGTCAATTGAGTTTGCTTAACGGCGCTGTTGGAGGGAAAGTGGAACAGCACATGGATGAAGATAACCATCGGCCCTTTGATAGATATAGATGACATGACCAGTGCTAGCCCTGAACTCGCATAATCCCACTTACAGTCACTTCTTTCCACGGAGGCTTCCACGGAAATATATCCACGGAACCAATTTGGCTTATGTATTGTGCATCCAATCAGCTTTGTTGTCGATGCTTCTGGCTTACGGTTTCGCAGCCAATCAGACCAACGGAATCATGAACTCCATCTGTGCAGTGGAACCATTTATCCAGTAAATTGGAAATCGCCAGTTGTAAACAAGAGCCCGTATTTCTGAAGTTCTGTATATATACAGTTGTTCTGGTCCTGAGAGTGTGACCGATTATCTAACCCGCTCTTGATCTCAACTTGTGCTTTCAGATTCTCACCTCGGCCCCGGTAACAGCCATGTCAAAAGAAGCACCAAACTGGCCAATCGACGGCGGCCATCGGGCCTGGCTCTCGACCTTTGGAGCCTGGTGGGCTATGTTCATTACCTTTGGTTGGGTCAATTCCCTCGGCGTCTTCCAGTCATACTACGAACAAACCCTCCTTCCAGACTATTCTACCTCGTCCATCGCATGGATCGCATCAGTCCAACAATGTCTTACATACAGCATGGGTATCTTTCTCGGCAAAGTGTTTGACAACTACGGTCCACGATGGCTTCTCGTCGTTGGAGGTCTCGCGCAGGTGTTTGGTCTCATGATGACGTCTATATCGACAGAGTATTACCAAGTCTTTTTGTCACAGGCTATTTGCAGTGCCCTTGGTGCCAGTGCTGTTATGTACGGCACCGTTGGGGCGTTGGCGACCTGGTGGAAAAGTCGAAGGGCTACAGCGTATGGGGTCGCCATCTCGGGTTCATCAATCGGTGGCGTCATTTTCCCGATCATGGTGAATCGCCTTATGCCTCGCGTTGGATTTGGTTGGACTATGCGAATTGTCGCATTCATCATTCTGCTTGGAGCTCTTTTCTCAATGGCGACAATTCGATCGAACAGAGCCCATGTACCAACAGCATTCAACATCCGGAGCTACATCACCCCGTGCAAGGACGTGAGATTCGCTCTTCTCTGCTTAGCCTTGACCTTTTTCGGCTTCGGATTGTTCCTCCCATTTAACTTTATTCCTCTGGAGGGACAGTCAATCGGAATGTCGTGGGACTTATCTATCTACTCAATCGTTATTCTCAACGCCGTTAGCGTCTTTGGTCGTATTCTGCCAGGCTTCCTCGCTGACAAGTTCGGGCGTTTCAACATGATGGTGATATGCACAACCATGTCAGCTATCCTGACTCTGGCGGTTTGGCTTCCTGGGAAGTCGAATGCAGAATTGCTCTGTTACTCGGCATTCTTTGGCTTCTTTTCCGGTTGCTACATCTCGTTGACTCCGGCTCTTGTCGTTGAGGTTTCACCGCCTTCCGATATTGGCCATCGTACTGGTATCCTCTATTTCTGTATCTCTATCGGTGTTCTTGCTGGTAGTCCCATTGCGGGTGCACTTGTGGAGGCTAAAGATGGTGATTATACGTACCTCAAAGTGTTCTCTGGTGTGACCATGTTAGGTGGAGCTATATCAATTGCCGTTCTTTGCCTCTACATCAAAAACCTTGCAAAGAAGCAAAAGGTGGAATCGCAGGAGCAGGAGTAGATGAGGGTTCGGAGGATTGGAGCAAAGGGACTTGGTTTGATTTGTTGATGTTCACATAGATATTCTTGTAGACCTTGACCCTTCCATCAACTATTAATTACTCGATAGAGTGTACTCGAGCTTAGGCCAGTTAAAATTCTGAATTCGATAAAAGAATCTCATATGCCTTGCCGAAAAGCAAATTTTATATAGTACGGAGATCACTATCTTCCTCCCCCTACTCTTGTATCCCAAGCGCTCCTCACTTGCTCAAAGACTCCATCTCGACACTTCCCAAGCTCTCGGCACAGACGCCTCGCCAATGGCGAATCCCCAGATAAAGAAAGATCAGAAGTGTAATATACTCAGCAAGCAGACACATCAAAGCAAACGCAACCGCCGATCCTATAAGTGAATTCCAAATGGTCGTTACGTTGTCAACAGTGAAAGCGCAAAGAAGTCCATAGACTGTTCGGAGGACAAGTGTCGGAATGCTTGCCAGAGTAAGCTGTATAAACTACGTCATGTCAGTATGCGAACTATCCATAGGCAATATGGAGAGGATGAACGCACAATGTGTCTCTCGGGAGAAATGCGGTGTTTTTGGGTATAGAGATGAAGTAACTCGACAGTCATCAGAGCAATGACAGCAGCAAGAGTGACATAGCCAGCTTGAGTCAAGTGTCTTGAGAGGTGTATACTAGAACCACTAAAAGCCCCTGCGACACAGAGGAGAGCAATAGCGGCAATGAATGCTAGGCGAATGATCTTCAAAAGGGCAAAAGCTCGTTTGTTCTCATCAAGACTCGATTTTATACTGCAAGATTAGCATATACCTTGTTGATGAGTGATGTTTGCTCACATCAAACGGATGAACCCAACCATGGAGATCATTAACGGAATGAGGCCGACATTGAGCAGCACTGTGGTCGCGATGATAAGCCCGATACTAGTAGGGTCAGATTGACGGAGAATGGTTAAAATTCCACCAGCGAGACGAGCTAAAAGAACCAGTTAGCATCATTACTCAAGACAGTAAAATGAGTCGCTTACCTAGGGAGAATGTGACAAGGGGGTATGAGGCAAGACGCAACCCATGTTTCCAATTGCTGATAAGAATAAACACAGCGATGGGCAATACAAGCGCGTAGAACACGACTTGTGCGATGCCAACCGATGTATGTGGATTGATCATGATTGTAAGATATCGTCAAATAAGATTGTAGTGCAGTAGGAAATGGATATTTACCGATTGAGACGAACATTCTACCTTTATAGTCATTTTTCATAGGGGCCCTGAGGCATACGGCATTTTCGCATAGCCATCAAGACTCGCGGGATGATACTCAAAGAGTGATAGCGCCATCTCTGCCGGAGATCGGCATCTCGACGAAACTCAGCCGCATCGTGGGACCCATTTCTCGCGCAATGATCCCGAAGATGGCTTAGCCTTGGCGCGAGCCCTACAGCCAACCTCAGCTCATTGGCCAGACTAGCCCTTCTAGCTTGATCCACTATTGAGGACTCCGTTATGGCAATCATTCGGAGGGTAATTTGAACTCAGACGATGCAAATCTCGACAATCTCGGCAATACCACAACTTGAGGGGTCTTTCTCCTGATCTCAGCTCCGAAGAATATTGGTCGGCATGGTTGGAGTGGCAGGGCGATCTAAAGCATGTCACACGTGCAGGCAGAGGAGAATCAGGGTAAGTCGACCCACCATCCATGCGATTTAAATCATGCCCCCTACGATTGACAGACCTGGAGCTCACTGGATGATCTTCTCAAAGTGTGGCGCTGAAAAGCCGAGTTGTAGTAACTGCCTCAAGTCCGGTCGACCCTGCGCAGGTTATCATAAAGCACAGGTCTTTATACCATCCCGTTACGCAAAGATAACCAATACTGGAGGAATAACTTTGGATGCACCTCTATCTCTGTCGCAGTGCAAGTCAAACAAGCATCACTCATATGGACATCAAAATCTTCCGATATCCACGTTTCCGATGTCGATATCAGCACGCAACGCGACCAGAGATCAGTTCTTAGCCAATTTCATCGACCGTCAACTTCCATCTTGTATCCTCACCTCCGGTCACCTCAACGACCATCGGAAGTGGCTTCTTCGCCTACCCGACGTAGCAGTACTGACACCGGCCATGGAGCACGCTATCTTAGCACTCAGCACCGCGGCCTTTGACAAAGATGGCGCCCTTGGTGGTCAGAGCCTAAAGCTATACACTAGAGGACTATACGAGCTACAAAAGGCCATTGATGACCCCAAAATGAGATCAGACGATCAAACTCTTGCAGCCTGCGTCTTACTGGGCATGTTTGAGTTCTCAGAATGTCCAGGTAGAACTGTCAGCGCATACATGCGGCATTATCAGGGGGCTATGGCTCTGTTGCAGCTTCGCGGACCCAAGCAGCACATCGGTGGACTGGCGCATGATGTCTTCCAAGTATTGAGGATGCATACTGTAAGCCGACTCATGTCATGGTCATACAGCTTCTGACTTTCAGCAGGCTTTTCAAGGTCTGGGCCAAGGCCACGCAAGCCAACTAGCCAAGTCAGCATGGATGGAAGGACCATGGATCTCAAAATCAAAAACTATGCATGATCTACTTGTCGATATATTTCTGCAAGTTCCCGGACTTCTCTCTGAGGTCAGAGCGGCTACATCTTTACAGCCCCGGCAGTCCTCGCTTACTACCGGCCTCAAAACATTATCGGCATTGTTAGCTCTCAATAGTCAACTCAATGAATGGTTCGAGTCATACCAATACACTTGCCCGACACTTTACTGGCCACAGCTATCAGCCGCTAGTAGCTCTACAGACAGTGAGGAGCTAGGAAGACTCTACCCAGTGTCATTCCACTTTCCGTCCTACCATGTAGCGGAGACTATGATACTTTACTGGACGGTACAGATCTTGATACATGCCAGTATTTGCTCCCTTTCCTCTACATTACCATCTAGCGAGACGAAGGACATCACAACCTTCGAGGGTGATAATCGGTCAGCTAAAGACAACGATGACATGTCTCTTGCCGACATACAACATATAGTCGAGACGTCAGACTTCATGTTATGGCCAGAGACATCAGCTCGCTACATCTGTCAGTCAGTGGAGTATTTATTCCAACAAGAGTTTCGTGGCATAGGCGCTGGAATTGTTCTATCACCATTATTGGTGGTCAAAGCATGCCTATGCAGATCAGCACGGGACTTTTCTAGAGAAATTGCTTGGATCGACGAGACAATTGGGCGCATTCAGTATAATGGGGCGGGATTAGCGGCTTGCGTTTAGCTAATGATCTAATTTGACAAATCCCTCTGCTACCACGTTCTCAAGAATCGCTCTCATCCTCCTCATCCCTCGGTTCCCATTGACCCATATAGTATAACAGCGCTTTGTTTTCTCCAAGAGGCATTTCACCATAAAAGTGAGCTTCCATACCATAATTCACATCTCGGTAGTGTTCGAGACTCATATCGCGCTCATGTCTCTTCGTAGCAATGCCGGCGTCCTTGCAAATAACACCGCCGTAAGAAACGCTACCCTCCATGTGGAGGTTATCAAGGTCAACCCTAAGACCCTTCGGGGTCTCGCCTGATACGTTGGGGTGTTCGCGTATCGTACTAAAGACAAAGCGCCAGTCGATGTCGGCTGGTCCTCGGCAGACTTTACCAGATACCTCAAGATGCTGCAGACTCTTGAAATGCAGAAGCCAATGTGCAAGGGCTTGAGGGAAAATGTTGCCCTTTTGGGTCAGGTGAGTAAGCTCTGGGAAGTCATGGCTGGGCTTTCGAATTGGCCAGCAGAGAACACCCTTCCCGACATGATCTATGCCATAGGCGAAGTGCTGTATGCTGGAATGGCACTTGTCCAGTAGATCGTGACAGAAGTCGCCGGACTTGATCTTCATCTTCTCGGCATGCGAGTCCGACATAGCCCAAAGGTGTCGCTCAACGAGACCGTTCTCACCAGAAGGGATCTCGGGTGAGATGTGGAGTACCTTGAGCTTACTGAAATCGAGGTCTTCCCAGCCGGGGATGTCCTTGCACTCGACATCACCGGTCATGAATAATTGGATATTGAGATTTGGGATAGCAACGCCCGACGCTGCCAGGCATGTAAAGACCATGGCGATGAGCTTGTCACCCGTGACAGCTGTAGCATGCTTGCAATGGTACTCGACAGTAGGCTCAGAATTCTCGTCGCGGAGCTCAAATCTCGCCCATTCGTCTTCTTTATGGTCATGTCGAGGAAGCTGCCACGGCATGCCGATGTCCTCCTTGCTGAGAGCGTCAAGATACTTGACCTGGCGAATCTTCTCACAATCATAGCTTAGAAGCTTCACCTTTTCAAGGCGGTCTCCCAAAGTCTTGAGAATTTCTGTCCATGCTTGCTTAAGATCACCCTCTGGATCCTCAAGCAATGCCTGCGTATCTCTAGCATCGTTCATATATGCATCATATGCGGACTTAAGCCCTTCAGGCCAAAAGAGCACAGATGAGTCCTGTGAACCGCGGAGCATCCTCTCATACGCTTTGTATGGAAGCGTCCAGCTGGGTGGTGTCGTGAACGTGACAGAATGCACATGACGAGCGATGCGAGAGAAGTCACCACGCTGAAGACTCGTGAGCGCAGCACGCGTAGGTTCCAGTACAATATTGCTGAATAGGATAGTGTTCAAGTCGTCGCACTCTGCGAATGTTCTGTGCGCCAATCGCAGAGACTTCAGGTTCTGGTTTGTCTCTTTCTGTATTTTAATGTCCCTGGACAATGCGGTTAGTACGAAGCGGAAACACCATGTACTGGGTGTTCGTACGGGTACTCGGTGCTAAAGGGAACATCAATGAAACGCAGTTCTTTGATGATCTCAGCGAGAATTTCGGTGGGCAGGCGGAGCAAGTTGTTCTCGTTCTGTTGCAATTTAGAGGCCATTGCGATCTTGAATCAGAGGTGAGTGAAAACGTTATTCCAATTCAACAGTAACAGGAGAAGCTGTTATGTAAAGAGATAGCTAGAGCCAACAGTAAAGTTGAACATGGTTGAGCACGGAAATTGGACCCTCCCGCAAATAACGCTAATTGGGCGCTTTTGTGGGAATGGTGCGATGCTGCCTACAAAAGCCCCGCTACAACTGAAAGACCCTTTCACAGGAGTCAAACCAACAAGCCTCGGAGACTACCGCAATTGGAACTGATGAAAAATAAGAATGAATCTTCGATAAAAAGTTTACAGAAGGTGAAAACGCCTTTTCTTTCTCGGATTCATAGACAAGCCAGAGTCGAATTGGCCATATCTGTTGGCTGTGAGATTAATTGCCATGCTTGTAACATGGCGCTAACCTGTGAGTTTGAGTTGTTTGCCGTGGTTTACAGAGAATCACCACCTGGAGTCCGCCTGATTCAGTGTATATCGATAACCGCATCATCACTAACAAAGTTCTTGAATCAACCTGCCCTGTCGCTTGCCCACGTCCGAACCAAGTTTGTATCAAGTTGGCAGCATGTTGATAGATATCAGCGACCTTAAAAAGACCATTTTGGAAGAGCTAGTACTTTATAAACCTTTTTAAGTTCTGAGTCTGTACTATTTTACTTATCCTCTACCTCTGCCCTTTGTAAACTCTGCTGTTTATGCATCACTTCATTCTTTCTCCTCTTCACTGTCCTCATCCCAATTTTCACTCTCACCTCCTTCCTCATCCTCTTCTGAATCAGTTTCCACCATACCAACATCCCAATCGTTCATCAAGTATCGTAACCCATGGTTGTCCTTGAATCGCATTTCGTTGTAAAAATGCTTCTCTAAAGAGTAGTTCTCATCCATCAGGCCCTCAGGATCAGTGCAATGAGTATGCCTTCCTGTAGCAATAGTGCTATCCTGGCAAATCACCCCTCTATATGTCATCCTAGTCCAATGAGCTGACTTGATAGATTCAAACTCTACGGAGAGACCTTTTGGGTTTGGACCTCCAACACTCCGATGGTCTCGAACAGCATCGAATATATGGCGCCATTCGACGAATAGAAGTCCTCTGGATAGTCGTATACCGCCAAGTTTGAGGTATCGCAGGTTTGGCATATTCTTCAGCCATGAGCTCATTACAATGGGATTGACGGCATCGAAAGAATGGTTAAAACTTTCAAGGGCTGGCAAAGAGGCAACCGGCGGCTGGGTAGGCCAGTCCAAGACGCCACTTCCGTCGAGAACAAGTCTTTTGAGTGTTGTTCGAGACTTATTGACCAACTCATGGACAATCCTGGAAGCATGTGACTCGATTTCTTCCACTTTCGGACACGGCAGAGCCTTGAGCACACTCTTGCTAGCCCAATGATCTTCATCGTGCGGGATATCTGGACCGAACTCAAGCTACTCCAGGGCAGTCAAATTTAGATGATCCCACCCAAGCACCTTGGTGCAATCAATGGTTCCCGTCATCGCATGTTTTATCGAGATCTGCGGTACAGCAATACCAGAAGCTGATAGACATGATATGACTGTCGAAAATAGCTGGTCACCAGCAATGGCAGCGGCATATCGACAGCCATACTCGACAACCCTGTCTGCATGGTGATGAGGGCCAAGCTGATAGGATATTCCTTCATCTGCCTTGCGAAGGTAGGTGGTATAGTCGACCTGGCACAACTCATCGCACCGGAGGCTTAGGCGACGAACATCCCGCAAATTTCTGCCAAGAAGCTTGAGAGTTTTCGTCCATAAGCTTCGAAGCTCACTTTCTGGGTCTTCGAGCGAGAACTGTGAGTCTCTTGCATGGCGTATATATGAGGCATATGCACTAGCCAGCTGCGACTCTGTTACCGGAGGTTCGCCTTTAGGTATAGTCTCAATTAAGATCTGCTCAAGAGTCTCGAAAGGAAGTTTCCAGCTTGGAGGATTCATGAAGGTAATAATAGATACGAAGCTTGCAATACGTGACATATCGCATTTTTCAAGGTTAAGTAATCCTGCGCGTGAGGCCTCAAACTGGACGGAGTCAAATAGTAAAGCATTGATGCAGTCCATGTTGGAAAATCGCCGATGTGTCAGTCTTAGGTTCTTGAGCTGGTGCCGTGTGCCTCTTCTCAGCAGAGTTAGCTCAATTGGTTTCTTGGAATACGATGATCTGAAGGCAAACCTGTCAAGTTGCAAACATGGGTCGTTGACTAACTCGGTCACGACCTGAGTGGTAATTTCAGTGGGTAGCCCAACAAAGGTGCTGGGATTGGCCATGTTGATACCTGCACGCTGATGAAGTTTCTGTGGGGAAATGAAGTAAAAACGCCTGCGGTTGTGCGAGAATGATTTTAGATGGATGTGTTGTGTTTTATAGACCAGTGCCCTCAGCCTCAGTGTAGCCGGACGAGGTGGAGAATATTTGCGATTACTGTTCTTCACTGGGTATACATTATGATAATGGGGCTCTGATGCCAAGCAGCCCCCTGTTCATCCATCCTTTACTTTTACTGGATGGTGGATGATGACTTTCGGTGCTCAAAGTCTCAACGAGGGCATTAAAAATTAGTCAACACAACCAGAGTCTTGCAACAAGGTCGAAAACCTTGACTGGAGCTGACCGAAACTCCCATGACCACATTAGAATTGAAATAATCCTCATCAAAATACCAACACCAAAGCTCCCCCCGTCTAACTAAAATCTCCTCCAGATTCTTCCTCCTGTTGACGTGTTCTTTGGTACCCTTTCTGCTCTCTCAGACGAATCTGAAAATATCCTTCATCGCCATCACAACCAATTGTAACTGTCTTCCTCCATAGTTCAGACTTGGAAGATTGTTGAGCCAAATCGTTTGTGCCGTCTGGTGGTTTGGATGCAAGAGCAAGAACCAACATGTCTCCGAAATTGTCCCAATCTGAGCCTTGCCAAGGATCCTTGGATTGTATGATTTTGACCAGATGTATCAAAACCATCAGGACGTGCAGAAGGAGGAAAGTAAATGCCAAGGGGATACCGCGGCTGCTCTCAAAGCGATAGGCGTATGTGTAGTAATACCGTATGAAGAGTATCGCGTCCTCTTGTTTTGTTGAATCATTCGACTGTTCAGTCTGCGGCTTATAGCCAGGCGACAAGAAGACGTTTCCTGTTTGAGCAAGTCCGTCGGTAATATGCAAAGCAAGGGCATGTTCATAACATCTTGGAACGAAGGACGGAGCAGCTTCACATATCTCTGCCATAGAGTCAAAAAACGACTTATGGGAGAAAGTCGCAATTCCATCCATCCACTTGTCCTCTAAATGTATGAAGTCACTCGACCTGTTACTAATGCTTTGAACTATTGGCTCTTCGAAATTGCTCCAAGTTTGGAATGACCGGGGTAGCTCAATCCATGTATCGGCAGCAGACCAACGGGCAAACACCAAACAAAGTGTGAACTTGTTCTCGGAGGAGCCAAAAAGGATGTCGGCGCTCACTGGCCAGTTTTTGTTGGCTCGAAGGTTTAGAAATCGGTGGTCGCCCCGTGTGAGGTTATGTAAGTCCACGCCAGCTAGGTCCTTGTCGCCATCAAGTGTAAGCGTCTCATTTAACAATACAGAAGAGAAATTGAAGAAATGAGAGTCTGTAAGACCATATTGACATTTAACAGCCAGCAAAGGCTGTTTCCATGCTGTTCCGTCCCCATGGCCTTGAATCTGTTGCTTGCAAGTGGTTAGCCATGGTCCTGGAAATGCTTGGGCGCCTCTATTGACTGCAACTCGTAGTAGGGTTGCCACAATGGATAATGGACATGTAGCATAGGTTATTTCATTTTCTTGCGCGAGAGAGACTGATTGGGGCCCTTCATCATAGTTGCTGTAGCTGATGTTTGAAAACTCCATTTCCTCAAAATTGGTATGTAGATCGACGTCAACGCCAGCTCTAAGGAAAGCTTTTATAGGGTCAACTAGAGATTGGACTCCAGGTAAAGGTATTGACTCAGAACCAAGCACTGTTCTGTATTCAATATGAGGTAACCACTTAGCGAGTGGCGAACCCCCGTCGTCGGCAAAAGCATCAAAATCGTCGTTTTTCCACCAACCAAGCCGAGGAATCATAGCAATGGCGGATAGCGGGCTGGCTGCAATGCAGAGGATTGAGACGGACACAATCATGGCGCCTGTTGCCCATTGATGTTTGGTATTTTTACTAGATTTGAATGTTGGAGCCCATAGCTGACGACTTGCGAGGTACCGAAACGGTGCTGCTAGGTAGAAGGAGGATGGCAAGAAACCAAGTGGAACACCGATGTCTTGTCGATCGAGTCCATAAGATATTCGGTAAAGAAGGATATCTCCTAAGGAAAGAAGAAGGACCGTTTCGTGCGACTTCGCCGCAAATTGAAGAGCGTTCAATCCTTCATTTGAGGGTTCCTTCCAGTTAACCTTGGCGATATAGAGGGAGAGAAGTGCCAGTGTGATAGTGACAGGTGGTAAATGCATGATCGAAAAGTGACGCAGAGCTGACATTCTTTTGCTTTTGCGGGTACACAAATTCCGAAAGAAGGCAAGATGACGCGATCTCCACATGCCACTAATGGATAACAAGAAGTTTCTTCTTTTCCGTGACTTTTTTACATTGAGCTGGTCAACTTGAGGGGCTTCTGGACCTGGACTTGGGATTGCGGCAGCGAGACCTGGGTCATCTACCTTCTAAGAGTGAGAATGTATTGCAAACGCCGCGCAGAAAATTGCTCACCAATGGCACTGAGGAACCAACTCTCGTGCTGTTGGAATAAACCGTGGCAAGTTCGTGGTCATCGTCGCCTTGCATTCTGGGTAGCTTGTATTGTGTTGTGTTCGTGTTGGCAGTTCAGTTAACATGTAACGATGGGTAATCAGAGGAGGAGGAGGAGGAGGAAGAAAAGATGAAACCAACATTTTAAGCGCAGTATTCAAAGTCTTACATGCATAAATTCAGCCTGTGACGTAAATATCTGGCCATCTTGTACTTTGTATCTAATCAGGCTCTGGATGCTTGAAAATACCTTAAGGGATATAGGAAAAGCCTATATTATACTATCTATATTTAGGGTTATTATTAAAGGACTTATTAGATTATTAGAAACTTTAAAAAAATTAGTTAATAGCTTATAGAGGGATTATAGAAGGTTTGTAGGTAATGAAATCTTGTACCGCCTTTTGTTGCTTTTTCTGACTTCCTAGGGTCCCTTGTCATAAGCAGGGAGGTAGGATAAAACTTTTAACCGCGACCTCCGTAGGTCCGTGGAGTTAGACCGACTAATAGCTGCAACCACTCTCGGGTGGCATAACATCAACCAGTGGATATCTTGAACTAACAATAGTAGCCAGAAGTGACACCTCGCTGGTGCGAAACAAGCCAACAGCGCATGGCTGCCTGTTCTCAAATCGTTCTTAATTGGCTTTGAGTGGTCAATTCTGGGCTGGCGCAAGGGGCTGGATTGATTGGGTTATGGTCGATCTTGCGCGGCGGCCGGTAGCTGCTAATAACTCAATTTAAGCTTAGAGTTCGACAAATATTTCCAGAAAGACAGCTTTGGGCTGTGAAAATCAGGGAAAAGGCTGTATAAATATTTCGTGGCACAATGTAATGATACGCAGCCGGTACCGGCTTGAAGGATTGAACGACAGCCGAAATCTGTTCCCAGGATCCAGTAGGGCTTCCACATCATATATGCATAATATGCTATATCTAACAAGTATAAATGATCGGAGAAGCGAAGAGTAAAGAGGCTAAGTCTATAAATAGAAGGCGATACTATCTGGTTATATCCTGCCCTAAAATGGGGCTATTAGAGAGAGTAGAGTTCAGAGATAAAAGGCATTTATCCCTAAAACAAGCAACAGCGACCAATGACCTCCCAGTCGACCGTCTCCAAGCCTCTCAGCCGCGTTACTCTCTGATGGCGCAGTGGCAGAAGGTACTGTAGTGGTTGTTGATGACGCGGTCGCAGCATTCTCCGGGGTTGAAGTAGCCTCGGCTTCACTGTTGATATGACTCGGAGTTTGCGAGGAATCTAACCATGGCTGCGCCGTCGTAGCAGGATGCTGTAAGATAGTTGACGCCTTTTTCTCAACTAGCACTGACTTGGGACATAGCTCGTCCATGCGCTCACGCTGGGTTATGATCCAACTGTTGGCAGGACTGTAATGGCTGATGTCGAATCCCCAGAGACGTCGGACATAACAAGGCTCGCAGAGGTACTTGGCAGGAAGTTCTTCATAATCGTCCAAATCGGGGAACGAATCAATGATAGCTATAACGGATCAGCATTGGGCAACATACAGCAATTCTTCACGAACCATTGCAGTATTTTCCTGTTTTGGCATCTTTGTCGCAAATCTGTCTCCGACCCTCCACCATATTCGGCGCACGCATCCCCTCCGGTTCGCAGTATTTAGCAAAGGCTGCCGCCCATTCTTGGAGGGAGTCGCCGCACTTTTTGGCGCAGATACTATCGGTGATGGTGAAATCATCACCCTCTTCGATTGAGCCTTGCCAACCGGTGCTCCCTGCATCGTCAAGGCTGGCATCGCAGTCGATGTCTGTCAACATCACCTTGCCGCAAGCCTCGGGCCCACCGTCTTCAACCCACTGTTTCACGACGTACTCCTTGTAAGCAAGAAAAGCGCTCGCGCTCCAGAGGAGGTGAGATGTGAGAAGGACTGTGGATAGCTTCATAGTATAATAGCCCAACAATTGAAAGAGTGAAATTGGAGGGCTTTAGAAAGAAAGGAATGAGACAATGGCTTGTTAATCACGAACCTGCAAATTGCGGCTTCGTCTGCTTTATGGGAGAGAGAAGATGAAGGCTCGTGATAATGACCGCGGCCAAATCATGTGTCACTCGCATTGTTTAAATGGGCCTACCAATAGGACCTCTGGAATAAAATTGTGACTTAGGGGCCAAGGACGCCAAGTCGGCTGAACAGACACTGCAACCGATCACAATCCCTGTCTAGCGCTGTTCACGACCCTTATTTGATGTAACAAGCTGTTGGTTGTCGGTTATAAAAACCAAAAGTACCATCATTGTTGTCTGATTTGAACGTGAAGTGGATATTCTAATAAATGGATAGCGAGTCATAAGTGAAAACTAATAGATGCGCGCTAGGCAACCGGGCGAGGTGGAACTCACCGTCGGAATAGGCGAAACTTCCATCGACTTAATCTAAGCTTAACCTGTACCCCATAATAATAATACGCCGGTTACCTACAACAAGTCGCCTTGACGCGATATGCTCAACAACATAACCGTCCATTGCGAATATCACGCAGATACACTCGTGTACGACTGCTCTCGTCCTTCAAGCCCTATAATCACCACGCCAGCCGGATCTACCAAAACAATTCCCGTGATGAGAAGTAGTAAGAGAAGCGCTAGAGGGAGCTTATTATTCGGCTAAATTGCCGTGACAAGTATGAATGGTGGAGTGTCTTCGCTTGTTCATTGCTTTTATGGAATGCCGGTCTCATAAGTAAAGATAGTGGAATTCAAGGTCCTAAGTAAGATATACACTGAGAACCAATAAGTATAGTTATCTAGATAGTAAGACTATATAATGATGGAATAATTAGCACAGAACTTGAAGCCGCTTAATTATCTTTAGCAAACTCGTTATGAAGTGCACTACTAAAAGAGATTAAAGAAGCCGCATTGAATTGATGAAGTATGCTTAGTATGAAAAAGACAAAATAGGTCATTAGATCTCATTGTACTTTTCCCTATAAGTCTTTCAGTCGGAACGACTTGCCGTCATGATAACGACAAGAGAAAACAGTCACGTGAGCGGATTTCATGATCCGTTATGACTAAATCCCTCTCGCTCTTCCTATATTTCTCACCCATCCAAATACCAGTTGCGTACCCAAATGGAAGACACCGGGCTGAGAAGGACCCATCGCGCTTGCGCCCCTTGTAGGTATGTTACCGCTAAACATCAATTAGCTGTCCTGTACTAAATCCATGCATAGGCGTAAGAAGGTTAAATGCCCTGGAGAGCGTCCGATATGCTCGTTCTGTCGGCGTCTGGGGCAAGCTTGCGAGTACAAGGCCGTCGAGAGCTTTTCTCCACAAGAGATTCAGAATCAGATTTCGGGAATTGTAAGTATATGGACTTGCATGCGTGGAAGTTATGCCGGGGGACTTCCAAACGACTGTCCTGAATAACTCTTCGCTGCATATGTTGATGATTGGTGTAGAATGACCGCATTGATACGCTGGAAAATAAAATGGACCAGATATTACAAACACTTAGGTAAATGAATTCCGTTGCATGGTGTGAAAGAAGCTTACGGTATAACTCCTACGAGTCATCTTAACCCGAACGCTACATCCCCTGGGGCATCACAGGTTGGCGCTTCCGGTCCGAATACCATACAGCCTCAATCCATCACGCCAGCACAGGAGCAACGTATCTCTGAACCGTAAGATCGCTTCCAAACAGATCATCGATTGTTGATATCTCATGCTGATCAGATGGAATAGATCAAACTCAGAAGATCAGGAACTACTCAGAGCAGGCCAACTCTACCAGATGTGGTGTCACAATCAACCCGTCCATCTGTTTCGCCAAGAGGACTTCCTCGATACTCTGAAGCATCGCGATACGGAGCTACAACTTGCTGTCAAAATGCTCACTTATCGGTTCCCTCCGGGACAGATCAGCGCTGACAAGAATGCCGCGTTATGTCTTTTATCTGCGTCATGTCGGAAGTTGGTGACGGACCGTATTTACGATGGCAAGATAAGACTTTCGACGCTACAGACTCTCTGTCTCCTCAGCATGATCAGCTTCTCGGGTGAGCTTTGCTATCTAACCCCTCTCACGTTCAACAACAATTCTAAAACATGGGATTATAGAAGGATATGTGATGCAAGCTGGCCTGGACCTCGATATGGCGAATTACTTTGCCAATGGACTACCCCTTGGTTCAAGTCTAGGAGATCCTTTCGAATATTCTCCACGCATTCAGGCTATCTCGTTACTGCAGAGCTTACAGGGATCCATCCCAGATGTTACGAAACCTGCTAATATTCAAGGGACTCTCCAGAGTGCCAATCATCTTCTGGAATTCATCAACCACCGTGCAGAAAGGTTTTTCATTACCACGCGAGCCCAGCATGCAAACAGAACCAAATGATAATCAAGGTATTTTGACATACATGTCACAAGCTGCCAAGGTCTGGCATTTGGCAAGGGCATATGCAGCGATGAGAATTGGACCAGATAGCCCTCCACCTTGGAACCCGCAGTCTGACTATGCACTCGTCAATTTACGTAACCTTGAGCTTGACTGCCGCTTCCCCCTTGTCTACCGCTTTGCTACCAATAACTTCGGCGAAGTTCCACCGGAGGAACTACAGCAGCGTCGAGATTACTGGGGCCCGTGGATATTTATCCAGTTCATACACGCGGCTATACCAACTCTGCTAAATCATCCGTTCCTCTTATCTCTCCGACTGAAGAACTTTCGGCATATGATCCCTCAGACATTTATGTATCAGTCATTTGATCTTATCTCGAAACATACAGCCTGGATTATCTGCTACCTCGATTTGCTGGAACAGCAGCAGTTTGAGATAACGGACCCTACGATAGCACATGCGGTTGTCATAGTTGCAACCATCCATCTGCAGCACAGCTTTGTCGAAGATAGTGTGCTGCGTACAAAAGCACAGCGTGGTTATGACAAATGCATGCGGTTCTTGGACCATATGGGTTCCAATTGGCCGGTCGTCTTCACTATGGTGAGTCTCAGGTCTTAGATAAGATCAAGTCCTGAAACATTGCTGACACCCATCCAGACCCAGAAGCTCCGTAAATTACAAAATAGCATAACCACTGTTCCAGCAACTAGCGGCGGGTCTGGTGACAATCAGCGATCATGGTCCATAGACGCGCAACTACTCTGGGAGATCCTGATCTACGAGAAGTCCGAGAACGACAACAGCTCTTCCGATAAATCGATGTACGGTGATATCATAACCTCGGATACTGAGCATAGTGAGCAAGACATGGGCGGAGGTTTCGCCATAGTCGGCTCGGCAGGTATTTCCGGTCACAAGGGATCGCTGAGAGATATCTCGGCATATGCACCCCAAGACAAAGATCCTTACGAGACATTGGGTAGCCTCGCTACTCCCAGCGGGAATAGGCCTAGAATGCAGGAATCTAGTATTTTTGGCGATGTACCAGACTTTGGCACGATAGATCAGGATAACTTTCTCTTACAAGCTGAGGATTTTGGACGAGCAGTTATGGATTAGATGAACCTCGACATGGCCGACATTTAATAGCATAAACACAAATGTTCTTGTATTCAGTCGCTGTCGCGTGGATTGTGCAAGCCTCCATGTTCATGTCGGGACGCGATCCGTGCCCGGCTGTGGAACCCGATGCGCACCGGATATCTAGCCCTAGTCTGGTAAAGAAACATGCTATAAGCACGGCGCCGCCCCCCGTCCCCGCACAGCTGCAGCAGTTGCAGTGCATTCAATTACGCTGCCATCTATCTGGATTATTTATAGGGAGTGCCGAGACTGCTTGATTTGGGTAAGCAAGCCAAACTTCTTCTGTCCCCATCGGCCTTCTTTCCAGTCACAGCTTATCGTTCCAAGATGCATATCCAAGATATCACTGTGTTTAGCTACGATGCCAACTACCGATACGGCACATACTCCATGTCACACGGCCGCTTAGCCAAGGGCCACAAGTCCCTCGTCGTCAGGATCCGTTCCAACGACGGCTTTGAGGGTTGGGCCGAAACTGCGCCTCTTGGTAGTGACTATCTCCCAAGTTCATTCACCGGTGAACTAGCAGCCATACAAGAGCTCGGTCCCCAGCTCTTGGGCCTGGACCCGAGATCACCTGCAGCTATCGACGATGTTATGAATCGTGCGATGATGGGCGCTTATGCGGCAAAAGCGGTCATTGATATGGCTTGCTGGGATATTCTCGGAAAGTCTCTTGGTTTGCCAACCGCGATCCTTTTCGGCGGATATCTTACCGAGAGACCGAGGGCCTTTTCTGTTATCGGCATCCGAGAGACAGAAGCTGCTGTGACTCAGGCGAAAGACGAGTTCGGGAAGGGCGCGACTACGATGCAGCTCAAGGCTGGAGATAATCCCCTTGTTGATGCGCAGCGGGTTAGAGCTATTCGCGCTGCTTTACCAGATCATGTTGTGCTCTGGGTCGATGCAAACGGTGGCTGGACTCTGGACGAGGCATTGAGTTTTGCCCGCACCATCGGGCAAGAGATTGCTATTGGAGTTGAGCAGCCCTGCCGTACACTTCACGACTGTGCGGAGTTCGGTCGTCGCACAGGTCTACCAATTACACTCGACGAGAGTATCGTCACGTTAGCTGATCTCTTTGAAGCTCATGCAGCTGGTATAACAGGCGTGAACATCAAGCCATCTCGTGTCGGTGGACTTACAAAGGCCCGGCTCATTCGCGATGCGGCTGTTGCGCTCGACATGGTCATAAACTGCGATGATACCTGGGGTTCTGCTTTAACGACGGCTCAGAACGTTCTGTTGGCTACTACTACCCCGAGCCATCGTTTGCGCGCTGTTGATTTGTTTTGTGAATGGACGGAGCCGCTTATTGCTGATATTCCGAGGATGGAAGAAGATGGGAGAATCACGCCTAGCACTGAGCCTGGAAATGGTTATACGGCTATTGTTATGGATATGCTAGGGGAACCGTTGGCTTATATTACTTCTAAGTAGTAGTTGGTCATGAAGCTTAAGAGTTTCCAGAATCTTAAGTCTATATAGTCTACCTTACTTCCAGACGCTAGGAAAGAGTTTAGAGGTTCAAAATTTAATCACTTACTTAATAACAGATCGCAAATACTAAAGTTCATCTTGAGAATAGTTATTCGAGAATAGCCTTCTGTAAAACAAGCTATATATATCTTATCGTTGTAGATATCTTAGCTTCGTTACTTATTAGCTATATAGAGAATTCTTGGCCCTAATGTTAAGTTTTAGGCTTGCTTAGCTACACAAGCATTATCCTATTATATCAAGCCCTTCAACGGAACGAAAGCGTTATAATATAACCTACAAACTCCGGAAGGCCTGGTGGGATACCCGTATGATGTTGTAAGGCAATTACGTTGTAGTGATGATTGAAAAGTGGATTGAATAAGCCTTGCGCAATTTCTTGTTATAACGTCTATCTTGCCTCCCATTGATACGGTACTCTCTTTACCGGACCAGCTCAGCCAATATCACTAGTGAAGGAATAGCATTGGAAAGGCATGCTCAAGTGTTCAGTAAGCTATTCACTCCAGCATATAAGTGATGCCCGGCCTCACTGGTATCTGAGCCTAGATCCAGAAGATCTAGAAGAATCTTGACCTTAAAGATTCTCCTGTGCCCATTCATCTAGATTACCGTAAACATGTAGCCAAAGGGAAGTATGGTCCAGATCCTAGCACGAGTTAAGTTAGCTTCTCGTATTTCTGCGTCATTGAGCAAATGGATATATCACTTACATGCGTCCTCGGATCGGCATCAACCTCTCTAAACGCCTTGATAGCAGCTTCACCCGCCGTCGGCGCAATGCCAACCTTTTTCGCAGCCTCGATACCAATAGTAAGGTCTTTCACACTGAGCGCCGGCGCAAACGCTCTCTTATACTTGTTGCTAGACGGGGCCTCGGGAACAAGACCAGGGACCGGCTGCTCGAGTCCCATCACCCAAGAATTCGCAGTTCCCTCTCTGATGCACTTAAAGAGAGCTTTCTTGTCGATTCCGTATTTGAGCCCGATTGCCATTCCTTCCGTTGCGACCAGGTTGTTGGCGAGGGTGATGTAGTTGTGCGCTATCTTAGCAACTTGACCCATGCCAAGACCGCCGCAGAATGTGATTGTGCTGGGTATACCAACGAGGGATAAGGTGTCATAGATACGCTGGCCTACTTTGTCGTTGGATGATGGCCTGATCGAGGTCTAGAACGTGAAGAGTTGAGGAAGCGGGAATCTTCTTGCGGAGGTTACTGGCTATGCCATAGCCGATGATGCCAAGGCCTTGATGGATTAATTTCCTGTTCGTTTATAAATGTTCTGAGGATTGAAAACACACCAATAACACCGAAATCTGTCGCCATTGCTATAAAGGATAATTGTCGTCGACGTAGGTGTCTTTGAAGAGACAGTACTCAGGCAATTGAGTGCGAAACACCACAAAGCTATTTCTCTGGTGACGTTGAGTGATCCCCAAGGCACGAAGCTGATCCTTCTTATCATTTTCTCCATGAACATAGGTTTCAGTGCATGACCCCGTCTTCGCCCGCTCACGTGAGCCACCGACTTCATCACTAGCCTCTCGAATCCCTCTTCGGTCTGCTTGCAGTTCCCCTATTGACTCTGAATCTTTCTCCTCATGATGGCGGGGACGCGCTCGCGGTCCGAGTGGAACTAAGCCTTTTTGCATGGCTGTGGAGACGGTCCGTGTTGATGTTGCTCTGTGATAGGCCCAAGGTTTGGAATGGTCCAAGTCCCCAACTTCACCAGGGATTCGAGTTTGACAATGATTACAGCTCTAGGCCCGAGGAGACCCGAAGGCTAGAATAATTAAACTTGGACGTGGAACTATATTCATATTAGACGCGAGAAAGATCAAGACGTTTTGAAATACTGTCTAGCCCTTGGATAGGTGAAAGGACTTGGGTAGACAGGCTGTACACTAGAGGTTATCAACAGTACATGAGCATATTCTTCATATTATGAATAGAAATTTCAAATATCTTGATACTTCTATTATAGGAAGCACAATTGCAAACATGGGAGGGAGGTATACGCGAATGCACAACTCATATCACGAATAGTTCAGTTTATGTCTGGATTGCCAGAGGGGCTAGTAAGTATGTGGCTTTTCGCGATATGTAGATGAATATGGCCTTAGCCGGTTATCCGGAACCACGCCTGAATACAATACATCGTTAACATTTAACTGGTTAATAAAGTTCCTATTGTGGCTTGTCTGTTTGGAATGACAGATGCGGGGTATCCCTCTTTAGATCCATTGTGTTAGATATAAAGCCACGAGGTTAGCGATTATATATTAACTTTATCAGCGCTATAACCCATTCTTTAATAAGCAAATTAAGCCATGTTTTGAAGAGACTGGTATCTCCCTGTCATTGCTTCCTTGCAATACTTACCTCTTTTAAAATATATAATCGCTATGCCAACCGGATCCACTCTAACCATCTCCTAGAAGAGAAGTAGTATAAAGAGCATTATAGATAATTTAATATTTAGCAAAATTACTACTATAAGCATAAATAGTAGAATGCTTTATGGCCCTTCAGGTATTTAATCCTATGGTAAGTGATTAGATGCATAACAGCCTGAAGAAGGTATTTCAGATGAAAAAGAGGGGACTGGCTCTTGATGGAAAAGATTGTTCTGCCTTGATAACTTGGTTTTGCTAGCAACTTGCTTTGTTTTAGCTACAGAATGGAAATGGTGTTGAAGTTGATTAACTACTATAGAAAACAGTAAGCGGATGATCCAGCGTACGCATCCTCCCTAAGAAACTCTCCACCAAACCCAGAAAGAACATCAAGACGCAAGGTACACTTATTCCCACGCAGCTACAATAGCCCAACTGGCTTCCTAATCGCAGTTGACTGCATGTGCTGGGTACTTGTTAGGCTGAGAGGTGAGGCGCAGATGACCTTCCCAAGTTCCACCATGGGACAGCACACAACAGCCCATGATAGCTCCATGCTTATGCTGCCAATCAGCACAGTCCTTCACCGCCGCCAGGATAGTCTTCGTCTCAGCCGTAGTCTTGCAATCATGGCCACTGGTAGTCGCCAGGTACGCATAGCCCTCAATCATATGACCGTTCGAGTCGGTGCCAGTCGTCATGGAGCAAGAATTGTGGTTCGACTTGCTCTTGATAATGTCGGCGATCTGCTTGTAGATATTTATTCCCGCCTCAGCAGCCAGGATGGTAGTGCCAGCAGCCAAGGCCACCGTAGCCCACGCCGTGACGTCGATGTGGCGGCGCTTCTCGAAGACAGAGACGTAGCCGGGATCAACGAGGTCCAAAGTTGCCGTGAGGTTGGAGTCTACGCCGTTCCATTGCTTGACGAGAGGATTGTAGCCTACGCGCTGAATTGACTTGTCATAGAACCCAAGACTCGGTTCAACAAAGCCAAATGCGAGGCAAGCAACCCAAGTTTTGCTGAGGTTGACCATGATCCTGATGATATACGTATGATAACTGCGGCGGCGTCTAGAATAAAGATGAGGAGTAAGAACTGAAGATCTCCCATAGTATTGGTTGGAAGGTTATAGAGAATATGTGTAACTGAGGGATCAGAGGGTCTTTTTATATTTGGGAGCACTCTGCTGTCGCTCGTTGCTCGTTTTCCAAGGCTCTCTCGTTTTCGTTGCTTTGACCTGCAATTTTGGCTTTTCGAAGGATTGAAAAACTTGATCGTGCTGGTTGTTGGCTCTAGTCGTTGGTTGTTGGTTGTTGGTTGTATATAAATGGATTGACAAGGGTTTCATGTGGGGGACCGGATGAAACGGAACAATTCACAAGGTGCATGTGATGGTTGTTGGCTCTAGTAAGTACTAACAACGCATAAAGAACCTTTCCCACAATTCGTCCTCCTGTATTCCAAAAGCCAACCCATCGCATGTCGCTATCACTTGAAATATGGAACACGCGCTTAATCGTAGAAAAAGAGTTTACAGCCAAGCGCGCTATAAGCGTAACAAGACAGGCGAATTTCCCTAGTATTGGTCAGGTTTTTGGGCTCTCCTAAGCGCTGGCTGCATCCGGCCCTGATTATAAAGTTTATCTCGGAAAGAAAAGTGCCGGTTTATGCGACAAATTTCTCGACCTAGCGCTTTGACCGGCAACGCGGCACAACTCGTTGGTGTAATGCGGCAAATAGTATTCCTTTTACCAGGTCATTCAGAACTTTACTGGTTCTGAGATAAAAATGCCTCAGTAACATTCGCTGAAGAAAATGACTAATTGCTTCGGCGATTACCACTTGCAGACAGGCGATGGATGAGCTTCGATATAGCACGAGAAGAATGAGCAGGATAATGATCCAGTGTTCACGATCATCACTTAAGCCTTGAGAACGGAAGGCATATCTTAAGAAGTAATGTTGAGTATTATCTAGAAAAGACAATCAATTTGTGCAGCCTAGTTCGGAACCGAGTAACAGGAGATAAAGCCTCAAAACGTTGGTGTCATCCCTGGCAGTACAGACTCTTAGTGAACTACTCTATCAATACATATCAATGGCCAACACCCTAATGAACAACACTAGCCACTCCTTTCACAGTCTGAACCCCCTCAACCTGTTCCGCAACCCACTTATTCCCATCGACTACATGTCTATACACGCCCGAGTTACTCAACTTCTTATAAAACACGTACATTTTAGCCTCATAAACAACAGAACAAATATCCCCCTGGATATCATCGCAGTCCGGTATGAGCATGGCGCCGGTCTTCTTAGAAAGCGTTATCCAACGCTTCCCATCAAAGGCATTATACCACAGTTTCTTAACGTCAGTCTCGCCGTATCCTCTATGCATCAGATACAGCTTGTTCTGATAAACCGCTGCCGTAACACCGGATGTCGCATATCGAGCAAGGGTATGTGCCTTTTCACAGCGCCTTCCGTCGAAGGCAACATAAGCATACCTGTGGGAGCTGAAGCCGTATCTAGGGAGATAGAACAGGTATAGCTTGTCGTTGAATACAACAGCGGTAAAGCCCACGGTGACGTCGTCGATGTGGATATCAGTGTCGCCCTCCCATGTTCGACCGTTGAAGACATTGTATCGAAGTTTCTTTTGGGGAATTACATGGTGGAAGAGGTAGAGTTTGCCTTGGAAGGTGACGGCACATATCCCTGGTGAGGTTACGGTTTTTGGAATAGTCGTGGCAGCTCCTCTTTTCCATGCTCCTGATGCGCATGATTCGTAAAACACTTGTGACTTATGGTTTTGGGGGTTAAGATGGAAAATGAAAAGCTTCTTCTGGAATGAAGCTAGGCAGAAACCATCGCTGATATGTAGTCCAAAAGACCAAACCTTGTAATCCTTGCTCCAGGTCTGGCCAGCAAAGGTGCTCCAGTATGGCCAATCTGCGTCGTTATTCGCGCCGCGGTGAATTAGATGGATCTTCGCTTTATGATCTGGATCTTGAGGCTCAGGCTCAGGCTCAGGGAGAGCAGGAGGTTCGCCCTCATGCCCCCAAGTCGCCAACTTCTCAGCAGCCTGAGAGTAAAGAACCGAAATGCCCTGATTCGGCGCCCACTCAACACGGAACGTCTCATGTATATCCATCCACACGGCTTGAATCTCAAACATCAAAGGCTTATCATCCGCAAAGGTGCTGTTACTTACCCTGACGATTATCTTTGTGACACGCGGAATACCCTTCTTCAAGGTATTCAGAGCATCCTTGCTGATCTGCGACACCTCCTCCATGACCCTCTTAATATCATCCAGCGTTGCGATGGGATGGTTGACTTGTATCTCCATGTTTTCGTAATCCTTCTTCTTGTTCATGTATTCATGTTGCGCAGGCAACATCTTGATCTCTCCCTCAATCTCAGCAATCCTCTTCCTCGCAGCTTCTTGTTTCGGTGAGAGCCTCTCCTCAGTCTTGTCAAGATCCTTCTTCGCTTGCTTGTAAGCAGCCTCGGGTTTCTCGCTCTTCCTCAGCAATGCTTCGAGCAGTCTGATTTGACGATTCAGATCTTCTCTCTCATCCTTTAACATCTCCTCGATCCAGGCCGCGAGTCCTCTGTTGACGAGACCATCGAGCGCTCTTCCAAACTGGTCGATCTTTCTGGCTGCTTCGTTGATCGCCACTTCGATGCTCCGGAAGGCTGGAAGGTCCATTATGGCTTTTCCCGCGTGTCGGAGTTCTGCGTCGATTGCTTCTCGAGCATGCGCTTCTTCGAGACCTAGCGTGGCTTCTGTGAGCTTGGCGACCTGAGAAGGTGTTAGCTGATGCGTGTATGTGTATGAAGGGCCAAATGGCACATACCCAATATGCCTTGTCATACCATGCACAATGACACAGGTTCACTCGCAATTCCTCTTCCAATCATACCGCGTTTTTTCGAGTCCTGTCAAGGTCAGAGTTTGTCGGCGGCTCAAAGGTCGAGTACTTACGACCCCACCATTGCCAACTTCTGTCCGCCTCCCTGTAGCTTCTCAATGCATCTCCCCAACTCGCGTCTCGGCTATCTATCAATCTCTTCTTCTCTCTCTCCATAGCATCCCTTTTCGCCTTTTCTTTCCTAATCTCATCATCATACTTCTTCTTCATCTCTGTCTTCTTGGTGCCAAGCCGCCTTCTTGCCTCATCTCTCGAATTTCGCTGCTTTTCAATCTCCTTCTCATTTCTCTCCTTGGCCTCCTTTGCTTCTCGGTAAGCCTCTGCGTACTTATCGAACTCATCATGAAGTCCCCTCAATAACTCGTTCTCTTTATCAATCTCATCCCGCTTCTTCAAGACTTCTGCAGTGCACTTCTTTTCTAGCTTATCCAGCTCACTCTTCATTGCTTTCAAGGCAGCTTTCTTCTGGGCGAGTTTTGTGGTCAAGTCGCTCCGTGCATCGTCGATGGCCTTGTCGGCTAGTTTATGCAGTGCGTGAATATGAATACCGTCCGTGATGCCTTGCAAGTTAACACCTAAGATGCCAGTCTCCAAGATTGCCTCGAAGCTCATCTCGGCCCCTTCAAGAGAATTGTGATTCTTTACCAAGACATCAGCTTTGAGGCTCAACAGCAAGCTCTCGGTCAGCTTGATCTTGATATCAACTTTGAGGTACTGCTCTTGGATGTCAAGGTCAAGAAACACGCTGATCTCGAGGCTGTAGTATCGGATACTGTCGTCAATGAACAACTTCTGCCTGTCTTTGGTCATCTCAATATCCATCATTGCCCTATCAACGCCTTCTCGCGTAGATGTAATCTTAAGACCGCCGACCTTGAAATTGTCAATGCCGGCTTTGATAACAACGCCATTTTCATCAAATCTACCGTCGAACTCTCCTTTCTTCCCAAAGCACCACATCTTGCCTTGCACCTGAATACCACGATCGTAATAGCGACCCAAAAACTCAGCACCAGGTGAGACATATAGCTTAAGGTCCTTGAAGACTAGCTTGTCCTCCGCACCTTTCATCTGCTGCATTGCTTGGTTATCAATGAGGACGCCAGCGAGCTGGATAATTTCCATGGCATCAAGCTTGTTCATCTCAAGTTGGAAGACTGCCTCGGCGCTGGTAAGACGTAGACCCATGTCGAGCTTCGCACGGAACTTTCCAATATCGACTTGTCCTCGGAGAACAATTTCACTAGGTTTCGTTAGGGTTTTAGACTAACAGTAAACGCGGGACTTACTCTGGTCCAGTAACGAGAACAGTCGCATATGTAAAGCCTGTTCCGAACCCGAGCTGAGAAAAGACCATATTCTTGTTCAGATAAAATGGATTCACCCATTTAGAATCATCAGACATTTTTCTTCCAAGCCGTTAGCAGTGCATCATCACAGCATGTCAACAAACTTGCAATTCTCCTCTCGCACCCTTGAAGCTTCCAACAATGACTCCCTCCACCGAAATGGGATCTGAGTCTTTGAAGGCCAAAGTCAATGTTGCGTGGATGTTCAACTCTGGCCCCGTAGACGACTTGATGGCGATAGTAGTACCTAAGCTGTGGAGGTATGCAGTATCCGAAAGTTGCAACTAAAACACATCAGTACGATCCAGCGTGGGCATGCTTGGGGGCTTACTTTGAAGGACTCGGGGAGATCAATAGTAGCACTGATTTTGCCGTTCGAAGTTATCGATAAGACGAGTGTGAGTCCTTCCAACTTCTTCTTCCCGTTGAGTTCCTCAAGCTGTGGGAAGGAGGGGATGGTGGCACAAAGCTGAAGGCCTAATCAAGATGTCAACCCGACAAATTACAGTATCGGATCTGTGCTTACCTTTGACAATTAAGTTTCATCTCTTTGAAAGTGATTTCATTAGAAAATCGGATGGAACACTGTCCGAGAAGGTGGATGGAGAAAAGATCAACTTCAGCTCGTGGTTGGAGACAGATTATTGCCTGATTTGGGCTCTGCTAAATTAGCTACAGAAGACTAAAACGTCGTGCCGTTGCGGGCCGCGCATACGTTGTCATCCCTCAGATCGCCCTCGCTCATCGATCGATTAATAAACGCCACGGCCTTTTTGGACCTGGAGTAACAAAAGAATTATCTGTCTGACTCTACATACTTTGTCATCAGGCGATTGAATTGCTTAAAATTATCGCAAGCAGAGTATCGGGATGTTCAGGGCTGCTCGAAAACATCAGCAAGGCTGGTGTTCGTACGAACTAGTAAAACATTGTCTTCCTCGCTATCATAGCAACAACATAGTGACTCCTACTATGAAAATCCCTTAGATAATCAATTACGAGATGCGTAGCATGGCTGCAATAGTTATAGGGATAAGGCAAACTCTGCTGCTACAGGGTATTTTGATGTTATCGCGATAAGGATAAGCTCTTATCAGTAATCTGGAGAAGCATGTCATTTCACCCTCCACCACGTCGCGATCGGCAGGTATACCGAAACTAGAATGCCAATGGAAATGGAGTTGTCCAAATCTCAATGATAAAGATAGAAATATTTGCAGGCATTTCAACGGGAAAACAAGATGAAGCGAGTTCAAAATAGATATCTCCGCCAAATATTGGAAGATGATATAAATAGAAAGCTTGGCGTAGAAAAGGAGAATTCCTGCTTTGTCATTCCCAGCCTTAAAATAACAGCCGAGGCCCCATCGCGGGCAGGGCTCACCAATTGATTAGCGGAAAATATCTTGGCCCGATTTTATCTATACGAGGTTTTGCCCCGCGAGCTGCAAAGTTCTGGGCCCAGCTTCTCCTGGTCCATCTACGAGAAAATGCACTTCTCTCTGCAATAAGCTTTACAAGTGAAAACTTTGTTGAATTGGAACTTTAGTATCGAGATGACAGAGGTTAAAATACGCAAGATCAAATTTGCACGGAACAATGCAGAGGTCAAGAAAAATGTTACCAAACTGAGAAGTCTGCTGAAACTGTCAGCGTTTCTAAAATTATCCGAGCCCTGGCTGGAGCCAAAGTCCCAAGAATTGAATTGGGACGAAAAAAGAGGAAAAGGGGGGGACGGGCCAGTTAAGCCTCAATGCGCTATGTAACGGTCTCTCCGAAGCATAAAAACGCATGTCATCAAAGCGCTAAGCGGAACCCGGACATTCCGACCGTCAGCAAAAGAAAACGAGAAAGAATACGTATGCAAACACGAAGGAAGTGAGGCAAAAGTCCAACGTTGCTTCTGCAGAAACTATTTAAACACACAGCCAGCCTCTTGATAGCCACAAGTTTCCGTTTGCGGCTTTGCATCATGAGTTATTGGGGGAGGACTGCGTAGGGAGGGAGCCATACCCGCTTTGGTCATCAATCTGACGTTAGCTACGGGGCGCTAGTACCTGATTGTAAGCAGGGATGAGCCCCGTAGACTAGCAAAGCCCCGGCAGTTCTATGACAATGTCCGTCACGAACTCTGTACAAAAAGGACAGCAACACTTCAAAATATACTGCTTTCTCTGTCATTCTATCCTTCAACTCGCGGTGACCCTGTAATACCCCGCAAGTAGGTGCTACCACATCTGAGACCACCATATCCTATCCATTCATTCTCTAGAGATCATCTTCACGAAACACCGCCAAAATGCCAGGCCGCACTTCCCCAACTCCTAGTGTCATGACACAAGAAGCCTACCGAAAGCGAAAAGAGGAGGAGAACAGCGCAGACGAAGAAGAGAACATCAACTACGATTCCGACGACGATGGCAAGCCAAAGAAGCAAAATGATCAAAGAAAACGTCAAGAAGCTCACCTCGCTGGGTACCGACAACAAATGATGAAGACGACCGAAGGCCCGCCATCAATAGAACACTCGCGCATTCCCTCTATACAAGGCCCATGGATGAATATCCCCGACGATGATAGCGATGACGACGTGCCGCTGGCGATGCTGCAGGCTCGAAGTCAACGCGATCGCATGTCTCGCTTAGCAGGTGTTCGATCAAACCCCAATCTCCGAGCTTCCGCGCAACAACACATGATGAGACCCGGTTCGGCGCAGGGAAAGCCCGATAACGGTTCACATCTGCGCTTACCATCCTTCGCAACGAATCTTCCTCAAGATCCTTTCCAAGACCCGTTTCAAGATCCATTCCAGACGAAGAAGCCGATGTTTACGGGCGGTTTAATCAGTGTTATTGCAAACGAGGAGCGAGCTAAAGCTTCGCGGCGGGGAACGCCGAGTGCTAGCTTTCAAGCACCACAGAACCCGTTTGCTTTGACGGGTGCATCGCCATACATGCCTTCACCGTATGGCGCGCCAATGCCGCAGCAATTATCGAGACCGCAAACACCTTCTGGTCAAATACATCAGCAAATACCCCAAGGCATTCAGGACCAGATGCAGTACATACAGACGATGGCGTTTGGCGCGCAACATCAGTCTAATAATTCATGGGGTAGCATCCCGCAACGGCCGGGAACGAGTGGTAGCGCGGCTCCGGCGGTGAAGCCTGCGCTGCCGGCTTACGGAGGGTATGCGCAGTCTATTCCGCCGGCGGAGAGGAGTAACGTTGGGTTGCCCAGTCGATATAGGGCGGTGTCGAAGCAGAAGGCGTAATGAAAGTGAATAGAATGATAGACTGGGGGAAGCGATATGATACCTGATGCGGAGATAATGCGATTCATAGACTGTACCAAACATATATTTTATTTGTCTACTGGGAATTTGGCGTTCAAAATGCATGATTAGATAGATATACACGGCCTGTATAATATAATTCTTCATCATTGATCATATATGAGTCTCAAATATCGTCATGAACTATCACGATCTGTATCACATGTCCCAAACCCATGGTATTCACTATCATAAGATAAAGACAGTCTGGTCGCTTAGCGCACCTCGAAAACGCTCAACGTCATGCTATTTTAGCGAGAGTAAGCCAATCACCGTCCATTTCCATTCAGTCACCCAATTTTCCGACAATAACCCGCTCCTAATCGACCGGCGAAACAGTAAGCATGAGCCTTCTCCCGCGCGGAGCTATATTGAACCGATCCTCCATCTCCATCTCCCAATCCTTCATTTCTTCCGCAACTCTAAACCTCAACCCTGATCGCATGACCTCGCTTACAGCCCAATAAAGCTCCTGCCACGCAAGATTCTGGCCGATACAATTTCTCTTACCAAGACTAAACGGTGTGAGAGCAAATTTCATCTCTGGAGTCTCGGCGAGCCATCGCTCAGGGATGAATCTCTCTGGGTCCGGGAAGACTGAGGCATCATGGTGGTGAAGCCAATTCTGCATTCCGACAACCGTGCCTGATGGGAGAGTGTACTGGCCGAGCGTCATAGGCTCAGTGAGTAGACGAGGTAGGGTTGAGATGATTGTTGGATGAGCGCGGAGGGTTTCTTTGATGATTGCGTTGATGTATGCGTTGTTTCTGATGACCACAATATCATCATCAGGTATTGCCATTACTTCCGTGCGCAATCGCTCCTGAATAGCGGCGTTCTCCGGCTTCGAGAGCTCGTACAGCAAGTATGTCAATGTCGACGATGTAGTACCCGAGCCAGCAAACATATAGCCCATAGCTTCCTCGACAAGCTCTTCATGAGTAAGTTTGCGCCCCAGGTATCCATCAACCCCAGTCGCAAGAGGTGTAAGCAAATACTTCTCATCATCCGTACTCTTCTCCAGAAAGTGATCGACCATCTCATAAGACTTCTCCCGCCAGTAATCTCGTTTACGATATGAGTCACCAATGGCGCCTGGCAATTTGGAACCGATGTCAAATCTGGCTACAAAAGGAAGGGCGCCGTCAAAGAGCAATGTAAGGGCGCTTCCATCCATTGCTTGGAGTAGTTTGAGAGCAGCTGCGCCATTGATGTCGTTGGAGAAGTCTTTTGCGAAGCCAGCTTGGCATATTACCTCAAGGCTGAAGAGACCGCATAGTGTGTAGGCATCGACGGGAGATGATGTGCCGCTTCTAAGCCGTTGCGCGAGACGTTGGGCATTGCCTTTTATCAAGGGATCGAGCAGCGCAACGGACTGCAGTGAGTATGGGGGACTGCTCATCTTTCTTCGTGCAGCATGTTGTTGGACATTTCTATTATATCAAGTCAGATATGATATCAGGCCCTACCATATGAAGCCATTGGAGAACGTAGGACGAGGTGACAGAAAGGAAAACTATACTCACATCATCTGGAAAATATTGTCTTTACCCACAAAGGTAGCAGCTTCATAGAAGTCTGGGTTTTTAATCATTCCCTTGGTATTGAGATAGATGGTGCGCAGGTGTCTCCAGTTACTGATTGATACCTCATTCGGACCAGTTCGTACAACAGGACCGTACTTCCTGTGTAGTTCCTCCAGCTTCTGTATTCCGGTTCTTGTATCAGCATAAGCTCGAAGGGGATGGTTGAAGATGCACATACGTAAACGCGACGGCCTTGTATGGTACTCAGCCAAACTGTTGCTCCAGTGAGCTTGGTAGAGGATGGCCCGGGGACATGTCGAAGTGGACTGAAGAGTAAACGACGGATAATCTGCAAAGCTCTCGATTAGACGGTAATATGAGCGGAGAGACGGTGACTGACTTTAATTGATAAATAAAGCAGACATAACGATAGTGAGAGCACTGTGAGGAGAGCTTCTCGAGAGAAGTCCGAAATGTTATCAAACAAGCCGCTCATGCCGATAGGTAGGAAGATTATAAGTGAGAAAGTCGAGACTGCTATTGAATTCTAAGGCTAGGCTCTCGATTTATACAGTTGATACTTCAATTACCGAGTAAGCGAAGGCATTTATAATTCAACATCGCTTTTCATCTTCTTAAATAATAGGAAACTCAGAGGTCTTTGCGGGGTTAAATAATGTGGCCCACTGGCTACTCGGCCCCTCATGGCCATGAAGCAATCGGGATGTGGAGTCCCGCTCTCACAATTGAGTCAGTTCTCTTCGACCAAGGCATCCTCAAGTTCCTGTGCTCCCGCTCTCTCCTCCATCTATCTCGACTTTTAGTAGATCTCTTTCGTACTAGATAATATCGCATTTTGACTCTATCTAGCATAGAATCCATGATAGAATAAGCATCGAGACACGCGGCAGACCACGGAGATAGACAATGCCGCCTTCAACTCGGTCACTTTTAGTCTTCCCCGAATCTAGTGTTACCCCGCAACCCCGGCATTCAGTAAACGCCGGCTCAAGCTGAGTGCGTTTATATTGACATCTAAGTCCTTTGTATCATGATTCAATTGAGGCGGTAATTTGCGATCAAGATGTTCAGCTTCGTGCCTACTCATCGGCTGAGGTGAGACCGCCTGCAGATACTAAGCCGAGACTGATCTTGAAGTAGCAGTCTGCACCTGCTGCTACACGATTCAACGCGAGATGGTGTATAAGCATAGCGTTTTCTTCAAGTGAAAAGTCCTTCACTCTAGAAGGAAATTGCTAAGATTAATGGCTTTGGATTCTGTTCGGATATAAGAATAGAAGTTTAGCTTATGTATCAAAGCTGGAAGGGCTTGAACACTATACGGCCGAATCTTGACGTTGCAGTGACACTCTTGGCAGAAATTCCTTCACGATGCCCGGACTGACTATTCACCCGTTCCGTACATGGATCAGAAGAGGGGTGCTGAACTCCTTTCAAAACATGTCAGATTTATCGTTTGGAGATAGGAAAAGAGCATGAAGAACAAATCTGACTCCATGACCCTGTTGGTAAACCTATCGTCTAAATCGGTTTGCGATGTCCACACCTCCTATCTCGCAGCTATGCAAGAACTGCTCACAGGTTCTCGATATCGACTTTTTGCTGGACCATAACCCCATCAACAACAAAGGCTACCGCCCATACGATATGGACAAAACCCTGTACCGATTTGAAGACACTTGGCCAGAACTACCAGGCTTGGCAGCTTCCGGCGACTCTGGCTGTGGATTATGCAAATTAATTCGAGACGCTTTTGCTTCACAGTCTCCTTCGACCGAGTACAAAGGGCCCGTAACTGGCTTGGTGTCAAGGTACGCGACATGGATTCATGAGAAGCCTAGGAAAATTCTCGATTACTCCGTAAGGATATACGGTGAGTCGGAAGGGTATGTGGACTGGTCTACGGTAACAGGGTATGCACAGTTCTTGCCCTGTTCTGATGATGGTATGCACGTGCTTGGCTTTATGAAGTGAGGGTGTACTGATAGAGAGGTAGATGAGATGCCCTTCCTGCTTCCTCCTCCTGCAGAGATTATGTCAGCTCAAACAGTGAACTTCTTGAAAAGGTCCATTGACCAGTGCGAATCAACCTGTCATCCACGGGAGCCTTCTGGCTCAGTTCCCTCGCGACTTCTCGATATATCGGATTATAAAACCAGGGGACGGATCCAACTTGTGCAGACGGAGAAGTTGCCAAGAGTCAAATACGCAGCGCTAAGCTACTGCTGGGGAAATGCAGATGATGCAGCTTATCAACCGAAGACGAATTCTGCCAATTTATCAGAAAGGCTCAATGGTTTTGGTATCGACACTATGTCTCCCGTCGTTCGCGATGCTATCATCACTTGTCAAGCCTTAGAGATGCGTTACTTGTGGGTTGACGCGCTCTGTATTCTCCAAGGGAAAGCTGATGTCGCGGACTGGGACATAGAAAGCCAGAAGATGACTGACATCTTTCGCAATGCATACATCACGATTTGTCCATCGTCGTCAAACAGCTGCCGGGAAGGTTTTCTAGGTCAACGTCTGGTGCACCCTGGCATTCGTGTCAAGACTCCGATAACATCAAACGCTATTTTCCAGAACGAAAGCCGGGAATACTCTATTTTGCCATACTTTGAGCATGATAAGGATACACCCTCCTTCATTAACAGCCATGAGTTTATAAATTCGAAATGGTACAGCCGCGCTTGGGTATGGCAGGAAGTAAACTTTTCAGCCCGTCTCGTCATCTTCACACCTACGTTTGTCTTTTACCGGTGTCCAGAGACTCTGCTGTGCGAGAATGGCGCTAGAAAAGAAACAACAATAATCCGAGAAGGGTTAGGAGAATATCACAGTAAGCGATATCAAGATGCACAGCCGTTTGCATTCTTCAGAACCTGCGTGGAAGATATCTCAAGCAAGGACATCAGCTTCGAATCAGACCGTTTAGCGGCAGTGGCAGGTGTTGCCAAGCAAGTTTCTCAAGTGACAGGTAGTCAATATGCTGCTGGTCTCTGGGTCAAGGACATTTATAAAGATTTGATCTTTGAGAGAAATCTTCGCTCGCGAAACAATCGTGACAAGGGCGGACTCGAGAAATACATCGAGTCATTGAGGACCAGACACTCTGCGATAGGACCTACGTGGTCTTGGCCTGGACATAGAGCCGGAGTCTGTTGGGACTCGAACTTCTCGTCGGTGGATCACGAGACTCTGCAGCTTAATTTTGCAGATTGGAGATATGAATGCAAACATCTCGATATCACCACTGACAAAGTAGGCGATAACTTGTTTGGTCAAGTCAGCCGGGGTACTTTATCTGTGACCACTAAAATGGCGTCTTTGACTGAAATTGCAGCACTTCACAACGGAGACGATGATGGACTAATCAGAGAGATGTTGATTACGCCGGAGTATACAAGTCAAGTCGCTTGCGGTATCAAATGGAACTGGGATGTTGACAACGCGGAGACTTCAAGTCATCTGGCAGATAAGATCTTGGTCATGGCATTCTCCAGCTGTTTGTATGGACGCAGTAGCATCAGAAACATGTATGGATTGATGGTGTATCCGGCGGAGAAAGAGGGCGAATATTACCGAGTAGGATCCTTCGAGGCAGAGAGTGCTGCTGATGATGATGATGATGCCGACGAGAATACTGGGGTTTTTATGGCAGAGGAGTGGAAAGAGAGAAGTATTGTAATCATTTAGAATAGAACTTTATTACTTGCATATCATAAAAGACGACTCTATAGCTGCTGGAATACTGAACTGAAAAGCTGCTAGTAGCTACTGAGCGCCAAGGAACATGTATCGCACACAGCCTGCATCAATGTACCCTCCAATACCGCCATTGTCGCCTACGAGTCAACCCATTAGTATACAATCAGTGAAACATGGGACAGAGTACTTACAGCCTGCATAAGCCTTGACAAATAAATCTTTGCAAAGCGGGCCATCCTTTCCAAGCGGTGTATACGGGTCCTGTGACTCAACAGTCGTCTTACATCCCTCAACCCACGAAACCTCATAGTAATAGAGATCGCTCTTCGTTGTACCAGAGACAGGGCTGTCGGACTTCATCTCAACGGGCAGGTTGGCCTCGCAGTAGGCATCTGCCAAGGCCTTCACGGCGCCTGGACTAACGTCCTTATGATCACCGCCCCTGTTCTTACAGAAGACTGGACCTAACTCCAGAGGTGTGATCTTCTCCTCTGGTGGTGCTGGAGCTTCGGTAGGCTTGGTCGAGACCCATGATGCGCAGTATGTGTTCTCGACGCATGCCTGTCCTCTGCCACCGCCCCCCTGAGCGCACTGTGTGTTAGTCGCTGTCTCAGCGCATGAGCTACCGTCAGGAGTAGAGATAGGTCCTGGAACATCGGTAAGTGTTGGGAGACCAGTCAAGTGAAAGGGCGGTGCTGTTGTCGATGTGGTAGGCATAGCGGTGTACTTGTAGGTACCGCATCCAACATCAATGGTACCCTCGAGAAAGCTGTTCTCAGAGTCAAAGCACTCATCGCCAAAAGCGTACATCGAATCACCACAGGGAATCTGGCAATCGCCCTTTGAACCGCTCCAGTCGTATTCGAACACCCAGCCCTCGCAAGACTCAGCTCGTTCTCGGAGCATATGTCTTCTCATGTTGAGCGACGCACGTTTCTCTTGAGACCCGCTCTCAGCATCAGCTCCGGTGAGGTTCTTGCTCAGTTCATCGCCCACATGTCCATTAACATCGGCACAGAACTTAGAGTAGATGGACATGAAGCAATCGCGAGGAACATCGTCGCTGCTCTGTTGTTGGCATTGAACATCCGGGTGTTGAGCGTCGTTGATAGAGATGTTCTCATCGTCAAAGACCTGCTGGAAGTAACGAGAGGTGTCGTCTTCGATCGCTTCCATTGTAGGAATGGCCTCGTTGTCGGCTGGCACTTCGCCAAAGAGGACGGACTCCTCGGGGAAGATGCTGGTGGTGATGGTGGGGGTCTGTTTGGCGGGGCAGTCGATGGGCGCAGGGCACGTTACGTAGGCGGTACTATAGCTCTGCTGTTAGAATACTGACAGGGGAAGGGTTCAAAGCTATAGACTTGCCTGGTATATGTCTCACTTTCTGAGTAGAAGGAAACGGTCTTTGTGCATGGCGCCGGATCTTTTTTCTCACAATCATCTGGTTCATTGGGGTCTTGAGGATCTTGAGGGTCCTTGGGATCTTCGGGGTCTTTAGGATCAGGATCCTCTGGATCTTTAGGATCGGGGTTCTCAGGGTCCTTTGGGTCTGGGTTCTCGGGATCCTTCGGGTCTTTAGGGTCATCGGGGTTCTTAGGATCGTCCGGGTTTTCAGGGTCCTTGGGATCTTGAGGGTTGTCAGGTTTCTTGGGATCGTCGGGAGTGTCAGGAACCTTGGGTACATCAGGAATCTTAGGAACGTCTGGGATCTTAGGGACATCAGGGACATCTGGAAGGTCTGGAGTCTTAGGGTCGTCGGGCTTCTTGGGATCATCAGGCTTTTCCGGATCATCAGGGTTTTTAGGATCATCCGGCTTTTTGGGGTCGTCAGGCTTTTTGGGATCATCAGGTTTGTTAGGAACTGGAACCGGTACTGGTACAGGTACAGGAGCGCCATCAGTTGTCTTCGGATCCTCTGGTTCATCAGGCTTCTCAGTGGTGACTGGAGCCGGTGGATTTTCCGGCTCGGTTGTAATCTCCGGCTCTTGCGGCGCTGGTGCCGCTGTTGTTGTAGCTGGAGGGGGAGGGGGATTATTGGGTTCAGCTGTTGTTTCTGACTCAGGAGCTGGTACAGGCGTGTTTGGGCCCGCGGGCTGATTTGGCTGAGGATTGGGGACGATGGGGGGAGGAGGATTCCGATCATCAGCTGGGATCTCTTGTTCTTGCCTTGCGACAAAGACTCTAGGATAGACTGGGTGCGTGAACACGGCTGCTCCAGAAGAGGTTTCTGATTCAAGGTTTGCACCGACGGCTGTAGCACCTAGCCAGAGTACTGCAATGGCGCTGACCTTCCAAGGTACCGTCATGATGGCGGTTATGTTGACAACGAAAGACAAGAGGACGATGGACCAAGAACGGCCTAAAAGGTAGAGAGGTGAAGAGTGTGATGCCAAGTAAAGCCTGATGATATTTGGCAGCTTGAGTTAGATTATTATGATATATAAAACTCGGAACGAATGACTTGGAAGATCTGGTAATGTTGTGATTATTGGTGGATAGTAAAGTACCCTTGCAGGAGCTAGACTGCCTCATCCAAAATTATCCAAGCTCAAGGCAGCGCAAACAAAGTAAGCCGTAGGATCTGCACAGCCTATGCCCCAATTGTGGCGCTTATTTCGGAAGTACAACCCGTTTTGGCATCTCAACTCCAGTTCATGATCGATCTTCTTCACTACGGGAGTTTATCTCCCGCCCGCAGCGGGATTCCGTGCAGAAGGATTAGAAAGCATGAGCTTGCTTACATGTTAAAATTAAGAGTAAGCTTGTCTTCAACTGTGCTCGTGTTAGCGTCAAACGTTAGCTTTAAAAATAATCCGACGGAGCTTTTCGAGGCATTTCTTATAAACGGGCCAATCAGAGGCTACAGAGTTGATGGTAAGCCGTAAGAAGGCCAATCATGAACGCATATAGTCCTTGAAGGTTTCTAGGTCCGAGCCGCACAGCCTCAGCATAGCCCTACGGATCCATATCTATCTGTAACGCTGGATCTGTTTACGGCAATTTCCGTGCTATGGGTTAAGCGCTGAGTAGGACCGATACGAGGATCTGAATGAAACGGTTTCTTAGGTCAGAATGAGAGTTAATTACAGTGACATTGAAGGATTATCTGTACCCTTTCGCAAGGCTTAGACGGAGTCATTGCTTAGTAGAGAAATATTTTACATCCCTGTGATTTATCGACAAGCAACTTCCCTATTCAGGAAGCGTAGAATAGTACGTGCCCTCTTTATGTGTTTATATCAGCAACTGCAGCAAACATAACTTTGAGACCTTATATCTCTGGAATTAGAGGTGTTTTCTTTCTCTGTCCTTTCTTGATACCTGCCATTCTCTTCTACCACTTTCTACCTTCAAATTCCCGGCCTATTCATCTCTCGCCATGAAGGTCTTTTTGCCTATAGTGGCCCTCGCTGGGCTTGGCTTAGCTGCAGACATGAATGTTTGGGACCTCGATGACTCTTGTCAAACACCTGAACGTAAGGGTGCCTTTGAGAAAGCATACAGTGACGCCGAGGTCCTGGCAGTCAAGGCTCAAGAAGACCTTGAGAAGCTCAAAGGCGCGCGTCCAGACTTTGTCTCAAACATGCGAACCAATTGGGACCGTATTGCGAGGGCTGCGACCAACATGTTTGGCTTTGTGCCAAATGCAGATGGCCATGACCCCAATGAAGAGCATTACTCGAATGTTAGATGTAAGTCAACGTCGTCGCCACACCTATGTCTTTACTGATTGGTCGGAAGATGTTTATGATCGCATGGTCAAGACCCTTCACAATGACGAAATGATTCCAGCCAACGGCTACGGCGGACTCAAGCCCCTGCTTCTATGCGACGAAAGCAAATTCGTCTGGGTCGGAAGAGACGACAAGGACCCCCATGATCCAGCAGGACGCCCCCTTCGCGAATCCAGACCGAAAGAGATGGCGGGTACAAAAGCCGGAGCTTGGGTCTACAAGAAACGCTACCTGGTAAATAGCGTCAAGCAACCCGACACAGGACTTTGCAGACCAGGCGTATTTGCCGTCACCCTTACCCGAAACGATTTCATCATCTTTTGTCCTCCATCATTTCAGGACCCGGTGGCTAGTACCAAATCTGCTGTTGATGCTAAAGACAGCGTTCAGAAAGATGATGTATTGGATACATACTCGGCTACTAGCCTTTCTCGAGTCATGGTCCACGAGCTTGCCCATTGGTTTGGTGGTGCTGGGAATGGTGGAACTGACAACCGCAATGGTATGTGTATTGCGAATGATACTTTTTTACATCTGTGCAGATGCTAATATGCTCCGCATCTAGTCCCTGATCAACAAGCCGTCGGAAAAGAGGGAGCATTGGTCTGGCAAAAGCCCGACGGCAAACGCACCACTGATGCCACTCTTAAGGACCTCAAGAAATATCTTACATGTAAGTTGTTCTCCGTACTATTCTAACTTCGGGTCTCCGGCAGGGAATTGTAGTTACTGACAGTAATAACAACAGACAACTTTATGTGGGTTTCCAACTTGGCGCGCTCTCACGAGGGGGCCAACGCAGGAAATTGTGGCCCGAGCAAAGCCACTTTCACGGCTGAGTCATATGCCCTTTTCGCATTAATGTCGTACGTTGCCTAGATAACCTCAGACTGAATCATTGGATTATGAGTTGGTGCTAATTATTTATCTTCTAGTTACATGGATAACTGGGATTGGGCTAATGATGGGAAGGCAAAGGCGTTTGTTGACGAAATGATCCCATATAAGAGACTTCCTAACAGTAAGAAGGTTCGTTTGGGCTAGAGAGGAATTTATTGCTTAGTCACTTAGTTGTTAATGCTGTTTATCTCTCTTACGAAATGTATTACACTATGATTACCGACGAACACAGGCTTTGCTGCAGATAATACAGTAAATCGATTGGCGATGCGACTACTGCCTTACAGTCTGAATAAACGGCGTTTGGTCTCTTCGACTCACTTAGCTGTTGACCATTGAGGAATGCAATGCATTGATTGCATTGCAGGTCTCACAACATTGCATGGTAACGAGTGCGCCAGTAGCTGCAGCAAGGAAACTGTTGGAAGTTTGTGGAAGTTCGGCGTCAACGCATCGATTAAGTGGCATATCTATGGCATGTTGATATTCTTCTCCCTGTTTTTCTCGATCCAGAGCAACTAGTTGTACATGGCGGGGTCTTGTGAAACTTGACCTCGAGCAGCTGGAAGAATGTTGCACACCGCTCAAGAAACCACTGAAGTTTCCTCAAGTGTATATCAAAGGAAGAAGACAAATAATCGGACGAGTTAGCAATACGAGAACAATGCCTGCAGCCACAGACCCATTTCACTCGGCTGTCAGCGGCTTGGATTCCAGTCCGACTATGACATCAAGCAAAACAGAACAAGACAACGTCCCATGCTAAGGACGAACCGTATCTGTTAGCGCCGCGAATACCCGGATAGCCAGATCATATCTTGTCAGTGACGGCGGCAATCTACACCGCAATATGCATCGAGACTAAAAAGATAGATCTACGGCTGCGAGATGGGACGGGACGGGGCTTCTCTCCGACCGTCCGACAACTCACTCTTAGGCAGGTCTTGTTGTCATAAGTGACAGGTACCGGGCAGTTACGCCTCAAAGACGCATCTGCGGCCCCTTGTCTGTGCTGCGTGTCTTATTACCCCGCCTTGCCCAGCTGTGAGCTTGACAATGTAATGTAGGGCCCAGGAACCAGTGTGATTGCAACGACAACGCTTTCCGAATGAAGTCTTTGCGGCTCTATATTCTTCTCAAAACTGAGAATTATCACCAAGTGCAAATAGCATGTGTAGCATTGGCAGTTACGAAGCTTGTTGGAACAGAGAATATGGTTCCTGGGTGCATAATGACCAAGCCTGGATGCAACGAATGACGTAGCTATTTTATGTTCCAAAAACGGCCGAGTACTGAGACACGGGAAATTCTGTGGCGGGCTGAATATCAGACAGAAAAGAGGGGTTCGGACGGGCCGCTGCTCTTTTAGGTGAGACATACAGTGCGTGCAGCCAGGTACAGCAAAACCTGTCACAATTCAGATCTCCTCAAACCCCGCTTCCCCGTTGACGGGCTATCAGGGGAGAAAATGATATGTTTTCTGGCTCCAGCCTAGTCCTCCATATCAGTGTACGATTCACCCATAAGAGCTTTGCCCAATAATGTAAAGATAAAGGCAGATATCTAGATGAGCATTCCTGGAACCTAGATAGGTTAAAAAAAGAGACAAGATGTAGTAAGGTCTTCCCCGGACTCTTCGTCGCGATTGTGTAACCCCGGCCGACAGCTAGATCAGCAGTCCGCCCATGGCAAGAGGCATATGATTTCTCTTCTCTCAGAGAACAACACCAAAGATTCACTTACCGATAGATCCTCGTCGTACCGTGTCTCAGTGAGTGATTGGAATTTGATGTGCCGATGGCCCGGAGGTTAGAAAATCATGCCAGTAGCCTGTAGAACGTGACCGATACGTGCAACTACATGATGCACGGTGACATGAGACATTCATTCTGGAGATAATTGGACATGGGGGACGAGCTGTGGAGGTTTGTTGTGAGACAGGAAAACATCCCTATACGTAGGCTGATCTACAAGGCGATCTCTTACGTATTTTCTATAGTCACTTGAAAGGCTCTGTGTCTATAAGAACCCCTCAATCTCTCACTGATCCTGAACACAAACTCTCAACTCAACTCAACTCATCTTCACATCAACTCCTTCTCAAACAACTACTCAACATAAATCACTCACAATGGGTTACGGCACTCTCGAGAACGGCGACTGGCTCATGGTCGGCATGAGCATCTTCAGCAAAGATCGCTCCGTCGAGCTCCGCATGCAAGACGATGGCAAGCTAGCCATCTACTACAACAACCGCTGTGCCTGGCAGAGCACCGACCAGCAGACCAGCAACGCAAAGGGCGCCATCATGCAAGGCGATGGTAACCTCTGCATCTAGTAAGTCTTGCATCTCTTGATTTGGTGCCTGTTGTACAGTTGCTAATTGTGATTTCGCAGTGACAAGAACGGCAAGGCCACTTGGCACACTAACACTGCTGCCCCAAGCGGCGACAACAAGACTTTCCTTTCTGTCCAGGATGACGGAAACCTTGTTTTGTACAAGAACGGTGGTGCTACTCCCATCTGGTCCTCCAAGAGCAACAAATAAACTGGCTGGCTGGGTTGGCATGTGAATTGGGCGGTTGGCGGGTACAGTTAGGGATCTATGGACCTAGACAAGTTCTACCTGCCGATTTGTGCACCACTCATAGTATTAATAGCCATCAATAAAGTTAAATTGAAGAGAGCCTTTGTCTCTTGCAATACGTGCCAAGTTATTGATCAAGACGAACATGGCCAAATAGCGCTGTAATCCTCTTACTCTTAAATCGACTTTCGCTAGTCGGCACGTAATTTCGACGCCCATCTCACGAAACTTGTCTAGGTATGTTTATTATGAATCAGAAAGATTATATACCAGATGATTTAGCGGGCTCTAGGTTATGCCCGAGGAAACCTTGTTTGGTTATAGTGTACTAGATCTAATAGTGTTATCTACCAAATTTATGTCAGAAGTTAAGCCTTAAAAGTCTGAGGATGTCCGAAATTGCTCCAACACCAAAAACTCCTAAGCGCTGCAAACTCTCGTAAACGCAAGAGTGTCTATGTTGACCTCAATTCTGACGAATTCTCCTAAGCAGGTCACGCCGAGCTGTACATCTGCCTGTGCGACAGTCTCGCCGGCGCTACTCCAGCTAACGCTGTCTGTCCTCCAGCCACCAACACCGTCGTACATAGTGCCAAACATGCTTGTGTCTCCGATCTTGAGCTCAATGTTGCAAACGTAATCGGCACCTGGGCTGACACTGACAACTCGATAATAGTAGGAGAATTCGTAGTCGCCATTCAGATTCTCCAGAGTCTGCTTGACGTAGTAATCGGGTTGACCGTTGTTGAATACCGCGGACCTAGTTCGTCATTTATTAGCATGTAAATGATAAAGATGCGAAATGTGAATGAACGTACAGTGCGTTAGTGCCAGACTGGGGTTGGCTTTGGATGAGATTGGCATTGCTGGTCCAAGGCGCAATACCGCTGGAACTATCATCGAAACCTGGGTTGATAAACAACTGGGTTTCAACACAGGCTGCCGCTGCAGTAGTCGTGGTAGATTCTGCTTGGGTTGTAGTAGTATCCGCCAGAGTTGTAGTGGTAGATTCTACTCCGTCTGTAGTCGTAGTATCTGCCAGGGCTGTAGTAGTAGTATCCACCTGGGTTGTAGTGGTAGTATCCGCCAGGGTCGTAACAGTAGTCGTATCGATTGACGTAGCCGAAGTATCAGCAGCAAGCGTCGATGTGGTCTCAGCAATGCTTGTCGCGACGGTTGTCGCTGGTCGGCAAGGACCGGCTTCAGCGCCGAGAAGCAGTGTAGCAATAGCTGCCAGGTTGAGGATAGAATAGCGAACCATGATGCAGTATGAGAAGCAAACGTTAAAACGAGTGGACACGACTGCAGATGTTGCAGTGTGAGGTAAAAGAATGTAAATATTGAGAGGTTGCAGAATGCAAGTCTGAATCAAAATTATTTGATGCCAGACATCCCCTTTTTAATTTAGCTATCAACAAATAACGTTAGTTCATGTTTGCGGCTGTTGTATACTGGCGCTAAACAACGGCTTGGCAGGAGGCTATTGCCAGTAGTTGGAAACGCTAATGAGAGCTAATGAAGTTAAGCGGAGAGCACTAGCCAATTTTGGAGAGAATATGCATATAACGGTGTTCCAAATCGTTTAATTCAGAGGCGAAAACTTCCACGTAAAACCAACCAACACTTCAATCAGCGGTTCCTGATGGTTTATTTCGCTATGTGCAAAACACCGCCCTCCACCTGTGTTGTGATAGCTCAGGTATGCGCATGCTCGGGCTGCAATGGCAATCCATATGTCGTCATAATTCGAGAGGTCTTATAAAGTCAATGGAGCCGCATTTCACTGACAAGTCGGTCTGCAAAGATTCTGTGCGTTGGCATAGACAGGGAACATTGCATGATTTATGGTGGATCCTGGTGAGAAAGATATGAAGCAATACTCTTAGTACCGGGTAAGCTCCTTCTTACCAGACCATTAGCCATGATGACTCGAGTTGGTATATAAGTGCTTGTCATTCAGGAGATTGTTCTATGATAGTCCTGCTTCTAAAATGTGATTTTAGGTATATTTTAAACTATATTAAGCCCTTATTATTATAAAATTTGAGGAAAAGTGAATCACTACTTTGACAATCACTCCAAGTTGCATTTTCTAACTGGACATTTTAAGCAGATTCCTTCGCTTTTAAAAGCATCCGAGTATCTATCTGGCTAGCATAAGAGTGCCGTTTGGGTCGCCCAAGTCATGTAAAATGGCCAAGGTATGCTACTTACACCTAATAACACATTTCGTTATCCAAAATGTATGACGCGAGGGCGCTTTCTTCCTTTGCGATTCACGGAGACTAAGTAATCCCGGAGTAAAAGCTGAGTCTTTGTCGAATCACAAATGCAGTCTATCGTATGATACAAGTAGGGCGTGAGCTCTGTAAAAATGCTAAAACGCCACTATCACAGTCATCACATCAAAGAACATTTCAGAGAGCGGCCCAGGCCGCAGCCTTCCCCGCGATCTAGCCCCGATTGTCGAATCGCCCCGCTGTTTCTAAGCAATGTTTCAGGTCAGCTCTCAATATTCATTCCATTACGGTAATCTCTACGCGTTAGTGGAATGTGATAGTCGTTTGTGGAGAGCTGAGTGATGAGAAAGATACGTATATAGGCTCAGTATCTAATATAGGGATGAATATTTAAGCAGAGCGATAGGCAGCTATTGAGCTCTCTCATCAAAGAACGGTGCCACTATGAATCTCAAAACTTTTCTAGTCGGCTCCTTGAGCCTCTTCGGTCATTCGGAGGGAGCAGCGTCCCCCCCGACATTGAACCTTCCCTGGGGATCATACCAGGCTAAACCTCTTGCATGGGATAAACAGGTACGTCAAATATCGAGAGGCAAGGAATGAACTCACTAACAATGCGGAGATTTACCTGTTTGAGAACGTCCGCTTTGGGTCCAAACCAGTACGTTTCGGTGCATCTAGTTTCCCATCAGGACCCGGTGAAAGCGTTCCCGACAACACGGACTGTCTCCAAGTTAACCCCCAAGTACTGAGCAACGCCCCTGGCGGTAAAACTCCCCTCGGCGATCCTAATCGGGATTTTGGCCCCGATAATTTCGAGGCAGCTAAGGCGCCTGATTGGAATGGAAATGAAGACTGTCTCTTCCTTGATGTCTATGTGCCGCGTTCAGTCTTCGACAACCCCGGTTCCAAGCCACTTCCCGTTACGGTCTGGTTCTATGGAGGGGCATATGCATTCGGTACCAAGAGGATGAAGAAGTTGGGTCTCAACAATGGCCCCCTCTACAGCGGAAAGACCCTGATCGAAGCCACCGACTACAAAACCATCTTTGTAGCCGGAAACTATCGTCTGGGAGCCTTTGGGTGGTTAGCTGGCTCATACATGCAGAAGTACGGCCTGCCTAATGCCGGTCTCTACGACCAGAATCTTCTCCTCCAATGGGTTCAGAAGTACATCAGCCAGGTCCATGGCGACAATACCGCTGTCAGCGCATGGGGAGAGTCAGCAGGTGGCGGTTCCATTCTCCACCATCTCATACGAGGCAATGGTAAGAATGATCCTTTGTTCACCCGGTTCGTCACACAAAGTCCTGCCTTTGAATGGGCGTGGGATAATTCCAAGGACGGTCAGTTGGACCAGGTTTACCAGAACTTCTCAAAGTCACTGGGATGCAATGACCTGAACGATATTAGCTGTATCAGAGATCCATCGATCCCGCTGGATAAGTTGGGCATGGCGAATGTCAAGCTTTTTGAGACCGTCAAGCAGACTGGACTTTTCCCCATTGGACCATCGGTGGACGGTGCATGGATCAAGACGATACCTACTCTAGCGTTCGCTAAAGGTAATGAAAATTCTGATGTCCTTTTGAAGACTCTGCTAACACTTGGGTGTAGGGAATTTCTGGCCTGGGATCAAATCCACCATTGTCTCTCACTGTGCAAACGACGCTGAGCGCTTTACCCCATCCAGTGTTGTCGATAATGCCACTTTCTACGGATTCTTGGAGAAGTTCCTCCCAGGCCAGAACTTAGGCTCTGTGAGAGCGAAAATTGCCACGCAGTATAACTGCACCACGGACTTCAAAGGAAACTACAGTCTTTGTCTGCGCAATGTCATTCGGGACGCATCCTTCACTTGCAATACAAGAGATCTTCTCGACGCGTATCCGAAGCAGGCATACGCGATGAACTACGGCTTTCCGACTGATAGCTTGGCATATCATGCGTCTGATCTTATCCCGCTGTTCGCCAATGCAGGTATCGTCGGACAGATTGCGATAATGATCAAGGCAATCCTCAAATGTTCTCTCTGGGATGCAAACATATGGGCAGGTAAGCTGCGCGATACAATTAGGGACAGATATCTGGGATACTTTGCGTCGTTCGCGCTTTATGGAAACACTGATAGTGACGGGAAAGGGGACACTGGATGGCCGGTCGTTGATGGGTCTGGAAAACTCTTTTCGAAAGTTATGAAGCCTTCGCAAGATGGATGGAACCTAGTGCAGGATGAGCAGAACTCTGAAGACGCTTGCGCCTTTTGGCGTACTATAGCGCAGGATCTCGTGCCTAAATCGGGTAATTCGGAATGGAACCTGGAGGAGGTGGATGTGGATTCGGACGTGCAAGAGGAACTTTAGATTGACGGCCCAGTCCAACTTGGTGCACCTGGTCTGGTGGCATGTTGAGGACCTCGTCGGGGTGGTACCAAGCGATATCAACAGATTTAACTAGCCCTGTCGGAGCACTTGGACTTCATAGGAACTTCTAATAAGGCTACAGTGTTCCTCACAGGACTGGCTGTCGCTTGTTTAGGCCTAGTGACTGGTACTCTAGCTTTTACCAGTTGAGCAGTTAGATATTTCATTCGTGCACGTATTTAGAGCAATTGATTTGGGTCTCTTCATTAATACCAATTGCGTCTACTCGTGTATTCTCCCCATAAGTCGACCTCGTTTGTGCAGTCATGGTGCTTTGTGCCGAAAGTCGAAAGATGAAAGATTATCATGTGGCCTAAGCGACATGGGCCATCAGATATAGTACAAGGAATAAATATCATCGGGTTAATTGGAGATCTCATAATTAATATTCAACTTGAGCTTCATTCACAGTTTCTTAAATGATTGGGCCTCACTACAGTGGCTACAGCAGAACGGTTCACAACTGCCAACATTGAGTGCTTACCTATACCTACCTATACGACGCAACAAAACTTGGGACCACGATTCTAAGCGATAAGAAGACTTAGGTAAGTTGGAACAAGCTTAGGAGGGCCCTTTGATAAGTTTATGCGGATATCGTATCTCAAGGTCTGAAGTTTATTTGCTCCATAGACTTGCATGGCATGTTCAAAGTCATTAATTTGTCAGGGTAAAGGAATGTAGAACACAATGATCTATCACATTATGAAAAGGGCCTGTCTCCTTTTCCAGCCTTATCTGCATTAGAGAATCTGTCTGCCCATTCACGTGATAGGCTTACTGTTAGTCATCCCTGTCCTTGCTGTTCCGCCCGCCATGTTCTTTGTTCTCTGCGTCAGCTGCCTAAAGGCCATTTCTCACGTCTTTCAATCCCTTCATAGATCTTCTTTTCTCCTCAACATCATCATGCCGCTCAAGCGAAAAGCGCAAAAAGCTTCTATCGATATCAGTAACATCGTCAAGCGAGACTTCTCGTACCTTGCGCGCAACCCTGACAGCGACAACCGGCCTCTATGGATTGATCCCGACAAAGGATACATCATTCTAGAGCGGTTTCATCCTTTGGCTGACTTAGCGACTGATTTCCTCGTGACTATCGCGGAACCTCAATCTAGACCAGCTTTTCTCCATGAGTACAAGATTACGCCGCATAGTCTCTATGCTGCTGTTTCTGTTGGGTTAAATGGCGAAGACATCATCAACACTCTTGACAAGTTTCTCAAAACAGAGCTTCCGCAAACTATCAGAGATTTCATCAGATCTTGCACCAAGAGCTACGGAAAGGTTAAGCTGGTTTTGAAAGACAATAAGTATTTCGTCGAGAGTGGTGATGCAGATGTTCTTCAGACGTTACTTAAAGACAACATCATCGGTCCCCTTCGAGTGAATGGTTCTGGCGAGGACATTACCACGACGCGCGCTCCAGCGCTGGGTGTCTTTGTCATTCCAGGAACAAAGAACGCGGCGGGGGTTCAGCAGGCTGACCTTCCACAAACTGCGGACAAAGAGTCGGATCAGATCGAAGCTGTACTGGATGACTACGACAATGATGATGAGAAAGAAGCTGTTCATGCCTTTAAGATTCCTGACAGCGCCGTCGAGACCGTTCAGAAGCGGTGCTTGGACTTATCGTACCCCATCCTCGAAGAGTACGACTTCCGCTATGACAACGTCAATCCCGACTTAGACATCGATCTGCGCCCAAACACCCAAATCAGACCCTACCAAGAGAAGAGTCTTAGCAAAATGTTCGGCAACGGTCGCGCCAAAAGCGGCACCATCGTCCTCCCATGCGGCGCAGGCAAAACACTCGTCGGCATCACAGCAGCATGCACCATCAGAAAAGGTGTCATCGTCCTCTGCACAAGCTCAGTCTCAGCAGTACAATGGCGCAACGAATTTCTCAAATGGTCAAACATCAATCCTGAAGACATCACAACTTTCACATCCGACAGCAAAGAGAAGTTCTCTGGAAGTACTGGTGTTATTGTGACGACCTATTCGATGGTTACAAATAGTCGCGAGCGTGCTCATGACTCAAAGAAGATGATGGAATTTTTGGCAGGGCGCGAGTGGGGACTGATGCTTCTTGATGAGGTACATGTTGTTCCGGCGAACATGTTTCGGCGTGTTATCTCGTCGATTAAAACGCGCTCTAAGCTTGGGCTTACGGCTACGTTGCTTCGCGAGGATGAAAAGATCGATCATCTCAACTTTCTCATTGGGCCTAAGCTTTACGAAGCTAATTGGATGGAACTCTCGCAGCAGGGGCATATCGCCAAGGTGCAATGTGCCGAGGTCTGGTGTTCCATGCCAACTGTTTTCTACGAGCAATATCTACAAGTTTCGTCCCGCATGAAGCGAACGCTAGCCGCTATCAATCCCTCCAAATTCCAGGCTTGCCAATTTCTTATCAACTATCATGAAGCGCGCGGCGATAAGATAATTGTCTTCTCAGATGAGCTCTACTCCCTGAAGCTCTACGCATACAAGCTGAAGAGGTACCTTATTTACGGCGGTACAAGCCAGGAGGAGCGACTCCGAGTCCTTGACCATTTCCGGCACAATCCTGAAGTGAATACCTTATTCCTCTCCAAAGTCGGAGATACATCGCTCGATCTCCCCGAGGCAACGTGTCTCATCCAAATATCCTCGCAGTTCGGCTCGCGCCGTCAAGAGGCACAGCGTCTCGGCCGCATCTTGCGAGCAAAACGGCGAAACGACGAGGGGTTTAGCGCCTTCTTTTACTCACTCGTCTCTAAGGACACATCCGAAATGCATTTTGCGTCAAAGCGGCAGGCCTTCCTCATTGATCAAGGCTATGCGTTCAAAGTCATCACCAAGCTAGATGGTATTGAAAGCATGCCTGATCTGGCATTTTCTACAGCGGTCGAACAACGAGAATTGCTACAGGGTACGTTGGCTGATAACGAAACGGCGATCGATGATGAATTTGCTGCGGATGATCTCTGGGGTGGGGAGAAGAGTGGTGGAAAAGGGAAGAAGAATACGGTGAGGCGCGTCGCCGGCTATCTTGATCAACTTAGTGGTGTGCAGGATATGGCCTACATTGAACGGAACACTTCTGCCAACAAGGCTCTGAAGAGGAAGAAAGGCGAGAAGAGCGAATTCTTTAAGAAAATGGACAGAGAAAATAAGCGACGGAAGAATACGTGATGGTCCTCTTGTCTAAAGTTTAGGACCTAGATCCTAAATAACAAAGGGCTTTAGGTAAATTCGTATAACTCTAGACTGAAAATAGGATGGTATAATAAACTCATCAAAGGATCCTGTAACTTATCTAAATCTTTATGTCATTTAGGATCTACATCTTAAATCTTATAACTCTTCGGGTCTTGTCTCCTTTAGGTGTTGGGTATATGGACTTGCAAACCGCGTTAGACTTAATTCGCCGTTGTTCTCATACCAATGGCTACAGTAAGTTAACAGGTTGAGCTTTGATGTATTTACTCTGAAACTTCTCCATATTGTTGAAGAAGTACTGACATCTATTTTTGGCAGGTCCGTGGGCTGAACAATAAGAAGATGTCAACAAAATAGCTAATTGCTGATGTTCGCATAAAGCCCATTTCTTTATTGGAATTTTGTTCGTATCTGAAGCTTCGCTCTTTGTGATGTTGTTCTATTCTAAGGCCATGTCTTTGCCTAAGTTGAAGTCTTTGTTGGCGGTGTCTTTGATTAATGAGGTTGAACAAGGGAATAAGAGATGAAAGATACCTACAGATAATGTCTATAAAGAACATTGTAGTATAATTACATACCAATACGTCCTTCTTTATTGTTTCAACTATTCTCAACAACTATTTTCTAAATATCATCATTGACTTTTGTTACTCACAACAGCTACAAAGGTATGTCGAACCCTTCACCTTTGAATCCCCTCTCACGCTAGAGCCTTTTGAGCTAATTCTTCTCGTCTAGATGCCTACTGTTTTCGATCTCAGGCAAACATGTGCCAGCCTCGAGGCTCTTGGATGCCCTCAGCGTAAGTACGAAGTCTTTTTCTTTCTCACCGTATGGCCTACCAACTACTTGCTAGACAACCAAAATATCATCCTTCAAACTAAGGCGTACAGCAATCCTATCAAGCTACTCACTGGACATGACCTCCTCGTGTACATGGAGAAGAAAGCCCTGTTGACCTTGATTAAAAACTATTAGGGCAGGTTCCCTTCATTATAAGTTGTTTTTGGTATCTGTTATCATGCTTGGTTATGGCTCGGCGGATTGTTGTATAGAATGTTAGTTTCATGAGCTAGACCTGATGATGCGTGAAAGTGTTTCAATATCCTAGAATGCTACCATAATTCCATCGTGTGTGTATCCGTATATCAACTCCATCACAGCTTTGGTACAGATGTGTTGCTCAACAGGACCGAGATTGATTCCGCCCGCCTTCTAAGCCTTTATCTGGAAGGCAACATTCATGGACACCTCAAGCCACTTGACTATAGTTGCCGCATTCTTATCATTGGCATTTTTCTGCAACTCCTCCCTTGCCAGGTTCAAAGGTGAGACTCCTTTCTTATTCTTCTTCCTTGAGTCCGCACCGCGCTTCACCAGCCACTCTACTGCACCGACCCTTTTCTTCACCACAGCGTGAAGTAACGCCGTGCTTCCATCATTGTCAACCGCGTCTATGAGAGCCCCGCGATTGACCAAGTATTCCATGACAGCGGTCTGCTGACTCTGGGCTGCTGTGATCAGAGGCGTGACGCCATTGCTGCCATTTCTGTCAACATTGAGTTCCTTTTCGTCGACAAGGTATTTAATGATGTTGAGTTGTCCTCTTTCGCATGCGACAATGAAAGCATCCCAACCGGGAATACCATCTACGGAATCATCATCACAGCCATTCTGAAGGAGATACCGAACGACTTCGAGGTGACCTTTCCCTGCCGCCATAGTAATCGGTGTCCCTCCAGTGCCAAGGAACACTGGTCTCTTCGCACAGATATTCGACTTGGCCCCTTTTTTCAAGAGTATCTTGACGACGTCGAGGTAGCCGCCGCATGCTGCCCAGTTGATAGCACTACCATCACCAGGAAGAACACCGAAGCCAACATCCATACGTATGTCCATATCAGCACCGCGAAGGAGGAGGACCCGGACGGTATCCAATTGTCCTTCGTGCGCTGCGTATCCAAGGGCAGTCCAGCCGCCATGTTTGCCATCAATGGGAACCTTTTGATCAAGTAGCTCCAACACTTTCACTGAATCATTCTTCTTTGCAGCTGAAACCAAATTCTCCACGGTATTAGGATTGGCTTCTGTCGGTTTGGGCTGATTTACTGCAACTGTCTGTGGAGATGGTACGGCTCTCGTTGTGTCCGGTTTATTGGCTGACAGGTTAGCCACTGATGTTTCATTTAAAGGCGTCCTTTGATCTAAATGTTCGAAGACAGCCTATTAGTCACGATACGGTCGTGAAACAATTTTGAAACCCGTAGTTAGACTAATATACCTGTTTTTGCTCCAGCAGTAATATTAGAGTTGCTTGTATTGTTTGCCATCTCGGCCAATGGCACTGGCGCTGAAGAAGTCGGCTGACGTTCTGCATGCGCGAATAGCGTCTAAGATAGTTATTAATGACATAATTTGATAGTTCTAGTGTATCTCTCACCTTCAAAGTCATTGGGAAGCCGCTAATAGTTGTTGAATGCGTAGCCCCAAAGTTCACATCGACGCGAATCGGCTCATCGAGATGCTGATGTTGAAACTCAACAGCAAATCGAAATGGTTTATCAACCGAAACCCGCTTGAACTCGTACACTTTTCCTCTAACAAGAAATTTTAAGGTGCGAGATAGGAGTTCTTTGAAGCCTTGATCATTCGGCATCAAACGGCAGCAGATCCAACCGTGAATTACTGTGACAGTACCGTGTTTCGTGATGCTTCCGAGTTCGAAGAAATAGAGGCTTGCTCGCAGTTTGTCAGCCATGCATTGAAGTGCGTCCACTTGGACAATGCCAGAGGTTGCTGAGAAGGGTGAGATAGAAGGCCTTTCATAGAATGTTGCCTTCTTCGCGGCCGTTTCCATGCTCGTAATAGCATTTACATCGTCAAGCGCCGGCTCAGTGCTCCCGTCAAACCTCAAGTTCAATCGCAATGAACGATCTATTATACGCTTGTCCTGGCTCGAACGAAACTTGTCCCATGCATCCTCACCGTTCATGGTGCTGACAAGTGTTGAGAAGAGATGGGCAAGCCACTTGGGTATGATGGCTGTTGAAACTGGTTCAGCTGCTGGATACCTAGCTTGTCCTGATCCAACAGATAGGATCACGTCGTAAGTAGGGTCTTCCCATATCTTTCGCGACTCGTTCAGCGTTACTTGGATTGGATTGTTCTCTTTCAGACCGCCGTCGCGACATTCATGTCCGGCGTGGGAGATATGTTCGAAGTACATAGGAGCAGCCGACGTACAGCGAGCACTAAAATACTAGGTTAACCGAGCCCCAAAATTTGGATGATGATCTCTTACGCCTTCCAGAGCGGAAGTGTCGAGTCCAGGTACCGATCTTTACCGCCTGTGTGGTAATTGGCGATCAGGTGACAGTCTTCTTTAGCTGTTGTCGTGACCGCCACTCTGCAAGAGCTGTTCAATCCATAGAGTGACTTTGGATCTTTGCCCCCGAATGCGTTCTGAAGTGCAGTCTCTAAAACATCCGTCTTGTATATCGAACTGTTGAACCATCGGGCGGCCCAACCAAAGAACCGAGACTTGGTGAGGAGTTTGGCCTCAAAGCCTTCGCTGCAGATGTCTCGGAACAGACTTGTGCACTCGACAGCACTTCTTCTCTGTACACCTATACCGAGTGCGATGATGCCACCTGCGAAAGTCAGACAGATGTCCTACATAGCTTCGTGCGCGTTGTCCAATTCGAGAGGCTTACCTGTACTTGTACCAACAATGAGATCGAAGAAACTCCCAATCGGAATACCAAGTCCGATCTCTTTCTCCAAGCGGTTCAGGACCGTCAATTCAACGATGCCCCGGACGCCTCCTCCATCAAGCGACAGTACCCGAAGGCCACAAAGTGGCGGTCTGATGGTAGTGACGAACGGCCACTTGTCAGATGATGAACTATCGCAAATTATGCAGCGTTGATGCATGAAACGCCCCGGATATCGCTTATCCACAGCGGTGCCATCGAAATCATCCACGCATGTTTCGCAGATGACATGTCCACATGGGAGACGATACTCCGGTCTTCCAAACAGACAACCGAGACAAAACTTTGTGTTTGGTTCGGCCCCAAGAAGCCAGGTACCCGTATAAAGAGATAAAAACGACTTTGCAAGTGCTAATGGGCTTTTCTCGGCGTTGTTGCCAAAAGGAAATCGACGATTTCCATCATGCGATGCCGGATAGCCACCAAGCCGTCTTAGGGCGTCGATGTTCTGACGGTGATGAACGGCCGCAAGGCGTCGCCAGTCGCAGTGATTTGAAGGTCCGCTTGAGTTGATCGCTCGCATGGTGGTGTGAAGTGCTGACTCGACCGCAAGCAGAAACTTGGCAGAATTAAAGTCGCCGACTACAAAGTTGCCATCGCGCAAAAGATCGCCTGACGCACTCTGGTGGCCTATTCGGTGGCCGGACTTTGTGTTTACGCATTTCTCGCCAGAATCGGGGTCAATGTATGCGCATGGCGATTTGCTATCCAAAAATTGGCTGATGGCTCTGGTGCAGATTGCTTGGGTGTCCTTGTCAAAGACGACTGATGGAAGTAGGACGATATCTGTTCAAATAAGAGGAAATGTGAGTCATTGACGCAGTTAGGATTCAACTATATGGTAAGCTAGAGCTACGTACCATCTTTGTTCGCACTCAAGGAGTTCCTCAACAAGCTCGTCGCGATGACAGCAGCCGTGTCATCGAACCGCGCCTCCATCTTATTCTTCAGCGACAATCCAAGAAACTCAGAAAAGTGACCCTCGGTTGTATCTGGAACCGATATTTGTCGTCGGCACTGGCCGAAATCGAATGGTTCTGGGCTTCCTGATGCGAGATGGGCGAATGCGTAATGCACCACCTGGGACATCTGCGTCGTGTCGAAACGGGTCCAAGATTCGGCTCTCTGGGCTTGGACGCGCTCTGCATCTCTCCTGACTCGCTTTGCCAAGCGGTTGGTCTGATTGATAATTTCTAGACTAGTTCCGAGGGATCCGAAGCCTTCAAGTGGGATGTAGTGAACGTAGACACTAGAGAAGCTCCTTGAAAACAGCTGCCTCATTGTCTTGTCTCCATGCTAGGAATAAATTAGCATAATGACCCAGTTTTCCTGGTTGATTAGAGGTACGAGCCTTTTGAGCAAGTTCACGAAACTCAGTTGTCTCGCTTATTTCCTTCTCAATGGCCTGGAAGAAAGCATCCGTGACAATTTCATGGTCATCACCAAGCCATTCCTCATTCTCCAAAATAGGCCCGTTAAGAACGATGATCAAGGCAGGTAGTGCATGCTGATTGATGGTGTTCTGCACACCAACTTTGCTCCAGTCCAAAAGCCGCAAGGCTGACTCCGCCCACGCTCTGTGGTTTCTGGTGACATAGCAGATCACATCGCTGAAGATGTACAGAAAGCGAGGATAAATTGTCTTGACGGCCGTTCGTCGATCCACTGGCTTACCGTCCTTGGATTCAATGAGGTAGCGCTGTCCGTACCTTGCCCACTCAGTCTGGTGCTCTGCCGCAAGAGGTTCAGTCCCCAGAAGGCCTTCGCAGTCTGCATAGAACATTGGCGCGACAGTGCCAAAGGTCGAGGGGTCAAGGTAAAGATTGACTTCTCCAGTAGTCGATCTAATGGCAGAAGATCCAGTTTGAGCTCCAGGAACTGGGGCGTCAAGGGGATCGAAATCCAATGCCTGCTCGGAGTCAAAGATCAAACTTCGGACTGTAGTTCATTATCAGCCTACACACAGCCCGACCATGTAAGCAAGGTGAAAAGGGCAGAACTTACTCAGAGTCGACTTTCCTGCCCCAGTATCCCCAACAAACGAGCAAATACTGGGATATTGTCGTTTAGGGCTGCGCTTATGAAAATGAAGCGACTCCTCCAAAAGGCTCGAGAATCGTGTGGTCTCAACCAACGTCGCAATACGATCCTTGCGTCCAGGCGGTGACGAGATATGGAGGCCGAACCATTTAGTGGTCTCATCTCTCTGGAAGTGCGAAGCAGGAGAAAACGAACTCGCGATGTTAGAAACCACTCCCTTGATCTTATTCCATTTAGTTTCGGTTTTCTTCGAACCACCGCGTTTGTGGGTTTGGTTGCGCGGTAGGTGTTTCTTAGAAAAGCAGTATTCGCAGAATCGCTCACCGCAGGAGCAGCGGACATCGCCCGGCTTTTCTTCACACTTTGCACATAGGTCGTCGTCCATGATGAAATTCAGGTCGAATTCAGCTGCAGTAGGAATCAAGATTTGATTGAGATTGAAGGAAACGCTATAGAACATGCCATGGTTGGGTACTTCAAGGCTTGCTTATCATTCTAGTTCGCACAAGGCTCCCTAAGGCGATTTTCAGCCGCAGTTCCAAGACACGGCAAAACGCCCGGCTGCATGTTACTAAAAAGCCCTAATTGAAACATAAAGGCCAATAGTTTGGCGTTAGTGTTCAGCTCAACCTTCTGATGGGGGGGTTGCATTTTGGTCCTGACCAATCAGTGAGGGATATCGCTCAGCCGACTTTGGTACCTTCAACATGTCACTGCTACCCCTCGTTGGGCTGAAAACACCATTGTGGTGTTCTAGACCTTTTGTACATTTGCAGGCCGTCTCATAGGAACAGCCCAAGGTCGACTGGGGCATTTCTCATTTGATCCTCCTGTATCTCCTGGATCAAACTTTCAGGGTAATCCTCGATGTTCAAGTCCATGTATCCACGAGTAGCCCATTTCCGCGCGCAGACAAAGAGCGTCCTTCCATTAATGCTGGTATCAGACAGGATCCTCAGCGCGCATTCACCAGCATCTTCAGCCGTCGCGAACTCGACGCCTGATTTCTCAACTTGGTCGAATTGGTCTCTGGAGAGAATACCTGTGCGGATGTACCTGCAGAACGAATTAGTCAAGGATTTCAAGTACCCCGGAATGGAGAGTGACCTACCATGGTGCAATAACATTCACTCGGCTTCCATAGTAAAATGCTGTTCTTCTCAGAGCATGCATTATTCCGCGGACCGCCCACTTCGTACTGCTGTACTCTGGAGATCTGGGAACGTCGAGAAAACCGGCCCCTGAACTGATGAGGATCAAGCAGGTATCTTCTTGGTCCTTGTTGACTTCGGTGCCATTTTGGGACACGAAATAGTGCATGGCTAGCTTCGAAGTATAAAGCGCTCCTTTCAGATTGACATCGATGACCTGCAAGTCTGGCTTCTGCGGTTCTTGGCCTTTACCTGCGCAAGTGGGCATGAGAGAGCTGCCTGAGGCACGGTAGGTAAGGAGTTCTTACCGTCAAAAGTGAATGTCTGGTCTTCTTTCGTCATCCCTGCATTGGCTATCACATAATGAATCTTCCCAGAGGAAGACAGATGAGCGGCCTCCTTGAACAAACGAACTTGATCTTCCCAAACAGTTGCGTCGCATTGAACGAACTTTGAGCCTGTCAACTCTGAAGTGAGCTTCCCCGCAGCGATAGCATTTTTATCGCCGATTATAACCTTGGCTCTGATACAAATGAGTCTTCATGAATTTTTTGAGTCATGTGGAATTGCACGCACCCTGAGCTGTGTAGGGCCCGTACATAAGCCTCCCCAATGCCACTTGCACCTGAGATGTTAGCTAACCTATACCGTGCCATTAATTTCGGTGACGCTGACCTCCGGTGACTATGGCAACTTTTCCAGCAATTGGATCTTTGTTGAAGTCGATATCGCAGTTTACGGGGAGCGAGATATGATAAGGGGGCATAGTGAAAACAGAGCCTGTAAGTGGTAGTAGAATTGTAAGATTGGTCAAATGTTATTGCTTTTGATGTTGCCAATGTGCTGATGACCAGAGATTTTGACGAGATGGTTCTAACAAGGCTGTTGGCTGATGTATTTCATTTAATGTTATAGAATAATTCTTGAGCGCCATTTGCCACTATCCGTCATATACTTGATGCGGACTAATGCGAGTTGATGATATCGTCGAACCTCAAGCTCTTGCGATCCCTCATCGGACCGACTTACCCGGACGTTCATATCATCCAATGGTGGATGAGACTAGACCTATGTTAGACGCGCTAATGCAACCTGCTGACAGAGTGGAGTTAGCCATTCTAGCTTCGATGGAGGGATTCACGTGCGTGCTATGATGACGACTCTAGAATGCGACGATTTTCTTTCCTGATTTATCCCATCAGTCGTCTACAGGTATCACATAATTCTCTCATAATCAGCCATATACATCAATCTATCAGCACCCGGCATATACAACACGATGTCAGATCCACAAAAGATTGCCATTGAACCAATGGCTCCGCAGCTCCTTGTCAAGAAAGCTGAGGAGGACTGGACCGGGATCACTAGTACTGCACAACGACGAAAGCTGCAGAATCGACTCAACAAGAGATCGCAGTGTGAGTGCACCCTTCTAACTTGTACCATAAGGGTAGCTTCTTACGTAATATGCGCTTGGCAGATCTCAGAAGACGACAACAACTCGAACAAAACCGGCTTGCTTCCAATATCGTCGGTCAAGCTGGCCTACCAGCCGAATCCATGCCTTCAATAGCACTAGCTCTCCAAGGTCCACCAGATGCCATGTTTGAAGTTATCCGTCAAACCTGCGAAGTTTACGAGAGGCCTGATAAGAGCGAAAGGGTGTTTGCCGCTGCGTGCAAAACGTACATGGACTATACCATGAACGCCCCTCGGATATCGCAGCTTCCACTCCTCATCAGTCTCAACGTTACAATAGCAGTTGCCAATAACGCCACACTATTGGGATTTGATCGTGCGCTTATGTGCATTGACGAGGCTATATCGCCTTTCAACATCAATGGACCTTTTAGCGCAGATTATAATCCCCCAAAGGCGCTTGAGCCTACAGAGGTGCAGAAGACGGTGTTACATCACCCATGGCTCGACATATTTCCCTTTCCTAAATTCAGAGATAACGTCATTCTGGCGGCGGATGCTGAGTTACTGGACGATGGCGAGCTTTGTGAGGATATATCGGAGATTAACTGGGAGAACGTTGAGAAGCCAAGTTTGATTGTATGGGGGGATTCGTCTGTGCCAAATTCCTGGGAGGCATCGCCTTGGTTTCTGAGGAAGTGGGGTTGGCTACTTCAGGGTTGTCCTGAGCTTATAGAGACGACAAATAGATGGCGGCAGAGTCGAGGAGAAAGGTTACTGAAGTGGAATAATGAGTAGTATAGAAATTTCTATAATGACTGCTTCTTGAACCCTGTTGGGCCCATTTATGGTCAGATCATGATAGGATGTTAGCAGTGAAACTATCAGCACCCTGCATTAGTGCAGCCAACTACGCCGCCATATTGCACTCCGTGCATCAATGCTCTAACACAACTGCATAGTAAAACTCTCTTTAGACTTGATACATTTTGAAACGCTCGAATGAATGATGAAGCCGACCTGCAGCTTTGACAACTTGCTTGTTTCAGGAGAGAGAGCATCGTCGTAGCGAAATCGGCATCGCACAGAGGGGCTGTTGTGAGGCTGGACGCTCAACAATTGGATACGGTCGTGTGGCCCAATGGCAAGGCGTCTGACTACGAATCAGAAGATTCTGGGTTCGATCCCCAGCATGATCATATTTTTGCCCTCTGGTGATCATATGGTGCTCCACTTAGTTAGCTCAAAGGCCGATCACATTGCAAGACCATCACTTACCAAGACGGTCCATATCCTATTCGCGAATCTTGCAGGACTGGCTCCGGCAGTCCAGGCATCTTTTAGTCATGGCTGCCTTTAACCTCCATTCAAAGCCGAGTTTTCGGCCTTGCACTATCACATACGATCATACCCACTGGAGAATTCGGGATCCCGTCTGCTCTCCCATAGACAAGCCAGTGAGGGGCGGATTAGTAGTTGGCTCGGTGACGACCAGCGAATACCCGCTGTTGTATGTTTTTGCTCATTATATGCACATTCCTTTTTTTTATCTAGACATTGCTTATAGAGTTCTTCGCTGCTTATGGCATAGTTCCGAGTTCAAGAAGTCATGGGACATGTCAATATAGCTTAGGACTTGCTTTCTGCTGTACTGCGCTATAAGAAGTGACATTTCTATCTTAAATTCTAGCTTCTATTCTAATCAGCCTCGGTGTTACGACGAGTCCATCGGACGACGGCTGGGTTCATAGGACGGGAAAACATTGACTAGATCATCGGTTAGTAAGAACACTACAACACCGGGAGGGGCGCTTACTGAATAGTCAGGCGCAGGAAGAGGTGCCTTAGGACCAGGCTTCTCAATGTGGAGCAGTCTCACAAACGTTGCAATAATGGCACCAAGCTGTGCATACGCATAGTTCTCTCCAACACAGCGATGTCGTCCCGCACCAAAAGGTAGATACGGACTGCTAACAGACTTATTCATCATACCGAAGCCATAATCAACTGTCTCCCCACTACCCTTGGCGTCCTCAAGAGACTCGATCTTATCCCACCGATGAGGATCCCATTCCATAGGTCGAGGAAAGAATTCCTCGGATCGTGCTTGTGTGCCCGGTGAAGCGAGGAGTGTATGAGACGGCGGAACAACCCAATACGTGCCGGGAACTCGCATAGGTGACTTGACCTGTCGGAGAATGGAGTGGATTGGACTATGAAGACGCAAGGTCTCCTTGATAACCTGTCCATTCAGCGTCAACTTCTGCAAATTCTCCCACGTCAACGGCTCTTGCGGTGATACCAAAACCTCAATCTGCTCATCATACAATTCCTTGACCAGATGCGGTTTATGTGCAAGGTTGAGAAGAAGCCAAGCACCACTCGCAGCTGTATTATGCTGCCCACCCATCAGAATAGCAATCAACATCCTCGCCGCATGATGATCCGGCAAATCCTCACCATCCTTATACTTAGCATTCATAAGTGTCCAAACCATATCAGTCTCATCACCCTGATTTCCAGTCTCACGACGTTTACGTATAATATCGCTGAAAAGCTCTTCCATGACCTTTCGTGCATGATCGCGACGGAAGTTCTGTGGTAAGGGAAGACCCGGCATGACGAAGTTAATGGGCTGGAAACCATCGTCGAGATGGCGGTAGAGCGTTGCGAAAGTGCTGTCGAACATAGAACGGACTTCGTTGCCGAGGAGGGACCCTGCTGCGGTGTAGATTGTGATTTCGGCCATTACTTCGGTGATGTTGACGATGCCGGTGGTGCCTTTGAAGTAAGGTGAGGTGGCGATGTAGTCTTCGACTTCCTTGACGAATTTGGGGATGTAGCATCGCAATGAGTCTGTCGTGAGACCAAGTTTGAGAAGCTATCGATGTACCGTCAGCATGTCGTCGTTTGGCATGGTCCAGGTTGGCTTGCCCGCTTCTGATCCATGAATCTAGCATTGGAGCAATCATAAACAACCTCCTTCCCAAAAACAGGCGTCGTAAGCTTCCCATAGACATCTTCAGCATTAAGGTCCGCATGCTTCCCATTTAAGATGAAGTCATTCCCCTTCGGCCCCAGAAAAACAGTCGTCGACTTGCCCAGCAGGATAAACGTGAAACAATCACCATACTTGGCTTGACAATCAAAGAAGAATTTATACGGATCAATTCCATACTGAACCGTGCTGCCGATGAGTGGAAATATGTGAAATACTACTGGAGGGCGGTGAGGATTCGGGAACCATAGCTGTTTGATGACGTTGGTGATTGTCGCGATAACGATGATGATAAATCCTGTTATCGGGACAGATAATGATAGCGGAAGAGACCGCCAATTATTGTAGAGAGCCTCCATTGGCGATGCCCTCGATGCGCAGTCGCGATGAAAATTTGGAGGCTTTCCCAACAAAAAGAAATTGCTGGTCAGCACTATCGAACGATTTGAGACAAGAGCAGCTGATAATGAGTCAGCCTTATCGGAGCCCTCGGCAGAAGATCTTGTTCCTGAGAGAACAGCGCTAAGACGCCCCTCACTAGCGACGATCCTTGTCGCCCAAGCTTCGATTGGCTATTCCGTACACAAAGTCTGAGCATCTCTGTTGCTATGGTTTAGATAAAGCCCTCGATTGTTGCTTCGGGCTTGAAAGAATTCCCTTTATATGAATGTATTTCAAGAACGCAATGCCAATGACATGACCTTCGCGGTGAATGAAGGGCTGATGGGACTTGTGACTCAGATCCATCTTGCCCGATCAGCACTCTCCATTGGCCATATATGTAGCAACGATCCGCTTCTTAAATGCATTGCTACAGATATGCCCGGTTCAAACGCATGGGGCCTCAAATAGTCGTCCAATTCGCTAGATCCAAAGCAAGATGAATACTGCTGCTCCTCCACTAAGTATATATAATAAAGATGTGCGTAGGAGACAGTGCACCAAAACAGTCACTGCCATTCATTCTCAGCCTTTACTGTTGCTCATAAACCTTTTATTAAAATTCTCGTCACTGCACACCGGACAAAATGACAGGTACACACTCCATCATCACTCCCGCTATTATGTACTGGGGAACCCCAGTTGCCCTCATCACTACCTCCAACGACGACGGCACTGCCAACATTGGCCCCGTATCCTCAGTCTGGTGGCTCGGCCATCGCTGCCTCCTAGGCCTAGCCTCAGGATCCCAAACCACAATCAACCTCTTCCGCACAAAATACTGCGTCATCAACCTTCCCAGCAACGACATGGCGCACTACATCAACCCAATCGCCAAAACCACCGGCACACCTACCGTCCCTCCCGGCAAGAAAAACCGTGGCTACACGCACTGCAAAGACAAGTTCACCGCTTCAGGTCTTACACAGCAAGCTTCTGATCTTGTGCCACCGCCAAGAATTTCTGAGTGTCCTGTACAGATGGAAGCGGAGGTTACGAATAGTATGGATTTGATGCAGGATGTTCCGGATCGGAAGGGGCTTTTGGTTGCTGTTGAGGTTAAGATTCTGAGAACGCATGTTCGGAATGATTTGAGGATGGAGGGGTATGAGAATAGGATTGACCCTGATCGATGGAGGCCGTTGATCATGAGTTTTCAGGAGTTCTACGGCCTTATGCCTGCGAAAGTCGCGGAGTCGAGTCTTGGTACTATTGATGAGGAGAAGTATCGCTTCATTACTAGATCGGATGTGGTCAAGCAAGGAGGAGATATGGATGCGTTGGACTGTGAGGCTGGCGCTGGACGGTGATGCCAAGATACCCCTCATTAGCGATGATCCCTGTCAAGAGAGCTTCTATTGGCTGTATGGCCGATAATTCAGCCTGTCAGTCTGCCTGTAGGCATGACAGCACAGCCGCAATGGAACCAGTTTAGATAAATGCCTCGATTTTACATTTTTCAGCTTACAACAAACCCCTTTTTTGCTTATGATCTTAATGCTAGTGGTTGATTTGCAGCGATGGATACCGATATTTGTCCAGATGGCGACACCCGCACCCAAAAAGAAATGGTCGTCAAACTCATAGTCGCTCATTTCACAGCCGTCGTCGCCTTCTGCAATTTCCAGTCCCTGCGCAACGAAAGACTCGACACCATCGAACCAATCCTATTTCTTCTATCGCCCTTGATAGTAATAGCCCAAACAGCGCTCGGGATCATCATCATTAACGTCTCTTTCGTCTCAAACGTCGCTCAGTCCCCTAAATCCCTTTCTCTTCATCTTGAAACTTACGCGCGACGATGGAATACGCTATTCGGAAAGAAGCCATCACAACCTCGTCGAACACCCACTGGCTCATTGGAAACAATGCAATCGCGCTTTGGTAGTGCCTGGATAAGGCTTGGAAGAGCGGTAGCTATCTTTGCAACACTTTTCCAATTCGCAGCTACGATATTTCTCTACCGACGTCGAAAGAGTTTACATGGATGGGATTCACTTGCAGTCGTTGACCATCGAACATTTGAGCTATCTGTCGGCGGCGCCGCTGTCTCCATCCTGTCTCTCGCTCTCCTTCTCAAATTTCCCGGCTTCGGACAAGCACCGGAAGCGCTGTACATCCCAGAACTCAAACCAGATCCAGCTGTTATCTTCTGCCGCGGTGATTCGCGTCGTTGTCCGAGCTGGTATCAGATTCTCTACGATTCAGATATCGGCTCAGCTACTTCAGCTGCGACGTGGCTAGCATGCGTTTTATCGTCAACTTACAAAGGGGAATCGATCCCGCTTCACTTCCTATGTGAGTTTTACGCAGGGATCTACACAGAATTTGCTCGAGTATTCTCACTCCAGATTTCAATGCCGATATTCTACCTCCTCGTTGCAGTATTCTTCGCGGTATTCTTCACACTACCGCATGTATACAATGGCCCAGGCTTTGAAGCAGTCGGCCAAAGGCTCTGGGCCATGATACCAGCTCTACTTGCAGTGCTGGCTGCTATACTTACATTTTTCTGCATGTTTATGCTGATGATGTTGCCGGTTGTTTTGGTGTTGTGTCCTTCTCTTGTTAGCGGGCCGGGAAGCATTTTCACGATGAAAGGGTATGAGACTCGTGCGCTGTTTTCGCAACCGCCGTTTACACCGGTGACGAATGAGACGGATTGTATTTTGCTTTGGAAGGATCCTGTGGCGGAGTATTTATGGTCACTCGTATAAATGTTGAAGAGGAATTGTCTGTATAGAAGATAGATGCATGTCATTTCAATTGATGCTACGATATGTGAACGTAGGTCTTTTAGTCCTTTGTCGGATTGAATCAGACAGCCAAGGATGAAAAGCCCACTGAAGATTAAAGTAGATGCCAAGTATCTTAGGGCTGAAAGCGTTGAATTTCTCGTGCTTAATACCTATTCGTCCTCAAAGTCTCTCTTAGTAGTAATCGGAAAGATGTTGCCGCATCCCATTCCCGAATAGTCTAGACAGTCAATCTCCCGATTAAACTATCGATTTCTTGGTACTCTAAAACTAGATGGCTAGGTTGGAATACGGGGACTAGCCATTGTTGAATGCCACAAAACGCATCTTACCGGCATTGTGTGTCGATCAATCAACAAGTCAGGGCTATCAATTGCGGGTTCTCCTATATACCTCCTCGGTCCTGGTCTGTCTCTTTTGAACATGATTCACCATTTCCTCTAGTCATTCGCTACAATCCGGGTCCGCAAGATGTATTCATTCAACATTCTTGCCAAAGCGGCAGTCCTCTCCCTCCTCTCCCTCTCTTTCACTACCGCCTCGCCATGCAAGCCTCAATTTTCTCAAGACCTCACCACGACTTCGCCCGCCTCATTCACCAGCAGCATCATCCTTGGCAGCAGCACCATCATCGTCCCGTCAACAGCATTCAGCGTCTTCGAATCCTCTACCGCCAGCGACGCGACAACCTCTACGACTCAGTCAACTACTGAATCCATTACCACTACTACCTCCACTGCCGAACTTAGTATCACCACGATGGAAACAATGACCAAGCCCGAAACTACAACCGTCGAGACGATCTCCGCCACGACTACGACAAAGATTACAAGACCAACTTGCGGTGGCCCCGGCACACCGTGCAACACCAGCAACTTTCAGCAAGTCTGCTGTGATTCTGCTCGTTTCGGCACCCCAGCTTGTAACCTCGCAGGTGGCAACGGGTTTAGCGGCGTATGCCTATAGGTTCATCCTGCGATGTCATCAGAGCATCACTTCAATAATGAGAGACAATTATTGTACATACTTGAGTTTAATTACAGATTTTCTTTATAAACTTTATTCACTATCTTGGATGTTTGAGGCTCGAAAATTAGAGATGGTGAATCTCTGTTTTCTTGAAATTACTATCCACACTGATACACTGGAGTTTCCGTATGCCAATAAGCGTAGAGATTCTTGTTCCCCTTGCGATCAATCCTGCGCTGTCTCCGACTCTCCTCCTTCTGAACCTTTTCCGTAAATCTGTGCTGAGTTGCGATCAATGAACGTTGCTCAGATGCAGATAGGTGCATCAAAGCGCTGCGGTCGCCTGCACTCATGTTTGCGAGTTGATATGTAACCGTAGCCTTGTGCCGTCTTTCTCGTCTCGATAAAAGCCTTGTATCGGAAGTATCTGGTACATATTCCTCGTGCATAGGAACTTCCTTATCGACTTCGACAGAAGAGTACTCGAGCTGAGACCTAGAAGTCCGCTTGCGCTCGCGCATCTGGGAAACTGATGGCTCAACTTGTGCTGATGACTTTTTGGAGATGAGCCGCCCGGACGGTAGACGGATGGAATCGCGATCAACCTGCACCGGCTTTCGATCGGGTTCAACTTCTGCGCACCCAAACTCCTCCTCGTCAGCTTCGCTGAGGTCATCCTCGTCTGGATCAACAGACGTCTGTGAAAAGTCGTAGAAGTCGGCAAATTCTGATCCTTCCGACACGTCAAACTTGCTATGGCCTTTACCCATCATGTGCTGCTGTACAGCCTGAACAGTTGTTCTACTTGTCCCGCAGTGTATGCATTCTCGATACTCATAGATAAGCAGATGGAGATATCTGAATAACGTTTCGAGATCAACCAAAAGGTGCTGCTGATAGGGAACGAAGAGACCGTGTGCACTTTGCATGTGAAGGATGCTTTCGGCTAGTGTCGGGTAGACAGAGGGACAAAAGAGGCATTGGCCTGGGGTGAATGATTGAGGTGCCGGATCAGGAGAGTTGTTGATAGACATGATGTATGGTGTCAAAGGGCTGGTTTCCTCAGGGAACGGTAGGATCATTGAAGTGGTCGTGGTTGTTGCAGTAGTGGTGGTTGTTGCTCCTAGCATGAGACTGAGTAGTCGCGTGTTCAAGGTCAAATCGATGCTTTTCTGAAGCTTAAGCCTTGCAAATGTGCTTGTTGATTGTATGATAGTGACAGAATGGGGTGGGTAGGGCATGCAATCTTTATAGAACTGGCCATTCAGTTTGAGATTCCAGATCTGAAGTGCATCTGCCCATTGCATCAACATGATTGGTCAATGGAGGTGAGTCAAAGGAATGGGACTAGGCTCTTTTAGGGTAATTGCCATGATGATTCATAGTGATTAGATCCCCCGCGGGGCCGAGACTCCCGCCCTAACAGAGGTAGGATTAATACGGGCCAAAGCCAGTTAGGATGCATGTCACTCTCCCGCGCCACCATGGATTTTCGGACGCAACTCCACGGGCCCCCGGACCCGAAGAGCGACAATCTCCAGCACAGCTGTACTTTCTTTTTGGCAATGCTTCACAGACCTAATTGAGTTCATTCGAAGTTGAATTGCTCGCTAATTTTAGAATCGTATTATTCAAATGCAAAGAAGACGGTACTGTTATTGTTGCTAAGTCGATAAAATCCAATTCAATTGCGCCCTCCACATGATCCTTACTCCGTTACTCCCAATAATTATTTCCCGTCGCGAACCTCTTCTCACTATTCCTGAATCACTCTGTCAAAGACCGAGTCCACATGAGCTCGGACCTTATCGGCCATCTTCTCCCTCAACCCAACCAAAACCTTCTCATTATCCGCAGCTTCGCTCTTATTATCGACCAAAAAGACACCACCAGCAGATCGAGCTGCCTTGCTCAACCCCTCAGGAATCGGTGTCGCCTCCTTCTCAGTCTCCTCAACAGTATATCTCGCATTAGTCGCATAGAACAATGCCCTCGCACCAACATCATCAGGACTAGCAAAGAACAGCCCTCCAAGCGGCGTAACAATCCACTGAAGAAGAAATCCAATAATGCCACTTGAACCACGAGAGAGAAGGGGTGTAGCTGTCAGACCGGGAAATGCGTGCACGAAGCTGATCTTCGGGTTCTCTTTGGCGAAGTGCTCGAGGATAAGAGTGAGCATGGTAGCTGCTTGTTGAGCTGCCGAAGCGACACCAAAGTTGCCAGGTTTGGAGAGGTCGAGATCATCTTCGATGAGAGGACCTTCTTGGCCACCGGCGAGAATGTTGACGACATGAGGGTTTTCGCTGTTGTTGAGAAGAGGGAGGAGGACTTCGATGGCACGGACACGGCTGTAGAAGCGGGTCGTCAAAGAGGGTTCTAGCTTTTCCTTGGTTTCTAAAAAATATTAGTAAATGACCATTGTAATTGGTCAAGGGGAGTATTTACCTTTTCGGCCCTCAAAAGACATGAATCCAACAGACATGAACAAAATGTCAATCTTGGTCTCCCGCTTCGCAATCTCCTTCATCGCGGCATCTGCTTCCTTGACAAGAGAAACATCGCGCTCAATGAATTCAATTGTGGCGGATGGGTTGCTTTGGCGAAGTTCTGCGATGAGTGGTGTGGCAGCTGAAGTGCTTCGACCGACGATGTAGATTGTTGGCGATTTGTTATCGGTAGCGATGGCGAGCTGCTTGATTGTGCTGCGACCAATGCCGGATGTGGCGCCAAGGAAAACAGCTGTGAGATTCTTGGGGAGAGATTCGGGGAGGGCTGATTGGTTGGATTTCTTGATGGTGTTGATTGCGACCATTTTGGATGTTTGTAATTACTGATGGGAATAGATATTGGTGGATGTAAATGGTGAAGTTTAGTGTTTAGTATAGTTGTAGATGCTGAATGTTGATGAGAATGTTTGATGATGAGATTCATTTCGACGAAGATACCCCTCACTTTAATACCACCTCAACCTGCACTCGTCATTGTCATTTCTGGCAATTATTATCGTAAAGTCAGCCCTATTCGCGGGAATCGGATATCCGACGAACAGCGTAAGCACAAGGAGTTTAGCGCCTGGGGAATGCCGTCAGAAATGTCAGCTTCGCTTGATTGGTTGCGGGAGAATCCTTTCGGTCTTCTTGGCGTTTCCCGAGATTTCAGTGCGTCATGATAAGCTTGTGATTGCTGACTACCCACCATCTCCCCAGTGCTACGGATATCCGAAAATTCATTTTACGGACTTTCAAGATATATCAGGTCTGTTCGAAGTTAAACACCGATATAGATCGTATTCTTGTGCACAAATTCGACACTCGAGGACTAAAAGTGAGAACCTTCGATTTTCGGTGCTCAGCCAATCTCGGTCAATTCAACGAAGTAGGACCCGTCGTTGGAACGGGATCCAGAAATCGTCTATGATTTTCGCACTACCCGAATCTCGGTGAACACGCATAGCGTCTTTGAGATCACCTTTCATTACCTCCACCAAACCAACGGAAGCTGCCCTCCATACTTCAACTGCCCGCACGGCCCATTGCTGAAAGTATAATAAGGCGCTTCCCAGCTATTGAAGCCCATCAGCTGCGCCTGCTTACCGTCACCGATATATTTTGCATACACCGGCTGCGCCCCGTCGAGGCACTGATTCCTGTTTTGCGTGATGTACATGTAGCAGGACTCCGGTACATCTCTGGTTGCGTCGGGTGGCTTGCCGAAGAAGCTGATTTGGCAGAATGGCCGCTTCATGCACTCGTTGCAACAGGAGATATAATCGCCAACTTTTACTTCAGTTGGGTTTACCTCGTGGTCTTGGTGGGTCCATTCCCTGATCATGCGCCTGTCGGGCGCCCAGCCGAGGATGTTTTTGCCGGGCTTGGAGCAGACGTGGTAGTGGGTGTTTCGGGGTATTTGTCTCTCGAGGGTGACTATGAGCACGTTAGCTCATGTAGCAAGTCAAATATGGAATGATGCTTACCCGTCTCGTTAACGATTCTAGTTCTCGTCGGGCTGACAAATACCGTCTCGATAGGACGAACTGTGGTAGTCACGGTGGTGTCAAGGCCCGAAGGATACTGGGTCTCCACAATGGTTGTCCTGCAAGTCAATGTGTGTGTCTTGGTAGAATGCTTGGTGGCGTTTTGAGTCTGCACTCTGAAGCTGGTGGAAGTCACCGTCTTCTTTATCGGCATATCTTCAGTGCAGTACACTCCCAGAGGATGTGAAAACAGGCGAGCGTCTTTGCCGATCTTTGAAGTTTTCGCTTTTCCGTCAGGGGATTCCATTTCCTTTGAATCACCAATCGCCGTAAAGCCTGGCTTTCTTGAGATCGTCACATCGAAAAAGCTGGTGGTCGTGATGGTATTCTTGTTCGTCATGGTCTTGGTCGTGGTTTTTGTTCGGTTAACAAGTGTCGGCCCTTGATGATACAGTCAGCTGTAATAAATAGAAACGTATGAATTATGCTATGTACTGGTAACCGTGATGGTAGCTATCGTGGCTTCGGGGCTTGCAGCGACTGTAGCCAGCTTCGTGATAGTTGCTCTGATGGTGGTTGTCGTGGTGTTGCGACGGACAGTGCTGGTCCGTTGGCTGATAATCTTGTCGGTCAAGGTGAGCGTTTCCACCCTGGTGCTTGTGCTGGTACGAAGGACGCCGACACTACTTGATCCAAGAGAGGTTTCGCAATTACCCTGGGCGACGCTCTTTGCGCTTAGGGTGACAATGCCCAGGAACAACCCTAGGGCTACCATACTGTCGAGGATCGTAGCAAGGCCGATAATGGCAGAAGGATCTCCGCGTGGAGGGTAAGAGGCGAGTCACTTACTGATATACAGCGCCATGACAGAGTTCGGTGACTTCGCCAGCAAGGTTACAGCCGAATTCATCATAGAAGGGAGGAGATGTGGGTGTATGCTTAATATCGATTGCGTTGAGACTCCAAGCCTCTTTACGCCGCAACCTTGCAGCCACTTTCTTGGGAATAAGCGACAAAGGTGACAAAACAATTATGATAAGCGATATGTTACTACAGAAAGGTCCAAGCAATATGCCCGAGCACCAGGCCTTTAGGCTCATAGTCAATCTTCATCTCCCTCCAAGTCCATATCTTCGTCTTCACTTGAGAAGTTTCTTTCTCTGCCATCACCTCTGTCATACCGCCATCTCTCACAAACCTCGCATTGTTCATAGTGAACGTTTCTTTGCTCCTCGGTATAGTGATATACGCATTCGCCCTGGCTGACATGGTACTCATCGCAACAATACGACCTGAGGCATGTTCCGAGAAAATACCTACCATGCACATTGTCAAGCTCCAAAAGATCTTGGTCCGCGACAGTCCAACCACAGTTATCCTTCAGCCACTCAGCTGCAGTGTTATGTGCTCTCACCTGGGCGTATGCTACAGAATTGATCAGTTGTTGACGACCACGGCCCGTTGTAACAGCGCCGTGATGGACCAGTAGTGCCAGCGTGTCAAGCCTGCCATGCTCTGCCGCTCCTTCTAAAGCTGATCTGCCAAGCCTAGCCGATCCTCGTACATTGATCCTGGCACCGAGTTGAAGCAGATGTCTTGTGAATCCAAGGCACCCACCTATTGAGGCGAATTGGAGAGCAGTTGCGCCTTGGTAGAAGGCCGGAGGGGCATTGACCTTTGCTCCCTTTTCTAGCAGGTATAGTGCCATATCTATATCGTTTTTCTTCGCAGCGAGCTGGAGGGGCGATAGTTGTTTGGCTGTGTTGAACTTGGATGCATGTATGTCGAATTCATTGACATCTGCCCCCACTTCCACCAAGTATCGCGTCACGTCATGATTGCCCTTGTCGATTGATTTGCACAATGCCGTCTTCAACTCTATGTCGTGCTTTGTAGAAGTGCCGAATCCGGTACCAAACTCTCTCAGTAGATGCAAATAGTCGGATGATTTCTCACTTTCCGCCACAATGCTCCAGGCTATGGTATCCATACAGCAACCGCGCCGAAGGAGTTCCCTGAAACCGGAAGTATCTTGTCCTAGAGCGGCCAGTGTAAGAAGACTCCCTTCGATATGAATATGTTCACCTTCTTCATTGGGGGGTGTACGCCAGAAACCTGCCCGGTTACAGTGCTCGTTGTATACTTCTATATTATCTAATCCGAAACGGACGGGGAGGATGGCCGAAGTTAGGACTGAGTGGCGGGAAAATCGGGTGAGAAACTTCTCCATGATTGTCAGCTGGCCCGACTTAGCAGCCAATCCCACGGCGGTTCCCTCCAGGAGGTGACAGCTTGTCGGTTGGTGAGCCCGTTCAAAAAGCCTTTCAACAAGAGCCCAATTCTGTCGTTGTATTGCCGCACAGAATGGCCCTGCATCAATCGCGAATTCTTGCATTTCCAGAGCTTCTTGGAGTGATGGGTCGTTACGTGCCTCTATTTCGGCCTCCAGGCAACCTCGTCCCGTATTGTCAATATCGGTCAAAGTTCCGCCGTGTTGCAAAAGAAACAGCAGTAGGGGTTGATCTCGAAGACAAATAGCTCTAACAACTTCTCCGCCAGTCATCTGAGCTCCTGCTTGTATCAAAAGCTTAACAGTGAGACGTCGTGCCACTCTTGTGTCTTCATAGTCGAAAGGCAGACAACCATCGGTTTGATCCTCTTCATCGAAAAACACAGAGCTATCAGTTCGGCCTTTCTGATTATCAGGGTAGTGAAAATTCATGGCACATCGAAGGGCGGTGCGTCCGTATCCATCCTCATCGTTTGGATCACCGCCAGCACTAATTGCTTCCTTCAAACCTTTGTGGAGGCAACGACTTGAAAGCCCGGCCACGTCCTTGGAAGAGAGGATAGCTTTGTTCTGAATCATCTTTATGACGCTTTGCTCCCTTGAATTAAACTCAGTTGCCGAAACAATTAACATAGTCAGGATCGTGGAGGGACGTCTAGGATAATAATAAAGGGAATTGCTATACGGGCATGACATTTTGGCTACACGGGCATGATTCTTACACGGGCATGAGTTTTGTAACATCTGATTCGCTAGATTTCCGCTGACCCATAGATACATCCCCGCAAAGGCGGTGAAACGAGCTTCGCTAACAAGAATTCCTTTTCAGTGTAGAAGCAATTTCTGTAGGTCGGGCCAGCCCCCTTGAACAGGTCTTGCACAGGCGTTAAAATAAGGTCTTGTTTTCCATACAGAACAAGGCCAACTCTATTACGCCCTCGAAGGTGGCTATCTACACCTCTATTTCCTAACTGTTATACAAGATAGAACCTCCTCGTCGCTCTGAACCATCTCCCACTGACTCCTTCGCCTCCGGATGCTTGGTTGTGTCGATACTTGTCGCGGTGCTAGTAGCTGACTGTGGTCTATCCGGAAGTAGCGGTGGGCCGAACCTGGCCGGTCGGATCTGTCGCTGTCGTTTTCGAGGGCATGATTGATTGCTCGGGCTAGGCCTTCGGGTTCGGAGTCTTGAATTGCTCTCTGAGCTGTAAGGAGGCTCGGATTGGGACATAATGAAGGTTTTTGTCGTCAAAGGCTGGGAAACTAGCAATGGAAAGCCAATTATCTGATGGAGAGCGTCGCGTCAGTCAGTAATGGATGAAAACTCAAGGTACAAATTAGAGCTGTCGGCAGAACGGAGATGTGCTAACAAAAGAGGGTCCTCTCCAATCAGATTTTACAAAAGTCATGCCCGTGTAAGAATCATGCCCGTGTAGCCAAAATGTCATGCCCGTATAGCAATTCCCATAATAAATGTGCGGGATGTTAAGGTAAATGTACAGTGCATTACCGTGCAAGCAAGGTCGGGCGTTATGGTTGGCTCCATAGTCAATGAGTAGTTGTAATACATCAACCTTGGCCAGAAGAGCCGCGACCAGGGCCAATGAGGATGATGCACCTCCGTATCGTCCGAGAAGATACCTGCACACGGTTGAGTCGCCACCCACTACTGCTGCCTCTAGAGGTGTAATACCAGATGCATTACAAGTCTTTCCGGAACTATACATTTCGTCAAGTCGCAAGACGATGTCATAATGTCCCCCATAGGCTGCGGCTATGCAGGCATCTGCCAGGATTGAAGGCGCTGGCTGGTCTTTGAGACGAAGGTAGTCTAGCATCAAATCTGCCATCCTGCCTCCAGCCTGGAACGCCATCATGAGAGCTGACGGATTTGCAAAGTGAGTGTGTCTTTCAAGGATGTTCCGATCATTTCGATGCTCTGGGGGTAGCCATGAAGTCTCATAGCTTGTAGCATCCGCGCCACACTGTAGCATCTTGCATATCAAAGCTTCATCGCGCAATTCGATTGCTGCTCGAAGCATTTCATCCCTGCTGAGAAACTTATGATCAAATAACAAGTTCAGTACCCGCAATTTTCTCACATCCGAACATCCACTTCCTAAAGCCAGGTTGACAAATGCTCCTTCATGAGCCCTACATTGAGGAACTTCAGCGCGAGCGCGAAAGCGAAGAAGTAACTCAATAAGCTCTAGGTAACCGGCATAGGTTGCATGCTGGATAGGAGTGGCCAAGAATAGAGTGTTATATAGGAACACCTGACAATGGCAATTAGGATCCTGCCCTAGCTCCAAGAGCCATGTGATAAGATGTAGTGGTCTTGGTCTCTCTGTGTTGTGTTTGGATCGTGAAGTCGCCTCTCGAATCTCAAACTGAAACAGCATCTCGATAAACGCTCGGAAAGTCGAGCTCTCGTTTCGAAGTTTCTTCAAGTCGGCCCGGAGGTCTATAATCCCAATTCTCATAAGGCTGGTATAAAAGTCCAACTGTCTGTGGTCGTGGACCATTGAATTTGATAGCATATAGACCATAACCTTGAAGTATTCGGAGAAAGATTCAGCAGTTGGACGAGCGAACAGATTCTGAGCAGTCTTGGTGTGTTCTCCGGGATACCATTCTGGCATAACATTGCTGATACCTGTTATCAGCTTTGACAGTGAGATCGATAAGGTTTCCCCGCTTTGAGGGACCAAGACTCCCATCATCAGTGATAGCGCAATATTGGCTCGATCCCTTTGATGTACTGTCAATACCTTCGAGCTGGAAGCGTTGATTGTGACTATCAATACATGTAAGAGAGAATGGCTACCCTTTCCTTGGGTTGACCTACTATTCCAAGAGGTTTCTCGCAGACGGAGCCACGGGAGGTCCGATGGCCACTCGAAGCTCATCTGAAAAGTTGGTGGAGTACAAATGCTAAGCTGTGGATCCATCGGAGATGGAGGGGCTGTTATACTCTGTGTTAGACTTGACGATTGAGTATGAATTATACTAACGTGTTTTGAAGCGGGCCATGATGTTCGTTTCTCGATGACGATTCGTCTCTTTTGTGACCTTGAGCTTTTTCAATCTCCTGCCACAGTGTATGACATCGCTGTCCTTTCCCTCATGCCTGCGCTTGCGAATCTTTCGATCAACGTACTGCCATGTCTTTTTGTCCAGGTTCTTGGAGAAGTTCCATCTCTTGAGCTTCGTTTCAAGATGCCCTTTTCTGGTACCAGGTTAGAGATCTTATCACAAAGCGAGCCTATAGTATACAAACGTTGTGTACAGTCCTTGAGCTCTCAACAAAATCATCAAATCTTTGAGCGACGTATCTTTGACTAAATACTCATATTGAATGAAGTCCTTATACGCTAGCCAGTCCGCCTCACTTGGCTTTGATGTTATTGCACTCATCAGAATGATCGAAGTGCGATAATGTTGACTTGGATGAGGTATCACGAAGAACTGTATCGCTCGGAGATATAGCGAGGAAAAGTAGACAAAGATAGTTGAGTTGATGGAAGAGAGACAATCGAAAATGCTGACCGTGGGTATCGTTGACTCTTGTACGTGCCCAACGAGGCTCTGCGTTCCTAGTTCTGATTCGTCTAATCCAGAATCTGAGGGGCTTAGGAAGCTGGTAAGCCTCATTCCAAGTTTAGCGCCTAGCTCCAGGTCCTTTTATTGGCTCTCTCCAAAATCTCGTCCGGGGGACGCGTTCTGCATGAAATTGTATGATTCGAATTGGGTCTCATTCGTCAGGTCCATAATCTTGCTGAAGAGTACGTCACAACACGAAAAACAAGTCAATTGGATCAATCCAGAATCTTGACCCCACAGTATGTTGCCTGACTTCATGTGACAGACTAATGCTAAAATGTTCGAATGCGGTTTCACTGGTGTCTCCATTTACAAGCATATAAACAAGCCAGGTTCACCATGGCCTGTTTACAAGAACTTAACAACATAAGAAGGAGGTCCTCTTCTGGAAAGAGTCTTTTTAGTTATACACTACTTCAAAGACCTCCCGCAAAATGAAAACTGAGATCATTGTCGCGATCGTTAGCTTGGTAGTTTCTCTTCCACCGACACTTTACGCTCTTCATGCATGGTACCGACGACGCTCTCGCTCGGCATGTGAGTATATAAAGAATATTCGTGTTCCGACAGAGCTAATTTGAACCTTGATGCTTGCTCTAGGTTACCCATCTCACGGGATGCATCTCTCAAGACGCCGTTCGGAACTCTTTTGCTCCGTACATGAGCAAGGTATCACACTAGCACTGCGATTTGAAGACGGTCTACCAATTACCTTAAGAGAACCAATGCTTAGAGGATCAAACACTAGCACGGCGTTGAGCTGTTGATTGAGTGGAGTTAAGATCATAAAAACTCAGATGAGAGGCTGGAACATTCGGTCAACAAGATAGCATTCGGCAGTTATCCTCTATGGATAATCGGTACACTGGATATATCAGCGCATGCAATGGGCATCCTTTTGTTGTTACTAGCAAATTTGTAACCTCTGTAGATTATTATCGCGGAAACTTGCTGCAAAACATGAATCGGTTAGCGTCGGGATCGACATGCTTATACCGAAAAGGATCGCTCGCTTATGAATCGGTGATTATCAAGCTGGCTGGACTTGTAGTGGATGCTGAACCATTTAAGACAAAGAGAAATACTTCCTGGACCTGGGTTATGCTTGCAAGGACTTTGCGAATTGCATTTTGTGGCGGACTCATTACATGATCCCAGTGGGCACTGATAAGGTATGACACTACCTCCAAAATGTCAATTTGCGGGGTCAACATGAGTCACTTACGCCCTTGCAGTGATTATTTTGACAGTCAATAAGTACTGCTCATCAGTTCATAACTCAATCTTGTGTCACTCCCAACAAGTAAAAACCAAAACACGCGAATTGCAATGACTTCTCTCACGAAAACTACATATCAGGCCTTTGCATCGGCAAGGGCCCAGGGCAATCCGGCAGCTATTATCGTCCTGCCGAAGCCCGATTCCAGCACGGAGATTGCTGATGGCGAGTTCCCTTATGATCTGTTCCCTCCGGCCTCAAAGCTTCAAGAGACAGCGAAAAGCATCAATCTTCCAATGACGGCATTTGCACTGCCCCTCGATCCAGAGAATGAGTCGGCGAAAGCTCACTATGCTGTTCGGTGGTTCAATACCGTCAACGAAGCGCCGCTCTGTGGCCATGCGACTCTGGCCCTATCGCAGCACCTGTTTAGTACTCTTCCTAATGCGCCGCAGACACTGAGGTATCTCACCAGGCTTCATGGTGTTGCCTCTGCTTCTCTCAACCAGAGCCCGTTTGAGGATGCGAAGCTGGTTGGTATTGAGTTTCCAGAACTTGTTAATCTTCCTGGCGTGAAGAAGGATGGCAAGCGATGGGACGAGTTGAAGGGCCTGTTTGAGGGTGCAAGTGGTTCCAAGTGGGAGGGTAAAGGAGAGCCGGTTGGTGTATTTGAGCAAGATCAATATTTCTTGCTGGAATTCAACCCTGAGCTTGACCTGAAGGCTCTGAAGTTCGATGCCTCTAAGCTGGTAAGTTCATCGCTGTCGTGGAGAGCACACAACTAACATTGCAGGCGTCTCTCAATGGCTTCATCTACATGTTCCAAGTTTCAACAAGCTGTTCAGAGCACATCCATACTCGAGTGATCAACTGCATAGCTGGCAACAATCATGAAGACGCCGCGGTACGTATTTTCGTCTTTCAAATAGGCATTACTAATATCATCAGACTGGCTCTGCTCATCGCGCCATCATCCCTCATGCCTTGTCAAACGCTGAGACTACTGCGCGGCTCAAGCAGTACCATCCAGACTTTACTGGAAACACGCTACGATCTTTGCAGCAGTCCAAGGAAGGTGGCGAATTGACTGTTGAGTGGCTCCGGGATACAAAGACTGTGAGGATCATGGGTAATGCTTCGCGCACTGGCGAGACCAGTATCGAGATATGAGCGGACCAGGGCGGATCGGAAATGACCCGCAGTAAGCTTCAGCGGGATGAATAGCCGCATTCAGTCGCTATGGTTCGCCCAATACTACATATGCCGGATGTGGTAAAAGGTGATCCGTTATCCATAATAGACTCAAGTCCGAATTTTGTATATGGCTTTCTCAGGAGGGTATGCCAGCGCGAGAACCTGAGTTTCCGTTCTGAATACTAGCCTGGTCAACGAATCTCGCAGCTGATAAATCGCATGATGACCGTCTGACTCACGCCGCTCTTTACTTTTAGGCTAATTCCTTCAGTGTATCCTCGGGATTCAGAATTATCCGAGTGCAACTTGCAACTCAATTTATAAGAAGCGAAAGACATTTCGCAAGACTTACAAATCTGGAACTAAATGAGCGTTTATCAGTCGTCAACTACAGTTTAACATAACGGCCAACAATGGAGTTTAAGCCAACCAGGAGCATTGTACACAATGAAGGATGCGACCTTCACTACTGGTATCAAGGATCCGGGCCTCTCATAATTTTCGTCCCTGGTGGGAATGGCCACGGACGGCAGTTCAACAACATAATAGCCGCTGTATCTGACCGCTTCACCTGCGCGACCTTTGATCGTCGCCAAATGTCAGCAAGTCAGGTCCCCGTCAACAAACGCTTAAGTCCTCCCCAACAGGCTCGAGATATCCGCGCAGTCATCAAAGCTGTTGGCTTCGATAAAGCTATCATCTTTGGCAGCAGTTCCGGTGGTACTTTTTCATACCAATTCGCCCATGACTTTCCCGAAATGGTCGTTCATTTGATCTGCCATGAAGCTGGTCTTGCAATGCTTCTACCCGACGCAACGCAGATAACAGAGTGGATGTACGGTCTTCTACACACTTTCGAAACGCAAGGCCAAGAAGCAGCTGCCGAAGAGTTTGCGAAATGTCTCCTTGGTTACGACGCTGAGGGCATTCCCAAGCCCGCATCGCCTGAAGCAAGCAACCCCAAGAACTTTTGGGAATACGAATGGGCGCCGTTAATTGGATACTGTCCCAACATGTTTCGAATCAAGGAACACGGTGTAAGTGTTGGCGTTATGAGAGGTGTGCGATGTAAAGATGCTTTTTACGCGAGAGCGATTGAGGAACAGGCCAAGATCTTGGAATGTCCTAGGATGACGGTGCCTGGGCATCATGAAGGGTTCCAGTGTGAGACAAAAGAGTTTGTCCCGTCACTTTTAGAGATGCTTGATATTTTGGAGAAGAGAAAGTAGCTACATGTTTCTGAAAGCCTTACTAATGAATGGTTCGTAGATTTCTCACTAAGATCCTCGTTAGACTCTGCTACTGAAAGCTCATGATATGATACATAAACTCTCCTCTACCCATTTTCGCGACCAATAACCTGCTAAGGCATATGCGAGGCCCATTTAGTAGTGCTTGATGGGCGATAAATATCTCACCACGGGATATTCCTGCAGACACTTCCACCTATAACAATAGCACAGTGTCCTGCAGGCCACTTTTATTCAGCTGCCTATCTATGGGTCTGATCGCCAGTAGACCCTTTATTTGATTAAGTTTTTCAACGGTGGGCAGGAAAAAGAAGTGGCTATCTCACAGACCCCATTTCATGTCTGTGAGTCTGACGTGGTCGATAGAGACTCCATTTTCAGCTTGTTGTTGAACTTTTGCCTACCGATCAGGGCTGGCTTTTGTGATTTGATGCGAACTGACGGTAGTTACGACGAAGCCACTATGGGCGGCCCGCTTCTTGGTAGAAGGATGAGCAGCACATATATAGTTCAGCATTTTCGTAGCAGTAAGAGTCTAGGTCTTCATAGTACATTCGACTGGATTCCTTCATTTAGTCATGATGGCTGCACAACAACCGAACGATAATCCAGTCACTTTAAACCAGCCATGCAAGTCTTGCAAAGTCCTCGAGTTCGATGATTCATCCTTCGGTGGAGAGTCTAAGGCCAGTGATGATGGAACTCCCTTATCTATGCTGATAGAGCAAGACTACTTTTGACAGCGAGAGTGTTCAAACCACCTCACAGAAAGAACGGAGAGATCTGGCTCAAGCACTCAGACGAGTACTGGAAGCACATGAGCGTCCCAACTTTCAACTACACGCTCCGCTCCACAAGAAAGAGTTTCATGGCTAAGATCCGGTTTTACTGGTATAGTTCCTGCGCTCTTAACGACAAGGGGTACCCGTGGGAACCTTTGGGGGATACTTCACTGCTGCTGACGGCTAGGGTCTTCCCTGGTGATGATCCAATGATGAGAAGTGTGATCTACCTGATGATCAGGAAATGCTCCTTGGGGTTGTCTTTAGGCCTCTCCAGAGGAGGAGGGCGCGTATGAGAAGCTGGGGCTTTGGTATACGGAGGATAGAAAGAAGGGCGGTAAGAAGTTCCGGAAGTTTCGATGCAGGATATTGTACTTGTTTAGTTGTTGCATGAGGTTGGTTTTGGGTGTATCGACCGCTAACCTTGTTCGAGACTCCCACACGGGCACTAAAATTCACTTGACAAGGAGGCAACTACATAAATGGCGGTTAAGCATCTTGGCAATGTTCAAGCCATCGTGACACTAAGAAGTATTGGGTGAGTCTCGGACCATCTCGTCTTGTTAATACTTGGACCTAGAGGTTCATTCACCGCCTCCTACGACATTCTTTGACGAATGTCAATGAACCCCCAACAGGCAACGAAAGCGCATGCCCAGAAATACTGGCAGAAGGCCGATCCCAAATCCTTGCCCACGTCATCCACGGCAGATGAACCTCTCTCCTCAAACCCAAAGAAACAGTTCCTGATTCGCTCGCCAAATACCTTCCAAGACGATGGTGCTTTTCCGCCACGGCGTCATACCGGTTTTTGGTAATTCTACCGGCAGATCTGCTACTCTATCTGCTTTTCCGTACAAGCTCCTACCACTCTAATCGCAAGAGCGCCAATCACAAGCGTTGTATTGAGCGTTGCCATGGTCATTTGCCAACCTTGTTTTTAAACTACGCTGATCCCCCGCATCTTCTTTCCCCGTGGGGGAGTCTTGGCGTGGGAGCCGATTTGCATAAAACCTGGCGTCTGCTCTGTTCTTCAATCCATTCAGCATTTTATATCCATTATTGCCACTAGAAGGAAATTTTAACGAAAATGGCGACATCATTTCCCCAAAGTCCAGGAGGCCATGACCATAAACCCGACGATACAGCGCGTAACGAACATATTGAGCGTGCGCTTGACAACGTTGAGTCCAGACCAAACGATGACGCCATATTTTCCAAGTTTCCCAAGATGGATAAGGTAGATGAGTTTGGAGCCCATGCGAAAACGGACCCGAGAGAAATTGCGCTTGTTAAGAAATTGGATAAGTACATTCTGGTAAGAAGTCCACTATGCCATTGGAATGTTTCCTGTTTCTGACTGGCGATGGAGCCTATGCTATGGTTCATGTACCTGTTCAATTACCTCGATCGCAATGCCCTCGTCAATGCGCGGCTTAATAGCCTTGAGGAGGATCTTGGACTTGTTGGGACGCAGTACAATACTTGCGTTTCGATTCTGTTTGTCGGATACATGTAAGTTCAATCACCATCACTTGCAGAGGGACCGACAGCTAACGCATACAGTGCCGGTCAAGTTCCGAGCAACATGCTCATCAACAGAGTCAGACCATCTTGGTACATGGCTGGCTTCTGTCTCGCATGGTCCGTAGTCAGTCTGGTGACCTTCTTGGCGAATAGCTATGGTAGTATGGTTGCCCTTCGCTTTATCCTTGGGGTGACCGAGGCACCAGTAAGGACTCTTATTATTCATGCAGATTTAAGATGTTATCTGACCCTTGATAGTTTTATCCTGGAGCTTTGTTCATTCTTAGCATGTTCTATACCCGCAAAGAATTGGCTGTCCGACTGGCCATCTTTTATACGGGCAACATGATAGCCAGCTCTTTTGCAGGCCTCATTGCTGCTGGAGTCTTTGCTGGTCTTGATCAAAAGCATGGGCTGGCTGGTTGGCAATGGTACGTAGCACACTCAACATCCTTTCACCACGCTCACCATGATACAATAGGCTCTTCATCATCCAAGGCGCTCTGTCAATTCTCACCGCCATTCTAGCATTCATCTTCCTCCCAGATCATCCTCTGACCACCCGCTGGCTCTCAGAAGAGCAACGACAGCTCGCATACAACCGCATCTACACCGACACAACAGACGTTCGAGAAAAGACTAGTGTCTGGATCGGTCTCAAAGAATCTGCCTCGGATTGGCGAACATGGGCACTTTGTCTCATGTACAACCTCCATCTGTCATCGGTCGGCTTCCAGAACTTCCTTCCTACCGTCATGAGAACTCTCACCGATAGCAATACCATCGCTCTAGTCCTGACATGCCCGCCATATCTCCTCGCCGCTGGGATTGGAATCGCCATGGCGTGGACGTCAGGACGCTGGAATGAGCGCACGCTGCACATCACCATCTGCAAATGCATTGTCATGGTCGGTTTCATCATTGCCGTCTCAACACTGAACATAGCTGCTCGGATGTTCAGCATCTACCTCTTCGTCGGTTTCAGCTTCGGCATTAATAACATCATCCTTGCCTGGATCAGTGCAACGGTCGGTCAGACGAGCGAGAAGAAGGCTGTGTCTCTTGCGATTTGCAACACGTTTGGTAATTTGGCTCATGTTTATACGGCTTATTTGTGGCCTTCGTCAGATGAACCACGGTACACGACTGCTTGGGTTTCGAGTATTGCATTTTCGCTTGGGGTTGTCGTTATTGCGTGGGGGTTGAGGTTCCATCTGAAGCATTTGAACAAGAAGACGAGGAGAGATCATCCGGAGGTTACGAACTTTTATGTTTATTGAAGAGTTGGTGTTGTGTACATTATGCATGTTGTGCAACCGAACGGATGAAAGCCGATGGTTATGCATCATCCACAAATAATTTCGGGATTTGTCCGATAATGGTCTTTCGCAAACTCGAGGCAATGAAGCCGTGGATAAAACCTGTCTAGCGTATATGCCGCCAAGTACTGAGTTATTCTTGATGAAAGTACTCCTTGGGCTCTCTAATTGTGATGGCCAATCGCATCATTCTGTCCTCTTGTTTAAAAGTGAGTGAGTTAGAACAGCTTGGCGTCAATTATCTGTAGTTCAAATTCTCAGCTGGCTGTTTCGCCAGAGTCCGACAACAGGCATTTCTCTATTTTAAAAACTCCTAGTATAAAGATTCCCAGTAGGTAAGCGATACTCTTACATTCTTATAAGAAAAGAATTGGCAGGCGATGAGAGTATCAAGTGCATGAGCCGACATCTCGACTTGAAGTTGAATACCCTGCATCCGCACCCGTAAAAGATGAGTGCTTATCTCATCTCATCATCTCAGTGACGTCAGACTTGGCACGACTCGCACCAAGAAACGGTTACGCTGAGACGTGACTCAGGTGAAACAACAGATCACGATGCATCGCGATGACGACGGGTAAAACACCAACTCCATGCTAAATTCTAAAATGCAACGCTGTACACAAATCTATGATGCTACGCTAACTCTAAACCATGTATTGAATCGTCCGTCTCTGCCGTCTCTTCTCCTGCTCCTCCCTCTCCCTCTCGTCATCCTCGGACGAATGATCCCCAGAAAAGACAGCAAACTCGTTCCTCGCCAAAATAGCAGGTGGGATCTCACCAGGCAAAATTCCGTTCTCGTCGACAGGCCTGCTGAAGCGGTTGAACGCGATAAAGTTATCTTCATCAGCGGCGATCGCGTTGACGGGCGTCGCTGAGGTGAATGACTTTCGGCGGATGGAGATGGCGTCGTCTTGGATAGGCTCGACGCCTCTCTTGCGGTAGACGAAGTCGAGAAGAGGAATTGAGAGGCCGTGGACGACGATGGAGAAGAAGACGAGGAAGTAGATGACTGGACCGAGTGCGGCGAGAAGATCACGCTCTTCTTGGTCTGCGTCTTCGGGATGGGGAAACAAGTGCTTCATGTGCTCAAGGTAAAAGACGGCGCCGACGCCAATAGGCCCGAAATAACCCATGAACAGCGCCTCCTTATAATCCTTGACAACAGCAGGCATGGCCTTGTACAGTAACAAAATGGCCGGGATGCGTCGGAACGCAAGGACCATGAAGCCAAGACCGATGAGTCTGGGCAGCGTAACGCCAGTGCCGTCGGGGTCGTGGAATGACTCCCAGGGAAGAACAATGCCGATAAACATGAAACCGCCAAAGTTGAGGAGCACGTCGATGCAGTGGTTGACTTCATCGTGGCGGCGGTGCGTCTCGGCGAGGAATTCGCCGTCCCAGTTGAGCATGTTGCCTGCGACGGTGCAGGCGACGAGATCGTTTGTGCCGATGGCGCCGGTTGTGCCGATGATGAAGAGGCCGAGGGCTGCGGGGAAGAGGAGGTAGGATTCTTCATCGACCCATCCTCTGTGAAACGTTAGCATTTATTCTTAATCGTTGATGGAGTGATTGAGACTTACCGACGCATTGCGTACTTGATGGCCTTGCATGAAGTGAAACCGACGACTGCACCGTAGGCGATACCCATGGCGACGTAGTAGAGCCAAGTCTCGACAACCCAGTTCTTCATGGCCTCGCCGATACCACCTCCGAGACGACCGACTTCCTCACTGGCACGTACAGCAAGGTGCGCAGCTTCGGCACCACTCTGCTCAGGATGTTCATATGCGTGTCGCATCAAGTAAACAGCAAGCATGAGGAACGGGAAGCCTATAGCCGTCAGTAACCCAATCAATCATTGCGACGAAATAAACATACCGAATCCATCGTTGGCACCAGCTTCAGACGAAATGATCTCTCGAAGGTGTCGCGAACCATACTTGTCCGCAAAAGGACCCTTTGCAACAGCTTGTGAAAGGACAGGGTCGGTGCATGTAACGCACGATGCGAGGGCCAGTGCAGCAAGAAGACTAAGCTTGGGAATGGTAGCAAGAATGCAGCCCGTTGTTAAAAGCCACATGAGGGTCATGATTGGCAGCAGACACATGAGCAACTCTTTCCAGCGAGTCACGTTGTACTTTGCTGGCAGCGAGTAACCAGCGATGACGAGCTGGACACCAATGACAACTCGCATCAGGCCCTATAGAGGTCAGTCACAGGGCATTATAGCAGTGTCGGTGTCACTTACCAGAGCAATGTCCTCAGTCTGACCAGGCTCTGCCGAACCCCATCTCTCGCTATCGAGAAACTTGGCTGATACGGGTCCAAGAATGATGCCAAACACCATAGCAGGCACTACGCACCAACACCATCAGTAACCATCAATCCGGAATGATCAGTATAACTTACAAGCTTCTCCAAGGTACCATGACTGCTTGATCTTCACAGAAATGATACCGTACAACGCCATGAAGCCACCTGCAAAAACTCTGTCAGAACGCCAAGGCTCGCCAAGATCTGGGCAAATCACCACCAAGAAATGCCCAGGAAGGAATCGTACTGACCCAAGACTCCCAACACGATGTTGAGCTCACTGAGGTTGAGGACTGGCATTTTGGCGTCAAGGATGTATGCAGAATCACGTAACTAAATGTTTGGGATTCAGAAGTATATAGTCTTCAGGTGTTCCGGTTTGTTGGTTCAATTCTCTGAGAGAGCATGAATTGAAGAGATGTTGGTGATGGTGCTGTAGGCTTGATGACAGAGAGGATTTGAGGAGGATGTGTACCAGACACTATCCAGAGAAAAGTCAACAAGCCCTTCGAGTACGAAAACTCTGCAACAGCGAGTATGTTCTTTACCAACAGAACATAAGAAGCAAACAAAAACGAAAAGGTTGCGCAGAGTCAGGTCAAGATCAGGAGGAAGAGGTTCTACAATAGTGGCGTTTGGGACACAGTATGCAGGGCGCAGAAAGCTTTTTGTACAAAGAGGAACGCGGGGGAGAGAAAAGCGAGATATCAAGTTTAAAGCTGGGGGAGGGAAAATGCCTCAGATTCTTTTCTAAACAGAAGCCAAGATTTACTGACGGTAGAAGACAAGGGGAGATGATGAGAGACAGTACTAAAACATGAGATCTGCGTGGGTGATTCAAGTAGGTCAAAGCTACCCAGGGCGGAAGCTAAAAACAGGATATCGGAGGAGGTTGTAAGCCAAGACAGAGAACAGGTGCTATAGGGCTCCACCGCCGCCGCGGAAGAAGGTGAGAGAAAGCCTGTCAAGCGACTCCGAGGGAAACATTACACGCCACCTGCCATTGTGTCAGGCGCTTTTTCCGCTCCGAGAGTGGGAGCTGCGGGATTTCTGATCCCGATGACGATATCCAGCTGAATCGTCCGCGTTTACGACGACTTGCGCTAATCTTGAGGCTGAACGCTTACGACGATTAGATGATCTCTTCTAACGCGTAATGTTTTTGATCAGCCTCAGTATTCCTCACAATCAAGATTAAAAAAAGAAACAGGCACCGCTCAGATAAATAAGATCGGCAGGGCAAAAGAAAACAGAACGAGGGATGGGGAGACACAGGCCGCTTCACAGTCGTAAGCCCCAAACGGTGGCCAAGTGCACCAAGCCCTTGGCTGTAAGAATGATTCGGTCAAGGGGAATCGTCGCCGTATTATTGAATGGCCAAGTCACCTGGCCAAGATATTACAAAGGGGGCGGCTTTCTTGGCTCGAGGTTGGCGGAGTATTGAGATTGGCGCTTGGCGCTTGGCGGCTACTTGGCGTTTAAGGTTATTTGTTAAGCATGCTCGCGTTATGCTTAATTAAAGTGGGCGCCTGGGTCTTGGGTGGTGCCGCCAAGCAGAGCCGCCAAGAATGTGAGGGCGACAGGTGATGGAAAAGTCGGGAGACGGGGAGACCGGTGAGCTTGGCTCGTGGTTTATGTGTCGTGTTTTATCGGAAGCTGGGGAAGTCAAGGTGAGCGGGCGGTTTTGTTGCACGAGTTGTTGTACTAAAAGATGGTGATACCAATCAAGTTGAAGGCTACGAGGCTTGAGGACGGTGATACAGATTGCCGATCGTGTTGCAGACTGATTTGGAATGCTATTGATAGAATTCCAGATATGCCCTAGATACTGGCAAGATAACAGAAGTTTTTTGATGATGGAATCAGGTAATCTGTCTTTGTCTTCCTGATGATCAGTGACTCAAAATTTCAAGACAAAGTTCAGGGTAAATGACATCAAAAGCTCCATCGAAGAATGGGTAAATCCACCTTTGCCATTCCGAAAGTCGCTGATCATTGGAATATCATGTTGACATGATTTTGAGAGGCAAAAAAGGTTGGTCAAAATCTTCGTCGAGGCTGCAAAGGCAGATCTGTAGATAATTGTCAAGACCGATCATGAAACTGCAGATGTGATCACCAAACATGACTGTACTGGTTACGAGTCGTGGCAGACTAAGAGGCGGGATGTCGCTGATCGGCACTTCCGCTCCGCTCAGCGTAAGTGGAATCATCGTGTAAACGTATCCGCGACCGCGGGATGATAAACATGACTGGGTTCGCGAGAGGGAAAGATAAGCAACTGATAAGAGGAATGGCCGTTCCGCTCTTATCCCGCTGGGTCACCTTTATCGATAATGTTGCCAAGAATTCATGGTTTTATCTAATCAATAATCTCTGAGACAGGCTTATCTGGAGACAGAGCATCTTGGCGGACTGAGTTATGGTCAAAATATCGTTTCTTAACCTTGCGAATTGAAGCTCTATGTATTACTAATCCATCACACGATTCAGAGGTACGAAACATTAACTAAATAAATATTATTATCTGCCGGTAAACATATATAACAAGCCTCCCATGAGTTCGTGGGTAGGAGAATCCTGACATCAATTGTTCAGGACTGTAAGCGCTTGAGAATGAAGTGAAACATGTCGGTGGTAAAAGAGAATCAAGCCACTTGATTGCCTGTTGATACGACTCTCGTAATTAGCCGATACGAAATGGCCAAAAAAAGTCCTTTGCTTTCCTCACGAGTATCGAATGTGGCAAGCTAATGCCGAAGTTGGCGACCCGGTAGTCAACCCTTCCGTTTCAACGTATCAATGCAGAACAGAAGTACACCCAGCTCCACCATAATTACAACTATTTGAGCGTTGCAGTGGCTCTCTCAACATTTGCAAAAGTGAAACTGTCAACATAGGAAGGCCTCCTGTCGAGAAAACTTCAAGTTGCACATGACTACAATAAACTTTGAAGGAGTGGATTGACGAGAGCCAGAACTTAGAACGCAGATGTACCTTTCCTTCCACAGCATTCCGCCAGCTAAAAACAGGAGGAGGCAAGCAGATGCAGTTGATTGGCTGTTATTTTCCTTCGAAGACTCAACGCTGAACTGCGCGTATGGAACTTCGAGTAGCGGTTTGAAGATTTGACATATGATCTTGAACTAGGCCTTTGCAATTCGATGGGGTGGCGCGTGCGGTTCTTGGCCAATGAGCTCTTCAGGCGCGGGAAACGTTTGAGTGGCATGCGATCTTTTTGCCATGAGAGCAGCTGACCCCTCTGTCCCACAAGGTCAAAGAAAGTTATCAGATCTTCACGATTGTTTCATTGGCAGATCTAGGTTGAACTCCAATGACGTATCGCCACATCTCTCCTTTGCATGTTGGTCCATGTGATGTGTCCTTTTAAGGTAAAGCAAGACCATCAAGCCAGATGTCCAATTCTTATCGACCTTCTCGCCCTACTGGCCTGACAGATCGAAGGTCTGCGCTTATTATGACCATAAAGGATGGAAGATACAAGTAGAAAAGGACAGAGTCTTGTAGCAAAAGTACCCGCTGGTAGATAGGGCATCAGCCCCAAACTTAATATTAATCAACCGAGATCTTTACCACAGTGATCTGGCCAACGAAGTGACATACCGAGGCGCTCGCGATAATGTACTCCGGTGAAGAATCTCATTTCATAAGTTCTCGCGGCGCAAGGATTCAAATCTCAAGACAGTATCGTGAAATTATACATACAAAGCTCTTTTCCCTGCCGAACAGACCTGTTGACTCCATCATGGCTAGAGTTACTACATCTCTACTCACCAACTGTACGTGATATCTTGCCCAGCATCGTAGATACGAAGACCATCATCGTCCTCGCGTTCGACCAATGGCCGGGTAACACATCTTGGACCCTGAGCACCTTACTTTGGATCCTCATACCTTTTGTCATATTCTATTGGACCTACAGTCCTACCAACTTGATGGCGCCAACTTGCTCCTCTTGTATTGAGTGACACGCAATGAAGTCTTGAGTTCGCCACTACACATTCCCCTTTGCAAAGAATACGTATTTGATAGCACTGCGACAAACACTACTACTTAAACCCCTGCTTCCTCCTCTACCCCCAGGAAACGGACTCAGAATCTCGTCTTCCTTAAGTACTCTCCCAGTCATCACTTCCCATCCCTACGACATCCCCATTCCCATTCCCGAACACTACCCTACCCAAGCGTCTCAAGCATAGTCCACACTACTTGAAGATGTACTCCCACCTCCTCTCCCAGGTCATACTCATTCTCGGGTTCCTAGGATGCATCGTCGCTGCAGCCCCTGACTGCTCGCACCCCTGCATCCAGTTTCCCCCAGGCCATCAAGAAGACTGGATCTGCCCTATCGGAATCCCCAAGCCTCGTTACCATAGCGGTAAATGGCCTACGATAGAGGAGGAAGCCTATGCCAAGGCACTCATCGGCCCTGTCTCCAAGCAAGATTCTTGCGGCTGGAAGGCTGACGGCCACCTCTGCAGAGCCGCCCAGAACACTCATGTCACCCTTAGCCTTGTCGCTTCAAATCCTCTCACCATCAAGGTCAAGGTCAATAACCACGACGCCTACCCAATCACCTTTTGGAAGAAGTACTCTCCACTCAGCGAGTGTGCTTTTGAACAGGGGTACTTCAAGATCACCCGAGGCCATCAGTTCGCTGCCGCTTACGCGCCCCCGCCAGAGGGGTACAGGCCAGATACTGCACCTGAGCTTGCTGTCATCAACCCTGGCGAGGCGTTGGAGCAAGACATTGTCCTGACGGATCCGAACCATGTCTTTCATCAGATGGTGAAGACTGGTGGCGACATTGAAGTCAGTATGTCTGGACAGTGGAATGGCTTTTGGGCTACGACTGCACCTGAGGTTATGAAGAGTGATCTGGGTTTTGCCTGCAAGAATATCTGGAGTAGTCTAGGCCTCAATTGGTCTTCGTCGAATAAATTGCTACTACGCTTCCCTAAGGATCATTATGTCTCCTCGGGGCCGGTACATGATACCCCGAGGTCTGAGTCTGAAGCCAGTCCGGATAGTGGGCCTACATATCCCAATAACTCGTCACCCGTCAGTTCCGATATTGGAGATGAAACGGAAGCAACTTCAACTGCAGAGTCATCTGGGCCTACGACTCCAAAGGATGAGGCTGAGCCTGAAGTGAGCTATGCTAGTGAGCAGCCAACCACAGAATCGCCAGAATATGTCAGTCCAGAAAGCAAAGCTGATTATTCTTCTACGGAGTCGCCAGCTTCTGAGTCCCGAGCCTCTGAGCCATCAAGATCAGTGAGTCCTGAGGATCTAGCTAGTGGGGATCCAAGTTCGACAATTGCCTCGCAGTTCGATACGGAACAGGTTTCGACTACACCTACACAATCTGCCGCTCTAGAGGAGCGCTCTGAGGAGGAAACCCATGCTACAGCTGCCACGCAAAACTGGACAACAATGGCCTCTACAACTGCTCAACCAGTCTTTGTCCGTTCGGCGGAAGGGGTTAGTGGTGAAGAGGATTGCAAATGCAAAGATTCCCTGAAGCTATCTGCCCGTTCAGCGGAGGCGGCTGAAGGTAGAGTGGACTGCAAATGCAGAGATCCTTAGAAGCTGTCTACCCGTTCCGCATAACGGGCTAGTGGTGGACAGGAATTCAATCGCCAAGAGACCCCGTATGATCAAGATGGTGATTTTGGATGCAAACGACGAAGGAGCTTCTATCGCGATCTCATAGACGGTGGAGGGGCGGAAGATGGAAAGGTTGAGAGAAGGAAGTTTAAATAGCTAAACTACGCCACCTACAGAAGAGTCAACATCTGGATGGAGAAACGCAAGGTTTAGAATATGACTACAGGAGACAGATAATAAGACTTTCCTTTTTCTCATATGATGTCTCATGCTTTTATAAACCTGAACTGCAATGGGATTAATTTTTACAATCGAAGTTGGGAGATGGCTGTAGAGCGAAGATGCTAAGGTAAAAATGCCAGAGACATGAGTAGATAAAAGTCTAGAAAGAATGGCCCAATAAGATCATTCATCGAGATCATTTAAACGAAAGCTTTTTCATTCCCCCCAGGCACCCTCTTGCACAAAGGCGCCGTAAGCAAGGTTACAGAGCCAGGACTACGAGGAATGAAAGATAAATTCATGTCAAATGCAAATGATTGGCAACCACAGTTTTCCCAAAGCTAATAGAAAATTACATACATCTACACGCATAGGCAAGCGCCGTGAGCTTTCCCCCATACCTGCAACTAAACTGTGTTTATTCGCGCAACAGCGACTCGAAAGTAATTGTCATCTATAGAAGCCCGCTATGGCTCCCAAATCAATGTATTAAGGAGCCCTTGCCTCCTTAGAATCCCTATAAATACCCCGTCTTCTCCCGGATTTGAGAAAAAAGAACTTGATCCTTTATTTAACAAAACAACTCTCTCACGCTCACACCTGCACTCAGCAACCTTTACCATCACCTCTACCTTCTTCTCCGTTATAGAAACGCAATCAACAACTCAAGTCTAACTTGACACCCCAAACCATTTTTGAAGATGCAGTTCCTCAGCAAGCCTCTCGTGGCCCTTGGGCTTCTCGGCTCTCTTGCTTCCTCCTATCCTATCCCTACACCATCTTTCACCACCTCTACCATCTCTGGAACATATCCCGTTCCACTTGCGACAGGTAATGCTGCCTGCCACGCTACCCAGCATGTCAGCCATCTTGGTACCCGCCATGCTAGCCATAAGGATAAGCATCATGGAAAGGATGACTCCATCGATTCCTTCGACCACTTTCATGACTTCGTCGATCACACCGAGAACACGGGAGTCCTCGCCGTGCAGCAGAAGCTGGCCAAGGGACTCGTCCCTGTCAGCTATATCTGCACAGGTCACGAGTACTGCGAAGAGGACACCCATGGCAAGAAGTTCGTTACCGGTAATCTTGGCAAAGCCCTCAAGAACGTCACCGTGTCCATGGAGCAAGTCAAGTCCTCTCCTCTCACCATCGAGGTCAAGATCACCAACAACAGCACCGGCCCCATCACCTTCTGGAAGGACCAGTCTCCAATTAGCCCTTTTGCCCACGACCTTGGCTACTTCGACATCAAGAGCGAAATTCACGGTGTCGTGTTCGGCGAGCGCACTTTTCCCAAGACCCGTGGCTACCGACCGGACAGGCGCAGTGACCTCGTCGAGCTCGGCCCTGGCGAGTGGACGAGTGCAAACATCGAGCTTCCGTTGTTCCCAGACACCGCTGAGGGTAAGACGTGGCGCAAGATGCTCGAGATGGGCGGCAACACCGCAGTCAGGATGTACGGAAGCTGGTATGGTGTCTGGGCAGCTACCAAGGGGATGGTCATGGAATCCGATATGGACTTCAGCGGGGATGGCTTCAACTTCTGGAATAACCTCTACATTCCGTGGGAGGCGAAATTTTCTGAGGAGTCTAAGAATTACCTGCCAGGGATGGGCTTCGGCATGGGCCTTGAGCTGGAGTAGACCTTTCTTGCAACATGGGAGAAGAATAGCTTGATTGGCCGAATACGGTAATCAACCTGGTATCTCTCCCAAGACACGTTGCGAGTTCGAGGAGAAACTACTCCTGGCCAACGTGTGCATTGCATCTTTATTTTGCTTGGCAACAGATGAGCCCAAGGCGATGCAGATTCAAGCATCTGGCATCATCGCGAAATCCAGGCTTGTGTTTTCTGTTACTTAAACATGAAAAAGGGATGAAATTGGATCAACGATACAATTGTCAGAATGTATTTAGCTAATAATACCTATTTCTCCACCAAAACCTTTAATACCAAGTTGATAAAGTGATATTAGTGGTGATAATGACAGGGGGCTTAGTTGTGAATGGTGTCATGAAAAACCGACTTAGGATCCTGAGCCACGTAACTAAATCCGTTTCGCACCTGTCATGCACAGTCGCTGGCACAGCAATAATCTTAAAATGAAGGCTCATCATAATTCGGCTGTTCTCAATTCAGCTTCATTAAGCAAGTAAGCCTTTTTTTTTATTAGCTTTTGCTTTTGGAAAAGAAAATTGTGGTTGAAATTATGACCCATTTCTCACGACCCGTAGTTTTGCCGACTGCACACGCTCCCTTGACCGCCCCCTTTTACCTCATTTTAATTTCCTTGACATTGAAGCCTGGGGCCTCATCACGTGTATTAAACTTTATTTTAACTTCATCTGTGCAAAGGAAATTTGTGGCATCATGTCGTGGCATTGTTTCTTTGGCGTTCTTATGAGAATGGCCTACTGTGGCTCCCGCCAAAGCATAGAGAGATCATTTGACCCTGTTCAGAATTTGCAGACGTCATCCATTCACCAATTAAGTTGCCTCCCCTAAGGCGCCACCGCTGGACACGAAACGAATGGCGATACTTTGACTCTTCGCCCTTTGATCAAAGTTTGGATGGAGTAAGCCCAGTGGAACGATAGCTTGTATGACATAACAGATGGTGTCGTAATTCATTAGAATGACTTATGATCCATTCGTCGACAATGCAGCTTCTTCCACATGTTATTCCCACATCCAGTAATCGTGGCACGGTTTAGAACACTTGAACTCTATAATCCTCCCGCTCTTCAACAGGTCTGATTCGGTCAGTTGAGTGGGATTGACTCAGCAGCATGACAAAACCAGATCTTTAAAGGCGCCACTCTTTTGCCTGCACCATCACTTCCTATATTCCCATTCGTTCCTGCTTATCACATAGGATCAGTGGCTTCCGTCCCCGCTTCTTCACACCGACCTCCTCAGTCATTCTTTTGTCTATAAGTACCACCTTCCCCTGCCAAAAGAATTCCAAATGCTACGACTCCAAAGACCTTGGCCAACACCTATGTCTTGCAAAGGTCACTCATCCTCTCTCTACCTCATCAATCATCGCTTCTCACAATGATTTTCAAACCTTTTCTCTCCCTCATCATCCTCTTTGGTCTTCTGGCATGCCTTGCCACAGCCGCCCCGCAACATGATTGCCAATGTTCTCGGCACAAAGGCTCCAATGGCAGCAGGGGCCTGAATGCCCGCTCACAAATGTTGCCTTCTCCATGGCCTCCAATTAAACCAAAGGCCCAGAAATATCGCCAAGACGACACCCTACTATTCTGGGACGGAAAGTCGCGGAAATTCAAATGCCTAGTCACGAGCTACTTCGTGAACCGCTCAAAATCGCCTCTGCGGCCTTTCATGAAAACCAAGATAGTGGACGCAGTCAATGACACAAAGTTAAAGGCGTGGAAATGCCCAAAAGGAGGACCAGTCATGAAATTTCCAAAGGGAAAGCAGGTCGAGAAGATCATCAAGTTGGACGAAAGAGATCACGAGAAGCCAAAAGAGCCGGAAAATCCGGAAAATGAAATCAGTTAAATAAAATGAGGCACGAAATCCGCACCTCGCTGGGTAGCATAGAGCTCAAGATCAAACAAGTCAGCAAAAGCCCGCCAACCATCAACGTCAAACTCATCAACGTGGCCTCTACAGGACCCGCCTCGGCAAAGATGGAAGCCCAATGGATAAGCATGCGTTCGAATGCGGGTTATTCGTCATTTCAGCGAACCGCCAGGACCTCAGAGACCGTAACGAATGGGGCATGGGGATGTTAGTCGGTGAATGATGCGGCCGATGGTATAGAATATGAGGATTGTAAAGCCGACATGGATTTCGAGTCGAACACTGTTGAGTTAGATTAATAGAAGGCCGTAACTACAAAAGGGTGCACCAGGGGCTAAGAGACGGCAATTGCTTGATACACATTCCCCTCCAATTATCTTAGCTCGAAAATAATTGCTTACCCTAAACCATCTTTTATATCCTGCGTGCCAACATCCGACGAGGGAAACCACGTCCGTGAAACCGCCTTGTAGTATGAGTGCAGGGGCGCAAAGAAGTTTTCATTGGGTTCCTCGAATAACGGAGCATATTTCAAGCGCAAAGTCCTAGTAGGTGGGGGTTGATGAATGCTATGGTGAAGTGGCGCTTCAGAAGACCTACCCTGTGGCGAGGGCGCAAAAGTGGCCGCGATATATAAAACAAGTCATCATCGAAGCCAAACAACCAGCTTCACCAATACTTCTAGCCACAAGATGAAGAACTCAAATGGCCAAGCAAGGCGGACGGCCGAGCTACGAATACATGTCACTTCCATCGGTCATCGAGCTGACCATTTTTTTGCTTAGAAGGCAGTTCAGGCTTTATGTTGGCTATTGACCCTCAATTAATCTCTCAATAGCACTCAAATCTAAAGTAAATATCTCCAAAACACATCCTAGGTAAGCTTCAAGATCTAAAACAGTACCCCTCATCCCGCAATCTTGACCAACCTCTCGACCCCACGATCACTTCGCTTGCTGCAACAACGCAAACCTCTGTCTCTCTCGCTCCGCCTCATACTTGGCCCAGCACTTCTTGCAATCTCTCCAATTTCCAACCGCCAGTGCTGCAACCTCATAGCAATCTGCCCACTCGCACTGCTTTACTTTCTTATCTACGGCTTTCTGGCAACGACTCACAGAAACCTCGGGAGGGAAGTTCCCAAGACATTTCTGGCATTTCTTCGAGAGTATTCTGATCTGACACATGATTCCGGCTGCCTGGGTTAGATATTCAACTGGAGAGATGTCTTCGGTATGTAATGGTGACGAGGGAGACTTGGGAAATCGGCGATAGGATCCTGCGGAAATAGAAAGAGACTGCGAGGATGCGTGACATTATATACTTGAGATTCGAAGTCAATCACTCATTATTATAATACATTTACAGTGACAGAAACTATGATGCTTGGACAACAGCTCTGAAATGGATCTTAAATAAACAGAATTATGTTGTCTAGAGCTTAGTGTCTCATCTGACTGAACACAGCATTATTCCGGTCACAAGCGTGTTTCCCAATCACTTCCATTACTAGCATAGCTATCACAGTAGAATGACGTCTGTTTAAGGTTGTGGATTAAGATGAGTTCATTACTATCTTCTGCAGGTCAGATCCGCTAGATTGATCCATCTTTGACATAGCGGTGTAAGACAATCGAGTTCCAGAACATCACGGCCACGCGAATAATTGCCCCACTTCCCCATACCGCTCGATCCCGTAATGCAAATGGCATAATTTGTTGGCGGTTTTAATTGGCGGAGGCCAGCATCACGGTGAATGGAATACCGTAGGTCAAAGCAGAGATGAAGGACTTATTGTCACTGAATTGCCAGTCGAGCTAATTATATACATTATATGCCACATAAATTATTTGCAGACTTTTGCAACCGTAAACCAACGACTGAAAGGTTGCTGCAATTCAATTGATGGACCCTAATGCCGACAAAAAGGGAGCCGGGTTATTTGTTAGTGTTGGGCTAAAGATTCTAACCAAGTCAACTATTGACTCAAGATCCACATTCAATCAATATTACACCGACACTATTGATGACTCGGTGCCAAGCTTCGAGACACGTCGCGCTCGGTCCGCAAAACATCAAAGACTCTCAATTGAACAGCCAAAGTATTACGAACACCAGATTTAGAAAATAACAAGTGCATTGAATCACTTCCAATATGTAAAGCTATACTATCAACCAAAGACCATCGCTTAAGCAATCCATCGGAAGTTGGGGTTCTTCCAATCAAGGTCCTGAATCTCCTGCTGCGACAGACCAGCCAATTCAGCTTCAGCAGAGCGACTAGCCCGCTTCCGGTTATCGCGTTTGATCCACCAAAGAGTCGCGGCACCAAGAACAAGAATCGTGCTGGACGTAGCCAAGTTCAGACCGTTTCCGATGGGGTAGTTGGGCGCATCACTCTTGACGAAGGACCAGGTAGAGATCAATCCGCCGACGTTGCCGAACATGACTGTGAATAGTTAGCGTCTTGTCAAAGGTGAGGGTGATGTTTCGATGAACATACCGTTTGTTCCGATGGCTGCGCTGCGCGCCGTATCACTGAGAACATTGGCGCTGATGTGCGAATTCGTCAAAGGCGCCAGTGCAAATGCTGAGCTAGCGACAAGGAACGTCGCTCCGTATCTCGCATGCCCATTCGTCGTGCCCAGAAAAATCGCATAGCCCATCATGACCATCGGCGCACATAGAATAATAAATATCTGTCTCCTGTCAAACTTGTAGCTGATTCCCGGAATAAGCACGGTGAAAAAGGCACCGACAACATATGGCGGCACAGTAAATAGCTGTTGAGAAATAGTTGTTCGCTCGGGATAAATGGTTCGGACGATGGTGGGCAGGAAGAAGGCGAGGCCTTGAACGGTGATGTTGTCGAGGAGGAAGATGATGGATGTTGAGAGTGTGAGGGGACTGCGGATGCCGGCGATGATCTTGGCGGTGTCGATCTTGTCGAGGACTTCGGTTGTGCCCAGACGTTCGGCTTTGATGCGGTTGAGGGCGAGGGCTTTTTCTTCTTCGGTGAGCCAGGCGGCTGATTGAGGACGGTCGGTGAGAGTTGCTGAGGCATGTTAGCAATGGGAGAGGTCATGAGAACGGGGGGAGCTTACCGAATGAGATGAGAGACAGACCGACGGTGATGATACCTTCAATGGCTAGAGGAAAGTCAGTATTTGATCATGCTGTGAGACGTGAGAAGGCTTACCGAAGATCATCTCCCAGCTGGTGAAGCGTCCAAAATTGGGAAGCTTCAAAATCGCCGACGCCAAAAGACCTCCAAACGCACCCGCCAACGGCGCCATAACGATATACAACGACAACCGAAAGGTAAGTTCGGATCGTCTATACCATCGCGACATATAATACGCAATACCGGGCAACATACCAGCCTCAAAGATTCCCAGCACAAATCTCACACCACAAATCTGATGAACATTCGACACAAACGCTGTAAAGATAGAGCAGAGGCCAAAACCTAACGATGTCAAGGGGATGAACCATCCGGGACCCATGTATTTGCAGAGAAGGTTGGCGGGGATCTCAAAGACGATGTAGCTGATGTAGAATACTGATAGGACGAGGTTGTAGTCGTTGCCTGTGAGGCCGAGATCTTCCTCTAGGCCTGCGAGGCGGGCGTTTCCTGACTCGCGTTAATTTGGAGATCTAGTGAGTAGGGAAAGCGAAGGGAACGCGTACCGATGTTGGCGCGGTCGATGAAACAGAATAGATAGAGGAGACAGACGGTCGGAACGATCATCCAATCAATCTTTCGACGAAGTCGAGCCTCCGCCTTGGGATCAATGTAGAACTGCGCATTCTCAATACTACAAATCGTGAGTCAGACGTGGTGGTCTAATTGAACGAAGCACGGAACGCGTACCTCTCAACAGTCGCACCGGGAGTCTCGGTCATGTTGGACGCAGTATCAGCGCCATTCTGCAATTTCTCGTTCTGCACGCTGGTATCCATCTTGCTGAACATCAATGAGAAAGTGATGATTGGAAAAAAAGGTAAAAAGATCGACGTCTGACCCCCTTTATACCCAATCTCTCGATCAACTCTCCCCCCAGCGCTAGTGCCGAGCGGGGTTCTGTGTGTCTTATCGGATCTGGGGTACTGGAGTTTGCCGTTTTACCTGGGGTAGAGAAATCTGGGGGAACGGAAACTCTCACCAGCTGCCGGCATATGATATCGGCTTTGCGAGGGATGTGATTGGTTCGGTGGGCGATTAGGGTTCCCCGCGGAGATTGCGACTATACTAAGCTGAGACTTGGGGCCGTGGGGTGGAGGTGCTGATAGGTTGGTGTTCCGAGGAAGATGAGTTGGAATGCGCTGCCTTCCGAGGGATGATGTTGGCATTGACGGTGCCCAGACTGGTCTTTTTTATTAGAGTGATGCGTAATGTTGATCTAGGTGTTTATTTTAATGCTTGTTTGGTGGACCACGTGGTTGGGAGGGAGGTCTGGATTGATCTCGATTGAGGGATCGATCTGACCAGTCAGATTCGCTTCCGGGGGCGGTCTGGGATCGTTGATCGTCATGGTAGCTTTTGAACAAAGGGGTTTGGGCTGCTATCCGAGGAAAGCAATAACCCTCTAAGTTGATGTCGGAATCTTCATTAGGAGATAAAATACAGGAGGAAAGTGGTTCTATTATTCGTGGAATAAGTCTTTTGGCATAGAGTGCAAGTTGACATGCCACTCTTTATTTCACAAGCCAAAACGAGCCTTTCGTAGGATATTATTAATGCCATGCTCGAAAAGGGGAAATATCCCATAAAATTAGAAGAGAAAAAGCAGAATGCATTAGAGTCAGTATGAGAGGAAAAAATTCCCTCATTCAATGTAGAATTTGTTCAATTGCACGAACAGTAGAGCATAATTGCTGCCAGCCACTGACGTGCAGGGTATGTTACTGACCGTCAGCATTAAACGTTGGCCGATGAAAACACAAAATGGGCGGGATGCGATAAGGATAAGGATAAGCTTATCACAATCCCTGCACTTCCTCCGCCGACCTCATTGGCCATCTCATCTCTCCAGATAGCGATCGGGTAATTATTTGACCCGTCGACTAAGCTAACATGAGACGACAAGTTAGCCTGATCACATCAGCTCAACAACTCATATTTCACCCCAGTGAGTTGAAACATTTTTAAAAATAATGGAGATCAAATTCAAGGTTCAAAAAGCCCCTGCAATTCCGAAACCTCCCCCTAAAAACAACAAACAGCCTTCAACCCTCGCATTCGTCCAAGTCAACCCCGCAAGAAAAGACAAAGCAGCCCAACGAAAAATCCGCCAACATGTAATGAAAGACATAGGTCTCTCCCGCAGAATGGGTGCAGTCCGTACACCAGATCCAACAAGCCAGTCAATCTTTATCCCGACATACTGGGGCGACGCTCAAGTCTGCTATAACTTCCGCCGACTATTTCGGGCGATGGATATGGTGTCCGAGGGATTGTTGTCAATAGCTATTGTCGATCCTGTTTTGAGATTGAGGCAGAAATTAACGGCGACCTTTGAGAGTCCGCCGACTGTGGAGGAGATTCAGCAGTATACTGAGTCGTTGAGCTTGGTGAGGGAGGGGATTGAGGCAGAGAGTAAGGCTAGTGAGAATGCTGTGATTGGGACGGTAATTTGTCTGGCGACATTTGATGTAAGTCGTTGAAATGGTGTTGAAGTTCGATGTTGGCTAATGAGGTAGATGCGCGCTGGAAACTCGGAGTCGTGGATGGTTCATATGGCAGGGCTGGAAAGAATAGTTGAAATGGCTGGGGGAGTTGAAGAATTGGACTCACGCCCCGCTATCCGACAATCTCTGTTCATGTAAGTCTTCTCACATGGGGTATTGTACCTACTAAGTCCTGTAGCTGTGACCTCTTAGGCTCAATGGTAGAAGACGCTGAACCGAGATTCCCTCTACCTCGAGATTTACCGACCTTACCCAAAGCTACCCGGTCCCGATACGTTCAAAAGCTCTTAACGTCATTGAGAAGTGATGACCAGCCGATTAAGGAACAAATTGCTGTCATCGATGGTGCCCTCACATCAGCGAATCAGGTCGCCGTCTTACTAAATGAAGTATGGCGGGTCAGTCCATTTGCGCTTGATCTCCTCATTCCAGTATGCGCCCTGGCACATCAAGTCTTAGCACTGCAAAGAATGAATTCTATACAGAAACGACATAATTCGCCGAGTGCAACGTCTACGGGCCTCTTTGCAGAGATTATCCGCGTCTCAGCAGTTTCTCTATTCGCATTGGTAACGACACAAGCTTCCGGTGATGCGCTGTACGTTGCAGCAAGAAGGAATACCTCAGTTAAACATCTTATGGCGCAATTGGATGATAAGATTTGGAAGGGTAAAGAGGAGTTGAAGCTTTGGGTGTTGGTGATACAGGTCTGTATGGGTGTCGGTTCTTCAAAGCCCTGGTATCTGGATCAGATTACCCAGACAATGTCACGTGTTCAGCTACAATCATGGGAAGATTTGATGGACTGTTTACGAAAGGTGGTATGGGTTGAGAAGGTTTCTCCGCTGGAGATGACGCATCTTCGGTCTGATATCGGGGAATGGCTATCCTAGTACCACCTTCTACAAGCTAATCCCAGTAGTCTAGTAGGTGACGCCACCGTTAACACCAATGTACTGCCCCGTAATCCACCTAGACTTCTCCTGAACCAACAAAAGAACAGCATCACCAATATCCTCGGGCGTCCCAGGTCGATCAGCAGCTCTGGTGATGTCAACCTCCCACTTCATCAACTCATCCTCTCGGCCCTTGGGATAAAACTCTGTTCTAACAGGACCCGGAGCAACTGAATTGACAGTGATACCTTTACTGCGACCAAGCTACTCAGCATTATCAGCATCTATCAGACAAAGGGAACATGTTAGGGTACTCACCTCTCCAGCCCATGTCCAAGTTAAATTATCAAGAGCGGCTTTGGAAGCTGCATACGACGAGGCGACCACGTTTCCTCGTTTGGCGTTGGTGGAACTGATGTTTATGATACGGCCGCCGGGAGGCATGTGAGCAATAACGTAGTGAACCATGTAAAAAGCTCCAAGAACATTGAGTTGGAAAACTTTGGTCAATTGCTCCACGTTCGGCTCGTCGGTGATGGGACAGAGAAACGCAGTCGCAGCATTGTTCACTACCAGAGTCAGTTCCGAAGAAAGAGTTTGCACGAGCAACTTACCAAGAATGTCAATATGATCGGTCCCAAATCCCTCAAGAGTCTTGTTAACGAGATACTTTGCTCCTTCGGTAGTATCTACAGAAGCTTGGATGGCGATAGCCTTTCCTCCTGCCTCACGAAGCGTGGTACAGACCTTCTCGGCGCGATGCTTGGAAGAGTCGGAGACGTAGTTTACAACGACTGAAGCACCGTTTTGAGCGAGGGCGAGGGCAATACCAGCGCCGATGCCGTTTTCACGACCTGAGCCAGTGATGATGGCGACTTTGCCTTGGAGAGTAAGAGTATCGGGCATGGTAGAATTATTTGAGAAGAAATAGTTTGAAGTTCCTCGAAGCTTGTAAAGAAGATGTTGCTGATGCAGAGATGTAAACACTAGGAGCTCGCTGGACCTTTATACCTATCATGACCATATCATCATCTTTCATACAGATGGTCAAGTCGGACTCCGACGGGGTACTATCTCAGACAAGACATCACGGTGGCCTATCATTGACTCTGAAAAAGTTCGCGACTGGGTTATCCACCAGCAAGGCTGGGTTGTTCAGTTGAGAATTTCCTAATTAGGAAAATGGTATTTAATGCCCCACTGTTCTCTGTGGGACAGACGTATTCAACTGACCACTAATAGCACGAACTCTGAAGCTTGTGGAGTAGAAGGATTGCTTTGACCTCGTTACGCATCATGTTTTTAATACCTGAGTTTCGGTCATAGGTTTGTCTCGCTCTTGAATTGGTCCGGCTGAGTAATTCATCCCTCAACAAAGCCGAAGCGACAACGCTGAGCCAGTCATAGCCATGTTCACGGGAGATTCAAGTTGATGATAAGAAGAGAGCGTGATATTTGCTTCTTTGTTAGGAAAAGACATATTGTCGATCTAAACGAGGGTTAAAAATAAGGATAGGTGGCAAAACGTTAAAGCACAGGGTTTCTGAATACACTCCCAATGAGAGAAATGTGTAGGAAAGATGAGCAAATGGAACTTTCTGGGTGATCGTTATGCTGAAGATATGTCCCAGAAAGGGTGGTATCTCAGGATCCCGTCCGAAACTCAGGTGACAATCGTTTATAACACAGTAGGTTCCCCACCTTACTGAGATAGGGGATAGAAGTATCCCTGGGGATCTCACCAGGCATTTTGTGATTATGAACCTCTATTCGGATGACAAGTCAAGGGACCTTACAAAGGCTTCCTGTAGGAGGTATGTAGTTATTGGCTCACCAATGCTCATCCGCAGGCCGCATATGCGAGAATGGACACCGTGTCTGTGATACGGGTACAAGGAAGCATCTTACCGTAGGGGTCCATGGCTACGATAAGGCTTCCTTACTTGGCCTGGCGTATTTGACAAAGAGCTACTGTGACTGACCCTGCATGCAAAGGGTCTTATTGCGACTGGGCTGCTAATGCCACAAGACTTATTTATCATATTTTCTCTCGATGGGCTGTCTGTGCCCGTCGCGTTGAGATCTTAATATGGTTTATGTGAACTTAATCTACTAAATCAAGCTAGGAATCAAAAGTGGTGAAACTTGGCAATGTAGGACAGATCAGGAATGATTTTTACCAGTTGCAAATTGTTCGTGAACCGATTGTACTTTGTGCGTTGCGACGTGAATTATATGGCCGAGCTCGGCCCGGCATCGGAGACTATCCTGTTTGACCAAGAGCGAGCTTCACACCGCATTTTCTCTTCAGTGAGAGAGACGAAATAGAGAATAACAGGAAGTCAACAATACAAAGCGTAATGGAGCCATAAAGAGAATAAAGTAGAGAAATTATCGACATATGGGGTAATGCGACATGTTGTCGCATTCGGAATTGAACAAACCATAATAGTGCTGTAAAAGTTATATCTCTACTTTGACCCGGGAGGGTATTCTAGCTCTTATATTCTATATAACAAAAACAGAATTTAATGTCCGTTGATACCGTTTGTGCCGTTTGTGCCGTTTGTGCCGTTTGTCCCATTTGTACCGTTGGTTGTTCCGTTAAGTTCATGGCCCTGTGTTCGGACGTCGTGAATTGCCTTGGCGACATACTGCACGTTTCTCTTGTTCACTACAAATCGTCAGAAAATTCGCTGTCAGAAACACAAAGACAAACTTACACCCAGAAATGGAAACACGTCCCGAATTGAGTAGATAAATGTGGAATCGCTCACGAAGAACCTTGACCTCGAAGGGAGAAAGACCAGTATATGAGAACATACCAATCTTTGACTGTCAGCACTTCCTCGCTATCAATTTAAAAACCATTTGACTTACCTGATCAACAATGTGATTCCATGTACCAGGCGTCTCCAACCTCACCAACTCATCATAAAGAGCCTGTCGCATACTCTTAATCCGACTACTCATAACCTGCAGATCCGCCATCCAAGCCGCAGTCAACTCCTCGCTGTCCAAAACCGTCTTGACAATAGTAGATCCATATTTCGGCGCCATCGAAATTTCAGATCGGAGCAGGTACGATAACGTCGAGTATGCGTTGTCGCGAATCTCCTTGGAAGGCTCCGCGAGAACAAGATGAACAGCTCCTGTTCGGTGACCGTACAGACCAAAGTTCTTGGAGAATGACTGCGCGACGATCATGTCGGGGCGGGGCTGCTGTTGGTAGAAATATCGAATCGCCCATGCGTCCTCGGCGGGATCTCCGGATGCGAAACCTTGGTAGGCTGCGTCGAAGAAGGGGAAGAGCTGCTTTCGCTGACAGACTTCCGCAATGGCCTTCCACTGCTCCTTGGTAGGATCAAGACCAGTTGGGTTATGCGCACAAGCGTGCAGCAAGACAGCATCGCGCGGCTGAGCATGCTCCTCCAGGGTCTTGATCATGCCCTCGAAATCCAACGAACAGTCCGATTTCTTGTAGTACGGGTACAATCTCGGCTTCATACCAACAGATTCCCAGATCATATGGTGGTTAGCCCACGTCGGATCCGACACCCAAATATTCTGCGGTCTCAAGTAATCGGCCACGAACCTCGCACCGATATGATTCGCTCCGGTGCCGGAGACAGTCTGCACGCTCGCGATACTCAGATCATCCTGCTCCTCAAAGATCAAATCCCTCGCAACCTTGAGAAACTGCTGATCGCCCTCGATGGGGAGATAATCATGTCTTGTGAGGCTAGCCTCCTCAAAGAGCTGCTTCTCAACGCGGGTTACTACATCCAAGGGCCATGACTTTCCCTCGTCGGTGCAGTAGACGCCTACGCCGAGATTGACGCGGTCGGGAGAGGCGTCAGCGCGGTAAAGTGCGAGGAGATCGAAGATCTCGTCGGTTGGTTGCGCGGGGAGGGATGAGAAGCACGAGGGGGACATTATGGGCTCTTTGATGGGTTGGGTGAAGTGATGAGGCGGTGGAAGAGGATCGGAGGAGGGAAGTGGGTATTTTTAGTCCTGGGCGCTTTTCAGGGTAGGGCTAGTTTTTTAGCGGTTGATGGGCGCCACTTGGAAAAAATGGGTGAAGTGTTTGTCGCTAACTTTCGGGTTTCTTTGTCGGCAGCCGTCAGATGATGGGAATAATGTCTGCCAGTTGGTGGAATTGGCAAGTCAGAATCGCAGATGTCAAGTTCAATCCGGAACAATAGCTATGTGTACCAACGGGTTCGATTGAACGACCAGGCAAGTGCTGATACAACTGGCATCACTCAAACTGCTTCATATCCATACTCTCAACTATTCCGTAGTCAATTGCATATTGTTCCACTGTAGACAGCGCATCAGAGTTCCCAAGTCGTTGCAGTTTCGAGATTGGCTGCGAAGTGAAGCATCCATCAAGTGCCAATTTAACCCCGATGCAGACTAGTCTTATGTACACTGAGTATTTATTGCCGAAGGGCCAATCATGTCGCTCAATTGGTCATCGAAGGTTGCATTGAGATGACAACCGCTTTGATGAGCGACTGAGAAATGATCAGATCAATGCGACTTCATTGGTATTGAGTTTTGGACAATGCGACGTTTGTGTGCTGTTAGTAAGGGGGCGAAAAATAAAAGGGGGGACTTGGCTGAGACGCCCGGATAATTCATGGTCCGTTAGGCGTTTTTGAAGTCAAAACTTCGGAGACGCCGAGTGGCGGTTCACGATTGTTTTCGTCGAGAGTTTTCGTCAAGAAGAAGTCATTAAATGACATTGAAGAGAAATACTTGAATGAGAACAGCAGATGGGTTTGTATTTCTGACTGCTAAGCAGTAATTGTGTCTAGTTCTACCTCCCAATGTACGTGGCTTGGTTGAACTCAATAGCCTCGAGTCTGCCTCGGCACTTACGCCGGGACCATAGCGTTTCAGTTGCAACACTAACCATACCAGACCAGACCAGACCAGGCAAGTAACCGTTCGACCCACGTATGCAGGACTCCTCCAACCTCAGGCATCCATAACAATTTTCCCTTTCTCAATTTCTTCCCAAAACAGCCGAGATCTCATCCTCAGCCGAGACCTCATCTAACCCAATCCGACCCATTCATTCCTTCACCATCTTAATCATTTTTAATATCACAAATGCACTCATTATTACCACTATCTTTATTCACTCTTTTCTCTTCCGCGCACGCAGCATACGTTCAGTTCAAGGACTGCAGTGTCCCATCCTCATCGGCATATACTTACGATCCAAACAGCCTCAACGTATTTTTAGATAAGCAAGACAATGGAACGACGCTTAGTCTTGGAATATTCGGGAACTATCCCACGATAGCATCGTGTCGGAGATCACTGCTCGACAACGCCTCTGTCGAATTGAGCTTGGAGGCGCTGGGCGGAACGACTCGCTACAATGGCGAGATTCAGAATGCGACGTGTCGAACTAGGGAGTTTAAGCAGATCAACACGGTTTTCTACATGCAGTATCTCGAGGTTCTTTTCAAGATCAACGATCCGAAACCGCTGGCGGCGTATGAGTTTGAGATCAACATTGATGCTCCGGATCATTTCTCAGTGGCGTGTCTCAACGGGTTTCTAACGCCGGATATTGGATACACGGTCCAGGAGATTTCATTCTGGATACCGGCACTTACGTTTATTCTGGTCGTTTTGGCAGCTGTGTGGAGAGAATGGTATAATCTCGTGCATCCGCTACGAGATGATGATGAATCCGGGCAGGAAAGAAGTTCAAGCCGATCTCATCTGACGCGCATCGCCGATTGTCTCGCATATATCCAATTCATCTTCTTTTCCAGCGCGCTCAGCCTTCGACAACCTGGATTTCTTCAACCAGTGGCCAGTTCGACGAGCTGGTCTACGCTCATGACTCGACGGGGTATAGTTTGGCGACATTCGCTGTATTATGGTATTCATGATGGAATCCACGAGATCAACGGCACGTTTGGCGGGACTTCGGGGCTGGAGCATATGACGCAGGTGATGGGGGCTCCAGTAACAGTGGAAACCTGGACAAACATTGCGACGCTGGCGGTTGTCATTCTCGTGCTTTTGTACGCGGTCATCCAGGCTGGGCTTCGTTTGAGATGGACTCGCGATTGGTTTCAGCAATCGGGCAGATGGATGATTGACAGGTCATCGAAGCCGCACAAGGCTACGATTTGGGTCGCTTTACGAGCCTACCTGAGTTATCTACTTCTCCCGCTTACGGCATGGACGACGTATCAACTAGACAGCGCCAGCTTACGCCCGGTTTACTATACACTGCTCGTCATCGTGGTAGTTGTTCTGTTGGTTATTGGGTGCTGGTGGGGAATGTCGCGGAGTCCTCAAGACATGGGTTATTTACTGGTTGACAATCTTCACAAGCAGACACCGGAGGAACCCTCACGAACGCAGGACTATTACAGCTATGTTACATTCATTCTTCTTTTCGCTCGGGGCGTCATCATCGGTGGATTACAGCGTTTCGGGACCGTGCAGTTGCTTTCGCTCATGGCTTGTGAAGTCATTCAGTTGGGCTTTCTCGCTTGGGTCAGCGCGACATCTGGGATACTGTCAAAGCCGGTCTTGATCGCCGGTGCACGACTTTCAGCGCTTCTTCTCTGTTTAGGAATGATTCCTGATTTGTGGAGCCATACTGCCGCGAGTGCGCTTGGCTATGTTTTGCTAGCTTTCCATGCTCTGTTCTTACTTGGGATGTTTCTTTTTCCCTCAGCTTACGACTCTGCCCGTCTTGGCGTCACTTGTTACAGTGAATGGCAGACTCCCCAACAACCTGCTCGCGACTCTTCACTCGAGCGACCCCAGGTATGTCCCCACGACTCATCTTGACGAGTACAAACACTAACCCTTACAGGTTTACGGCCTTCGTCAACTCTCAAGACGTCCAACGACAAGAACAGACCTAACAAACCAAAGCATCATGGACCACGAAAGAAGCAGCAGTCTATCAAGCTCAGCCAACTCATCCTCCGACTCCGCCAACAGATCCTCCCGCGGTTCAGAGCCCGTATCCCCCGAACTCCTCCGGACATACTTCCGCTCCCCCCGGCCCGAAAGATCTGTCTCAAGTCTTTCCGACAGACGTCAATTCTCATCATTCGAATCACCACGACCCGAGCGCTGTGCATCACGCTCTTCACCACGCCATCAGCAATTTCCATCCTTTGATACCGCACGCCCACCAACCGTTTACGAGAATCCTGCGGAGAGGAATTCCGTTGGTTCGAGTTTGAGTACGGATAGTGGAGATTTGGGAGAGCAGCCTTCTGCGTGGTCGGCGATATTGCCGTCGAATACGAATGTGGATTATTCGTTTAGGGAAACGGATTTGTATTATGTAAAGCCAAGGGAGGTGTCGTTTGGCAATGCTGATAGGGTTGATGATGGCGAGGGACAGGCTTCGGGATGGGCTGGGAAGCTCAAGTTTTGGTCATGATAATTTATGTAATCAGTTTTCTTTGTCTCGGCTGGGGAAAAAAAAGGTAATGGGAGCGACTGTGATTCAGGAATAATAAGTTTAATGAACACTGATTCATACATTTGAACTCGTCACCGTGAACATTTGCGCTGGAAACAGAACGAATTTGTGACGTATGTCAGCATGACCATTTGCATCATAGCTGAAGCCGAAGTGATGACAGACACCAGATCACAAAACAAAATCTACCAGCGAACCGGGAGGAGTCCATACATCGGAGCAACTAATCACGACGTACCATGGCTATAAAAGAGAGCACGCCTCCCTACAGACGGGGACCTATTCCACCACCATAAAATAACCAAGCTGCATCTAGAGCTTATGACCAGGAACAAAAGAGAAAGAGAGAAGGATGACGAGAACGCTTCACGAGCTTACCGCAGAGACAGAGTTCTGGGAATGTCACCAGACAAAAGGCGACGGCAAGACTTGTTTCAAGATTAATGAAACTGAGGACAAGGTGTGCATGGGGTGTAAAGCTAGGCGAGATAAGGGAGACAAGGCTCTCGATAAAGATGGTCTCGAGATTGGGGTGCTGAAGAAAGTTGAACACGGGAAGGAGTTTTGGGAGTTCAAGAACTGAAGGAGGCTGGGCCTGGGCAAAATGCATCAGACAGAGTGAAGTTGTTATTCACAGTATCGTCGCTGCGTTGTGATTAGCACATCTCGCCTTGTCACCGTGAGTGTTTATGATTGAATGCAGCAGATATGTGATGCATGCTGAAATAGTTCACTGCCAGCTGCTTAGGGAAAAGTTTACTTGCTGAATCAGCTCATGGAAGCAAAACCTCCCAACAGTGGCTTGCGACTTGGACATCATAGAACATGGCTACAAAAGTAGTGGTATCGTCTACAAACAGAGGAGGCGAACAAGTAAAGCGCATCAGCATCTGGTTCTACAACTCCAAAGCCATACTTGACCCACAAATTCCAACCATGACGGAGACATACCACAAACCTCCTGAGACAATTCTGTTCTGGAAGTGCAAACAGCGGAAAGGCAAAAAAACGAAATGCAACTATATTAATAACAAGGAAAACATGAACTGTCGCGGCTGCAACACAAAACGGGACAAGGGAGATATCGCCATCGATAAATACAATCGTACCATTGGTATGTTGAAAAAGGTGGAAGGTGTGGTAGAGTATTGGGAGCATTATGAGTTGGATGATGGAGTTAGGGAGGGAGAAACTGGAGTGACATCAGGTGGAGGGAGCTAGCTGGTGGTTCTTGGAAGCCAGGAAGACTCATGATAAAATGCTATAATAATTGTGCGTCTTTCGTTCATGTCAGTCCATTGACAGAAGGTGCGAAAACTCGAAAACTTGAACTCTTTGCAGATTCCTTGTGAACTCGTTTATTTAGGTTCCCACGTCGGACAAGGGCGACGGCTTTGCAATATCAATACGAGAGAGCCTTGTTCCAAGACAAGGGAACTAAGAACCTGACCACGATCTCCAACGCGATAAGCAACACTTTTGCTTCACTGGAATGTTCTTTGTGGACATATGTGAATCGGTGTGACTTCTCAGTGTCTCATAGTTTCTCCAATCACTGGCATGTGAGACATGGTAGACATAATCATCGTTTCACTGTGAGGGCCGGACTCAGTGTGACTGACACAATCTCAACACAGCAGTGAGTTTATGCCAAGAAAACACAAAGCTCGTTGGCGTAACAGCTATATAGACCATGAATGGGAAGCCTAAAGCACCTGCTACAGCAAACAATAATTTCTCCTATCAAGAAACCATAATCTACAATGCCTATGATCAACAGAATTCGAGAGGACACCGAGGTCTGGAAGTGTATGCGAACGAAGAGCGATGGGACAATCTGCCCCGGGGCAACCGAGCCAGCACAAATGCTATGTGAAAAATGTGGATTGAAGCGGACGATGGGATCAATCGCTAACAACGAAGATGGCAAGAAGATTGGAGAGTTGAAGAAGGTTGAAGATACTGGGATTGAACATTGGGAATTCAACGATAATTAGCCTTGTATTGGAATTATCCAGCAGATTCTTCAACCATGACGAATTGAACGCAAACAAGTATTTGACAGTATTATTTGAGATCTGCTATGTCTTCCTCCATGTTACATCTGTACTTATCACACTTTTTGGCAACAATGAAATGAATTGCTGAAGCAAGTCGCAGCAAGGTGTGCCGAACTACTTAACCTCCAACCTCAAAGCATCATACTGTACATAAAGCGTATCAGGCAAAAGCGCCGTCTCAACACTAGAAGCATTATACGGCAAACTCAACACAAACTCATTCCTTCCCGATTTTAGCTTCGAAGCTGGAAACTCAAACTTGTGCTCAATATTCTGACAAGCTACCGCGCTGCGAACAGCACACGAGCCGCTCCGCCAGTAGGGAATCACCCATGTATCTTCATAGCCTCCGTTGACGTTGACGGTCCAGGGGAGATTACTGTTGAAACGATCGTTGGCGGGTGTCCACTTCGCGTTACCGTTTCCAGTACGTACACCTGCGAGTTGGACTGTGAAGGTAGCTGTTTTGACGCTTCTGAGTTGAGAATTGGTTAGGTCAAAGGTTATGGTCCAGTTGTTGACGTTGTCGTAGTAATTCTCTGATCGCAGGTGGTTTCCCTTTGCAGCGATGAAGGACCAGTGAACGTAGTTCAAGTCTTCAGCTTCCTTATCCTTTCCGATGTGAAAGCTGACGCCCTTTGGAAAATCTTCAACAAAGTCGTATTTGCCCCAGTAAATGCGGTACTGCTCGGGTTGAAGAGGCTTTGAGGTATCAGGCGCATATCCGTGAAGGTACTCCCCTGAGGACTTGTCTGGTGTTCCAATACGCCAGAGCTCTTTGCCGGCATTTTCTTCTTTCCATGTGAAACTACCCTTGTTGTGAGATTTAGAAATGCGAATGTCGTCTTTGATGAACCATCCAAAGACTTCATCAGCGTAGATAGTGACTCTATACACTCCGTCGACGACTTGAGGAATGCTAAAACTTCCAGACTCATCAATCTCAGCCCAATACTGAAGCGACTTGGTATTGAACACATTGAGCTGGAAATCCTGCTTGTTCTCAGAAAGAACAATAATCGGCTTTTTTGCGCCCTTGGGAAGCTTCACTTTACCACTATAGGGAGTTCGTTTTGCTGAAGGTGTAAAGTTCGGGACATGCTCGGCAATGCTGTCGTAGAACTTTACATTCCACTCTGGATCCGCGTACTTGGCAGCATCAGCTCGGAGATCGGCAAGAGTTGCGTCTTTATCGCCTTTGTTGAAGTAGTAAAACTGAGGACCCCAGGTTCGATCAAAGCCATGAGTGATGTTCGGCATCGGTGCGCCGTGGTGGCCAGATACAATGTAATTATACACGATACCATCAACGACGAGGTCAGAGTGCAAGGGTCCGCCGTAGTATGTCTCTCGCGTGTTGTGAACTAGCCATGCGCCGAATGTACTTCCATCAGAACTGGTGGATCCGTCGCTGAATTGGCCATGAACGTCATGGTTACGCCAGCTCTCTGAAAGACTGTACTTGGTCCAGTAGTCCGCGTATTGCTCCACATATGGGTCATCGGTTTTGTTGCCGACATACCAAGTAGCATCTTGGACTGTCAAGGCACCGGAAGCGTCTGGCAGAGGACCATAGTTCCCTTCGCTGGTGGAGAAATGGGTCCAAAGCTTGGTATTCGGCCTGAACAGGGTGCGTAGTTCGCCAAGGTCGCGCAAAAAGGGCTTTGACGCATTGAAGTATGTAAGGCGGGTAAACGCATGCAGACCAGTCTCTTCACCCCTAAGGAAGAAGTACTGCGACAGAGTCTGGTTGGTGGGCTTGTAGGTGTCGCTCATAATAATTCCACCATACTTTGTTCCAGTAGAATCAGTGCCTTTGACAAGGCGGAGATCAGCGGTGCTACCTGGTGTCCAGAAACCGGTTGGGATACAAGAGCAGTCGACATAGGGACCCTTGCCGCTATTTCCGCTCAGCGGTCCGAGAAGATCTTGGCCATCGAGAGTAGCATCGATGATGTGTCCGCTGGATTTAGCGAGGACAACTGCTAATCGCTTGTTGGAGAGGGAGATGTGGGTTGAGTTCTCAGCAGTAGTCAATTCGGCTAAAGTATGGCTGATTAGCCCAGCGACCAAAGCCAACGACTTCAACGAGGAGAACACCATGATGAATGTGCTTTTGATCGCTGATGTCCAATTAAAAAGAGACTTCACAGGGTTTAAATGCAAACATTGTCACTCGGCCCAATTGTACCGAAGGCTTCGGCAGTAAATGCACCGGGGGAAATATGTCGTCGTTTGTATGGATGGGATAATTTAGCCGCCTGAGTCCCACCACTGGGCCGCAAACGACGCGGGGAAGACAGGGGCAGATATGACGATGTCTTGATCACGACAGGCTAAGATCTGCGTCAACAGTCCTATTCAGGCAGTTCAAAAATTCTTCCGGAGCAGGATATGCAGTTTTGTTATGAACTGCCATAGCCGACAGTCCGACCGCATATTCTTTTTTGAGTTAGGCCTAAGAACGTAAATAGCTCTGTTGTTGTCGAGATTCTGGTGTAACCGACGTTGAACCGAAATCCAGCGACGACGGAATACGCTAGTTAAGGTAGTCTTACACTTCGCGGCCGGCATGACTCATCAGACCAACTACTTCTCTACAGTCTTGAATTCATTCTTCAACAGTTAAATCTCTGACCTACAAAAAACATCTGACAAAGCTGAATCTCCCCAGAAATTGAGATCATGGAACCACCTGTTGATATAAAGGATCGCCTTCGGGCATCATACAATGCGATTGCACCCGCATACAACGCTTGGACAGCGCGCCACAACGAACTTCGTCTGACCTACCTCGATAAACTTCTCAATTCCTGTCCAGAATTGGCATCAGCTAGCGATACGATGAAGAAGCAAGTCCTTGAGCTGGGATGCGGTTCTGGAAGCCCCTTTATCTCAACTTTGCTCGCTCGTGCACCGTCTGTCCATGTACACGCCAACGACCTCTCCGATGTTCAACTAGATCTCGCTCGACAAAACCTGGCTGGGTACCAAGATCGTGTTGAGTTTTACCCTGGAGACATGATGAAACTAGACTTTGCACCTGGTTCCCTTACGGCAATCGTGGCGCTGTACAGCATTATACATTTACCACAAGAAGAACAGAGAGAGATGATAAGGCGGATTGGCAGATGGCTAGCCCCGGGTGGTGTCTTTTTATCAACATTTGGTACTGATGAGGCGTCAGTGATTATTGACGAGAAATGGATTGAAGAAAAAGGGTGGATGTTTTGGAGCGGACTTGGGAAGGAGGCACTTTTAAAGGCGTTAACTCAGGAAGCTGGATTGGAAGTTCAACATGCGGTTTTAGAAGAAGATGCAGATGACAGATTCATGTGGACTATCTCAAAGAAAGTTAACGCATAGTATTTTATTGAAAAGGCGGAGCTTGTATAATAAGCCCGCAGATGAGCTTGCTGGATCTCTCTAGCCTACATCCATGTGGCTGCATCCGGAGCCTTAGTACTGCGACTCTTCATAGATTCTGATTCTGTCGTGCCATCTGTCGTGCTATCGCTTTCTCGTTTATTTCTAGCTGAAGTTGTTCAGCTTTGATTCTTTCGCCCTCCTGCTCTGTTGTGGCGTTTAGGTTTTGAAGCTGTGATATGCGGACTTGCGTCATCTGAATCATCTTTCTCGAAAACTCGGTTTCATCACTGTGGAAGAAGGTCAAAAGATTCGCCTTCTCCACAGCATCGCGCATTTCTTTAAGACTCAGGTACACCTCAATAACAATCCTACCCACACATCTTGAGGGGTAGTGCAACGTGAAGCCTTTCGTCGATGTCCAAAAACTCCACTTCGTACTTCGCCATGTGCTTCTGGATCGAGACCTCCAATACGGTCTTTGCGACTGCAGGCATACGGATATCCCTCTTTCTGGCGTAATAGAAATGTCTGATTGTTTCATACAACAGCTTTTGTTCTGGAGATACTTGGGATGGTTCTTGAGAAGTTGGAGTTACCATGATGAACTTGTTCAAGGTGGAGTGGCTTGCTAGGATGGGTGAAGTGATCTGGTTAAGGGGGATGAGTGAGTAGACAGAGGGCAGTTGTCAATGGCTATATAGAACCAGACGGATGTGAGGATGGTCCGTGATGAAGATGTCCTACAGACAGTGACTGCTCATAAGGGCATCAGGGTGTGCGTCACAATAAGGGACATTGGTGAATATGCGTCTGTTGTCTGTATCTAAGTACATTGACGCTGAATAGAACCGACCAGCGCCGACTTCTATTGTCCATGACGACCTGTCTCTATAGAAAGTTTAGGTGATTATCAGAAAAGAGCAATTCCGAAGAGTGGACCATAGTATCGTACATTCAGTTATTCTTTGTTACACATGCTAATATTTCAGCATTAGAAGAAGCTACCTTCTGTATTATCACGATTGACTGGTCCTCCGGCTATTACCTTGTCCTCTTCCATTTGTTAATAAGATTAAAGTATCCCCTTCTTATAGACCATCGCTTGTATTAGTACGGAATGGCCTACTATGATCATTGTCCACAGATTGCTGCGCAGAAGGCATATCAGTATGTTATATAAGGGACTCAATGGAAATTTAAATGACGAAATTCATTCCCATGAGATCTCTAGATCCCATTGGTCGGACCATATTCAAAATGTCCAACTAATGGGACGGAGGCCGTATTAACCCAATTAATGCAGGTTCATAAATACAACATCAAGAACATAGTTGAAGAAGCTAAAGAAGACGCATTATTAAAGATAAGATTGTGAGAGGCCAAAGAGTTTTATTGGATTCAAGAGATTAGGCATCTCTGGCATGGTGGTAATTCAGCTACCTTCATCTATCTCTAGTCGGAGATTCGGCCATTACGGTCACAGCCATAACTCTCTCATTTCGAAAAGAACTTCCGCACAAATTGCTGACGCTCGAGGGCTTTTGTAGACTTTGTCTTGACCGCCTCCATTTCTCTGAACTCCCTGTCCCACTCCAGCCTCCTTTGGTACTTTCCATTATATTTCTCTGTTATGGACTCCTTCTGTGCCAATTCGCTTTTCTCATCCATTTCCCAATAGTAGAAAAGGTTCTCCTTCTTCATCGCAGCGTCCAAAGTTCGGCGTATTTCATGTAGGTTTGTATATGTCAACGACATGTAATCGCGTTCGGGTAACGCGATGTGAAGCTGTGTTTCCTTGTCGCAAAGCTCAACTTTGTAGTCGCCTCTATGCTTGTTGATAAAGGCAACAAGAGCAGGCATCGAGCCATCCTTCTTTTTGAAAAAGTAGTAGTGTCTGAACTTCTCGTTAGGAGATGGTGGAAATGGCTCGTTAGTATATGGTGGGGGTGGTTGGACAAGATCGAAAGATTCCATTGTGTTTTTGATTAGGTGTGTTGTTTGAAGTTGTCTGTGAGGTAGCCTGATGGGTTGGCCGAGAAAGCACGCTGAACGCTTCCTTTATAGAATGATGCCCATGGATTAGATAGGCTGTGAAGAGGACACCATTCCAGGGAATACCGAGAGTGATGCTTCTACAAGTCATGGGGGCCTGGCTCACACTCGGAACCATCAGTGACTCTGCAGAAGCTGTAAAACTCAGAGCGGAAACGGTTTCATACTGAACAAGACTACTCAGTGCAAATTGCCACGATTCACAGAGTGAAAGGGCTAGGTAGAGAGTTCAGTCAAAGAGGAGGCCTCGATGCCTGCCATTCAATTGCGTATCATTATAGATGCATACTTTACGACCCTGGAAGATACGACCCCTGGTATACGGCAGCTTACCCAACATTTAGGCCTCTGCCATTTGAGTTCGATTGCTTGAGTTATAGTATCCCATGTAAACATTGTGACTCCTAACAATACCTGGTTCTCTGCCTTGACACTGAGAGCTTAGCAATCACTGGTTTGACCATCATCTTAAAATCCATTGCCATCTTTCTGGCCACCCAGGGGCTGTTTGCCAAGGCGAGAAATCATGTTAAAGAGGGCTATTGATCCGCTTGATAGTTGAGTAGCCATGCTGAATTTTGATCATGGAACCCCTCTGGTCAGATCCCTCGTATCTTTCCTCCTGTAGCTTCACTCTGAACTCTAGCCTCCTGCTCTTGATAGTGCTCTTCCACCGACTTTGAAAATTGATCATCCCTTTCTCCGTGCCTCGCCTCATCCTTTACCCAATATCCAGGCATGTGCTTTGTCATTGCTGCTTCAAGCTCTCTTCTAATTGCTTTCTGAGCGTTAACGTCTTTGTGATAATAATCGTCTTTGGGCAATATAATATGAAGAGTCTCCTTCACGTTGTCGAAATCAACCTCATATTTACCGGTATACTTTGAAGTAAAGCGACACAATGATGGTAAATAGCCGTTCTTCATTTTAGCATAGTAATAGTGTCTGAAGTCTTCGTTCCACCACTCAGACCATTCCCGGAGTTTCTTGGCTGTCGTTGCACCCATGATATTGGCAGTCGTTCGTTGTCGTTGTGTTGGTGTGATGTGGTTTGTTGATTGAGCTGAATTCCAATATCCAGGTCACTGTCTTATACCATCCAATAGGTGCCTGAATGTTCTCTGTGATACAGACTTGGAGTCGATTCTAAGACCGTGATGCTTCCGCCAGTAGGCCTGCGAAGTATCGCATACATACAGGAGCTATCATCACTGCTGTCAATCTCCAGACCTTCAGAGGCATTATCGGTAAGGAAGGGAGACCGTAGCTAATTATATTGCTTAAGATCTTGACTCAATCGGTGATGTGTAAGGAAACATGTCATTGATAGGAATTTTTCAAAGCATGTGAGAATTCCTTACATAGATATCTGCATCGGAATATGAGCCTGAATACTTAACAAGATGGCACAGGGACAATTCTGAGTTAGTTTACGCCTTACAGGAAATACAAATAATGGGAATTTAATTGAGTTAATTTTCAACATAGACGAAAGACCTGCCTCTGGATCACTATTGGTGCTCCTCGGGACCAATCACAGTTACCCACCACGGTCGCGAACTGCCTATCTAGGTAGTTTCAACAAGAAAGTGGTCCTCTCCCCTGTTACCACGGCCAATTGCCAAGGTAAAACAACAAGCCAAGAGAGCATTATAGAAAATCAATTCACAAACTGTCTCTTAGAGCTCCATTGTTCGATTAACTTGCCTATTTAATGTTGTACACCCTTGGGTCGACCTTTAGCGGATCGTCGGTAAGCACCTGCGTCACGAATTCCCAGTACTTGCCCAGTCCCTCAATTTCCATCAGAGCACCAAGATCTGCAAGTGCCTTTTCGGGGATCTTGTTGCCCAATGGTACCGTCAATCGAAGCTTATCATCCCAATAATCCATATGGTAGAGCTTATACTTCACGACGAACTTGAGAAGTTTGATATCTGCCTTGGGGATGAACAGACCGACCAGTTTCTGCATTTTGCTCAAAGGCCTTTGGCGCCATATTGTGTGGGTATGCGTGGGCTTGGTGACGGAAGTTGGTTGTGACATGGTTTCTTAGCGTTGTGTATGGATGTTTCGATCGGTAGGTTGAGAAGGCGATGGCGCTCAATTTATATGGCGAAGATCACTGACATTGAGTGTGATGAGGATGTTCTCTGCTCAGTTGCTGAACAGTGATGTTACACAAGCAAACCGTATCTTGTTCACGCGTCAAAAGACAATGGTGATTCTGTTCAGAGTCAATGACGAACTCAGTTCAGCGCAGAACGCTTTGATCAGCTCCGAGTCTCTTTCGCAGTTGACCATTGAGCTATCTTCAATTTTCGCAAAAATGGTTTCTTTCCTTTTAGAGTGTAGCACTATGAGTTAATGCATACGCAATATGGGGACTGAGACGATGAATGCCATGAATTAGTTACTGTTTGTGGCGCAGGAATGGTCAAGACCTCATCTTCGGTCGAATTCTCACTGCCAAGAATTCCTCCCATAGCGTTCTTAGTCCAGCATTTGAACGTTCCACATAAACCAATGAAACCACGGGCGAACCATCCAAAACCTGTCGCAATTGATGCATAATTAATCTTCTTTCCAATTTCCCTTGTCGCCGTCAAATCTTCTCACTTCCCCAGGTCCGCCACGTCAACGTCAACATAGTCGGAATAGCAACCAGTGACAGTGAGCTTTCGTTGCCAGTACTTCTTGAGCCCCCTTCTTTTCATCGCCTTGAAGACGTCTTCAATAGTGTCCTCCACGCTATTGCTCTCCACAAAAGCTCGAGTGATTCGGAGGAACTGCTTATCCTCATCCAGAAACTTGGCTTGGTACTGTCCTTTCGACTTTTGAACAAAGCTGTCGAGCTTCTTATCTTTGGATGGATGGCTTGGATCTCGGCGAAAGAAGTTGTGCACGTACTGAATCGCCATTGTGAAACGTGAGATTGACTGGTCTTGGTACGGGTCTTTTGATGAGGTAGATGAGGAGAGAATCCTGAACGTTGCGATGCACGAAGATGGAACGGGACGGTGGTGGAGAGCATATTGTCGACAGCCGTTTAGACAATAATGCTGCGTGCTAGATATGGCGCTGTATTCACTAAAGCAAGAGGACAGTGGCACTCATACTGACGTTGAGATGCAGAGAGCAAGCTAATTTGATGTAGATGCTTATTGACTGATGGGCATACGACCTTTAATCACAGAGCGAAGGCGTCCAGGCAATGTGATTGATTACCTGACGTCGGGCATCAGTGACCAACTAATTCTGCGCGAATCAATCGATTACTAATAATTCCTCAGGGTAAGACGTTTCTGATTCCCGGAACAGAGGAAGGCACTAGAACTTCTAGCATTGGTCGATTCAGAGGCTGGATTGAGCGCTGAATTCTCATCTCTTGGCGCTCGGACTGAGAGGCATCCACTTGTTCACGAGCGAAAACCTCAGAATGGCAGATAATTAATTAAAAGGGCCAATCAGTGAAGATATGCGCCGTTCTATCTAAAATTTAACTGATAGTTACTTATTTCGCGTCCTTGATGATGAGTTCGGCAGCAATCTCAGCAATGCCATAAACCGCTGTCTGAATATGCGCCGAGATCAACAGAGGAATAACACTGGCATCAACAACACGAAGATTCTCAGTACCATAAACCTTGAGCTTAGCATCAACGACACCGCCATCTGCCTTGGGGAGCATAGCGCAAGTACCGCTAGGATGGAAAATGCTCAGCGTCGTTCTCAAGACATAATCCTTGATCTGCTCATCAGTCTTGACATCCAGACCAGGTTCGTACTCATCCTCCCAGATTGAGCGCATGGGCTCGGTGTTTGCGATCTTTCGGTTGTACTTGACTGTTTGGAAGACAGCTTCGACATCGTGAGGGTTGCTGAGGTAGTTGGGGTTGATGGTGGGTTTACCAGCTGGGTCTGAGGGATTGATGTGAACGCTACCGCGGCTGAGAGGATGCATGACTACACCAATGAGAGTGACGAAGCCCTTGCCGAAGAGTGGAGACGTGGCGGCGGGATAACCTTTTACACCGGTGTAACCATCAGAGAAAATGACCTCGACCTGAGGAACAGAAGAATCTTTGAGGAAATCCAACTTCTTCTTGTCAACCTTGCTAGCATCCTTACCAGCAGCGTCTTTAGCAAGTGATACCAACTTGGCATCGCTACCAAGGGCTTGCTTCCATGTTGAGAAGGTGTATGCGCTGCCGGTGTAATCGTACAGGGAGCGCTTGCCAGCATTCCAGAGAGCAAGCTGCTCAGCGGCAAAGGTAGCATTGCTTCGAAGGGCATCGAAGGAAAGAAACTCTGGCTTGAGCTGGTATGAAGTCATGACGCGGAGATGGTCCTGAAGATTCTCGCCGACGCCGGGAAGATCGATGATCTGCTTGATACCAGCGGCGGAGAGAACGGATTTACTTCCGATGCCGGATTGTTCGAGAAGACCAGGGCTCTGGATCGAACCAGCGGAGAGGATGACTTCGCGACGGGCTTTGACGTAGGTTCCGTCCTGGAGGGTAACGCCAGTAGCGATGGCCTTCTTCTTCGCAGCAGGGCCAGAGACGTTGATCTTGGCGACGATGGTATCGGCAAGAATCTCAAGGTTGGGACCCGAGATTTCCGTGTAGGCGTTGGCACTGTAAGACCGATTGTAGTTCGAGGGGTCAATGCTGCTGGGCTGGTACATAACACCAAGAGGATCGCCACCTAGCGACTCGAGATTCTTGCGAACTCCGAGCTTGTTGAGAGTTGGAATCCAAGACTCTTGGTGCTTGGGGATGATGCGATTGACGACAGCCTTGACGGGACCGCTGTCGCCAACGCCCTTTGATCCGTACGTCGCAGTGTTCTTGCCAGTAAATGTCTCAGACTTCATCATCGCCTTGATCATCGTCTTCCAGTTCCAACCCGGGTTGCCGAGCGCTTGCCAGGCATCGTATTCAGCAACCGCAGCACGATCATAGGTCATGAGATTGAGAGCCGAGCTCCCTCCCAAGACCTTACCACGATTGATCGGCCAAACTCTGTTATTCGCGCCCGTTTGTGGAACAGTCGTAAAGTTCCAATCGTACTTGGTACCGAGGGTCGAGCCTTTCATACCGGGGATGTTGATCTTTGGCTCATCGTGTGCAGCGGGACCGGCTTCGATGAGGAGAATGTTGGCAGATGGGAGGCCTTCGCTGAGACGAGCAGCGACTGCGACACCAGCTGTACCACCTCCGACGACGATCTGTTAAAAAGGTTCATGATTAGCCGAGAGATCCGAGGAATTGCTCAATTTAAGATGAAGAATGCGACATGTCATTAGAGTTAAAACGTTCAATTGGCAGCTGAGACAGAAGCCGTCTGGATTGGAGACAAACTGGCTCAAACAGTAAACTCACATAATCATACGCATCCTTTGACGGAGCCGCTACTGCAGCTGCAGCAAGGCTAAACCACAAATGCAACTTGACAAGCATGGTTCAAAAAGTAACAGATATTACAGTGCACGGTAATCGCCACAAAGCTGCAGAACACAGACAAAAGAAGAAAGAGAGGAACGCCAGGGAACAGAAGCCTTTATTGAGTGCCCGCTCATGCATTTGCCCCTGCAGATTAAGGTAGTATTTAACTGTAAATTCAATTGACAAGCGGAAGACTCATCCGTGACAGGGAGCGGAGCGACGCCTGTTTAGGGCGACCAATACGTCCTTGGCGGACGATGAAACCCCGCCAATGCACAATAAGGTTTTGCTTACGGAGCAGACCAGGGGGGTTTAAGGGTTCTTCGCTTGTAGCGACGAATAGAATTAGAGAAAACGGGGGATATAGTGATTATAGAGACCTGAATAATGCCATGGTACGATGCGCGGGTATGCTGGAAACCGCGTATAAACACAACGGCCAATGGGTCAGAATGACTCGAACGGTGGAATTTTCGTGATCAAAACAGTAGGTGGCAGAACCTGATGTTACCTTTAATAGAATTTAAGTTTCGGCAACAGCTGCGCCGTGTGATGCATCAGATCTGGTCCCGTCCCCCTGCCCGTCAAGAAATGCCGCGCAGACTGTACATAAACAAATGTCACCTACTAATTACTGCCAATTCATGCACTCCCCCTTCCCCCCCTCTCTCTCGTTATTCTTTCGTCATATCGCTGATCATGGCATCCGTGCAACCACCGAACCCATTACCACCTGATCAAAACGTCGGTCCAATCCTCCTGGGCATATCGGGGACGTGTCTCGCCCTGGTGATCATCACCACTAGCGTAAGGATATGGGTACGTTCAGCCCTACGATCGTCGGGTTGGGACGACTACACGATCATCATTGTTACATTGCTCGGCATCGCGCGGTTCGGCGTGCAGGTTGGGCAGGTTAGTATTGGGAATGGACGACATCGCTGGTTCATTGAGCCAGAGGATTACGTGCAGAATAATAAGCTCGGTTGGGTAGCGCAGATTTTGCTTTTTGCGAGCATTTGTTTACTCAAGATTTCGATTCTGTTGCTTTTATTGAGGATTAAGGATTCGAGGAGGGTGAAGTACGCGGCTTGGGGGATCATGGCGGGATTGGTTGTTACGAATTTTGGATGCATCATTATTTTGCTTTCTGAGTGCAGACCTGTCAGTGCGTATTGGACTGGCGTTGGGGAGTGTTGGAACCCGCGAATTCGAATTTACTATATTTACGCTACGATTGGTATGTATTTCTGGAATGCGAGTGATCCAGGTCGAGATTGGCTAACAAAACCCGCCAGCATTCTCCATCCTCACAGATTTGATATGTTCTCTCCTACCAGTCCTTGTGATATGGAACACCAGCCTTCCATTGAAGACAAAGATCTCAGTCTGGGCTTTGATGAGCTTGGGACTAGTGTAAGTTGGCCGATCGATCGTCTTCCTCATCACAATCTGGTGACTAACGTTCAATAGTGCCACCGGTTTCGGAATCGCCCGTGCAGCATCACTGGGCGTCGTGACATCAGATCTAAGCTGTAAGTCAAGTCCAAACCCAACCTCAAACCCTATCCTAACACTTCTAGGGGTCTACGCCATAACAGCAATCTGGTCAAACCTCGAACTCTACCTCGGCATCGTCGGCGCAAACCTCGCCCTCAGCCGCTCAATATTCGCATACTTCTTCCGCGAAGGCGGAACCACCAAGGGATCTTCATACGGCGGTATGCCGAGGTCAACATCAGCGTCGAGAAATCTTAGAGTTCCGAACTCAAGTGGCTTTCGATCGGGGCAAAGCCGTCTTCAGTCGAGGGATCAGGATAGTGAGATCTCGCTGGTACAGACGACGAAGAAACAGCCGAGTACGTGGTATACGGAAGAGGGAGTGAGTGATGAGAATTTGCAGACGGTGAAGGGGAGTAGGAGTGATGGATGAGGCTTTGGTTGCAGAGAAAAGTTTATAGAATTAATTGGGATTCAATTAAATGACCGTTTATGACTGAATATTGTTGAAGCTAGAGTGAGGATCTTACTCATTGGACGGACCAACTCCGCATGATCGAGTTAAGACCATGAGCAAGACCGCAATCATTGACGGTCAAGGACAATTAACAGCGACAACATCCAGCATCACGACGCGATTTCAATGCATCAGACTCGTATTGACCAAACTCCACAACCTGTGATCCGTGCTCGATAAACTAGTGAGGTTTGGCGACAACTTATACGTGGAGCTACTGCATCAGTCACGAGGTTTGATTAAGTCCGATGCTAAGTCCGATAGGTAAACCTGAACCTGCATGAACGAATTCAATGCCCGCCAGGAGTTTAGAGGAACAAGACGTTAAACTCTATACCGTCCATTAGTCTCGGTAGAGATTCATATGCGGAGTCCGCATTAGTGGTTCGGGACGTGAGCGACATCCGATGCAAATGATGTATTGAAATGAGATCGTGTAGATGAAAGAACATGTAAGAGCCTCGAGTAAAACATATAAATGTAGCTGATCGTATGGCCTTAAGAACAAAAATCTGATCGAATAACAACAACATCTACAACAATTAATTCCAGCAATCATAAACATCAAAATGGCATCCATCTCAGCTACCGAGTTGCCCAAGCAGCTATTTATCAACAACGCATTCGTCGACTCCAAGTCTAACAAGACGTAAGTTGCCAAATACCTTCTACCCCAAAAGGATAACTGATTTGATTCATAGAGTATTCTTCAGAATACTGGACAGGGCTGTATGGTCTCTAGTCGTGTTTATGTCTAGGAGGGTCTCTATGATGAGTTCATTGCGGCTTATCGAGATGCGATGGAGGCTCGCGCAAAGGGGTTTGGTGACGTGAATGATCCAAAGACGCGATTTGGTCCGCTTGTGGATAAGTTGCAGTACGATCAGGAAGGGTTGGAATCAACTGTATTAGTCGCCTGTTTCTCAACACGCCTTTTGGTGGATGTAAAGAGTCTGGCATGGGACGGGAATGCGGTCTTGTGGGGTTGACTTCTTGGATGGGGACGAAGACTGTTATGATCAACATGACTTAAGAGGGAGGCCATATTTGCTTGATAGGTATAGGTTGAATTGTCTGTTCATTCGAATCGTATTTTTATCCAACTTGTTAAATGCTATAGCAAGATTCTCTTCACCCTTCTTCATAACTTGAAGACACCCACGCTACCCGGATATTCCCCGAAGTGGGTCGTGCATCATCCTTGTGTTTAACTACTTTTAGGTAATGAACCTGAATCCATTCAGAACCGCCCTTTGAGAATCCTTGTCCAGTCTGTTCACATTCTCCTCACTAGTCTCATCGACAGTTGCACTCAGCTCATCAAAAGCTTTGTTAGCCCGCTTAAGCGAATACCTCAAACCCATGATACAAGCAAAGCCCAGCCCTTGAAAAGCCAAGATACAGGCCCAGGATACACGAAAGTCGGGACCGTATTGGTCAAGCCAGAAGTAGTTTGCAAAGAGTGAAGCGATATTGGCCAAGGTATTTGCGATACCAATCGAAGCTGCACGCTTTACTCGTGGTTGAACGATCGTCGACGACAGCCAAGGGTATGTCGTGGAGTAAATACCAAATGTTCCGGCGCTGACGAGAAAGGTCAATGCGTAGCGTGGCCATTTTTGGTCTGTTATGGCGACAAGTGCGATGGTCGCGGCGATGGCTGTGAGGCCAGAGATAGCAGCATGGGGAGATCGCTTCTGTCGTCGATCAGCGTCCCATGCGAAGCTGAGAGCCCAGATGAAAGAGAAGAGATACGGGGGTGCAGTAAGAAGAAGCACTATGGTGTTGTTTTTGAAGCCGAGCTGTTGAATGAGAGTAGGGAAGAAATGAGAGAAGGAGATAGATGCAGTTGTCGACATCTGAAGACAAGAAAACAACCAGACTCTGTAGTCGCGAACAGCTGAGAGAATAGCTTGCTTCATAGTGATCTCCTCTTCACCAAGGATCTCTTCACTTCCAGCATCAACAGCTAGTCGGCCCTGCGCGACAACTCTTTCTTCCTCAGTCAACCAGCTAGTCGTGCCAGGGTAATCAGGAAGAAGGAAGAATGCGACGACTCCAATGACGATAGTAGCAAGACCTTCAAGAATGAAGAGCCATCGCCATGCGGCAAGGTGTCCAACGCCAGCCATGCCTGAGAGAATACCCGCAGAGATCAAACCGGCGAAGCAATTGGACAAGAGAAGGCCGCAGACAAGCAAAGCCATTCGAATGCCGAGTTCCTTTTTGGTGTACCATGTGCTCAGGTAGTATATAGCTCCAGGGAAGAATGGTGCTTCGACGATACCGAGGACAAAACGGACTATCAGAAGACCTGCTGGGCTAGAGGTCGCAGATGTGCAGGCACTGACACAAGCCCAGAGAATAATACAGCCAGGCTATACAAGTTAGTCGCATCCCCAAACTCACAAGGAAATACATACCAGGAAAATATGAGGTTGCATCTTTGTCATAATCAACGTAGATGGAAGCTGCATCATGATGTAACCAGCAGAAAAGATAGAAATGGCCGTCTGGTACGTCGCGCCCTTGACATGGGTGTCTTCCTGAAGTCCATAGAGACGAGCTTGGGTAATGGAGTTTCGATCGAGGTAGTTGAAGAGGTAGATCGTGACGACCAGGGGAAGAAGCCGAAGATCAATCTTGCGCACGAGTTGAGCTTCTGTTTCTCTGGAGAATTCGGGGGTGTAGGAGCGGTAGGTATCCAAGAGGGTGAGTTGTTTGGTGGGGACATTCTCGACTTCTTCACCAGTGGATTTGAAGACGGTAACGTCATCTACTTTGGATTTAGTACTGTCCATCTTATAAACGACTCAGTTTATGAAAGAGGGAATCGATTTGAATTGATTGTTTTGGTGATGCTTATGGCAATTGAGGATCTCGCTCTTTATACAGCAAAATTCCCCAACTTGACTTCCCCGACTCAAGACCTTCGGACCCATCCCGACCCCAGATTCTCCCCACACTCACTAGCGTCTACCCCATGTGCCGAATATCCGTTCGGGGTTGGAAACAAGCATTCGCTCCCACTGCTCCTCCGAAAGCCAGTCCCTCAAATGTCGAAGCTCCTGGTCTGTGTCTACTTCAAGAGGAGGCGTCGGGGTAAGTCCTCGGACAGCAGCGTTGCAGTGCGGCCAATCGCTTCCCCAGAGGATTGAGTCAGGAGCCGCGTTTGCGATGGCTTTTATTATGTGCTCCATTTGAGAGATCTGGTTGCTTCTCCGGTGGAGGGCGCCGAGTTTGATGTACATGTTGGGAGAGGAGAGGAGGTGAAGAAGAGAGGTAAATTTGGGGGTGTTGATGTCAGATGGCGTTGCGGAACCGTTATGATCTGCGATGATGGGGATGTCTTTGATGTCTGGATGAGAAGAGATGGTATCTGCAATTGCGGACCATGTCGCGAGCGGTAATTGTGCCGAGATACTCCAGTTGTATTTACGCAGAGGGCAACGAGAAGCAACGTCCAGGAATTGCTGAATCACCCACGATATATCATCTCCTGAACCGCCATATGAGCCGTGAATTCTAACAGATCGAACCCCTGCGTTATGCAGCTTCTCAAACTCGGATTCTGTCAGGCTCTTCAAACCTGGATTTCCAGGATCCCAAAAGATAGTCCCGCGGACATGCTTATCGGGATACAGGTCCCGACATTGCTGCAAGTGTTCCAATAAGCCTGTATACCCATATTCAATGGTCGCTTGTACAAGCATCACGTTATCAGCTTTTGAGTTATGGATGAGGTCTTTCAGTACTGCTGGCTGCGGGGTATAAGCGCGCGTTGCTTTAAAAGGGTAACGCTTCGGGTCGAAGCAGTGCATATGGGAATTCCATGTCGCAGGCGGTAAAATTGGTACAGGCATGTTGATTGCATATGTTGTCGGTATTCGTGTGTCTAAGACCTGTTCCTGGAGTGAGCATGGTTTTTGAGCTACACTGCAGGTCTGGAGGGTGTCCGACAGAATCGGTGTGCATCCGGCGCTAGCTCAGGGCTACCGGACAACCACCGTTTAACGTTTAACATCAAAACACGCCTTCCAAGGGCCATTGGCCCCGTTAGATTGCATAAAGCTTGCTTGTGCTGGTCGCTGGTGACTGGTTACTACTTCTTGACTTTAGAGGGCGCAAGAGTTCATCTTAAGCATGGACTGTGATAAGCCAGCTTGTAGGATTATAATTGCGAAGATCCTTTATGAAAGCTCGATTAGTCCAAGGAATAGTAAATGAATGTCCGCGTATGACAAATGGTTTTAAGAGGTCGCGAAACGTTCAAATTAGCAAAAGCGTATTGGGCTCAAAAAATCTGAGTGGCTTGTTATTTAAATACGTTTGCTAGAATAAAAGATAGTTCCGTGCAGCCATTTAGTTGATAACCTTAGTTATCTCTTGAAAAAATAATCCTCAAGAAGATTTTGCGGGTATTGATATCGCAGCCTCAAGAGTTGCTTCAAAGGTCCAGCTGAGGTTCTCCTTACCCTATAGCGGTAATTCAAAATCATCCCAGACACGTCGTCGCAACCAGTCTCGTGACTATGATCAAAGTCCTCGCCCAGCTACAGAACCTTCATTGTGGTAACGATAGCCAAGGCGTTTCCAAGAAGGTCTCCATCCATGCTTCATCCGTTGGATATGCCAACTACATGGCGTCCATGCGGCTCAAGAAGATTGAACTAAAGGTCAAGGAGGCTAAGAAGAGAAGGGTCTTACAGATGAGAAAGTTGATACGACTTTCCCTTCGGAAATTAGCAAGCCTGCTACAGCGACGTACCGTACTCCTGAGTAGGACGAGATGGTCCATTTGCCAACTAGTAAGCCCTTGCCCTCTTTGGATTCACGGGCACTGACTCTGAACAGCTTGAAAGATGCGCTTTGATGGGTACGGTGTCTCAAACTACAGCGCCAATAATTAGGAGGCTCTCGGTGTCTTCAAGGTAGCCAATGACATCCAGCCATTTTATCAGCCAAATGGACCCAGTCACATCGGCGGCTAATTCGCTACGTCTGTTTGTGTGTGCCATGAGAGCTGGAAGGATAAGGGCAAGAAGGACGAACATCAGGAGAATGAAGAACCTGGGGTTTATGAAGGTTCTTGTGGTGTGTGGACATACTCATGTACCTCAGCCTGTTACTTCAGGGTGCGACATTAGTTGAGTAATGTGCCGAAGATGGCTAATAATGACACGTTCTGTTTCAGAATTCAGAGGGCCGTGATAGTAATAAACCGCTTACACTCAAGAGTCGATGGCGACGACGTAAGCAAGGAGCCTCGACGAGCGCATCGACGAACGTTGAGTCGAGCGAGATTCTGGATCATCGCGAAACTTGGACTTGCAAGCTGCTCGCGCGCATGCGACCATCCATCCAAGATCGGCCATGCTATTATACGAACAGGTTTCTTCGGACCCAGAGGGGTTTCGGATATCGGCACGGGCCGTCGTTGCCGATCCCCACAGCGGCTGAGACAGGCGAAATACGAGGTTTCGGATTATACCCAATGACGAGAAATAGGCATTGCGACCTCTCGAGTGTGAACATTAATAGCTCACCGATATTCTAATTTTTTTAGTAGCAGGCCTACTCACCACTGTGCTTAGACATAAACCGCAGGACTTTCGGAACTCGGGACGACGATCCTCGCAGGTCAGAAAGTGAGTTTGAATAAAGAGGGCATGGTTCATTGTTCAAAGCACTTGATTTTAGTTTCAGTTCGTATAGCATGACGCGGCAGCGGGCCGAAATATGGGGATAGGCCGGCATCGTAAAGCAGCGAATCGGTAGTTGTAAGTCCAGCTGGTATATACTGCGTGATTTCAGGGTATATAAGATCACCTTTTATCCTCCGTTGATTATGTTCATTGCTCAATCTCAATTTCCTCAGCTACATCATCATAACACTATCTGAACATCTCTCTAGTTCTTTGAACCCCAATTTCCAGACGAGGTAAGACTTTATGACCATTACATGCGTTCCCCGACTTACTAGCCCAAAGGAGGCATCATGAGATTCACCACCGCGATCACGTACATTATGTTGTCCGCAACAGTCGCTCTGGCTGTTCCGTCGGAGAAGAGGAATGCCGAGGCCGATGAGCTCATTGTGAGGGGTCTTGAATTGCGCGGCACTTGCTGCACATGCCCTAATGGACAGGCTGGGTGCGGTGGATATTGTTACAGCAACTGCCCTCAGTGTATCTGGAATAAGTGTTAGATGGGTCAGCTACTAGCTACGGATGACACAGATAGAAAGTGAACTACTGGATCTTTTTGGTTTAAATTGTCTCTCCATATCACCAAAGCGTGACCTCTAAGGCTCTGTCAGCGTCTGTGTAACCGCGAAATGGTCACACAGGAACAGGGCATTCTATCATTCCCAATCTTCTTAAACCAACCATCTTAGGAAGCTATAATACTCTTCCCTCCGTCTGCAGTAATACGATTACGAACTATCGCTTTGATGATTCCATCACCAAGAAAAACCGGTTGCCAATCGCCACCCTTCTGTGCAACAGAAGCCCCTGCGTGAGTCTTGGGTATAGCGTCGACTATAGCGCTTGGAGCAAATACAAATGCCTCACCAGTGCGGAGTTGCACAATGTTGGAGAAAATCTCAGATGCTGGAATGGTCCAATATTGTTTAGAACCCTGCTCGCTTTCATTTGGTGTTTCCAGCCCTTTGGCGCCTGACTCGTCATTATCAGAAGCCCCCGCAAGATGGCGCCGGAGAACTTGAAGCCAGACCGGCGATGTGAAACGATGCACAATTGTGATGGAGCAGAGATCCAATAGGTTCGGAGATACTGTAGGCTCCTGTGTAGATATAATGATTCTCGTACCGTTGTGGCGTTGGAGGCGGATTGCAGACAAGAGGGACTCTGTGAAAACGCTGCTTTCGTTGGTATTGTTCATGTACTTGTGTGACTCATCCAGTGCCACTACTCGTCCCAAGTCTGTTTTCTGCTCGAAGAAGAGACTGAGACATATATCGAATAAAGAGCATGCTTGTTCTGCGGTTACGCATGGGCAGGATAGGTCGATGATGGTCAGCTGGCCACTCTAAGATACAAGACGTTAGTTCTGAACCAAACAAGAATAAAAATTTGCCATTTCACATACAACAGGTGTCCAGTCAACTCTGCCTCGGTTCTTCGGCGCTGCTTTTCCCTCCCCTTTCTTACCTTTTGGTCCTTCCGCAGGAGCGTCCTGCTTCACCATAAAGCTCTCCAGTGTTTCCAGTCGTTGGTGAAGAGGAGCAGATTGCTGTTTAGTGAGATTCGCAGCTTTCATGGCATTCTTAAACTCTTGGTAGTTGAAGCCCCCTCCTCGCTGTTGCTGCTTGATTCTCAGTTCTCGCAAAATGCGCATAACGGTGTGAAGGTATAGTGGCATTTTTTCGCCTTGGCCCGGGCTTGCTACCATCAGGTTCAACATGCGTTTTGTGTTTAGGTCATCTTGACTGAAGCGAAGCTCTTGAACCGTGACGTTGGGGAGACAGGCGTAGATATTCTTGGGGAGAGTTAGTGGTCTTTTCTTGTACCACAGAAGCAGAAGTTACCTTGATAGTCGCCGTATTTGTTGGAGGGCAGAGTACTCTAACAGATACTTTCTTGTTAGAGGACAGACACGCTGCTTCGCATGGGATACCACCTGAATCCGATACGAAGGAATCATAATGAAAGACCAGCCCTGCCAGCGGTCGAGTCAAGACATTCGCAACGGATCTCACGAGACAATTCTCCAGTAGCGTTGCCAATGTATGGCTCTTTCCAGAGCCTTGACTCCCACAGATAAAGACGCTAGAAGGAGCCGCAACGTTGTAGAACAACCTAGAAGACTCGTTTAGCGCTGAACCATTGGAGATGTCGCAGGCCAGCAGTCCATATTGGGGTGCTTTCTTTTTGGGGGCGTGTTGTTTGAGGTATTTGCCGACTTGGTCTGTGAATATTGGCGTTGAGATGACGTCGTGGACCTCGGAATGTTCTGGGGGATAAAACAATTTCATTTGAGCTTGCAGGTCTTGGACGTGAAAATTAGCCATTTTGATATGCTAAGAATGATAATGTTATAGATCAGGTAAAGATGAAGCTCCTCGTGTGTAACGAAAGAATTTGGTGGATATGAGTTGGTAGGCCTCCCGGGATACCACAGTGGTAGGCCTCCTGCGTCAGGTTATGAGCATTGGAATGAATAACAGTACAAGCAGTCAACATCACGAACGGGGTAAAAATCATCCCTTGTGCCATTAAGTTATAATGCATATCTAAACCACTAGCTATATATCCATAACCATCATCACTATCGCAAATTTGAGTTTTGCCTAAAAACCGGCCTCATTTCTGTGAGCTCCACCCCATCATCTTTATCGATACTGCTTGTCTCCTGCTCAATCGACGTTGTGATTATGACTTTGCTACTAGACGCAGAAGAGGCAACGGCTGCATTTGAGTGTACCCGCGTTGATACTCTAGTATCGATGTTTCTGGCTGAAACAGTCTCTGTGACGTCCTTATCGCTGGACGGGAATATGAGCTCGCGCCATCGACTCAGAGAAGATTCATTGACACCATAGATTATGGCATCGACGAGACCTTGTGACACAATGCAGGCCTGCTCACGTCAGTACTGTCAGAAAGTACTGGTTAAATTACTAACCTTGTCGATCGTCTGCAATGCAAATGGAGCTGGAGTATGCTTGATGGTCTGATATATCCGAATGGCCGTAGGCAGTGTCCAGACCAGCATATACACAACGGGATACATAATCATTAATCGTGCAATCTACCTCTTTGTTAGCACTCCGCCGTGCACTGTCAGCAATTGAAGTAACAAACCCTTTGCAGTCTTCGACGGCCAGCGGCATCTGACTCGTGATACCGCCAGACATCATGATTCGACCGCGTAATAGTCCGTTCTCTAGAGGGTTCTGATGTCGAGTTCGAGTTTCCAAGTGAGATGAAACTCTTATGCGATTTTCGGAGAATGAAGTACAGACGAGCGTACATGGAGAGGATGGTGATGATGATGACCCATCGCGGAACAAAGTTGGCGAGGAGGCGGACTTCATCGGAAGTGAACCAGCACCCTAATAAAGTTAGTACAACCCCATTTCAGTGTTCAATGACGTACAAGCTCCAATATCACCATATCCCGCCAGTTTCAGTCCAATTCCAGCCCAAAGAAGGCTAAGTACCCAAGGAAGACACGAAAGGAAGATGCGTTGATCTTGGACCCAGGATGATAAGGATTTGTAACCTGCCAAAATGACGTAAGTGCACATTGCAATAGTTAAGACCCAGTAATCTGTCTGTATGACAAATACTTGGGTCATGAAACCGTTAAAACTGCAGAATGCTTGATGCTCTGGGGCACCGATCTCTTTGCCGTTGATGTTCATGGCAGTCGACGAGAGAAAGTTGAGCGCCATGAGAAAGTCGCTAGCTGCGAGTCCACTGAATCTTGTGAGTACAGATCAAGTCGAAGTGGGAGTGCTAGAGGTACGAACAGGATGAGCTGATGGCGGAATGATCGGAGACTTTTGAAGACCTGTGGATTGTAAGCTATTTTGTCATGGAGGAAAGACGTGGGATACTACAAAGAAGCTAACGATAATCCATCCAGCTCCAAGAATGGAAAGAATTGACACGACCAGGATAACAATACTTTGCAGGACCATCTCTGATCGATCAGCGGGAGCGGCCAGGGCCTCACGATGATAGATATGCATTGGCGACGCCATTGTCGATGATCAATCGCCTAGCGAGGCGCTACGGCTGGGGAAATCAGATGGCGCAATAGACTTTGGGCTTGACAGGATGGTCGCAGAGTAAGTTTACAATTACAGGAGCGTGAAACGCTGATCTTAAGGTCATTGCCACTGCGGGTACCATTTCCGTTATCATCCCAACTCAGCTGTTAAGTCCAGATATCCCCGGATATGGGACGATGTACAGACATCCAACCGATCCATCGACAAGTCAAAGACGTTCTAACCATAACGTGCCAATAAACAGCTATCTTGTCATGCTTACTCAGTAAACTCTGAATCTCTTATCACCTGTCAAGACTTTGCCCTTGACCAAAGCTGGCAGGCACGTCAAGTACCAGCATTATTAGGCTGTGAACTCGAGTCATAGCCCCTTTTAAAAAGAACCGTTATTGAAGATAAACGTGTTGGTGGCTTGCTTCAGCTGACGGATGTACCTGTTTTGAGACCAGGGGTTTTTATCTTGATGAAGAGGTTGGGCTTGTGCTATTGGTTGAGGCTCCGCCAGCTCCGGAGATGCAGAAATCGAGTGGCCTGCCCCCACACGGGAACTGATAAGGAACATTGCAGGGTTCGACGACGAGGTGAGACAACAAGACTATTGATCAAGTATTTATAGGGAGTGAAGAGAGAAGAATCACGATTCCTTTTTTCTTCTCTTGCATTGAGTAATGCTGAGGAAGTTGTATATAATTATTATTTTTATGCTTATGCAGATTTTCTAGATTGGTCATGGAGGAATGAGTGATGACAGCCAGACTGAATGCGTCACCAGTTGGACTTGATTGAAGAAAACAATTCTAGTAAATGTTGAATGCGTAACCTCGTTATGTCTATAGTGAGAGATCTTGATCAGTATTGGATCAATCGCGGCTCAATCCCGCCCTATTCTTCATGTCGTCAAAAACGCGCTTCTACGCGTCGCAACGCGTTAAAGCCTCATGACGTCGCAACTCCACCAGCTCCATCACCAAGCGAGAATAACGGTTCTATTACCTAACATCACGAATACGATTTCCTTCCAAAAGATCAACTGATCTTGACCAATCTTATCAATCTCATCAGCTCTCCATCTCCATCTCCAAGGCCCAAATGTCTCAGCCGCGCAAGAGTCGGTGAACAGAGGCGAAACCTTGTTCCGCTCCGTTCCTTTACCCCACAAACCGTACGTTCCCTCAGGCCATTTATCAACTCGGTCCTGCACCACAAGACACAACTGCTCTTCCTCCAAGCACAATCATCAAAATGGCCAATCTGGGCATTGTCGCGGTCGTTACGACACTCGTCGTTCTCATCCTCACCTACGGTGTACCCCTCTTTCTGAAAGAGTACTTCCCCTGGCAGAGTCTGTACAAACAGCGCCACGGAAGACCTACCGTGACCACAAAGTCGTACAAAGGGCGAACGGCGCTCATCACCGGTGCGAATGGAGCGTTTGGATCTCGAGCGGCTAAGATTTTTGCGCAGAGAGATGTTGAAACGCTTGTGCTCGTTGATGTGAGGGATTGCAGTGGTGTGAAGGAGGAGATTGAGAAGGAGTTGGGCGAAGCGGGCAAACCGGTGCCCAAGATTCTGGTCTGGCAGGCTGATTTGATGACGTTTAAGGGATGTCAGGAACTTGGGAGGAAGGCGAAGGATTTGGAACATTTGGATCATGTTTTGATGACTGCGGGAATTCTGGCGTTTAATCGTCGTGAATCGCCTGAAGGCTGGGAAACTTGTGAGTTCAATCATGTCAAGCTTGGGAGGATACTAACCTGTTGACAGCCATCCAAGTCAACTTCCTCTCCGGCGCACTCCTCTCTCTTCTCTTCCTCCCTCTCCTCAAGTCCTCCCCATCCAACCCCTCCCCTCCCGTTCTCACCTTTGTCACGACCTTTGGCATCTACCCCTCCTCCTTCACGATGGGCGTACCCAAAAAGGGCTCTTACCTCAAGAAACTCAGCAACAACAAGGAAGGCATGGAACAAGCTCATCAATACGGTCGCTCCAAGGGCCTTCTGCTCTACTGGGCCCGCGAACTCGCTTCTCGCGTCTCCGCCATCCAAGCAACGGAGAAACTTCCCCGCAAGGTCACCATCAACAGCGCTGATCCGGGTTCTGCATGGACACCTCTTACGAATCCTAACCAGGCGAAGCTTATCCCACGACTCATCATGAACTTTGGAGCGAGAGATCCGCAGATCTGTGCGACGGCTTTGGTCAATGGTGTTTCGGCGACGGAGGATGCTCACGGCAAGATTATGCAGGACTTCGATACTGCTGAGTAAGTGATCTACACGATATGATGCGTTTTGGTACTGATTAAGATTTAGCTATCCTCCTTTCATGGTGAGGAAGAGTGGCCGTGCGGCTCAGGCGCGTGTTTGGGAGGAGACGAGGGAGGAGCTTGAGGCGAAGGTCCCAGAGGTCAAGGCCATCTTTGACATGCTGGACCAGTAAAACCGCTGCGATGATCACATTACGACAGCTTTGGGATCAGGTATTACGTGATGAGGCCAAGCAGCTGAGGAGGCGATGAGTGTAAAGCATTGAAATGGCCCGATGGGGTAATAATCCGCGGGAGACCAAAGGCATTGCGCGTATCTTGCAAGGGCCACGGTGATTCGACAAGGATGGAATATGGCCTTGCTAGCGCTAGCGCAACTAAAGCAAAATTGAAGTTTAAAAATTAGTCTAAATCGAATACCGGTATTTTGGCGCCCGCGCGAAACGGCAGTTAATTCATTGGAAGAATACCATTCACATTTATCGTCATTCCGTTCCATGCTGACGCCTTCACGTGGCTGTATGTCACGCTTCACCAAAGAAATAACCCCGAGATAAAGACCTTATCGTTATCTAATGTATGCTACTACCGGGGAGATCAGCCTACCACGAAATCTTGGCATAAACCGAAATGGCGACACGCGCCAAATAAGCCTCATGAGCTTGCGAGTCATTTTCATGCACACCAGAGAAAGAAAAGTCACGCGATACAAACATTGCATCAGGAAGTTGGAAGTGTGACCTGTTTGTTGGTAGTGAAATGCCTCAGTTGCCGCATTTCCAAGCGATGCGGATTCAATTTGCCGGCTGGTTCCAGGGTAGGTAAAGTGGCCTGCACACAGCCCCATTTGTGATTTCGTGCTCTTACCCGAGGTATCGAGCGGGCGAGATTTGACTTTCCTCGGCGGTGCTGAGGGGAAGCGCCATCGCGATTGCAAGCGATAATTCAGGCATGAATGCACGCGATAATTCTGTGATTTGTTCGGTGAGCGAAAAAGGACAAACCGGTAAAAGTGGCGATGGCATAATTGCGGGGAGATGAGCGACGGCAATAAAACATGTCACTGCAATTCCGCGTCACTGTTGGGTTGATCACCACCTTGGTCCATAATTCATTAGAGCAGGACTCAACAATCTCGATGATCGAACGCACCCATCGTCTGCACATGCCGAGAACTCTATTTTCTATTCGGCATCTACCGAATAAACTTAATCACCATCGCATAAAAATGCAACGTCAAAGCCTCCAAGTTGAACGCGTAAAATGTCAGGTCAATTAAGCTTTTAGACAAGAAATCCCAAAAGCTTAACCCGAGTCAAAACCAAGCCGAAGCGCTGGACCCTGAAGCTCCACCAAACTCAGGGGCTGTCCCCAGCTTTAGTCCAGACTCAGTCTAGACCCAGCGTTTTTAGGAGGTCTCGCCCACGTTTAACCAGTCTTGGCTGGATCTGCATTGCTAGTGTCGGGGTTGCAATTGGCTAAGCCGCAACGAGGCATCATCCTCGAGATTGCGACTCCACCCGCTGGGTCGATATACGGTAAACGAAAATGGATCTTTACCCAACAGACTCAGGCGCAGCACGAACAAACCGCTACGCCCCAGCCAACCAAGTGCCAACTTTATAGGGGCGAAGCTCACGAAACAGGAAGGCCCTGTAAAAATGGACCTTTGGGTCTAGATCGTCGAGGCTAATGTCTGTTACACGTTAGATCGTTGTTGGAAAACGGGGGTGCGCCTTTTGCGGCGCGGGCTGTAGAGCGTTATTTATCGGACAGACGCCCAGATTTTTCTTGTGTCCGCCGTCGTATTCCCTACCTGACAGTTTTCACCCAAAGGAGACCATGTTCTGTCAATAAAAGCTGCAAACAAAACTGGGTGTAACAGTGTTAGGGCCGATTGCGTGGTAGTACCTTCTGCGCGCTCCTTTCAACAGGAATCTCCGCCTTCTCTTCTTCTTCTTCTTCTTCTTTTCCCTTTTTCGGATAAACAAGGTTCAGGATGATCTGGTTCAGGAAGTTGAGCTCGCTCATCTACTCCAAACTCGCCAACAGACGGTTCGCATTCGCTCTCACGACACTAGCTGTATGCGCCGCAAAGGGAGTCCATCTTCACAACCACCGATCCAGCGTCGCCCCCAAGCGCATGCTTCTCTTCTTCTTCTCTTTCTTCACCCAAGACATTCTCCTCCTCCTCCTCATCCGCCTCCTTCTCAGCCACTGGGTCCCCAGCTTTCCCGGCAAGCTACGAACATTCATCACAGCGCTTGCATTCTTGTTAATAACTTATAATGTCTCCCTCTGCATTGTTTCCGTTTCTTTCTACATCGTCGCTGGATCTGAGATCCACTGGCGCAACATTGGGTTTATAGCTGACCCGTCGGCGCGAGCGATCATCTTTTCGGGGTTTACTGCATTCTTGGGCGTTTTGTGTCTTTGTGCTTGTTTTAGTGGCGTTCTTCAAACGGCGTGCTATGGGCTTTTTGGGTGGGGAGGCGACATTGTCAATTGGCCGATGAACTTTCTTGCGCGGAAACTTTGTTGCTGTTGTTTTGGGAGGAGGAACGCTTATGATCAGTTATCGCAGAGGGATAACGTGCAGTGGATTGACAGTGAGAGCGGATCGAGTCACGATGAGTGCTCTGAGGATGAGTACAAGGATAGGTCCAGATCGTCATCGAAGACACCGCGACATACGGCCCGAGCACTCAAAGGCGATTCACCAGCCAGAGGATCCAGATGCACCCGATTTATACGTATATTACCGTATCCCGTCGTCAGCATCCTTCTCACGGCGCTTTTCACACTCACATTTCTACGACCCAAGGATCCGTCTCTAATTTTCCTCTCATGGACCAGCGGCCTTTTACCTTTTGTCGACTTTGCTTCAACATCGCCATTCCTCGACGATCTCCCCTCTGTTTTTGGTAAAGGCATGCAACGAAGCTGGGATGAGCGCACTGCCCTTGCTCAACCTCCGTCTTTGAGCTGGCTCCCGAAAAACGCACTACCAAGAGGCTTTGAGGACTGGCATGACGAGAAAACCCACTACAACGCCGAATCCGACCCACTGAAGATTTCGAATCTGGATGAACCTCTACGTGAATCCCTTCGCGGCAAGTTGAAAGACATCAATATTCGTCACGTGGTTATGTTTTTTCTCGAAAGTACGAGAAATGATGTTTTTCCTATTAAGAAGGACGGATTGATCTGGAATCGATTCGCCGATACATTTCCTGACAAGAAGCTCCCACAAGAAGTGCAAGACAAGCTGGCCAGTTTGACACCGACCGCGAATTTTATCACTGGAGATTACGACGATGGATTCGAGCATGCTGAAAAGCCGAAACGTGGTGGAATTCACTTTACGAATGCGCATACCGCTGGGACATATACTCTCAAGAGCATGACCGGCACAGTCTGCGGTATCGCTCCTCTCGTCGGTGATTTCAACCTCGAGCACAGCCATCACATTTATCAGCCCTGCTTACCGCATATTTTCGAGGCCATGAACCAAGCAGAGGCATTGAGCGAAAACACCAAGTCCAAGCGCGATGGACATTCAGGCACGAAATTAAAGTGGAACGACAACATGAACAAGGAGGATAAGTGGCACTCTTACTTCTTCCAAGCTGCGACGCTCGATTACGACAATCAGTACAATTTAATGTCTGCGATGGGATTTCCGATGAGGAACACGATTGGGAGGGAGTATCTTCGGAGCGATAGTGCGAAGCATGGTCCTGTTACGCTACCGAATATCAACGAGTTCGCATTCGAGGAAGATCCGTTGGAGGATTACATCACCGACATTTTCGAAGACGCGGCCAAGGCCAAGAGTCGCGTGTTTTTGACTCATTTGACGAGTACGAGCCATCATCGATTCCACATGCCCAAGACGGAAAAGTACACGCCTTTGGCAAAGGGTCTAGACATGATGTCTCGCTACGTCAACACAATCGGCTACGACGATCGCTGGATCCGAAAAGTCCTCGACGTTCTCGATAAGCAGGGCATTGCGAACGAGACATTGGTTATTTTCCAGGGCGATCACGGTACTTCGCTTCCAGAAAACGACTACGCTTCACCTTATTACAACCCCAACATCGGCGTCGATCACGTCCCCTTGATTCTATCGCATCCTCAATTACCGCCCTTCAACGTAGACGACGCAGTCCACTCGACACAAGTCCTCCCCACCATTCTCGACATCCTTCTCGAAACCGGTTCTCTCAGCCCCAGCAGCCGCGACGCAGCATCATCCCTCATCACCAACTATGAAGGCCAATCGCTCCTCCGACCTTTACGCACGCAGACCAGCGACAACAGCACCGGCCAGTGGCAGTTCACGGTCACGAACCCCGGACGAGCAATGCTTACAGTTCGCGACGCGAGGTTTCCAAACAGACATCTCGTGGTGCCGGTGATAGAGAACGTGGATTGGAGATTATCGGATCTGGAGAAAGATCTGCACGAGCATGATTCAGTGCAGGCGTTGGATTTCACGGAGTTTGTCAAGAGTGTGGAGGGGAGGTTTGGGAGGGACGTTGCGGAGTGGGCGGAGGAGGGGGCGTTTGTTACGAGGTGGTTTGTTAAGGAGAATAGCAGGCGTTGGCGTTTTGATCACCAGGGGTGATGTTATGAACAACTATGGATGACTAGATATTTTAATATTATGCGTTGACTTTCTTCTTCAATTGCTCTCTCATTGATTTACATGATCTGTGAGATTTTGCTACAGACTTGTGAGAGTCTCTGCATCGCTCTGCTGCCATGGATGCATGCGCTCAATTGACTCAATCAACTTACGAGTTTGGGAAGATCGGGGCTTGATCGCAGTTTCGAAGGGCTTCGGATGACTGACAACTCCAGACGTGAACTCAGCCTTGGGCATCTCAGCTCCCTCTTTCTCTCCGATGTCAAACACAGCAAGTGTCTGCGCCATATTGAGAAACAGCGTCTTGTCAGACATGGCTTGGGCTGGGCAGATTCTTCGACCAAAGCCAAAGACAAAACGACCCGGGTCTGTCTCAGCCTCCGGACCAAGAAAGCGCTCTGGTCTGAAGGCCAATGGATCGTGGTAAAGTGCGGGATCATGGCAGATTTGCCTTTTAGCGGCGTCAGTTAACACCCGATTACGAGAAGTGGATGATGAGCTTACCAGATATTCGGAAGTATCATTGCACCCTTTGGGATGAGATGCCCATCGACAATGTCGTCCTGAGAGGTTGTATGGGGAAGACACATTGGTCCGACAGGATGCCATCGGAGGACTTCCTTCACAATCGCATTGACGTATGGCAAGCTTTGTCGATCCGATAGCGTGGGTAAGCGGTCTCTCCCGATGACCTCGTCAATCTCATATTGGGCTTTCTTCTGAGCCTCAGGAAAAAGTGTCATAGCGAGAAAGAACGTCGTGATGGCAGACACGGTCTTGTCAAAGGTCAGCTGCGTCATACCGCCTACTCGAGACTTATCATACCGTATCAGCACCTGCAGCGTAGAGAGATGCCGCTAGCCATTTGTTCTCAGAGTATTCCTCATCCGTCAAGCTTTTCTTCTGCAGTAGCTGAGACAGGAACGATGTATTATCCTTGCCATTGGCCATTTGATACTCCACGAAAGCCGCTGGGTCCTCAACCGAGCTCTCGAGGTTAGATCTCCACTGCTTCGCTGTAGATTTGAAAACAGCTCCAGGGAACCACTCGGGGACATATTTCACTAAAATGGACTGGTTAGGACACTATTCCTCATTGTGACTTTGACACCTTACAAATTGGGATGAGGTCAACCATAAAGGCCCCAGGCTTGGCCGCGATGCCAAACTCATTGACGACCTTTCGTACCGTAATAAGTAGAGGATCAGGTTTGAACTGCTCAGCGGTGTATCCATAGACAACCTTAACGATCACAGAGCCAGCTTGCCTGGAGCAGATGTCAGTGTTGTCATCGGATATTTGGACAGAGAAGCTTGAACTGACTTCTGTATATGCTCAACCAAACGGTCAGGGTCTCTAAGTAAATGCAGCAGAAAATGTCCAACTTCAATCTCTTGTATGGCGTCGTTGGTCTTGATGCTAGCTTCCGACTTTAGGCAAAGGTGAGCCTTCTTGCGGTGACTGCGAAGCTGGCCGTTATATGGCAGAAAGCTCAAGGTCTTGTCCCAGCCAACCCTGTTATTTGTGAGCAGGCGAATTCGTAGTGAGAAAGGAGATATGCGCGCACATTTCACCAGCGAAAGTCATCTTTGATCTGCTAGAATGTTTGGCTGAGCGATCGTTGAGGATGGTCTGAGCCAACTTCGCATCGTTGATGATGACAAGGGTTTGACGGAAGACCGTAACGGAACTAATGTTCCCTGACGCGTTCATCGTCAATATCCGAGAGAATTATGGGCTTTGATTGATCATACCGTATAAGTCCTTATGCTTGGCCCATTGATGCGCCTCGAATTCGCCAGCTCGTGGGAGATCTAGTACATTACCGACAAGAGGAAGACCTCGGGGCCCAGGAGGTAGCTGCGCATTACGCGATGTTTTGGCAAGAAGTTTGGTGACGTATATAAACACAAAGGTTATGACACCGGTGTAAACAATTAGCGAGGCGGACTCCATGACACCAGAAAGTTGAGAACTGGATAAGTGAAGCATCAACAACTGGCAAGGGGCATAATAATGAACGTAACGGTCGGTAAGCTCTGGCGACGCCCGACTTTTAAGAGTATTGCATCCAGCACAAAACACTAGACTCCTTACCGTAGTCGCTAGCTATTCGAGGACTGCTTAACTGGGCTGTTACGCCATGAATCAACAGGTCCATCAATAAAAACTAATCATCTTCCCTCATGGCAGCAAAATTCCTGCTCAAATGGACGGTAAACCATGGCAGACATGCGCCAAGACAGCTCTACAGACAAACATTTCCACCAACATGGCGCTACGATCTGATTGTGTTACATGAAGCCAGAACTAGTGTCGTCCACCAACAAACTGGCTTATTGGAGAACGTGTGACTGGCCATTTCAGCACGCTACGTACAACTTGCAGAAAATCCGAGGTTTAGTCCTGAGATGAGCTGGCATGGCTTTAATTGTTTGTCTGATCGGGATGGTAATGCCTGCGACCCGAATGGTGGACCGGTGCAGTCGCTTGACGATTGGAGTCCGTGATACGGGTACAAGGAATTGACCTCGTCAATTTGAATCAGGTCGCGATGGGGTTTCCCTATTGGGCCTCGTGTATCTACACAGGTGTAATTGTAACAGATCCGATCTGAGAAGGGCTTGGTTATGACTGAGATGCCTATGTCACAGGACCAGTGCGCAGACCTTTATTCAATTGAGCAGAGAAAAGGTGGATGCCATACTTACGAAGAAAACAAATAAAGACTATGCGAATAGATCTTGCGTAGTACTTGTCTACTGAAGAACTCCAGCAAAGAAGTGTACTTCGTGATCCCATCTAAAACTTGGGCAGCGATCGCTTCTGCAACACAGAAGATCGTTCATGCTATCACAATAGAGATAGTAGTATCGATAGAAGTCTGGCTTGGCTTTTCGTAATTGCGAAGTTGTATTGGGTGATAAGACAAAGGGATTTATATGCAGTGACTCCCTATCAGTTGTACGCTGACGATAGCTCACTGATGCGAATTTTGCAGAGCGCATATGCGATAAAGGACTTAGCCCTTGAGGTAGAAGCATGTTCTGCATAAGTAGTATCACACCGGATAAGTAAAGTGCATGCCATAGAATAGCCTAGGTCGGTCGAGGAAGTAAGACTTTGACAGCTGATCGCGTTCAAGTGCTGTTTGTTACGGAAAAGAAACGGTCGTTCTCGAGATAAGATATCATAGCCGTCGTTGTATTTTCCTTGATGCTCAATATTGGCAAAGCTTAAAACCATGATTCTACATCGAGCAACTTCGGGCAAGGCAAGACTGGTACGTACATATCATGCTCTTCAAAGATATCCAATGCCGGTTTTTGAGGCGTAGTATTACTTGCATCTATCGAAATTCTATGTACGTATTCGCCAGGGCGAGTATGAGAGGAGACATTGTGTAAAAAAGGCAGAGAAGGATCACGATCTTTCCGAAACGACGGGCCCTTTCGGCAGATACTCTCGACCCCAAAAGCCGCACTCATGATATGACCAATGCGGAGAAATCAGGTTCCCGGCTGATTAGAGCAATAAGGTTTGGAGAGAAGCAAAGACCTATTTCTATTTGTTGTAGTCGTTGTTTTAGGCCAAGATAGAACTACCGACTGCGACGTTAGCAGAGCCTCTGCGGAGACTTCGGCCCATGACCCCGCTCTTCTGCCGAGTTAGTCATCGCGTCAGGCACGGCAATTGCCTTCCATCTGATGTCAGAATAAGCGATCTGACATGCAAATGAGAGAATTAATAAAGAAGCCCACTGGCCATTTCTCCCAACAAGCATAGTTCATTTTCAACCCTCAGCAAAATGATTCCAACTGAAGATCAACCTGTCCTCATCATAGGCGCTGGTATAAGCGGCCTGCTTCTTGCACAGAGTCTCTCACGACATGGTATTCCCTTCCGTGTATTCGAACGCGACACAGACCTTGAAACACGTGGCGTAGGATGGGGCCTCACTCTTCTCTGGACGCTGCCTGCCTTGAAAGCACTTTTACCCAAGCCTCTGTTCGATCGCTTGCCAGAAGCCTATGTCGATCGAGAAGCTGTTACCCAAGGGCTGTCGTCGAGCTTCCCGTTCTTCGACTTGAGTACAGGAGAGCTCAAGGCCTCTGTACCTAAAGCACCAGAGGCAGAACGTGTCCGAGTGACAAGACAGGGTCTAAGAGTTCTGCTAGCCACTGGGATTGACATTGAGGTACGTTGCAGTCCTGGGTCCAGTTTTCCTGCACTGACACTTCCGGATATCAGTGGAGTAAAGCTGTTACTGGAGTCGTGTCGACAGACGACTCTGTCACTGCTTCATTCGAGGATGGCACCTCAGTGACTGGGAGTTTACTCGTCGCATGTGATGGTAGTCACTCACGAGTGCGTCGCTCACTGTTCCCCGAATGGAAGCTCCAAGACATTCCTGTTCGAATGCTAGGCATAAAGATGGAGCTGTCACCTTCACAAATCCAGCAAATTCGCGACCTAGATCCCTACTTCTTTCACAGCACAAACTCGAGGAATGACACTTTCATATACTTTAGTGGTAAGTCATCCGACCTTGCTATTTCCCTGAGCGTTGCTCATGGCTACTAGTTCTCGACGCGCCAGGCAATCACACCGATACCGACCGCCCGTACATTGGGCAACTCTGCATCTCGTGGCCATATCGCGAAGGCTTCATGAACAGACCTTCTCCTATCGAGATTCCGGATACACCAGAAGAGAAGTACAAGTTGGTTCAAGAGTTGACTTCCACCTGGGCGGGGTGCTTTCGTCCGCTTGCATGCGCAGTGTCGTTAGATAGCGAGATGAAAGGCCTAAAGATACAAGACTTGACCCCTCCAAAAGACTTCCAAACGGCTGGCCGAGCTGTACTCATGGGAGATGCTCTTCACGCGATGGCAATGTGTAAGGCTCATCATTCATTCTCTGTATACCTATCACTAACAGAAAAGACCGGGGAGAGGGCGCAAACCATGTCATCTTCGACGTTAAAGACTTTGTGGAACGAGTTGTTCCTGCTCTCAATGGCGATGGCGATCTGAGATCCGCGCTGGATGAGTACGAACGAGCGGTCGTTACCCGAACGCGTCCAGCAGTACTGGCCTCGAGGCGAGCCTGTTTTGATGCACATAATTGGAAGAGGATTAGCAAACTGAGCCCGCTGTTGACAAAGCGCATGCCATTCATAGAATTTGAAGAGACCGAGGAGGCCGAAGTAATACATAGGCTATAAGAGAAAGAGTAATACATAGCATTCTTGTGCTAATTGCCGTTTCACTGATTTCTAGCAATCGGCCTTATCTATGCACCTATCTTGTCCTTGATCCGATCGCGCGTAAGGTGTGCTTCACTGATCGGAACCTTTGGAGGTATACAGCTTGTACTTTCTGGCCAATCCTTTCAGCTCCCGCCAGTCAGGAAGGGATCAGATAGTTCTGTTTTGAGTCTAAGACATGGAATCATACCATATTATACATCACCAACCTGACTCAAAGTTAAAGGCAACAATGGTGAACAAGATCTGAGAAGGCAGCCTCTCCTCCGAACACCTAAGAGGCCCAAGCCACGCTCAACGAAAACATCGACCAGACCTTTGTGGACGGTTCTCAGGGCTGCATGATAGCTATGAACAAGGAGCATCCATTCTTGCACTATCGATGGGATCGTAGTGACAGTCATGTTAGAATTGTATCATGTAGTCCGCTTAATCAGCGTTGCGCAAACAGAAGCGACACATAGACTTGTAATGGTGTCCCTTTGAACAATACAAATCCGGCTTTCTTTTTGTCGCATGACATCACGGTGTACGTGTTCATGCTACATTACTCTTCAGAGCTTTGTAATCTATCATCTCGTGAAATCAGGCTCGCCTAGGCCAGTTGCAGCATCCTACCCATCGACTTTCAAGTTGAACTTCGATAACGGCGTTACTGCCAAGGGCGATCTTAACCCACCCGGCGTCAGCCCTGCCTACGTCGTCGATGGAAGTGGTGCATGGGAGCAGAACTGAGGCTGAACAAAATATATTAGCTATGGCACTACTATGTCTATCGCATATTACAGTTTGGAATAGGGATATGTGGTTGAGAACTACCTGGTTTTCACATGTGGCAAAGATATTGTTTGTGCAACAATTGGATCAGATTAGTGCAGTATCGGCTGCAGGTAGAGAAATTCTTGCTATATTCCTTGGAAGTCTGATAAATATATGGTGAAAAGCTGAACATAATCTTGGTCAGACGGTTAATCCGGTATTTTCCTGACTGAGCCTCCTTTTATACATTTCTCAAAACTCCACAGACGAGCTCTACTCCCCTACTAAAAACGTGATGACATAGCTGCTTCTCACCAAGCAACTGTGTTTTGTAGGATTCCCTACTTGCCAAGGAATACCAAGTTGGCCACGTTCATGATTGCCATGAAAAGCCAGATCAGAATGGCCAGAATCATAGTAAACCACGAGTTGGTCATCTTGACGCCTTGGCCTCGGAGTCTGTCTCCCTCTTCGATTATCCCATCTGCATCTGTCTCATCATCCATGTCACCTGTACGCCAGCGCGCACTACCTGTTTGGACCGTCATATATTTATCACGGCACGTGAAGTAAATGAGAGGGGCGGTTACGAATGGTAGGATAATGCTGAGAGCCACCTGCGATCCATTGAGTGCTGCGTTGAGTCCCTCACGCCCGACGGCTCCTGCGATGATGATGCTTGGGGTGATACTAATACTCCGAGTCACAAGACGGCGTAGCCATGGTTTGATGTTCCAGTTCAAGGCGCCCTCGCTAACCATCTGACCGGCAATGGTGCAGACAATTCCAGCCGAAACTCCTGAGAGCAACAGTGCCAGGGCGAATATGGTGCCCGCAGCGGGTGAGATAGACTTGGAAAGCAATTTGTGAATGCCGAAGATGTCCGCATCGCGAGCGTTTGGATTGTTGTACAGCGAAGCACCTGCAACAATGAGGATAGCCGAGTTGACAAAGAGCGCGAATGTGAAGAGAGAAATAGCCAGGTCGAGAATCGAAAGCTTGAGCGAGTGCTTGATTGCCTTCTCAGATGGGACGTAGTAGCCTTTGTCGATGCTGTCGTCGATAACGGAGGGTTCTGAAGTGACTTGACGAGGCAACAGAGCGCTCCGTTCATCGTATTCACGCAGGCGGGGTTGAACAATGCCGGATCCAAGATATAGACTGTGAGGCATGACCGTCGCGCCGAGAATTCCACAGGCCTGGTAAATGCTGGACAGGTATTAGAGTGGACGCAACAAACCAGAAGGATTTAGAACTCACGCTTCAGACTCAATGAGATACTTCGATGGTAGATAACCTTGGAAGACCTCCCCAGGGGTGGTATCTTTGATCAAAGATAGCTGAATACAGAAGCAAATAACCACGCCGAGGACTAGACACATGATGAACATTTCGAAGCACCGTAAACCCTTCATGGATCCTTCAGGGCGGTAGAAGATGAGGAGGACCATGACATCGAGAATGGAAATGGCACATCCTGCCACCAGCGGAATCTTGGGGACCAGAAGGTTCAAGGCAATTGCAAATCCAATGACCTAGTAAGTCAGCACCTTTTTAACGCAAATGTTGGAAATGGCAAGCGATTTACCTCTGCGATGTCAGTAGCAATGATGGCCGCCTCAGCAAAGACATACAAAATATAATTCAACCACCGCGGCAAAAACGCCCGACAAGCCTGCGCAAGATTAAGTCCACTCACAGTCCCAAGCTTAATCGCCAAACTCTGCAAAAAGATCGCGAACACATTCGACAGCAAGACAATGAACAAGAGCCGAAAGCGATAAGAAGCTCCCGCAGCGATGTCGGTCGAGTAATTGCCCGGATCAATATACGCAACCGAAATCATGAACCCAGGGCCAACAAAAGATCCAATCTTGATGAGGGTGTCTTTGAGACGCTGAAATGGTGTGCCGTTGTCGGCGGAACCAGCTGGTGCTGGCGGGGGGTTGGCGGGCGCTGAGCGCAGACCGCCTGAGGGCTGGCCATGGTCGATTGACCGATGAGCCAGCCGCAGCTTCGCCTTTCCATGGCCGGGCGTTTCAGTGGGAGTGTTGTTGGCTATCTGACCAGACATGTTTGACGCTGCGTCTGGGAGTGCACGAGAGTCGCCTTGGAGAGAAGTGCGACTGTTGACGAGCCCGTTGAAGTCAGCGTTGGTAGTCAAGTCGCTAGAGTTTGGATTTGGGCTCTGGTTGTAGCCATCATCGCCCTCAAAGGGTTCATCAGTGTGAGAAGTCTTGTTCATTTCGATTTCCGTCCAACAATTGACGACGTTTAAATTGAAAGAACCTGGTGTCGCGCGTCGTTTGCGTATTTACCAAGGTACAAAGGGTCAGGCGTATCATCGGACCCGGAATCTTCCTTCTCCGCTTATGGGATGACGTGTGATTGGTTTGAAGGAAGAAGCCATGATACGGTGACGGTATGGCTTTGGTTTTACCGGCAGTTAAGCCTCTGTTATTAGTCACCTAGTCTGACGGGAGATGATTTAATAGGTTGATTGGTGATTCACTGCAAGGGACCCGGGTAGAACGGCAATTATCGGTACGAGGGTCGGCCATTGTCGTGTCATCTCATTCGCAGACAGACCAGGCTAGGTCCCTTAATATCGCGAGATCACGTGCTGTTCTTGCAATCACTTGATCAATCACTTCCCAATACATTACTTTTTTATCTATCTTCATTATAGGCTTGATCGTGGAATACTCAGACTGCCATTATGAAGTACCGGGAATTGCGCGGCTCTGCTCCACTCTGTGTAAACTCTATTAATTCACGTCACGCGACATGTGGATTCAATCAACATTAGCACTAAGCAGGCGAGACATTCACGGGCCGAGATCGAGCCTCATCCCATTGGATCCTCTTGGCAAAGCTGGGCAAGATCTGAACAAAATTCTTGGTGGAGACGTACGTATCTTTTTCCGATCGGCACTGGTAGAAGATGAAACCAGCTAGAAGTAGGACAGATATGACCAACAGCGGTGGTATCCACGGTGTCGCCCAACCAGACACATTTCCTTGCGTGATGGAAACTAGCACTAAGGTCAAACTAGACCATACGAGACCTCCTCCAATCCAGTCGACATATGGCTTCTTGCTGCCCTCGATATCCTCGGTTGGTCCTTGCGTAGCAGCTCTTATGGTATGCCCAGCAGTGACAAAGAATCCAGCAGCTGTTGTACAGGCTGATACAACAGCTGGGATCCAAAAAACCACTTCCAACCCAGTGATGTTCGTACAAAGCCGCCGAGAAGGCTGCCCACGACAGAGCTCAGAGATGCCATGGCGGACATTGTGATAAACGGCATGTTCCTAGAAGGACCCGGTGCAAAAGTGGAAGCCACGATTCCAATGCCAGACGGCATAATAGCCGCAGCTGACATTCCCTGCACCGCTCTCAATACGTAGAAGGGTATTTCGTAGGTGGACCATGGTAGAAACATTGTTGATAATGTAAAGATCGCTGATACTGATAGGAAACCCAACCTTCGGCCATATACATCTGCTAATCGACCCCAGAGGAGCATGACGCTCCCTGTGGAGATGTTGTAGATTGATACAACAAGCCGTTGACGGGATGATGGTATTGCCATCGCATTTCCCAGTTCGGGGAGGATAACAACGATGGATTGAGAGTTGAGAGCCTGTATATCGGGTTAGTTGATGTATTGACCGGTGGAAACATTGCATACGGTGAGAAGGGCAGCGATGGATATGACGACCACAACAAGAATCGCTCTGGCCATGGAGAGATTTGGAAACTGACGGCCATCAGAAGTTGAGCCCTGTGGACTTTGTGTTTGCGTTTGGGCTGCATTGTTGTGATTGACTTCCTGCGCTGGTACGGTTATCGCAAGCTTTACGTCTGGAATGGGAGATTGGTCGTTCTTCATCACAGCGGCTCGAGAATTTGAGGACGAATGGCCACTGAACCAAAGAACAGTAATTTACTATAGTTTTAAGTGAACGTGGCGAATGATGAGTATCCCCCCTTTTGATGGTTTCGCAGCCTAGGATCGCATCATCAGTCATCTCAGCACGTCAGAGGCACCCTCCTGTCACACCATATTCGCACTGTTATTGAAGGTGAGACCCTCGCCTGTTGGGTGTCTCGATATGCAGCGTAAGCCGGGGTTTATTTCCTTGGCTGTTGGCTTGGCATAGACATTGTTGAGGAGCAACTGGAGTGCTTTGGTGGTGCACTTGCCAGGAGTACCAAACTGCATATTGGGGAGGAGGTTGTCATCGAGAGCGAGCAATTTGACACGGTGGGTGAAGATCTTTTCGAGAAGCTTCCCCATGCAAGGAAGCAGGGTGACCGGCCGCCAGCTCTTGGGCTGTTCGTAGTCGTCTTTGTCTGGCTTTCGGAGCATGACAGTGGACGCTGGTTTGAAGGCAGCAGGGTGATGGCCAAGCCGGAGGCAGGCGGCAAACAGGTGGTGAAGGTAGGGCAAAAGTTCCTTCTGGGCCATCTTCATACCCTCGTATGCTAAGAGGTCTGGACCGGCAGCCTTTCCTGTTGGTGCACATGCGATCAACTCCTGGACATCGCCCAGAGTCAGATCTTGCGAGGCAGCGAGAGTGGTCCTTTCAGGATCGGCGGCTGGCTGGTCGGGGGGCTTGTTGCTCGTCGCTAGTGCCGCCTGGCCACGGGGCTTCTCTGATACATCCAGCCATGCCATCAGGCGTACGGTGGGTAAGATTACCCGCCTTCAATTGTCGAATTGGCATCGATGCCTTCTGGTTCCACTTGGCGCCTGCCTTAGCCCAGAAATAGAGCTTTCTGCGCTTCGCAATATCTTGACTTAGCTTGCGGTAAAAGGCCGCAGCACGTTGCTTTCGGATCACGTTTTGCGCCAGGCGCTTGGTCTTGTAGTGCTGTTGGCTCGGCATCATGAGGCCAGTTTTGCGCGTTCTCTCCGCTGCCAGTCTCAGAAGATTCTCGGCTCGCCGAGTCACAAGGGTTGGCTTGTTCTTGAGACGCTTCGATCCGGGTGGTGGAGCTAGAGGCACTAGGTTCTGAATGGCCGGGCCAAATGCCTGAACCAGCCTGCGGGCGTAGTTGTTGGTTATGATAGGGGAGCTGAGCGTTGGAAACCCTAGATGTTCTAGTGCGTTGTTAACAAACTCACAGAACTCCTTCGGGTCGACGAGCTTCCAAAGGTAGTAGGTACTGGGCACTGGCTCGATGTCGAGGTCCAAAGTTGTCATGATGACACGATGGTCAGAGTCGAACCCTGGGACGTGGGGTGAACGCCAATTGCTGACAAACGGGGCGGGAGATGAGCTGGCGCCGGTAAGGTCAATGGTACTGCTGTAGGCGCCAGCAAAACCTTTCCCCCGAGAGTAGATTTTAAAGCCGCGTGGGGTCAAGATCCTCATATCAGCCGCCTTCAGACCACTGCTTAGCTCGATAGCCTGGGGATCGATGGTACGGATGTCATCGCCACCCCAGTCTGGGTGATGAAGGTTGAAGTCGCCGACAAGAAGGTCTTGACCAGTTGCCGTGACCTTTTCCAAAAGGTCTGGGATCTGAACCTTTTTAAACCGATTGTGGACATTGTGAATCGCAATTGTTTGGTCGTCACTAATTCGGAGTAAGAGTGTAGCGGCCAGTCCAAGATTGACATTGTCGTGGAATTCGACGTGCCAACCCTGAACCAGGATGGACTTGTGTATAAGATAGACCACAGCATGTAGTTTCTCCTTTTGTTGGTATGGACTCTTGAGCTTTGGCTTTTTCTTCTTGCCCTTGGTTTGACCCTGTCCCTCCTCCTCCATGTCTGGAATGAGTTCAGGATTATTGTGTCCGAAGGCAAGGATGTGATCGGAGAACTGGATCCCCCTGATATTGGCTGGAATATCTTGCAGGCAGAGAATATCAATTCTCAGATCGTTGTTCTGAATCCAATTCTTCAGTGACTGGATTCTGTCTGGGGCCGCCTTGACGTTGATCTGCACGATACTCAGATCGGGCGGACTCGCCATTTGACGAGCCAGTTGTTCCATTCTGAGTTTCGATCTGAATCGCCTTTCTTGGCTCTTTGACCGGGGTTGCTTCATTGTGGCACTATTCATCGAAACCTCCAGAAGGGCTTGTATAAGAGGGGGACTTCAAGAGAGGCCATGGTCATGGCATGGAAAAACGACCTCCCTGAATATAGAGGTCTGAAAGGGAGTTATGATGAGAAAGCTGAGATGCAGGAGAATAGTGGTTGGTGGTTTCGAAGTCTTATTTATCATCAAGAGTTCTTCAGTAAAACCGCACGATGGGAGGAACTTTGACATTTATCCCAGGTTGACGGAATTGCCTGAATTGTATTAGGTGCCATGCTCATCGAAAAAATCCCTGCAGCCACCCGTTCGACGAGCCCTTTTATCAGTTGGTCGTCTTCACCGATGTCTTGAGAGCCTTTCATTATGCTGTCCGGATAGGCATGGATAGTTGTACTGGTCGCGCAGTGGCCACTTGAAGCCTAGAACACCAGACCCATCTCTTTTCACCGTCTTTGATGTCCACATTCAGTCCTCCAGTGTGGTCAGGAACTAATGAGCTGGCTAAATGAACATTGTGAGTCATTTCGTGTAGACGGTGAAGAGTCTTTTTCTTTTTTTCGCGCATGGCCCTGGCGATCACAGTAAGTCATGTCGCCGCATTTTTCGCTGAAGCTCTGTTACCAGTACCTCACAGCAAATTTATCTTTACTTTGGTTGTAGCGATCTCGGGTTATATCTTGTCCCAGTGTTCTCTTACATCAGGCTCTAATCCTTCATTCATCCACTTTGAGATCGCCTTCTCTCCGTTTCTTTTTCTTGACCATTCCCAAACTATCTTCCATCGCACTTTAACATGTCCTATCTCGAGCCCAACCCGAAGGAGCTCGGTGAGGCTGCCCCGCGGGATGCTAGTCCGGTATGCTTACAGATGTCAGATGCAGAGATGTCAGAAGACGATACAAGATACCCAGAGGAGGGCCTACTAGAGGGACATCACGAAGTCGACGGTGATCATAATCTCATGACCTCCAATGATATTCCCCTTCCGGTCAGCACAAGTCCTGATGAGAATCCTGACTCAGCTGCCCCTACTATTCCGATAGATCTAGCATTATGGGAGCGGATCTTCAGGGACCTCGGCGATCTCGTCAAGTTTAGTTTGCACATGACAATTGCGCAAAATTATCATAATGGCATAACCCTCACGCAGATCAAGGAAACGATCATGCAGCAAAGGCAAGCTACAATTGTTGACACGAGGGGCAAATAAGAGTCAAGTTGAACGAGGAGGACTATCTGAAAGTAAGAGACGATTTGAAGACCAAGGGCGTCATCAGCAAGCTTTTCAACGAAGGCCATCCTTGGGATTCGATCACCGACATGCGGATCGCCGGAGATCAAGTCATGCTGTTGACGACCATCGACGAGGATTCGGAAGCAAAGATTCGGCTGCAATCTTCTAAGCTCAGAACGATCCTCGGTCTTAATCCGAATACCAACGTTGTCCCCAAGCGTTACCACCTACAGATTCGGGACTACCAGAGGAGGTCCGACGAGACTCCTCGGTCGCAAACGGCAAGGTGGTCTCATTGGAACAAGGTTTACATCGCCGATGCTTTCACATCATGCGGTACGCTTATTTTGTGCTTGGAATCAGAGAAGGAGGCACTGAAGCATTGGAGGGATGGCAATGTGACCCTTGATTTTCAAAAGGCACCAGCTAAGTAAGTTACAATCCTGAATCGTAAGGCAATAGCTTACCGGTTTTCTTTTAGGCCCATCGATATTCGCGCCCTCACTCTCTGGTGCTGCAACTGCTCTAGGCCCTCACACCTCCAGCGGGAGTGCACCCAGGCAGCTCGATGTGGCAAATGTGCTCAAGCTCATGAGACAAGCCTATGCAGGGTCACTGGACCGTACCGCTGTGCCAACTGTCCCGAGAGCCATCGCTCTGCTTCAACCAAGTGCAAGAATGCCGACGTTGTCAAGATGTTGGCGGAGTGCGAAAAGTGGCGAAAGGCTGGCCCTTCATGGGCAAAGACCGCGGAGCAGCCACAGCTCCCTGACGAGACACTGATGAGCCAACTGCGTAGCTACCAAAACACGGCAGCTGGGCAAGCATTTCTCAGTACCTTCATGACCGCCTCAACGCCCCAGGATCAGGCAGTTGACCAGGGATCAAGCAAGTCCAAAGATGGGATGACAGAGAGGAAGGAGAAGAAGAGGAAGGTTGAGCCTCAAGATGTCTTCAACAGTAGTAACAGGGCGAATTTTGATTGGATGGCCACTTCTCAAAAGAACCAGCGCCAGATAGACCTGGAGAAGAGAGAAGCTGCAGCGAATCCACGTGGACCTGGTAGACCTTCAAAGAAGAGCAGGGGCGGTTGACGTCAACGACGAGCTGAAGAAATGCCTTCATATATTATTTTGTGTTAGATTTCACTCTTGGGCGTGACGCTATTTATAGTGACTCGAAACTTCACAATAGACATTTGTGGGAGGAATAATGGGATTCACCGTCGATGCAATCGAATTACGTTGCAATTACTGTAAGACTGCCGAGCTGCCAGCTGAGAATTGATTCGGAGTGGATACGTCTATCATTTGAACCATTGTTACTGTTTAGTGGGCTGCCAGTCATCAGCGAGATACCAAATGTACACTTTCGTCCAGGCAACCCGAAACATTACTCGGTGGTTTGCTCTTGATTCAGAGAAACTGTAACCTTTCTTTCCACCATCCTCCTACATTCACGTGTCAAACCCCCAACCGATCTGGTCACTCGACGCCCCAGCAATTCGCATCAGACTCCTCGCACCGCTGACAGCATTGAATCGTCCGCCCTGGAAGGCAGCAGCGGCGACTCCCATAGCAGCCCTCGTATCAATACCCGGGTTTCCCGTGTTCGCATCCCCCCTCTCTAGAACCTGATTCAAAAACGCATCACCTGCCAAGCCTTCATATCGGTCCAGACAAAGCTGCTTGATGGCGGGCCCATACAAGTCCACCCATTGCTGCTCGCTCACGGTGGTATAGCTCTTCTGGCCATTTGCATCGGTCCGAGAGAATGGCCATTCGGCGCTGACGACTTGATATCGCTTTGTGATGAAGAATAGGATTGGCCATGAGAAAATCCAGAGGAACGTGAGGTAGAAGATCCAGCAGATCCAGGTCGTCAGGCGCCACGTGTTCAGGCGATTGGACGAGTAGATGTCGACTGCTCGGTCGGCGACTGGGAATTCGATGGTGAGATTGCCTTTGTAGTTGGAGCTTCGGACATAATTTGTCAGACGATCGCGGAAGAGGGTCTCATCCATACCGGTGACTGTTCTAGTCAAACGGAACCTGGGACTCGTTAGAAAAGGCCTTGGCCCCCGTGAGTGAAACATACACTTTGGTACCGGCTGCTTTAGCACAGTAACGATGACACCATTCCTTCAGGGTCGGTTTCGCATGACCAACCTCGATATCACCTTTCACACCGTCCTGACGCTTCTTCAAGACCGTGCCGCGATATGTCTTCTCACCACTCTCAACAGTCTTGAGCGTCGAGTAGCCAATAGCACCCGTGATGAAATTGGGATATAGATAATTTTGCAAATTCACCATGATACGAAAATCGGTGACCTCCTCACGCTTGCTCTTGCCGTCGCTATCGCGCTTGGTTTCCTTGTGAGTTCCCGTTATGTTGATATACGGCGAAGGAGGAAATGTTGCCATGGTTCTGACCCATTTCTCGAGAAATACTGGATCCGCGTCGGAGCGGGGATCTCGCACGGCGTTCACTTCGTTACCGATACGAGTACGCTTTTGACCAATGCGATTAGAGGTGAAGGCTATGTGAGACTCGGGCCGGGTGACGCCTGTTTGAAGAAGTTCATCTTCAATATCAGTGCTGTCGATAGCAGCCGTCGCTGGAGTACCTGACCCTAGAGTCGGTGTATCATGGTATGCAGGCGGTGGTGCTTCATCGCCGTTGAGAGCATCGTCCTCGATGTGAGCGTATGAGGATTCCCCCGCTGTCGTGTGTAGCGACACGGCATCAGGGTCATCTTGATAAGGCTTTGGCGAAGGAGGATTACCCATTGTCGCGAGGATGAGATAAGTACCAACAGTTCGTGGGGATGCCGGCCAATTTGAGTATTTGAGGTTCAGCTTTGGCTTAGGCAGCAACCTGGTTGTGTTGAAAGAGGAATTAACTTGATCTCACGCGTTCACGGCGCGGTTTTTGTCAGATTTCATGCCCCAAGACGGATGGAGTAACCGCCGATCCGGCGATTTCCAGTTTGGGGATAGCGGCCATTTTATGGCGCCTAACAAACAAGTTGTCATGAAATAGCATTATCAATAACCGCTCACCTAAATAATGCTAAATCTGAAGATGACATTCGTATCACAATTGAGCCATGTGATAGGTTTCAGTGACGCCATCTACTGACTTATCTGGATTGTTCGTTTGTGACCAGGTCTCTTTCAGAACCTTATCTCACAATGTACGAACGGAAAGTTCCCAGAAATGAACATCGCAGCATAAATTTTGTTTGTCTGCCTATCAGTGGCACTTATGCCCTATTGTTCACTGTATGATGATTATTAGATTTCAATAAACAAAGATACGGGTTACCAAACAGTCGGATCATTCATTTGTTCAGTAGTCCTGTTCCGCTGGGGCTCATGACACGCTATTCGCTTTGGGTGACAAACGAAGTAGTAGTTCTACTCAAGCATAAACTATTAGCTATAAAAGCATAGCTTCTCCCTAGATGAGGAATATTTCTCTCATTCTCATTAAGGACTCACATTTTAAAAGGTAAGTTCCAACCACTCCTCATACTAACTCCAACAGGCCTTCTTTCTATCAGAACTCTCACACCCCCGAGAAATAGTTACTCTCAGAAAGCAATGTGTTCAGGTGTCTGCTTCACCTCCCTCCCCGAGCCCTCAGAGGTTGGCCAAATATGGCAAGATCTCGAAGTGCTCATCGCCTCACTCAAGTCTCGACTCGAGCATCGAGAACAAAAGTATTCTGAACTCGCCGTTGAAGTTGTCGAAAATCTTGAAACTGGCATGCACGGCGAAGAACGTCAGGCTCAGCTTTGCAAGCTTCGTGAGTCTTGGAAACATATCCAGACACTGGAGCGTGAGCTGCGCTTTTACTTGAAGCAGCAGAGAAAGCTGGCTGAGAGTTCGATGTCGCGAATTGCTGAGCAGCTTGGGACTTTGAATGTCGATTCGATGGCTAGGGCTATCCAGGCGAGTGAGATGAGTAAGGCATGCTATGAGAAGCCCGTCGAGCCGGTGTTTGAGACAATCACTGAGTCGCCTCTTGAGTATACCTCAGACTCTTGGCAGTAAGGAGTTAAGATGGTGATCTAGATTGAAAAGGTCTTCGGATGGATTGTCAGTGTTTTGGTAGACAAACAGGTAAGTACTTGCAGCTTGGTATAAGACACTCGAAGTCAAATAAAGTCATTGGACATCAATCCAAACAGCCCGAAGTTCTAACACGCGAAATGACGTTAGACATGAGTATTTTCAATTACTGTTTCTCTATCTAGCGATACAGTCACAGACTAACCCAAGACTCTATACACAGGGTACTCATCCCCGACATTGACCGGCAGGATATTGAACGTAGCATACGAATCGATATTCTCAGGCTCAAGAACAGTGAACGCGTACCCCGCAGCAGCCTGCCTCGTCGACACCCAAAAGCTCCCAGCCGGCATTGTAATCTCCTTCTTAAGAATATCAGTAGTAACCTTGTTCAGTACCGTACCCTGATAAACAGTACTAGCCAACTCAATGCTCGTAACATTATACGCTTCAACCTCACCGCGGAACTCAGAGCGAATATTCTCGACGGTAACACCGTTGAGGCGAAGACGATCGGCGGCTTCTTTCCATGCTTGCGGGAAGATGTACGCTTCGGGGCGAGAGCGGGTAAGGTTGGATTTCACGGGTGTTGAGCTGAGAAATTGAACGGGGATTTCGACGAGTTTGCCGGTTGGGAGGTCGATGAAATCCCAGGTACGGTTGGTGGGCTGGAAGGAATCCGTAACGACGACTTCGTCTACGCCATCGATGAATTTCTGGCGGGCACCTTCGACCACTTCGTACACTTCTTCAGCTTTGTCGGCGGCTGTTTGGACGATGGCTTCGATCATGGTAAGTCCTGAAGCAACGCGGCGCTGGAAGTGCTGGCTTCCAAGACCGATGCCTCGAGTTTCAGTGAGGAAGACCATAACCTGCGTCAGCGCCAATGAAACATCACCGGCTCGTGCCTGGGTATCAAGCTGAGTAAACACCAGAGGTTCCTCCCTGGCATTTCCCGTGATATAAGGACTCCAGCGCAGATTCAGCTTATCCATAGCACCAGCAATTCTGGGCACGAAAACCTCTTCGGAGTATTCCCGAATATCCTTGTGAATGTTCAAGTTCTTCATAGGATCAAATTGGCCATCCACGGCTTGCGCCCACTGATCTTTGAGGCCATAAGCGCGATTGGCGCTGTATTCATGAGCGTCTACCATGACATGAGGAGAGAAGTCAACAATCAGCGCTTTAACCTCACGAGTTTGTTGACTTGCGAAACGAATGTGATCTCTGTTGGGATCGTATCCTGTTGCCAAAAAGCGCTGGAAGTAGGCGACGCCATCGGGGTTGTAGCGGGGCAAGATCATGATGTCCATTTTCTCGAGGATTGATGCTGCCCATGTTGAATTGGCATCAAATTTGCCGAGCAGCGCGAGAAGAGCTTGGTCGCCGCCGGGTTCATTTCCGTGGACGCCACCTTGAAGGTAGACGCGGAGCTTCTCGGATGAAGATGAATTGGCCTTGATTTCAGGCTGCGACGACGTGGAGAGGAAGACATAAGGAATTGAGCGCCCTTCGTCGGATTTGAAGGATGGGTTGTTGTACGTCAACCAGTCATTTCGGGATGCAAGACTCTCGAGGAAGTAGTCTGCGAATGTTAGTAGATAGATCTTGAAGATGCGTTGGAAACATACTCAGAGTAGCATCGCTTGTTGGTCCGCTTGTGCCATTGTCGAATCCAGCGGCGATGCTCTTGGGATCAAGGAATGCAGGTGACTGGAGATCGATCTGCTTGACCTCGGGGAAGTTCTTGGCAGCCTCTTCACCATCTTTCGTCAGAGGAACTTGATTAGCGTTATAACGAACTGCGGTGGCCAAGCCAGCGCACAAAAGCCCAGTGAAAGCAGTGCGAAGCGTCATTTTTCCTGTGAGCCTACAAAATCCAACAACAAAGAAAAGACATTGTAACCCCATCATGCGGGCATTTCATCTTTTAAACTTCTCCAAACAACCTTCCTAGTCCGTGACGATCATCATACATGGGAAGCATAATGACCGAACTTCCCCGCCGATCCGCATAGCTTATCAGTAGCAAAGTTAGCCGATGATAAGCTTAAGCCGTTTATAGTAGGTAGCTATGAGAATTGGCTCATTTAGCTCCGACTATGTTGCAATCAGCAGCGGGGAACGGGTCTGCCAAGGCTTGGTGGATGAGAAATTGTTTCCCGGTCTGTGGAAAGCAGGTTTATGCGTGGGCTAATGCTCGGTGCTTGATTTGTTTGCCGGAGAGGTGCCAGGAATCAGGAGATAAGATAAGATATGGATAAGAAAAAGTCCGCGGCTGGGGCTGTAGTGGGGAAAATGCTGAGGTTGTAGGGTAACTCCAGCGGATGATGTATTTACCAAGAGATATAATATTGGATGATAGACTTCTAATAGTAGTCGGCGAGAAAATTATATTTCTTCTCTGTTTTAATATGTGGCTTGCAGTATAGTAGGTTTACAGTCTCAAGTATTTATATATGCTATTGGGCAGCAATAAACCTCGTCAAGTGCACCTCACAGATCAGTATCGTGATCTTGGAAAGGTAGGAGATTTTTATGAATGGGCATTTTTAGGTGTGCAGCTGCACAGTACGCAATAACCTAATAGCAATCTGGCTCCAATCACCCCTCTACTCGCTGTTTTGCTTCAATCATACTTTTAGTAAAATTAGTCACTAGGAGGTGGTTAATCAACTTACGCATCTGAAAGACGCAATGTCCGGTTTCTCCCCATTAGTCAAACTCATTTCCAACGTAGTCACACACTGGCCAGGCTCTTTATTGATACTAGCTGTCTGCAATTCGCATAGGGATAGACTGTGCAATAAGAGTTTGTGTTGAGCTTCGGCTTTGCCGATTGAGCTTTGAACAAGCCCTTGCAGCCTCTCTGTTACGTCCACCTTCGACGAAGTGGATGCAGTCTACACCGTCTATGCTGGCAGCGAATGTGTTGCAGTCGGACTGTTCACCTTCGAGAATCTGATATTCTGTTTCGCCGTCGACTTCGCATCGCTCTGTATTATCGTAGAATGTCACTGGAGGAGGTAAGTAGGAGGAGATGGTGAAAGGAAAAGAAAGGACTTACCATACCATGCTGTTACCTGCGAGGTCGCAGCAAGAGTGGCGATGCTTTCGATTGAGAGCTTCATTGTCAGCAAACCAAGGTTCGTTTGAACGAGAAGAGGCGTTGAAAGGTAGTAGAATGGGAGTTGAAACATGATGCTTATATATCTTATCCGCCGACAGAAAAACAACGGCACACTGCATCTACAAGCTTTGCGCCATCTTGAGTTAATTCTCTGTCAAGTTGCAAGACGTATGTCGTCGTGGTCGCTTTCATAACAGAAATCTCGTATTTGGCGAGAGCTGAAGGATGGGACCCTCGAAGCTGAGAACCAAGGAGGGCGCTGATCACGTATATTTGTTTCAAACAGGCCGTTTTAGTTAGGAGCTAAGGTGTAAACTTTCCCAGATGATTATTGACCCTCAATAGGCATTCTTCGGAAATATAAAACAGTGAAACAAAGGATGAAGATCCACCCATGGGGCAGATCCGAGCTGAGCTGGGTGGCCCGAGTCGGGAGAGAATCGTTAGCTTGTCTAGACTGTGTAGGCAATTAATGCATTGCAAAGATGGCTACCCAAGTTCTGTCCCTATAAGAACAAATTATTGACTGTTGAGGCTTGCCATGTGAGAGTCTGACTGCTGAACGACCTCCAGCTTCTGCTGTGAATGAGCTGTTAAACGAACATCGTTATGTAATGAACGAAACACAAAGGCACATCCTCAAAGTTACAGGACCCATACTGTCTGCCACCACTAATCAATTAGCAAGCGAGCAGCTGTGCGCTGAAGAAAACCTAGATCGATCATCTTGGCACTTGAGTCATGGTCATGAAGTTCACACTGCCATAGAGCCGGGACAATCGGAAGTGAGTTCACCAAAATAGGAAGCATTAAATAAATCAAGGGGAAAGACCAAAATGGTCTTCAACAAGGCAGCTGTGTGACAAAAAGAAGACTTGTTGTTATCAAGAACATCTCTCAGGCTGCTAGGTCTGAGCGAAGTTGGAATAGCCAACGGCATAGATTATAACACAAGAAACGAAAGTGTCTGACATAATCAGAAAGCTCAGACAACGTGGCCGAGTGGTTAAGGCGATGCCCTGCTATTTCTTCGGAGACATCATAGGCATTGTGTTCGCACGCGTAGGTTCGAATCCTGCCGTTGTCGATCTTTTTGTTGTCGGTCTAAATGATTTGATTGAATTTTTGTCAAACTGGGCGGTTTTGTTCATGCCACACACACAGTTGGGAACATGTTTTGTCTTGGTCGTGGAGGTTGAGTGTAATTCAGCGCCGTGGTTACAAGCGCTGGGTCCACTGAAATCGTTATGCCTGAGGCTGGGGACGATGATGTCCGTGACTCAGCTGGCTTACGATGCACTACAATGACTCAGATAGACTCGACACCTTATCCATCTCTGTTTTTGATCCTTTAGCTGGGTTACAGGGACGTTGTCTGATGACTGGCAGTAATTAACTCAAACACAGGCTTTGCGTTAAGCTCAAAGCTCACTCTGTTGGTAGCCTTGCACTAAGTTCACGGTACTTTACCCACCAACAAGACAGTTTACTTCATCGCTACTCATTCACCCGCGACCGTGACACGATAGTCTCATCAACTTCGCCAAACCCTCCGACAACATCAAGGAGTGATTAAGTACCGCTCGGGCTTCGAACACGAAATGCAAGATTGAGAACTGGCCAACAAAGAATATTGCGCAGGCGGTGTGAGGCACACCTGAGCCGCAATTTGGGTGGCATGCTTCAACAAATCCCATTCCGGGCGAATGGTTTAGTGGTATAATACTCCCTTAGCATGATTCAGTCTTCTGAAGAAATTTGGGAGTGGTCCAGGGTTCGATTCCCTGTTCGTCCAACATTGGCGGTTAAATCCCGCTATTATCCTCTCTTTTTGCTGTTTCACCATCCGACTCCCCATCGCCAAATCCAGTGATGCAGGTAGACCACATTCTTTTTATTGAGTAGAGTAAAGACTATTTATTTATCTTATGACCAAGGAACTGTGGCACCTTTTTGGTGCGATTCCCTTGCAAGCTCAATGACCCTCAAAGCGTCGCGTGATTGCGTTGGCTTCACTTCCAACTCTGCCTTGCCATTAATCGTATCGGCGACATTCTCATACAATCCCATCCATCGGCCCGCAAAACTTGGATATCGACCAGTATACTTCTTGATCTCGGGGTCGTACTTTTGAACCTTGCCGTCGAACTCTTCGTATGTCGTCAGAATACCCTGCAAGTCATCAGACTCAACACCAAAACCTTCATCAAGCGGCTTGAGACCAGCAGCGATACTGTCCTCTGTTGCGCAAAGGCTATGCTTTTGGAACTAAAAAATGTCAATCAAACACCTGGGTAAAACGGATTCGGATTCTCACCTTTATGAAAGAACCCTTTGTTCCTCGAACGAGCTGCTTCAATTGCTGTGCCATCGGTGTCGTCACAGCTGTCTTGACTGTAACGAGCAGATCTTTCTGCGCACCATCATATTGTAAAATTATAGTAAAAGAGTCTTCAACTTCACTTTCGGCGTCACGTTGGACGCGGAAGAACCCCGTCACAGACTTGGGGCGGCCAAAGAGAACAAGCGCCTGGTCGATGCTATGCGTACCTGAAGTACTGTAAGTGAAAAGACCAGGGGAAATTGTCACCCAAGACTTACCGAGACCGAAGGCCATCCCAGAACCTGGAGTGTACTTGGCTCCTATTTTAGACAGCCACGGTGGTGACTCAAAGTCATAGTGCAACTCGGCTTCTTTGATATCGCCCAGTGCACCTTTGTTGATGAGATGGCGAAGGGTCTGAAAGTCTGCATCCTGTCACAGGATTAGAATCCGATTTAGAAGAAACCAGACGTAAAGAGCTTACCCATCGTCGGTTCTGAAAGCAAGTAAGAATGAGACCCTTCTCTTCACCCAATTTGATCACCCTATCCGCCTCTTCAGATGATACAGCAAATGGCTTATCGACAATCACTAATCTCATGTTAACATCACCTTGACCCTGCAAAAGGTCACTCACCATGTTTTCCCGCATTTAGCGCCTGCTCTGCAAAAGAGGCATGAGTATCATGCTGGGTAGCGACGACAACGAACTGGATATCTTTATCGGCGAAGAACTCATCGGCTGTGCGATAATGCCTGATGCGAGGAAAGTCAACGGTGCAGTGCGAGCCCTTCTCAGCAGAAGATGGATCGGCTGGTGCTTCTTTTCTCTGAAGAATAGCAATGACTTCGTAGTCTGGGATAGAAGTGATGAAAGGTAAGTGAAAGCTCTTGGCTGAGTTTCCGTAACCTACAACACCGACTTTGATTGGCGCCATGATTGGGAATCTGTTTATTCGGTTGAGGGGCTAATTTTACTTCATGAGAGATCCACGAGACTCCTTTTATCTAATCGATCGCTGGGAGCTTTTATCTAACGTTGACTTACAAATCAACTTCCCTTTTTTTTACCGCATCTTCTTATTCACCCGGCTATAGCGTCATTGACCTTTGTCCCCGCATTGGTTTTATCCTTGGTGGATCGTAGATGGTATCATGACACAACCCCGCTCCTCGGGGAGTATCGGTGGTAGATCCGCTACTCCGCGCGAGACCAAAGAGCGGCATAAAAACGTCAAGGAAGTCTCAGATATGAGGTCTTGCAGGACCAGTAAGCTATCAAACTCCGAGATCGGATGAATTAATGGATAAAACCGTCTGAAGTGTTGAACTTCCCAAGCTTTGAACACCTAACTGCCGCACTTCGGTGACCACTGTCCCGAATTTCACCATTTGCGGGTCCGGCAAATCTACCTTATATCGACCACTCACTTCATATCGCGCATTTCTGAGACTCTGAGTACCTTAAGGAATTTGAATATTAAACTTCAAAATGACTAGCTCAGCAGACTCTCTACCTCACCTGCGATGGGGCATCCTAGGTACGTTTTCCCATCTATCCACCGTTCAGACCTAATCGTAAGTTCAGGCACAGGATGGGTATCCTCAATGTTTCTCCGCGACCTCCTCACCACCCGTCCCGATGCCAAGGCAACACATACCATCACAGCCATCGGCTCCTCCTCTATCGAGAAAGGCACTTCTTTCGTTGAGAAGCTCTGGGAGAAAGCACCTGATAAGCCCAAGCCCCAAGTCTACGCGGATTATCAGGGTGTTTACGATGATCCAAATGTGGATATTGTATACGTCGGAACGCCGCACTCACTGCATAGAAAGAACTGTCTCGATGCGATCGCAGCGGGTAAACACATTCTGTGTGAGAAGCCTTTTACGATTAATGCGAAGGAGGCGAAGGACATTGTTGATGCTGCGAGGAAGAAGGGCGTTTTTGTCATGGAAGGTTTGTTCACCCCCGCGTTTGTTTGGCTGCATGTTAATGTTTGTTAGCTGCCTGGGTGAGGTTCTGTTCCCTGTTTGAGGCGCTACACGAACAGATCATCGTCAAGAAGTCAATTGGCGAAGTCCAGCGACTTTCCATTGACTTTGGAAACAAGTTTGATCTGAGCAGCTTGCCCGACAATCATCGTCTCAAAGACCCCGCGCTTGGTGGTGGCGCTTTGCTCGACATTGGATTTTATACGCTGACGTTTGCGTCGATCATTCTTGGTGACTGGAAGGTTGGCAAAGATCATCCGAAACCGACAAAGGTTCTGTCGTCTCTTGACATTGTGGATGGTATTGACGCGGCGAATACCGTTGTGTTGGAATACCCCTCCGCCAATGGGGGTGTCAAAACAGGCGTCTGCACATCAAGCTTCCGATATAGAGGCGCCGATGAATTCGGTTACATTCAGGGTACCAACGGAAGCATCACCCTGTTCGGTCCAGCAGTCAGTGTACCCGGCGGATTCCGCGTCACTGAAGGAGAGCGCCCGGGACCTCCTGCAGCCGATACCAGGACCACGCGCGTGTTCAACGTGGAGCGCCACGAGGGAACGTTGGGCTTTTACTGGGAAGCCGATGCTGTTGCGCGGGACATTGCAAAGGGAAAGATGGAGAGTGATGTTGTTCCGTTGGATGAGACGCTTCGATTGATGGAGTTGATGGATGAGATTAGAGCAGCGAACGGGCTGAAGTATCCGCAGGATGAGAATTAGAGATGCCTCGTGACCTGAAGTTTTGGGCAATCAATAAGAGCAGCATTTACTCACTCACCGTCGGGACAAACAAAATTGCACTCAATTATAAAACAATGCAAACCGACGATAGCCACATTTCCCTCCATTCATATGACCTCACGCGACCAAGAACGGCAGGAAGCAAATGGAGATGCAAACAGCCTCAGGCAAACCGTCATCAACCTCAGCGCATCAGAGTTTTCGCTTCTGCCGTGACAAACCGACAGCAATTGAGTTTGTTCAAACAGACGCGATGCACTGTCGCAAACATGGAGTTTTGTCTGAGTCACCCGCCGAAAGCAACTGCCCATCGCAAATTCGTTGTCTCGTCGTACATGATTCCTTCCATTCCTCATTTTTCTCTCCTCCATCACCTCCTCGTTCTCGAGAACACCAGAGAACTTCCTCTTCAAACCGATTGATCTCTTGTATTTTCATTTTGCGTCTCGTGCGCGACGATGCCAGCCCCAGGATCCGGAGCCTCACTTCTTGCTGACGTTTACTTGGAAGACTGCAATCTAGGATTCACCCCGCGATGGGAGTTCCAGCCCGATCTTGACATGATGAGAATGACGATCCAAGCCATCTTTCGCACCGAAAACGTACACATCAAGCATTTCGCCGAAGGTTGCTTTAACAAACTCTACGAAGTTCAGGTCAACGATCAAGCCCCGCTATTGCTGCGCGTTGCGCTCCCTGTCGATCCGCAGAACAAGACCATGAGCGAAGTTGCTACAATCCAATGGGTCTCCGCGATTACAGACCTTCCGATCCCGAAGGTCATTCATTACGATGCGTCGCGCGATTCTCCCATTACTTATGAATGGATCTTGATGAGCATGCTCCCGGGCGCGCGGTTGCAGGTCACATGGCGGCACCTCACTCTTCTCCAAAAGACCGACACCGTCCGCCAGATCGCATCTTTCATAGCATCTCTCTTTCGTGACAAATTCGCGACCATTTGTAACATCTACCCTCCCGTATACGAAAGTGGATTGCCAAGGCCCGGCCCAATTGTGTCTACTTGCTTCTTCTACGGCCTCATTAACAAATCCGACATTAACCGAGGACCGTTTCGGAACAGCAGCGAGTGGTTTGCATCACGGCTCGAGGCGACTAAAAGGGATGCGACAGCGACTATGGCAAAGTGGTGTGGAAAGGGAAACCTTGACTGTGATGCGGTCAAAGAGATCGACGATGCTGCCCGAACATTCGGCATCGCCGAGAGATTGCTGCATCTGATCCGGCGCATCTTTTCATTTCACGCTGAAGCAGAGACCACAGTTCTTTACCACGATGACTTACACGGGAACAACATTCTTGTCGACGATGCAGGGAATATCACAGGCATTGTCGACTGGGAGTGTGTGTCCATCGTCCCCCTGTGGAAAGCATGCGGCATCCCCCAATTCCTCTTTGAACAACCACGATGGACTGAACCTGATCGCAGACGATACCGCCACGATGCGACCGGCGAGATTTCCGAATTATACTACAAGCATTTACACCAATACGAAACCACACGCTTGCGAGAGGTGTTCTTGGGAGAAATGGAGCGACTTGACCCGCGATGGATGGACATTCACAAAAAGACGCAATTGCTCAGGGACTTCGACTTTGCCGTGCAGTTTTGCGACGATGTCGCCGTTTTGAAGCACATCGTCCAGTGGGCTGAGGCTGTGGAGGCTGGTGGGGATGTTCCGAGGATGTGGGAGCTGGTATGGGCGAATGCGCTCAAGTATTGAATATCCGTTCTTGATCCGACCAGCAAAGGTGCTAGTGTCAGCCAGCGACTTGGCGATGCAGGAACTTCAGAAAAATCTTGTTTGTGTATAATAACTGAAATGATATTGATCTTGACCACGATTGCGACGTCCGGATCAGCCGAGAAAGTGCCGCGCGACATCTCTCCCTTACTGCCAGTCCATGCGACCGTTCGGAAGATAGCCTTTGCGAACTAATCTTAGCCACTGATGACTGGGCTGGAACCGTTCGATCGCGATACAGAGGTGAGACCGCCATTCTCACGTAAGAGCCTCGGACTCCGGATCGCAGCATCTCACCAACCTGAGTAAGCCTTGTCTGATATCGACCGTCAAACCATAACTTCCCCACATCCATCGCTCAAATCTTCTTATCAGACCTATACCGCTCACCAGTATCACCAGGAACTCAACCGGCCCCTTTTTCCTCAATAGCCTATCTCCACGCGCGACCCCTCGTATTCGTCATGCTCAGCCTCAGTTTCTCAGCCGTAAGCAAGGGAGTGATTGGACTAACATACGCCCTCATCCGATTGGGTTGTCCCAAGCCTGACTGTGTCCAAGAAACGCCTCTGAGAGGTTGATTGGGCCATGTGTGGTCTTACCTAAGTCATTACCAACTTGTACGACCGTGGGCGTAATCACGGGGTGAAGTTCTGCAAGGATGGCTTTGTGATTTCGAGCTGCGGTGAGACACGACGAAGTTTATTGATGTTAGTAAGGTGTAGAAAGACTTTGATTGGGTCGTTGGGTGAGATCAAAAGTCCTAGGGCTGAAACATTCGAGTGCCAAGACTATGATCCTTGACCAGCTGGACTCGTATCGCAGACTTGCTTGAAAGAGAAGTTATGATTGGAAATTGGGGATTGAGATGACTACGGAGGGAACTTAAGTGTGTGATTGCCGTCATAAGCTTGCATATTCTCCGATAACAAGGTTGAGATGACCGCGTGATGAGCATCAGCCATCCCGAGGCGTTCTTATTTATATCCCGTCTCACAAAGCACAAGACCATCGGCCCCAAACCACTAAAAACATTGTCAAAATGGCTCTCATCGAGCGAGTATGGCACGCCTGCGTCAGTATAGTCGCATGGCTAACAATGTGGCCCACCTCCCCTTCCACCTCCTACCAACATCCCCTCCGCCCCAATCATCCTCACACTCACATTGAAGATCCCAGCCCTGGCTTCCCCATCTTCCATCCCCCGCCAGGTGATCATGAGTTCCTCTGCGAGTACCCAGAAATGACAGGTTTCGTGCAATGTTCAATTCCTGAGAATCGAGAATGTTGGCTTAGACATCCGGATGGGCGAGAGTTCAACATTCATACAAACTATGAGAACTTTGCGCCGAAGGGTATTATGAGGCATTATACACTTAATATTACTGAGAGTTGGTATAATGCTGATGGGCAGAACTTTACCGAGGCGAAGTTGTTCAATGGGGAGTATCCTGGGCCTTGGCTTGAGGCTTGTTGGGGTGATGTGAGTACTCTGACCCGTGGGGTTTGAGAAAGGGACTAACTGTTGTGCAGACCTTCAACATCACGGTGATAAATAGTATGAAGAGGAACGGCACGAGTATTCACTGGCATGGTATTCGACAGAACCAAACGATGGACATGGATGGTGTCAACGGCATAACTCAATGTCCAATTGCGCCAGGGGATAGCTTCAGCTACATCTTCAATACGACGCAGTACGGGACGTCTTGGTATCATAGCCACTACTCTGTCCAGTATGCAGATGGTCTTCAGGGCCCAATCGTAAGCCAAACCATGGTGCTCAGCCAAAATCGCGCTAACGATGCAGACAATTCATGGTCCCCAGTCAGCTCCCTACGATGCAACCAAGAGGCCATTACTTATGACAGATTGGTGTTAGTTGCCCCCAAGTAGGCTGCATGGCCCATACTGACTGAACATACAGCTCACGAGAGTGCATTCAGACTACTCTTCCCTGGCTCCCAATTCTCCAACAAGACCATCCTTCTCAACGGCGCGGGCAACGTCTCCCACTACGGCTACACCCCAACCCTCCCTGTCCCTGATAACTATGAGTTATACTTCAACAAAACTCCAACAGATAAGCCAAGTCGCCCAAAGAGATATTTGCTCCGCCTGATCAATACTTCATTTGACTCAACACTCGTCTTCTCCATTGATAACCACTGGCTTCAAATCGTCACTTCGGACTTTGTCCCTATTGAGCCGTACTTCAACACCTCAGTCTTGATAGGAATTGGTCAAAGGTACAACGTCATTGTCGAAGCGAATCCCCTGGCCGGTGATGTCAACGGGATCCCAGAAGATGGAAACTTCTGGATCAGGACTTGGGTCGCTGATGCATGTGGTATAGCTCCAGGAGGAGACGGTTACGAAAAGACTGGCATCCTACGCTACAACCACACTGACAAGGCTCTTCCCTCATCTCAGCCTTGGGTCAACATCAGCAAAGCGTGCTCAGATGAGACATATACTTCGCTTCGACCGAAGATACCATGGTACATTGGTCCAGCTGCCAATGCTCAAGCCGCGGATCAGACCGGTGAGCGGTTCAATGTTACTTTTGATCCGAATGCCAAGAATACACCTGAGTTCCAGGAGGAGTATCCGGTTGCTACGTTTGGTCTCCAGAGACCTGGTCAGAACTTTAGACCACTGCAGATTAATTACTCTGATCCCGTCATGTTTCACTTGGATGAGCCGAGGGATACTTACCCACCGAAGTGGGTGGTGATTCCTGAGGATTATACTGAGAAAGAATGGGTATGCGTCAGACGCTTTCAAATGTCTTCGGGTATCATGACTAACCATCATAGGTCTACTTTGTTCTTACGATAGAAGGCATTAGTGCCCGCACCGGCGCTCATCCAGTAAGCATCCAACCCCTGCCACATGTTCCCTAGCTAACCCTATTCAGATCCACCTTCACGGGCATGACTTTGCCCTTCTGCAACAAGAAGAGAACCAAACCTATGACCCCAGCAGACTCAACTTGAAGCTTGACAACCCACCAAGGCGTGATGTCGTCCTACTCCCCCGCAACGGCTTCGTAGTTATTGCTTTCAAGGCAGATAACCCAGGTATCTGGCTGATGCACTGTCACATTGCGCGCCATGCCTCCGAAGGTTTGGCTATGCAAGTCCTGGAGAGACAGGGAGATGCCAATGAGTTATTCCCTGTTGGTTCGCCGAATATGATTGAGGCGGAAAGGGTTTGTAAGGACTGGAAGACGTGGATGGATGGTGAGAAGGATTTCTTTGAAGGTGATTCTGGTATTTAATGGTTGATAGACTATGGCTCACAATGTAGCTCTGTGCGTTCAACAAATTCGAGGAGGAATTGGTCAATCTACAAGATGTGGTGCGATTAAACATTCTATAATATCGCTACTGCGTTTCCAGGACTGGCAACTCCGCCAGGTACCTTGAGCGGAACACTCGTCAAGAAGAATGTCCAACGCTTTCTCTGCCTGCACTTCTCTGCCAACTCCTCCAAGTCAAAGAGCTCACCAATCGGCATTCCCCATCCCGCCAAAGCCCATTGATGAATACTAACGTCAGGATGATTATACGCCCCAGTCGCAGGGCCTCTTTCAAAGCCAGCTGCATCAGATGCAACAGCTGAGAAGCCGGTGTCCCAGAGCCATCTAAGGGACTCTTTAGTAGCTTCGAGACCCAAAAGACCTCCGGGCTGGCGGTGGGAAAAGTTCTCTTGTTCTTTGGGGGTGAGGGTGTTGTAGTGTGCTGTGAAGCCGACGCGAATGAAGAGGACGTCGCCTTGGCAGAATTCGATGTTCTCTTCGGCGATAATAGCGTGGATGTGAGACATTTCTACGGCGTTGGTTTGAAACGGGGAGAGGGAGATGTTGTTGCGTTGGGACCAGGAGTACCAGTCTATAAGAACACCTCGACCGATGATGCCGCCGTTGTTGGCATAGGCTGTGAACATACTGAGACAGAGAGTATTAATGGAGTCATGTTAGTAGACTTACCATCGATCCCAAGAGTCTGTGAACCTGTACCGAATTCCTCCTGTTCGTGGCCCATGTAAAACTGCCCAGTTCTTTGATAACCTACCGAACCGTCAGTACTGTCATGTTCACACCGTAGTGGTACTAACCATAGTGCCTGAACCCATCCCACTGTGTACTACTCTGCGTATTCAACGTGATTACATCGTCATTCATTGTCATGGGAGCTTTGTTGAGTATTCGGTGCTCCAGAGCTTGTCTCCCAAATGGCGGGTGAGAAATCTTGTCGAGTGGCCAGTCCAAAGATATCCTGATCCCCTCCCTTATCTCACTCGCTGCTGCGCGAACGGTCTCTGGCGTAAGCAAGTTGAGCCTACCCAGTTGATCGTCCGGTCCCCAGAGACCCCAAGCATTGCCTGGGGGGCCGTTCTTATCCAAGGGCAAGTCGTCGAATGTAGGGAGCTTCTTTGGGGCCATACTGGTTAGCAAGAGTATGTTGATGCAAAGCGTTTGACCGACGGACAATGTTGGAAGCTTGTATGACTGACTGGAAGTTCGCCGACGTGGCTCAAACGATAAGCAACTAGCCCTTCCACTAAAGGATATAATTACCAAACACACAAACGATGCATCGGTTGGATGAGTATTTACCCAAATCATCGTAGCGATGCCAATCAGCGAGTTGATGCCGATCATCTACCCCAGCTTCCCCGCGTCCATCCCTTTCCGGGGTACGCCAAGACTTAAGTTCCTGGAGACAACAATTCGCTATGCGGGGATAATGCAGGGGTGGATGAATGTTTGACAAGATAACGGAAATAATCCGCTGAATATTATGTCGCGTGCCAGAGTCTCGGGTCGCGCATGGGCGAGGATAAGGGACTCCGCTCGTTCGCATTTAAGACGGGAACGATCCGTGGATTGAGGGATCCTGTGTAAGAATCTTCCATTATACGTACCCAGAAATCACCATGCACAATCCAATAGCAGTAAGGGCTTCGTCGCCCGAAGGTGAAGACATTCCTCGCGAGATCTATGGCTTCCGACCTTATCTCCTTGCCATCTCGGCATCGTGGGCCTGTGAGTATTTACTCCATCTCAATCGCCGTTACTAACACCGTAAGCTGCCATGTACGGGTACGACAGCGCGTTCATTGGAGGAACTCTCAGTCTACCCTCCTTCCAGCGAACGTATGGCCTTGACACAGCAAGCGATTCTGCCAAGGCAAATCTGTCATCAAACATCGTTTCTACCTTCCAAGGTGGTGCATTCTTCGGATGCGCATCAAGCTTCCTCGTCGCTGAACGTTTCGGACGTCGACCGACTTTAATCCTTGCTGCTATCATATTCTCCATCGGCGCCGCCCTTCAGATGATCGGTCGACTCGACTGTCTGTATGTCGGTCGAGCGCTTACAGGCTGGGGCGTTGGCTCAAGCGCAATGATCCTCCCAATCTATGTCTCTGAATGCTCACCAGCCTTGATCCGTGGACGACTTGTCGGAACATTTGAGGTCATGCTCCAAGCGGCACTGGTCTGTGGCTTCTGGGTTAATTACGGCGTCAACAAGAACATCAGCCCAGAGGGTAATATGCAATGGCATATCCCCGTCGCGGTTCAGTTCGTGCCAGCCGGGTTGTTAGTCATCTTCATGATTCCTATGATTGAGTCACCTCGATGGTTGGTCTCCAAGGGTAAACTTCAAGATGCTAGGAAGAATCTAAGTTGGGTTCGAAATCTTCCCCAAGATCATGCCTACATCGACCGCGAGATGTCCATGATTGAGGTGGCGATTGAACATGAGGTATCCTCTACAGGACAGAGAGGACACTGGCGACAGATCTTCTCAGAGCTGTTCCAGCCTGGAGTTCGTGGTAGGATAGTTTTGTCTTGTGGACTTGTCTCGTTCCAGAATTTCACAGGGTAAGTACTAATACTCGGCGGTTGAACATACCTAACACGACCAGAATCAACGCCATCAACTACTACTCGCCGACCATCTTCAAGTCTATCGGCTTCACAGGTACCTCAGTTGGCCTGCTCGCCACTGGCATTTTCGGCATCGTGAAGATGGCTGCTACCATGCTCTATGCAGCATTCCTGGTCGACAAGCTAGGACGAAGACCGCTACTGCTGATAGGTGGTGTTGGCTCTGGCATCGCAATGTTCTACCTGGCCGGCTACTCTAAGGTGTCAGGTTCTTTTGAACATATTCCACCTATGGATGCTGGAGCAAAGACTGCTGTGGCGATGGTATACATCTATGCTTTGTTCTACGGTATGAGTTGGAATGGCATCCCATGGCTCTTCACGTCAGAAATCATCCCAAACAGAGTCCGTACTCTTGGAATGGCGTTCTGCATCTGTGTCCAATGGGTGACGCAGTTCATCGTGGTCTACAGCCTACCGCATATGGTCATTGGGTGAGTGCGTTCTCTGCATCCTTTACTGCCATTACTGACTGTTTAGTATTACCTATGGAACCTTCCTCTTCTTCGGTGCATGCACTGTTTTCGCAATCATCTTTGCATGGCTGTTCATCCCCGAGACCAAGGGAGTTCAGCTGGAGGATATGGATCTGCTCTTCGGACCTGATGTGCCCATCTTGGCGTCTCGGGCGAGGGACAACTATTTGCAGGGAATTGCTGCTCGGGCCTTGGACGAGCGAGATGGGGGAAAGATGAAGGCAACTGAGATTGAGCATGTTTGACCAGTGGACAGGACGTTAATCGTGATAGCTTCACATCAAAGGGATTATCCGGTAGGCTTAGGAAGGAGGCATAGGACGGGTGATAGAAAGTAGTGAGTATAGTCGGAAGCGTGACTAAAGGGGACCTAGACTGGATGTATATACTCAGATAGTTCCCTGGCCCCAGAAGACACCACGGCCGTTGGTTCCAACATAGACCAATCCCGCCTCATTCCCACTTCCAGCAAGCTTAGCACTGTCCGCAGCACCAAAGCCCATAGAACCCTGAAGATCCGTCCAAGTCTTGCCAAGATCAGAGCTACCGTACAACTTGCGCCCAGCAGAGCCTGTTCCAAAAGCATACACATTCCAATTGCTTCCAGAACCCTTACCGAGAGCAATCTGCTCAGTCTTGCTAAGAACCCCGATCTTGGAAAAGGCGCTACCGTAGTCTGTGCTCCGGAAGATACCAGCGTCGGTGGAGACCCAGACCTCTCCGGCCTTGGTAGGATGAGCGGCAATATCTTTGACTGAGTTGGCTCCGTCGAGAGATCCTCCTGTGGAGAAGCTTGAGGCTGTGTTGTTGGAGACATAGAACTTTGATCCTGATGCACCGTAGAAGTAGTCGTTGTCCTGCTTATCACTAGCGACGAGGGCGCCGTTCGGTAGACTTGAGACGGAAGCGAAGCTGCCTTCGTTTTGAGATCTCAAGACACCTCTGTTCTCGGGGGACCAGAGGATAGTATCTCCATTGGCTGAGTATGAGATCGAACCTCCCTTGGGACCTTGCTCAGCAGCGCCATGAACCTTCCACGATTTACCGCCGTCGGATGATAGCGCGACTTGAGGGTTGCTATCACTGTTTCCAGCTCGTACGACATTGCCGACCTTCTTGCCGGCGTAGTCAGCGCTAGTAGATGTTGTGAACATTGGGTTGTCCCAGGCTGAGAGTGGAGATTTGCCGAGAACGCTCTTGGAGGCAAAGGTAAAACCGCTGTCGTCGCCGACGGCGGCGAGAAGTTCACTTCCACCGGGAGCAGACTTGACGTCAAGAACTGCGGTTTCTTCAATACCGTCGGCGAGAGACTCAATGGTGATGTTGTGGACGGTATCCCACTTGGTAAGATCATGGCCTCCGTAGAGTGTCAGGCCAGTGCCGTACAGCCAGTGGTCGCTGTCAAAAGGATCAATAGCCAGAGCTTCAACCATCCAGCCCAGCTTCTTGGTATCAACTGAGATGAAGTTCTTGTAGATCCAGGGAGCCTTTGGTGTGGAGATGCTGTAGTGAAGATCAAGGTTGCCCTGAGCGTTATAGTTCCAGAGCGTAGACCACGTCTTGCCAGAGTCAGTGGATCGGAAGAACTGAGCATCGGGATACCAAGAGTTCAGAGAGGCAACGACAAGAGTACCCGATTTCTGGCGGTCGAGTGCAAGACCACCAAAGCCGAAGTAGATGTCTCCAGGCGGGGTGATGTCCTTCCAAGTGTTGGCAGCAACGTCATAGCGGTACACAGCACCAGCAGTACCATCATATGGCCCACCACCATTGCTGTACGAGAGGTATAGCGCCTTCTCCTTTGGTGAAAACTGGCCTTTGTGGGGGAGGTACTTCACAGGCTGCCCATCAACAGGCTTCCACGTCTTACCCGCGTCAGTAGTCACATACACAGAAGCAGTCTTTGTATCAGCAACACCAACGAAGATCCTCGACGTAGCACCATTGACAAGAGATGAAGTAGAGTCAAATGTGACGAAGGACAAACCCTGGATGTCACTGTTGTATCCAGAGCTGTCACTCGGATCGGCAACATAGGTACCAACATTGGTGAAGGAAGTGACCTTGGAGAAGCTCTTACCACCATCTGTACTCTTCCAGAGACCGTTGCCACTTCGGGCTCCGAAATAGATGATGTTGGAGTTCTTGGGATCAACGGCGAGACGCTCACCCATGCCGCGACCGGGCATGTTTCCGCCTACTTTGAAGGGGAGCTCAGTGAAGGACCATGTGGCGCCTTTGTCATTACTGATACCAATTGCTCCCTTGTTGGGGTCCCTAAAGAACTCTTAGCTTACCGACTCTTTTGGAATTCTTGACATGAGCAGCTTACCATGAGTTGGTATATAATCCAGCAGCGGTGAGGACCTTGTTAGGGTTGCTTGGATCAAGGGCCAGAGCGTCGATACCCCAACGGCTCCTACGATGGAATTAGTATAATCGCTCCACCGCCAGGCTATACTTACCATGTCGCATCAACACCAGTATTGTCAGTGAGTGGTGTCCAAGAATCATCCGCATTGAGACGATAAAGACCACCAATATCGGTTCGTGCATAGGCAACGCCCTTGGCAGTTGGATGGAACTCGATGCCAGGGACAAAGCCGCCTCCACCGCCGAAACGGACATTCTGCCATTTGAGAGCAGCTTGCGCAACGCTTGCCGAAGCAGCGAGAAGAGAGAGCAACTTCATGATGAAGTCAGTAAATAACGAACGACACTGTATTGAGAGAAGATCTGAATTTCATATTTGGCGAATTATAGGTGTCTTTTATATGAGCGCTTTGAGGTGACGTGATAGTTTGGTCCTGTTGTCATTTGCAGTGTTTCGGATATGAAGCCTCCGTGACGAAACAGGATGACGCAGGGGTATAAGGTTCACCAAGCCCCGAACATGCTCAAAATTGAATGGATTGCGAGACTTTTTTTATTCATCACCGTATTTAATCTACGGCACTTATATATTTTCCACCTACCAGATGAGGTTTGTGCCTCACATCAATGATTGGTGGTGGCATGTTCAGACGAGAGTGCCAGTCTCGGGCCGCCATATACCGCCGTTTATCCAAGAATGGCAATTCTTGGTTTCGCGCCGCATACATGCTGGATTGACGCCAATGTTTTCGGAATCTCGGCACGAGTAGCAGCGGTTCACGTGTGACTGATTGATGTGCCAATGGATAGTGGATAGATCCGCAACCGCAGGAGATTGTTTGTAGACTAAAGTCCAAGTGTTTCCTTTGCTTAATAATACCGGTTATCTTATATAACGATTATAATAATATAGTTCAGCAGTAATAGATATTAAAACAAAGCGATTAGTATTTATTTTTAATATTATAAATTAAATTATTACTTATATACTCTTTAATATGTTTATAAGAGAATCATTTAGTAGCAAAATAATATACTTATGATAGTACTACGGAAGAGTAGCTTATGATTTGAAAATGACCTGTAATTAAGTAGTGGCGTGAAGAGCGGGAACCAGGGATTAAATCTTTTAAGTGGTTGTGGAGGTGAATGAAACTCAGATCAGCCAGATACTATGAGGGAGACCATAGATATCGCTAGTCAATCCCTCGTGATATGACGGTCGTAGCAAGCATCCAGGGTAAGAGGTCTAGCCTCGGTGGGGTCAGATGGATGTCTGTCATCACACAAATAAAGGGACAAAATCCCCTTAAGACCTTAGCATCTTTATGCTTTTTCACACTTAATTTTACACTCTTTCCCCTTATATCTGTATTCATTAAACTGATCATTTAAGTCTCTATATTACGACGAAGACCCTGTCTCAATTGAACCTAACTGGCAGTCTACACTTACCTTGCAGTTGACAGTGTTGGAAGATATCGTCTTGTGCAGTTTTTTGTTTGTTGTTGCTCTTCACCTTCAAAGTGGATGCAGGTATTCCCTTGTTTCAGTCGGAAGTTGTTTTTAAAATTTAATATTCTGTAAAGTAGTTAAGAACTTTTATTAATTTGCAATTACGGAGTATATAGTTAGCAATTCTGCCGTCCTGTTGCAGTCCCAATGAAGTTCGATTATCCGTTCTCTTTCTTTGGCAGCGGCCTAACCTTACACAGACAATTACCCAAGGCCACTTATACCGACTTTAATGGTTGCCCCTCTTCTTTCCCGCGTTAAGGGCTTTAGCACCGTTGGACACTTGCTTCTCAGCCTAAAACTCGGCTTTTTGCCGAGACCATGTTTAGCTGATTTGAGCACCGTTCTATTAGAGCTCAGATGCAAAAATCGCAACAGGTCAATCGTCTTCCATATCACAAGCAGAAAATGGACCCTGAACCCGAGGTTGGCTGACAAGCTGCATGTATACCCCACACTTTGATCCCGCATTTGAGCATCGAAATGCGGTTCTTGATCCTCGGCTTCTCCACTTCTTGGTTGGTCATGTATTGAGGGATATATCTCAAAACCTGGGGTAAGCATCCTTTCTGGGGTTAACTGAACTCTATTTAAATACCTTCAACCAATGCGAGGAAGTCTGAGGTGCAATTCGCGGAGAAGGCCCGATACGTACACGAATTGGGGTCGGGTGACTTGTCAATATCACACTTCGGACTGTAGAGATGTGGAGGTATTCTCTTGAAGTGTCCTTGAAAGAAATGCTGAAAACTTCTCAGACGGAGAATCAAGATCGTCCTAGTCATCCTTATACTATCCAATACTCGATTGGCTTGGCTTGTGAGTGAATTGGTTGAGTTGAGCTTCATGCTATGTACATCAACTCCTTCCAGCAAATGTACAGCACAAGTCCGGTTCTCACCACGTGATAGTAAGAAAAGAACGACTCTGTAGTGCACTTCTGACAGGCGAATCTAAACAGCCATGTGAATTCCGTATAACCGATCAAGCGTAGGAATCCAAACCAAGTGAACTAGACAAGAAGCGGAAGGAGAATCCTCTACCAGGCAGCACTATGAAACTTGTAACGATAACTGAAGGAGGGCAGCCGTCTATATAAAGGAGACAGCTATCTAGACATGAGCCTGTATACTCGCACTCAATTGTCCTGTTCTTTAAACAAAGCAGTCGCTTCTGAGGCATATCATACTTTGTTCAGTCTTCGAATCTCTCTCTTCAACATGCGAGCTGCATTTATCCTTTCCTTCCTCCTGGCTAGCGCTACCGCCTTGCCAACAGCATCAATCGAAAGGAGAGCCGTCGCCGCGCAAGACGTCAATCTACTAGAAACCCGAGACCTTCTCAATCGTAATGATCTTGAGAATGGTGATTCCTCCAATTGTCCCACAGCCATTTTGGTCTATGCACGTGGTAGCACAGAGCCTGGTAATCTTGTTCGTCACCGCAGTTCCATACACCATATTATCAAAATCTAATCAAATTAGGGAATCACGGTTGGGCCAATACTCGTAGAAGCCATGCAGCTTGCTATCCCTAATATTTGGATACAAGGTGCTGGTGGGCCATACACGGCTGACCTTGCACCAAACTTCCTTCCTGAGGGGACCACCGATGCCTCCATCGATGAAGCTAAAAGACTTTTCCAAATGGCCTACGACAAGTGCCCAGATACGCCCGTCGTGACGGCTGGATATAGGTACTGACTACCGCTCATCCATTTACTGTCGCTTTGCTAATCCTGTGAATTAAACAGTCAAGGAACAGTTGTCGTAGGATATGCACTCAGCGAACTCGAAGGCGCGGTCCAGAATCAAGTTGTTGGAGCCGCCTTGTTTGGATATACCAAGAACGAGCAGCTCGGGGGCCGTATCCCGAACTATCCTACAGACAGAACTAAGATTTTCTGTCTACCGACTGATCTAGTTTGTGATGGGACGTTATTTATACTGCCTGCCCATTTTCTATATGGCGCTGATGCGGCGGTTCCAGGTCCAGAATTTCTGGTTGGGCAGATTCAGAAGTAGAAGGGTTTGTAACGGGGCATTGATGTTCTTTTCTGGTAGATCTCATATCGGGTAACTGGTACATTCATGTATGCAGAAGATGCGGGTTCAGGTCACTTGGAATCTCATAGCATAAGGAGCTATCGTACTTCACCCAGGCTGACACTAAATAACCAACTCAAGTCTAGGGACAAATTAATATGTATCTTGACATGAGAATGAACCTTGAAGAAGTCGTAGATCTCGTAGGATGCCTATCGGTGCGCCTCTATTGTGATTACTCAGTTGGGCCGCTCGAAGTTCGTACTTGTGATAACCCATTTACCCTGACATCTTTCGAAACACTGTACTCAGCACTGATATGGAGTAACTTACGTTTATATATGAATTAAAGACAATGAATTGTAGGTGCATTTATAAACCTATCTGCCTTTCATTTTATTGGAAGTGACGCCTCATTGTTCACTGGTTGGTGCTGAAGAGGAAGACGGATGCAGTTTATACTACTCAAAGGCCCTGGTGTTAATTTATAAAAAAAAGCGTAAATTCTTTTTTTTTTAAAAAGAAGTACCAAAGCTTAGGAAAAAGACTTCTCCTTAGTTCCCTTAATACCTGACTTTCCAGGCGACAAAATGTTATTGAGATCCATATCCGCCTTGAAGCAATCAACTAGTTTTGCGAGGGCATGTCCATTGAATAAGAAGTGACTTCTGATCTGACACATGAACTCACGTGAGTTCGATATGTAGTCAGTCCACGACAGACGGCATTGTCAATCAGCTTCTGGCAGGGGCGTATACTACCAAAACGATGGGAAGCATGTACCGACAGTAAGCGTGGAAACCGGATAAGAAGTCGAACTTTGCTGCAGAAATCATCCCCTTGACTGCTAGGAACCATTCGAGCAATGCCGGGCCTGAGGTAGGGACGACTGGGGCGAAGTCTGTGTGTCCGATTCCGGGCGATGGACGGTAGTCCATTAGGGACAGTGATTCGAACGATGGAACGACACTATGGGGAATACCTTTGATTTCAACTTTTTCTGCTCGAAGAAACTCGCCCGGGATACCACCAAATGGCGTTACTGGAGATGAGCTCCAGGAATCTCTGTGATGGCGCGACGCAGTGAACTCTGCAGGGTCGGCACCACATCCGCGTCACCTTGGAGACCGAACTCGGCTTTCCAGAGTCACCAGCCATAACTCAACTTCAAATCGTCCAGAACGCTCTCTGGAACGGTCTTGTTAGGATAAAAATGCGGTGCTAGCTTTGCTTTGACAGCATCGTCCGGGGACAGAATAGCTTGGCGGAAAACATTGGAAATGGGGGATTGATTGGTGACTACGCCCCGTCGTTGGACATCGGCAAGAAGTTCTACAAGTTGGGGGAGATCTCTCTCGTTTGGCACGCTCAGGTCACAAGCGGTGTACGCTTTGGGCGCTGGGGTGATATGAATGCCTAGTTTAGTTATCACACCTGATAGGCGATTTAGTATTCTCACCTTGGTGCCATACTGTAAATTTGGATAGGGGAAGGCTGACCTAAGTTTGATTGATAGAAAAGACCATCTATGCTTGGTCTAAATCCGCTAGAGAATGCTTAGAAAGTTGTGTAGATGAGGCGATCCCAACTCGGGACTAATAACTCACGCTTTGTGAAGGGAGAACAGCCGGCTGTCACTCATAGCACCCATTCCAGCCTGCAACAGCTCGCCTGTAGGAAGAACGACCTCTATCCGACACTGCGCCTCTGTGTGCACGGCGCCCGGAGTGTAGCCGAAGCTGTGGTCATCCCCAGTCGCAGTTGGTTTGTGGACAACACAGCCTACAGGACCGACGGCATTTGTATATTTGTCGGAAACCGGACTTACAAAGCGCTAGCTAGACCACTAACCCTTTAGTAGATTGTATTAGTTTAAATGGCCAAACTCAAGTAGACAACTTGCAATTTTACGTTAGTGGATTTGACGTAGGTATTTTTTTGTTCAATTTAAACATTAACACCATTGGTGAATTGTAACATAAAGAAAATCACACACTAAGTCGAAGTTAACCCTAAATCTTTATAAATCGTCTTACAGCTCGCTAATACAAATGATAAATAAGCACAATAATGAGACAGCGGTGAGTCTCGAGCCATATGCACGTCTTCCAATGCTCGGTGCTGGCGTTTTTGAAGTGCAGGGTAGGCGCTCCAAGAGTTCGGAAAAGCTCCCACTAGGGACAAGACCTTCTCAAGAAGCCCTTGTTTTCCGACCGCAAAGATAAATATAAACTGTGAACACTATCGTTGAGATTCTTTGGGCGACAAATCATCAGTTTCCGGCAAGACAAAGACGATGATCGACCGGAGTTTGGGTTTCCACCAATGAGATATTACGGATGCATGGATAACCCCGCGTTGAGTTGATGGCTTTTCCGACTTGGCAACGAGAAACTTGCATATGATCGCAGGTTTGGGGGTTGAAATGTAGATATGAGATTGACTTTAAACTTCAATAAGCTAAGAGTTGTCGGTCAAGATGCAATGATGTCCCGAGACATTGGGGTGAGGACTATCATGAGGTGTCAAGGGTATAAATATGTGTACAGCCATGATAATCTCTGTTTAGTGGGAATTTGCCTTGCGACCCACGATTTAAACACCATTGAAACCTCCCGATAACTTAGTCATGCGCTGCTTGCAAATTATTTCGGTGCTTGGGGCGCTGTTTCTCACCACTGTTCAAGCCGTGACTCTCCCAGCTGGAGTACCCCGCGATATTTCAGAGTTCAGAGACAAACATCCCTACGCTCCACCCAAGCATGAACACCGCAGAATCGTCCGGATTCGTGCATCCCGAAATGACGTAGATGATGTGTCAGATGACTTCAAGAGGGGCGTACGCAAAGCAAACGGTGGAGGCACTTTGCATCTAGCAAAAGGGAAGACGTATGTCATTGGTAAAGCCCTGGACTTGACTGGCCTGGAAGACATTCACATTCACCTGGAGGGTGAGATACGAGTAAGTTGTTGTGATATAACGCGAAAGGATATAGACATCTGACAGCCTTAGTTCACTGACGACGTTGAGTACTGGCAAGAGAATGCCTGGTACCATCCATTTCAGAAGTCGATCATGTTCTGGAAGTGGGGAGGAAAGGACATTAAAATCTACGGCAATGGTGTCATTGAAGGCCAAGGGTATGTCAACCTCTATACTTTTATGCGGACAAAGCTAATCATGGTAGGCAACGGTGGTGGAATGAGTTCGAGTCTGGAACTGGTTCGTAAGTGTATCTCAATTCAAACAAACCATGCAGACCAACTAACCGATTCGCAGTATTCTAAACCCTGACAACAAATACTATCGCCCCATTCTGTTCTACGCCGAAAACACCACCAACTTGGATGTTTCCGGAATTCATTTGAAGGACTCACCCTGCTGGAATAACTTCATCGTCAGCTCCAAGAACGTCAAGTACACAGACGTTGTCGCAACCGCACTGTCCAATAACGGCAGTATCATTCCCAAGAATACTGATTTCATGAACACCATGAATACCTCAGCTGTGCGAATTGAGAGAACCTGGGTCAACATTGACGACGACTGCTTCTCGCCGAAGCCGAATAGCTCCGACCTTTACGTAAACACCATGTATTGCAATGGCACTCACGGCCAGGTTTGTGTCATTAACCATGATCGACAGTGCAAAGCTGATCCGGTGTAGTCCATGGGATCCCTTGGTCAGTACAAAGGCGAGGTCTCTAATGTCTACGATGTGCACATTGAGAATGTTTGGATGATGAACGGAGATGTAAGTTCCAAACTCTTCTATGGTGATAATATCTCATTGTTGCAGTACTCGGCAGCTCGTATCAAAGTTTGGGCTGGTGAGGAAACCGGCACAGGGTTCGTCAACAACGTAACCTTCAAGTAAGTCTCCCCAAGGATGTCACGAACGACCTTGCTCAACGGATATCAGAAACTTCTGGGTCGCTAGAATGGATTACGGCATCTTCCTCGACTCATGCTACTTCAATATCTCAGCCGAAGAATGCAATGCTCACCCATCAGGCATGCAAATCACCAACATACACTTTGAGAACTTTACTGGGTACACATCTGGTGTATATGGCAATGCTGTAGCAAGGCTTTCATGCTCAGCTGCCGAAGATGCTATTTGTGCAAACATCACGGTCAAAGACTTCAATGTCAAGACTCCTTGTGGAGGAGACCCTGCCATTATCTGTGATGGGATGCACGGGGATATTGGCGTTGATTGCGTGCCGTATGATAGTGACGAGGCGAAAGCGGCGTTGAACGCAAAGTGCAAGACTCCCATGGCGGCGATTGACACGGATCCTTGGGGCAGTGGACTCATTGAGAAGATGAAGGGCGCTTTCCATCCACAGTAGATATCACAGTCAAGGAAAGTTTGCAATGGGAGATGAGAATGCGCAACAGCTAGATAGATCTCAATTGATAGACACTAAATCCAACTCAGACACTGTCAAACAGTAAACTCGTGATAACCCGATCCAACAGTCTTCGTTTTCTGCTTACCCGGCAACGTAACCTTAGCCTTCGTGTTCGGCGGAATCCTAACCTTGAGGTGAAACTTCCCATTCGTCACAGTCCAATCCGTGGAGATGGTTCCATACTGACTAACATACGTTGCACTTGCATGAGAAAGGTTACCTCCTGGAATAGGCGCAATAGCGACAGTCTTGTAACCAGGCTCCAAAGGTGCGATTCCTCCAATGACTTGATGCATCCAATTGGCGACAGATCCAAAAGAGTAATGGTTGAAGCTGGTCATCTCACCGGGATTGACGGTGCCATTGGGCAGCATACTATCCCATCGCTCCCAAGTTGTTGTACCGCCCATTACGACTTGATATAGCCATGATGGAACCTTCTCTTGGAGAAGCATGCGGTAGAAGACATCTGTGGCATTGATGCCGGTGAGTGCAAATCCAAGGGGTGAAGTACCTGCGAAGCCAGTACCGACAAGATAGTCATTGTTCTTGATGATATCTCGCAGTGTATCGGCAGCCGCCTTCTTCTGCTTGTCATCCTTGAGAAGGTCAAAAGCTAGGGACAGAGCATAGGCGGTCTGAGTTCGGTTGGCCAACTTGCCACCTGGTGCCCAAGAATTCTGGAACTCTCGTTTGAGATCAGAGCGTTGAGTCTGGTACTTCTTGGCCAGTTTGGAGTCACCAAGGGCCCCAATGATCTGAGATAATGTCTCCGTCATCTTGATCAAGTACGCATCCGAGACCAAGATCTTGTGCGTCGTCGCAGCCCCGGGGTCGTCGGAGGGTGCAAGAGGGTCAAGCCAGTCTCCAAACTGAAAGCTACTGCGGTTCCAAAGACCAACATCGTTTCGCGAAATACCAGTATCGATCCAATTCTGGGCTTGTGGGAGGTGTTCTTGGAGTAGCTTCTTATCACCAAAAGCCTGGTAAATGTTCCATGGGTTGGCGACAACCACGTCTCCCCACACTGATGCTGGCTTGGGAGGTCTGTCCAGAAACCAAGGGATAGAAGGGACGTAAAATGGGGGAACCATCTCGTTCTGGGACATTTCGGACCAGATGTCCTTGTGCCAGCCCTTCCAGAAAGCCGATGTGTCGTACAGGTAGTTCGATGTAGGGCAGAAGGCGTGTGCGTCACCGGTCCAGCCAAGACGCTCATCTCGCTGGGGGCAGTCTGTAGGAATGCTCAGGAAGTTACCCTTCATAGACCAGCGGACATTGGAGTGGAACTTGTTAAAAAGCGGGTTGGAACAGTTGAAGTAACCAGTCTCTTCCAAATCTGTATGAACAACGATGGCCTTGACACTATTCGCATCCAAGGGAGTCTCTTTAGGCCAGCCATCAAGTTCAGCGTAGCGAAAACCGTGGAATGTGAACTTGGGCTCCCACTGAATAGGTCCCTTACCACTGAGAGTAAGGTAGTCCTCAGCCTTGGCTAGTCGAAGAGGTCGAAGAGCCAATTCACCATCCTCCAGAACCTCGGCGTGTCGCAGTCGGATAGTCGTGTTCTTGGGACCATCAACGTTCAATCGAAGCCAACCAACGAGATTTTGTCCAAAGTCGACAAGCTGTTTTCCAGAGGCGGATTTGAAGAAGCGCTGCGGCTTGACCTCCTCAACGCGTCGGACAGGCGGCTGTTCAGCAGGAACAAGTTCGCCGTCCACAGCCGGAAGAAGACGAGTGTCGGACCAAGAAGAACTCTTGAACCCAGGTTTCGACCATCCTTTGATGTCAGCTTCAAGAGTTGCGTTGTAGCGGTCTCCATCGTAGATCTCGCCGGCGGTAGCAGGGCCAAAGCCTGACTTCCAGGTGGTGTCAGTGACAATCTTGACTGTCTTTCCACTCTTTGATTTCACATGAAGCTGCGCCAGAAGACCAGTAGAGTTGCCGTAGATGTTTCGTTGACCGCCTGCGAATCCCAGTAGTCCAGCATACCAGCCTTCACCGACAAGTGCACCTATCGCATTTGAACCTGGGGTGAGGAGCTTGGTCACATCATAAGTGTCGTAGACGTGGCGATGGTGGAAGGACTGCCAGCCCGGGGCCAAGACACGGTCGCCGACCCGCTTCCCATTGATTTCCGCCTCGTAAATGCCCAGGGCGGTGATGTAAAGCCTAGCCGAGGCAATATCATCAGGAAGCTTGAAGTCCTTGCGGAAGTAGACAGGCCGTTTGGCCACATTGATGTCGACCTTGATAGTCGAGGCGATGGGCTTCACATTCTCCCAGCTCTTCTTGAAGAGTCCTGTCTCGACAGAGACCCAATCTGACCAGGGCGTCGAGGGCTGCTTTGACTGTCCATGAGCACGGACTCTGACGGAGACAGGTTGGGCTTCTTCGAGTGGAGTATCGGGCCAGGGCTGGTAAAGAGAGTCGGAGGACTTGGAGGAGAAAGATTTGGGTTTGTCGCTGACGCTGCGAGAGACTTGGATGTCGTAAGAGCTTTGTTCCCAGTCAGGAGCATTACCGTCGAATCTCCATGAGATTCTTGGTGCCGTCTCTGCGATGCCCAGAGGTGAGCTGTAATGCTCAAAAGAGACCCGAGAGATTGACAGAGCCATCTTTGCTGAGCTGGCTTGGCACTGAGACCAAGATTAAGACTGCTTGGTCCCTCATTTTATAACCGTGTACGAGCATACACTAACTCTATTCCATGGTACGAAATTCGGACCTTCACAAGGACCGAGGTCTACTTCCACTATTGATCATCACCGAAAATGCCGTCCTCAGCCTTCTCGCTGATTGATACCCCGAGAGTCTTCGATCATCTTGACCGAGTGTTACATTGCGGGGAAGAATAAAATGAACTGGCTGGGGTAAAACGCGGGGAAATAAAGATGGGCATCTCATGACAGGTCAGGGTTTGTCATCGCTGTAACATAACCTGTCGATCTGGAAACAGATGCCGTCATCCACACATGGTGGCTATCGTAGCAACAATACCCCGAAGTGTTTAACGTCCAGGACGTGGTTATTAAGATAACAATTCAACATAATTCAGAAAAGACAATAGCCTTCAGTGTCGGGTCAAATCTCCTGACCTTTCAGTCAATTTACGCGTTCTTTACGATACATGTCATTGAGTGATGGTGGATGGTTATGCATACAGGCCTTTTCCAAATTGGGACTAAATACTCCGCTGCTCAAATAGAGTTCTGTTTATCCTCGGATTTTCCGAGAAACAGCATCGGAAAACCCGCGTTTTATTCATGGTCTCATCAACAGCTCCACATGAATCACTAAACACCGACCTTTGTAATCAAGGTTTAGAAACGCCCCGGAACTTTTGATTGCCTCAGGATGCGATATTACAGGTAGGCCCATTCAAGGTTAGATTGATAAAAAGGTCTTGAAATCCCTGCAAAGTATATCAGGTGGCGCGCAATATCAAAGGTTACCACGTCTCTAACCATTTGGCACCAAAGTATCTATGACCTTTACCTTATCAAGAAATAAAGAATAAATATTTCCCAATATGAAAAGCTTCCCTGATATTGCAAAATTCTTCCTTCTACCTAAGATAACCCGTGCCTATTGAAGCAAGATCGTGAGCTGAGAGAAACAAGGCCGTACGGAAGATGTCCATTAAATTCTACAATTACAAGTGAAAAATGACTTCTTCGTCCCCTTGCCGTCTATGGTATTCTTATTTGCTATGCGAATACAAAAGGCCACTCTAACGAAGTAGTTATTCTGTGAAGATCAAGTGCCTAGAAGGCTATAGCAAGAGAAGGACCGAGGAACAGGATTCTCGGATATCTTCCACAGATGCCGTTTCCGACAGTCCACTTTGCCAGTCTGCTCCTCGAATGCAGTAAGTCTGCGTATACACAGCTCAAGGTTGAGCCTCATCTCTTTCAACATCGGGTTGTTTCTATCGTACCGCCCCGGTTTCACATAAGTACACGGAATGTGCACTCGGAAGTATCTTTTCCAGCCCGGCGCGACTCCGCGTTGACGTAGAAGAACTTACTTATGGCTGCTTTGTCGTCAACCATAACGCCATATTCCTTCTTCGACTCCCGATTGACTTTGGTCTCTTGTCCGTCCGTCAGTCTGGGAATAGTTGGGGAGTTAAGTACGTTGAAAAGTTCCTTGTCGAAACGCCTGCCGTGGAGCAACCTCATAGTCTGTGCTGCATTGCTGCTTATTCGTTAGCATCATAGCACATTTGACATGGACATAGACAAACACTTACTCGCAATCCTCACCGAGGTTCCAAACATGTATGTTGAGCACTCTGTCCTTGATGAGAGCTTCTTCCCAGATCATGTCCCGAATCTCGCCAGGGAGTTGAGCGAATTGAGGGAAAGTTGCCCTTTCGTTGCTCTCAGGAGTGAGAAGAGAAAGGTTGAGTCCAGACATGTTGGTGTTGGGAAGTTTTGTCAGTGATGAGATGAAATAAAGAAAGACAATAAACAAATGAAGTCCGATCCTTCTGCAATTTGGGTCTCTGCTTGTTTTTATAGTCTTGCTCTGCGAAGAATACTCGCGCACTAAAGTCAGACAAAACGAAGAAGCCTGGCATGTCAGACTTTGGGTTTTGCGTGTGAGTTCTGATACTTCAAATGCTGAAAGGGAATCTTTGAAGTATAATTTGGGCATGACTGTTCAGAGCTATACTATCTGATTATACATAAAGCTTTGCACTATAATTACCAGTAAGGTGAATAAAGGAGGAGTTTTCTCAGTAGGTTGGTAAGTCACATGACACGAGGTCTGCTGTGAGTAGGTATTGGTTGTGAGCATCGCAGAAGGAACACAGTTTCTGTTCATGTGGCTCCTCATGAGTCCTTTCTTCATCTAACAATACTTAGATTAAAGGGACAACGGGTTCTTATATAGCAGGAATGGGGATATTCTTGTTCCCTGCAAATATATACAGTGACCACTGATCTAACTCACATATGTCCGGTTCAATCCTTAGACCTGGTACTGCCACGAGGGTACAGCAATATCAGCACCATTCTATATCCCTTTTTACATCTGCGCCTTTGTCCTGTCTTCAGCCATCCCTCTTTTGCTGTATCTTTTGTCCAACCGATTCAAGAAGCAGCTAGATCGTTCCAAGCAAGAAGAGACTTTCGAAACCGAACTAAACTGTGGAGATTTCGGTATAGCTTCTGGTTGGCTCCTCAGGGCTGTAAAAAATATATCTTGCAATCGTAGACCTTGTAACTAATAAAGTTGCTCATACTTTAACTTTTTGTGGCGATCCGTCGAATGATCTGCTGACTCACCTTGCGAACTTTAGAGACCCGAACCTTCAGGACATTATTAGGTCTTTATCAAGGGAAACGGACAGAATGGGGGCGAATTTGGCCAAAAGTCCCAGTCTGTCACATAAAACATTTAGAGCTGGAAGCAGGACATCATACACGCTCATGTCGTGTATATGGGGTTTGCATCCCTCTGCCTGCACCATGGATTATTTGAATAGGCTGCAATCCTATTATTGTCGTCGGACTTTTGTCGGGATGTCGACGTTAACAGGCAGGGTCGTGACTTTAAGCTTATTACGAAAGTATGTTGCAGTTAAAGACCCGTGGCAGAGACCTTAACGTTACCGCACAAAGGTTGATTGGCTAGTCGGCCCAAAGGAGACTGACTGTACGCGTATCACTCTGGAATTTTGACTCAATTACTAAACTTCAGAACCTCTTGAAATAAGAGCCGTTGGGTACCTACACTGTTAACCTTGATAGACTTGATCTTTGAGGTCTTAGAGGATCATGCGTTCCAAAAGTCTAAGTTCTTGTAAGCAAATTGTGTGATGATGCTCTTCATTAAAGCTTGGGACAGCCCTGATCAGGAATTAAGCAGATTTAAGTGATCTAATATTAGAACGCCATTGAGCTGCCTCTAATTGAGATATTCTGGGGCGCGGAAAAGACTTCTATTCTACTATACCTCCTGTCTTGCAGATATCCAAATCACACAGTACCAAAATTCATGTTCTTTGTTTATAGGTGGCCTCGCCCATCGCGGTATTACCGATCTTGCTGTGAGTCAAAATGTGGTCTTGTCGCATGATATCACCATTTAAGACCTGACGCATGTTTACTCGCAGGCAGTAACACGAACCATCTCCAATCCTTCCAATCCTCAGTCTCGATATCTCACTGAAAGTCGTCCGATTAGCATTGTGAGAGTCATTTTGTCGGTCACCAACATGTATACTCCATGCAACTTTAATTGCTTCAGCTGCAGGGCTCGATTGGTAATGACTCCAGAGAGACTTGTGTGTGGCGGCATACTCAGACATTTCAAAGTAAACGTAAATATAGAAAATCCGCAAAAACACAAAATCAGTCACAATGTGAACACAAATCTTGAGCGAAAGGTAGTATTGCTATTAGGCTTCCGGACTTTTCTATAAGTTCAGCATATCCCCTTTCTTTCTTTCTTTGGAATGATCTTCCTCCTTCTCTCTTCCTACAGAAGTATTTATTTACCTTCTACCTGAGGTTATCTTGATTACACTATCAACAGCCCTCGACGAGTATGGGCTAGACTCTCATAAGATATTGGAATTGATCTAAGTGACGAAGGATCATTTCCATTTACAAAACTCCAGCCAAGAATACCACCACTCCCGACCACCTACAAGCTGATGAAGCGACCTGCTGGCGACCATGACAACTCTCTTGAGGACATTAGGAATGATTCAGAGAAGCGACCGAGAATGGAACAAGATCAGATCGGGAGGCCTCAGGCTTATCCTTTTAGGCCTGAACACAGGCCTTTCGTTCTTCCAGATGGCAATGGAGTGGCCGGGCCCAGCCCTATTACTCCGCCTGTCCAACACTGTGACCTCTACAATAATCCAGATGACGCCGCTCATGGGATGGATGTACCGATGTCCAAGACGATCAATAACCTTCGCAACCATCTTCCACTCTCTCCTGCAACATCCCGTTCTTCAACCCCTGTTAGCGAGGATGTCTTCTCAATCACTCATTCCAATCTTGACTCTCCGCCTCGGAGCCCTATTACAGACGCCGGCGAGGATTATCTGCCAAGTAGGCTACGAAACTCCTTTGCAGACTGTACTTTGCAAAGCCCTCGCCCAATATCCTCTCAAACTTGCTCAGAGTCTCCTCCCTGCTTCCTTTCACCAGAGTACTATCAGGACCATCCCTTTTTTAAGCCCACCCTCACCTCTGTCTTCGCAGACAAGAGTACCTTCCTCTCTCATATGGACATACGGTTCGCTAGCATGCCTCCTGAGATCGAGCCGAGAGACGCTCCTGTCGGCTTTGAACAACAGCGCTTGGCAATGGATAACTCTTTTCTTCCCGACCCACAGGAACGGGCTCTGTCTTGGATCATGTCCCACTACACCACTGACATGTCATCCCATGGGCCCCTCGAAAGATTTCCAGGCTATTATACAGAGGAAGATTATCCTGAGATTGAAATTACCTGGGAAGACACTTCTAGCAGCTATGTAGACTGTGACCCCATTCTGCCTGAGGTTGGCATCAAGAAATCTTCGAAAAGCCAGACAATGTACACATCTATGGAGATTGATCCTTACGGCTTTGGTATGAGCAGTTTCAATATTGCCAGATTGCCAGAGTGGGTTCGCGCCAGGATCATGTCTTTCTGTACTGAGCCAAAAGACCTCATTACCCTGATCAACTCATCTCCAGTCTTCCTTCAACCATTTTGTCGGAACCGTCGTGCCATCGTCAGTCAAGTCATCAAGGGCATGAGGTTTCGCTTCGGCGGTGATATGCCTCACAGCTGTCTTATGGCAGCACGGCTCCGTAATATGGAATCAAAGGGTGCTGAGGGCAGTCCTGAGGTTCTCAAGGCCAGTGCCAAAAGAACCATCAAGTCAATTTTAAGGTTCCCTCCAAAGGGGGCTCTGCTCCATCCCTTGTACAGTCTTCGACTCCTTATGTTTATCTCTGACACCCTTGATAAAGCTGAAATTGTGATGACAAGCTATGCGCATCAAGCATGGACAAATAAAACTGGGGTCAAGAAGCTGGGACCGTCTCATACCGCTGAAAATCTCGTGCTCTCTCAGACTGAGAGAAAAAGGTTCATGGATGCTATCTGCCTCTACGATGCTTATTGCATAGCTTTCTTCTCTGAAAATGCGATTTCATCTCATGATGACACCACGCTACGGCAGAGCTTCCTTGAAGATGATGGCGTACCGGGTGAAATCATCAAGCGTTTCTACAGCATCACACTCTACCTACACCACTTCTATCATTATTGGATAAGTATTGCTATAATGACAAGGCACTATGACCTTTCTGCAAAGGGCGAGGACCCCAGCCTTTTTCTTTCTTCGAAAAAGCACATCGGCCAACTTGTCAACCATTTTGTCTGTAGCGGGCCAAGTGTTTTCCGAATGCTGCAAGACATGGGGGCTCCAGGACGGTATGAATTTATTTTAAAATTGCTTGATCGCTGCGAGACAGATGCAGAATATCTCCAGAAAATCACGTCCACACAGAGCAAAGGAGACAAGCAAGTCTGGGCATATCGCGAGATGGCGGACCTTAATCAGCAAGCGGTACGAACGGCACAGCATTTCTGGGATCCAGTTCTTGTCGGGAGTATGAAAATGACGTGCCATCGCTGGCCCGCGACTGAGCTACAGTTGCGAAGCAGGCCTGACGCCTAGCCTTGCTAAACACTTTTTCTTCACTACCTCGGTATCGACTTAAACAAGCTATGCTGTTTTGCATCTGAAAATCAGAAAACTAATAAATAATAATATTTGTTTCTGGAATTAACTATTACCAGACTGCCATAAACCTTGATCATTACGATAAGGGCTGAGGCCCAGAGCACTCAGCTTAGCTTCGACTCGACAATTACAGCAGCGTAGATGTGTTCATTTTTAAAACATCAAACATTAGGCTAGAGGCTGACGGCCTGTGCTGCTTTTTCTAGTTTGCATCTCCATGTTAGCATCTATAATGGCATCTCTAATCCGAGTCCGAACTGCTACTTGAATCGTACTTCCCAGTTCCCTTCTTAAACTTCGGCTCCGGCATATAAAGATGCGTCAGATTATGCGTCTCTCCTCTCTCCATTCCACGACACGTATTTCCTGCATCAAAGCACTTCTGACACGTATCCCAATCTCCATTATTGCAAATACCACAATAGTAGAACCCTCCCTTGATCAAGAGGTTGCACACGTCGCAGTAGTACTTGGGATACACCTTGACCAAGTTATGCTTGCCCTTGCCTTTACAGACCTCTCCTTGGGCAAGACAATCACGGCAGATATCGTAGTCACCACCGTCGCACTTCTTACAGTGTGCGTAGGGACCGCTTATGACCTGATCGCAGATGTTGCATTCGAGGTCGACTTCCCATGCTGGAAAGTGGGCAAAGTCGGAGAAATCTTCTGCCGTGCGGCCATGCTTCTTGGCTTTGCGTTTATCTGGGAACACGTTAGTATTCTTTCAGAAAGGTATCGTATTTTATGTCCATCTTACCAATTCGTTCTTTGACAAAATATCCGGCTGCACCACCTGCAGCAAAACCTCCAGCTGCGGCCAGGAAGTTCGATGACTTCTTCTCTTTCTCTGGAAGACTTGGTCGGGAGTCTTGCGGATTGGTGTACTGTGGCTGACCCGGATGGATCAGCTGTCCACCATGGCTTCTGTTATTCGAGTTTAGACTTCCTGGAAAGGCCGGCATGCCTTGAAGTGGCGGGAGGTCAGATGGAGCTTGCCAAGAGCTTCTGCCAGAAGTTTCGACGTAATACCATTGCTGTGACTGTTCAGACCAATATGGCACCCATCTAGGAGGCGTAGGGCATGGATGGCCATGACCAGCAGTACCAGGTGCCACTATCGTTGGAGGCGATTGGATCGACTGATAGTTTGGGGCTGCAGGAGCGCCGTAAGGGGCGTGTGCTGACGGGAACGATTGCCCAGGCTGTCCTGGAGGTGCCGGTGATGACGGCCATTGTTGATGCTGAGGCTGCTGAGCAGGCTGGTAAGTATTGTAAGCTGGTGGCTGTGGGCTGTGAGTTTGATGCTGGGCGTAATGTTGGTCTGGGTATGACTGCTGCGACTGTCCGTGGTATGACTGATACCCGGAATTCTGTTGGTTCTGTCCAGGGTAGGGAGGTTGTCCATGTCCTTGCTGCTGGTTCTGGTATTGATTGTTGTAGGACTGATAGCTCTGTTCAGTACTTTGAGGCGCTGGCGAGGGCGCTATGATACACTGGTCAGTGAATCCGATTGAAAGTTAAATATCGGAGCGCTTCACCTCCTTGTTGCTGCCCAAGGCGTTCACTCAGATTGAGTCCTTCAAATTCCTTCTTGAACTTATTCAAGAACGACATACTGTCAATGTTCCTGTCGTTTAAATGAGAATAAACAGGGAAAATGGATGAGACGTCGCGACGGAAGTTTTTAAGATAAAGATCCCTGCAAAATCAATGTCTGCGCTCGAGGATCAATCAACGTAAGCGAGGACTTATCTCGAAGGAATGGCTCTGAAACGTGAGACTTTATATTTCAAGGCTCCAATCCGTCATCGGAGGATTTAACTAACCATTACCAAGGCTTGGAGCTGGTCCCTTTGCTTAGCAGGATCAGATTGCTTGTCGGTCGACGATCCTACGCTAATGATTCTAAGCGTTGGAGCAGTGGCGAGCTAGCCAGCCTTACAGGGGACTGATCATTGGACATCTGTACGCGATTGCCCTAGACATTGGTGCTTTCAAAGACGATGATATCATCCTTCTGCAGAGAACTTCTCAGCTGAAACTGCCACGGTATTTGCATCCAATACTTGCTGGCGATTGACATGCTGATCTATTTTGAGAGGCCTCCTTGACGTTCGTGGGAGGAAGCGGGGATTTTACTCAGCCCTGTGAGGCTGTGCTTAAGCTTCCTGTATGATCCTTGACCAAGACTGAAGGATTTGAGCACTGCTGACTTAATGACCATGACATCTAGAGGTACAGTAACTGAGTATTCGCGACATGTACAGACTTAGGATAAACACGCTGTTTTAGGCCGCCAAGAGATCTCTCAGCCCAGATTATAAGAAGAATGAGTATAGAAAATATATCTGCCAAGAGCTCACTGATTGCCAGCATCAATCAGACTCTAAGGTATTAAGCTAGTTCGCGCTCTTTGCGCTTGGATCTCCATTGATTCTCATACAAATTACTGTTCTGATAGGCCAGTCTCCGCCTCCCACCACGCAAGAACCTGCACTGCAGCCACTGTCTTTGGATGTTCAGGGCCAAGTGATTCTCTGTAACCATCCACGCAAGCTTGTTGTAGCGACAGAGCTTCTGTGCGATGTCCCATGTCCTTCATGATACTAGCCCCAAGGGCCAATGCGCCTATTGTTCCAGGGTGATCTTTCCCCAACACCTTCGTCTTCTCAGCTAAGACTTGTTTTTGGAGCTCATGGGCCTCACCAAGTCGCCCTCGTTTCCAGTATATCCAAGCTAGGTTGTTCATCCTCACCAGGGTATCTGGGTCGTCAAGACCCATCTCTATCCTTGATGCTTCTAGCAACTCTATGGCCATCTTTTCTGCCTTCTCGTAAAGGCCTTGCCTTGAATATAGGGATACCAGATTATTTGTCAAGCTTAGGATCTCTGGAGATCTGTCTCCCAGAGTGCTCTTTCTGACTGTTATTAACCTAACGAGAAGTTCTTCGGCCTCATCATATCGACGCTGACGGAGATACGTGATTGCCAGATTATTCATCGACACAAGCGTCTCTGGGTGCTCCTCTCCTAGGTTTCTCTTTTCAATGTCCACGATCTGTAATAGAGCATTTTCCGCTTCTTTAAACCTTCCTTGTCGTCTGTAGGCCGAAGCTAGTCCCCATAGGGAGATCCGTATGGTATAATGTTCCCCCCCAAGGCTCGGCAGGCATATGTCTATAACCTTATTGCATATCTTTTCTGCTGTTTTATACTGACCAAACCAGATGAAATATCTTGCTAAGTGGTTGAGCAAGTTTCCCCATAACTCCAAGTCTTTCTCTTCTGGTTTTTCCCTAATCACAGGGTCTAGGTGAGGTAGTAGTATCTGGCATGTAGACCTGTATTTAAAGTCATTAGCATCGAAATTGCGACACATCGAGATCAAGAACAGTCGCTTCAACTTTGGCAAAGTGTCCGAAGACGAGATCCAGGCTCTGGTGCATGTCTGCACGGTGGCGTGTAACTCAAAGACGTCGCGAACTGCCGTTACGGAGACAAGGGAATAGCTGCGAAGCACGTCTAGATCATCTTCAAAACCATCAACCTTGTCTTTCGAATCCGCAGGCTCGCCGTTGTAGTAATGAAGTGCAAACTCTGGAATTCCCTTGTGATCAAAAAGGCTCATGAATGATAAAAGATTGGCTGCCGACGGCCTTTCGTGACGGATCTTCTCGAATGTAACTTGCCAAGTGGTAATCACAGAGTTGGAAACAGTCTCGTCTCTGCGAAGATCACCAAGATCCACTTCAAGCAGGCTGTTTTTCTTCTGATCGCTTTCTTGGAATGCTTCCAAGTAGCTTTCAACAGATTCACGGGGTGAGCGTCGGTTGATGTAGGCTGCGGCTTGGGTGATAGCGAGGGGGATGTAATCCAAAGCTTGAAGGAGCTCAACAGCAGCGCCATGCTCGAATTCACCTGTGAGTTTGTTTGTGATAAGATGAAGACCTTGGGCCTCGTCCATGGTAGACACTTGGAAGATGTTCTTGTGACTGCCGGTCAGCCTTTCCGCAACATCGAGGCTGCGAGACGTGACCAGGATGGTGCCATTGTGGCGCTTGGGTAGGAACGATGCCAACGACCGCTCGTCTATGCCTTTGGGATAGAAGAGATTAATGTCATCGGCATTGTCCAGAATCATCAGCCAAGGACCAGATTCATCGTTCTGTAGCCAGTCGCGAACAAGAGCAAGGATGTCCATGCTTGGCTCGTCTCGCTTGGGTAGTTTCATCCTCTCTGCTATAGCGCGGTAGGCTTCTTCGAATCTCGGTTTTGAACTTGCATGAACCCAGAATATATTGAAATCAGAAGCCTCGTCGTTGATAGAATAGGCAAAATTAATAGCAACTTGTGATTTACTGCGTTGTGTCAGCGGACAGTATCGTGACAGCAACGGAGATACATACCCAAACCCTCCCATGCCTACAAGGGCCATGCGGCCAGTAGAGCTGCTGTACTTGTCTCTGAGCCAAGCCGTCATATCTGGACGTGCCACAAAGTCGTTATCTCGATCGAAGGGGACATTGAAGCAGGGCGCACGAGCAATCCCGGTTTCTCCCTGCTGTTGAAGCGACAAACCCTCGACCCTTTGCGACATGTCGAGGAGAATTGTTCTATTGAGGTTAGTGGAGCTATTGGTCTTTGGAGTTACCGACTCACGTTTGATCGACTTGCAGACACAGCGTGATTGTCTGCTTGTAGTGCTCAAGATTTGATACGACCGTACTGATTTCCTTGCCGTTGAACGGCCACTTAAGCGCACGTAGACCAAATCGACGCATGGCCTTCCGCGCGCTCCCAGGGTGGAGTCTATCCTGGACTTCTGCTAGTTCTGTTTCGCATGCATTCAACGAATCAACTAGCGACCGCGATGTCGCAAGCTTCGTATTCTTCGGATCATCGAGGAGTCGCTGGGCCGCTTCGAGGCATACGTTCAGGTCCTTCAGCCGATTCTGAAGTCGGGTAATGTCAGCCCTGGCATTTCCAGCAGCCGTCGAGTACTGGACGCAGAGTTTCCCGACTTTGGCGGAGAGTTCGACGATGGCGATGATGCTCGCGGCAAGCCCTACGGCCTCGGCCATTGTGAGCGATGTTTTTTTGCCAATTCTTCTCGATTTTGATGGGACTTGCCATCGCGCTTTATTAAAGAGCAGGTGAGGGGGTTTTGTTTTCAACCCTGTCTGCCCAATGAGGCTGTGGTGTCAGCTGAACCTGACGTGGCGTTTACAGACCAACAATGTTGGAAATTTGACGTCAGACTGCATTGTGCGCTGGGATGCAGATGCTGCGATTTTAGTGTAAACTGATTAAGGCTCACTAGAGCATAAGCAGAAGGGAAGATACGAATCCGATATCTACAGTGATTCAAAATTCTCTATTCGTAACTGGCTCGCTATGCAAACTGTGCTGAGCTCTATCATTTGACAATCTAGTGGTCATAATCCCATGTATGTTGTTTCCGCTTTGATATTGTATCTGTGTCATCCGTGTAGCGCCATGCCCAAAACGCCCTTGAAATGCAAAGTAAATATTCGTATCTCCTCAAATTTATGCAATAGACTCTGTTCTTCGAGAGCGTCGACGTCGTCGCCCTTCATGCAATGGCATAGACCGATGCTTATTCACCGCCGCCAAATCAAGAGTCGATTCAGTAGCAGCTCTCTTAACAACTTCCATAGAACCATCTTCCTCGATAGTCTGGATAGTCATCTCTCTCTTTTCATCCTCAATCAACTCAATCTTCTCTCCGACACCGAGAAGTCGCGGTGTATCGGAAATCTTGGGCTTTTCGGACAGGCCCATCCAGGCTAGAGTCTTCTCCCATATTCCCGGTGGTGGAGGACTCCACATTCCGACATCAAAGGTATAGTGTTGTTGCTCGTCGGGGAGGTTGAGCCATACGAAGGGTCTGTTGCTGTTGATCCGTCCTTCGATGACAAAATCGCCAATCTCCTCGGGGATTCGGATTGGTTCGGGAATGAGAATTGTTTGGTAGGCTGGTACGATGAGATGAAGCTGGACAGGTCGGCAGAACTGTTTTCGTCGTGCTTTTGACATCTCTCGCTTCGTGATGCGTTCTCGAGCTGCGAGCATGAACATGAAAACGGTGTCGAGCTGGTTGGTGTATCCGCAGAATCGAGGACTTAGTGGCTTCTCTTCGACGAGATGAAAGAACTTGGGATACCAATCGGTATCGGGATGGTAGAGAAAGAACCAATGATCGCGTTCCGTATCGACACTCGATTGACTTAATCGTTCCCGAATCATATCGAACACATATTGTGGAAAGTCTCGTTGAGCCGTGAGCGCCGCCTGAGCCTCAAGACTAGTTGAAATCTCGCCCAGCTTGGTCGCAATGAGGTTCAAAGCCTGAACGCCCTGATACGTCTGAATGACATTCGCGCCCATGCCCAACGTCGTAGCGACAATACTAAACTGATGGAACAATCTCGTACTATCAACTAACGACTGGCCCATGATATGCATCTGCGGCAGGATGCTCTGGGCGCCCTTGATGGTCTGCGACGCGCTAGAAAGGAAATCGTTGGCATGTTGGATAACGTCTCCGACTTTGGAGATCTTATTCGCAGCCTGTACGATCTTAATGACGGGCGCTGCAGAGGCGCAGGTGCTTGCCACTTCGAGGGCTGCTGCTTGGAATTTTCTGTCGCGGACTGCTTTGGTGAAGAATTCGTCGAGGCCCATGATGTTAGTTTCAAAAGAGTGTGTCGTTGGGTCAGAGAGAGAAGCACGTAGGATGTGTTTGGAGGAGGCCGTAGAAAAAGGCGGTAACTGAAGATGGATACGGCTTATCGATGTGGCGAATGTGATTGGTTTCGCGAGGTTTAGCGAGGCTGGTGTGGCCAATTGGAGATGGACAGCTGGTGAAGTGGATAACTTGCGGCCCAACGTGAGACGCGTATCATAACAAGAGTCATCGCCTTGAAATCAGGGACGAGAATTATGACGCAGATGATCACGATAGAGATAAAGAGCTAGAGCTAGAAAGACCCTCTTTGTGGATTGTCTCGGTAATGTGAGCCTGGTAGCTGGATCGTAGCAACGAGCTGAGGGAGCTAAGAATAGCTTCAGGGGAGCTTCAGAAGTGGGCCGCCAAGATCTGCAGAAGAAAAGCTTTGATGCACAACTCAGCAGATCATCTTATGCACGTTTGTGAAAATGCGTAATTGTTATGCCTAGGGTAGTTTGAGAATCTTTGAATTGAGATCGTGAAGAGCCACGAAGGATGGGATTAAAGAACTCGAGACCTGTTGAGTGGTTAAAGATAAATAGTATTGATTACAGAATTAAAACACTATCATTAACATCAGTGAGGCTGGGAATATACGAATGGCAGGCCCTCAACTTTGCTAATCGCCAGACTAATCTTATTGCTTCTGCATTTTAGCCCAAGCAATGGTCGCACCCAACCTATCCCCAGACTCATAAAACAGATACGTATTTCCCCCAGAGCTCGCAATATCCGGCGCCGCAACTCTTCCAACATCCTCTCCCTTCCCTCTAGATTGATACAGCAAAATCGGCTCAGCCCCAACATCTCGTAACGTCTGATCAATAGTCCTCGCGTAGATCTTGCCCGTAGAACCATGATAAATAACATACGCCTGGCCATTCCACGTCCAGTAATTCGCACCCGAAACATCTGTCCCCTCAGGTCCGCCAGGTTGGACAACGTAGTCCGAATCCACAGTCCATTTCCGACCGTCGACAGACTCAGCGAGTCGGATTTTGCGCCTGTTGTCTTTTTCGTTGGCCATGTAGAACATTGCGTAGTTATACTTGGAAGCTGAGTTGGGATGCGCAAAGACACGAGCGTAGCTTGATTCCGTAGTGTTGGAGCCGCTCATTTGGTTGTTGACTGCTACACCTCCATATCGAAAGTCAACGCCATTGCTTGACTCTGCCCAGCGAGTTTGTGTGTTATCGCCGTGGAAGTAAAGAAACATTCGCCCAGCGTCAGAATTCCAACTTGCATCTGGGCTTGAAACGTGAGGGACGGAGTAGTATGAATCCCACTTGTTGGCGATGATGGGGTTGTTCTCGTACTCTTTCCATGGCCCTTCGAGACTATCAGAGTACACGAGGGAGATGCCACCTGGGTTTTCGTGTGGTGCGTAGTAGAGATACCATTCTCCCAGAGGGTCGTCTAGATATTCCCCGGCATGAAAGATACTAGGGAAGATGAACTCGTTTGTTGGGTTGTACTCAAAGGTAGCTTTGTTGGTAACATGTCCCTTATACCAGAAGTTTGGCCAACCATCAGGTGCAGGAGCAATTTGTGCACTTGCAATAGATGCCAAAAGCGCCGCGCCTAATAGGTGAAGACTTGTAGTGAAGCGCATGGTGTACATATACAAAAAAGTCGCCGATTTTCACTAAAATACAGAACGGATAAGATCAACAGATCATCACAAAACACACGAGCATTTTATTCTCCTTTTATAAAAATCATTTCCATCTGCTGTATAACCAACACTCATTATCATCGGCATCAAACCGACACTCCCCGAAGGATGTGAGTCGTGCCAGCGCATGACAAGACAAAAAAAGCATGACCCATCCTCATCTCGCTAGTGTCAGCCTTGCAAGTAATTATGCGAGAGTCAGGGCAGCCCCTCGACTGGTCAGAGGAGGCGCGCAGTGTAACATCGGAAAATGAATCTGCATGCCAAGCCTGGGGTCGTGACTTGCATCTCCCCTAAATTTGGGTGGAGGGATCGGGTACCGGGTTATTTCCGGTGTTTCATCGTGTGACGCGGGCATGTGGCTTATGCCGTGGTTAGGATGCTGACTTGTGTATGCATATTTAATTAGTACATGGACGGTAGTTGGATGAACAACGCGTCATTGGGGTGAGGTTATTGGTTGTTTCAGGTAATGATTCTGTATGTCAGCTTCCTAACGTGGCAGTATCTCGTCCGATGTAGCCGATGTTCAACGAGAAGAAACGATCTCAGCTAAGGATGTGGCTTGGCAATATCATGGTTGTCAGCGAGAATGCATAAATATTCGGTGTGAGATGGCTTTGCAGTGAAGGAACAGCGCTCCTGGGCTGCGGCCTTAGCATTAGGTGAGCATTTTTGAACTATGAAATCATAGAGCAATGGAACCGGATAGAGCTGTATACCGTTGAGCAATTCTTTGGAAGTCCGAACTGCCGTGGTCAAATTGATCTCATGTCATGTGTCTCAACATCTCCATAAGACCCCATCCAGGTGCTCAACATTGCAACCCAATATTCAACATTACATAACAGTCAAGGGACCTCCTATTTCAAACATGCAAGGCTGACCGTTTCCTATCATGCAACCAATGACACGTCGCGTCACTGCAACCGAGCCAGTTTCTGAGCCATATGTTTAAGATGGCGAAACAAAACTACCTTATTACACCCCTTGGACCAAATTTGCATCCGTGATTAACTGGACCTAAGATTATTACAGCTCATCGCTTTTTGCTCTGAAGGCCTCTTAGATTCCTGGAAATGACGTGGTCACCTTTCTTTTGTTCTGACGTGTTTAGATGTATGACATCCACATGAAACACGTAAAGAGCCTATACTTCGGCGACATATATCAAAGCGCAATAGCCTCAAAGCCGTGAAACTTGTTGAACAGCGTCATATTGGCATTTCAAGCTGAAAAGTTGAAATATGTTTGGACTGTAAGATATCGCATAAATGCTGGCAGCTGTTGTTTGGCCAAAAGTCAATTGCCATGTTCAGTAACACGTCATAGGCGGTTTTCACAGCGTTGTAAAGTTCATGCAAAAAGAAACTTTATCAAGCTAAACGCTTTCTATTGCCGCTGATGTCATAGCTGAGATTTGACATGAAAGTGAATACTTGATCAAACAGATTGTGCGAGTAGAAGTCGAGTAAGAATCATCATTAAATCAAAACCCATTACACATCCAATCGTCATCAATCCACCAACATCACCACCACCAACAGATCATTAATACCAGTCCAGCGCTTATTTGAGACCACAGTTGCTAATAGCGACCTGAGTAGCAGTCGCATCAACCCTTCCAAGCTTAACAGCCTGATTATTCGTAAGCGCATTCATCGCAGCAGGCGAGATGTTGAATCCCGCATCGGTATGATCAATCGCCAAGACATTAATGCTCTTTCCCTTGTAAGTGAGCTTCCAGCAAGTACCGCAGTTGGGAGAGTTCCAGCCCGCGACGGCTTGCGCACCGCCAATGTAAGGGAACTTGGGGATTTGGCCTTGGGTCTTCCACTTGTACTTTGTGATGAGGCCGTTTTTGCCGTCGGAGCAGGCGACGGCTGTGAGGGCGCGGCCGGATTCACCGTAGCCGGGGTCGTAGGAGACTGTGAAGCATTAGATGGAGAGACTGAAGGGGTGTAGGTGGTGGACAGACCAGTCGCGGCCGAGACAGAAGTCAGAGCTGCGGCGAAGTAGAAGAGGTTGGTCAGCTGCATGATGGATGATATTAATGTATTAGACTATTATTGATCGATGAGTAAGATGTTGGAGATGATAGATCAAGATAAAAATGAGGTGCGCCTTGCCCTCTTTATATGTTTCCCTCCTCTATCTCCCCATCCGAAGGCCGAGCCATCCGATGACAAACTTCGTGTCCAAAAGCCATAAGCCTTCCCCGCAACACCTCCATCCTCCATGTTCTGATCCCTCAAACGGTATGTGGATGTAACGGATCGGTCCGCAACGCTCCCTACACGAGAGGAAAAATCTAGAGTTTGCGCCATGATAACCAGCTGAATGTCACTAACCAAATGCAACATAATCCTCCCCAAAATGATCGTGTTCGAAGGAAATGGAGGGGCTGAAACTGTTTCAATTGGTTGGTGGGGCATTGAGTTCTAAGCGTTCGTATTGAAGCGTTCTCGTATTCATCATCAGATGATGGCCGGATCAAAGGGCCCAACAAGGTTTGGAGATTTCTCACGTCAGAAGCCACTTGAAACCTTCGAGATTACTGCAGAGCGCACCAAATATCGTTGTGTTTGCATGGATGAGGATGGATACATTTTAAGCGGATGATCCGGGTAAAACAGTTTGTTCATCATAAAGCGATTCTGCTACGATCGATTTCACGATGTTACATTGGAATGATCTCGGCACTCAGGATAAATCAAGGCCTGTGCCATAAACATGCAGCACTGGTCTCCGCTTCAATGCGGACCATTCATTCGACGTTTCGTATTCACCATTCACTCGATGCACGTAAAGCCTGATTGATTCCACCCACACTCTCGTATAGAGCCTGAAGATGCAACTTCGTTACCTCGAGCAACTCAGGACGCACGATTCTTAGAAGACATGACGCCGACAGGCTGGTGGAACGTCAGACATTTAACAGCTTAATAAAGAGATCAAGTCCTTAGCCGTGCTTAGGAAATAATAGATTTAATCGAGGCAATGAACTCATCTCGGATAAATCTGAAGAGAGACGTTGAACAACGAGTCATGACGACACCGACAGTGGTTATTTAAGGCTGTATCGAAAGAGCCTCTTCCCACGTGGCACAGCGACCTTGTCATCTTATTCTGGAAACATTCTATCGCTTTTATTAGGTACTGCATGCGGTTGACTAGGCTGGACCGCAGTCAGGGCGGTCTCATAGGGTCGAGCAACAGTCTATGGCGCCACCGAACACCATGGTAAGACGACAATTACTGCTGAGCGGGGGAATACCTTGCTTACATGCTTACATCGAATGACCTACGTATGCACTTTGTAAGCCCAATATCACGTGTCTAGTGAGGCAAAAAGCGAGGCATCAACGAAAGAATGGTATTGTACTAGGAAGAGAGGTAAAAGAAATGTCCAACGCCGATTCATGAAAGTTCCCAAGTCGTTACGTAATACAGATTCATAAGCTCAAGCCTCAACCTTCTCCTCATGCATGGTATGACCCTTATCATCACTCAACACAGAGCCTCTCCTCCTCGGTGCTGACACTGCAGCCTGCGCGTCCCAGTAGAGGTAGATAGCATCAGTATCACCATCATACTCATCATCAGAGCCAACCTCAATAATGCGCCACTTTGCACGGCTAACGCGCTCACGGCAAACAGCATTCATGTTAGCGAACCTGACCTCAGTATCCGCTCCACCATAGCTCTTGATGTTTTTGACCAGGTTCTTGAGGTACGTAACAGCAGTTGTGTCTAGCATGTTGACACGAGAGAAGTCCAAGACGACGAGACCGATACCCGGAAGTGATGAAGGGTCACTGATGTTGGCTTGTTTACGAAGACGGGCCACTCTCTTCTCTCCGACAACAGACCAGTTGCGCTCTGTCTCAGGTCCATGGCTACCGTTGTAGAAGGCTGCATGGAAGGTTTGAATCTCATCGAGCACCTTGGATGTGTTTGAAAAGGCGTTGGGGAAGATGAGAGACTCATTGAAGGTGAAGATCCTAGTGTCTTCTGGGATATGGGTTGATGAGAGGTGGTTGCTTCCAGGCCAGTTCGATCTGGGGCTTGACTCAACGTCGGCTCCAGTCGATGAAAGCTTGGTAAAGACCTGGCGAAGCAGGATGTAGACGATGTTGAAGCCAACAGCGCATCCAATGCCGACCTCGCTTGAGTGGAACAGGGTAACCCAGAGTGCAAGCATGGAAGCGACAAAGTCAGCCAAGGAGGTCTTCCAGTAGCGATAGAAGGTTGAAGGAGGTGAGATGAGACCCCAGACAGCAGTGATGATGATGGCTGCTAGTGTCGCCTTGGGAATCCAGTAGAGTGTACCAACAAGCTCGTAGACACAAATCAAGACAACAGCCATGGTCACGACACCAGAGAGGGGCGACTTGACGTTACATGATGAGTTGACAGCTGTTCGGGACATGGCGCCACCAACACCCATAGCATGGAAGAAACTGTTGAAGAAGTTGGTGATACCGAGGTAGCAAAGCTCTTGACTTTGATCAGAGGTGTAGTGGTTCTTGACGGCAAATGCTCGTGCAATAGCCAAGTGCTCAACTGCCGATCCGATGAAGACGGCAATACTGCGGGCAGCGACTTCAGGGATCAGGTCGGCCTTAGGCATTGTTGGTGCTTGTTGGCCCTTAGACTGAACCTTGACGACTTCGAAGAGAAAGTTATCTGGGTCTCGGTTCTTGTTGACAGCGTAACTGACACCTGTGAACAGCACCAAAGTCAAGAATGCTCTTGTAGTCGACAGAAGCCAGATGACTTTGTTGTCTTTGCTCCACCTCTTTCCAGACTTCTCAAGAATAGTGAGGAACAAGATTCCAGTGAAGCCAATGAGGCATGCCCAGCCATTGGCATTGGGGAGTTCATTGAAGATATCGTGGATCTGCTTTGCTGCACCATCACGGACGTTGTCTTCACCAAGAAGTGAGTCCATCTGGTTGAGGATGATAGTGATAGCGATTGCAGTGATGAAACCACTGAGAACAGGGAGAGATATGAATTCGAGGAGGAAACCGAGTTTGAGAAACCCAAGGATGAGGCCGTAAACTCCCATCATGAAGGCTGTTGCGGAGGCAATCTCAGACGGAGTCCATCGATCTTGGAGGGCGTGCACGTTCTCGGAGGTGAGGAGGCCAATAAGTGAAGTTGGACCGGTTGAGACATCTGAGCATCGTTAAACACAGATTTGGTGTTGAAAGTGATCGTGGACAGCTTACCCTTAGTAGACCCCATGAAAGCATAAATGACAGCTGGAAGCCAACTTGACATCAACCCATACTCAACGGGGATGTCTGCAATCTTCGCATAGGACAGACCCTGAGGAATCAGCATGAGACCCAGAGTAAGTCCAGCAATGAGATCATTAACGATCCATCGTGGATTGTACTTCGGCAACCAGCCGACAATAGGGACTTTGTCGCTGAGGTACTGGACAGTTCCGGATGGCAAAGCTTTAGCTCCTTTGACTCCTAGTCGAGCTGCCCGATTCCAAGTGACATCGTTGCGAACGTCTGACTTGGCTTTGTCGAGCAGTTTCATACTGGTGTGATCAAGATGGCAGAATATTTAGTGAAGATGTTTTTTGAGTCTGGAAATTCGAGTCCAGAGCTGACGTTTTGCGGATTAATATAGCCATACGCTAAAAATAAGTCTATCTATCTGAAGCTACCTAATCGAGGCAGCTCTATCCTCAGGATCAACTAGTCGTCATGTGTAAGTTACACTGACAGAGCACCTGTAGTCGTCAACATTCAGAGGGTATCACATCAACCCCCTCTACCGGTGACCATTCGCCGTACACCCTCCCCTCATCACCACTGCATCGCGGATTGGGCACGTATATAAATGCGACACTCAGTCTGACGGGCGTATATCCCCATGCAGGAATCATCGACAGAACTATGTGCCTCGATACCGAACACCGACAGATATCCATTCAATCCGAGAACAAATCAATTCAATTGAGTTCAACTTGAGGTATCACATAGGTTACCTACACTGCGGTGTTAGCAGCCAGTAAGCTGACCTTGGGCTTCTGCCGGAGTCGCTTAGCCGGGCCTGGGAGGGTTGCGTGCAAGGGGGGACAAACATGTCCGCTGACCACATGATGATGGGGGCACCAAGATCGACGTCTAATAAATCCGGGGGTGAAGATCAGTGGTGGAAGTTACATGGATACAACTTCGCTTGAAACGGGTTCCAGGGGCTGGACTTGGACATGGGATGAAAGCCTGCATGACTAGGATAGCGAGAAAGAGGCGTATATATCACGAGTCAGAACGTGGCGTATACCGTGCATCAGCTTTGTAATTTCAGAGCTTCCTAAACTGACCTGGTGTAATACTAAAAGGTCTAGACTCTAAAGATAGGACCCTGTCAAACAGCGATTGTCGAATCAGACAAGTAGGACCGATAACTCGTTCAAGACCCCTCTTCTGCAGGCCACGCTGCCCAACCAAACATAACAATGATCTTGAGCGCAGCGGCTACCCACAGCGCACCAGAAGTTCCCAGCTCGCTCTTCGCAATGAGTCCTCCAATTATAGCACCGATGAGGAGCAGGACTGGTGCTGCAACACGCCTGTTTCTCTCCGCATTGACAAAAATGCTCTCAAACAGTTCCGCGTCCGAGAACAAGTCGCAGTAGATGCTCGTGAGAACAACGCTGGTCAAAGCGTTGAACTTGAGTGCACGACTCGCAACAGCTTGTCCGCAACTTTGAAACGCCACGAGAGCGATTGGTACAATGACATACCAGGGTGTATCATCTGGACCTGCACCTCCAGGTCCCCAGGTAACGATACAAGCAGCTGCAACGATGAAAACTGTCTGAATGCCAAAAGACAAGCAAAATACCCATTTTCGTCTAGGCGTAGGTGTAAATACCCTGTGCAGACGACTAAAAAAGAATGAACCGATACAAAAAGCCAGAATCGAAGATCCAGACTTTTTCCAACGATTTGTCCCAGCCGTAGGTCCAAGACCGAGATAAACAGTATTTCCTACACATGTCAGATCAGATCAGATTGAAATGATGGGAAGGATTTACCGGTCTGCATAGATACGAAGGCACCCCATGTTGATATGGAAGCACTGTCGAGAATGCCCGTTATGATGTAGCACGCCAAAAGCATAACATCAGCCCAATCTCGGCGGACATCAGAACTTAATCTCTTCCGCAACCAAGATCTAGATCCTGGTTTTGGAGCAAGTAGAGCCTGCGTCTCATCGCTCTGCGCGGCGATGCCGTTTTCAGCTCTGCTCTCACCGTTGGTGATTGCGCCGTATGGTTGAGACATTTGAGTAAGATTGCTGCTGCTGCTGCTGCTGTGTGTGTGTTGGGATGATGTGAAAGTGGTTCGAGATATGCGTTTCTTTGTAACGTCGGTTAGAAGAGGGGCATAAATAAACGAAAATCGCCAAGGTGTAAATTACGATTAAAGTCGAAGCACCAGCCAAGCAAAAAGATCAACCGGGAAACGAAAAAAGCCTGGCTCCCCCAGACTCCACGTCTTTACCGAGCTAAAAGACCCAAAGACAAGGTTTCAAACAAAGCCAAGCTAAGCTCCGCCTTTAAAGATAGGCTAGAGACCTTGGTCGTTCCCGATCGACTATTCTTGGCATAAGCGGGGAAATCTCGCAAATCCCGGGTCTAGTTTTATCTCCGGCTTATAACTACCCCACATCCCGGCTTCTTCTTTTATCAAGGCACGCTATCACGGCGTCATCTTGACACACCATCTTCTTTCCCCTCCTTCTTACCACGTTGAGCATACGGCTCGAGCTGATCACACCCTAACAGGCTACGCTGAAGCCTGTAAGCGCTCGCAACGCCCTGAGAGCTCGTTGAATCACTTGGGTGTTACGCCGCATCCACGCATATTGAGAGTGTAATACCACGTAGGCAGGGTTGGTTACTTGTTTGACTTGGAGGGGGCTATGTGCCGGATAACCGAGCCCCGCGTTGGCAAACGGCAGTCATCACCATCATGCGCTGTTACCCCAGACGGGCTTGCATACCAAACAAGACGTAACTCGGTGATTCGCCGGTGATCGCTTTCTCGGCGTCATGAACTTCGTTTGGCGCTGTATCTTGGCATTGTTTACCCTCAACTTTGAGAAGCCTACTTAACGTGAGTGACGATTGAGCAATTGGTGCCCCATCCATCGTTCATCAATGTCAACCAAATATTCATCTTGCCCAAATTAGCACTCCTTTTTTCAACAAGTCAATTGAACCTGTCTGTGACAGCCCCGCAAATATGCATCTCCCTCACCTTGCCTATCTCGCAGCCCTTTTGGACATCTGCGCGGGCGTCCCCGTAGAGGACAGTCCTCGCCAGAGGCTCCTCAAAGGTCTGGGACTACCACCCAACTATCGCGGTGTGACGGGCGGCAAGAAAGTGCCGTTCACGCCGGGTCACAGAGACCCAATTGATAAGCCCGTCGACTCTGTCGGCGACGAGCTTGATCCTCTGCCGTGGCGGAACGGTCTCGGAGCTTCTGTTTTGGGACCGTGGAATGAGGCGCGCTCGCGTCAGAATCCTGATCTCGTTAGACCACCTAGCACAGATCATGGAAATCTGGCCAACATGCGCTGGAGTTTTGCGGACTCGCATATTCGCATTGAGGTTCGTGCATATGATATGATTTGCAGAGATTTTGACTAATTCGAGGATAGGAGGGCGGCTGGACCCGTCAGACCACCGTCCGTGAGCTGCCAACGAGTGTTGAGCTTGCGGGCGTGAATATGCGTCTTGGTGAGGGCGTTTATCGTGAACTTCACTGGCATCAGGAGGCGGAGTGGGCTTACGTGCTGGACGGAGAAGTCCGAGTCACGGCTCTTGATTACGAAGGCGGGAACTTCATTGACGACTTGAAGAAGGGAGATTTATGGGTAAGTGAGCGGTTTTCTCTCGCAGAGCGTTATCTAACAGCCTGCAGTACTTCCCCAGCGGAGTTCCTCACTCCCTGCAGGGTTTGAGCCCAAATGGCACGGAATTCCTTCTCATCTTTGACAATGGGCACTTTTCTGAGGAATCGACCTTTGTTCTCACAGATTGGCTCGGTACGTTTCCGACTAACTCTGGAGATACACTTGACTAACAAAACAGCCCATACGCCGAAGTCTGTGATCGCCAAGAACTTTGACTTGGACCCTGAAGTCTTTGCTCGCCTTCCCGAGAGCGAGAAGTACATCTTCAAAGGCCGCACCCCGGGTCCTATCAAAGATGAAGCCCCCAAGGGCAAGAAAGCTAAGAAGTCCAAGTACAATTTCACTCACCGCATGCTCGACCAAGAGCCTCTCAAGACAAGTGGAGGCCAGGTACGCATCACCGACTCCAAGAACTTCCCCATCTCCAAGACCGTAGCTGCAGCTCACGCCATCATTGAGCCCGGTGCCATTCGCGAGATGCACTGGCACCCCTCTGCGGATGAGTGGTCATTCTTCATCAAAGGACGCGCTCGCGTGACAATTTTCGCCTCTGAGGGTAACGCACGAACCTTTGACTACGTTCCAGGTGATGTTGGTATTGTTCCTAAGAACATGGGACACTTTGTTGAGAACATTGGAGATGAGCCCATTGAGATGCTGGAAATCTTTCGATCTGATGAGTTTAGAGATATTTCGCTGTTCAAGTGGATGGGTGAGACACCCAAGAAGCAGGTCATTGATACGCTGTTTGCGGATGATCCCAAGAACGCTGCGAAGTTCTGGGACAGGATCAAGGATGCGGATAACGATGTTATTACCAAGCCTGACTTTGTTAGGTCTAAGCCTGACGCTGACGAGGAGTTGTAAGCTCCCTTACAGAGATTGTATGGCGACTGGTTTTGGAATAATGTATACGAGATAGAGAATATACTGGTCCGCTTGATTCTTGATGAAAGTGACAGGACCAGAGTGAGTCCGCGGATGATATTTTGAACCCACAACGACGTGACATAGCAAGCCATGATGTAAGCAAGTTTATGTCTGAGCCGCCCATTTGACCTGAGTCTCAAGAATGGGCATCGTGAAGTTAGCATTTGGCAGGAAGGCAAATGTTCTACCTAAGATAAAGCATTCTAATATAAAAACTTTTTTTATAAAAGAACTCCATAGTAAAAGCTTAAATACAATTAATTTTATTCATTTCAAATTGCTCATGAAATCCATCCTTTTCTTCATCCTATCATCTTACCCTGGAGATCGCCGATTTCATTGAGATTCGATTCGCCCCTTTTCAAGGCCAATTTCGCGTGGCGAATGACTAATCCTCTATGGCCAATAGAGTTCCTGTAATTAGCGTGTAGATATGTTCCCGATTTCTCTAGCTCAGCACGTCCTGTGCTCCAGTAGGGGACTTTCGGGGCCTACGGCCCCCCGGACGAAAAATATACATAACATAACATAAGATTCGATTCGCCCCACCTGTGATTGGCCACTCTATCAGCCAGTCGCTGTTCCAACGCAAACCGGGTTCTCGACGGGTGACTCTACGCTCAGAGACATCTTGTTTTCGGCGCTTTGAACATATGGTTCTCATGTTATCTTCGTAGCTATTCAGTAGCTATTGTGAATGCGAATCGCCCAAGAGTCGCTCACGATCATGTCACGCAGTAGCTGTTCACTTCTCTCAATGACTAATCATAAGAAGGTTGCGTGGTCTAGTTGGTTATGGCATCTCGCTCACACCGAGAAGGTCCCCGGTTCGATCCCGGGCGGAACCATTTTTGGCCGATTTACATCATTGTCAAACTCCTTTTTTTTTTTTCCCGGTAAAGCACGTAGCTGGGATGTAAATCCAATATCCAAATGCTATACAAGCGCATGTAAGTGTCGTCCTAACAAAAGTTGTACCAGCGACTTGCACCCAGGTCATCAGAATGGCCAGTTATCTGTCCCAAGCCAGACACAAGGCAAGCCTCAGCCGGAATATGAGAATGGGAAGCCGTCTGTTTCCATTCATGGCTCACCAGAGCCCACCCACAACAATGGAACCTACCATCCTCCTGCTCGGCCAACTGTCTCCACATCGCAACCCGGTGCCGCAGTAATTCCTTCAGCGTCAGCACCCAACAACAAGGGTCAAGAGGCCGCCCCAACGACTCTTGCCACAGAAGCAGTAGTTACCGGCGAGGGACAGGCAGCCAAGTCGACACAGGGTCTGTATCCTTCTCAGCCCGCAGAGGCACCATCCACACCGGTTATTGCTTCAGGCGCCAACAAACACCAGCTCATGGCTTGGACCTGGATGGCTGGGATCATCGGCTTGGTGATGGTTTTTGAGTAAGGTGCACGAGTTGCATAACTGAAGCACATATTCTTCTTCTTGTATATATTGTATTGAGTTATATACTATATATAGATGTTCAATCCTTGGTTCTACTTGTTTTGCAAATAGCAAAGCATAGTCTCGCGAGTATATATACCATTTTAGGCATACTGAATAGTGCTTGATCCCAACATTAATCCCATATTTGGCGCTCCTAGGAAATGAAAGAAAACTGTAGCCTTTCGTTTCTAAGCGACGGAAGACTTCTATCTCTGAGTAACTTATTGTCGTTCCCTAAGGCGAGGTTGAACTTGGCTAAATACCTATTGCACTTGGGATATCGAGGTCATAGGCCTTCTGATACCCAAGAACTACCCATAGGTCGAGACTTGTACTTGTACTAGTCGGTATATCCTCCTACCTCATCCAAGAACTTGTAGTATCTCGGCCCTTTGGCGATCCTCCATCTCTTGCCAAACAGGACGAGAGGAATAGTGGCGAGAACCGACATTAATACCATGATACCAAAGCAGGTCATGGTCCAACCATAGCCAGCGGCTTCAATGAACGGCTGAACAGAGTATGAGATGGCGAAGTTGACCATTGAGGAGCACATAGCCAGTACAACGACTAGCTCTCCAGATATCTGGGATTGTCAGTCTTATACCTGGCATGGAATGGGCTACAAAACTTACTCCAGGGAAACAGTCCATTGCATATGCAGTAGCAATCGTGCAAGCTCCAACCTGATGTGAGATCATCGCGCCGATACCGATGGCGATGGTGATCCAATGCGCTTCCGTCTGAGCACCCCAACCATAGAGCATGTACCCAACGGCAGCGAAGACTAAGCAAGGAACGAGCGTGTAGAGTCGCATCTCAGGTTCTTTGACACCGCCATTTCGTCGCGCCAGAGTAATAACAACTTGGTCGCTCAGTACACCGATGCTCCAACCGATTATGTCTCCCACCAAAGCAGCGAAGAAGACAAGACCGGTATTGGTGGTACTGAAGTTGTAGGGCGGTTCCGTCAGGATCTCGGAGATGGTGTTGAAGGAAACAATACCGGCAGTGGCCCCGAAGGCATAAATGAACGCGGCCTATGTTTGTTGATCAGTGAAGGACAGTGGCGACTGGACGGAAATACTCACGATGACGACGTTGGGAAAGCCCCAGAGAAAGAAAGGACGGCGGAAGTATTGCCAGAAAGTTGTTTTGTTCTGAGGATACCTCACCCACGGCTTCAAGATCTGCCTGTAAGATCGCCTGGGAAAGTCATCGACAATACCGTTGGCCTGACTCGGAACTGCCCTGAGCTCCAGCTTCTTTCCCTCAGTAGATTTCTCCGCTGTCTCTTCATCTTTGTGAGAGGGAAGAGGGGCCGACTGCAATCCAGCAAATAGGAAACGAGGGAAAAGTGTCTCCTCGAAAGAAAAGGTGAAGGCAATCAATACAAACGCAAAGATGAAGCCAACTATGTTCTGTGACCATCTCCATCCGACGGTGTCGGACATGCTGCCACCAGAGATAAGACCTAGGCTGTCATGAGGTCAGTATAAAGTCCCCACAGATGTTAATCACGGCTGGTCTTACATAGAGCCAAGCTGCTGAGCAAAGAGATAAACCGAGAGCATGCGACCACGCTCATGAACAAAGAACATGTCGAAGATCTACACATCAAGTCAGCGATCTTGCGAGAGCTTGTAATCGGTCAGGTACCTACAGTAAGTTGAATGATGGCTTGATACGCAGATGTCCCGATTCCGTTTACGATCATGTTGAGCATCCATTGGACTGTTCCCTCAATGGCAGCGAGCCAAAAGCCGGTGGCGAGACAGAGACATGTTGTTGCAAGGAAGACTAGCTTCCGGCCTAGGATGTTGGCAGTGGGCATCCACCAAATGTTGACGAAGCCCTTGATCTGGTGAGTAGCGTGGAATGAGCGGGGGGGAAAGCTAACATACCAGTAAAAGATAGTTCAAAGCGCTACCGCCGTTCATGTTTGTCAAAGAGACGCCTGTGTCTTTACTGACAGTAGTCCAAGCCGCTATTATCGTATCAGTATCGATGAATGCAGAGAGGTTTCCAAGGCTAACCTCCAAGGGTGTTTTCACCGAAGGAAAAGGCGCAAGCGTAAAGGGCGACGAGGAGCAGCTGGTAGTATTTCTTTCGCTTCGACCATGTCTACAGACACATTAGATGATGGGTGAAAAGCAGTGGATCGGCTGGACATACGAGTGGGTCGCTTCCGCAGCTGGTTGGCTGCGGAATGAGAACGATGTCAGATTGTCCAACATGATCGCTGTTCTCCAACTTGTGGTTTACTGCGGACATTGTTAGCTATTGTCAAGACTGAAGTGCATGCGATTACATACCGTCAATGAGTTGTTCCGTTCCTGGAACCGCCTCCCGATCGATCTGCATAGCCATGATTAAGAATCCGGTGTGCTGATAATCTCTGGTGGCTTGTTGATGAAAACGAAGTAAAGGTGCCAAGAGGGTGATTTATATGCTTCAGCGCTGGTATCTGTTGGCTGCAATCTCCGGATGATTCATTCCGAGATGGCTTATCAGTTGGTTGTTTGTTGATACCAGCTCGAATACGACCCTGAAGGTCCAAGCGACGGGGTCGATCGCCTGATAACAGCCACATCTGATAGTTGCCGAAAAGCGCCCATCTGAAATCCGGGGTAGTAACTAGTAGAGATAAAGGGCATGTTAATCTCCATCCTTACCCCGGATTTACAATGGAGCCTGATCCGTCGGGATTCACTAGTCTTTCATGAGCGTAGTCCGCTTGCGAGATGGCCATTGTCACGTAATAGCGCGGTGGAGAATGCGAAAATATTCAGATATTGGGATAGCGGATTGGGAAATTTGCAATTTACCTTCTAAAAGTGGTAAGATCGAGGCCAATCTCAACACGATGTTGGTATCGCTCATGACGGAATATCGAGGTCAGGCGATGGATAATAACCTGCCCCGCGTTCGGCTGGACCTTCACTGCGCTAAGCCATTGACGCTTATCTCGATAGCTATCTTAAGTAGCTTATCAGAGGCATCTTTAGTGGATTGTCGATCGGAAGACGTCAACTTTCCTTTCGGTTTCACGCAGATGATGTTTGATTCCAAAGATTACGTGCGTCGAAGGCAAAGGTTTGCCCTCAGTCACAATCCCAGCTCTAATCAAAGAAAAGTGGAGCCTTCATGGCACCAAGTTTCAATCATGCACCGAGCTGAGAGGGAAAAGGGAGTGACAGTAAGCTTGGATAGATAGCACAAGATATCATATTATATACTATGAAGATGGTAATTGTTAGTCCGACGAACAAAACCAGGTAGATGACTACTGATTTGTCATGATAGTCATGGGCTCCGAACCCCCTATTTTTGAGAGAAGTCGAAAGAAAGCAATGTGTTTTGAAGACATCGTCATTCAAGAATGACTGTTTGAGACTTAGCATTTGCCCTTCTCGAGATAAGTCCTATAGAGTGTTAGTATAATCTCACATTTGCAGATATCAGTGGGGAGACGTACTCTGTGTGCCAGCTCTTGACCCGTCCCTGACCTCCGTCGGTGCACTTTGAGATGGGAAGAAGGAGGTTTTTCTGACACTCCTTGGAAGGAAGACCTTGTCGAATTCCCCACTCATTGTAGATCTCAAAGATGAACTTGCCATCACCCGAGGGCGCATCAACACACTTGGTCCTCTTCTCACCAATGTTGTAAACCCCTTGAGCGCCGTTGCTGCACCACTCGGTGGCAGCCTTCGCAGCAGCAACCTTGTTACTTCCCCAAGGAAGAATATCCTCATTGACATAGCAAGCAGCGGTCTCAGGGTACTCAAAGCCAATGGTGCGGACGCAAACGTTGGCATCGGCCCAGAGGCTGAGGCAGTCCTTGCCGACGGTGGGGTTCCATTCCTTGAATTGGTCAAAGGAGATGCCGAATTGGGCGGAGATGATCAGGCAGTTGTCGCCGGGCTTGACGTAGTAGAAGGCGTCGCAGTCGTCGACCATGCCGGGCTGGATGGGGAGGGGAGTAGTGATGCCGTTGTCGCCCGTGATGGACTCAATGGCTGTGGCCTTCTTGGCTGTAGCGCTGGGACCGGCTGCGAGGACACCTGCGCTAGTGGAGAGAAGGGCTGTGATGGTAGAGAACCTCATTTTGACGGTGAAGTTGGTGATATTGAACTCTTCGTATGATTGTTGTCTAAATGGCTGATTGAGCTTGAGAGATTGTTTATTCACGGAAATCTCTCTGCTTTATATAGATTTTCATCATGAGTATTATCCTCCGATTCAACCTCGCCGAGCAAAAGATATTTCTCAAAAACTATACCCATCCCATTCTCACAGCACTAATGCAGGGCAAACTAGGCTGCTGCCGCCCGCGCCGACAAAAAGTTCCCTGAGAATCACATTCTCACCAATAACGACCATCGCCAAGGTTGGGTTGGTTCGTTTGTAGAAGTAACCGAACGTCTTGGCATGAGGCGCGGAGCGGCACAGGTGGATCGGATAAATATTTCCGCTTCCCGAATGACTCGAAAAGTCGTATCATTAGAGCCCTATGAGGCCTAAGGCTGACGCCGAGGGCCCGGAGAATTCTTTCACGATGTGGAGAGTTGAAGTGTTTTTTGCGGTGTGAAAAGAACAATGCTACTGTTGTGACCCCACTAGGATCGGAGATTTCCTGGTTGGGAAGGCAGTGCGAGTTTTCTTTGGTATGCTACGTTGTATCGGAAGTAAGCTTCTATTCAGCCGCAGACTAGTTGATGAAGAATGATCCTCAGAGCTGCATTTAACCTCGTATTGAATAGATATATAATGGCACTTATGGACCTTGAGCCAATAAGACGATACACGTGTGTCGCCAGCGTAAAATCATAGCCTTCAACATTCGGTCAGCCGTTGTTCATGGAAGCCCACGATACGAGTAAATGTTACCGTGCAGCCTAGTCCTCCTTCACGGTCTCTGAACTTCGAAGAGCATGGTATTCAGCCGTCGGTCGAGTGCCCTCCAACGTCTGAACAGCCGCCATTCGTCGAGCGTTCAGAAGATCAATGTTGATCTGAGGCCCTGTGAAGGTTCCCTTTTTGGTTGTGAACCAGAGGGCTATGACAAAAGCTACTAATCCGGTGAAGACGACGGAGACATAGCTCATGTTCTCAGGCGTGACAGGCATGGTAGTCGGGAAACAGTACAGGATATCGAGAAATACTACCCATGCGACTGAGATGCCGTTGATGGCAGCGCCGTATCTACCGAGACTGAAATACCGAAGTGGCAAGACACGATCACGCCCTCGGTAAAGGAGAACAGCTTGGGGAATGACGCAGGAAGTTTGGAGAAAGATAATGGCCGCGCTGACCATGGCAGAAAATGCGGTTGAAGAACCGAGGAAAATGAGACCGTATAGCTAGAAGAAAGGGTCAGTGAGACCAAAAAGACATAGTTGGCAGGTATATACTAACAGTAATGAAAACAGCAGAAAGAAGGAGTGCGTTGACAGGAACTTGGAACCTTGAATGAACGCGGCCCCAAAACTGTGAGTATGGCAAGGCACCGTCACGCGAAACGGCCCAGAGCGTACGTGACGAAGTTGTCGCTATAGAGTTAGCACCGACTTTGTCATGAGAGGTAGTCTTACCATTGGCGACCAGATTGGCGAAGAAACAAAAGGCGAACAGCGACATCAGCACTGACGCGGCGGGCCGAGAGCCTGTTCCTTGAAAGTATATCTCAAACAGCGGCAACCCAGTTGTCGTGTTGAGTACGGCTGGCACATCAGAGATCGCATACATGAGAGACGTTGCAAAAGGGAATGCGGTTAGTAAGCCCATGAGCAACGGATATATCATGACCTTTGGTACATTCTTGGCTGGGTTGGGTATCTCTTCACAGAGATGAGCACCGCAATCACTTCCTAGAAATGCATAAACAGCATTACCAACGGCCAACATGAATGCGAAACCGTCACTGGACCAGCCAGTCCGGTTGGTAGTATCGGTGAAGATGAACTCGGCCGACGCACGATCCTTCGTTACGACAAAGAGTGTTATCGTAGTCGCGCTGAGAGTCAGGACCGATAAGATAAAGACCATCTTGTTGAAGAGAGGAATCCACTGCGCCGTGAAGATATTGGCGGCTGTGGCGATCCATATGAGAGCGACGTATATCAAATATTGATGCCATCGCTTTTGATCCCAGTCTGGATGCCATGCGCCGACGATATCGAGGATCATAGATGAGACGAAGTTGGAGACTGAGCTTGAGGCGAGCCACCAACCGATAACACTCATCCAGCCGTTTCTGTCAAGTAAGTCACCTTCTCAATGTTGTCTAGTTAACATTTGGCACTGACAGATATGATGCGAAAGGTTTGTAGTCGTCCCGCGCAACCATAAAAGACCAATAGTACTGCGCCCCGGCAACAGGATACGCCGATGCAAGTTCCGCCATCCCCAACGAGACAATAGTAGTCATTACGCCAGCGATAGGTAACGACCATAAGGTCCCTGCGGAAGATGCCTCAGTCAAGCTGATTCCGATTGAAGATCCGGTTCCGAGCCATGTACAGGTTAAAGTAAACGATAAAGCGCCGAGGGACCAAAGCGAGAAGCGTCGCGGCATGGCCTGGGCGTATCCAGCGGCTTCTAGCTCGAGAGCATCGTCATTGCTGGCCGTGCTAGAGGAGGCACGCGACATTTTGACGCGTTTGTGATACGAGGGACAAGGGTTGCTAAGCCGTCGGGTGAAAACTCTGCGATGGTCGCTACGTCGAGAAAACTGCTATCAACAAGGCTTGCACGAGAAGCCAAACTGCAACAGTGACACCTCAAGCCGCTTGATGGAAAAACGGAGGATCGCGATACAGCGCAGGAAAGAAAATGAAAACTGGCAGATCTGAACCCCCTCATTCTGATGCGCTGTCGATCACGAGGCGATGTCTCACTTGAGTTGCACAGAATGTCCGAGCAACGCCCAATGAGACAATCAGGAGGCCTTGAGTTGTGCAGAGAGATAAGAGATTAGAAATTATGCTTATGTGCAGCTTTAGGAAACTTTTCATAAGCAAGTTTCTCAGCTCGTGTGACGTAGCCAATGATTTAGCTTTCATAAAGACTCGTGTATTCAGCGAAGAGAATCTAGGCCTCCAATCATGCAATATTTCATCAATAAACAAGGTCGATCGACAAAGACTAATCTCAAAATAAAGACGGCAGCTTAATACGGATAGTAGCCTCCCCCAGGATATCCAATCCAGCCACGCAAAAGACCGTTCAGAATCGGGAAAATGATAGATATAGCAGATACAGTTCCGATAGCCGACCCAGAAATACAGAAGTCTCCATTCATGACAGCATAGTCAAAGCCTATTAACATCATTAGCTTTCAGTCACATCAGCGTCGTTGGTAGTCTTACCGATCCAGAGAACCCAAGCAGACACGAATGCCCCCGTGCAAGGGATCATGGCCAATAGGCCGAGACGCCTCTTGAGGAAGCGGCGTTTCCAAAGCATGGAGATACCAACAAACAGAAGTATCGCACCGCATGCGACAAGGCTGCTTGACCCGCTGCGCAGGAAGAGATCGGCGTCACTATTTGTACCCACCGAATACGTATCGTACATATCATATCTATCGCAACCATCGGGCATCGCCCCAAAACCACTGACTCTCAAGAACATGAGCGCACCGGGAAGTGCCAGGACCCCGAGGACACATTCTTGGAAGAGTACATCGGTGGCTGTATCGGTGAGAGGTTCGTAGAAGCAAGCCGATAACATGACAACCACCCACCCAACACGAGGCTTGGTCAAGTAAAACATGATGAGCGGTCCGATGCTGACATTCAGTCCGGAGGCCTTGACAGCCACGGCGCTGACGACGCATTGTACTACCGTCATTGCAATGGTCGCCAAGGTGTTGTAGGGCGTCCATGATGAGGCATCTTTCGGTGACCCGTTGAGATGGTTGTAATCCCAGAACTTCAACTTATTTCTTGCTTTGCGATTACCGAGAGTAAGATGGGTGACTATCGCCGAGAGATGATTGACAATAAAGGGTAGGAGTATGAGAATAGTGGCATTACAGTCTTTGCGGGGGAGGGAGCTGAGTCCCGTCGGGACTTGACAATTAGGTGCATTTTTATCGCCGTAAACCATTTTGACAGTAAGAAATTGGACCTGAGTAACGTGTCACAGAATGCGGCTGTATTGTACAAATGCTTGGATTTAGATCTCTTTTTAAGTCGCACGACTACAACCACCAATCTATTCAGCTCAACATGCTTCCATTCAGCCTTGCGTACAAAACGCCAGTGCATATTGCAACAGATGATCATTTCTCCCCAAGCGTAAGGTCTGGACGCTGCCAATATTGACACCAATTCGTTTGTCGCTGATGATGATTCGTCGGGGGGTGATAGTCGACATGCCAAGACCCGCCATAACTACAGGGGTAGGCAGAGCTGAAAATTAGGGGTTGGAGATGTTGCATTCAGCCGCCTCTTAAACTGATTAAGCATATTCATTGGAGACTTTGAGCAGGGGCCCTGAGGAAGGTGGTAGGTTTTGCTCGGTCTGGATGCTGTTCAGCGTTGCATTGGAGAGGTGGGTGATTTAATAGTGGTCTGAACGTGGCAACTTTGATAAAGAACTTCCAGTGAACCCATGTACCTGGCCATTAGTCTGCTCTGACGTCTCTCACCAAAATCTTAACATCATGTCCCGGTTTCGGAGAGATGATACCCAGCGTCGGCACTTTATCATTCGCTTCTGGAAAAGGCTGGCTCGAACAGCCCCCAATAACCTGAATGTCATATCGCGTGACAAGGATCGCAAGATATACTAAAGCCATTTGCCGCGCCAAAAGCCTTCCGGGACATAACGTCGTACCTCCGCCGAATGGCTTATACGTTCTCGCCGAGTGTAACTTCGGGTTGTCAACGAACTTGTCGATATCAAAGTCTTCCGCGTTTTCGCCCCAGTATTCTTTATTGAGATGGAGTTGGCGATAAGGCATCATTACATCGTTCCCGGCTTTGAGCTGGAAGCCAGCGATTGTTGTGTCTTGGGCGGCGCGCCGAAAGCTGGATGAGCCGCTGTGGAGTCGCATCGCCTCGTAGTATGTCGCGTTGAGCTTTGGACATTCTTTGAGGTATTCTACATCTGGTTGGTGGTGAATACCATTCTTGAAAGCTGGTACGACCTCTCTTTTGATATCCTCCTTGAGATTAGGGGTGTAAAGAGTTCGAACCAGAAGCCAGAACGCAAGAACAGAGGGGTTTCCATTGATGCTTCACAGTGTTAGTTTAAGTTGCGATATAGTACCATTGACTTACGCCCAGTATAGCTTGAACAGAACAGCAGCAATATCCCGATCGCTTATCCCATGTCTTCGCATCTCATCCTCAGCCTTTATCACAAACGGAGCCGCATCTCGTCTTTGGTCCTGCGGCATCTTGAAGTACCTCTCGAGACCATCGATTGCAGAATCTCTCGAGTCGTAAGCTGTTCTCGATAGGAACCTCGGGTATTTATACAAGAGTTTCCAGGTCTGACGATTGAATCTGCGAAAGTCGTCGACAAGTCCAGGCGAGTTCTCGAAGAGAGCATTTCCGAAGAAGCTCTTTGTGGAAGCCTTGACGATAATGTCACTTGTCCACTTGAGCATGTCATGCTCACTGCTCTTACCCGTTGTGAAAGAACTCCCCTGTTGCATAACGCTGTCGAGCTCTAATAAGAATTCGCTGTAGAACTTTCGGGATGAAGTTTGAGTCATATCTGCTCGTATCCAAGATCGAAGAGAATTTGGGACGGATAAGGATGTCTCGCTGACAGTAGTTCCCCATAGGATATCTCTGGCCTTTTTGGAGACTGAAACGTATTCCATGAACTGGTCAATGTAGGCGTCAAAATGTAACTCTTTAGTTTTCTGGTGAGTCTCGGCAATATAGTGAGGGTCAAGAATTACGTATGTGCGGCGACCTCCAATTAAAACACTGAAGGGTTGCGCAGGGATCCGAAAATATGATCTTGATGGTAATGAGCACCACCGCTATAGACAACCCCGTAAGTACTGACCTTGCAGCCACCAACAGCTTCTCAACATCTGTGAAAAATGATATATTGTGGCCAATGCCTGAAGTCTGGGTTAGATGTTTGGGTGGTACGGTGGCATGCTCTTACCAGGGATCCAATATGACAGCATCGGAGGCTCCGATTGAGAGTTCCATAGCGCACCGATTCTCAACAAGTACTGCCAAGCAACATATGCAGCCAAAAACGTCCCTAAGACCCGGGACAAGATCTGATAGTGCAGAGTGAAAACCGGACCCTCGGTGTCCACGGCCCCGATAGTGGCATTTACGCCTGGCGTGACAGTTATCGCACTCATTTCTCAGCGTTTGCTATTCGCAAAATAACGACCATGGATGAAGGCGAACTAGGCCATACTTATGTTGGGCAACATAGATACGGATCCCGAACTTAGAAATTCCTCGACTCCTTTTCTCGTGTACTTTCTTGGAAGATCGACATGGACGTGGCACCCTCTGTAATGTGTCTCAATATCACCCTAGGGACGGCCACTAGCAACCTTCTGACTAAGACATAAGGACAGATTATGAGTACCGTGAGGAAGAATGAAAAGTGGATTGAGAACACAGTGGCTTTTGGTGTTGAGCTCCTTCAGGGTTGGAAATAACTGCGAATACGAATCTGGATGAGAGCGCAGTACTCTTTTTTAATGGTGCTGATCTAGGTCCACAGGCAGAGCGTATTGCTTACAAATGTCTCGTGAAACCTGTCATATTCTGAATGGGCCACTTTCAGGGCTGAAAGACTCGCTTTCTCGGAGACGGGGTATGTTTGGTGAGACATGCCATTCTCACAGGCCAGTAATCTCCCTTGTCTTAGCCTAGTGGATGAAAAGGGAAAAGTTCCGACCACTAAAAATGTGCTGTTTCACTCTCTCATCTTTTTATTTCCGGTTTCCTCTTACAGTGGCTCATGTAGCTGCTCTTGGTACATGATGAGATCGGACTGTCGCTACGCTGTCTAGATTCTGAGGGTGAAAAAGCAGATTTCTTCTCAGCAGTTGAAAGGGAAAATATAGATGTCAAATAATCATATATATCAACATTATCCTGCAGTACGCAGTAACTCTCATTGATTTTGAGACAGCCGAAATGCACCAAAACCTTCAACGGCTCTCCCTCACAGTACAAGCGCATTCATGGAAAGACACTCTACAGTCGAGATTTGATGAAGGCTCATGGGTGAACCAGACCTTAAGCTTTACTTTCTTCTCCAGTGATATCAAAAATTTAAGAAGAAAAGCTTTCGATTGATATCCACTCACGTGGCTGACGGCTGATAAGGTTCATCGGATCAAACTCAGGTTCAAGATTAAGAATTACCAGCTCCAGATTTGTGATGCCAAATGGTTACAGCAATTTACAAATTAGAGGTTATCTATCGTAAGCTCGAACACGGAATCACTGACTTTCCAGTAACGGTATTCTGGAGTGTTTAATTTGTCAGTACTCCTGACCTGAAGTGACACCAATATAAATCTTTTACCTATAAACTTGAACAAAATACTCTCTTGGTAGACAGAATCTATTAATAAATACAAGTTTTCCGAGGTCACGACCTGTAATACCCTCCACGATTTTCTTTCTCATCCGGTTCTACTTTGCTCTCGTCGCTTTTTCAACGACTCAGTGTCTTGACAATAGACTAACACTTAGCTCTGAAGAACCACACGACTTCATCATGGAAGTTGGTTATATTGTCTGCTACATCAGTGTCTTGATACTCGCCTATATCAGCAACAACTATGAAAGGCTCTTCCATGCCTTAGTAGAGGAATTACAAGAGTTAGGTATGCAAACCATTCCCCTTACAGACGAGTACTAACCGACAGAAGATCATTGGCAGCCTGATCCAGAAACAGATGACGAGGATTGGGACTCCGACGGAAGTGACGATGATGAATCGGGTATGTATTCTCACTCATCTGAAGCTATATATACTGACCGACTGTCAAAAGATGATGAAGGCTATTCTTCTGCGACATCCCGAACATAGGAGTTGGAGAATGGACCAAGTTGCTCCGATGAGGATACAGACGATGAATCAAGCATTTCAGACCCAGAAGCACTGTTAAATGAAGATGACGAAGGTAGGCTTGATTTAACGACAAGTGCTTACTCGTCGGGTACCAAGGGCAAGTCTCAACAACTTTTTCTTCGAGACAGGGTATCAATCTCCAATGCGATTCAAGCCTGGGAATATCTTGTACATATGGCACTGCGGAAACGGCTTGCGAGCCTTGTCTTCCCAGAACAAAATCTGCGGGCAGTCTCAAATTCTATCGCCAGGGACCAGAGCCATCGGATACTCATCCTCTTGTATTACTATGTACTGAGGCACTTACTCACCGTTAATTCAATATCAATTTGCCTGCAACTATGATCTTCGAACCTATATCAGTGAATATTACTTGATATTTATTCAACAAACTATTGATCCAGCTCCCAGGTGCTCCATAAACACTCAAACGACACAGGATTGGTGATTAAAATGGGTAAGATCTTCATAAAGGCAGGGTTGCATCAAACCTACCGTGGCCCATTCACAATGCACCTCCTCCCCACAGAACACTTCACCCATGCATGAAATAGGTGGGGGAGTCAGGCAATGCGAGATAAATAATTTGACCGCCATCCGAGTTTTCTTCTATCACAAACCGTTTTACCTTTCTGCAAGCTGCAGTCAGACTGAGACCAACAGATTGTACCTGTCAGATCTCTTGGCCTTCTTCGCTTATCCTCCGTTTTCGCGATGTCTTCACCAAAATCTCCTGACAAGTCACCAAAGTCCCCTCAGTCTCCTCCTGGGGCTGTGGAGGCAGCTCAAACCCCCGCGCAGCAGGCACGAGATGGATTCATTCAGCCTGTCAGTCATACCTTCATGTAGTTCTACTACCTTGCTGATGTACTCTTTCAGGATACTGATTCTGACTCTGCGTATTCTTTGTCGTAAGATGGCATGCACTGACACCGGGGCAGGCTTCGCTAATATGGCCCAGAACGGATGTTACTGATACTGAGTCCCTGCGCTCTTCTATTTTGAACTACAAGTGGGTTCATGGCAGACGCTTCCATGCATATGGCGATGGAACCTACTGGTGAGCTCTCAGAACACGCAGGTAGTAATCATCGCTCACACGGTTAGGGGAGCGAATGACGATCGTCAGCAAGAGGCTGAAGATTTGATGCAAGTCTCACTTCTAAACGGTTTTAATCTCATTGTTTCTGACGAAACTCAGTCATGAGTTGTTTCGGGCAGTCCTCGACGGCAAGCTTTACGAAGCTCCGATCGGCAAGAATCCGCAGGTTTGTCGCTACCTAGTCAGTTCCATCCCCATTCACTGATTCTCTTAGAATGTACTTGATGTCGGCTGCGGCACCGGTATTTGGGCTATGTGAGTCACCATGGTACTGCTAGAGTACCTCAAATGTACTGATGACACCAGTGATATGGCAGACCTGCACCCATCGGCTGAAGTCGTTGGTGTTGATCTCTCGCCGATCCAACCAAACTTCATCCCGCCGAACTGCAGATTTGAAGTTGACGATATTAACAAGGAGTGGACATTTCCTGAGAATAAGTTTGACTTTATTCACATCCGTTACATGACTGGAACTGTCCCAGATTGGACTGAGCTTCTCAAGAAAGCTCAAAGGTAGACTGCGTCATGTGTTCCATCTTTGCAGAGCTTTTCTAATATGGCTATAGACATCTCAAGCCAGGTGGCTGGATCGAGCATGTTGAACTTTGGGGAGACGCCAGAGCTGACGATGATACCATGAGCCCCGAATCTCCGCTTAAAACTTGGGTTAAGATCTTTGAGCAAGTAGCAGAAAAGATCGGCAACCCCTTCTTCTGGAACCCCGCCGACGAATTCGAGAAGGCCGGTTTGAAGAACATCACCGAGAAGAAGGTCAAAGTACCCATCGGTACTTGGGCGAAAGACAAGGATCTCAAGCAGTGGGGTGCGTGGAACCGACAGTTCCTGCTGCAAGGATTGGAAGGCTTCTCTATCCGCAGCTTGACGGAGCTTCTAGGCGTATGTCTTGTGTTTCTCGCTGTGCTGTGAATGAGCTAACATGTTGAACTCTAGTGGGAATACGAAAAGGCACAGGTCTTCCTCGTGGAGATGCGTAAAGAGTTGTTGAACCCAAAGCTTCACTCATACGTGTTGGTGTACGTCGTCGGCAATTTTGAAGCTATTGTCTCTTGAGGCTAACATTTATCTTCACAGAACCACTGTATACGGTCAAAAGCCCGAGGAATAGGTGAAGGGATCTCGAGAGGATGATGATATTGTCAGCTATGGGGCATTGTCATTTTTATCAAGACTAGGTCTAGTTACTCTTTCGGTGTCATGACATGATCTACAACTACAAGAATAGTTGTCGTTGCGACGAATTCTAGATTTCCCTGACAATTTGGTTCAATCGGCTGAGAGTTGAGCCCGTCCAGTTTGCCAATATTGCCAATCAAAAGCCCTAAGTATCGCCGTCGTCAAACTATGCAGGTTAAAACGGGTTGGTTCTTCTCCTGGGGCGGGAGCTTCTTCTGACTCCTCAGTTCTGTAACCCTCGCAAGACTCAAAGGTTCGTGTAGGTTGTTCTCTTGGGGCGGGTTCTTCTTCCGACTCCTCAATTTCATGAACATTCCATGACTCAAAAGTTCGTCTATCATCCTCATAAGGCTGCTTCTCTTCGGCTACCAACATACACGTCCTGTTCCCAAAACGATCGTCGCCAATTTCGCAGGCCTGATTGACGTTTTCTATCCACATATTAACCGGATCTTGCTTACCCACATAGTGATTGCGACAGATGTCGTTATTGCAAGCCTCAGGCACGCCAGCAGGTCCATTATAGACGTATGACTTCTTGTCAATGGCATGAAACCAGTCATGAGGCACACCGCTCAAGCCCCGATCCATGAAGCGTATCTTCCTATGGTAATTGACAACAATGCAGCTCTTGTCGTACCTACAGTGACCACACGCTATCCTGTCGGGGCCTAGAATGGTTATGTTGTGTCGACGTTGGCGGTTCATGTAGCCCCAACCACCACGGAGCTTGATAAGGTCTTCTTCTGTTGACACTACTTCAGAACGGTCGATCTCGGAGATTGCGTTCCATTCAGGTAGCGTATTTGGGCCACGTTGTGGTAGGAAAAGCTGTCCTCCATTCTGTCTAATCTTTCGGAGTGAGTCGTTGAGCTTATGTCGATACAGATAGCCACTTTGGTGGAGCATGGATCGATCGCTACCCGAATGCCCTTGCCACAGAATATGCAGCATAACTCCGAAGCCGCCAGGGTTTGTGACAAATACCCTAGGGGTCTGATCGGTATCGTCGAAGTTGTAGTTACATGGTACCTTGTGATCGGGATGGTCACAGCTAGTTAGGAATAACGGCCTATCTTCAGGCACCTCGCTAGGCAGAAGAAATTGTATATCGGCTCGGGTGAGTGTCTTGTGCTCACAAATTCGGATATAGCCCTCATTTGCAATACAGATTCGCCCATTCGGCAGCTTTGCCTGGTCTTGGGAAAAGCACACGGAAGGGTGGTCAACATCGCAGGAGTGACAATGAAGAAAGTCCTGACGGCTGCGAAGTGAAAACTTGCAGATCGTCGAATAACCGGCCTTGATCCTGTCCTTCCGGCTTTCCTGGCAGTTTTTGCACGTGGTGTAACTTCTGATGAAGTCACTAAATCCTCTAGCTACCCATCTTCCCTTGATAGACAGAGCCTCTCCCAAGATCTTATTCTGCACTTCTCCAAAGTACTTATAGTCGAAGCAATGCCGACCACCCGGTGGACAGGTTGGCGATGTGTATTTGTCTGTGCAGCCATCTGAACATAGTTGACAGCACCCCTTATGGGAGAAAGGGTGGGTAATAAATTCCTCTGCTTGCAGTAGACGTCTGAATCGGCGAGAGACCTGACGGAGGGCGAAGAAGACGAAGAGGGATGGTTTGTCGTCTGGGTCCGATATACAGGAGACGATCATCAAGAGGATCTCATCGGGGAGCCCTTGTAACCTCGAAGGTTCGGTCGGGTTAGGAGACACCTGATCCTTTTGAGGTCGTATAAACTGAGAAGGACTGATGCCTCGAGTTGGGATCAGTGGCTCGCTTCCAATACGTCTCTCCATTTGTGAATCATGGTCCATTTCGATTTCTTTCGGTGATGTATTCCATCGTATGCTCAAGTCCTCCTCGCGTAGTGCCTTTGTGTGTTCTTCTATAGTAGGGCCACCTAAAACCGCGTGAAAGAAGTCTGTCATCTTTTGCTAGGTCTTCGGAGTCGATGAGCCGGATTGGAAATCTGAAGGCTGTCTATGTCGAGTTTAGGGAGACAAGAAAGAAAAGTCGAAGGGGCAAGACAAGGTGTCAGCATCTTTATCAGAGTCCAAAACCTTGCAATATTAGGCTTTATTTCTAGAATGGATGTTAGGGCTTCCTCAAGGTTTAACGCCAGAATTCACGATCTGTCTCGCTGAGAATTTACAAGGTTCAAAAAATCATGAATACTTAGTTTAAGTTTAGGTATGCCTTCAGATTCTTTCTTCGATGGGGTCAGTGGCCCTAGTCCAAGTTCCCTCTTTACCTATGCAAAACCCTAAGGGCTTATGATAGGATTTATTGGCTATCGTTGAAGCTTTTTAAATAGAAGCTTATATGATGAAAGAGAATCTAATGTGCACGTCATGTGTGTTAGCAGCCTAAAGTTTAACCTTATGGCCAACAATCAGCTACGTAGTGCTCCCTCTCCTCAATCCCGAGTCGCGCAGCCCAGTAGCGAGGAGAACGTCCAGGAGCCTTAGAATTCTATTGGAGTTTTCAATTGTAAGCCAGCTTTCTTTACATTTCGATTGCCCTACCAATGACAACCTTTCAGACGCTATAGCCAGTGACACTGCACTCTATATGAGTTTTGTCGGTCTGTCTTTATAGCTGATTGCTGACCGGAGGTTGGACTTTAATCTGTTAATACACATGATGAAGACACAATGACCACTCGTCTACATCCTTCAATGGGTAAGAGAATTTCATCCGAGCTGGGAAACCGAGGGCGAAGCGGATTCCCCAGTCTGAGATCCCGCACGCTGGCGAATTTAAAGAAAATGGCTGACATCAACACATTCACCTTGATTATTCAATGCCCATCGCCATTCTGCCAGAGTGCCACAGTTTACCATGGCTAGTCATGTCATGTTTGGGTATCCAAAGTCTCTTTAGGTACTAGAATAGCGCTATAGGCTGGACCCATGCATCAACATCGCTTGCTAGTCATGCCAATCATCACCAAATATCCATTACATCAACTCAGAGTATCATCAAACAATTAAGGCTTCTTGGTTCCTTCGATCTCAGGACCAGCAGTGTTGGTGTTGACGGGAGTGACAACTTCAACACCCTGAAGCTTATCAGCAGTCCTATCAGGTCCGACAATCTCAAACACTGTTCCATGATTAGTGATGATTCATTAGAATAGATAACAGGTAGCTTACAGTCAACAGGAGTGGAGGTGAACTTGCGAGCGTTGACCTTCTTCTGGAAGAGGTAGTCAAGATCGGCAAAGCTACGGTTCATGGTCTCAGGCAGGAAGAAGAAAATCCAAACAGCCCAGATGAAGCAGAGACCAAAGTAGAACATTCCAGTCTTGGCTCCCCAGTTCCAAGCATCGCTGCTGGAGTTGAGCATACGGGGGTTGAGCTGTTGGACGATGATCTGACCGCAGACGTAGACAGCACGACCGAGAACGATGGTCTGAGCACGAACACGGTTGGAGGCGGTCTCAGCAACGACGACGTAAGTGGTGGGGCCGAGAGAGACCTTGAAGATACACTGGACAACGACAAGGAAGGCGGCTGTGACAATGGCGACACTGTCGACCTTGGGAACAAAGCCCATGATACCAATGATCAACATGCAGGCGCCGATACCAGAAGAACCATAGAAGTAAAAGGTTCGACGTCCAATCCTACCCATGAGGGAGATGGCGACAGCGGTGGCGATGATGTTGACGGACTGGATGATCATGTTGTAGTTGAAAGCCATGGTGTTGCTCATACCAATAGACTTGAGCATGATGGCGGCGAAACTGGTGATGGATTGACCGTTGAGAATCTGAATGACCCACGCCATGCAGACAATGCCAGTTCGGCGAAGGTTAGTTCCTCTGAAACAATCCTTGAAGCTAGCAGACTCGGCCTCAACCTTCTCCATCTCGTTGGTATGCTTCATGAGAGCAAGAGTCTGAGCCATAGACTCATCGGTGTAGTGGCCCTTGCGAGCAAGGCGGCGAAGAGCATGTTCAGCAGCCTCGAGCTTACCGCGACGGACGAGGTACCAGGGAGACTCGGGGGCGAAGAAAGCGACGGTGATCAGAGGAGGAATCCACATCCACTGGAGACCGTAGGGGACTCGCCATCCAGCGTCGCCCTTGAGGTCGAGAGAGCCACGGAGGACACCAGTGGCGAGGAAACTTCCGGCTCCCCAGCACATGGAGACCCAGGCGGTGAGGTAGCCACGGAGGGCGGCGGGGCAGATCTCGGCGGCGTAGGCGGTGGTGAGGGTCTGGAAGATACCCCAGGGGATACCGCAGAGGAGGTTACCGACGAGGAGCATTTCGACGTTGACGGCGAAGAAGAGGACGAAGATGGTGCAGGCCATGAGAGACATGGCGAACTACTGAGATTAGCAGCGTTCAAATGAGACGCGATGAGAAATGACATACCATGTAAACTCGTCGAGAGCCGAATCGGGATTGCAAGTAACCATTGATCAAGAGACCGATGATAGAACCACAGTTGTTTCCAGCACCAATAGCACCCTGCCACTTTGTAGAAATATGCTGGTCGCCATTGGCGTCAGGCCAACCGAAACGCTTGAGATAAGCAGGATGGGCGAAGAAGTTGTTGATAAGACCAACATCCATACCCTCCATGACCAAAGCAACACTCAGAAGCATACTGAACGTCACGGCGGGCCAGTATCGCGAGAAGAGCTCCTTCTTGGGGAGGAGACACTCTGCATCACTGGCTGCCACGGCGGCCTCGATGAGCTCGACCTGTGAGTTGTAGCCGGAGAACTCTGTGTGGTGCACGGGGGCTTTCTGCCCGTCTTCCACGTGGGCTGTTTCATTCGGAGGCGCCATTGCTTCGAGTTTTGAGAAGAAAGGATGAAGGAGGAGGAGAGAGATGCTCGAATGCAGATCTGGGGAAAAAACAATGGGGGGAGGGATATCAGGATAAATATAAAGACTCCGCATCTCTGTGGACACCAGTCCGATGATCAAGCAGGGATATCTCGGTGGTACTTCCCCACGGGGCACTGGTCAATCAGTCGTATATTCCCCGCATTGCAGCGAAATGACTTCGGTGTCAATAACCCGAGGCGACGCGCCATTCCTGATCCAGGATCGAATGTCCTGTTTTCTTGGCAATTCGGCGGAGAGAAATCCGAGTGAGAGGGCACTGAAACAGGTAGTTCTATGGAGTCGATTAAGGTTAAGCTGTTATTAACGTTTGGGTGTCCCCATGGGGGTTCCCACGCGGACTCGGGGTCCATTTCTGGGGTACGAAATGACACGAGGTTGACAGATGGGATGGGTATTTGATCTGTCAAAAGTCTATTCCGTCTCTTTTTCATGGGAATCATATTGATGCTCAATACTCTAGTTGATGAAGGAACTGTGCTGTCCCCTCACTGATGCCTTGCATGCCGCATCTCAACAACCCCATTTCCTGGCAATGACTCCTCTGGTTGCTGGCAAAAGGCCTCGGCTAACCTCCTCCATGCGACGGTACGGCAAATGCCGTGTCATGTCCCATTGGCCGATTCTCCGTATCTGACTCTCTTGGCCCGCGAGTCTAGACCAGGTTGAGCTCTCAGCTCCCTCGACTGAGTCATGAGACACCATCTCGACCAAAAGAATGGAGAAATTCGCTGTCAGAGCCGAAAAACGGTCGATGCTTTTTATTTCTCTCCGCATGACTTGATACGACACCGATACAGAGGTTCGCCGAAGAGCTGTTCCCAGCGCCTCAGCTACACACAGATCAAAGGCTCAGTCAACAGCGGGACAAGGATTAATCGTGAACCAATAGCAGGTCCTTGAGGCCCCCATTCGACGTTGCCTTTTCTGTCGTCAAGGTTGTGTCACTGAAGATTTCCTTCCCCACAGCGGCCAACCCCAAAGTTTGCCCCCGACTTTTCCTGCACAAGCTTATTTTAAAGGAGGCCCAAGCGCATAGTGAGCTAGCTTAGCTTATGCAAGCCACGAACAGCATCTTACGCTTTCTCCTCACGGTTTTCCAGCAGGTTTTTGTCAATGCCGATATGACTGCCGTTATCAGTGGCATTGCAGGCTTAGTTATCGTGACATTGAGCCTCGTGAGGATAAATAATTTAGCATGGGCGTGTGATACTAAGACTCGCCTGATGTTGCCCAGGTTATTGCGCCCTGAAACTGTCTTGAATGCAACCCTGGCTGATCCTCGGCATCTCGGTCGAGTTCCATGCGCTCTCCAACCGTTTGGGCCAAGTCCGCGCCGCCTTTTGATGACATATTGGGGTTGGAGCCCCCAAAGTGTCTGTCGCTTAACCTTTCCGTTGTTGCATCTTGCATCGCCAAGGAGTCAAACCAAAACTCTATGCTGAATCCGAGGGTTTGGGCCGCGCCTGTGCGTTGATGGTGATGTTAATCTCTATCGGTACGCGTACATGATGTTTTTGGATGGTGATTGTGGTGATGGAAGCCAAGATTGGCTTTGGGGTTCTTGGATCTTGTCCCCGCACTTGGCAGATTGAGATCTTGAGATTTGGGAAACACCAGAGGTTGCTCGCTTCAGAAAGGACCGAAAGACGAGACAAACTGTATCACAAGTCGAAATGCCAGTTATGTAAGGGCAATTGAATATTGGGCTCTTGACTTGACAGCTGTATAGCGGTGGGGCAGGCCAAACTGTTAGGCGACAGGACGTTGGGCATGTTACCGTCGAAAGGCGATGCTCCCGGCCATTAGACTAATTTTTAACACTTTAAGGTTGACATAGCGAATTTGTAGCTCTAACAAGGGCCAAACCGAGGTGAAATCTGGTATTCGATAATACCACAAGGCCATTGTATTGGTGCAAGCTATCAAGCTGAGCATCATGCAAGTTTGAGCCTCACACGATCTTGACAGCTCGGAGTAGCTGCACGATACCATGGACCAGGCTATGATTATGGAGAAACGTCGTATTGAACTATCAAGGACTCCCTGTCCAGTCTTTGAGACATTGGACAGTTCCTGAAATGACCAGCTAACCGTAATAGCAGGCCTAGTAGATCGAATCTCCATGTGCAGGGTAGGTAACACGACTTCCTACTTGTTCAAATGCAATGTCTGCTCCTATCCAATTGCCTTTGGGTTCAATAAGAATACTGAAAGGATCTTTTAGTGTTGGATCATCTAGTAGGCGGGCTCTTACCCGCAATTCCGGATAGATCATCAAGTTTGCCCACTCTCCCAACGTTCGGCACCCCATACCCGAAAGATCAACAAGCAGATCTTTAACCACCATACCAAAATCTGTGGAGTTGATCCTTCGCGCAAGCAACTATCCATTCACGATCTCTTGGCGCCTAGTAGGACCGAAAAAGTTGATCACTCATGCTGCACTGCAACGTTTGATGTGATGCAGACTTCCCCGGAGATTCGTGCCACATGCTTCGCTGTCAATTACCCCAGGCTTGCGAGTGAGATCTCCAGACGGGGCGGGGATGTCTCCATGCGACCCAATAGTGGGACATGCCCTGCGGCGCAGTTGGGTGAAAACCAACATGTCAAATGAAAACTTGGCGGGGAATGCGGCACAGCTATCTCGAGCCCCATTGACGAAATGCACCAAGAAAGGGTAAGCAGTCAGGTTGATGACCTGGATATTCTTTGGAATCTGTCTCCATTCCGCGCGCCAGGGTGTTGTTGTTGCTCTTTTGTGCCAAGTTACCGACACATATTATTCTTGCCCTGGTAGATGTGAATACATATCAACCTGGCGATACTGACCCGTGTTGAAATGCATCGTCCGCCATTTTTCCTGTGACTTACTTGTATACATACTGAGGATTATCAAGGAGCATAACAACGGTTAGGTAAACTTTAAAGCACTTGCTACGGCTATTGCCACCCTTTAGAATATTTTTTATTTCGGGCATAGTCCAATCTTTGGTGCGAATCTTCTCCTGGATCATGAGCACGTCCAACTGATGGTCAAGAACTGGAGGCACAGGGCATTGGCCATGATGGATCGAATTTGCATCGTTATCTATGTCTATGTCAAAATCGTTGTTTTCGACAACGCAGAAGAGTTCTTGTGCCATGCGGGCTCCGACCCAGAGCTTCAGGGTCGGCCTGGTCGTACTGTTCTATCAGAATGCATTAGCATATGGAGTCAAATTTGTCGGGACTACGCACGGGGTTCTTGGACATGTATAGAAGTGTTTGTCGAAGGTAGCCCAATCAAGAAGTCATCGGTCTGAGACGTCATATCTTGAGCATAATACTGAAAGCTATTGGGAAAGTGGATTTGGCTCAACTAGATGACGATCTGACGTGGGAGTTGCGATGGAATTAAAATTGAAGGGCGCACCATCACCGAAGAGCTTGCGCTGTAACAAGTCTGGGTACTGGATCGTACCAGGGTGTGTTTCTTGTTGTTGAAGATCCATGTTTCTGGAATCATTGCGCTTATCTTCATCATCAATACTGTTCTCAGTATGGCATAATAACTGCTGATGTGCGAGGCCAATGACTGCGTTACGGGAGAGATCCAAGCTAACATCCTTTTGCCAACCGGCGAGCCTCGGGCAAGTCTTGGGGCTTATAAGTTGGTTCTCGCCATACAGTGTCGTGCTGCAGTCTTGTGACTCCCACCCTCTTTTCAACGACTACCATTCTGTATTGCCCTGTTACACGTCTCATATCTCACCATTGACTGCCAATTACTCAGGTATAGCCCTGGCTCGCCACGCACTCCCAGGCTCCATGGGCTTTTCTCACCAAAAGGCCTGAGTTACCTAGTTTACCCTCTTCCCAACCCGTCTCCAAAACGGTCTTTTCTCCCACCAGCGTTGTCTTCTAACCATCAGAGACCGCTGAGTGGAATCTGTGTTCCCACCTTGCCTTTCGAGATGTCTCTTCCGGTAGCCGTCCCAGATTTCTTGCCTGTTTCTCTCGTCAATGCGAGCCTGGTCCTGCTGTTCTGGCGGAAGATCATTGATCGCGTCCCGAATCAGATCACGTCGAACGCGCTCAGCCTTTATCCCCTTCGGGCTGAAAGAATTCGGGGAGCTCACTGTCATCGGGTATTAGTATCCCTTTTTCACGTTCAACGCCTGTTACAGTTGTGGTAGTCTTACTGTCGGCGATGGAAGAAGCCTCAAGGTTCTGCAGCGCGGAGCTGTAGTGGCTGATGAGTCGAATGTTGTAAATGTCTCCAAAGTCTCGTCCAGGCACAAGACTTGTACCAACTATATCCTCCTCAAATTGCGAAAACACGTCGTGCTCAAAAATGAAATGACTACTCAATACGATATCTGCTTTGAGATCATCGAGCACATAAAGGGTACAGGGGATCTTGTCCCATGAACTGCGAAACTGCCAAGTAGCCCTGTGGACAATACCAGAAGTTGTATCGAGTGACCTGTCGGCATATTCAATGGTACGTCTGTGTTTCATACTCCGATCAATCTCCAGGGAGTGTCGCTTAGCAAAGTCTGTTGATACCAGCATTGCGTCGCAGCCTGTGTCGGCTAGAGCAACTGAAGGTATGTCATCAAGGCTTCCCTTCAGACAGCATGTATCGTTCCCTATAAGATTGAACCTCAGTCGAGTGGCAAACTTTCTTAATGATTTTGTGATATGGTGTGTGAATTTTGTCAAAGTACCTGTAGCCTTAAGGAAGGCCTGGCACAAAATGAGGTCTTGCCTGCATTTAGAGAGAATACAGCAGTCAAGCATGTGTTGCTCCGATTCCCCCAGGAAAATGAAAGGAACATCTACTGTGCCGCAAGACTTGATTGTTGCTCCCGTGGGTAGCCGGAATTCTTCCTTCGTACTGACTTTGGGAATAAGTCCAAGCTTCCCGACGAGCTGTTGAGAAACGAAGTTACGTTTCGCGCCGGTATCGGGTAAGGCATCGATTTGATGTCTGTCTGAACCAACTAACGCTTTCACTCTGTACTCCACCCTGCCACTGGAATAGGTTTGGGGCGGACTTTCGAGGGCGGGCTGTAGTACAGCGTTTGCTTTGATTATAGATTTGAGTGTGAAAAGCCTGTCAAGTTGCACAGCAGTGAAGCCAAATGGAATATATTGACCCCTTTCATCGTCTATCAAGTCACCCGAAAATGGTAGAGTCGAGCTATTATGGTTGGTTTGTAGTACGTCTTCCTTCTTATTGATGAAGAGTCTCCATGAGGGATAGCTCATAAAAGATTGTTCAGTAGTCATTTGCACCGGATTGTTACTTGTATGAAAGTCAGCGGCTGATAGCGCACGAGTGACGTTGTGAAGGCATACCGAGTTAGAAAACGTTGTGATTGGTCTGAGGTTGTCTCGGTAGGACTGGACCATCTAGGAATGAATTTATCTGGCAGAGAATGTGGATCCTCCTGATTGACTGTATCAGAACGTCAATTGGTATCTTCTGTCCAGGCGTCAGAGCTCGCATCACTCGCTTGATCATCTGTCTCTCCCGTGCTGAGGCGGGTCACTTCATCCTGTACCCAGGGGTTCCCTAGAAGCCAAAGGCAAGAGACCATGGGGATCACGTTGATTACGGAAGAAAACGATGTATTTGAAACCTGCCGAAATTATTCTGGGTAACCAGGGAGGATTAATGCGAAGGATTGGCTTGTATAGATAATATCGACGCGCTGAAAAAGTATATTGCTTTGGAGGAGAAGGGAAGACTTTTGGAACTCAGAAGGAGGCGGCTCGAGGGTATCCAATTGCTACGTGTCGGGCGGTGGCTGGGCCTAAATTGCATTGTTGATAGGCTTCTTGTTGGACTTTTCCAACCTTCTACTAATCGTCTTCTTTCAACAAAAGCTAGCTGACATTGTGTAACTGTAAATTGTACATTTACACGTCATCATTAGGTGCCAGGCATCAGGCTGTCAGCCAAATTTCCAACGATATGGGATTAGCCCATTTCGCTATTCTGGCTGTGATTTCTTGCAGGTTAGCTATATTTAATCACTCATGCGTATCTGTGAATTGAAAGCTTATGCGAAACATTTTTGATATCGAAATGACTGCAGGTCAGGCTTCGACTGGATCCTCGCTTGGATTCGCAGCCCTATCGTCCTGGATCGTTCCAGACAGAGATCAAGAACTACTAGTATTCCGAAAGTTCGGGAACATAAGCGCTCGAAATCTTCTTGCAATGTGAATTGTTGAGCATCGAAGGCAGATTGAAGGCCTGGGATAAACAAGTTGAAGCTAGCAACGACACTGCATTAGAGCAAGCTGCAGAAACATGGGAAATGATGAACAAACAGGCCGAGGCGGGCAAACCAGAAGCAAAGGAAATTATGGAGTTAGTGAATCAGCTCCGCATGAAGATTAAAGAATATCGTATGTAAAATAGTCCCAGCTGTAAGCTTCTGCTTACTTTTTCATAGATGAAGCACTGGATCTACAGAGCAAGATTTCTCAGCTCAACGGCCCTGACCATAGGGCTCTCAAAGTGGCTCGAAACGAACTCCACGGAGGGCCTTTGCGACGAGATGGTCAAAAGCCGAATCCCATACTGGGAGAGGAAAGTATTACTTTGATGAAGCGTAGGATCTCGTCTCCCTCAAAGCTCCAGCAGCTGTCGATCCATTGTCAAAATTGCTCCGGGCTGGAACTATCCTTGTGCATTTATGGTTTAAAATGGTCCTTTAGAATACAGGATAATATGGAGATTGAGAAAAGCTTGAAACGATGTCGTGCGGCAATAGATAGTGCACCATGAACAGACTGGTGTAGGGCCGTCTTAATGCAACTTTTGTTAGCCCACAGATATGCAGAACCCCGAATCTCACAATGCGGCAATGAATTACTCAAGTTTCATAGCATAATGATATTGCCAAGCCTAACGTTATTGATCACGAATTGCTGGGTGCGAGGTGGTGGCTCTGGTATACAACCTGTTTCTCCACCCGAGGTTCCCTACTTGGGCAAGGTTGCAAAAATGAGGTCATATTTATCAGCAAGACTGGCACGCCCTACTGACTACATATCAATCAGTCACTTAAACCCCTCCGAGCGCAGTGATTTTAACAAGGAAAAAAATAAGAACACTTAATCTGAAAATAAATTACGCCTTAAGAATGCCAGACGGTTATGCAAAGATTCCTTTGGGCGCTCAGGTTCAGCCAACGCCTTTCCAAGTCTCCATCACGGATGACAGGGTCGATGAGCTCAAGCAGCTTCTGAAGCTGGGAAGAGTCGGACCGCCGACCTACGAATCGACGCAGAAAGAACACAATTATGGAGTTAGTCATCAGTGGCTAACTGATGCGAAAGCTGCTTGGATTGACTTTGACTGGTATATTCTATCGCCTGTCCCTAGCTTGCATTGCCGAGGTCTGACCTATGGAACAGGCGCACTGCGGAAAAGCACATTAATTCCTTCAACCATTGGACTGTGCCTATCAAGGACGAGAAGGGTGAATTTACAGTCCACTTCACGGGTCTCTTCTCCCCTAAACCCGATGCCGTCCCCGTGGTAATGCTGCATGGCTGGCCGGGTAGCTTCCTAGAGTTTCTAAAAATCTTGTCCATTCTCCAGGAGCGCTACACTCCCGAGACGCTACCTTACCATGTCGTTGTGCCATCTCTCCCCGGTTATGCTTTCTCAGATAAGCCGCCGTTGGACAAGGACTTCGGCATCAGAGATGTTTCCCGCATCGTGAACAGCCTCATGGTTCAACTGGGTTTTGGAAGTGGTTATATCGCTCAGGGAGGCGATATTGGAAGCAGGGTTTCTCGTGTGCTCGCAGCTACTTATGATGAGTGTAAAGGTATGTCATCAAGATGCAAACCATCGGCAAGGTCGAAGGACACTACTAACACGCTTTTCTATAGCCGCTCATCTCAACTTCTGCCTCATGTCTGAGCCCGCAAGTGCGCAGGGCGAAGTTTCGGATGCAGAAAAGAAAGGCCTCGAACGTGCAAAGGACTTTGACAAGCTGGGCACCGCCTACGCTTTGATGCACGCCACAAGACCAAGCACCATCGGCCTCATCCTCTCGTCATCGCCTCTCGCGCTCTTAGCCTGGGTCGGCGAGAAGTTCCTGAGCTGGAGCGACGAAGATCCTCCGCTGGAGGAAATTCTTACTTCGGTTTCTCTTTACTGGCTGACAGACAGCTTTCCTACGTCAATCTTTCCATACCGCCAACGCTTCGACCCAGATTACCCTGGTGCACACGATCACCCGAAGTGGAAGATCAGCAAGCCATTGGGTTACAGCTGGTTCCCGTTCGAGCTTGCTCCTATTCCTGTGAGCTGGGTGAAGACGACAGGAAATCTGGTGTTTTGGAGAGATCATAAGAGAGGAGGTCACTTTGCTGCTTTGGAGAGGCCAGAGGAGTTGTTGAAGGACTTTGAGGAGTTTATAGAGCAGATCTCGAAGGATGGATCTCTGAAGATCCAGTGAATCAGTTTGTAGATAGCGGCGCTTCATCTCGCTTCAAGCTGGATTGAAAGATCATGAACCAATTGAAAGATGATCGATCAGCTTAGGTATTCGAATCCACCATTGTCTTCGTCCTTGATCAAAGCCATGCGAATTATTGAGGTATTCCTGATTGACTGGAGGTTCCCATTCCATTGATGGTCTCACATGACTCAGCACGTGACGCATGTCCACGGTTTTCGGTCGTGGAGACTCACGGTCTGGGCCTGTCGAATTGACGGGCACACACCCAGAGGACCATTAGCTATGGCCATTTCTTTTGCTATCTTTTACGGCTCGGGTTGCGCAACAAGCAAGGGCTATTAAATTCCAGTAACGAAGCCCAACCGCGAAACTGAGGACGCGCCCACTTTGTCCTTGGCGGTCGCAAAGCGCGCCATGCCACTACCATGAAGCCGCTCTACTCGATGCGACCAGCACAATGAACACCGCGCTGCCGCTGCAATTGCGAACTTCGCCGTCATCTGATACGGCGCATAGCAGCTCTGCTCGTCCCGACCAAGCCTTTGACCCAGCGTGTCCCTACCGAGCCCGCCAAATCGGCGCCGCATTAATCCCCATCTGTTGCCTGACAATCTTGAGCGAGACGACAACACACTGAGCGCCGCGACCGATCGACAGAACATGGGGTGAACAGGATTGGAGTACCGCGGCGGCCGTAGCTGGCGCTGCGCCTTCAGCTAGCACCTTTGGCGTTCGTGTGATGCCATTCGCCGATGCCGCGCCTTCGAGCACCAGTGTCAGGAACGCATGATCCCTTCCTTGCGTGTTCCATGTGACAGAGCTTACCCGACTCTCGTCATCGCACAACAAACTGGGGACGCCGCAGCCTTTCACGACGCAAGTCTTCTGTCTCGACACACGTCCATGTCCATTCGATCGCGCGACCTGTCCCTTGCCTCGTAGCAGCGCATCGTCCGAACCAGCCCACCGACACCTCATCTGATTGTGATGTCGCTCTGAAGCAAGGCATGCACCGCGACTTCATCCGCGTGAAAGCGCTGTAGATACAGACAGATTGCCGGGCATTCCACCCTCGCTCGAAGCTCGACCCACCATATACTCCGTCCTGCCTTGCGATACCATATATATAACAGCAATAACGCGACAGGGTCCCTGGAAAGTAGTAGTTCCTTGAAGGGCCCTTCAATTCTATGCGTAAAGAGTTGTGTCTGCCCTGTCGTAACTTGGCTATCCGGTAGATAAAGGATGCGCGAAACTGCATGCGCAGCGTAGAAGTAAGGGCTCTCCGACGTAGATGTCTGGTTCAATTGACAGATACTCGCCAGCGCCTCGGGTATTCCCTCTACACCAACGTCGGGTAATGGCGCTTGCATCTGCGCAATCGTAACAGCCATGACGCGGAACAGACTGTCATTTCGTAGAGGGTCCACCATATTCCACAGCGACATCTTTCCACTGATCATGGACACCCAATCGAGGTGGTCGTCGCCAGTCGTCAGAGGCCACGAGTCTTCAGGTCTGTACGCATCAGGTGACGAGAACGTCAAGACGGCGAGAGCAGCTGCTGTACCCCATATCGGGTCTTTGTCCTGCGTCTTGACAGGTTCGCGTAACTTCTTGTTAAAGAGCGCTGTGCTTTGTGACCAGTGGTAGCATTCTTCCAGACTCCGGGGAGAGCTTGATGAGGTGTTTAGGTAGCGATCGTATGTAAGCGCCACTGCTAGAGAAGCGTGCATCAAACATGGGTTCTGTGCCAATTAACTTAGCCTACATGGACACAATCGGCGAGTAGCTCTTACAGTGAAGGCGAGTTTAAACAAGCTCCGATTGACGTTGATCATGTTCTCATCATCCGGCGTCAAGAGACTTCGCGCGTAATATCTCGTTACAAAATCTTGACATTTTGCATTCAATTGATAGATAGTATACTCATCAGAGGTCCATATCGCACTCGCGACAGGTCTCTGGGGCGTTGGCCTGCATCGAACCACGGCCCTCACAGTGTCGGAAGTGATCGGGTGAAGATCAGGGATGTTCAGCCCAAAGTTACAGAGTACCCCGAATGCGCTGCATTTTTTGCAGCGAGGTTTGCTCTCGTCACACTAAGAATGGTTAGTTGAAGTATTGATGAGTTGAGGAGACCAACCTTGAGTTTTCTCAGCTTGCAATTCCGGCATCCATATCTTGACCGCCGTGCAGGTTTCTTCGGGCGCATATGGTCCACGCACTTGGAAGACATTTCCACAACGCTCTACTAATTGTCAGAAATCGCGGAATGTTGTCATCATTGAGAGAATTTGACCCTGAGCTGACAGGAACTGGAGGTACGATCTATTTTCGCGATGCGCTAACCTCAACTTGGCTGGAGGCTCTCACACGCTAGCTGTTTTGCGGCTGCACGGCGATTTGATTGGCGGTTTGACGATCCAAGAACTCTGGGTATTATCGCGAAGAGATGGATATGATTTGAGGAAACCCTCATGGAATTGTTGTAATTAAGTTATAAAGAAGATATTTCCCTCAAATATATCATGACCATTCATCTTTACTATTTACCATTCATTCCTTAGATAAACTCTATTACCGGTCAAAATGTCTACTCATCTTGCTGCTATCTGCCCAGGAAAAGGCCAACCCTTCCAAGTACAAACCCGATCCACTCCAAAGCCAGGGCCAGATGAACTTCTCATCGCCGTCAAGTCCGTCGCTCTCAACCCAGCAGACGTCATCATGCGCGATCAAGGTCTTTTTATAACAGATTATCCCACCGTTATAGGCTTCGACATGTCGGGCTTGGTACTAGAAGTCGGCGAAAACGTTCCAGCTGGTGATGGTGGCTTCCAACCTGGCACTCGAGTTGCTGCTTATTCTGCCTCCGCCTGGAGAGGATGCGCTCCAGATTATGGTCCTTTCCAAGAGAAATGTCTTGTTCCGTGGCAGCATGTTGTGCGTCTTCCTGATCAGAACATGTCGTGGAATCATGCTGCGACGTTGCCTGTTTCTGTCCAAGTACCTCTTAGCGCATGGGATATGATGGGAATTCCCAGATCTTATGATGAACTTCCTTCCCAAGATGTAGTTCAGGTTGAGAAGAAAGAAGCGCTTCTTATCTGGGGCGCATCATCCAGCATCGGCACCATGGGCGTACAAACAGGTCGTCTAATGTGCAAGGATCCCAAGTCTCCCTTTGCAGCTGTGTATGCTACTGCTGGCCCGGCAAATCACGATTATATACGCTCACTTGGTGCCGATCGTGTATTCGATTACAAAGACTCAAAGGTTGTTGAGTCAATCATCTCCGCCGCAAAAGAAGACGCGCTAGTCATTCGACATTGTTTCCTCGCGACAGGGCAACTTTCTTTGTGTCAGGCTGTGCTGAAGGAATTTGTTCATTCAGACCCAGCAGAGGGCAAGACAACGACCAAGCTTGGGTCAGCGCCTTGGATTCCAGCGGACGCGCAAGACGTTGATGGGGTCGAAGTGATATTTGTGATGCCGTCGGCGGTTGAAGAGAAAAGGCTGGAGCAGTTCAAGTATTGGATTGGTACTTATCTAAGTAAGACCTTATCCAATGGAAGCGTTAAACCAAGCCCCGAGCCAACGGTTGTAGGGAAGGGTTTGGACTTCCTCAACAGTGCTTTAGACAGAATGTCCCAAGGTGTCAGTTGTTCTAAGTTAGTGGTGGAAATTGGAGAGTGAGATGGCACTATGAGGGAACATTATTAGATAGTGATACCATCGCCGTATAGAAGAAGTGCGATGCTTCAGAAATCTAGATAAGAAAAGTTATCTAAATTGCGTGAAGAAGGACTTTACAAAATGTTGAACCTTTCTGCGCTATCTGCCTGTATCTCGAGTCACTTCAGGGTAGTCATCCATCATTTTTCTTCATCGAACGGGATCAATAGCAGCGATCCCTGCGGTCTTTGCTTGCGACTCGGGACTTTCCGTCTCAAATTCTCTGTTTCATCATGCTTGACTTCCGAATGACAGCATTTTCGCATGGTCCCATGGATAAAATCGGCTCAGCTGTCGCAAGACCACGCTCCACGCTCCGATCCTCGGCAAACTAACTACCCAAACCGGACATTTCTACCAGTGCCCACCAGCGCCAATTACCAAACAGAATGCCCCTGTACAACTCTGTCTCCGTTTCTGTTACTTTAACGTTAGTCTTAAGCGAATATTACCTTTGACCATACCACGCGATCGGGCGAAAGGGTGGATCAATTGGTTCCGTAGCTTCGATCGCTCGCTTCCTGACACGACCTCGCCATGCACCCCATTGACCAATCAAGGCGCCTCACCATGAACCAAGTCACGTTGACCAATATCGATGATGAAATATCCTCGCCCCGACACCCTCTTTCGCTCAATAAACATAAGCATAATACGCCATAAAAATAAAGTTAAAACTCCGCCAAGCTCAGCTCTCTCATCAATGGCGAAACAAGTTCCCTTCACAAGCCAATGATGTCTTCTCTCAAATCAGGGGGATGCAGAATTCTCGGTCTTGTCCGACCACTCTAACTAATACAAGTAAAGATCATCTTCCCTCCTTTCAAGCTTGGGCCCTGGTCTGGAGTAGAAAATCCGGGGTGAGTTTTCTTATCGGACCGACAGGACACAAAACTCCACGATCTCATGACCCCGTTTCCCCATACAAAATTCCTTTTAAAATTCATGGTCTGACGAGAAATCGAAGATCATGTCGGTCCGACATAGCGAATCTCGAGAGATTGAAGCTATCACGAGGCTCAGCTCTTGGCGAAGATGAGCTCAGTCTCGCGTTGAAAAGGTATGTCGGGCCGACATAATCTTGGCTAGACTGTTCTGGGGGGTCCGGGGTGAACCCAACCCTCCAGAACCTGGAGAGACGGGTTGTTTGTGGAGATTTAGCATAAGAATCCCCGGATTCCCCAGCTTCTTTCTTGTTTTTTCCCAGCATCAGCTTCACTCACTTCTTCTTTCTCTCCATACAAGGGATCTTTCGACATATTATCTCTTATCTTGGACGACAGCATGTCTTCACCAAAGGATCTCGCTCAGGTTGAGCACATCGATCCCGACAAGATGGCCTTTGACGAAGTTGAGCGCCCTGCTGCGCGCGAGGCCAATGATCGCGAACACACCCTCACTCTCCGCGAGGCACTCCGCCTGTACCCCAAAGCCATTTCCTTCTCCCTCCTTTTCTCAACGGCTATCATCATGGAAGGTTATGATTTGAGTTTGTTGGGGAGCTTTTACGGTTATGATGCGTAAGTTGCAGTTAGCCTGGTATCGACATTGTCGACCATGAAACTGACAACCCCCCCCAGATTCAAGCAGAAATTCGGTAACGAAGTCGACTCGAACGGAAACCCTATTGTTTCAGCCGATTGGCAGACTTATATCCAAGTTGGTGGCATGTGCGGTCAGATCATTGGTCTTTACATCAACGGTTGGGTATCTGATGCTTTCGGCTACAAGAAGACCATGTTGGCGAGTCAGGTTCTTATGATTGGACTCATCTTCTTCCCCTTCTTTGCGCCAAACCTTCAGGTCCTCTTGGCTGGAAACATCCTCCTCGGTCTGCCCTGGGGTATCTTCCAGACTCTCACTCTTGCATATGCTTCTGATGTTGCCCCCGTTGTGCTGAGACCGTATCTTACTGCCTATGTCAACCTCTGCTGGGTCATCGGTCAACTCATCGGTGCAGGCGTTCTTCGCGGCTTCAGCACCATGGGAGGTGATTGGTCTTACAGAATCCCTTTTGCTCTGCAGTGGGCTTGGCCTCCGTTCATCATGCTTGGTACCCTCTTTGCTCCCGAGTCTCCTTGGTGGCTTGTGCGAAAGGAGCGATACGAGGATGCTAAGCGATCTATCCTTTCGCTCGTCACTCAATGCGATGTTCCTTTTGATGCTGATGCTCAGGTTGAGCTTCTGAAGGCTACCAACCAGATGGAGATTGAGAACTCTGCTGGAACAAACTACTGGCACTGCTTCATGCGCAGCGATCTTCGACGAACTGAAGTCGCTTCCATCAGCTACACTGCCCAGGCTCTCTGCGGTAGCTCTCTCATGGGCTACGCCGTTCAGTTCTACCTCGAAGCTGGTCTTTCCTCCGAGCGAGCTCTTGACTTCAACGTCATTCAATACTGTGTCGGTGCCGTCGGTGTCGTTCTATCCTGGTTCCTCATGTCTCGCTTCGGTCGTCGCCATATCTACATCTGCGGCATGGCAGCTCTCTTCTTCATCCTCATCGCCGTGGGAGCCCTCGGCTTCGCCAAGAAGACTGAGCAAACCGGTTGGGCCATCGGTAGCTTGCTCGTCGTGTACACCTTTGTCTACGACATGACCATCGGCCCCATTGCTTATACCATCGTCGCCGAGATCTCATCCACTCGTCTCAAGGCCAAGACTATTGTGTTGGCCCGTAACTTCAGCAACATCGCCGGTCTCGTCACCAACACCCTCATGCCCCGCATGCTCGGTCGCAACTCTTGGAACTGGGGCGCCAAGACTGGTCTGTTCTGGGCTGGATGGTGTCTGTTGATCTTCATCTGGGCCTTCTTCCGCCTTCCTGAGCCCAAGGGTCGAACATATGGTGAGCTCGATCTTCTCTTCGAGCACAAGGTTCCTGCGCGCAAGTTTGCTAGCACCAAGGTTGATCAGTTCCCTACATCTGGATCAACAGAGAAGGTTCAGGAGGAATAAAAAGTAAAAGACTTATTGTATTTAGAAAACGCGCCTGAAGACATTGAAATGAGTCACTATTTGTATTCTATAGCAATTTAGCGCAATACCTGATATCCATTGAAACTGCACATTGTCTCCTGCAAACGTGTTCCTTGATTATAAAACTTCCTTTCGCTACATATTTCTCCTCTCCATTTTGTGTTAACTGTGCCTATAAAATCGCAAATTCCACTGAGTTTGTCGCGACGTGGAAGACGCTTGGATATCGCAGGGCATTTGTCTTAGTCAGCAAACGCGCCGCGATCTAACCTCCGTCAACAGACCATTCGCCAATCATCGAATTGACATCTCCACAACGAGTCTCAAGTCCAATAGTGTAAGTCGTTTTACCCACTACGCCCATTGCTACAGGTGTTGGGCGTTAGGCGGTCTCTCAAACCTCGCCACGTTAGCGACCAATGCCATCGATTTCGCTTCACTCGACTCCACTGTCAACAACAGGCTATGTCCCTCCGGCCGATTAAACGACCACTCAACATGAAGGAACATTCTCCTTGGCTATCAAGAATACATTCCCCCGTCGCTTAATGACACTTATAGCCCTCAAAACGTGCGCTCGCTTCTACATACAGATGGGGTGGGGGTCCAAAGCTGTTTGGGCGGTTCATTACGCGACTCCCGGATACCGCGCTCGAGGCCTCGATTTGGGCCCTTCAAGACGATCCAGGATTTCCATCGATAATTACGGGAAGACCTCGAGCCTGACAATCATCCGGATCGCGTCAAGGATCAGGTTTGGAAGGAGATAAAGGAAATGGTTATAAAACAAGACGGTCTGTGGCCACAGCCGGTGTTCACGCATGGAGACCTTAACCCTTTCAACATCTTGGTGTGGGGCGACCAAGCCGTTGGTATCATTGATTGGGAGTTTGCTGGGTGGCATCCGTGTTACTGGGAGTATACCTCGGCATGGTATGGAAATCGTATTCGGCAGGGTTGGCAAGAGTTACCTACGAAGTTCTTGGATGCATATCTTACAGAGCTGGAGATGGAGAAGACAAGGCAAAGATGGTGGGGTGATTTTTGAGTACAAGCAGACATTACCAGCTACGTTATAACCCCTCTTTCTTAAGCATGCTACGTATCGGTTTTGGCTAAACAGCAGTTGAAACGTTTTGTTCTGAGACCTTCTAATCGAGTCGTAGGTGCTGGGTTGCTTCAACAACAGCAGCAAGCCCCCAGGTTGAGATCTTTTGAGACTTTGGAAAATTACTAAATTAAATGAGCGTCGATTAAATAAATAAAAGCAACTAGCGAGTGAAAACTGAGCCGCACCATAAGTACACCTTAGGATCCGTCCTGGTTCATTCTCCCAGCTCCAATTTCCAAATCAAACTCCCATCAGTACGTCATTTAGATATCAATTCTAACACTTGACATTCTCGTTGCCAGTGCTGCAGCCTGTGTTCAAGTTCTTGCCAGGATCAGAACTAGAACTCGTTAGCTTCGTGCCTCATAGACCGCAAAATTTAACATACCCATCAGTTGGAGCTTTGACAAATCCAGCCTCTTCCCAGTCACCAAGACACTTCTGACCAGACGCTCCGCACGACTGGCACATTCTCTTCCACATATGTGCTATTCCGGTTAGTCATTTCTGAAAAGGAACGAGAGGGTATACATACCTTCTCCTAGATATTTCTGGGCCCAGATCTGACCGACTGATCCAGCAGGGATGTTACAGTCAATCTTGCCACCATCAGTCCAAGTGTTTGTAACAGCAAGGCCGAGAGAGACGCCCAGGACATCCTTGATAGGGTTCCAATCTAAACCCCCTGAGACCTCAACTGAAACTGATTTGGACCAGCTAATAGTTCGGGTGCCTGAGCCCTCACTCAATCCAGTGTAGAGACACCCGGAAGCTGTCTCCCATGGACCCCAGTAGGATTGGGAATCACGAGCCTGCCACTGGTCATAGACATAGCAAGGGCCTGTATATTGACGCTTGGACTTGTCGTCTTTAGTTTCTTTGTCTTCGACAACTGAGACACTAGACAATGGTACGAAGGACTGTTTGTCCTTCAGATAGACAACGCTATATGAGTTAGGGTGTTTCTTGATGTAGTCATTGAGATCCCCTGAGTCTATGATGAGGTCTTTGGGGTGATTGGCTAGGGCACGAGCGTGAAGCTCATTAGCATGGATTTCCCTTGAATGCAGGTCTTGGGAAGTGGTAAGAAGGCCAGTAGGAGAGGCACTGCCGAGGCTAGTGAGGGCCAAGAGGAAGAAGCTGGGATGCATGTTGAGCAATGCTGAGTGCAATTTGTAAGTTGAAGTGATGAGATGCTTTGGTGTTGATAGCAAGGCAGTGAGGAATCAGTGAAGTTTTATAATTGAAGAAGTACTAGAATATTCCGAGTCAAGTCACATCTTGACAACTCTGTTTGAAAACCTGTTCATTCGAAGGATTTGCCCAACTTCAGCAATTTTCACAATCATCCCATTGAAGCCATCATCAATTACATCAGTGACCAGACCAACACAATCCATCTCGACTCTAAACGGAAGTGATCTCATCGTCTCAGGAGATCAGCAATACTTGCACAACTGCCGATATGCATAATTGCATATGTCAGCCTAGAAGGATTTTTAAAGTTTCGGACTCTAGGCTCTCGCATTGGGACTAAGCTTATTGGACGAACTAGCGCAGGGCACTTTACGAACTACTCAAATAGGAAGGCTGTGCTAGAACGGAATTCCGGCATATTTTGCATGACTACTAAAATCCTTTGCGATCCTGCTATGCAAGACATGGCATGACTGTTATGCATGTAATGGTAGTAAGCGGGCACATGAAAGTGGTGATGCCATCAGATGGGGCGATAATCGAACCGGTTCGGGACGAAAGCATGTCCACCCTACTGTACGGTAAAAGATATTGCATACCGTTTCAACGTAGCTTCAGTATCTTTTAAGATGTTCAGCGTGAGATAGAAGTGAAATAGCTATTGAAGTATTCACCAAGAACATGGTGAGAGAGCAGTAACTATGTCTCAATACATAATGATACAGAACGCTCTTGAGGAGACTTATCATTCAACCCTCACTGTGGCTGTTTCAAACCAGTGACAAAAGTCGCAAATAATACAATCTAGTTATAAGATTCATGAATTACACACGCTTACACAAGTCCAGAAGTGATCCGCTTTAGGATCGTACCAATGATGTAAACAGCAAGGGACATGGGTTTGCGGCATTTAGAGCTGGACCACTCAGAGGTTGGGGAAGGCCGCGGGGGATTGGGGGCCGTTCAAGAACACGAGATCTATACCCCCGAAACTGAAGGCAAGGCAACATGGCATGCCTTAGGTCTGACTGATCTGCATGCACTATAAGCTGAAACAAGATTGTGAGCCTAAGTCTCTTAGAGGACCATACTATGACAGTGGAGAAATGTTGTGTTCAAGGAATAGCTTCATTGTAGCCGGGCGGCATTGACTTCCTGTCTGAAGGATCCGCCACATACCATTGCCAGTAGAACTGACGAAACAAGAAACCAGAGGGCACAGCCTACCAATCGCCCTACACCGATGCATTCCCTCTGATCCCATCTTGCGTCTCATGTTTGCAAAGCTTTATGAGCTCCTGGTTTTGAAGAGTCGTCAGGTGATTAAGGGAGGTAAAGACATCTATTCCAGGTGATGAGACGATTTAGGTAAATTTAGGATAAGTTAGGTACATTTAGTCTAGACTTAGTGGGTCTTGAGATAAGTGATATCCTAATATTAGGTCAGAACGTTCTGGCCTAGAAGCAGTAATGAGTGATGATGGCCTCACAGATCAAACGGCAATCACAGTACGTTGTCACATTGCTGCCAGGTTCTTTGTTGTGTCTGGTGGCGGCACAGGACCTGATCATTAAGTGGAACGAGTCGAGGGGACGTCCTGTCGATGTCATTCGTGAACACGAATTAATCTGTTATCTCCGTACGTTAATCGAGCTTGGCGAACGCATGGAACGGAGGGGTAGCGCATACAACTTTCCAATGGTTGTGGGAAGACCCCGATATGCAGTCCTTGCCAACGAGCTTCAATACTGGCCAGCGAGATGTCACTTCCACTGCTGAACCACGGAATGCAACCTTATCCGTATCGCGTTCAGAAGGTTGAAGTCCCTGGCCAGGTAACGTCGGAGGCAGATTGGGAACGAGATAATTCACTCTGGCTCAACAGTCTCACAGACCAACATGTCAACCTGCAGGTCCCACGGGATTATGTAAAGGCAGGTATCACACCAGAATTAATGCCGATCATAACGGAGGACTGGCGAAATACTCTATCTGAACAAAGCCGCATTACCCTGAATCCAATCTTCATATGTTCGATTTACCGCACGAACGCCAGATGATCCATCACGATACGACTTGTGGTCAATGGTTCTCCAAAGAGGTTGACTGGACGAGGAAGGTCATCCACCGGATTGAAAGAGCAATCCTTAATTCCAAATCGATAGCGGAGTCGTCAAAGAGACCATGAAGACTGTCGACTATTCTCCTACCGTGACTACGGAATGGGATCTATCGACAGATGCTGGACTCAATCTACAACCACGAAGACGCCACAGCATTCATCCGCAAAAGGATCTCAGATATCTTTCGCAAAAACGAAGCAATCAGCGAAGAAGAGGAGCGCAGGCCCAGATTGAGGAAGCCGGTAGTGCGGGGGTCTTGGCAACTGATCCCGTACATATGAGACACCAATCAGCCCACCAAAAATGTATAAGAATCCGATATACTATTAAAGACAGTAAAGAAATAGATTGAGTACCTCGCTTGCGAGTGCAGCATCACAGTCGAAGAGCAGATATATTAGCGTAAACAACTATCTACTACAGTAGCAGCCATATTCGAAGCTACAGAACCCTTTTAAAACCATATCGGAATCACATTCTAGAACTTTAAGATATAAGGACTTCTGAAGCTCGCTTGTATCTGCAGAGGGAAGCCATTGACAAGCTTCTCGAGTCAGTCTAACCCGGTCTATTTGAGCCGCGCACTGGGAGAGCGGAACAGATTCTACTTGAACGATTCATTTAGTGTCAAGAAAGACGCTTATAGAGGTGAACAGAGCATATGACTGAGTATTGGCCAAGGTGCAGCTCACGAAATGGGAAGAGAGACAGAACCTTGAAGATGTACGTGGCATAGTATCCGACCATGAACCAACGAGAAGAGGAATCGGAAAAGAACTAAAAAGAAAATAAGAGTATCCAGTTACGCATACAAGATAAGAAAAGCAGTTAAGGCAGTAGTTTAATACAGGCAATTAGCTATTTCTCAGAATCCCCAAGTCCTTCTCAAACTTCTCCCACTTCGTACCAATTGGCTGAACAAGCGTAAAAGCCGCACCAGTCTGATTCATCTCCTGCACCCCATTAGTCAAATACAGCGGCGTCATCTCTCCATCATCACTAAAGAACAGCTTCGGTCTCTCCCTTCTCTTGAACACCTGCCACGATCCATCTGTAAAAGTGACATTTGAGCTAAAGGCCTCCTGGAGCTTGAAATGCCACGGTCCTGTGAGCTTTCGCGAGAAGAGATGGGATCCAACACGGGGCCATTGCTGTTTATCATTCTCAACGTAGTCTATCATCCAATGGTTGATGGAGTGCCAGTTCCCTCGCTTGTCGCGCCATACGAAAGGGTCCTCGGTCCATTCTGGGTTTTCTTGCTCTGTGACGTTCCATGTTGCTTGATATTTGAGCTTATAGTCACTGTTCCAAGACTTGGCAGTGAAGATTGAATAGTCTTTGATCCCAAGCACTATTTCGCTAGTTGGGTTGTTGCGCGTCCAGAGAGGGAATGCGGAGGGGTTGGTAGCGTGAATACCTGCTGGACGGTCACTGTCAAGGACCATCTTGAATGGCGACCATGGACCACGAATATCGTCAGCAGCCGAAACAGAAATATTGTTGGGCCACCTGGTGTAGCTGATGCTTTCGCACTTTGTAAACTTCTTATCATATTCCACGCCAATGCTGTATAACAGGTACTTCTTATCAGCCTGGCTCCAGACGATATCTGGATTATGCGCGAAGTTCTTCGATACGTCCTGAGCATACTTGTATGGTCCTTGAGGCCCGCTATGAGATTCAGCACGGATGATGTAAGAATGAGGACGCCAGCCCTTCAGACCGCATCCATGAGTGAACTGCACTGTGAATAGATGGAATAGTCGCTTGTTGTCACGATCTTGGATAATTCGACCTCCCCAAGAGGCATTAGGCCATATACCGAAATCGCCAGGACTTGGAGGCTCGTATGTATGGTTGTAGCCAGTGTATCGTGTTGCCGGAGCAAGATCAAGACGGCCGCAATCGCCGCCAATCCAGCCTGGATCACAACGGCAGGCCTTTTTCCATCTCGAACATATTCCGTTCAGACTGCAGTCTTCGTCATTTTTACAAGCGTTCGCGAAGCCGATGGAGAGAAGAGTCAGGAGGTGGAAGAGATACAAAGAACGCATGATGTTTTGAGTATCAGCGACTCAAAGCCTTAATGTCACAAGTTGACCTTGTTGAGCTGATGGGCAAAACGTTCTTATTCTACTTGTGATCAGAATTTCGTGGAAAATCAGTATTCTGGAACATCCACGTCTGATAGGAGGATTATCTCACGCCTCAATCATGCATACACCTGCGGAGGATCATCTTGCTGCTTACTCTCAAAGGCCGCCACCCCGCAACTGCTCTAAAGATCAACGGATTAGCTCGGTGCAATTCTCACCGAAATGCATAAAGCTCAGAAAACGTCATATGTTGATGCAAAGTAGGGATTTCAGAGGTCGCGCTAGCATGTCTTAACATATGTAATTTTGTTAGCAGCTTAGCCGTTGCCTGGTGAAATCATTGTTGCTTCCAACTATCAACAGAGCCTACTAGCGAGTGCAATCATCAATTTCCCTTCCTGTTTCTATGCAAGAGAGTCCTAACGTCATAGTGCAAGAAAACACAAAACTTGAATCTAAATGTTGATATTCACTAATCTAAAGTCTACTAAACTTAGAACAAATTCACACTAAGTTTACATAAAGTTACCTAAGCTTTATATAAAGATAAGAGGTAAGTGTCGTGATTTGCGGTTTGGTTGTTATGCAAACCGAACGTATTTCAGCGGGCGCCCCGCTTGCGCGCCTGCATACAAATCACAACAACAAGACTTTCAACTCTACAAAACTCGCTTCCTCGATATTCGTCTCCCTTCGCCTATGAAGGGCTCCCTGCTCCTGTTCGCCCTCGTGGTGTTCTTTGTCTGCCTTTGCTGGGTGCCAACACTGGAGGCAGCACTACCAGCTCCTCTACCGCCAACTAAGTTATCTGGGCCTCTGATTGCGTTGACAGTGCCGTCTCTAACTATATGCCTGTACTGATCAACGAGCTGCACAGAATTGATACCGATAACGCGACCTCTCCCGCGAACAAAATCGCGGAACCTACCACTGTCGGAACCAAAACGAACAAGATGCTTGCAGGGATGGTTCTAGCGCTCCCTTGCCCCCGTGGCCTGTTTCATCTGCCTTTGCTAGAGTGTCAACATTAAGAAAGTAGATGAACTTGAGAGAAATACGAGACTGGGAAACTGATAGCTAGCCCGTACTGTAGTGGTCAAATAGTGAAGGTGAGATGACCAGCTAATTGCACTGAAGTGAGCTTGAAAATGAGATTTAATAGGCCTTGAATGGGCTAAGATGAGATAGCTGAAGAGAGACCAATTTATCTAAGTGACTCGCTTTAGTAAGAGAGATAGCGCTAACATGAGAATGGCCAGGCCGATCTGGACCATAGACTTCCTGACAGATGGTATTGCGTTAGTCTATTCTCACTTCCCCAACTTCTTCAATATCTCCCAAACCCGTGACATGACCTTCTTCAGCTCTTTTTCCATCTGTTCACCTTGAAATTCACCAGGCAACCACCAAGGAGCAATCTTTTCAACCAATTCTTCCAGCAATGCCATCTGCTCCCAATGATCTTTCTTGATTCCTACCAAAGGTGTTGGTATACCATTGCTCTCCAGTCGCTTCAAATAGACGTCGTACATATCTTTGGGCCAATCGCCGTCGTTGGCGATGCAGTCATTCAGGAATTCGTCGAGCGGTGGAAAGAAGCCAGAGAACTCGAAGTCCACGATGCCAGTGATCTGAGGAGGTTGGCCAGACACGAGGACGTTTCTTGGGGATACATCGTAGTGAGTGAACACAAATAAGTCGTCTTTGGTGTTTAAGCTACTGACTGTGGGAAGGACCTGTAGTATGAAGTCTTGAAGAGGCTGCATGAGATCTCTGTTTGGTGCAAACGTCTCGTTCGTCTGCAAAATCTTCATCTTGTTCTCTATCCTGAGCTTGTAGTACTCTGCAAGGGAAGCGATACCATCTTGGCAATGGAGCTCTTCTCCAAGCATGCCTCTGATGAGAAACTGCATTTCAATGGCGCTATTCGAGCTTGGGATTGTGACGTCAGGCTGGCAGTCCATTTCATGAAAGCAAATGTTCCCAGTAAAGCTTTGAGGAGGGACGTCCCGCCGCCAATTGGTAACATGATCTGCCAACTGTGTCGCCAGATGAAACTTGTCATCATTGCTGAGTGCAGATAAGTCGATGGGCTTTCCGGGAACTCTCGTCATCAATATCCAACCACCCGCACTATCATCCATAACATTGAGCTTCACCTCACCCCGCTGCGCGTCTTTGGTATCGATAGTCAATCCATCCTGAGACCAAGCTATCGCATGAGGCGCTGGAGTCTCAGGGCAAAAGTGCTCCAGCAGGCGTAGACAAGAAACCTCATTTTGTATTTTCTCTGACCCAAATCCTCGACCATTGATCTTGAGAACAAGGTCATCAATATGCGCTACCTCGTTGCCGTTCTGGGATTCTCTATGACATTGAAGATAGTAGATCCGGTTGTTGAAGGACTTCAAAGACGGAAGAGCCTCCAATTCTATGTGGGTAGTGTCGGGCAGTACGTGGCGCACCAAACGGTTGATGCTCTCACTGGACATGCGCACACCAAAGTTTGGATGATGGGGCGGTGTTGATGGTCGCGGATCAGATGACATTTTGTGTTCCTAGAGATGGGGAGAGTCATATGAGAAAACGGAATCTTTAATTTTTATAGTGCTATAAGCTAGATTCGACGATCGCCAACCCTTGGTGCGGGGTGACTCATTCCCCGGTGCCATATCTGAACGGGATGGGCTGATCCAGCGTTGCCATCTGCAACCCTCAAGTTATTTTAAGATAACTAACATAGAGACCAAGCCTTTGGTATATAATGTAAAAACCTCAAAATCGCTCGCCTTCCCACCTAGCCCTTCATGACAATTTGTCCAACTCCATTGCCTTACTCATCCTGAAGTGCGAGAATGAAATCCTATTCCTCTTCCTCCGCACAACTGAACGCAACAATGCACGCTTTCTCTAAGTCTCTGACACGCTCGTCTGTTTGAAGCCAGAGAGCACGTATACTCTGTCCAAAGTCCCTCGCCTGAAGGTAGTTCTCCTGTATCGCTCGTGCTTTCTCTATATGGCCGACAACTCGCATCTGCTTCTTGGCTTTATTAAGCTTGTCGACCGCTTCGATATGTCGCACTCGCAACAATTCAGCCGTACGTTCATTTCGAGAACCAGAAGGCACCTGAAGAAAGGAATCAAGTAGTGTGTTGATACCATTGAAGTAGATCTCTCCTGTATTCGCCACAATTCCAGCCAGAACATCATGATTAGCCGAGTCTCTCAGTCCACTATTCGTAGTGTCGATCAATTCCCTGCTATGAGAGCGGATTTGCCGAAGCTGTTCTTCTCGCGCTTCTAGGCCTCCTAGTGCGTAGTCCGCCGCCGCTTTCTCGGACTCTGCTTGTTCAAGTTTCTGGATTGCTTCGCTTCGTAGCTGTGTAATCTTTCCGGGCTTGATGCTCATTATGAGGGTCTTGTACTTGTTGTGAGTTGAGTTCTCTGCGCCGTTCATCTGCTCAAACGTCCGCTTTCTGGTTACTGGGGGCGCAGGTTCCTTTATTCCGCTTGTGGACTGGGGGTTGTGTGCTTTAAGACTTTTAGATGTTCCCGTGTCCGAGGGCACTGGAAGACCATCGTTGCCATGCGCGATAGGAGTTTCGTGACTAAAATCTCCACGAATGGGTGTAGTCTCAATAGATCCGCTTCTGCCGGTTTTATTGTCGCTGGACTTTTGGCTTCCACTGTTGAGATGAACAACAGTCGAGCGTTGACGACTTTGATGAGGAGCCTTTTTGGCCACTGGAGTTCCTCCGTTCATGATCTCGTCGACAATTATCTGCGCCAGTGAATGGTAGAGACACTGTTGGCCGTCATTCCCTACTGCCTTTCTGAGGAGACCGCCGTCAACCCACAGAGAGTGCAGGTCGATTCCCTTGGCCTTTGCCGCCCGTGTGATCAAGACCAGCCTCCTGACATAGGATGAAGGCACTGGAGTACCATAAGATTGCTGTAGCACAGCCCGAACATCAGCGGGGAGCCAGGTCAGACCACCCCATGTGTTTGTCAACCACTGAGCCTCAGAGGCAACCTCCATGAAATAGTTATTCCAGCAGCCACTGCGCACTCTTGCCTCTTCTCTCTTAGCTTGTTTATAGATTAATGAACCAGCTTCAGAGCACCTGATGATGTCTGAAAGAATGGATGACATGTCCGCCGTGCTATCTGCCACCATCGCGAGCCCGCGAGTGAAGCTTTCAGATTTTTCCTGGAATGATTTGGTCCCGGTGAGTGATTTAGCTAGAAAGTGAATTTTCTGCAACTTGTTAGCATTTGCCAGGGATGAACGGTATTATGGTGATATAGGACTGACAGCTGCTGGAGTGGGCGCCATGGCTGGTTGAGCGGGTGCTTGCTGAACTGATGATGCGACAAGTTGCTTTTTCGGATGAGAAGCTCGCTGATCTCCAGGCTTCGGGATAAAGGGCAAACGAGGATGTGTTGACTGGGATTCCATGGTATCTCCTTGAGAGGTTCTAGTTGCTTCATTCACGTAACGAAAAGAGAAGTACGATTGAGATATGTTGAATTCTGACTTTTATAAGGTAAAGGCTGTAAGGTCTAGGTCATAGGCTCTTGGGCTGTGTGATAAATAAATATGCGGAAAGGCGGGGCGGCAAAGCAGAGCATAAAGGATATGAGGAAGTACTTGTAGAAAAAGAATAGCTTAAAGCTGCTGGTAGTTGCGTAAAAAGGTTGAGCCTTGGCTTTGCACTAGGCCCATCGCCACTGCTGTGTTTCCTGATGTAAGAGGTGCATGGAAGGATGTGTTTGCTTTTATGTGGGGTCACTTTGTGATAAATATACGTAGCTATTATAACTGTGCTGGGGATGGCACAGTTTGGCTAACCCAGCCAATAATCTGCGGTGCTCCAAAACATATCTGGCAGCCAGTTGAAGTTGGGTTAACTTTGATCTCCTTGGTAGCAGCACTGTTTGACACTGACCAAGGCCCATATCCAACCACTTCACTACCAGCTTTCCAAAACTCCTCTATAGCCTTCGCTTCTCCCTTAAACTCAATCGTTGTATCAGCAGCAATGATAAAAGAGGTCGGATAGGCAGCGAAGACCCATTCATCACTGTTTTCATCCCCATGGTCCTTGATCATCTGCTGAATGCGACTTGGGCCAGGGCTGACTTTGACACCTTTTTGCACCTCGAAATCAGTGTCGCTGAAGAGCTCGCTGTGTAACCATGGGCGGTCGATGTTGACGACGAGGGTAGAAAATGAAATGCTAACATCGCAGGATGCCATCTCTCGGCGTAGTTCCTCATGCAAGTCAGCACCACCCAAGGTCCAAAGACCAAAGCCGACGGTTCCACCTTCATGAGTCTGAATATCCGATGCAGAGTAGGACAGTGTGATTCTGCTCCATGCAGTCCCATCACTGCCGTTCAGCTGCCCATTGTCATTCTGCTTACGCCACTCCTCGGCTTTGACCTTACAGGATGTAGCCCAGGTTTTAGGCGTGAGACTAACACCGTAGACCTCTCCATTGCGACTTAGATCGTCTATCGCAGAGTTCCTCATCGCCTCCTTGCTGCTTTCGATGCGCGCCATGGAATCCATCTGGACCATACCAAAGGTAAAGTCGACCGCAGGTTTCTTTCCATTAATAATCCAATCCATCCATGCATCTTGAAGAGCATTCTTATAGAACTTTCCCTCGCCCTTGCACCAGTCATCGAAATATTTCTGTCGCTTTTCGACGTAATCCTTGGTCCCCTCTTCAAAGGCGTCTTGAGCATCACGAGTAGCCTTGATCTTTGCCTTTTCCCAAATTTGTTGCTGTTCAGTCCACTTCATCTCCTTATCGCGATAAATTTCAACGATGGTCTTTGAAGTTCCGGGAACTTTCTGTTTGAGAAACTCCATCGACTTTGCGTAGTCCATCTTTCCGTGGCTAGGGATGCCCGGGCTAGGGGTGAATGTCGGGCTTGCGGGAATTAAACTGTCAATGGCGCGAGCATAACTACGTGCGACACTCTTCCTCTCGTTCATGACCTACGAAATGTCAGTAGCTATAGTTGAGTGGGATGAGGCTAAGCATACCGCCAATTTACTCAACAGCATCATTCCGTCAACCAAGCTGGCTTCAGCTTGTCTGACACTTGCAGGAGGAAGAATTTGCTTGGATTCATCGTACAAAAACGGCCCTCCATGATCCGAGTCGGTCAGATCAATCAGAGTTCCTGGAACTATGATAGTCAGGTACTGCTCTAGACCGATGGGGAGAGACGCGGAGATGGCATCTCTGACTTGTGCGCTCACGCTCGCAAGGGAGGTAAGAGCCTCTCTAGGAAGTTGTTCAAGCTTGGTGGCCATAGTAGTCTTTAGGATTGTTCAAGTCCAAGTCTAGAAATGATCATGGCAGTTGGATTAAAGTCGGACAAAACGAGATGATAAACTTTCATACTCTTCAACCTCGGGTCGCTTGCTGTCAATATCTGGTGGATTTCAGCAAGCCACATTTTACCCGATTGCAGGCCATGCATGGAGGCAAAGAAATACAATCATCAGCGACAAAAAGATTTAGGTAAGTTTGGTGTAAATCTAGTGGACCTTTAGACTAGTATTTCTGGCAACTTAATTCACTGCCGGAAGTTTTGTTGCTCCATGTGAGCAGTTCAATCAATAGCGCAATTGGCGAAGTGGGCTGATAGACCCAGAATGGTAAAGACGATTAATAGTTTGCTGCAAGTCTTGGTAAAACAGACCAATGGTACCTCGTGTTCTTGAATGTGGTGGGATGGCCAAGTGACTTTAAAGACATCGCTTATGCTGCTCAAAGGCCAGATAAAGAAGCAGTATTCGTATGAAACATGCATGAAGTGGCAAAACAAAATGGGTGTCTACTGTGCATACAGATAGAGTTAGAGATTTTGGCAAAAACTAAGTGCTTGCGGTTTGTGTGGATCGAACACACGACCTTCAGATATCGGTTGATTGAAGTTTAACTTCAGTCTGACGCTCTCCCAACTGAGCTAAACCCGCTGACTAATAATCCTAGTTTTATTTATGTTATAGATACTTTTTTCGCGGACTTGGTAAGAGAAATAGTATGTACGCCTACTCTGTGTCTGCCGTCAGACCCAATTAGTTAATAAACTAAAAGTCTAATATTAGGCTATTATCTTAGTAGTTGGTCTGCTGCCTAAAGTGTATTTTCAAGGGTGTTATTATAAATTAATAGATTTAACGGGTGATGGTTATATTATGCGCCTCGCCTCGCTCTCTGTCTTTGAGTTTTCTAAACCTAACCTTGCAGCAACGTGAAGAAATATACTTCAAGAGCATCACTGACTTTCTGATTGTCGTATAAGAAAGTGGTTGTGCCACACTGCAATAAAAATATTTAACCCTCTTGGCGCCCTGCCCCGCCTACTTCTCCTTTCCCCTTACAGATACTTCACTTTCCAATTTGATTATGCTATGGCAGACGCTTTGTATGCGTATTGTGTAACACTAATGATATTGTTCATCTTAGGAATATTATGTATATCATGCAGTATGAAAATATGATCCTATATAGCAATGTGGTAACTAACCACTATAGTGGCGGGTTCACCCAATCGACTTGGGGGAAAACATCTCCAACAATGGACCAGGTACGAAGATATGCTTATTGTAAAGTTCTAATTACTGATCAATATCACCTAGGATATGATGATTCAATGAGAAGGGCCGACGCCGAAACGAACGAGAGTGAAACTGCAATAGAACTAAGCCTTTGGAAGAAACCACCATTTTCAACACTCGGAAATGGGTTCCCTCATCAAACACAGCTTGTCCACGACCATGTATCTCTTGGGTCTCCCGAGCCTTCTAGACTGCAGAGACTTCCTGATGAGATATTGTTGATGATAATCTCCTGACTCTCCTCAAAAGGTGATAGAGAATGCGTGCTTGCTTTCTTTGCCTTGCGGCAAGTTTCTCGGAGGTTCCGGCACCTGATGCACGGGGTGGTGTTCTGCTGTCAATGGTGCTCTGATGGCTATGAAGATTGGCTGAAACCCGAAGGATCTCCGTGGCGGGTACGTCAATGTTTTGAGTACTAAGTACCACTCCTCGGATTGGAGGCTAAAGGAACTTGGGAAGCTTATGAGAAAGGACAACGCGTGCAAACGCTGCCAGAAGCGCAAAGAAAAATGGGATAGCAGGAAAACTCCTGTAACTTGCAAGTTTCAAACGCTCTTTTCCTACACATGGTTAAGATGTCACCCCTGCGGCGTCAAGCATCCTGACGCATGCTTTTCCAGACGGGAACGCGGAAAATCCAATCGAACCTGCATCGGGAGCCAAGGCCATATCTGATTGTGTTGTCACAACACACTAACATTGGACGATATAAAAAGCCATATCGACAATGGGCAACCTAACAAGAATCGGGTATTCCTAGGGAGCTTCGACCTCGAGGATCACACTAGACCTTGCAGCGAAGGTCAAGGTCCGCAAGCGTTTGCCACAAAGCTTCCGGGGGGGATGACAGTGATTCCTATCTTCTGGAGAGGACACTCAGGCGGCGACCCTTCCGTCTTTCATCCGAGTGGCTATTTACACAAGACAAAGCAAAGGGACGCCATTCGGAGCATCCGACTACAAGGAGGCCACCATCTGATACCACAACGAGGAGCGAAAGCGCTGGCGGAATGGGATTCCATCGTCGAAATTGATGAATCAGAGTCTATCTCGTCAGACCTGATCAAGCTTCGCGGTGGCTGGGCATCCAAGGACCCAGGCCGTCCGCACGCCTGCAGCCTATTTCGCACCTTGAAGGTGGCTTGTGGCCACTGCGAGAAGGAAAAAGGCTGTGTTGTCTTGACGTATCTTAGAAGGATATGCTTTGACATGCCAGAGTCAAATGGAGGAGGCCTGCCCCAAGATTGGTTCCATGCCATCGACACAGGCTCTTAAAAGTATTATGGCCACTCTGGTGTCCCTGAAACTTGTCGTGATACGAGCTGTCGCTATCACTGCGGCGAGGGAATGATTACATTTTGGTCAACAAGTGACGCAGGGAGCGCGAGGTAATTTGCAGGAGGTGGGCCTGCATGAACGATTAGATCAAGTAGAAGGAAATTACCACTCTACTAACCGAGCCAAGTCCGTTCACTAAGTCTTTCGGCGAGAAATTCAATACTCGCTTTATTTATTTATTTATTTGATATGTAATGCTGACGTAAAGCTACCTGGCAACCAACGTCATGTTATAAAGTTGGGATGCTGCCTGAAGTGTGTTTTTGAGAGTGGTATTTTGATACATACTTTCATGATACAGTATCGGTGGGAAAGAACACTTCGGATATTACGGATCATTCGGAACTCCCAAAAGTCTCTTCAACTGAACCGAGCTATTTTACTTTGACATCTGTTTCAACCTGCGTGACAACCACTCCCCAGCAGTATAAACCCTTTCTTCGCCAACCTTCCCACCAACAGCAACTACGGGTTCATCCTTGTACTGCTCAACCGGCTCCATCAACACATCATCAGCCGGTCTAACGAAGTACACCAAACTGTACCGATCGAGTCGTCCTTGCGGTCCTGGTAACGGCACCACGCGATGCTTCCCCGACTTGAGACGTCCATTACTGAACTTGACCATCGCATCGCCAAGATTGATAATAGCGTGTCCGGGTAATGGCCTCACAAATGCCCATTCTCCCTGTTTTGCTGGGTCGTGAGATTGAATCTGCAGACCACCGACCCAATTGAACAACACGGTGATGCTGCCAAAGTCTGTATGGGAGGCAAGACCAATTCTATTACCATCTGCAGCGTCGCAACCTGGCATTTTGGTCATTCTGATATGATCTCCAGAAAGTGAAGAGATCTCGTTTCTCTTGGCAAACTCATCGGACGGTAGGTCGAGTTGTTGCGCCAAAATGCGAAGGATCATAAGACCCAGAGAGTGACAGTTTTCAGCATATTTGCCCAAGTCTGTCCATCGATCGGTTATTTCTGCAGGATAATTCCGTGCCTCAGAGTTTTCCAATAAGTGATCTTTGCTCACGTTGAAGAACTCAGTTGTATCGGGTCGTGCATCTTTATCAGTCTGCTTAACTGCCCCTGCGGGTTTGTAGCCGAACATTTCTTTGCCCCGCTCTGCGACGCATTCCATCTTTTTGTCTAGAGGGATGTTGAGAGCGCGCTTCGAAATAGCGAGGATACCTTCAGTGTCGTTCAGCAGAGCTTGTCCGGCAGAGTCATCGATGAGGTCAAGATAGAAGAATCCGTCTGATTGAGAAGCTTTAAGCACCTTTATCACCTCATCTTTGTCAAAGTTCTTGAGCTTGGAGTATCTGATCCGGGCGATGGGCACTATTGGCAGATCATCTGGGAATGGAGGAGTGGAGTTATCGAGGCTGCCCATTTTCCTGTTTTGGCTTTGTAGGTTATGGAATGGGCAAAGGTCTTTAGATCGAGGGTGGATTGAAGCTGGCCGATGCGACTGTTAAGTACCGAGACGTTATTCTTAGTGCACGGTAACATCCATGAGACGATGACGCCACGCAGCATATAACGGCAATCAAAGCGCCATGGCATGGAAAGTTCCATCTCTCGGCAGTTTTCTGATTGGAGAAAAGGACAAGGGCAGATATCTGCTACGTCGCATGCGAAGAGAGGAAAATACTACGTTAGATACAGCAACCGACTTCGCTGCTGGCGGGCTAGGAAACAACAAACAAGAGTTGGGATCCTTGCCCTAAATAATGAAAAGACTTAGGTAAGTTTGGTGTAGTTTAGTGGGCCTTTAGAGTAGTTATTCCTAAAGTTAGAAGATCTCTTTCTTTCGGAGGGCAAGGTTATCTATCATGGTCTCCCCCCTGCGGCATGGATTCTTCTTTAGATGCAAAAGACAATCGCTGTGTATTTATTCTATGTTTCGTAATGTTTGTCCAACTCCATCATTCTATCCAACGCCCATCATCTATTCATCATCATCTAGATCTCCCCCAATGACATTTAAATGCAACTGCTCCTGCTTCTTAACCGCCTCCAAAACCTCCTTCGGAACCTCATCCTCATCAACCAAAACAATCAACTCCTTCAATTTCCTACAAGTTATATGCAAACTCTCAATAGCACTAACAAACAAATCCGTAACTTCTTCATCCGTACCCAACGGATTAAAAAACTCTAATGTTTCTAATTCAGGCGGTAGTCCAACAGAGTGTAGCCGTGGTTTCTTTGTAGATTTTCCAAAAAGCTGATAGTCCCAGTTTAAGCGGAGTGTTTTTAGCGCGGTGAACTCGCGGAGGGCGAGGGGGCGTGCGCTGGCTAGCATGGGGAAGTCGATGGTGATGGTTTCTAACGAGTGGCAT